GGTACAATACCCCTCTCTGTAGGAAATGAGAAATATGGAACCAGGTTAGAGATGCACATCACTCCCCACCAAAGAAACGACGACCCCGTAAATTATTGCACGCATGACGGGAAACGTGGATCATGCCTTACAAAGGCGGCACGGGGGACCACAATTCTAAGCCAATCCCGTCGATATTTAACCCCTAGTCTGACTCGGGCGATGCTTTTCAGCTGAAGTTCCTCATTTTAAGAGTGTGAAAAGCTGACCCGGACCCATGAACGGCATGGTTCAAACCTGAATCTGGACCTGACACAGGGGTGGTCGGAAAACACTTGCACGCCGATCTGAACCACTAGTAAGCGCTGGGAAGCTCCTCTTCCGTGACAGTTGCCGAATCGCAAATATTGGTTCATCCCAAATTTGGCATACCATGGATTACCGTCCCAGTGATTTCCACATCTCCCACCTGCCAGACCCACCGCTGGGAAAATTCAAATCGCGATCGAGATCAGCTCTATTTGCTGGTCCTTTTCTCCCCACTCCCCATGACGTCGGCTCCCGGGTCCTACTCCGAAGCCTACTCGGGGTGTCTACCCCCTTTGGACAGCGCTTAAAGTTTGGTTCGTCCGCGCGGTTAACCTCATCTACCGAAATGCGATGAGATTCTTCCCGTAGGCCGACTACCATGGCTCTGGGACTGTCAGATCTTTCTTTCGCTCTTCGTTTCCTGTGGTTCTCCCTCATTTCTTTATGGCCGGAGTCATGAAGGGAAGTGTGTAGGTTTCCGTTTGACATCTAAAACGGGGCACTGGGATAAGGTTCAGGCGGGCTTCGTGTCTCTGCTCCGTAATTGCGCCCCGGTCCAGGGTCGGCTGCCGGCCACGTGAATCCTCCGCGGAGCAATTTCCTCAGAACATCCTCTGCATCCACACGGAGAATCCTCGGGAGCTTTGTCGATCTCGTGCGAAACCAGGGACAATGTGGACATTGACTTGGCATGGGTGAAAGCTATGATACGCCGAACCAGAGAATCCCAAGACTTAAACTCGTGCCTATATTTCAGACGTCTCTGAGACACTTATTTGCCCCGAGCTGTGGAATTGTGGCTGGTCTATAATAATCAGGCTTTTTGTCTTTGGCGCCTTTGGCGTTTACCAAAGTTTCTACAGTGCCCCAGTTTCGGGCTATTTCCGTTATGCCAGAAAAAGCAAATCTGGGAAAAACGAGAGAGAGAGAAAAAGAAAAAAGAAACTGTCGCCGGGATATCACGGGCGTTCCGCTTTACTGCCGAGGAGGATCATTAGGGGACACATGCAGTACCGAAACCATTGCCGTTCCATCCCCAACTTGGAAGTCCAAGCCTGAAGTGTTGCCTAGTTAAAGCAACCATGGAACTCGAATCCTTGAGCAGCAAACATGCCATGCAATGTAACACTTCAAACAATAGAAGCACAGCTGCCCACTAAGGGAACTAAACAAAAATACCACATGCACGCATGGGGACACGATTATGCAACCCACATCCCTCCCCGTCCGGGAACGCAGCTAGGAACAAGTATCTCGACGCGCAGACGAACCACAGCCACCGGAAGCACACCCTTACCCCTGCAAATGCAGCAGCCATGCAGTAGGGATCCATCATATAGCGGTGAAATGCCACTCATTCCTACCTGACGTCTAGTGCACGATGTCGGTTCCCACAGTTCGAGCGAGACAGGCTCAGACCGGCATGCGAGCTGTCACTTGTTAAGAATGTGAGCTATCTCATGTCAGGATCGGGCTATGACGATCAGGCTGCAGATCAAGTTCGCGAGGTGTTCGTCGGTGAGATCTACCTAGCCAATTAGCGTGCATTAGCGGCCTGCATATGATTTGTTCGGAGTAAGGGAATTTAGTTATTTGACGTGTCGAGGGGTTCGCGCGTCCTTCGGTGCTGGGCGGCTATTCCTTTTTGGGAGAGTAACGTAGAGAGTTTTGGATCTTTCTTTTCTCGTCTTGGTTTAGGTTTGTTTTGGTATCTATTTTTGAGGCGTCACTTTTTGGATGCTACTGTGTTACTGCGTATGCGGGCAACATTTCTGTCAGGTTTTGAATTGCAGACTATTGATTTTGAGGTGGGGGTGGTCTAGGGGTTTTCGGGATTTTGGGAGGATCGACTACGACCCACCATTCTAGAGTAGCTCGTTCAATAGTTCACTCTAGTCTGGCCAATGCTGGGGCGCCATGGCGATTTGCTTAAGCTTTTTCATTCTTCTGGAACGTCTGACCGAAGTCGTCTAAGTTTTGACTTTGGGATCAATTCAAATCAATCAAGTCTTACTTTCTGTCGGCTCCGAGGCGGGGATCCAGCACGGAGGTGTCCCAATCTAGACAGGTGGCAAGGCTGCGACGCCCGGGAATTTTAAGAATGATATGTCAGGAATTGAGAGAGGTTAAAGTGTTTCCGAATTAAGCGTTCGATAGGTGATGAGGTGATCTTGATGGACATGGTCACTTCGGCAAGGCAACATTGAAATCGACGAAGGTAACCCGGCGTCTCAATTGCCTGATTGAGCACTACTATATGTCACCGGGGAAGATGGGCCTAGTAGGCTCAGCCATAATGCTATTGAATCGGTTCAAGCTATCCAAAAGCGCATCGCGCTGATCTCGAATGGTTCAAGAGTAAGTTCGACGGAGGTTTCCGCCTAGGACATGGCGGCATTGCTCTTGTATTCACTTATCAGTACACATCAGCCTTATAGTCTAGTAAGTCGCCCTCTTTTGTAGCACAGTCACGCGAAACCTCTGTCAATGTCAATGCTAATTTGCCCAGATGATTTTGCTGCAATTGAGAAGTTACCAAGCTCAGGGCTTCCGATTGCCCGTTCCACTTGTGACTTCCGAGATACAAACGCGAAGGAAAGAGTGGTTCTGAACTAAAGGGAGTGGCTTACGAGTTCTCTGAAGACCAAAGCCTTGAAGTTATCATTTCTGTTGAAATCCATATTGTCTAGAGACCGTCGACCATCCCATGATGAAAGTAATTTGAAGAGCGCTTGAACAAAAAAGAGCAGTAGAAAATTCTCATGGCGAGCAGTACCCTCCTGGCACCGCTGACGGAGGACGGTCACGCCAACATCGAGCAGATCAAGGGTTTACTCGGGCATCTGGAGTCCAAAAGTCCAAACGAAATCTCGCAAAAGGCAGCTCGACATTCGGTCAAAATTATCCGAGTCACTGATATACGTGGCGTCTTCTCCCTCGGTCAATGCCGCCAGCATCGCGGTCTTTAGCGTGGCCTGGCCCCTCAAGCTCAGACGGCTTTTCTTTGGCCATCCTCATATAAGGTCGTCATAGAAATGAAAGGGTTCCATAAGAGAAGGCAAGGCCTTATTTGTCATCAGGTGGAGGGTTCATGTCGATGAAATAAGTGATCGTGCTGGGGGAAGTTGAGGTAGGAGAATTAGTCTAGACTAGACGATGAGAATTAATCAGCGCCAGAGATTAATATTAGTAAAGAGCCGGAATATGGAATTCGAGATGATTAGTGCCAGGTTGTACAAATGTGGTCTCCAAACCTGCGTTGTTGAACACTACTTCGTCCGCGCATAAACATAAATCAAAGTTTTACGTCTAGATTTAAGGAAACCTCTAGTACCCAGATTTGTTCAACAATCATTCAAATCATCAACACAGTAGACAGTTAATGAGTATCTGAGAAGAATGAGCTCATATCAATTTTGCAATATCATTCTCTTGAGACCACGGCCACTTTTAACCTACCTGAATGCGTAGACTGGAAGCCCTCTGATCATGTAATATCATCACCCTCATCACCAGGGCTCGCATCATCAACAACCATCTCACCATTAAATTCGCCCACACTTTTGATGGAGAATAATGTTCAAGGTGGCAAAGTTTGCGGATTTAGGAATGCTCGTGGTCATGACAATATTTGGCCGAAGGTCTGGTGAAGCTCCAAGATTGGCTACTTGCTGAAACCCGTCAACTATACAATGTCAACTATCGTTTGTAAGACGCAATCGAAAGTCGAATTCGCTTTCAAAATAGCACAACGCCCAGGTCCATGATCTGCAATAGCTTAAACCCGAAGGTAATCATCGATCTTGATCATCTGGTTCCTGCGAAGGTGAAAAATCCGCAGTCAGACATATCCAATACAGCAATAAGTCCTCATTATGGGCTGACGGCGTTATTTAGAGTATGACGACAAATGTCTGTTGTTGCCAATGGTCGTATGGGCAAAAATGAATCATTTGAGCGCAAAGGGTCACACCTAGACTGCGGCATGACCTGCATAGTCTATAACGCGAACCCATATCATCAACAGCCTCATCAACGACTGTTTCTTTTAGTCCCAGTGAGTTTGATCTCTCATGCAAAGGATGTGCGGTCTTTTTACTGGCGCAAATTTCCCTTTTTTCGTGACGTTGCGACAAGCTATCTGCGTAGAGATGATATAGACGGGTTCGACTAATCTCTCTTCTAACTAGTTGATATTCTAAAGATCGACAATCAAAGGCCCGCGGATTCTGGAGCTCGCTGTACAGGCGGCCATCGTCTCGGAGATGGCTGCGGCATATTTTTGAAAGGTGATGGCTGCGAGCTCCATGGCTCCACCATGCAGAATAAGGTCTCTTCGTTCTTACTGGACACTTTATTTCTTCAGAAACTATAATAGTGCATTTCATCACCTCGTGAACGAAGACCTTAGGATTGTGGAGCTTGTGGCCATGTCGTATTTGACAATGGATGCGCCTCGAGATGGAGAGTACAGCGCAAGCGGCACAGAGAGCAAGGTACTAAGCCAGGGCCAAGGACATCAAATTTCTTTGGCGCTATACCACTCGACACCTGATGTTGTTTTACATGCGTGTTCTCCAGCATTAATAAATGTACTTGGGCCAGACAAATAGACCCAAATGGGCCCTGCAGGCGACTGATCACGAATGGAACCCAGCCTTTCCTGAATATCCAGTCGAGGTCTTCCCTTGCCGGTCAAATGCACTTGAATTTCAAGTGACGTAGTCGGGTCCGCTAAACAGAGTAGTATCAGTGTAACTCAATACGACGAGCCATGGCAACTGGTTGCTTACCTTGTATATATGGTAGATCAATATAGGCCTCCGTCCTTACGCACCAGATAATCACACATCTCTCACAGATAGACGTATTTGCTGGTCTGCTATTGGCACTCCATTCACTGCCAATTTCAAGAACTGCCATTTGCTGTCTCTTCTGCTCAAGAAAGGCGCGGGCTATTGCTATAGCCCCACTTACTCCTGTACCAGCGACCATGCATATGACAGTCTTGTACCGTGAAGGATCTGCCACTGTGAAATATGGGCCTTCGAGTCTTAACGAAACGTCCACGCTTTGTGGGTAAGAAGTGGATGATTCAACCTCGCTGGTAAGCTCAAAAGATGGCGTGCCAGTTAACTGATTGAATTCGCTGTTATCTCCGGATCCCAACAAGGGCTTGCTTTTATCGGCGATACTAGCCAGCTTGTCTGTCCACTGGATAGTTGGCTTTGTGGGGTTGCGAAAGAAGTTGAACCATGTCGACAATACTATTTTCCTAGCCTGGGGGTGGGGAACGTTGCCGGACCCACCACGCTTACGAAAAATGAATTGGATCGGAATATCTTCTTCGGATGCGGTATTTTTGCTTTCGGATGCAAGAGGAGTAATAGTGGTGAAAGGATGGAGCTCCCAGGCGGAGGAATTCGCGTGGCGAATATAGAAATGCGCTAGCGGTGACTGGCAGGCACACCCGTCGAGTCGGTGTCGAGGAAGTAGTAGCTCGATGCTAAATATCAGTTATATTAGCGTGGTCAGCTTGAAGCTATGGAAGATTCAAAGTACCAATACCATCCATTTCCTAGATGGATCACCTTGCCATGCACACATTCTCTTAGCTCGTACAGTCGCATACCCCAGTCGAGCACCCACATGGCTAGCCCTGGAGACACACAGTAGAAAATAGTACTCGCGTGCAGACAGATGACGATGACTGCCACGATACTCAGAAGGTGGGTAAAATAAAAGACATTGAAATATTTCACTCGAATCTTCGGCAACGTAGTGACGAATATGAGGCCCATGATCGTGGTAGAGACGATGCCAGTGAATATAAGAGAGGCTCGCCACACACCCAAAGCCGACGGGTTACCCGGCCAAGTCTCGTGGTATAAGTAAGTTGGGTTTAAGACAGGAAATACTTCCCGAAGCCTCTCTGAGAGAGAGTTGAAAGCTGGCACCCAGGACACATAGATTAATCCGTGGATAATAACCAGTGTGAAGAGAGTATAAGCTATCAGCATATGAAAGGTAAGCGTTGTTGAGACGGATAATTTGAAGAAGGACGCAAGCGCGCTGTGCCGGGAGACAGGGATAAGAACCATCCCCATGGTGACATCGCATAAGTGACCAGTCAATGCAATCGCAGCGAGACGGTAGTTTCCATCCTGAACTCCACGCTCCTGGCCCCTATCCACGAAATAGTCTCGTAGGCGAATCCACCAGACACCTACGATGATACCGTATAAGGTGATGATCCAGATAGATCCAAGTAACGCGCTGAGAGCCAACTGTTCACCCATCAGGGGAAGCTTGAAATTAAACAACCGTCGCTGAATATAACGACGCAATCTGGGTTGAAAGGCGCGGACGGCGAAGAACGCCACAGATATCAATATCCAGGAATACCAGACCACCACATGTAATCGTGCCTGGAGAGGGAAAAGCCATTCGCCGCAGGTGCCAGCATAACAATGATGATCTGATCGAAATGTCAGACCGATTGAGAGACCGAAGGTGAGCAGAAGACTGCCCGCAAGAGGATAAAGACAAGTTCGAGGGGTGATTCTCGTCATCCTAAAACAGCAGCGGCAAAAAAATGATTAGAAGACCATTGAGCGATACTGTAGGCGAAATCGACAAGAATGCTAGGTGCTACTAGAATCAATTTCACTAAAACAATGAACGCTTCTCCCTCGTATGAATAAGCGGACGCCTTTTGGATAGAACTCAAAATGTCAAGCTATGGATAGAATATAGCGAGGTCCTCTCGCGATAACTCGCATGGGAGAAATCCTCGGAGTTTTTCTTCTGCTCTGGAAATAACTTATTTCTCCTTTTCATACCGAAGCGCAAGTGGATCGGCTTATGAAAGGGATTGGACCAGTCGGAAAGGGGTGGAAACGAGAGCGGAAACGAGAGCGGGAACGAGAAAGAACGGATGAGAACGAGGATGAGCGAGAGTCGTCCCGAAAGAGCCTGCTTATGTTCATTGAATCTTTGTTTGTAACGATCAGGTTCATTCATATACATTCTAGAATGAGATCAGGGAATTGTAGGTAAAGGAAAGCAAAAAGTACGCCACGTTCCAATTGTTCTCCAACATATACGGGGATCTCGATCACGATGCTTTTCTTCCGTAAAATTCCCCAACACCGAATCTCAAACATTACCGGCTTGAGGAGCCAACTCGCTATATCCAAGTTCTCTGTAGATTTTTCTTCGTTTCCATCGTCATCCCGAGCATTCGTACCAGTGACACGTTTGTAGAGTGTTGCTGGGGACTGGCTGGGTATTGCAGTCGCAACTCTTGTGTGGTGCAAATATATAAGAATAAAATTTACTGGAATAAAGGCCCTCACATTTTGCGCGTATTTTGAGCTGATCGATGGACTTTGGCACGCAAAAAAATCAAAAAGGCGCATAATATGGTGGTTCGGGATATGTTGGTGGGAATGACAAGCTGGGGGATCTTTTAGTGGTTATATACAAACCAGCATGATACCAGAGCAGAATGAGACCGAAATAAGGTGTTACACCCGGAGATAATTTCAGTCAGAAGACTTTCGATATCTCCATCTGGCACACCGTCGCCGAGACTCTCCTTGAAGATCGATTCTTGATACTGAATCGGCAAACTCTTGATCAATGTGACAAGAATGTGCTCGGCCCCAGAAAGGGAGTGTTGTTCGATGATCATGGAAAGCTTATTTATCTCAGGAGGCCCGTACTCTAATGACTGAGACTAAGGCTATCGACGCAAATATTCTGTCTATTACCCGGGTTATTCCTTGACGCTAGGTGCTGTAACAGGCACAATACGACGAAGTGGAGAAAAGGGCCTCCTTGCGTTCAACGGATCCTAAAAGATATGAGGCCTCACTCTTCGTGTATATCCGCGACAAACGGTATGGTCAACCCCAACTCCGTTTCTTGGAAATATCATGAGCTGTATGTTAAAAATGAACGGAAATAGTGGCCACTTTGGTCAGACATACAAGTCCTCCAATGATGGCATATTACTAACATCCGGCCTTTGATACCTGCTCCTGAGCTGGAGCGGGCAGGACTTGTGGTTAAAAAAAGACTCAGTAGTATTTGAGTAGCAAAAGGATTAGAGAAAAGAAACATTAAAGCTCTTATATAACATGATCACCACCGAAACCTGAATTAAAGTCCGGCCTTGCGCATCAGAATAGCATAGTTGGCCAGACGCAACCACAGAAAGCAAGCAGGCATTGGCAACAGTGATACTCTCAGTCATTTTGACAACAGCCTCACCGTAGACTGGAGATGACCCATGGGTCTGGCCTACGGCAAGACGAACCAATTGTTCATATCACCCTTGCTAGCCGAACAATTCTCGCCAGGCTCACCGAGCGCCCTACTTAGTGGAAATCTACCAATAAAGCAATGTCAGTCTTCCGAGAACATGAAGGTAAAATAGCCTAAGAGGTGCGCCTTACCTCGATAATGGCGGGGCCAGCAACGATGTTATCGTCGGTTACCTTCTTCTTGCCCTTGGTAATGACAACGTAACTCTGACCCGCAATACCCTCAGGGACAGTAACAACGAACGAGTTAGTGCCCGTGAATCTGATGTGAGCCCAAACAGGTCCAGTAACAGTAATGAAAGCAGCGTATAGGTTGCCCAGGTCAGAATCATTGAAGCCGCTACCAGCCACTAAGTGAACCTTGGAGCCACTGACAACAGTTTGGGTCGAGGTCACTGTCAGCGAAGGGAATGCCTTCACTGGGAGCTTTCCATTGCTAGAAGGGCATGATGTAATGAAAGGTGACGCAACGGTGTAGACCTCGTCGAAGTCGAGAGGGTCGTCGAAAGGCTGAGGGAAGGGAACTTCGCCCATTACGGCGCGTAGGTAAGCGCTATGACGGGCCTCAACGGTCAGAATGCTACCAGCGGCAGTAAGGTAATCTTTGTTGGCAATCGACGCGGCAGCACCGAGATAGGCACTGACACCAACACCTAGTACTAGTCGTTAGTAGATATCGTCTTATGATTATGGATAACAGTACCCTCGAGGACGCTAGCAAGGGCTAGGAATGACTTCACATTGGTAGAGGGGAAAGAGTAGGTGCAACGTTTCACGGGAGAAACGCCGGCAGCTAGAATAAATTATTAGGTCTCGCACATGACATATCTCATTTGATACTTACCTGTGAGAGCCTGCGTGAGGAAGGATACGTGTGTCTTCTCGTCGAAAGCGATTTCCTGCAGGTTGGCGTAGAACGGATCTTTGAAGCCAGCCTTCACGAAATCTTCCCTGGTGTAGTTCTTGAGGCCCTCCTCATAGAAGGTGGCCTCGAGGTGCTCGAGCGTCAAAGCGTAGTTGAGAATATCGGCTGAATGGTTGAGAACGTAAGTCAATCTAGCCATTAAGTTTGTGGGGAAACCATACCGTCGGTGATAGCTGCACGGGTGGCAATAGGGCCAGCCTGGGCAATAGCAAGTATCGCACCTGTCAGGACAATATTGGTGACCTTCATTGTGTGATTATGTAGAGCCTTTGGCAAATTAAATCGAAGGACTGTTTCGTAGAACTTGGAACAGTAATGGCTGGTTGATATCCAAAGCAAGAACAGGAGCATTTATACCTGAGGGGATCGACCTCCTCGTGTTATTTGATTGTTGTAAGGGGCTCGGACCCTGCCATTCCCTGAATGGGTAAAAGGTAGTCTCTCGTTACTGTCTTTTCCGGAATTTGGGAATTTACATACGGGCAAGGGGCATATTTGGAGGCTGAAATATTGTGGTTGGCTCAGGATCTAGAAGAATCCAGCGTAAGGGTTAGGTCACTGACAAACATAAAAACGAAAAGCCACGAACGACAGGACCTGAGTCAGGAATTAAAAGAGTCCGAGAACGAGAACGACGCGTGGAATTTGAACATTGACATTGTTCCGTGCTTCCTTGCTCTTTGAAACGGAATGTAAAAGCAACGCCAAATCGCCCTTAAGGAGAAAAGCCTATTCTTTAGGGGATGACGAGAAGAAGGTGCATTGAAAAGGGGCCCCTTGGACAACTATGGATGTAGGGGCTTATGCATGAGACCCAGTCTAATGAGTATATTTGACCACTTTTGACTGGATTATAAGCTCCGCTTGCACATTCCACTAATGTTCTGCACGAATAGGACTGCGCAAATGATCAACTCTTTGCCCGATCTAATCTTTATTATCGCCCGATCAAGGCCTATCCTACAGCCCCCAAGATTATATTCGATTTTAATTTAAGATACTTAACTGCCAATTTTTCCCCTGGATTGCAGATAGCTGGGCAAGGTCCATCCACCTCTACTTGAGTGTATTTAAGTTTAATAAACGAATCCGCATCACTATTTCAAGCTGACTAGATAGTCAGACCAGTATTTTGAATTATAGCTGTATCTATTTTATACGCTTATATGGTTAATATCGTGGAGTTTCCAATTCTCTTGTAACTAGAGGCAGCTATAAAAGTGGCATTCGTGGAATCTACTTGCTGCTGTAGTTGACAGATTTATCTTCGAAGTTTCTGACTCTCAACCAAAGCATTTTCTCGTCGTGGTCTATCTCGTCGTCTTTTTCTTCGAGAGCCAATTCAAAACCTTCTTCAATATTGATTATCACATGTACACATTTCCGATGGGTGGCTTCACGGTCTTTCCTCTGGGCACTTTTTGTCACTGAATGTCTCTGGAAGCCATGGTCAAACAAGAGCGCCCAATATAAGCAGTGCTGGACGCGGTAAAGAATACAAAAATCCAATCTTTAATCCGAGCAGGAAGCTAGCGACTATGATAGATTTGCGGTTTCAGAATCCAAGGGTGGACTGAAAACCCAGTTGAAGGCGTATTTCATCCATTTGATTATAGGACCAGGAACCATCTCAGTACCGTGGCGACGCATTCTTCGGAATCTCCAACAAATCACCCGCTGGTCGCGCTTCCAGCCAGGCATCCATTGCCTCATACAACTGATAGAACGCTGCGTTGTTCATCGTTGGTAAATCGTTGAGGATCGGATGACCTAGGTGTGCCTGTGCGACCGAGAGATATTGGTATCCCGGGGTATATTTCTCCAATTCCGCGGGATCAAATTTGGGCACACTTTTGCCATCAACTGGGACAAGGCGGTCTTTCTCGTAGAACAATTTGATATAGACCACCTTCCAGTCGCCCCCTTCCTTGACGCAAAAGTTAATGAAGCGGCAGTCGCACTCCACATCAAACTCTACTCCGTCCCAGTTGAACCGCTGCGTGATGGTTGCCTTCATTTTACCGACAGCTCGACCGGTAGCTGGGTTGAGATCGACGAGTGTTCCATTCTCTCGGTGCATGATAAAGTCGCCATTGGCGCGTCCCTTGACCGAAGCAGTAATGAAATCGTCGATAGTGAGCCCACCACTCCACGCTGTGTTATCGTACTATGTTAGCTTAGTTATAACATGGATCAAGCTTCAGAATAGCACTTACTTGTGAAAACAAATGCCCCCTCTTTCACGAACAGATCGCGATAATGGTTCCATTCAGAAGCATCGCGATAGACCGGCCAGCCTTTGCATAGTTCCGAGACGCAGAAGCGGTCGAACTTGTCCGCCTCTGTGCCATTGATGTGGTTCCAGGTCTTAGCCTGGGTCTCTTTTTCGGTGATATTGTAAACCATTGTGAAAGAAAGTCTCAAGACTCCAAGGCAACTCAAAACTGTTGGGATTGAAATATTTGTCGTATTAAACGCAATATATATAAATATACAATGAGACAAGGTCAAGTTATAACCGATGGGCATATGATTGACGTAATGCACAACGACTAGGACCGCGGCATCTGGCAAACTTTCCGATAGCAATGATTTACCCGGGTTCCATCTCTAGCTTGCATTGCTACTATGTAGACCACATAACTAGAGCATGGAAATCGCCATGACGGGAAAACTATAGGCCAGATGGTCGCCATCATACCACAAGCGATGACGATCGAGCTACAGGGTATTGCCGCCACATTTAACGTACCGATCGAGGTTTGTTGGGTAGATCATCGCATTCGCCGCGAACATCCTGCATCTATCGACCTCAATGATTGCTATGCCGGCTTAATGCTGACGGCATACCTGTTTGGAACACAATTCCTATACGGGGACTTGCCAACTAATCTCGGGATCGAATTCACGCCGGGTCCCGATGGGTGGGTTGCGGCAAGGCCTAACGCTTGTGACAAGCCGACTCTGAATCCCGAAATGGTGGCCTATAATATGAGATACATGCTTATCAACACAGGCAACCACATTCCCAATCTAGCCTCAACTATCTTATTCATTAAGTGATGCCGTGTCATCATCCGACGGAATAGTTCTAAAATCCTGAGGGTAGCCAGATCAATTGTGACGTCATTGAGTTTTGCTACGAACCCTTCTTTTCCGGAAAGGGGGGTTGATCGACTCTATACTGCGATGTTATGGAATGAACGCCCACGACGTCAGAACGCTCCTTGCTCGCTGGTTTTTGACATCGTACTAATTGACCCCTAAGTAGTGACTTTGTTGTCATCGACATCATGGCCGATATCAATGCACATACTAGAAGCCCAAAAGATGGGTTCTCATCCCCACCGTAAATCCCACCTGAGTGTGTCAGGTATCACCCTTGCGAAAAAAATATCAACCATCTTCTTTGGCATGTGAACATGATTTGAAGTTTGAAAGAATCGAGAGATGAGAGCTTTAAGATTGGCAGCCTTTTGGAAACTATATACGGGGATTATAATATACACTGGGTGCTAGATCATACCATGGCGACCAAGGGTTACCGCGCAATCGATAGAGAAGAAATTCCGGGCTAAGAAGATTTTTCGTCGCAACCCATTTTACGAGAAGGACATGGCATTCGAGCATCGACTATGAACCCTTAGCGAAGGAACCTAAGGAGTTTTAGTTCCCAGCATATGAAATCCGTTGGCTAGGATATTCTATAAAGCAGTAACTTCTCAAACTATTAAGTAATAAGCGTGATGAATTCTAAAAAGAGATGTTATGATGATTGGATAGTAGAATTATTGCTCCAAGGGTGATTTCCAAGCCGGAATAAATATTGGCCATCTGTAATTGTTACACCTGATGATAATAATGTTCTTGTATTTAGAATAGACTAGATAGACTTTCTAGGAGAGTGCCTAGTGACTATTTCCTACGTCCCCTAAATACGCGCCAAGAGTCAGTCGACTGATGCGGTCGGCCTTCTGTGGCTCCACGGCGACCCTTCAGTGTAATGCGCTACCGTATCCTTATTAGAGGCGTGGGATGCCAACGAGCTGGATAAGCCGCCGCGACAGAGCCCCCGATTATCAATCTAGAGGAGGTCTACGTGAGAGAGCCAGATATTTCAATGGTGGTGACGGACAGCCGACGATGCTAGTTGCCCGACAGATTGGTCAGCTTGGTGAAGAAGTTGCCGATGGAGCCATGGCAGATACGTGCATAGGAGGCAGAGATGAAAAAGGGGTTCGAGGAGCGATCATTTGACATGATAATGGCGGGGAGGAGGTTGATTTCCGGATAGGATAGGCTGGCTGCCCCTCACACAGATGAAAATCGAGTGGCAGAAGTCAGCAACACCAAGGGCGAAAAGAAAGACCTGGAGCTTTTGAAGATGTCTGTGTAGAGACACGTAAACAGTACGACTCAAAGCCGGAGAGGGCATGAAGATAAGTTCGTCTAATTCGGCACTTTGCTCTTCAGCAGTCCGTCGGGCGGTCATTTTGGACCAGCCACCAGATAATGAATGGTCCCAGTACACTCGCCCCTAACTCGGCCGTTCGAGTTGAGTCGCATTGCGTCACATCAGGGGCTTGCGATCTTCGCCCAACACTGATCTCATCATCCATATTTTGTGGTTCTATTGAATGTTAATTGTTGCTAGTTGAGGGCGCTTAGGATTGAAAGCCACAATATTCGTTCATCTGGGCAACCAATTGAATACATCGGACCTCCACCTTCCCCAGATCTTTATGGCAACACCCGCCAATAGCCGGAAGCCTATTACGGTTCGAATGCCAGCCACTCACGGCCAAGGCTCCTGCTGACACGAGTTTCACACTTGGGGGCCACAGGTCCAGCTGAGCACAGTCCTCGACAATCAATCCCTCTCGTGGAAATCTGGGGCCACTATAATTTTCGGGATTCCGGATGGCGTATGGCGCAAGCTTGAAAACGCCATTAGGGGGAAAGGAGCTCTCTAGCGCAAGCCATGTCTTCTTGGAACTTTCATGATCGGTACGCCCATCTTTCAAACCGGCTGTCTGAAGCGCTTGATTAGCAAATAGCTCTTATGTCGGCTGTAATCTCCAACCCTGGCTAATGCGACCGCAGTCCGGGGTAATAACACATGGTTCGCTCTTGCCACGAGATATTATTTCCAAGGTTGATGGGTCAGGCCCGCCTATTAGGGTGGCCTCCCCGCAATGAGCAAGCGAATGTGACATTGTGATCGGACTGGTACTGGCGTGCAGACAAGGGTCTCCTTCGGTTTGCCTATGATGAACGTGCGCATAAGAAACCCAATGCTCGTGATTCACACAATAAATAAATCCTCAGCCGCACTCGTCACACACTTTTGCTTTTGCTTCTTCCCGATCCGTTAATCACTTCAAGTGTCCCTTCGTTCTTTGACTGTGTCACCTATAGCTCTCACGTACGCGACCGTGGTAGTCTGACCTACTGGCCCTGTCGCCCCCGCATCGTCTCACATCATCGCCCACAATGGCGCAGTCTTACCAGAGTCCAAACTTCGACACCTCAGCAGATAGCAAACGAGAACGTGCGCTGGGTGCCTCAGAGAACCATGGCGTCAGTCATGAATATGAGGACCCTTTCGGGGACGAAGAGTTTGCCGAGGTGAAATATCGGACATTGTACTGGTGGTAAGACCTTAGCTCCTGGATATGCACCGAGCTTCCTGCTAATTGCATCAATGCAGGCAATGTGGCATGAGTATGTGGCCCTGTGTCTGACCTCGAAATTCCCCGCTCAAGAATCCGATGAATTTAACGCATACTTGCACACTAGTTATGATTGCGGAGACAATCTCTTTGGGAATTCTGTCACTACCCTCGGCCGTAGCGACTCTTGGACTGGTCGCGTAAGCTGGACCTCCCCTCGGTCGATAAAAAGCTTGTGAATGCGAAACTGAGATTCTTTTAGAGCGGTAATCCTGATAGCGGGACTGGGACTCTTGGCCACATATACCGGATACGTGATAGGGCAATTCAAGCTTCGGTACCCCCATGTCCATTCTATGGGAGATGCTGGAGAGATAATGTTTGGAACATTTGGCTGGGGACGATTTGGACGTGAATTTCTGGGCACGGCTCAACTCCTCTTCCTGGTTTTCATCATGGGCAGCCACATTCTCACTTTCACGGTGATGATGAACACCTTGACCGACCATGGCACTTGCTCTATTGTTTTTGGTGTCGTTGGCTTGATTATATCCTTTATCTTCGCATTGCCACGGACACTGCGAAAAGTTTCGTGGTTTTCGTTCGCCTGTAAGTTCGCGGCAAAGGATAAGAAAGGAACGAGCTGACATTGTCTTGGGACAGCCTTCATTAGCATCCTTTCGTAAGTCGTGGTTAAACGCCTTGGCCTTCCGAACTTGCTGATATGTCTGCTAGTGCCCTGTTGATCACGATGATTGCAATTGCGATACAACGCCCCGGTGATGGCCACGTGGACGCGACCACGAAGATAAGTGCTGCCACTGGTTTTCTGGCTGTGACAAATATTGTGTTTGCCTATGGTGAGTTCTTATGCCACTGTGAAACAGGAACGATACATCCGACCTCATACTAACACCACACAGCGGGTCATGTTGCTTTCTTCGGCTTTATTTCGGAGATGCAAAAGCCTACTGATTATCCTAAGACCTTGTATATGCTTCAGGCGACAGACACCAGTTTGTATATCATAGCCGCCGTGGTCATTTACTATTATGGAGGCAATGATGGTAAGCCCTCATGTCATTGTGCCAATGGACTACATGGATATTGACGCAATCGGCATCCTAGTGAAATCGCCAGCTCTGAGTTCCACTAGCCCTATCACAGCGAAGGTGGCTTATGGAATCGCAATTCCAACGGTATTTCCCCCAACATAATTCCTGTCTTCTCGAGTAAAGCTGATTTTACCTGGTAGATTGTGATTGCTGGTGTTATCAATGGCCATGTCGCAGCAAAATACATCTATGTGCGGTTGTTCCGGGGTAGTGACCGAATGCACAAACGGAGTTTTGTGTCGGTTGGATCCTGGGTTGGAATCACCCTGGTGCTGTGGATCGTCGCCTGGATTATTGCCGAGGCCATCCCCGTTTTTAACAACTTGCTCAGCTTGATCGTGAGTCGCCCCCTTATGACCAGCGAAGCTTGGAAACACATATTAATAGAATCATCTAGACTGCCCTCTTTGCAAGTTGGTTCACCTGTAAGTCAACTCGCATACCCGTTCATAGGTCGGAAAAAGTCTAACTTGAATATTAGATGGTCTTAGTGGCATCTTCTGGCTGTTTTTGAACCGGGGACGATACGTGAGTTCCCCGCGAAAAATATTTCTTACCATTCTAAACCTTTTGATTGTCGGTATTGGTGGCTGCCTATGCGGAATGGGCCTGTGGGTGTCCGGAAAAGCTATCCATGATCAGAAGAGTGGTTCTAGTTTCTCTTGCGCAGCAAACACTGGCTGAGCCAGAAACTCCCCCGTGTCTAGATGTTAATAACTTGGTTTTGGGTGTGTGTTTGATGAGATTGGCAATTTATACAGAAGGGCTTGGGATCAAATAAAATACTAAGAATGAGCGATAGTGTTGAATAGTATAATTTACCTGGGAGAGAACCAGAACGGTCACCATTACCCAAGCTCGCCACACAACATTGCTCTCCGCTGAGTCTGAAGGCTGTGCTTGTGTAAATTGCCCTCGCTAAATCCTCATTTCCTTGTTGCTCTTCTCGCTGGAATTCATCCTTCAACACTTGTCATGTCTAGCGGCGCACAATCAGACACTAACCCTGGTGAGACCATGCGTCTGGCCGTGGAGCGATTTCGCACCAGAATGGAATCATCAAATAGGTGTTTCATCCAGGATTGCGTCGATGAGATCGAAGCTATGCGTCTGTTGACCGAAGACGGAAAATTTAGTCTTATGCGTCCCTACTGGTATGAATTAGGAGTTACGGGCTTGAGTGACTGGAATTATGACGCTCCCAGAGGCCCTGTTCTGCGAGCTCGCGAGACGGAGAATGTCTCGCGATTAGAGGACCTGAAGACCATATTTCATGAGCATATGGATGGGATTATTCCGCCAATGCTGGTGACGGATAAATGGCGCCAAATATTTCTTGAGACCATCGAAAATGTGTGTAATGAGGCAGCAGTGCAAGATAAAAAGGATGAGGACTTCCATATTCCGGTGTGTGATGAGCTGGGTCACTTTATCAAATACGCCAATGGTGTCCAACATCCGGACTTCCGTCGCTCCGGCAAGGCATCTGTCCGTGGGAGCCCGTGCCTGCACTCAAATCCCAATAGACTCAGTACATTAAAGAACACCTGGATCTAAGACACAAGACCCTGGCAAGAAATTCTACTCGCCCGCTTGTTATCGAGCGGCGCTTCGAGCCTTTGTGTCCACCGAGCGTACAGGGTATGACCAATATGCAGTAAGGCGGAACAGACCATCAATGCCAGGAAACCCAAGCTCCAGCCTGTCGGATAGGGTACTCCGCTGTGCAGCTCCATGAAATCCATGAGCATGTCTTGCAGAGTTGCATGATTTTGTCGAAATTGGCACAGATCGATCATGGCGAGCATGATGCCTCTTGTGTATTGCCAGAGGCCCCGATCTGTCTCTATATTCCACAAGCTGGTTTCCTCTGAGCGGACGGCTCGGCCTAGGATATTGATCCCGGCAAATCCCAATGGGAAGAAGACCTCTCAACAGTTCCTGTCGGAATTGAGCAAGGAGCTTTAGATAATTTATTGGATCACCAGCCACGCATTATCTTTTCCAACCAATTCAACGGGGTCGGTGAGTGCACCGCTTTCTTTCACAAAAAACGTACCACGGCTTACATAGTTAAGGGCCTTGGTATTTCGAACAAGTGTGGAATGGTGACCCGAACTAGATAGAAAGCTTACACGTCGCATCTGGCTGGGCCAATCCCATATCAGAAACGCAATACGAGCCCAGAAACCAAGTATGAATCTGCTGCGAACCACCTTGATTCGCTTTCTAATAGGTCGGAATTCCAGCAGTCCAGTGCCTCTGTCAGGGCGGGCCTCGACTATCATCTTCCTGTCGCGGGGCACCCCTCATGCCACACTACACTCACCGGAACCAGTTTCCTTGAGCCCAGATACATCTGGATGTCCTCTCGTGCCCGTTGAACTCTGGAATTTCTCCGTTATGATGACTGTGCTATCTAAGGCGCTCCTGTTCCCCTGACTGTCGGCGTAGGCACCGCTGTCCCCGTAACAACGACGACCGCCGCGACAGCCAACCCCACCAGCCTAGCCCCCCTCCCATCTGGCGGCGCTGAAGGCTGCGTGGCCATCGTTTACTACCAGAACGACGACAAGAATATGCGAGATTACCACGGATATGAGTTCTATCCGCTCACACCGTCTATGGATGTATGCCCTGGGTTCAGCTCGTCAGATTAGACGAAATTAGGGGCGTCGAATGGTATACCATCCGAGATGACAGATATCTCCGCGTTCGGGGATACTTGTACTTACGAGTCAAATGGAGCAACCCCTCACACCATGAACTCGAACCAGGTCGGCACACTGAAGTTTAAGAAGTGGAGGGATGCGCTGTGCTCCCATAAAACCCTAGGTAGGACTTATGAGTACGGGTGGTAGACTTACGATTAAATGTTGAACTGTGACTGCTCAGGGCATTACGGCAGCTCATCCGTCGAGAAGTGATGCCTTTGGCGAATGCTTGCGTTGAAATTTATACAACTATAAGATATAATGTCTGCCTGTCAAGTCAACCTCCAATAAACCAAATTTTATCTAAGAACATAAGTACTAGATTGTCCATCAGTGAGCGCTCTTTCGCACGGATCGGATATCGCATGTCCCAATCAAGAATATATACCCCACGACTGAAACTTTGCCGAAGTCTTGCTGTCACCTGCTTCTTAATGTCTTTCGCTTCGAGTCGATGCGCATAATGTGCCTGCAAGGATCGTACTTTCGCGTTGGAAAACGCTTGCAAATTTCCTTCCCAACTCAATCCCTTCTCTTCTTTAAGTTCTAGCAAGAACAGATCTTCATTTGTATGAGTAAGGGTTTCATTTGCTGAATACCCTTGAGCGCCTAGTTCTAGGCTTTGCGTTTTACGTAGTGTTCATTTGATACAGACGAATGCAAATGCTTCGGTATGGACATGACAGAAAATTGTGCTCTCTTGGATAGAGACGTCGGTAGATCTTAATTGCATACACTTAGAGTTCCGACTCAATACTCTCGCAAATTAAGTAACTCCGGGCATGAAATATGTAAAATAAATATTTTTGGTGATACTTGACGTTTGCAGAGGGCCCTGGATACCGCCGGCAGAACTGCGGATGATTCGGTAATTGAGGGAGCCATTATATATCATGAGCAACTAGAGAATCTTGATCGGAAAAATATTAGTCAAGGTAATTTACTGGGATGGATGCACTTTCTTAAAATCGATTAATTTACAATGGATCTTTGAAGAATGATAGAGGGCAGGCGAGGTTGACCTATAGTAATATGGCCAAGGAATATGATAGAAGAGCCCGTATTGTAATAAATCCCAGGATGCGTAATTTGTTCAACTTGGCTTGTGCCTCACGCCTTCCTATCTACGGAAAACGTCCACTGTCTTAAATGAAAAGCAATAAATTGTGGATCAATGGCACGAGTAGTCGCGAAAGCAGCTATTTAAGCCTAAAAATGTCGTTTCCATGCATGACTCGAGACCGTTTTCCTCAACTCAGCACGAAGAATTACGGTAGCCTTGTTCGGTAGCCTTGTCCGAAAAAGCAAGGTGCGGATCTAATCCCATTTTGGCGGGTGGTCTCAATAGAGTTGGCCACGGGCTGACATTTTCACCAGCGTCAAACATCTGAATTCCCAAGTAATAGCCATGAAATCCACGGGGTATGTTTCAAACCCCGTAGGCTCTCACGAAAGGCACCTGCGTGGGGATTATGGTTTACACCCTGCATTTGTTTGACTTTGTGGTCGGTTTCATTTTTAAGTGAAGCTTGCCCGAAATCTGCTAAGGTGGGCATGAGTGGGCCAGCCAAGAAAAGGGTCCTCGGTAGCGTGAGTTAATAGTGCAAGGCTGCTGTTTTTCTAAATCGTGAGTATCGCCGAGGAAAGATTGTAATGCTTAGCTTCAGCAAGTTGAACTTGACCGCTAGAGGGTTCTTGGGGCACAGGGCCTCCACACGGGCATGATTGTATGATCGATCATACCTCAGTCACAAAGAAATTACACGACTCAGTCTTAGAAATCAGGCAACCTCATGATCAATGACGTGGGAGGGCGGTTTATTTTGTTCTTTCGATTTTCTCTCACGTTGAGCTCCCGGGCGCTTAGCTGTGATCTTTATCTTCACCGGAACATATTTGTCCGTTAAGGGAGATTTGGAGCAGACCTTCGGGCTTCTATCACATGTGAAAGCTCCTACCACCCCACTAACAGCTAATTGAAGCCCGAAAACATGAGGCATTTTTAATAAAAGCTCTAAATCTTGTTCGAAAGCCGAGATTCTTATCTTTGAGACATACATCACCCATGGCGGACGGGTTAGCCCGCTTGTCATTGCCTAGGCACGGCATTTCTTATCTGCATCCAAAGCCCCATCAGTGGCTAAACAGGAACAGGTCTGCGAAGCCGATTGCGATGCGTCGTCATTTCATCATCTTAAACGTGAGCACCTCTGCAGCCACGGAGTAGATGGCTTGACGGACTCTCGTGGAAGCAGAAATCGAAAAGGGAAATATCTTATCCGCCAATAACAAGTAGACAGGGAATATAGCCTCATCCAACCACGGAGCTACGCCTTTTCACGTCATTCTATGATTGGAACGGTGCCTGTGTTGTTCAACGATAATTGGCTCGATCGACATGCCTAGAGCTTGGACTGTCACATTGACCTTCTGTCGGAAGTGATGGCCTGCATAAGCGCACTCGGCGCCCAGCTGTAGCCTTCCTCAAACGTCCCAGCCGTTCTTTGCGGCCATCGTACTTTGACAGGAGAGAGAGAAAGAGCACTCTGCACTGGGTTAGATCTCCGCCTCGTATCCACAAATTTTAGTGGGCCTTAGCTCGGGATTGCAGATTTGAAGGGTGTTGGGATACGAAGCACGAAGAGAACACGGGCGCAAGTCTCGGGTCACTTCTCACTAGGCATTGCTTGAGTTCAACACAAGACCTCAGGGTCAAACTTGGCAGAAGCCACGTTCTGTCGATCGTATTTCGATCGTATACCCTTATGTTAGACGTAGAAGACCCCGTTGATCCCGTTGATCCCGTTGATCATGTCGATGAAATCGTGCATGGAGGTTAGCTTGCCAGATTTGGGAAACGCGCACAGACTAGATCTGCCTCGCGAACCTGTCATTGTGTCCACCGATTCATGCCCACTACACCTCAGTTCGACGGAGAATTACCCCGGAATTTGCCATCTAGGAGGACCAAGGTCTTGATAAGCCACGCCCGCATCCACGAAATTCTGACCGCTTCTTCGATCGAGGTCCCGTGGTGGAAAGCCAACATTGCGCTACTCTTGAACGGGCAGGCACTAAACCATCTGGAGCCCAGGTTATATTGTCTCTGGGAATTAAGTGGAGCCAAGCTGTGGAGAACCCAAGAAGGCGAACCTCGGACGAATATTCTATTTTGTCTCGCAAGCTCAACTCAGAACCACTCAGCACCGCGCGATTAAAAAAGACTTTATGATGGCCGTTGCTTTGCGTTTCGAGCTAAGTAGCGAGACGGTTTAGATCCACCACGATTGAGTCTGGATTGACCCGGGGGCGAAAAGTGTTAATTTTAGTCGATCACTTTTATCCCGAGGTGCAGGAACATCCGCAATTTCCAGGCGGCGACGGCGGGACGCTGTTCCCCAGGGCTTGCCAAGAGACCCTCGGGCAACGTGTCTGGACCGTGCTCTCCCTGAAGTTCGTCAATCGTCAATAGGTGCTAGTGATGGCAGCACGCCTCGATTCGATATTGAATTTGGTCGCTAAACGGATAAGGCCAACAGGGGCCCATGCAATAATTAACCGGGTAGAGATCCGGTGTTAGCCGGGTCTAGAAAGTTACAATGTCGCATTGCTTTCAACCCCCTGGCACCAATCATGGATTAGCCTGAGAAGGCCATTCAGCCGACCAGATTGCTGCCGGCCAATTGCACATGCTATCCTATATCCCCGAGCCTTCTTGTTCTTTTGTTTGCTCTCCACTTCCGCTCCTATCCACGACCCACCTAATGATATGATATCGACCCCACTTCGCATTATTTCGGGCTGGTGGCACGCTTTTAGGGGTTAGGGAATTGGCCAATTGCCTAGGCGGTAGCGCTAACTGTGTAGAGCGGTTCGGAGATTCCCGTCTCCGCTCTTCTCTTACACAAAAGATGTGTGAATGGAGTGTAGATAAGAGGGACACGGAGAGACCAACGATAAGGAAATATAGCATTTTAGCGAAGGACCGATGCAGAATGGTGCCACTTCCCAACCCCTCCCGGAACGTTTCTAGACGGCTCACATCGGCTTAACTACAGGGGGTCAGCGAAAGTAACCAATACGCCACTATCAACCCCTCTCTTCTCCAGGAAGTCTGCAGCAAGGCACGGTCATCGCTACCTTTCTAGAAGCCTGTTGGACCACGGTGGGATTGGTGGATGCCTTACGATTACCCCAGGTCCGCTACAAGTGGATCACGTACCTGCGCACGCTGGCGGAGAACGATATCGTCACTAAGCAGCGGCTTGTCGCAATTGGCTATTAGGTCTTGCTCTCCTATCTGTTATAAGCCTTGCCCTCTCCACCTGGCCCTCAATGATCTCCGTGGATTTGAAACTTGGCTAGAAAGGGTCCATCCGTTGATCTCTCCTTCCTGCTTCTTCCTACTTACTCTTCAGCCTTCCCCTATTCACTTTTCGGGTTCTCCGAATGAATGATTGCCTAGAACATAATCCCATTCTCACCCGATCGTCATGACGCGCACCGAGCCCACCCATAGCAACATGTCCTGGGAGACAAAGAGTATTGGTGCCATCGATGATGGCAACCGGATTGATTCGGTCGGCCAGGATGCCCGGCCTAGAGGACGAATCCGCCGGTCTATGACTGCCTGCAATACATGTCGCAAGCTGAAGACCCGGTGCGACCTGGATCCACGCGGCCATGCTTGTCGTCGCTGCCTTTCACTCAGGTTAGTACTACCTTCAATATTTGTCCCGGGGAGAGTCAGGATGTCAAGAACTCCCACTTTTCATTGTATCCGGGAGGCGCCGATGACCCCAAGAATGGGAACCATACGGCTAGGCCCCTCAACCGGCTGTACATGACGCTAACCTCTTTGGAAGACTCGAGTGTGAATTGCCGGAAACCCAAGATCGTTTCTTTCAGGACAATGTGTCGACATGGTCCGAGGCTAACGCTGCCATTCCCTCGATCGAGGAACGACTGGTCTCGTTGGAACGCGGCATGGGCGAGATGATAAACTTGATGCGGCAGATGGCTAATCAGTCATCTAACGCTTCGGGTAGCCCTAACTCGCATGCAGCCAGGAGTTTGGATGATTCGCCGAGCGAGCATGGCCAGGTGCCCTCTTTTTCACTCAAGCCGGTCCAACTCATAAGAGATTTGCAGATCGAGTGCTTTAATGGGCGAGATAACTATACTACTGATGTCGATCTCCTGGGCGACATCGTTTCCCAGGGAATCATAGATGCTAAACTTTCCTTGAAGCTTATTGAACTGTACGCATCCACTCAACCTTGGGCCAATTATTTTGACTAATGGTGCAAGCAGCTTCGCGGAATATTTTGGCCCTTGGGTCTCAATAGATCTTTCATCTGGCATACAACGGACAGATACACTTCTTTTCAACACTGCCTGCTTGTTAGCTTCTCGGTATTTGCCAGGCATGCCTTCAAATACCGTCCATGAGATCTCCCTTCAAGTGCAACATGCTGTAACCAAAGCTTTATGGCGAAAAACACCCTTGTCAAATGACTGCCTTCAGGCGTTAGCCCTTCTTTGCCTATATCCTACATCCAGTCACAAGGAAGGGTTTATGGATGGCTGGTTGCTGAGCGGGATCTCAGTTAACCACGCCTTACTTTCATTCACTTTCCTCAACCAACCATCTAATAAAAGCATTTTGAGCGATGAGATACTTTCTCAGCTGCGTATCTGGAACACATTCTGTCTTACACATTTACAGTATGTCTACCCCAAGCTGATTACGGGCTCTGTTAACCGGAAACCAGTTCTGCTCTCGGCTATGGCCGTTCGGTCAACGTGCAGCCGCATTATCTCGACCTTTGCACCCGCATTTTAGATCATCCCAGAGCCACTTCCGAAGATGGAAGAATCCTTGCAGAGATTCAACTCTACCGCATTGCATTGAAGCTCCAAAATGATCCTCAACGGCTCCGTTTCGCCGAGCCCGAATACGAGGAAATCGAGCGTTGGAAGATCGAATGGGCCCATCTTCTTAGTAAGGCCCCTCGCGGACCCCTCTCTTTGCAGCTTTCTAACCAAAAAAAAACAGGCAATGAAGGCTCATCAACACTCGAACTAAGCCTCTGGTTCAGCCAACTTCTCCTGCACCGCACAGCAACCCGCCTCCGACCAGAATCCGACCGCCTAGCGCCCGAAATATGCAGCAACGCGCGTCTGATCATCTCCCGATCCCTCCAAACCCGCTTCTCAGCCGCACCGGGTCTAACAGATAATGTGTACTACATCCTCGGCTATGCTGCTTTGACACTATGCGACTACAACCCCTCCGACCCATTGATTGATCAAGTGCGCTCATTCCTTCTGCACCTCGCTCCGAACAGCGATCACATTGCATATCGGATCGCCTACATCGTCAACGAAGTCCAGCGCCGCTATGGAGAAGCTTCGGACCCGGCTTCCCCTGGTGCAGATGTCATGAAGAGTAATCTCTTCGCGGCGCCACGCACGGAGAATATCGATTTGTCGACACTGATGCCTGCGGGTTCTATGGAGAGCCTTGATGGATATGCGTGCTTTGATCACCTTATCCCGGCTGGGTATGTGCCACCGCAGCCGACCTACCAAGCTCAGACTATGTTCCAGCCACCTACGCACCCTACTGGTGGGTCAATGCCTGTGGCCTTGGTACCAAGGATGATTCATGACTTTTGAGGAGGGAGCTTCAAGTTTGCTGTTGAGAAATGGGGGATATCGGATACGGTTTACGGCGAACGGGTAATGAAAGATTTGGATAATGAGTTCTTCGGTTTTATTTTGAGATGCATCGATTTAATCACCTTGATATTCTACGGAAAAGTAAAATCAAACTCTGGATGCACAGGTCTTGCGCTGTGGCATCTACTGTGCGCCTTGATTGCAATGCTGGCGATACGGTTGCCACTCTAAGTTATGATGTCGTTATGTTACCTTGTGATCTAGGCACTTGATCGGGGAAGAAGTTGCGGATCTTCCGCAAAATCTGAGAATTGAGATATGCAATGCACAAAAGCAAGGATATCAGTTTCGATGAAACCATATGAGCTTTGTTCGTTGAAGAAATTGCGCTATCTAGCTCGGCTGGCCGACGGGTCGTGATACGGCCGCTTCATTACCACCGCAAATTTTATTATCAAGCAGGTCGCATTTGGGAGACCTAAGTAAGGGATTCTATGCCGATTTCACTTGATTGTCTAGGTAAAGAAAGGTTCTCAGAAACTTATGCCTTGTTTTCCAGGCTCCATTCTGAGTTATCGGACCGGGCCGAGATTCTAAATCATCTCCTGCCACGCTGACCGTTTCTTCGTGAGATCAAGTTGAAGTGAATGCAAAGTCCATGCTCCCGCCGCCCTTAGTTTAAATGAGGACTATTCCGCCATAGGCTCATCTGAAGCAAGTGCCAGTAGGCCTTGAGCCTCGGCAACTGTAACTGAGGCCGAATACATCAACTTTTCTCAAGCTACCCATCTGTACCCACTTCAGCTGAACCGCGGCAAAAACAATGAGATCTGCAAGCTAGTATCAGTCTCTTAAAGGATTTCCTGCTGTGCCACAGATCTAGAATTAAGTTCAGCTTGAACTTTGCCGATGCTCGGCAATTGCGAGAAGATCGAATACCGCATCTAGATCAGTCTGTGGACCGCCACTAGTCAGTCCCACACGTGTGTCCAAATATATGTGGGTGCTCCAAACAACGGTATAGGCTGTTCAGCCAGCTGGAGAGAGGATCCCACTTTACCAATAGCTTGGATCGCTGAACCCAATCGAATTTTTCGTGTCTACCGTTCCGTGGGTTTTCTGCTTTCATGAACCTGGCACATTTTGCCGTCGAAATGTGCTCTTTTCACTAGCTGAAAACCGAGTCGATGGGTTGCCCCAGAAAACTCATTGTTACTTTCTTGTCAACATTGAAAAATGATAATCAGTTACTAGTTGTCCTGGGAGGTGTCCTTTTGATTCTTTGCCAAATTTTAAATGCATATTATTTCAAAATGAGAAACAGTAACAAGAGGCAGAATATCCACCACAACACGTGAAACTTATGTAAAGTGGAATCAAGTAATACTTAATACCGGACTAGAAGCCAACATTAAAGTTTCATCTCCAAGTGCAATTACCAAATGTTCAGCCAGAAGATTAGACAATCTAGCATCCAACCATCGACCCCTTTAGCAACGAAGTTGGATATAAAATCCTCGGCCGTCCAAAAGCCATGGGAACAGGCACATTGCCACTCTTATCAACAGTGATATTCTTGCAAGTGAAGATCTCCGTCAACTTCATACCAGCCGAGTATCCGGTATTTGGCAGCGATAGTGTGTACTCGCTTCCGTTCTCACCCAAATTAGAGAGAACAGTAATGGTCTGGTTCCCGTTGTAGCCCTTGCGCATGGCAAGAGTATTTTCGTCTTTGTAGATTGGGTAATTCTATTGAAAAATCCATAAATCAAGGGCTTGGAAAATGGAAAGGCCGAAGACTCACCTTGTAAGTAATATAGTTAAGGTCCTTGAAAATGGCCCACGAACGCACGGCATTTGCCTTGGCAATGAGCTTGTACAGCTCGCTGTTTTCGTTGTAGCCAGAAAGCCAAGTTGCCTCACGATTAGAGGGATCGCTACCACCGCTGTAATGCTGCTCTTGGCCGGCGTAGATGATCGGGATACCGTCCGCCATGATCGTGAATGCGGCTGCATTCTTGGCGAGAGATATGTCCTTGGTATACGAAGCAAACCGAGCATTGTCGTGATTCTCGATGAAGGATCCCATAAGAGTCGAGTCCTTGCAGGTGGATTTCACAGTGTTGATCATATTGTAGAGATCACTCATACTTCCACTTGTGGACTTGAAGGCTGCAAGGAGGGGATAGTACCTACAAGCCGTTAAATATTGTGTACAATTGGCATGTGGTCGGAAACTCACATCGGGTAATTGAGAATACCATCCATGACATCCTGGTAGCCGCAAGTATAGTCCACATCATTTTCGAATACCTCGCCGACGCAGTAAACTCCAGCGGCCTTGTTGTAGGCTGGCCAAAAGCTCTTTTGAACGTGTCTAACAGTATCGACACGAAGACCGTCGACTATTTACTGGGTTAGATATAAATTTTAAGAGATCGAGTGAAAGTCATACTGGAGTAGTCCTTGACAAGATTGTGAATCCAGCTGTACCAGATCTTCTGCACGCTTTTGGACTCCGTGTTGAGATCAGCCAGTGCGACAGTTGTGTCGCCAAGCCAACATTTTTCAACGTTTGTCTGATTTGCGTAGTCATTGACCTCGCAGTAAGAGTGGAAGTCTGCAATCGAATTGAAAGGGTGAAAGTCCTTGTAGTTAATGTCGGTGCCGGCACCGTTGAAGCCCTGGTTACAATTAGTGCCATTGATATCCTCTCAGACGTTGAAGACACACCATATGGTTGGCCACTACATCGACCATAAGGTACATGCCACGCTTGTGCAAAGCGGAAGCTAGCGACTTGAGGTCATCGGCTGTACCGTAGTGTGAGTTCAGAGAGTAACTGCAATCTGATCAGTCCTGTTGTATCAATAAACCTGGGCGTCACTCACATATCTTGCTGCCAATACCCGTGATAGGCATGGCCGTAGCCGGTGTCGCCTGGGATCTGGCCGGTGACAGGGGTAATCCAGACGGCAGTGAATCCCATTCCTTGGATGTAATCAAGCTGTAAACCCATCAGCATGCAGATCTCTCGCCAAAATCAGCGGATTGAAATTACCTTCTTCTCAATACCTTTCCAGGTACCACCACAGTACAACTTGAAGCCATATTAGCCTTTCACTTTGTCCATGGTCCATCAACGAGGTTCCTACCCTATCCCCAGTATTACACTCAGCACTAATCGACCCATCCGTCCTCGCAAATCGATCCGTAAGCATGAAATAAATTGACTGCGACCGCCATTCCGCCGGGGTAGCAGCAACGGCCGATCTAATTAGACCAGCTAGCAGCGCAAGACGTGAGAAAAACATCGTGCTTTATCGAAAGAAAAGATTCTCAAAAGAATGACACGAACGTACGAGGATGGCAGTTCGTGATTATATCCAGACTGGACTCAAGAGACAGGCTGTACAAAGCAATCAATACAGAACTTGAGACGTTCGGAGCATAATTAAAGTGAACGAACCAGGTAAATGAATGACAGTAAAGATTGACGCGAATCTCCAGTGAATGCTCGTGCTAAGTCACGGTCAAGGTAAGGGAGAAAGTTTAAATCAAATTCAGATGAAGATATCCGCTCTTCAAAATCGGTCTACTTTATAGAAAAAAAAAGGAAAGTCGACTACATATAAAAACTCGTGAGAGGATGCCGTGATTCGCGTGGATCACTATCGCCATCCGGTTCGCCATTCCGATGAGACGGTGGGTACCACCAAACACTTGTAATAGTATTCCATCGGAAATACCACAGACAAATCACAATTTGCGATGAAGTGGACTTTAGATTGTCAGGGTGGCTACGGGGTTGCAACAGGTTCAGGGGCTGGTATGACTGGTGTAGGTTTGGGGGCTGAGAATGATCAGTTTCCTGGTATGTTTCGCTGGATTTTTTCTTAACAGTGGCATGGGCCATCGAAAGAAACAAAATCAAGTTTCTGCTTACTCTTCAAGTTTATTGAGGTAAGTTGTGGATATTGTTTTGATAGTTGAAGAAATTAAGGAATGTTCGGGAATCGGGTTTACGTGGTAAGCACTAGCTACTTTCTAATTTCTAGTCTCGTTTCAAGGACCGCGTCACATATCTTAAAACCAGCACATAATGAACCGTCGGGCGTAACGGTCTGAGGTTAGGTTCCGACTCCCGAAGATTCCAAGGTCTTCATTCGGCCTCGGGCTGGTTTGCTCAGGATCGAAATCCGTGGTGAGGCAGGAACGTAATGGAAGTGGAGATTGAGGGGGAAGTTCTGGATTTGGTTTGAACTTGGATGATGCCTCTCAGCTTGCATGCTATCTATCTACATGTGTAATCTATGCTGTCTCTTGCCTTGGAAGGAATCTTTGTCATTGGTAGTCAAATTATTTGGTGCCCTACATATCACTCGTCACTTTCTCTTCGTAATCTTAGTTACCACTTTAGAACCCAGTTTTTACTAAATGCTCCCTCAGAAGTAGCATTCTGTAGATCGCCCACCGACAAGACGTGCGAAGTAGAATTGTACTGCACGGCCGACGCGGGGATAGCCTTGCCGTTGAAAGTCACGCTGTGAGGCTTCTGAGACACACCCAAGACAGTAACCTTCGAAAGCGGATTGGTCTCCTTCCAGTTACCAGAAGCCATCGCACTAAGGCTGGAGTTGGTTGCGTGGAACTCGACATCGAGAGTAGTGTCAGGCGAGACGCTCACGCCGTCGTCGAGGTAGAGCTGGCCAGAAGCAGTACCCTTGCCGCTGAGCGAGGTAAGAAGGGACCACGGGGTGTTCCGGGCGTCTCGGGTGGTGAGAGCAGGTTCTTGCATAGGTAGGACACTTCCACCACGAACAAAGACGGGGATATGGCCCAAAGGAGCGGGGATGGTGGTATTCACGCCGGGCTCGGCATCGACGGCAGTCTGGGTGTACCAATCATACCAGACTTCACCCTGCTTCACGCCTGGGAAGACGCCCTTGACAGTATCAACCTGGGGCTCGAGGACTGGAACCACCATAATCGAGGGACCGAGGAGGAACTGGGTGTCGACTGCGGCGAGTGAGGGATCTTGCGGGAATTCCCAAGCCAGTGCGCGCATGACAGTCGATCCGGTGGTGTGTGCCAGGTGGAAGAGAGTGTATATGTACGGCAGAATAGCGTAACGGATCTTCATAGCGGTCTTTGAGGAATCGATGACAGACTCCCACTGGTACGGCTCTTGAGAGATGGCGCCGAGGGTGTTGTGGTTTCGGTAGAAGGGGAAGAATGCAGACAGCTGCATCCAACGGTTGCAGAGTTCCTCGTCGGTGTTGTCGTTGAAGCCACAAGTGTCGACACCGAACATAGGTACACCAAACAGGGAGAAAGACAGAGCCTGGGGGATGGAGAAGAACATGTACGCCCACTTGGAGTAGTTATCGCCGCCCCAGTGGCCTGCCCATTTTCCAGAGCCAGCAAAAGTCGAGCGTCCAATTATGAATGGCCGCTTCTCAGGGGTGACAGCAAGCAGACCATGATAAGTGGCGTTGAGGATCTGGGTGCCAAAGAGGTTGTGCACATCGTATTCTTGAACCCCATCCGAATGTGTTGCATTCGGAGACACGGCGTGCACAGCGAGGTCATGGCCAGTCTGGACGTGGTTGATGACATACGGAGGGTGGTTGATATCACGCACACCAGGAGTAGGAGTCGTGCGCAGATAATCCTGAGAGGATGACGAGCTGGCAGCAGTAGCAGCAGCTTGGCTTGACGATGCCGCTGAAGCAGAAGCCGCCTCGGTTGCGTTGGTAATCTCGAACCCTTCCGGGTATTCAAAAACCAAATTTCCAGGAGTTCCAGGAAGAGTGGTGCCCATGATGGGGTTGAGACTAAGGTTGTGAGACCCGCAGCTTCCGACACAGAAGGATGACACTTCGCTCATATCAATCCAGATACCATCAAAGGGAATCTTGTCGTGCCAAGTGACAATCTCGTTCGCCCAAAAGGCGCCAGTTTTCGGGTTGTGCCAGTCAGGAAATACGGTGTATCCAGGCCAGACAGCACCGATGTAAGTGCTTCCATCGGGGTTCTTGATGAAGACGTCGTCCTTCGCACCACGGGTATAGGTATCATAGCTAAAATTGGGTCAGCAGATTGCCTTAGAGGCGGCATGAGGAGGACTCACGCATCAGACGCATTGTGCGGGTTAGGAATATACAGAGCAGAGTCGACGATAGGGATATAGTGACGGCCACTCTTGTGCAGCTTCTCCAGGAATTCTCGTCCCTCGCCGTAAGAGAAACGAATGGGATCATTGTCGAAGTCACGCCAAGTCTTCATGTAATCAATGTCGTTCCTATCGGCTCATCAGTTTCGTTCCACAGGGGGTTGAGACAGGAATTTTTTTTCCAGACTTACCAAATATTCTCGAGAGGAATTTCGAACTTTTCAAAGTTTGCTACGACATCCTCGACCATGGACCAGTTGGAGTAACCCCAGCGACACTGGTGGTAGCCAAAGGTGAAATACTGCTGCATAGCAGGCAGACCAATGGTACTTTTCTGGTAGTTCATCGTTACCTCAGGCTGGGTTGGACCAGCATAGAAGGTCAGGTCAATGCTACCACCTAGTGTGCGCCAGGTGAGGTTCTGAGCTCCAGTGAGAATTTCCTGGCCATGGGCATTGCGCAGGAAAACACCGTGCGAGTAGGAGACATAGTCCTTGGTGGGATCCGCATCATCACTCGAAACGGGAGTCATGTTTCCTTGATCATCGGTCTCGTAGTAACGTGTATCCAGGTAGAATGGATGAGTTCCATATATGTTACTAGAGTGATAAATGTCAGTTTCAACGCTAGCGCGGAGTCTATCGATAGCTCAAAGACTTACCTATTGATTGGGTCCGCAGCATCGGCGTTATAGACGGTCAGCGAGGCATTTGGCAGAAGGCGCAGCTGCTGAATATGCTCTCCGAGACCATACAGGTTATAGTTATCGGGAAGAGCAGTGACAAATTCAATAAACTGGTTTTGGTACACCAAGACAGAGCCAACGGTGTCAAAGAGCACATCGCCAGTGTCTTTGCGGCTCACCGTGAAACTGAAAGAAGGGTCATTAGACCATGTGAATTCGAGATCGTTGTTGACGTCCGAGGCACCCCTCTTGTCTGCCAAGGGACGAGGCACAACATGCTCGTCGAGGTGGTACCAAGAGACGTTAGAATCATCAACATGACTGGGGGTTATCAAAATGTTCAAGCGATCTTTTGCAAGGTACTCGACCGTCAGGTCCAGAGACTCGATATCCGTTCCATAGGCATTGCAAGCCTGACCAGCCAGCTGCAAGGTCGCCGTGACCCCGCTAGTTGTATTTTGCACATTAGACGCCTTATATCCAGGACAGGCGGATTGAGCATTGATAGCCTCGGGGTCATCGATGTTAGCGATCAAGTTCGCTCCCGTGTCAGCAGAGGCAGGGAGACTGAATTGGTGATAAGCGGAGCTAGTGGTGGCGCTTGGCGAAGGCGTCGAACTTGCGCCATAGACTGCCGGGAGAAGGCAGGCGCCGACCAAGAGATCCACAAAGCCAACCATGGTGATCAAATGTGCGGAAGATACGACTAGAGCATCGAGTCCCGTCCACCGTTCTTATAGTCTTGAAAAACAAGCCGATGCAGTCGTAGCACTGCAGAACAGTTTTCCCGAAGATAGACCACCGATGGTATCCCGATGGACAACGCGCTTCAGAATATCCGCTGAATCCCCGTGTTCGGCGGAGACGCGCTGGAGACAGCGTCACATTCCTCGGATACTAAGTGGCTGAATAATTCTTGCGGGGTGGGTGAGCCTCGATGAGTCTGGGATTGCGGGGGGCGATCGCCAAGGTCCCTGCCACTTTCAGTCTGTGCTACACCGAGACTGGCTAAGACGAGTTTCTCTCAGCCAAGAAAAGAAGCTCGACCCAGTGAGTGCAGCTCCAGCAGAGGATGAGAGTTCATCCACCTCGCGCGGTGAGTGTTATGAAGAAGGAGGAATCTAGGGCGGCGATTGGCCGATCGCCCGATAAATGCCCGAGCCCCTTCACTGCACATTTTTTGCATGCCGAGTGAACAGTGGAGCCAGTCTTCATATAAGACACGGTCGGGTAGTGATGATCAAGATTAAACGATTTTACAGGCAACAGCGGTATCTCTGAATGATTGTGCGAGGGTAGGGGAAATCGTGAACCCTCCCTAGATGTCTAGCACTAAGGGTTATGCAAACATTAACCCGGGGAAAGCGGGGGTGGCCTAAGGTTTGCAAGGCTCCCGGAAGTGGCTTCACCGGTGAGTGTTTTCTCTCTAGCTGATACCACTGAGGGAAAGTAATGTAAGTGATGCAATGTCAAGGTACTCGGACTCCTATGAGGCAATCCGGGGACGCAAAACCGGCCTCTGGGGAATACCGGGGAACCCGCTCGCAGAAACCTCGGCAGTTTCTTGGGAGTTCTATTCTTGGGTCTGAAGCAAGGAGTGGCAGACTCCGACGGTCCCACCGGGTGAAGAAGGCCTGATTTCTTTGTCGCTGAGGATGGCGGATGGGGTGATTCTGGCATCCTCGGCTTCCCGAGGGTAAGCAATCTCGGCATCTTATTCCAAGCCTGATGGGTGTCAACCTGGACGCCTTCAGCGGCCGGGTTGGTGTCCTGATTGGATGCCAACCTCCGAAAAGAGAGACCCCGTTGAAAACTGCGGAGACGGCTCGAGGTCTAGCGTAGTTAGGTGGGCGCTAGCATGGCCAGGATTAATCGGTAATCCAGAAAAAATCGCGCAATGCCCCGCTCCCCGCGCCTTTTGTCGGCCTCGAGTCTTGCCGATGTCAGTGTAGCCGAGTGCTTTGCTCTGGCGTTGACCCCTTGTCCCCCTGGTTGATAGACAGGGGCCCGATGCCAGATGGGCGATTTGGTAGAGTGGCTAAGCTACCCACAGCGCATTATATTTAGAAATGATTGGACATTTGGAAAAGCCCACTTGGCACGCTCCTATAATTGGCTCAAATACAATAGTTTAGCTCCTGTAACATGAAATATGCAGGAAATTTACCCATGGCATACGTAGTCGTTAGGCACGAATCCCATGGATCTCACCGGAACCGTAGAGGAGCTATAGAAGCCCCCAGTATCAGGGCCTCATCTCATCGTGTGCAGGGGCCTTTTGCGGGGTCTCAACCGGCCCCGCGCTTCCCCAGATACTCTTTATTTTCTGTTTTAAATTTCTATCGTTTTTACATCAACTCAAGAAAATTACCCCTATCATGCACTACGTTACTTCACCTTGACACTCACCCACCATGGACCTTGCACCGCCGTCCAATCCGTCCTTGAAACAGGCATGTGACAACTGTCGCCGACGCAAGATCAAATGTTCGCGTGAACTGCCTTGCGACAAATGCCAACGCTTGTTGCTGTCCTGCTCGTATAGCGACGTGCTCCGGCGTAAAGGCCCCAAATTTCGAACGCTTTACCCACTGGCGCCTGTTCACCCACTGTCAAACCGAAACGAAAATGCACGAAAACAAAGCTATACCGAGTCTAACTATGGGTTCAGTTCACCTACGTCGCCGGCATTTACGGTCAACGATGCACTCTATGCGTCGCATGATTTATCGGATACCCTCTCTCAACTCCTGCCACCGGAACTAGTATCTTCGCCGGACTCGACAGAATCTACGGTGGAATCGGCAAATGGTCGGATATTTCCTCATGCTCGCCGTCTGTCGCCGCAAATACTGTTGGCGCATGTCAACGTCTACTTGAAGTATTTATTTCCGATTATGCCTGTTGTGCGCGGAGATGAACTACGATTGGACAGTCAGCAGCCTGAACGACTCTCTCCGCAAAGATACGCATTTTTGGCCTCTTTATGCGCAGCAACACATATTCAACTCAAGTTAGATGGTGCTACTCCGGTACCGGAGCATGTTCGTCTTCAAAGCCTAGGTGATGGTCACTCTTTGGTCTCTGGCGAAAAGCTGTTAGCCGAAGCCGTGCGAGCGCGACAGGAGTGTGATATTGTGGAGGATATAAGCATTGAGACACTCTTGACCTCTTTCTTCCTGTTTGCTTCATATGGAAACATGGATAAGCAGAGTCATGCTTGGTTTTACCTCTGTCAGGCTACCTCCATGGCGTTCACATTGGGTCTTCAACGGGAGTCAACATATGCGGGTAGTGATGTGGAGGATGCCGAGGAGAGGCGGCGCGTGTTCTGGTTGCTTTTCATCACGGAAAGGTGGGTATCCCTGTCATCTCTTTATTATCGATGCTGATTCATTCTACAGAGGGTATGCGCTGCAGCAATCCAAGCCAGTCGTGCTCCGCAGTACCATCCACAAACCGCAAGTTCTCTGCTCTGAAGACCCAATTTTAGCCTACGGATTTATCAACTTGATCAATATCTTCGAGAAACTCACTTCCAATCTGTATGACTGGTTATCTGCCGGAGGTGGTGACGGGCTCTTGGAGAAACCACCCACGTCGGCGATCCAATCAAGCCTCTCCAAGCCGATTACGCTGGATGGGGTCCTTGAAATTCAACAAGTGGATATCCTAATCACGCAGCAGTGGTTACAGGCAATGATGTGGAAGTTATCCATAAGCCATGCCACACAGCCTGGCGCACGAGATGATGGGGTGTTGCCGTTCCATCTGCCAGTACTTGTTGGCAAAGCTGTTATGAGCGTAATCGGAAGTGCATCTCAAGGGGCGGTTGATGCGCATGGCATCGGCATGGTATGCCTTCTTCAACAGTTGCACCATCAACCTGCTAATAAAGAATCTTAGGAGCAAAAGTTATTCGACATGGGTTCCTCGGTCGCCGACGTGACGCGTTCCTTAGGCTCTAAATCTATGCACCGTCTGACCCAGTCATCTGTTGATCCCAGGGAGCTTCTTTGGGGTATTTTGCACACACTCTCGCTGATTCGGGGCTCACCTTCATACCTCTTTCCATCACTCTTGGAACGTTGCAAGACGGTACTAGGACTTGACTGCACCATCACTATGGGCAATTTCCTTCCAACACTCGGTGCGCCAATGTCTGACCAGTTCACTTCATGGGCTGGTGAGCAAGGCTGGGACATGCCAGCTTCCGGTCGAAATGGTCACCAAATGGGTGAGATGGATGGGGAACATCCTGACTCCTTGTCTCACCTGACTGCAGTGTCTCAAGGAGAACTCGATTTTCAAGAACGTCTTTTGCCTTGAGCTTTTCTGATTTGCCACCATGATTCTTTGTATTTGCACGACCTGTTTTGACTTGACCATGATACCATTGGCGTTTGAGTTTATATAGATCACTTTTTCTGTCGCAATGTACATAATCTGCGACAGGACCTGCGCTGCAAGATACCTGATTAGTGTAGAAAACTGCAACGCGGCGCTGCCAATACTCCACTCAAATCTATCAACATTGAAATTTGGGATGGCTTGTGTAACATCCTGTATTTTGGACTGAACATAGTGACGCGGATGTGATCGGCCCGTCAAACGGCCTTGGCGTGTTTGTCTCGGCTCGGAGATTCGTCGATGTGGATAGCTTCAACTTTCTTCCTTCTAACTCCAATAGACATCAACGGCAATTGGAGATGCGCTGATACTTTCTGTAGGTCTCATCTATTTGCGCCGTCTTTTGAAGAAAGGAAGAACTATACTGACTGTAATTAAATTCGTAGGTCAACTCACCTTCGCATAGCTCATCTGAGCGATCCAAAACATACCCGGGGGCCTTCATACCCCATACCACCTATTCTGAGGTGAATCTCTCCGTCATATATCACCATGGCATCTCTCCGCACCTGCTCCCTGCCTCTCCGTGCCCTCCGCGCAACAAGAACCGCGACACGGCCATCATCATGCCTCCGCCAGATCCCCCCTCTGCCCTCAACCAAGCCATGCAAACCCTCAACGTCACGCTGGCACTCAACATCTTCGGTCTCCCCCGATGAACTCTCCCACTTTTCTGCTCTCGCCAGCTCATGGTGGGACCCAATGGGCCCGTCTCGAATCCTCCACCTGTTCAACCCTCTCCGCCACGAATTCATCGCAACCTGCCTTGCAGACAGCCCGCCCCCAGCAATCCAAGACCCAACGTCCAACACCGCAAACCTCCACTACCTCGATATTGGCTGCGGTGGCGGCATCTTTGCCGAATCGCTTGCGCGAACAATCCCCCTCGACCCCTCTGCGCCATCCCCGACACCCACGCGCGCAGCCTCAATGACAGCTGTCGAACCCTCGACAGCACTTGTCCAAATCGCCCGTGAACACGGACGCATGGATCCAACAGTCGACTCGCACCTGCGCACTGGCAAGTTCCGATACCTAAACACAACGCTGGAAGACGTTCTCTCCAGCTCGACGCCAGAGAAGCCCGCGCAATTCGATGTCGTCACGCTCTTTGAAGTCATTGAACACATCGATCCTACAAACACAACACCACAAGCGTTCCTGGCGAATTGTCTTCGGGCCCTGAAACCAGGTGGCTGGCTGATTGGATCTACAATTGCACGCACGTTCCCATCTTGGATCTTGAACCAAGTTATTGCTGAGGCGCCGTGGCCGATCGGTGTTGTTCCTCGCGGTACGCACGAGTGGAGCAAGTTTGTCAACCCGCCGGAGCTGAAGGCTTGGGCCCAGGAAGGGTTGATGCGGGCTGCTGATACAGGGGTTAAGCGTGGGGGGCCGGCGGATCTTGAGGGCATGCAGTGGAAGTGTGTTGGGACTGTTTATGTCCCTGGGCTTGGGTGGAAGATCGTTCCTGGATCTGAAGATTGGGGGAATTATTTCTGGGCTATTAAGAAGGGTGTTTGAATACTACTATGTAAAATAAATCCTTTGGTTGTATGATATGCTAGACTTTTGAAATCTCAATGTCTTGTTTTGGAGGCTCTTGCATGGATGTAAATTGGGATAAACTAACAGGAGGACATCTGTCCTATTCATCGACCCGGTCTATATGAGGATTCCCGATGCCTAATCTTCTCTTCCTACCGAGTATCACGACCCCTGACGATGACCGGGATGGCTCAGCGCGCTTCCACAAGAGCTGAATCACCTTCGGCGAGTCTTGGGCCATTACGAGCGCTCTTTGACCGAAGTTATTGCTCAAATCCACAAGAGACCCACGATCAAAGAAACATCTCACAGTAGCAACACCGTTATTGAATATCGCGTTAAGAAATGGCTGCGGCTCATTCACTTCCACCTTGTCAGTCACAGTGACGCCGTGTTTCAAGAGAAGATCAACTTTCCCTGTCGATTGAGAAGCTACGGCCAAAGAGTGCGCTGTGTCTTTATTTTGATTTTCAAAGCAAGATTCTGGATGCTTGGATAGCAAGACCCGAAAGATACTTTTACTTTGTGGCTCTTCGGGTGCCGCTGCAGCCATGAATTCCGTGCGACCCAAGGAGTCCTGGTGATTGGTATCGACGCCATGTGTGTGCAAAGAATTGATCTTTGAATCAATCAAGCTGGAAGGCTCCTGTTTGCTCTGAGCTATCTTGCGTGTTGGCAAGAGCACCATATCGCAACAGCGTCTTCACAGAGCCAGGATCGTGCAAGTGAACTGCGAACAGCAGTGTTCCAACCATATTTTCTTTTGATTCCATTTCTGCGCCAGCTTCAAGCATGATGGGGATCAGGCTCCGGTTTAGCACACAAGGAAACAATATCGATTTTCCATCGGGATCTCGCGTTGATGTCTACAAGTTTGTTTAGGCCTATTGTAGCATACGCTATCAAAAGTGTCACTCCGCTATTAAATCTCATGTTCGCATTCCAAGATCTTTCATCTGACCAAAAAAAATATTTGGAGCTCTCATTGCTCTCTCCAAACAAGGTAAACGGCTTGGTTTCTTTCTAAGTAGGCGTCCAAGGAAAGTGGAAGGGGAAAGACATGAGCCCATCTTCAGTCCTTATGTCAGCTTGAGGGTAGTTATGACTGGCTTAATCAACCTAAATATCATGCATGGTGATGATTATCATGATAGGCTTTGTAAAGAGGAGACCGCTCCGATGAAGACAGATTATCTGTAGTTGTGAAGGTAAACTGGGGTTGGAAGGGGAGATGTTCCCATCAGGGTCTCGTGCTACTTTGATTTACCGCCATCTTGGGTCTCTTCGGATTCATGCTTTCACAGCGATTTAGCGGAATGCATTTTCTAGCTTCGGCCTTCCCTAGAACTATCTGACACCACAGCGGCTCTCGGTAAGTCATCGAGATATAAAAAAAGCCCGAAGTACTCGAATGAATCGCTCCATTGTAAGCCCCCAGCTCATAAAAAGTCGAGATTATTTCAGGTTCGATCTCCAAACAAACGCCCATCAGGCTCCCAAAGATCTTGAAATACCGAACCTGTAACAAGGCAAGTGATACGGAGAAAAAGTGCAAACATCTCATGCAGAGAGAAAATACAAAGGAGATTTGAATGCTTAGAAGGACAGAGTGAATAAAGGAGGAATAATGTTTATATAGCGGAGGATCTTGTCCGCCAGAAGTTGCAGTGAAAATGTACCTAGCTTAAAGGAGGATAAAGAGGAACGAGACAAGCCAAGGTGGCAGGGAGGCAATGCGAGTGAAGAGGACGTCAAAGACACAGCAATACATGTCCCTCAAATATAGCCCTGTGCTGGTAGAATATATCTGGCCACCGAGAGTGGCTAACAGTCTAATCCACCTATACCGATCTGGTTGACTATTTATCCACTATTATAATCCCTTTCGCGTGTTTGGAAACAATCATAGTAAGATACAGTTTCATTATTTAGTTTTTTCCACATGGGGTGCGATACAAGTTTTGTAGTGGGGCGATGGTTCTTGCGCTGGACGGAGAAGTTTTCCCCGAATAAGGTGCCCTCCTCGGATGTCCAATCAGCCAATCAATCTCAATCTGTATATGCATTCCACTACTAGTGCAGAAATTCAAGTTCCATCTCCGTACACGTGACTGTTTGAGAAATTTCCAAGATTCAGTCTGTAGCCGGCAATTAAACACTGGTTTGCCCAGGTGGACCGAGGCTTGCATTTTACCAGAACCGCGACACCTCCTTCGTCTCCCACCCTCCCCGCTAACGTCATGGCGTATTTTGTGCCGCATAACGTGTCGAACGAGCTAGTCGAGGTAACAGCAAGGTATGAAATCAGCATTTAATTTCACCTGGTGACGTTCTAAATCACATATTATCTCAGATACGCTGGACTGAAACCCCTGAGGATCGATACTTCTGGGTTTGTGTAGTAGGTCACTCTCTCATTTGCCATCCGAAGGAATCCTTGTCCTGGTCAGATTAAAACTGACACATTCTTGATTGAAGTTTCGCCAGGGACCAGATTCTTCAACAAAACGTCATGTTAAAGAAGTTCGCCGAGCCATTTGCAACTGAGAGTATTGCGAAGCGTATGTTTGGGGAAATAATCACGTTGAAACATTTGAAACATGAAAATGTGCGCAATTGCCCTAGAGTATCTAATCGCGCCATAGCACTGACGAAGTCAGATCGTCAATTTGGTCGATATATTCATGTCACCTTCAGAAGACATGTTTGCTGTCCTCCCTCCAACATATGGAATCCCTGTTCTAACAACAGACATAGTTATCTAATATCAGAGCTGATGGAAACCGATCTTCAGACACTATTGAGAACCAGGGGCATTGAAAAGGAATATGTTCAGTATTTTCTTTATCAAATGATGGTCTGGCCGCACATCTATTTCCAATGACACTGTACCAGTTGACTGACGAGGCTTTTAGCGCGGTTTGAAATATGCACATTCAGCAGGGGTGTTTCATCATGATTTGAAACCAAGTCAAATATTGGTAAATCGGAATTGTGATCTCAAGATATGCAATTTTGGGATAGCACATGTTCAGAAATTGTCCCCAATGGCATATGGCTCGATCCTGCACTACAAGGCGCCCGAAGTCCTAATCTCAAGGCAGAGCTACCATGGGCAGACTGATATCTGGAGCGCAGGGTGTATCTTCGCCGAACTACTTATGGGAACACCTCTTTTCCCAGGTGATAACACCATCCATCAACTTCATGCTATTACCAAATTGCTTGGCTCGCCACCAGATCATATGTTAATCAAAGAAATAACTAAAAATGTTGGTGCAAAGTTCTTGATAGCGGCAATGGCCACTTCTCAATGGCACACCCGAAGAAAATGACATTCAAGGGGCTTCTTCTAAAATTTCTCATGGCAGATTCCAAATTTCATACTATTACTTCCAAGAAGTGAAGGCAAAGCACTGTCTTCCGTTCTGCCAGACGTTGATCCATTAGGTATGCTATTGAGCGCCACAGAACAAAATTTGTGCCAACCGCAGCAGCTATCGATATCCTTACGAAGATGATTGTCTTCGACCCCCACAAACGAGCGACGGCATCGGAAACCCTCACTTTTCCTTACCTGGCGCCTTATCACGACCCGACTGACGAGCCAGAGGCCAAGACCAAGCTTGATTGGAGGTTGGCTGAGGCTGATTATCCTCTCAAAGCCTGGAAGGCAAAAGTGTACGTTAAAATCAATCTTCATCTCGGACCACGGTACTAAAAGTAATTAGGCTCACCGAGGTCCAACATTACCATGCGGAAGCACAGTTGCGACAGACTGTGTGGTCCTGGCTACAGGTTCAGCCTACGACAAAATATTCATGTGTTTGAAACTGGATTTCTGATACGTGCATTTGGTTGTACGTGTATTTGTGTGTGTAATATCCACTCAACGCATCAGTCCGTGTCCCTCACGCTGGCTCTTTTTCAAGATTATGAACGTTCGTGCAGTGGGGATTGTCTGTTCGGGGATGGTAGATAAGAGCACTAATGTTATTAAGGGAATAGCTCAGACAATTGCCGATCAGATGAATTCACAGTCAAACCCTGCCAAAAAGCCTGCATTGGCTCGATGAACGATACGTGAATGATTGATTTAGCAAGTCGGTTGCCGTATGCATTTTGCGTACATGAAAGCGTAGTTCATCAAACGATATCTCAAATGTACATTTCGTTCCTTCGTTAACGAGCACTTCATTCCCTTTGCCTGAGTACCACTAATTGATTTATCTTTTCGAACAGGTCGTTTGATCGATATGGCTTATGGATTATATCATCCATACCAGCTTTCAGCATATCTGCTTGCTGATCGGCTCTGACATTCGCAGTCACTCCAAGGATAGGTGTTCGCGCGATACCTTCTTGCTCAAGCTTCCGAATTGCTATGGTCGCGGATTTGCCATCCATCACAGGCATTTCCTGGTCCATAAGTATACAGTCGAACTTATCATGTCGGACAGCAGCTACGGCTTCTTGGCCGTTCTTTGCCTCAGATACATGAAATCCCAGAGATCGCAGCTTCCGGGAAACGATGCGCAGATTGATGGAATTGTCTTCCACCACAAGAATGTGCAGATGTTTATTGGTCTCAGAGCTCAAACCAGAAACGGTGAACGCCATTTGGTCATTAGCTGGTTGGGATTTCTCGCTCTCAGAACGCAGGCTTTGTTCGTCATTCGCAGTAGACGCATCAGGTCCAACCTGGCGGGCAATTTCTGAGGTATGAAGGTACTTTTCGTCGCTCGCAGCACCGGGCGCTATCTCTTGAATGTGAGTGATAGTCGGATTTCCTGAAATTTCTGGAGGCCTTGTCTGTTCATTAATTCCAGTAACTTCATTGCTCAGTGCTTTGACGCCACTGGTCAAACTCTCTATCCAGAAGTCGTCAACCTCGGGGGACTCATTACCAGGAGGCTCAGAATCTTGCCGAACCCTGAAAAAGAAACCGAAGGTACTCCCTTGTCCTTCCATAGAACTCACGCCAATCTCTCCACCGTGCAAGTGACAGAGCTTTCTGCTCACATTAAGGCCCAGACCAGAACCCCCGTACATGCTCTCCGTTTTTGGTGTTGCTTGATTGAATCTTTTAAAGAGTTGTTTTTGAGCCTCGTCGCTAATGCCGATTCCTGTATCCTTCACCGCCACCAGAACATACGCCACTTGGCCATCTCCCCACTCCGGTTTAGTGGTAGCATCCAGGCGAAGCGCCTTTTCTCCAGAATCAAAGAACACGACGTTTGGAGGATACGATGGCGGTCGCTCATGAGAGGCACCCATGGAGACTCTAATTTCCCTCTTTTGTTGAGCCGTAGCGGTGAATTTGATTGCGTTAGAAACCAGATTGATGAGGACCTGGCCCATTCGGTTGAGATCTGCCAATACCCATTCAATCCCACAATCGCTATAAGAATTGTCAATCTTGTATTCGAACTTGATATCTTGCTTTCGAAGCTCAGGCCGAAATATAGAGAGTGGCTTCGCCAGCTGTCGTTTTGGTTGAACTCTTCGTGGGGACAGGGATAACATTGATGCGTCCAGCTTTGAGAATATGAGAACATCGTCGACTATTCTCTTTTGGTGCGAAACGCATAAACTTATGGTTTCCGCTGCCTGTGCAATTTCTGCTAGGGGCATTCCACTAGTCCCATGGTCTTTCACTGCTTGAAGTATGTCCTCTGTGCAAAGAAGAATAGCAGAAAGAGGATTTCGGACTTCGTGGCTGATCATATCAATGAACCGTTCCTGCTGCTGCTTTCGCTCTTGTGCCTCTCGCGCAAGACTTTCCTGGACAAGCTCCGCTGTCTTTTCCAAAGTGATATCTGCGATAGTGCAAATGAATCCCCCTTCATCACCTAATTTAAACCGTCGCACATCCGTTTCATCCAGCGGGGACAACATCAACGCACGCCATAGAGAGCTCTGACTGCGTGTTCGGTACTCGATGCGTAGGGCGTGCTTAGCCTTTAAGGCTTTAAGATAAGCATCTGCCACTCTGTCGTAGTCCTCCGAATGAATCGATTGCGACCAACATTTAAATGACTCGGCGCGTTGACAAGTCATCAATTCCCGGAAACGTCGGTTCACAAAGATTGACTCGTCTTCATGATTGAGGACCGCAATGCCGGTCGGCAGTATATCAGCGAGGTCCTGTGCGCCGACATTTGCACTGAAAGTGACAGCCATATTGACCCTACCAACACCTCTTTCGGCGAAGCCCCTTCTTGATATGATGCAGATGTCAAAGGGCCTATAGCCCAAGTCTTCGATAGCGCTCAAATACGATAGGCAGCCATAAGGGGATAGTAGAGGGTACTGGGCGCGGAGGATTCCGAGGTTCAAATGTTAGTTGTCAGACTACACGGAACAACATTCTCCCATCGCCAATTCCGGATTTGAGCATCGAATGAATTACGTCAAATTAAAAGCTTCTTGACCGGGAAGAAGCGGTGGCAGCTATGAACGGAACGATGGCAATATCCCCACAAAATAGATCACCAATTAAATTAGGATTGCGTCTAGTGGGACTGTTGACTGCAATTGCCGTCTGTCGAACAGTGCGGCAGGCCCTGCAATTTGTCCGACCACCTTGATAAATCGAGCGAGAAGCTCTGCGTGTCTCAAATATAATTCGAGCGTTCTGATTGGGGAAAAAAGCTAAGCGGTAGGGTTATGTATGGCTTGGGTAGAGTTCAGACGCCTTCAAAGAGGATGGTTCTGGAGTAGAATCACTTACATAGCATAAGGGCAAAGCGTCACCTGGAGCCTGCAAGCAGGTCCATAAAGCTGGCAATCCTTATTCGTCGTTTTAAGTTGGTGCACGGTCTGCTTTTAGGTTCAGTCGGATCTGACCAACTTCTTGGGCAAGCGGATGAGAACCCGGTTCCTCATACCCTGCAGATTGTTCAATATACTAGAAGACTTGAATGCGACACTCTCCCACTTTCAACAGCTCCTATTTCATTTCATTACAGTGCCTATCCAAACCCTGAAATGATAATAATCTGACTTTGGCTTCAATTGGATCACACGTTCATCTTGGTTTCAAATGAAATACGAAGCACTCTTTCTACCTGTTATTGACCCGAAGGTCACATTATTATGACGCACTGCTGGTGGCATTGTTTCTCTCAAACTGCCCTGATTATCTCACTTCATGCCTTTTCAAAGGATTTCAGCGAGTTCTGGACCCTCAAGAGCGGATCTTGACGCTCTTTTTTTCAAGCTCACCATCATCTCGAAAGAGAAATAGGCCTTATGATAAACCCTAAGTTGAAAACCCCCCAAATGAAGGGCTTGGTTGATGCTTCCTCGGAAAAGCAAGAACTCAAAACATGACGCTGTTTGTTGAAACTAGGCATCCAAAGTTTGATACAATGAAGAATTGAATTACAGTTCAGAGTGGATGGTCTATTATACAGATTCATTGCCTTTTCCATGACCTGTAAAGGTACCATCCAGGTTCGCCTTCAGTGTTCCTAGCGCTTCCACAAGTTCACGCCGATACTTAATTCTGCTGTTATAATTAGATAAATAAGGTTCGTTACCGATAGGAACAAGGGTATCGGGCGCCTGAATGGATGGGGGAAAAGCTCATTAGTTGCGGCGTGCAATTTGGTTCATTATTTTGTTGGTGTCGTAAACATCGGACTGCTTCGCGAGTTAGAATTGCGGAAGAACCTCACCTTGCTCATTCTGTTCAGATGCAGATACACGTAAATAGTTTGAATGTCTACCTAGTCATTTCTAAATCTCTATCCCAGGGTCTCAGTAGACTTGATTCTTGAGAACTTGATTCTTGAGATTCGAGTTGTAACGTGTTCGCACTGGTATCCCTGGAATCGAACATCATAAGAATAAGGAATGTTCATTTAATGCCCCATGTGCCAGGGCACAGGTGTAGCTGGGGCGAAGATGAGGGGTACAGCTTAGAGGATGAGCGAATCATGGGACTATTTGCCACTAGACGGCCTAGTAATACAGCCTACTTGCAACCTAGGATCAGATTAGAATAGTGTCATACAATAAGCTTGCCTCAAGTGCTCATCTGACACCTACCACATATAAGTGCGGGGGAAGTGCTGCAGACTAAGCGGCTCTTCGATCGGCGCAAACACTGACTAAATGCTGCCTTACAAGTATCTTGGGCTTCAAACCCAGGTATCGAGGCTTTCCCCGCTTTATCTGTATCCAATGGTAGCATTTAGCTTAATCTGACATGAATTTCGGGCTTGGCTGTAGGGCTGCTAGTTCGGCTAGTTGTTGCAAGAATGGAGCGGGACAGCCCCAAGGGCCCAAACCAAGCTTTTAGAGCGGCCCGGAGTCCTCACCAGGTTTAACAACATTAAGACAACCAGTATAGACAGCCCACTTAGCCCCAGAGTAAGGCAAGATGTAATACTGTAAATAGCAACCGCCCACTTGACCGACCTGCAGCTGTCAGTCGAGAGTTCAGTTGGCACTGGCAACAAAACTCAGCCCTGTCCCTGTGGGTAAGTCCGCTGACCGCCTTCAGGGCGGGGCAGCGTGGTTGGGTACTTGCCAGGTACGCTATTTTTGTGTACGGCGTGATGTACCCGGCCCTCGTAAGGCTTCCCCTTAACTTCACTTCTCCCCACCCCTCTTCAACCCCTCTACATCCTCCCTCCACCACCAAATTCATTCACCATGGTATGCTCCGCTACGATGATTTCCCTACATCGTCCCTGAACTCGTCAGTCTGGAGAAAAAACTGCCCGCAAAATGGGGCAGTCCGACCAGACGATTCGAAACACGTGCTGACCGCGCCATCGCTCCCCTCTAGGCCGATTCTCTGACCGAAGAGCAAGTCTCCGAGTACAAGGAGGCCTTCTCCCTTTTTGTGAGTGACCGCAATTGAAGACGATGCCGAGAAAACATGACTGACAAGACATTTTGTCACAATAGGACAAGGATGGCGATGGTGAGTGCGATCAATCCTGACAGCTCGTCGCGGGTACTACTGGCGATCGGCAGTACACAATCCACAGAAAGAGATATACTGAGACGTATGATCAATAGGCCAGATTACCACCAAGGAGCTGGGCACTGTCATGCGCTCTCTGGGCCAGAACCCTTCCGAGTCTGAGCTGCAGGACATGATCAACGAGGTTGACGCCGACAACAACGGCACCATTGACTTCCCCGGTATGATTTACTCCGTTTTATATGTCGATCGGGCCCACGGGGACTAATCTCCGCCCGCAGAGTTCCTTACCATGATGGCTCGTAAGATGAAGGACACCGACTCTGAGGAGGAGATCCGCGAGGCATTCAAGGTTTTCGACCGCGACAACAACGGCTTCATCTCGGCTGCTGAGCTGCGCCACGTTATGACCTCCATCGGCGAGAAGCTGACCGATGACGAGGTGGACGAGATGATCCGCGAGGCGGACCAGGATGGCGATGGCCGGATCGACTGTACGTCATACACGAGACAGGGAACGACGATCGCAGATTGCTAATACTAAACTTTACAGACAACGAGTTCGTCCAGCTCATGATGCAAAAATAATCTTCACGCCATGTTTCTCTCTTAGTTGAAGTCGCGGTTTTCTTTCCAATGAGGATGTTTTCTACCACCCTTCGATGTCCATCTCAGTTTCAACTGTCTCTGTAAACGATGTTTCGTACTTGGATGTCTTCATGATCAAGCGTGCTCTGCTCTTTGAAATGCGGTTCCCACATTCTAGTGAAATGATTGGTTCCTTGGGCTGTTCGTGCCTAGGAGCATAAGCTAAGGACTCTTATGAGTGCCCAATTGACCTGAAACCTCGAGACACGTAGAAGTGTGTAGATCACCACTAGGACAGATATCTCTGGGTATCAACCAATCTAGCGATTAAACCGCAAAACCTCCATATACTGCCTCGCAACATCCACCCCAGCCGACGGATCAATATCCTCCTCTTCACCCCCAACCTTCACCCCATCCCCACCCTCACCCCCCGTCACCTTCTCTCTCCTCCCGGACCCCCTCCTCAACTTCTCCTTAACCTCTCTCCCAACCCCATTGACAAGAATCGCCTCCCTCGCCCCTTCAAACCTCAACCGATTCCAAAACCCCCTAATCAACTCTGCCGTAGCCACATACTCAGCATCAACATCCGCCTCCTCAACTGCAAACCGAAATTCATCATCCCCATCCCCAGCCAACCCCTCAACAACAGATGGCCCACGCCACTCAATCTCAACAACCGTCCCGCGCACCCTAGCAGTGGGATACGTCTGTCGTACATCGCCCATCCGTACGAGAAAGTCACCGACTTCATAAACCACGCCTCCGGGCACTGACATCGTTAAACGGTGCGCCCAGAACGGTTGTGCGGCGTAGACGAAGTGTTGGAATAGCGTTGAGTAAGAGGCCGGGGGCATGGTCGTCATTACCATTGGTGAATCGCCCGCATTACCACCACTACCACCCTGAGGCGTTGCAGCTTGAGCGGGAGTATGTGTAGTAGCCGGATGAGGAGCCTCGGGCTCAGAAGTGTAAATGAAGCCGTGAGTAGGATAGTGACTCAAAGAGAGGAACTGCATGTAGCGGGGTTTAGAAGATTTTCCAGATTGAGGCAGGAGACCTGGCGTATCGCGCATGAGCTTGTGTTCTAGGGCCCAGCGGCCGATAGGGACGAGGTCTTGTTCTGGGTATGCGGTGCGAAGGCGCTCTGTTAGGGCCGGGAGGACTGTTGTGGTGTTTGGGTGGGAGGGGATGAAATATATTCTTTTTCATTTGTTAGCTATTTTGGGCTCTCAGGTGAGCATTGAGTTTGGGGAATGTACCCGGTGATTGGCATTGTGGGCGGTTGACCTGCTGTAGCAGGGTTGATGTTGGGATTTGAGCTGAGTGGGTGTTCAGATGGGACTCAAGCCTGGTGGAGAGGACTCTGGAGTGAAGTGAGAGTTCAAAGTGCCTTGAACGAATGAATTGCACTATTTCAATCATGCAAATTGGTGGACTAGAGATCTGGCACAGGCTTAGTGCGGTCCAATGGCTTTTTTAAAAATGCTGGCTAGGATGTGCTTTGACTCGGCGCTGAGCTTTGCAATCTATTGGGTGGTTAGTTCGAATTCTTCATTGAAGGGTATGGTGTATTCCTCCAACCTAGGGTATTATCTATGTATTCAAAGGCGTTTAGCGTGTGTATCAAGATGTTGAGCTTGAATCGACGTGCTCCTGCGGACTCCGTTAGGTTGATGACTAATCACTTCAAAGTCGGCGCCTGCCTCAGTCTGTAGCTTCACTATTCTAAGAATCTTGAAAGTATTCGTGAAAGAATATGCAATTCAAACATAATGTGTACCGATGTATTGTCTATGTGCAAACCCGCTATACCCATGTCTCGACCAATAAATGCATCTCAAAAATAACGCCACGTAAACCGTTATCAAAATATGTGATAATGTTTCCAACTCGAATATGCACCTTCCTATACATGCTAAAAGCGGCAGCCTGGTATCGAGTGAAATGCAAATAGCGAAATCAGAAGAAGTCTTGCTGAGCCAGCCACTGTGAATCCATCGCATAAGCAACCAAATCAGCCGCACAGCACATATCTTCATGACCGTGCTCGATATCCAGAAGCTCAAGGACAGAGTAGAGTCTATCTTCCAGCGTCTGCTTGAGTTTTGAGACTCGTGCAGAGAAGTCTTTTGCTTGGCGCTCTTTCACTAAAGATCCTGCGGCATCGTGCTCTTTGATTGACTTGCTCTTAACAGACCCGCCTTCCGTCATTTTCCTGTTCGGAGAGCAGGGTGCAAGTGCCTTTCTCTGCGCTGGCACAACAGGCTGTGGTGCTTCAGACTTCTTATTCTTGAGAAGGTTCTTCAATATGAAGAGTAGCCAGACTAGGTTCGTTCGCGGGGCGTATTCTGCCCAGATGCCTTTGATGTCAGGTATTTTCTCGGCTTCGGCGGGATTTCCGGTATAAACTGTGGCACGCATACTATGGGATCTTGTCAAAACCCTGTCATCTGTGAAACGGGCCGGTGGGTTAACTTACTACCTATAAGTGTTTCGCAACAAGATCTCATCCTCATCGTGACCAATGGCATCAAAGATTTGCTTCCTGTCCAGATCTGACGACGCAATCTCAACCAACCCTTCAGGGTCATCGGGCAGATCGGCAAGTCGGAGATCAGCGCGCGATAGCGAATAGTCGATGATGGTTGTCTCAAGGGAGCTAAAGCCGAAGCCACTAGACGATTGCAGGCGTGCGACCTCTAATTCAGTAGGAGGTTCCATCGAACCGTCCGGTCGTGTGGATCGAATGCAGACATTGCCCAAGTGAAGATCACGATGCTGCCAGTTGTTAGTCAATCACATTATCAAACCCCGAAGCTTAGCAGAACTCACCTCGAACAGAGCATACTCCTCAGCACGTGCCAACGCCATAGCCACACCCCAGAAGATATCATAAATTTGGAAGGTTGATGCCCATTTAAACTTTTCAAGCTCACATCCCGCATCATCCATCTCCACGATAGCCCACAGCTGGGTATCAGGATATGCTTTCTTGCTCGACGGATTGGGGTTCATGCAGTCATCCTTGGTCTTCTTGTAGTGGTCCCAGGCACTCTGGAAAGTCTCCGGAAACCGACCTTGTACCACATGGATCTCTCTGAACCGCGCGAATCCAGGTATTGGATCCAGGTATTTGAGCATCTTGACCTCGGACACGATCTCGTCGATAGTGGTGAATTTCTTCGAACCCGGACCAGTTTGCGCTCGTAGTGGGACAACTTTGAATACACCGTCACCGTAGGCTTGCAATTTGGCTAATCTAGACTTGGAGACTGCGGGCCGACTGTTTTCCTCGCGCAAGTGCAGCTTGTATACCTCGCCATAAGAACCCTCTGCTAGTTTCGCGACGTGGAACATGGTCACGGATCGAGATGCCCATGTGCTGAACTTCTGGATAGTTTGCGATGCTAGGGAGGATAATGCTTCATTGAGGATTGGGCGAACATAGGTGTTGGCTTTGTTGTCGTGGACGACACCGGACGAGCGCCGACCGATGGGGATCTTTTGTCGCGGAGCTCTTCGTTCTGTTGAAGCAATGCTTGATTTCTCTTGGGGTTGGGATGGTGTTGCTTGTTGGGTTCTGGTGCTGATTCTGACCTCCACCATGGTTTCGTAGGGCTTCGGCTTCTCGAGGACTTCTTCGGGGGACTTTGCGGGCGAGGTCTGCGGGATGGAGTCGGCTTGTTGGGAGGCGACGGAGCTTGACGGCTCGAGAGTATCATCTTTCTCTTCTGTCTGACTGACTTCCGCTGCGCTGTCGATTTCATCCGATGAAGATACCTGTTCCTCCTGGATGGTCACTTCGGCCAGCTTTAATTGTAAGGCGTCGACGGTATCATCTGATTTCGTGCGTGGTGGAGAGGTCTCCTTAACGGGACTCCTCTCCACGAAAATGGCTCTGGCAGCATTTTTCCTTCGCTTGCCGTAGACCCTTCGCTGGGCGACAGCCTTGGTAGAGGTTTTTTGCGATTGCATTGGTGTCGCGTGACCCTCGAACGGGGAATATGAGCGAGAGGACATGGTCCCTTTGATATGGTGGGGCTCTCTCTTTGTATGACTATCCGCAATGAGTCTGTGCAGGTGGGAACAGGTGAATGGCAATCGACAAGCGATAGAGGGAAGCGACGATGCTGGATGCGAAACAGTATTGACGTTTAGCCCAAAAGGGTTTAGCGGGTGGTTGCTCTGGTGAGCCATTCTTTTACTATCGGCCAATCACAGGCCGTAGCTATACTCCCTTTGCTTCCTATGCTGCTCCTCTCTTCCTTTGTCTACCGATTTTGAAGAGTCGCGTCTGGGAAGCTCATTGAAAACCATAGATCACTATCCTTCCTTATCTTGGCATGATTTCGAGCTCTACCGGGAAATGGCAGACGTTCGTCTGCCAGTCAGGTCAAGGAACCCCCACAGCTATAGAGGCGACTGCTCGGGCGCAATTTAACATGATTCATATACCTTGTAGATTAAAACCATATAAACCTAACACCTGAGAATCCAATTAATAAAGAAGAGTAAAAGACCCCGCCCAAGTGTGAGCTTTGTGGACATCCTGGGCGTAGCCGTGAAACTGAAACCTCGGGACTTCAAGCCTATACACACCCATTTGTTCGAATATAGAAAGTAGAATCGGGTGACCGACAATGCATAATATTGTCACTCGATGTGGAAGATCAGATAAGAATCTAGGTCTACCATAGTCGTCCCGTTTATAGGGTTCCACAAGAAGAAAGAAAAAATTCTGTGCGACGTCGTATTGTTGATTACCATTTTCGTGGGGTCTCGCTACAACCTATGACGAAGTGTGAAACGTGAACGTCAGACATGCATGGGCGGGAAAGTTCCCCCTTACTCCATTAATTGAGCAATCAAAACCCATACGCCCTTGGACTAGATGAGACAGAACGTGGGCTAGACTTGGGAGTAGACTTGGATCTACGAAGAGGAGGCCGTTTCTGGCCCGCGGTCGACCGCGTAGTGGGCACCCGGCACTTCTTTTGTTTCGTCGCGTCGAGACCCCCTTTCCCCGGGCGTGTGGGTGCTTAGCAGGGCGTAGCGCTTGGACTTATGCGGCCACGGGCGCGGAGGGGAATGTGAATGGCCCAGAAATGACGAAGTGGGAATAGTAGTCGGAGCGGGTCGGGTCACAATGCAAGTTCCTGGAATGACGTTATCCATGAACAACACGTCAGTGAGAATGGGGATATTCCGTAGAATAAACGGCTTCACAGAAAATCAGAATAATTCCAAGTGAATCAACAGAAGAGACGAAAGAAAGGGGAAGGGAAAAACAATAAGAAAGCAAAAAGCCAAAGTGGGTGGTCCGGGCACGCGACTTCGGGAAGGCTCGCTTTCGGGTTTTTCCATTTTCACGTTCCTCCTGACCTCGCCATCCTCGCCTTCGTCTCACCCTCTCTACCCTCCTTCCTTCTCGATCCCAATGCGCGGGCATGGCGTTCAACTTCAACTGGTCGCCTTTGATGGCCGACGCGAGTTTTTACTCGCGCGCCCAAGAACTACTGACTGCTGCGCTCAATAAATCACCCAAACCCCCAATCATCGTCGATGATATTATCGTCACCGAACTCAACCTGGGCTCTATGCCCCCAGACCTGGAGATTCTCGAGATCGGCGACCTTGCCGAGGATCGCTTCCGTGGAATCTTCAAGATGTCTTATTCCGGCGACGCCTTCTTGACTCTCAAGACCCGAGTCCAGGCAAATCCTCTGAATACCTACCTTCTGACAAGGCCTGCTTTCGCATCGCCTCAACCTCTCGCTGCTGCGTATGTTCTCTCTGTTGCGCTCGCGTGCTTGTACGTCTATTTTCTCGCCTTTGCTAACCTCACGCCTCTAGTACCCCGCTCACTATCCCTCTACAAATTACACTGTCCGATTTCAAGCTGTCCGGCTTCGTGATTCTCGTCTTCTCCAAACAAAAAGGCATTACCGTCGTCTTCCGTAATGATCCACTCGAGTCCCTCAAGGTTTCGTCGACATTCGATTCGATCCCATTCGTGCGCGACTTCCTCCAGAAAGAAATCGAGGCCCAACTACGGATATTGTTCATGGATGAGTTGCCTGCTATCATCCATCGCTTGTCGCTCCGTCTGTGGGTTCCGGAATACCGCTCAGGCGACGAGGCGCAGAACGAGACCGACAACACGGAAGCGGTATCAAGCGAGGGTCCTGGCCAAGATCCTTTGGCTAGTCCCCCACAGGATCCTGTGGATTCTCTTGGAAATGCTCTGAACGAGACAGAAATCGCTTCTCTTTCGCTAGACTCCTCCGTCGAGACACATTCGCTCTTCTCCCAGAAGAATCTTCTTCGCCTTGCCGCTCTGACCGATTCGCAACGGACGCTATCGCTCTTCACACCTTCCATCAATGAGGTCGTCTACCGGGCTTGGACGTCTCCTTCCGACCCCAACGAATTCCCCTCTAGCGTCGTCTCTCCTCTGAGCCCCGCCCTTTCCCGAACACATTCTCAAGTCGGGAGCATGTCATCGCTCCACGAAACCGCCAGCAACGCGTCTCTGCACAGCCGTCCTTCCGTGGGAGCCCAATCTTTCAACAGTTACGGCTTGACTCTGGGTGCCGGCCGTCACTCGAAAGCTCATTCTCGGAGGCGTAAGAGACGTGTGGTGGACATGCGTCGCCCCAAGACAACCGATGATGCCATGAGTGTGAGCGACGACAGCTCAATGAGGGAATCTAGCAGCCCTCCTTCTATCTACTCCGCTCCTCTGCCCATTGTCAGCGAACAAGCGGATGATCCGGTTACTCCCCCACTGACTGCCGAGGTGGACTCTCTCCTGCCTTCAATTCCCGAGCGCCACCGGGCGAGCCTCTCTCGACCGAAACAGCGCCAGGGAGCCAATGATGTTGGAGACCTCTCATACTCTATCGAGACCATTCGTGCTTCCAGAGCTGAGGATGTTGAAGCCACTCCTCGTGCGACCTTGCGCGGTAGTTACCCCAATGAGAAGGCCGAAGCTGGACCTTCCCGGCCACCACTACCCGCCACCGTTCTTCCATTCAACAAGGACGACACGGCTGAAGAACCCGTCAACAGCCTCTTGGTCGAGCGATTGGCCGGTGAAATCGCCCGTCGCATACGCGAGGAGAAGATGATGACCGGCAATGCTTGCAGCAACTTCTGGTCGCGTGCCCAGGATGACACTCCTCCCCCGGCCTACGGTCACTAGTATTGCGACCTCCCACCTCAATTTCCTTTGTGGTTTTTCTTTCCTCGGGCTTGACTCGATTTTTAATGACCCTTACGACTTTTTATTTATCTTTTTGGAAGCGGGATTGTACAAAACTGGGTTTTTGGATTTGCAGGTTGGCGTCTTTCTGTTCTTTTTCGCTAGATACCACACTCACTCGAGCATTTTGTGTACTATTTTGGACTCGGGGTTGGATTTGGAATATAGGACAGGAACAGGAATTGGTATCATTTTTTTCTCTCTATCTCTACATCTCTGTGCACTGTGCACTGTGCTGTCATGTAAATGTCCGGGAGGCAAAAAACTGGAGAAGTCCCGTGGGGCGCTAGAAGCAGCTTAGCTCCGCACCGATTCTCTCAACCTCCTTTCCCTTCCACCCACCCTCCTATCTCCATCAACACCATGGCGGGCATGCTCAAGAACATGTTCGGCTCAGGCTCCAGGCCTGCCAACCCTGACGATGGTATGATACCCTTGCGCCCCAATTGCACCCGTGCGCGATGGTCTGACACTGTTCTCTAGACTTTGCTGATTTCGTCGAGGCCCCGAACCCTTCGCCTGCGTCCCTCGTCGCCGACTCGACCACCATCCAGGCGTCGAGCACCGGTACCGCCCCCTTCACGGCATGGTACCGCGTCTGGGAGCGCACCTCCCCTCGCGACTTCATGCAGGAGGCTATGATCATGCCCTTCATCCTGGTCATGGTTCTCTTCCACGTCTGGGGAACGCGCAAGAACCGTCGCAAGGCGAGGGAGTGGGCCAATGCTCATGTTCCTCTTCTCCAGAAGGAGTTCGCCGTTGTCGGATTCGATGGTGTCGCGCGCACTACCGATGGTGAGGCCGTCACTGTGGAGCTAGCCAACCCGGAGAAGAGCCTCAAGGAGAAGTCGGCCAACGAGTTCTCTACCTATGCGACTGGTCGTCAAAACATTGCATTCTTGGATATTGCGCTCAAGATGCCCAAGCGTTACAACCCCATCCACTACTTCATGGAGTACGCCTGCAGCTTCTTCTTCGAGACCTGGGAGGCTCCCTCTGAGAAGTACGAGGCTATGCTGTACACTTTCGATGGCAAGGAGAAGGATCTCGTTCCTGTTCTTGGCAATGATACCTCGTCTCTGAAGGTTAACAACTCGACCTATGATGGCTTTATCTGGGCTGTTGTTCATAAGAGTCAGATGCGCAAGTTCCGCACTGATCGCTACGATGCCTCCATCACCTTCTCTAAGGATCACCCCAAGCTTCCTTCCTGGGTTACTGTCATGTCCGAGAGCGCTGAAATCACTGAGACCCTGCTCACCCCCGACCTTATCAAGGCCGTTGAGCAGGCTGGTAACGACTTTGAGTTCTTGATTGTGTCCGATCAGCCCGTTGACAAGCCTACCAAGTAAGTTCCAGTCAAAATATATTGAGGTCAGCGTGTTTCGAGGTGAACATGCTACCGGCAAAACTTGGCAATTCTGACCTCCAATAGGATCGACGAGACCGTTCCCAAGAAGCGCATCCAACTGTCCATCAACCTCTCCTCGGCTTACTCCGCGACCGTGCCCCTCTTCAACCAGTACCTACGTCTCGCCGATAAGCTCGTTGCCGTCGGCCACTTCCGTGGCGAGGTGATGCGCAAGCTTCGCAACGTCCGCGAGGAGGAGATCAAGAAGCTGCGCCGCGTCGAAGAGGAGGAGAAGGCCGAGGAGCGCAAGATCACCGCTGAGAAGATCAAGAAGGAGGAGCGTGAGCGCATCCTGCGCGGCATGACCGCCGATGAGCAGCGCAAGTTCCTGGAGCGCGAGACCGCGAAGGACCAACGCCGTCTCCAGAAGAAGCAAACCCGTCGGGGTTAAATTGTTGGACATGGAGTCTAGGGAACATTACCATTCCTTTCCCCTCCAGTCGCAGACCTCATTGTGGTGTAGCTGAGTGCGAGGGGAATTGTCTTACTCTGCCTCTTTTTGATACCTTTCCCCTAGATGTATTCATACGCGGAGGATTATATGCTATGTGGATGATCTTTTTACAGGTAGAATATAAGGACCTGTGAAAATGACGCCGAGAATGACAGCTTCTGGCGCCAGAGACAGCCGCCTTTCCACCGTAGCTTTCTAGCGGCAAGCCGCACCCAACGCGGGTCGGGTTTTGGGACGAGGTCTCCAACCCTTTTGCGGTTTTTGGCGCAGTCCACCCCAGAGTTATCCGCCCCGACAGTTTGGTTTATACTAAGGAGCTTTGCTTGATAAAGAACTTCCAGAAAGGAATGTAAATTAGTGGGAGTAGTTACATACTTCCAAGGCACTCGCATACGTCGTTTCGTAACCCTTTCCGCATCCAGTGGCTATCGACCAGAAGATTTCCTTTTTGTTACACTCGAGGGCTACGTTAGGCGTGGAATTTTAGCCGAGAGGTGAAAATCGCCCGCGATGGAACTGAAATTGAGCCCACAGTAGGTCAGAAGCTGATCAATTTGTTTCACCCGATGTAATGTTCCGGCCGCTTTGTCTTCTGCGGCTGGGCGCGAGCGGGCCTATAACCGTTCGAACTGGTGAGGTCGATGATGTTCTGTTGCGAGATATCTCCGTTGTAGGAGAGTCGAGCTTGGGCATTGGTATTAGCGTGAGCGTGGGCTCGAAGACGTGGAAGGAGGTAAAATGCTGATTCGGCAGGTCAAGCAGAGTGGGCCAGTGATACAAGAAACAAGTTGGCTTGATTGACTGCCCAGTGCAATTCTGCTTTTCTCGGGATCATTAGCATACATCCATTCATCACCGGTGAAGGAGGTTTTGTCTTACTATGAATCCTGCTGCCGTAATTTACTGATAACTGAAAGGCTGCGGTGAGCCATCCGTTCCCCAGAGCCATGCACAAGCGTGATTCTTGTGCACGACCTGACTGCCTAGACATCCTCTCAGAGTATGGAGTAATACTGCATCTGGCTATACGTAGCTCGGGGCCTTTTTGTGCTTGAGCTACATAGTTCTGTTGGATACTCTTAGTGGAGCTAGATATTGGTGCGTGCCCTTGAGCTGTAGGTTGTGCTTGGCAGCTAGTGGGAGGGGCGCACATTTGCACATTTGCGACTGCTTTATGCAAGTTTTTGCTGATGTGTGATTCTATTGGCCATTTTTCAGTGACTCACTCGTTTTGTGCAGCTGTCTTGGGGGACTTGCATCCCTTTTGATATGAGTATGTTTCCTTGGTTCGATTGCGATGCATAATATGGTCCTGTTTGTTGATCCTTGCCCCAGGATTGAGGAGGCCCAATACATTCGTAAGAAATCATATTTTGCATTATAAATCTAGGTGCCTAGAGCTTTACAACAATGTAGGGTAGATCATTCTCAGCTTCTGACAATTCATGGTCTTTAAAATCCTCTGCACATCCATTACAACGAGATGTTACTAATGCCCGTGAATCACTGTGGGGTGCGGCTGATCTCCAGTGGGGCAAGGCACATTCCATTGCGGGCACCGTCTGCGGACTAGCGCAGGATCAATACTCAAAAAATGCACATTCCTTTCACTTTCCCAAGACTACACCCCATCATGGCCAACGCAGAAGAGAAAGATGAGGTTCGCGACCAAATCGCCAAGCAGATTTTGCACACCCCTTTTGCATGCTCCTCTCTCAGCCGGTTGTCAGGCGGCAATGCCAATTTCGTCTATCGGGGCAAACCTTCATCTTCCCCGAATTCCATTGTCATTAAGCATTCGAAAGACTATGGGGCCTTCAACCCAAATTTTAAGCTTGATGCGAAACGATGTGTGAGACATCCCATGGGAACCAAGCATCGTATACTAATTGAAGCTAGCACTTCGAAGAAGCTATCCTCCAAGCTCTCGATGGCCTGCCGGACCACTCTCAGGAAAACATTACCGTGAAAACACCCCGGGTCTTCCATTTTGACCGGGAAAATAACATACAGATCATGGAAGATCTTCCCAATTCGCTCGATCTGAAGAACTTCCTTCTCTCGAATCTATCTCATGGCGTGTCAGAGTCTTCGGGGCGATCGCTCGGGCGCTCCCTTGGAACTTGGCTGAGGTCGTTTCACCACTGGGGGAGCAACAGTGAGCAGGCAGAGTCCAGGTCTTTGTTTGCCAAGAATGAAACGGGAAAGGATTTAAAATTCTATATCTATTACTCTATGCTGATAGACACGATTGCGACCTTTCCTGGCATTCTGGAAGAGAGTCGCGGTCTTTTTGAAAAAGTTAAGAATTTCGCGGCTGCGGAGTTGAAGAAAAGTGATCAGCATGAGGATTTTGGAATTATTCATGGTGATTTCTGGACTGGGAAGTAAGTTTTTCTATCTCTCCTTGAGTGACAGAATGCTAACGCGATCTTCAGTGTTCTTGTTGCTGATTTCCCTCTTATTGAGCAGTCCCAAACAAAGTTGCTCGTTGTTGACTGGGAACTATGTCAAATTGGAAACAGGGCTCTTGATCTGGCCCAGATGATTGCCGAGCTGTACGAGGCGAAGCTTTTCAGAAACGTTGATTGCGGAATATGGATGATTGATGGGCTTGTGGAGGGCTATGGGCCTCTGAGTGAAGAGATGGCGTTCCGAACTGCGATCCATGTTGGCGTTCACCTTGTTGTCTGGGGTAGTAGGGTTGCTGGATGGGGAAGCCAGCAGCAGGTCGAGGAGGTGGTAAAGGTGGGCCGAGAACTCATTGAGCAAGGGTGGAACAAAAATAGAGCATGGTTCGAGCGAGGTGCTTTGAGGTGTCTTTTCAGGAAATGAAGACAAGCTCTATCCCATGGGGGGTGGGATGCATTGCATACCATTGGGACTTTTCGAGTGCATGCCATTTGAAATTATCGGTCGGACGATCCTCAAAACTTGAGGGGTTCTAAACTGAAACTGGCGGCTGCATTATACCCGGTTTCGATTTCAAGCTCGTAGACCAATTCGGGCGGCGAATGGCACGAAAAGAGTGCAACAAATTGGAAAAACTCATAGTTATACATGTATGAGATGCGTCAACCCGGCTGCGGCCTTATTCCAGTCGTAGGCAGCGGCGATGCTGTACTTGCCCTGAGTCCAATACACTCAACTCCGAAACCAACAGAATCACTCTCACCTTACTCTTAACATCTATACTTGCAATGGGTGGCTCCATCTCATTCCTTATAACAATGCTGCTCACCTTTCTGACCACAGTCCCTCTTTTGGCAACTATATCCCACGCAGCCGTGATCCCTCGACTGCAACACGAGCTCCGCGCCCTCCCATTCAACACAAGCCTTGACCATAGCCACAACCTCCGATGCACTGTCCACTCCGAACTTCCTGTCGGCGCAATCCTTAATCAGTGCACCGTCCCAGGAACAGTGGCCCTAACCTTCGACGACGGGCCTTACATATACACCCCCGAAATCCTAGATACCCTCTCCGCCCATGATGCGCTCGCAACCTTCTTCTTCAATGGCATAAACAGAGGCAGCATCAACGGATTCCCCGAAGTCGTCCGCCGCGTCTTCTCTGAAGGCCACCAACTCGGCTCGCACTCGTCCGTTTGCCCATTCCCGAATCAAACCAAAACCCAACTAACACTCCATTTGGAAACAAACAGGTACAACCATCTGTCCCTGCCATCCCTCTCTTACTCTGCAATTATCGACCAAATGACAACCCTCGAAAACACATACATGAACCTACTAGGCTTCTATCCAACGTTCATGCGCTTTCCATACCTGCAAACCTCCCCAGAGTCTTTATCTGCAATGGCTGAGCTAGGGTACACAATCATTGGGGCCAGTGTCGATACGAAGGACTACGAAAATGATGATCCCGGGATCAGCTGGCGCAGCTTTGAGAAGTTCAAGGCCGAGCTTGCTGCAGGCGGCACGATTGTATTGGCGCATGATACGCACCAGACGACCGTGCAAGTTCTTGTTGAGAATATGCTCGAGGAGATTGAGAAGAGGGGATTAAAGAGTATGTTTTTTCTGGTTGTATGGTTTGGGGGTGTCTGGGTGGCTTTTGGCTAATGCTAATGATAGTGGTTACGGTTGGGGAGTGCCTTGGAGAGGGGAAGGAGTTTTGGTATAGGAATGGGAGGTAGGAGGTTTTGCTGGACGGGAGAGTGAGTGATGGGGATCATGGTTGCACTAGTCTTTTTCTAGATTGTTAATACTCACTGCTCTGCATGATATGCATACATTGCGGCTTCTGATAACTCAAAGTCTGTTCCGAACGTGTAAGTAGTAGACTAAATCCGAAATCCGAAACCATGCCCAATTTACAGTCTAGCAGTACCATATATGACTATAAAATCCACAAGCGTTTCATATGCGAGTTGATATTGAGGCTATTTGACGAAGACGAGGTCTGGTGATCTGGAAGTGGCTACCATGCAAGCTATTCGGAAGTTAGTCTCGCTTAAAAGAAGCCAATTCAAGGAACTTTATCTTTGCGGCAAGCTCATCATTATGATACTAAGAGGAAAATGGAGACTGTAAAAACATCTCCAACTGCTCAAGATGTAGCATAATACTCTTTAGTCCGTACAACAAATCTCTATTTGTAAATCTAGAATCTATATGCTATAGTACAAACAAAGGAAATTCATCAAGACATCAAGGACCCCAATTTATAGCTTGCCGAATATCTTGACCCGGTCCTCAATGGGTTTCTGGGTCTTCTCGCCAGCCTGCGCCTCGGGGCTACCAAAGACCAACTGAGCGACCAGCCGCCATTCGGCAGGCAGGCTCCATTGCTCAGCGACCTTGGCGTCGATCAGAGGGTTGTAGTGCTGCAGGTTGGCGCCGAAGCCAACAGATTCGAGAGCAGTCCAGACTGTGTCTTGTCAGCAAAAAGTTATCCATAACGTGGGGAATGTGTGGACATACGGAAGTACTGGTGCATGGCGTTGGAGTGGTCGGCCCAAGGCTCGAACTTGTCTGCGTAAGCCGAGAACTTCTCCTTGAAGCCCTGGATGTGAGCAGGGTCCTCGTAGAAGAGAACAGTTCCATGAGCAGCCTTGAATCCCTGCAACTTTGGCAGAGTCTGGTTCTTGAACACCTCCTCGGGAACGGCACCGCTAGCAACGAGTGCTCCGAAGGCCTCAATGGCAATATCCCAGAGTTTCTCATGTTCCTCGCGCAGAACAACAACGAGGCGTGTCGATTGGGTGTTGAAAGAGCTGGGGACGTTCAGAATAGCGGCATTGACGAGCTCTTCGACCTTGGAGTCAGAAACGGGGCTGTTCTTGCCGAGCTGATAGATGGTGCGGCGGGCCTGAGCGGCCTGGACGAGTGCGTCGGACATAGTGCTGGGTGCGTGATTGCGGTAGGTGGTTGAGAATGTGCGGAGAAATGAAGTGATGTCGCGCGGAGCTTGCGGATGCAGATGCGTTCTTGTGGAGCCAAATGCGCGGCTGATGGGTTGGAGATTCGATGGTCGAAGGATGCGAGTAGCCATTGTGGAAGTGAGTATGGGCTTTGTAGCCTATGAAAACGGGATATATCTTTAATTTATAAGGGACGAAGGGTAGCTTTGAAAAATTGACCGCGTTGTTCCGCTAGTTGAGTATTTCGCGATATCCGAGTTGCGGCGTGAGGCGCGTGTTTATGCAAATTATAAATCCGAATCTCGGAATTACGGAATTACCGCTTTCTCATCAGCTTAGAAATGGCGCCGAAGCTTCGATTCGACTTCCCTGACAAAGCACCAGTGTTCAATTTGTTGATTCATCTTGATCCTTCATCATATTCTTTGCTTTGCCGCTTGTCTGATCCTTTCCCGTATCATGTCGAGCCCACATCCTGTGCCCGAGACCCGCGTTGCACAACCGATGAACTCTTAGAATTCCAACCGATGCAAAACTATAAATAGACCACAATGGGAACTCGTCCGCATGGTTGAAGGCTTGGAAAGGCTTATCTGACTCGTGCCTGATGTGTGCCAAAAACGCGATGCGATAGATGTCGGGAATAGGGAATTAAAGGGGTCCTGTCCGGGGCAACCTCCCTAGAAAGAGATTAGTCTGGAACCTGGCGTCCAATGGTGGGCGGAACCAAGCCTCAAAGAGACCTCGCGTGGTGAAAACCGCAAGATTTAGCGACATTGCCCCCAATCAGGCTCCAAGGGTCCAAATCTGGTGTCTCGTGGGGTCCAGGCCCTATTTTTTACCTTTGGAGACCCTACCCTGTAAGCGCTAGAGGAGAGATGAGGCTGTTTTGTCGTGCTGACGGAGGTTAAATATCTCCTGATCCCAATTCCTTTGCTCTAATCGATCCCTTCTTGTTATTCTATACGCTCTTTACTAGACAGTCATTACTACACACTCGTTAAAATGCAGTACAAGGTCGCCGCCGCTCTCTTCTTCTCTACCCTGGCCCTGGCTGCCCCGGCTCCTCAGGAGACCAGCTCCTCCAGCGTCACCAACTCCGACTCCGACTCCGACAGCGCTCTCCAAGCTGCCTACGCCAACGTCCCCAGCTCCATCCTGACTGTTCTGGAGACCGCCATCCCCGCGTCATGGTACAACGAGCTCGCCAACCCCACCTCGGAGTCCAAGATCATCGCCGACATCGAGGCTGGAACTATGCCCGCTTGGTATAACAAGTTGCCCGCCAGCGTTAAGGAATGGGCTAGCACTGCCGACCTTTTCGACTATGCTGCTGCCACAACTGCTGCCGATGCCGACTCTACCGCCACTGCTACCGCTCAGGTTAAGTCTGCCGCTGGGGCTGGTTCGACTGGCGCTGTTGAGACCAAGTCTGCTGCTGAGACTACTGCAGCATCCAGCAAGTCCAACTCCGACTCGGCCTCTACTTCTGCCGCCTCAGGTTCTGCCTCTGCTTCCGCCACTGCAGCCTCCTCCACCTCCACCGGTGGTGCTCCCATCGCCACTGGCAGTGTTGCCATGAGCCTTGCTGGTGCCGCTGGCTTGCTGGGTCTCGTTATTGCTCTCTAGAGCACTGGATATACTCTTTGGGTCCGTTAAGGATCTGTATACACTGTAATATAGTCCATCCTCTTAATTATGAAAGCGCATTCAAGTCCTTTGAAGTCTATAAATAACCATATTCCTCTTCGGGGAATCTAGCCATGCTCGTTCAGCCCTCCTATAACAGTTTCACTCTCCACAAAAACACACTTGTGGAGTACGCTTCTTGAAGTTAATTTATCCTCGTCTACTCTTCCTTCGACGGTGTTGCGATCTGATATGGTCTGCCAGCAGTGTTGGATGAATGCCCCCCAGCTTCTGTCGCGTACCCTTTGCCCCACGCCGCAGGGTGGAGTATGTACCCGATCTCCGAGTGCGGTTGATATGGTGCAACCCTACCACGCCGATCATCATCTTCTCGTTGCTATTTCTATCCTTGAAGAGTGCGTAGTTGCCACTGTCGTGTTGGTTCTCTGGTACAAGTCCTGAAAGCCAGTGGTGAGTCTGTCTTCTGGTTTCCAAGGTTCCTTTTGAACTATTGAATCAGTTGTTATCTTCTCTGGGATGTATCGTGGACCTCGCGTCTGACTTATGCCCAGTGTGTCGCTTCTGGGGTTGGCCAGATCCTGTGGGATCCGTCCCGGTGGCACAGGCCGATCGGATCGAGTCGTAGACGGGCCGTCTCCATTTGACTTGCTGCCTGAAATAAATCATAAAGGAGAACTCAAGAAGCATTCAGGGGGAAATGTGAAATTAACGTACCTGTCTGTCTTAGGTAGGTGATCTCCGCGGTGACTCGTTTGGGCTTTGATTCACTAGGAACTATATATTGATACGCCCTTAAGAAGCCACGGCGACTACTAAAGTGAGATTTGCACCTGAGATAAAAGGACACATACGACAAGATATTTTTTCAGGGATTCGGGATGTCTATAGTTGACAACATAGATAGGAACGCTCAAGCAATATATGAGGCAAAGCGGCGATTGAATGATGGAATTAAGGTATTGCCAGGAACAAATGAATAGTGTCAATAAGCAGGAAGCTAGGATGAGAATGCCCACTCAGCATGAAGGTTAAGGTGTCTGGCGCAGGACTTTAATGAGTTCTGAGTGTAGACCATCATCCATAACCTTAACTATCCCCTTGATGGGGCAAGAGGACATAATCTGACCTTTGCACAAGTAGGCTACTAGGGGTTGTCTCACTCTCCACGGTCTAATTTGAATGAAAATGAATAGGTTTATTTTATATTAACTTAGAAGCTAATATAACGGTAGTCTAGGCTCTGCGATATATAACTGCAAAGCGATTGACCCAATTGTCTTGGGGCATCTTCTCGAGTTGTGAACAAGGGGCCCAAGACAAAAGAGTCCTACCATGTCCGAATTCCGATATTGCATCAGCACCAAGCGAGTAGAATCAAATCCTGAGCAGATCAAGTGGGTTAGTGATCGTTCACGAAAGAAAGCCAACATGACAGAAAATTTTTCAAGCTACTCAGAGACCCGTCTTGAAACGTTATGGTGTGTCAAGTTTCTCCAAAGATGTTCAGAGGCAAAATGGAAAATATGGGTATCATCACTGGAGCTGCGATAGGATCACGAGGGTTTGAAGGGAGACGGGGGCTCCTTACCTGAACCAGTCGGAGCGGTCCCGCCGGTGGGGGGTGGCGTGAACCGCCACGGAAGTATTCTCCTTTGTTTTATACTCGCTTCACGTCGCGATATTTTGTTCCTGGATTCGGTAAAATCTATTCCAGGAGAAGCAAAAGCATCAACGGAGGCTCGGATCGCAAGTTGTTAATAAGGAGGGCGTGCGGGGTAGAAAAACGAATCGCTAATGTCAGCTTCAGGGCAAGTGAAGAGAAACATCACTAGAAAGTGATTTTCCTGACATTGTGGCTGTTTCTCTTAATCTCGAGGATGTTGGGTAACTGAAAACCTTTCTCCTGAGAATTTTAGTTATAATGCAGTGCAAGGGCCCTTAGGGCCTGCCCTACCCCTGTTTTCACCGTTTTCAATCTGAGAGCGGAGAATGTCGTCATAGACCGTCCACGCGACGCGGCGGAGAATGTTCGGCTTTGTTCGGCTTACTGATATTTCGCTCATTGGAAAGACAATAGAAAGCCAAGAGCCATCTTTTTCTGATGAGAAATAGATTTTGGGTCGCATATTCAAAACACAAGATTGATACAGAGCAATCTATCTAAGTTCATGTTTGAACTTGTCTCTGCTGAGAAAGAATCAATTGTCCCCATCTGACATATCACATTGCAAATCGTTACACTGCATCACAAAATGTCACCAAGCATAGACCAAATGCTTAGACCGCCGTAGACTGGCCGGATATAGTCTTTTGAACCTGATTACCATTCCAATCGCTCATCCTAACCGCGACCACCTTGTCCCGCTGAACCTTCCGCTGGTGACGGCTCCACAACAGGAACAGGCCAGCAGCAATGATGGCGGCGCCTGCCACAGATCCGACCACAATGCCCGCAATCTGTCCACCAGATAATCCCCCAGAAGAAGACTTCGAAGAGGAGCTCGTGCTCGTGCTCGTGCTTGAGCTGGATGCGGTCGACTCACTGACATTAAAGCACAGCACGTTGGTAGTAAAAGATGCTAACGGAACGTATTTGATATCGGCACAGGCGTAGTAAGTGCTGTTCGTGTCCGTGTCAAAAGTGGATAGGTAAGATAGCTGCAGTGTAGCGTTGGCGCCGGAGGTGATGTTGGATGGTGGGTTGGGCACTGCGTAGCATGCGTGACCGGGTTCTAGTTCAGGGAAGTTGCTCGATGAGACGAGGGTCACAAAGTCCTTGTTTGAGGTCGGGTCTGTTGGTTGTTAGAGTGAGTATTGGATTGCTGTTTTGTGTGAGCTGCACTTACTATCGTGGTAAGAAATAGCTAGGTTGACATTGTAGGACTCATCCTGCAGAACAAGAGACACCTCACCATTCGCTAGAAAGGGTTAACATTCGCCACCTCAAGATACCCTTTGACATGTAGTTAACTCACTCAGAGGAAATTCTGTTCGATTTGTTACCCCGGCAGAGGAACCGCAGGGCGCAGTATTATCCTGCACAGCTCCCCAAAGCCGATCCGATGGCCAGAGGAAAGCCGCAGGTCCCATATCAGTAGCATCATCAGCGGCATTGACATTGGAGAAACACAGACTGGCAAGAGCCAGGAGGGCTGAGAAACGCCGCATCATGGCTAAGTCGGTGGTATAGGGGTCAGAAAAACTTGAATAGGATTGCACTGGTTGCAAGCAGAGGAGAAGGATTGGTGATGGGACTATATAGTGAGATTCAGAAAAAATAACTACGAGGGTATGCTGTTCTCCGACGGACAGACCATATCGGCAGGACGTACCGAGTCACCCGCGTGGCAGTCCATACAAAAAGGTGGAGCTGGCCCAAGATTTCCCAGCGAAGATTAAACCGCCTGTTCGAACTCACATTACTTAGTCACCACAATGAGTCTTCTAGTGGATATACGATGGTACTAATTCTACAGCAGAACCCAAAAAGGGAAATGAAAGCGGCCCAAGACAGAACGGCGTGGGAGATTCATGGTAGCGGCGGACGGGAAACATATTAATTGGTGGTAAACACCCGGTATTAAGCTGTTGGAAGCTCTAGCATCGCTTTAGCCACATGCTCTAGCAGAGTTTGATCAGACGTGGTGACCGGAAGATGACCGGAAGGCGATGCGCCGGGGTGGAGAGATTAGATTGATAAGATCAAGTGGTTCGTGATTCGCGATCCCAGCCCCTCTTCTCGCTACCATTAACTGTCGGTCGGTTCCGAATGAAACCCAAGAAAGTGACCGGAGAAGATTCCTTGGCGCTATGTGATTTATCTCCGAGCTTGGCGGAGTTCGGTTCCTGTTTAGTGTCGTGTGAAAAGAAGTATCGATCGTCACTAGACACGATTCCTCTCGGTCAGTGCCCGTGTTTTTGAAGACCAAAAAGACTTACGGGGAGCTCGTGAGCATGAGAGTTTAAAAACTTTGTTTCAATCATTTTACTCTTGATCTTCGTCGAGCCCGGAAGAAAACGCGCCATATGCTCGTATGATGCCTGAATCGGGTGGGGGCTTAAATGACAGCCATGACGGAACAAGAGGCTAGCCTTAAGCCACACTTGTGGAGACACATAGAGCCTTGGCCGGGCAAAGTACCTAGCTCTAACTTCGAAAGTCAAACCGGAGGAAGCGGTAACGGCATAATTTGGCGAAAGCTCCGGCCCGCTCCAAGACTGCTATAAAATGCGTCGCATAGCTCAGCGACGGTCTTTTAACCTCACAGCGGCCATTACGAACAAAAAATATTCTTGTAATATTCTTATTTTTCTTCACTTCACTCAAGATGACTCCTTTCTATATTCCCACGACGGCGCTTCTCGCCCTGGTGGCTTCCTCTGCATTCGCCACTCAATCGCCAAACTTGCTTCAAGTGCGCGAAGACATTGAACCAGGATCTCCCCTTTACAATTGCCATGAAGCCTGTGGTGAGTTTAAAATAACAACGCAAATTGTGCCCACCCAAGAACAGACCACTAAGTCTTTGCAATTAGGCGAGGTCATCCTTATGTCAGAGACTGCCAATTACTGCGACAACTCAACCTTCACATCCTATCTCGAATCCTGCTTGGAATGTGCCAAGACATATGATATCTGGAAGTATTATGGCACCGAAGTAAAGTCAGCGGCCAGCAATTGCAGTGACGATGCTACCCCCAGCCCATCTTCCGCTACCACGGGAGCGGCCGCCACTACCACTGCGAGTGGTAACAGCTCTTCCAAAGCAAGCTCTAGCACTATTACAACTACCACGGTATGTACTTGACCGATTCATAGTTTTTGAAAGGAGCGCAATTAGCTAATTTGAGGTGTTACAGGGGACTGTTTCGGGTACGGCAGCAACTGCAGACAGCACTAACGGAGCTATCTCGTATGTTCGACAGAATGCGGCTCTTCCGTTGATCATGGGGGGCTTGGCCTGGGCATTGACGGCATAAGTTGTTGTGAGTCATGGAAGGTCCGTTCAAGCGGACTTAGTTGGTTGAAGGTCTAAAGCTGTAGTGTGTTCAATTTAGTGGATGAATTGGTAGAAGGATTCCATGCTAGATCGCATATACTGGATAATGTCTGGCACTTTTTGATTTCCCTTTCCGTTTTAGTGCTCACCCCTTGCCGCTTTTTGCTCACTGGGTAAAATGGAGCACGCCCCTGAGCACAGATGATTAACCCGCCTATGACGAGATTTTCGACCCCTCACTTGCCTAAGGTATTCTAGACAGCACTCAGAAAATACCTCATCCTAACTAAATGAAGTTTGATAGACTTCCTAGGAGCTTTCAGTCTCGAAGATTACGATTCCTCAACTCCCAGTACCACGGGTCATTCACTTAAGACCTTTTCCGCCGGTGCCCCTGCGGAATCGGTAACCTCGCATTCCTCGGAAGGGGAGGAATATAAGCAAGGCTTAGGCTCGCAGAGTCCCCTATCGCAGCCCCCTTCGGAGCTAACAAGTCCGTCACCGACACAGTTGGCTGAGGATATGGACGATAATGGGCCGGCTGAGTCTAGTGAAATATGGACGGCTTTCCTAGAGATCACTTCTCAACAAAGAGGCCAAATTCAGCGCACAGGTGATCGTCTTCTCCTCGATGATCTCGCTGCGTTTCTGGAAAATTACTTTGGGGCTTGGAAAGTCTCTGGCTTCTGGAACGGGCCAGTCTGGAACACCGCCGCATCTTCAAAGTCTTCCCCGGGACAGGATCGAGCTGGGCTTATGACCTATTTACTCGATTTGCAAAATGACAACAACGCATATGACGTGAAACTCCGCATCGCAAGGGTTTCTCTGTTCCTATTTTTCGAACGAGAAATTATATGCGAGCGTCAACGGGGCATAGCGAACACTGCTTTAAAAAGAAACGCTGTCAGTAAGTTATGCAACTCGAGAGGCCTTGGAATAGCTGAGAAGAGAAAACTCCACAAATCATTCCACAATGAAAAGAAAATCGGCGAGTATTGGTGGTGGTATGTTTCTTTCTTCGGCCCCAGCTTCCTCCTGCGATGCAGCAAGGAAGCGGGTAAGAAGATATCAGTCACAGTTTCTCTTTCATTCCCTCTACAGCCTGACTGACCGAATATAGAAACCAGAGCCGCTTCCCGTTGGACGCTGTGATTGCATATGTACTGCAGGAGAATCCGCAAACTGTAAAACCTTACGTCGCACTGGATGCGGCGGTCGTTCATTTGTTAATAACGGGAAAGTTTCCTGAAAAATTTGCATAGCAGGAAGTTAAAACCTGGGCGGAATCTACCCCTGCGGAATCCGCTATCTTCCCGGCTTGGCGACTTTTCAGTACTGAAGCAGTTGCAGATGAGGCCGTATCTTGCCTTCACAGTTGGGCCAACAACTTTAAAAATCGCTTGCTAACTTTTTGACCGATGCTAAAGTTTCACTTAATTGGTTTTTTTCCCACTACCTCTTCCCTCCCCCGTCAGCGTTGCTTCCTTGTAAAACTCCTTTCAAATAAAAGATAGATGCAGTATAACGTATTTCCCAAGCGGGTCGCCACCCCAAGCGGGTCGCCACCCCATTAATTTTCGCGTCCCCATGTATCTCTCTGCCAGTTTAATCACCCACTATGCTACCAATTCGTTCTAAATCAAAGCAAGATTCTATCGAACAAGAGGGTAGGATCGAGCTAGCAATTCAGGCTATTCAGAACAAAACGATCTCTTCTACTTCGGCCGCTGCGCGTACGTATGGCATACCGCGATCCACGCTACGCGACCGCGTCAATGGCCGCCTTTCGCAGACTACTATCCACGCCAACAGTCATAAATTGACTCAATTAGAAGAGGATACGCTTACTAAGTGGATTCTTTCTATGGATGACCGCGGTGCAGCCCCTAGGCCTAGTATGGTACGCGAAATGGCTGATTTACTGCTTGCATCGCGGGGTACCGACCGTGTTGGCAAGAACTGGCCTGGAAACTATATCAGCCGTACACCATCTATCCAAACCCGCTTTTCACGTCGGTATAACTATAAGCGGGCTGAACAAGAAGATCCACGGATCCTTCGTGGGTGGTTTCGGCTTGTGGAAGATACTATTACGCGCTATGGTATCCTACCTGATGATATCTACAACTTCGATGAAACAGGCTTTGCAATGGGACTAGTTTCTACCGCAAAGGTAGTCACCAGAGCTGAATACTATGGCCGTAGATCTGTTCTACAGCTAGGTAATCGTGAATGGGTGACTGCAGTAGAAATAGTTAATGCTTTAGGCTGGGTATTGCCGCCATTGATTATATTTAAAGGCAAACGCTATCTAGCATCATGGTTCTACGATACGCCTACCGACTGGCGCCTCGAGGTCAGCCCAAATGGGTGGACATCCGATGAAATTACCCTTCGATGGCTTCAAATGCTATTTATTCCATTGACCGCAAGCCATACGCGTGGTCGGTATAGGCTATTAATCCTTGATGGTCATGGAAGCCACCTTACGCCTGAATTCGATCATTTATGCGCTGAAAACGACGTTATACCTATATGCATGCCACCGCATAGCTCGCATCTATTACAGCCATTAGATGTAGGCTGTTTCGCAGTTCTAAAGCGATCATACAGTCGCTTAATAGACCAACAGACGCGTATGGGAATCAACCATATCGACAAGCTTGATTTCCTTGAAGCATACCCACAAGCACGCGCAGACGCATATCAGGCTAAGACTATTCAGAATGCATTTAAAGCGACTGGTTTAGTCCCATTAGATGCGGAACCAGTGCTATCAAAGCTAAATATTCAGCTTCGGTCACCGACACCTATCATTGAACGACCCACAAGCAAATCAAGCATTTATTGCCCTGAAACACCAACGACAATCGTACAGCTATCGAAACATGCAAAATCAGCTAGAAAGCTATTGAAATATCGGTCGAAAAGCCCACCAACGCCTACCAAACAGGTCATCAATCAGGCATATAAGGCCTGCGAGCAGGTGATGAAAAGTATGCTTCTGTTAGAGAAAGAAATCAAGGATTTGCGGGCTACCAATAAGAAGCAACTACGAAAAAAGAAGCTACCTAAGAAACAGATAGAGAGGTCTGAGGGTATGTTTGTTCATGAAGCCCATGGGCAAGGCATTGGTGTGCAAGGGGATAGAGAAGGTGATGGGGTAGGCTCTACAATACCCACACAGACGGCTTCGGTGCCCGGTGCCAGCACCAACAGACGGCAATATAAATGCAGTGTATGCGGAAAGCCTGGCCATAGGGCTAATAGATGTCCAGATAGGGGTTGAATTGAATACGAAGGCGTTATGGTTATTTAAATGCTTCATGAATATAGAATTAAATGGTTGGGTGGCGACCCGCTTGGGGTGGCGACCCGCTTGGGGTGGCGACCCGCTTGGGAAATACGTTCCAGTCGTTCGATTGCAAGCTTCTCTTGTCTACAAGTACTATTACCAGGAAGCAATGGGACAAAGTTTGGAAAAAGGACAGTTATCTGGACAAATTCCGACTTCCATGCGGTTCAATTAAGTCCTCAGCACAGCTGACGGTCCCGGGAGGATGCCCGCTATGACCCACCCGGTCTGATAGAAGACCATCATTGTCAACGAGGTCTGCCAAAAACTCCACGTTCTCAAAGCTCCCTAGCTAATCAGCAAGGAACTGTGTCCGTGTGGGGCTGTAGGAAAGCCCTGCGCTGATCTGGGAACATAATACCTAGCTCCAGGAACATATTCGACGGTCCTACATGTGACGCTTGGCCCAATTCAGACACTACTAACGGATATTACGTGAGATAGCCGCCTCTTTTACATATGAACCTCGCTCTCGAGTCGCATTTGAGACGATCGGTGCTCTAGGATTGTAGGAACAGCCGAGTGGTGGTACAGTCGATAGCGAAATCTGCTTCCACCCTGATGACTGCTTTTCTTTTCTCGGGCCCCACTGCCAAGGCCTTAGCGCAGATCATCTATTGATCGGGGTACAGTAAGTTGAGGGCCAGTGTGCCATGCCCGTGTACGGTAATGTATCTACTCCGTAATATTACACCTTCCGCTCTGAATTTTAGATGGTCAAGCTTGATCGTTGTGGTAACCGGTATTTTCCGGTGGCCCTCAACTTAGTGTGGTCTGGCCATTACAAGATCTGTGCTAGGGACTTGGCAGTGGGGCCCGAGAAAAGAAAAGCAGTCATCAGGGTGGAAGCAGATTTCGCAATTGACTGTAAGAGCAAGTCATCGACGCGCTCTATAGTAAAGCTTGAGGGGATGGATTATTAGCAGATGGAATCAAAGGCAGTGGGAGAGTAAAGATTTATGCACCCTGGCTGATCCGTTCTCTGTCAAGTGGCATGACTGAATATCGGTTGCCATGGAAACATAACAGACAAGAGTCACGTTATTGGATATTGGCTCAGGACAGTTTTGTAAAGAGCTGGGTGAAAAAATTTCGCTGGTAGACTTTGGGGGGTGGCAGGGTATTAGGGAATGCACGGACATCAGACCAGGTGGGGACAAATAAGCCAATAACATCTAATAAACACCGTCCTTCCTTTGCTGCTAACGTGGTGATCAAGTAAATTTCCTCGAACGAGTAAAACATTCACCGAGAGCTTCCTTGACGTTTGACATGCGCATAAAGGACAAGGACCGTGAGCACTAAAACAGCCTTTAACAAATGTTGACTTCCTATTTACTCACCGTTTATCGAGTTCGTCGTGTGCAATGGTCAACACACGTCCAGGATAAACCAACCCACCCGATTTCCACAATAACATTTCTTGAAGGGCATCCGTTTCCTCACCCTACCAAGCCGAGAGCTCGGACGTGTTGAATCGAGCTCCAACGCCATCGAAAATGAGCGGCTCATCAATTTTTCAACGCCGCCGCACTTAGTTGCGTTTGCCTATCTTGTTCTGGTCTGAACACAACTAGCTGTCTTTCTGATTAACCTACGATATGCCGAGCCGGAGAGCTATTCGATCATTGCTCCTAGGATCATGCTCACGGCCTCTGGGAGCTAAATGTCCTCCAGGAACTGTATCTATCACTCCTGGGAGCGAGACATCGTTCCTGGGCTCTCTACCTTGGATCCTGGAGCCACATCTGTCTCTAGGATCCACCAAGCCCGTCGCTAGGAACACCAACCCCGTCTCCAGGACCACCAACCCGGCCCCAGGATCCACCAACCCCGTCTCCAGGACCACCAATCCCGTCGCCAGGAACCACCAAGACCGTATCTAGGATCCACCATGGTCGTCGCCGGGAACCACGAACCCCGGCCCCAGGATCCATCAACCCCGGCCCAAGACCACCAAAGCCCGTCTCCAGGACCACCAATCTCGTCGCCAGGATCCACCAGCAGACCAACGAGCGGAGAGTCAGCCGAGACGGCTCCGGCGGAACGTTCTTCCAGCAATCAACAATGGACATCCGGTATATGGTTTCTCCGATCCTTGCTACAACGGGTACCCAGTCAATAATATCATGCAAGACGAGGGTGAACTATCCCGGTGGACTTCGCCTTACCAGCTTACTCACCTCTTAGCTCCAGTATATTTGTTCGTCGAGCATTAGAATGGTTTGGTCTTTGATGCGATTGAATCTAAATTCGACTCAGTCAGTAAATTCATAAACATGGTCCCCTTCAGAATCGGTAGCAGCCACGGCCCACACCTCACTCTCCAATAAGTCATTTACTCCCAATATGTTGTATCATCTCGCTATAGAAGTAGCTGAAGAGCAAGCTTACCCGTCTCCTCGTATGGCTGATTTGCCAAGTATGCCTCAGGCCACAGAAGGAGTCTGAGCGACGAAAGCTGACTCTCCACTACATAGTCAAGATAGACGTTTCAATAAGTAGATACATTTTTCAACCTTCCGCCACATGACACCCGACACCACTAGTACATTGTCAACTCAGATCAGACTCATATCCAGTCATCATAGAAACGACCATAGACGAGATCAACCGAGAATGAAAGAAATGGTATGAGGATCGAGAACGATGCTTGCAAATCTGTCGAAGGATCGGGTATAAACAGAGTCTTGAACATTCTAATTTGGCATAAATATCCAATCTTTAAACCTCTGTCTGTTTATCAGGACATCCATTTTGACTTGAATGCTCTACCATCCTCCCATCTAAAGTCCGCGTTTTCTCCTGGGCCTTCTCTATCACATCACCCTTGAGCACTGTATCGACGACAAAGAAATTACCGGCAAAGCAGAGACACATTAGAGGAATGAGTATGATAAAGACAACGCGAAACCCTTTCATTTCCGCATCGAGAATTTGAGAGCGGTACTCCTCGGTACTAACGTCGCTGGTACTCCAGTTTCCATCCAGAACTTCTGACAGAAGGTCCGAAGGAATGGTACCGCGCAAATTCCATTGTATAGCAGTGTTCTGTACCGCAGTTGAAATGGCAACGCCGAAGACAGATCCCAGAGACCGTAACAAATTTCGAGTGGAAGTCGCAACTGCACGATCCTCTGGTCTGGAGAGAGCTTGCACGGCTACAAGTCCTAGGTATTATATGGTCAACAAACTTGGGTTGTCGAAAATGGTAACAAGAAGAGGTTACCCGGTTGATGAACGAAGCCGACTCCAACACCTTCAATTGCAAGGACCACAACATAGATTGCGACGTGAGTATGTTGGGTGAATAGTAGATGGAGACCTGCTGCGAGTGTCCAAAGAAGAAATCCTGCACGCAGAACTGGTGAATACCTAAGGAATCAGGTTAGTGCAGTGTGGAATAGGAATGATATCTGGTACCTCGCAAATCGACTCATCAAAGGCCCCGACGCGGCACCAGCAAGACTTTGCGCCAACACGTATGGTAAAATCAAGGTGGCACTCTCCAGAGGGGAATAACCACGAATTTTTTGAAAGTACAGCGGCATGAAATACTGTGTTGCCTGCCAGACATAGTCGTGGAGTGCACCAGAGATCAACATAATGGTTAGAGACCGCTTTCGGAATAGGCGTAATGGCATGAGTGGGATCTTTGCAAGTAGACCCTCGTTGAAGACAAATAGAACAATAAATACGCCCCCAAGGGTGAGTAGCGCAATAATCAAAGAACTGTGCCAAGACCATATACTCCCACCGGAGTTAATTGGAATCTGTCCAAATCGATTATCAGTCATGTACCGGTCAATGAAAATTGCCAATCAAATCATAGAATCATACCAGCAGCAGAATAATCCCCGTAACAGAAGCACCAACTCCAAACCAATCAATCTTCTTCACCTTTTCCCGCCAGCTACCAACCACTGGCTTCAAAGGCAAAAGAAACACGAGCACCACCGCACACACCAAAGCAAGAATGGAGGGAACCCAAAACACCCACCTCCAACCATCCTCACCCCTCTGTACAAGACTGGCAGCAACAAATGGCCCTGTTAGGGCACCTAAACCAATAGCAATACTCACCATACCCTGATACTTCCCACGCTCCTTCAAGCTAACCAGATCACTAACAATAATGGCAACCAACGAACTAATCCCACCGGCCCCAATTCCACTAAGTGCACGCGTGATATATAGCCAAAGAGCGCTCCGCGCCCAGCCGGAAAGAAGATCGCCCAAGAAGATACATCCCACAGATGCGAGTAGTACGGGTTTGCGTCCAGCGATGTCAGATATGCGGCCATATAGTGGTTGGAAGACTGTCTGTCCGAGTAGAAAGGCAGTGCCCGCCCATGTGATTGTCGTTCCTGCTGAAAGGGCTGTTGAGATAGTTGGGAGAGCTGTTGTAGTTGAATTCATGTCAAGATAGGATATGAAATAGCAGGCGCAGAGGCAGAGATAGGCTGCGATTAGATTGGGGAAGGAGAGGCGTTGGGTTTGATCGTGGAGATCAGAATTCTCCATGGAGAACCCGCTTGGGTGAGCTTTAAGGCTGGGAGTTTCTGGAGTCATTGTTGGGCTTGTTCGTAGGGTCATGGAGACAGACTTTTCATCAAGTTAGATTGTTGATAGTAGTACTGAATCTCTTGTTTCGAATTTGGCCGGCTCTTATTTTTGGTAAGGTAAAGTGAAAGATCTTACTTTGGGTAAAAGAAACTTTTGATCAGCAAGAGCACGGTACTCGGAAGCTTTGAAGTGAGAGCAGGAATTAAAGAAATGGCGAGTTCCCGGGGATTATTGACTCACCCCGCGGTACTTCCAAATGTGGCAACCCGCATCAGCAGCGCGGACATTATGTGATTTTTTTGGAAGGTGATCAGACGACCTTTTTCTAAAAGCTCATTGAAATGACGCCATCCATCAAAGGTACTGAATGACACAATATCGGTACTTCCGAAAACCAAAAAGATTATTTCTCTTGAGGAAGGTGATCCGATCTATCCGCGAGATCAAGGTTGTTCAACGCCACAGTCGGTAACAAAGCTTCAAAGTCACTTTATAGTAGATAACATAATTTACCATACGATCTCCGCCGCGAATCTTCACTTGCACGATTTCTGGCCCCAGTTGCACCACTGGAAACCCCAATGCAATGCTGGAAGTTTACATTTGATGAAATAAATGTGAAAATCAAGCTAGAATCACAACACAGCACCACAATCTCATCACTGACGCTTAATTTTCCGCGCGTACAGACGTACTTGTTAAGAATAAAAAGTTTGTTAGGTGAACTGGAACGAAGGAAACGTGAAAAGGAACTTCATGGATGGTTAATATCTCCTATAAAGCAATATCATTCAAAGCATTGACATTTGAAGGTAAAGTGAAAGAATAGATAGACTAGACCGTCGCTAGCTGAAGGGCATTGATCTGCAACAAAGTTTTCACAGGAATGATTCGCTCGTCAGCTTCGCAACCAGACTTTTCGCCAAAAGCCAGCTCTTCAACAGCAGCCCTCATGTTCTCGATGGCACGCTTGTGGGCAATTACCAAATACTGCCTCGCCTCCTCATCCTTCTCATCACCCCAATAATCTCTCTCAAGCAAAGTTCGTAGTAGATAAGCGTAGTTCCGGGCTTTAAGAGAGGCTCTCGCATTCTCATTGTTGGCAAAGAGCCCTGGAATAATTGCCAACAAGTGATCCGAAACATTCTGAACGGCTCTGATCTTAGCCCGCATCAAATGGTTGGCATATATGATAATGTTGGCTCCAGCATCGACCAAACTAGCCCGTGTTGTGCTGGAATAGGTAGTCGGCACCACTACCAGAGGAGTAATTGGATCCCTGTCACGAAATCGTTCTAGGAATGCCAGAACCTCGAAGGGACTGGAGCTTTTGCTGTGGATCATGATTGCATCAGCACCCGCCTCAGTATACACGGCAGCACGTGCTAGAGCATCCTGTAGTGACGATTGAACAGAGGCCTCCTCTTCCGCGGCGTCATCCTTCGCAATACGGACGTTGAAGGATTCAATCCTTGCTGTGACTAGCAATTCCCTGCCAAGCGTGGCAGATCGAAATGCCTGAATGACTTTCGCAAATTCATGCGGGTCTGCCTGATCTTGAGACCCAATTGCTTTGAGAAGAGAATTGACTTTTTTGCCAGGTTCTTCTAAGGTCTTGTCTTCGACGATCACCATTGAAACTCCAATGGTTGTCAGCACAGCAACCAAAGCGGGAATATCGGCTACATCACCGCCACTATCAGCGTCGAAGGCAGCACATAGGGAACGATCATGTTTAGTATGTAGCTTGATGCTCCCAGCCTCCAGGATAGCACGACGGAGGGGCGAAATGATCTCCGTATCAGGGATGCCAAGATGAGTCGTTTGAGTGAGGCCGCTGATCCAGACACCTTGAAAAGACTGGCCGCTTTCACCCACGGTATCACGAATCAACTCAGTAGAGAATTGGTCATGGCTTTCAAGGAGACGGACTGGGCCCTTCTGAGCAAGAAATGATTTGATGGAAGTGTACATAATTCGGATGTTTACTTTGATCGGATGTTGAGCAAAGTTCAAGCTTTTTCCTTGTGGACAATGGGGATAGAGTTGATAGTAAGATCTTGAATACGTACAGAGACAGAAGGGCGGGATGGCATGTTTACTAGATATCTGGGGCCCCCGAGATTCGGATTTAACTTCCAATGCATAGTACTTTTGGAGAACATTGATTGCGGAATCTCGGATGGCTCTCCAAGGATTCAGCTACCTAGCCTGCATTATCAATAGCCATTTTAGTACAGTGGTACGTATTCTTTACGGAGAGGGACTGGATACGAAAAAACCCCCTGTCGCGGTCTTGCATATTAAGTGTGTGTTAGCCACACGAAGGACTTGAGCACGCGACATACTTCCAACATTTGCAGATCATGACACCTTGACCTTGAGTAGAACATGTTTAGAAAGACATGCATGGAGTCGTATCGTAGTTCAAGTCTAGACCTGTTCTAGTGACCTGCTGAGTATCATTTATAATATTTCGATACTCCTTATATGAGGGATTTTTTGCAAGTGTGTTAGCCAAACCAGGGATTTGAGCACGCGACATACTTCCAACATCTGCAGATCATGACACCGTGACCTTGAGTAGAACATTCTTAGAAAGACATGCATGGAGTCGCATCGTAGTTTAAGTCTAGACCTGCTGAGTATCATTTATAATATTCCCGATACTTTTTATATGAGGGATTTTTGCAATTACATCATCAAGAAATGACTATGTCGCAATAAAAATTTGCAGACTCGAAATTAGAACTTGATGAAGTGTCCTGGGAGTAAATTGATGTTCTCTTGTGTGGAGGACCAATATATATTTGCACCCGAAACTCTGTCTGGTTTTTTAATCAAACACTTTATCCGTCAAAGTATCGTCAAGTCACTCCTAAGTTCCAATACTACTATGGAACCTGCTGCCACTTCTTATGGTTTTTCAAACCTCGAGGCCATTCCGCTTGACCCGCATTATGCCCTCAAAGAGGCTTTTGCTGATGATCCCTCGGCCAAGAAAGTGATTCTTGGTTCGGGCATCTACCGAGATGGAAACTCAGAGCCTTGGGTATTGCCTTCAATCGAAGAAGTAAGTCTGCAGATTCGGCTGTGAGTATTTATGTCACTGACTCAAAAGAGGAAGGCTGAAAAGGAGGTCGACGAACACAAGAGTTCCGCTCGCTATGAGTACCTCCCCATATCTGGATATGCGCCATTTGTCACTGTGGCACGAGATTTGTTGTTTGGTCGTTATGGCGCTAAGGCGGATCACTTCGTGTCTTTACAAACGATATCCGGAACAGGGGCTAACTCACTGGGGGCACAATTTTTATCCAAGTCTTTGAGGCCATCGGCTGTATGGTTATCTAACCCAAGCTGGGTAAACCACTCCAATATCTGGGGCCTCGTGGGCGTCAAGGTCAAATACTACCCCTATTGGGATGCTCAAAAGAAGACTTTGGATTTTGACAGCATGGTCAAAAAGTTGGAGACAGAAACTGTTTCAGGAGACGTGATCTTATTACATGCCTGCGCTCATAACCCGACTGGAGTTGACCCGACCAAAGAACAATGGGCAAAAATTGCGGACATCTGTGAAAGCCGAGGCTTGTTTCCATTCTTCGACAGTGCATAGTAAGTCTACCTAAACTTTAACACCATCCTTTCAAGAACGAGTACTCATGAAACATCGAAAGCCAAGGATTTGCCTCCGGAGATCTGGACGAGGACGCATGGGCATTAAGACATTTTGTGTCCCGGGGAACTCTAGAGTTGGTGGCAGCTCAGTCATTTTCCAAGAATATGGGCCTTTACGGCGAGAGGGTTGGAGCCTTGCATCTCCTAACTAGTTCTCCAGAAGCAGCTGCGAAAGCAAAGGGACATCTGTGCCAACTTCAGCGAGGGCAAATTTCGCAGCCACCCAGGCGAGGAGCACATTTGGCCACAGCTATTCTCACAAATCAAGTATTATTCCAGAAATGGCTCATCGACCTCCATGAAATGAGCTCAAGAATCAAGAGTATGCGACAAGCATTGTATGAAGAATTGGTTTCTCTGGGAACACCCGGAAAGTGGGAACACATCATTTCCCAGGTTAGATACTAGCTGAAGACAATTGGAAACAAATACTAACGGTAATTAGATCGGAATGTTTTCTTATACCGGTCTGAGCTCCGTACAGGTAGAGACCATTCAATCAGAGAGTCATGTTTATATTCTGAAATCCGGACGAATCTCGGTTCCTGGTTGTGAGTTTTCATTTGAAGGTGGTATGTTTGAAGGTGGTATGACTTACGATTCTGACATTGAAAATTCAGTGAATGCAGCAAATGTCAAGCATGTGGCTAAGGGAATAGATACAGCAGTAAGAAGACACCCGGTCTAGCAGGCCTACCCACCCATATTGCCCCGCTCAAGATTTGGAGGTAAGGTGAAGATCAGTGGAGCCAGATGGAGATATGGCAATTGAAGTTGAATGCCAAGTCCAGACTAAACCCCACACCCTCAAGGATGAAAGGGCATCAATATTGAAGAATTCAGCAGCGTGGTCTATGGCCACCATAAGGATTTTGATCGACTTTTCTGCACTTAGTAGAAGCATAAAGCAAAAAATCAATTAGAAGTTTTATTGCCTTAAATCGCAAGACATAAAAACTGGACTTGAATTGATCGGATCATATTCGCTCACATAGATAAGGTGTTCTATTATTTAGCTTTATCTGTAATGCAATGCACATTAATGTACACATGAAAATTTTGGATCATGCAAGTACACCTATGAAGATTTCCCACTTGTGTGGATTTACTCAAGTTCATCCAGCACATGAGTAAACCAACATGATATGCAACATGATCTATGTGGGATTTCCACATAAAATCCACTTAACTTATCTGGACAATGAAGGTATTTTCGGTCAAATCACAATCTCTTGTTAGACAGATCATAAACAAATAGCTGCATTTCGACCTCGTCCGGTGTTTATGCGCCGTAAGAAAACCCCAAAGCGGCGGTGACGTAGCTACCACAGTAGTTTATTCAAATTCAGCTTTACCTCAGCTATGCAGATGATCCTAAAAAATTTGATTCCACTATCTTCTACGGAATGTTGATACGGGCACGAAGGGGCCGTAGATGGACCGGCCCGCGATTCGAGCCGAAGGTGGAAACAATAACGGGTAAAAATATAATCCGAAATGGTAGCAGCTATTTTTGGATGTCTCCGGCAAATCAAGGGGGCCCATTGACTTGGCCTTAGCTTACTAATGACCACTTTACGCACATTGAATCGAAGTAAATATCCATTTCTGCACCTTGGAGAAGGACAGAATCATCGTAATCTCATAAAAATATTTTTAGAAAAAATTCTAGTACATGAACAGCCTCGTATCTAGCGAGCTTCTATTGCTTGGAGTTATCGGCTACCAGATTTGGAGTCGGATAGTATGAGCTCTAATCAGTTAGCTTTTATCGTGTAACAACGTCATAACTAGGCGTACCAGATGTGAAGCAAGAAAGGCCCAAAAGCCCGAAGGGTCTGCTGACAGAATATGGACCTGGCCCGTCTCCCCCATGCGAATCCCCACGCATACATCGGCGTTGCATATCTTGCTGTATTCGTATGCCTTTTTCATCATATTTGCTCTGCGGCGACATTGCTTTTGACGCGCCAACTTTCTCATCGGGGAATGATTGGTTTTTTTTTGATTGTGACCATTGCTAGCGATCGTCTGTGAAGAGATAATATGAGGTAGGAGGTGGAAGTGAAATATGTATATATATAATTTACGAAAAAGTTCCATATTTGGACATGAGATTCAAGAACGCCGAGACGACCCTTTCTTTTCTAACCAGGACACCAAATGGGTGTGAAAGATTAGTTTCCGCATCACTTTTAACGTTCATGTCTCTTGAGTGTTCAGGTCCCCTTTCATGTGCTTCCAATACCCTTTTCGATGTGTGAAGAAACGACGCTGTTCTCAAGATGCTCGACCAACCGGTCAGCTCACCGTTTTTTAGTCTACAGTGCCGACCGTTATTGCCTTCCATATTGGAAGACAAAGGCCCAAAGCTCACCGTTCAGGAAATTTGGAATAATCACTGTGGGTCGAATCATGTATCTAGAACATAGTAGTTGTATGCTGGATATCGTCATATCGCCAAAAGTGAGCGGTCAGCGTAAATAAAACCTACCTACTGAAATGGGATAGGAAGCTCGAGGCAGCACGGTCGGTACGTGCAGGTCGAATGGGACAGAAGGATGAGGGTAAACCACACCCCAACTAGGGGTAACTGCTGGCACTCTCTCGAATAGGCTGGAACTCGTGTAATTGATCTCTGGGTGTTGCTAAAGATGCTGAATGTTATAAGGCTCCCTTCCAAATTAACGTGGTCGGTAAGCGAGCTGCGCATGTAAGCCAGCTGCGCACCCCAAAACACATAGTAAAAGTGATAAATTACATCAGAATATCTCAACAACGACAGATTATTTCAAAGCCGTATTGAAGTCTGAAGTTCTTTACAGTATATCTAGTAAGTTGATAAGGCTAAGAATTATTTATCCATAGCGTAATTGGGAGATATTGTTCTTGGTTGCTTTGTTTAGTGTATTTTTTGGTAATAAGATAAACTAACCTGTTTATTATACTTAGACTAATAGATGTTTCTTGTTTCACTATTAAAAATTAGTGTACCAATAATTAAGTAAGAATAACTCGTGCTTGTTGTTATAGCATCTAGCATTTACTGTGTGTTTTGGGGTGCGCAGCTGGCTTACATGCGCAGCTCGCTTACCGACCACGTTAGGCCAACTTCCTTACATAATCCCTATACTGGTGGCTCTTGACGGAGCGGTGGCTCTAAATGGAGTGATGGCTCTTATCGGAGCGGTGGGCTCTCGTCAGAGCGGTGGCTCTCATCGGAGTGATGGCTCGTATCGGACTGCTGGCGGGTGGACCAAGTTTTGATTGGCTCGCCGTTGCTACGTGCTCCGCTATAGAGTGCCCTGTTTCTAGGAACCAAGTGCGTAATTCTAGGAGCCAAAAAGTTCCTGAAACCTACTGTTACGATCCTAGAGTAATGAATCCCCAAGTGGTAATGGCCTCTCATCAGAGTGGTGTGGCTCTTGCCGGAGTGGTGGCTCTTGCCGGTGTGGTGGCTCTGAACGGAGCGGCTGAACGGAGCGGTGGCTCAGGGTCTAATGTTATCTTTTGTCAAAGGTTTTTCGCCATTGTGACCGCGATCTCGGTTAGTTTCATCTTGAAGAAATAATGTCGGTAAAGATCGAGCAAAAAAGTAGCTTAAGTGTCTGGTCAAAGATTGTCATTTCCTGCCTGGGTTTCCTGACGACGGTCTTGGTAGATCCTGGGGCCGGGTTGGTGTTACTGGAGACAGCTCGAGTAGTTCCTGGCGACGATTTTGGAGCCTCTAGTCCTCTGGGAATTGTGGTTAAGCTTCCCAGGATGCACGTAGATCGTGCGGGAGAACTCCACAGGGCCAAGATGATCCAAGAACCACTAGTATTACTTCGGTAGACTACTGAAAGGTGGGCAAGGGCTAGAGCAGAGAGACTCGCTCTTACCTCGTGTACCTAGAGCATAGGGGGCTATCTCTAGGATCGTCTGCAATGTCCCTTGGATCGATATCAAGGCTAGCTCTATTGACCCCAGGAACGTCTAAGTCGGCCCTGGGAGCTTTGTTGCCCCTGGGACCTCCATGACAGTTCCCAGAGGCAACCACAGGTCCTCCGGGATCGAATAGAGTGTCTCTAAGATCGTTAATTCCTGATTGTTTCAAAGAAGAGAAACATTGGCCGCTTCGCGGGTTCACGGTTTCTATGTCTTGCGGTCTCCTAAGCCCCACTTTGACATAAGCAATTACCACGGGATATAGACAGTTGCAATATGCTGTCTAGCGGAGCAAAGCTAATTCGAGCTTCACTTTCTTGCCTGGTCCATCTCCAAGACACGTTGGAATATCAGCGTACGTTCGAGATCGAGCCAGAGCAATGACGTCACTCGACCTTACTGGTGGATGATCGGTGCGGCTCTGTGGAGATTCAGGAATCCAATCAAAATAGACCATACCCCCTCCAGAATATGAACATACAAGGGCTTTAATATTGAACAAGACAACTGTGCGGTCTACCATTACAGTACGACCAATCTCTCAAGGATTGCTCTAGTGGAGAGCAAATATTCAACACTAACGCAGTCCAACTCAAACACTACCAGTTCGGAACACAGATGCTTCGGCGAAACAGACCGTCGAAGTCAGCATGTCAAAAGATGAAGTATACAATCTATTGTACCTTAGAGACCTGCACGTGGCTTTAATTAAGATTGGTAAACGGTGGTCAACGGTGGAACGAGATAGTCAATACGTCAGGGAAATTTTGAGGCGTATGATGAGAAGTAAGTTAGCTCTAATTTTCGAGGTTAATGGATCGTGGGAAAGCTGAGGAGACATATCTCCGTTCAGAATAAGGTTTAGACCGCCGTGGAAATGTTAGCATGTGTATATCGTGGGTGAGGATAAGGTATACGTAGACATTGACATGGCCCATGGGCCGGAACTTTTGTCCATGGACGGGCCGGCTTATTCTGTCCATGGACGGGCCGGCCCATGGGCCTCTTGGCGGCCCACGATACTAAGAGACATAATTTATGCAATTTATACAGTATTTTAGGTATTCGAGCCGTAAGATTCTAGATAATAAAGTCTTTAATTAACCTTAAAAGATAAGATAAAAAAGAGCCAAAAGAATGTATTATTTACTAATTTCGAACCCATCATAGATCTTTGGTACCTTCCTTGCCCTTCCAGAGTGACGTGTTTGACTCATTAAGGGTATACCACTATTATCTTCACTTTCTTCACTCTCATGATCAGTTAAAACACTATTTCGTCTCTTCCCTACCCGTATAGATACCCTCGCTTCCCTGTCACCTTCCTTAGTGTCACTAATAGGATCAATACCTTCCATACTAGCTGAAATCTGCTCATTTTCACCCTCTTTAGGGACCTTAAGGATCCGGGCTAGTTCAAGCTGTTTATCTTCTATCTCAAATTAGGTAAGGTATGAATATATTATGATATCCTGGATTGTTATTACGTTTAGACGGCCTCTGCGGTAGTGACAGATATCCCTTGCTAAATTGAATAGTCTTTCTACCCCTGCGCCAGTTGTAGGAATAGAGAAGATATCGCGGGCTACCCTTGTAAGGGTAGGGTATTCAGTAGTCTTCCGCACAACCCAATCTAACCCGGACCCAACCCGGACCTAACCCAGTCCGGGTTGGGTTTTGGGTCAGATTTCCTGACCCAACAATGGGTCCGGGTCAGGATGGGTAACCTAGTATTGGGTCCGGGGCCCCAAGTTAGGTTACAAATATTACAAACACGCTAAGACCCGTGACTACATAAATTGTGCATTTCTAGGTTGTAATATTGAGTATTTCTATTATAAGCTATACTTTTTACAAATGCGTTAAGTGGATATCCGCAGTATAGATTTCTAACGGCTATCAGAAATCTATGCTTTCTGCTACCTAGAAACTGTTCATATCCATACTACAATTTTTGACGGCCGTCAGAATTGTCGGCTTCGGCTTCTTACGAGGTCTAGTAACGATAAGAGCTTAGATAACTCAGTTACCCTACTGAATAATAAACTAATAGTACTTAAATAGATCATTATCTCGACTCTTCCGCTTCCGTCCCGACGCATATACCTAGGTATTATTCTTTGGTAGTGGTAGCTAGGATTAGTCGATAGCATACTGTCGGCCGTGAAGGGAGGCGGATACCACGAAGCTTTTCGTGGCGCGGGGTACGCTTTTGTAGATGCTTCCCCACCACGGACCGTTTACTACCCGACCAAGGAAGGCTTGATCGGATAAAGATGGAAAAGAATAAGATAGAGTGCAAAGGGCTTATGCACTCTAAATGAATACAATCCACAATCCTCAAACAAAGGACTAAGAAGAAGGTCTTTCTAAGCAGATAGAAAGGGATAGTAGAATATTTGAAGAGAGTGAAAGGTCTGTCATTTCTACTTGGTGTGTCGCGCGTATTTATAGACAGAAAGTGGTCAAAGTCACATGCTTTATATCAGATAAACAGAATAGAATCAGGGAAGGAAATGTGATAGAACTGATGGCGTTATGAGGGATATGTCATCGATCTGATGGGGTAAAGAGGGGTAAGCGGTTTGGAGGGGTAAATCATGTTCGCATTTCTTTTCTTCTTCTTCTTCTTCTTCTTATGTTGAATAAGAGGATACCTTCACCTAATGTAGCATTGGTCCAAATTCCAACAGGAACTCACCTTATAATGCCGCATCGACCTAGGTCAGGCGAGTGTGCGGTATTTTCGCTATTGGCTCGTATTACGATTGTATGCTATCGAGATTCACCGATTAGGTGAGGATAGGCCGGAGGGGCCGACGATAACGAAAACTGCGAGGCCAAGGCGTCTGGGAGCAAGTGGTCAAGAGTAGATCTACGACGCCAAGGGCTATACACTGTAACTTCTGATAGGGCGTTAGATGGGGCGGAAGAAGCGGAGCACGAAGCGTCGAACAAGGCAACCGGGGAGACTTCGCAACCAGCGAAGTCAGGGGGGAAAACAGAGACCTTCAGGCCTCACTAGCGGAAGGCAACCGAGATAGCTTTGTAGCAAGATCCACGGTGAATCGTTTGGGAGGTGAATCGTTTGGGAAAGAAAAAAAAGGGAATTAACGCGTAACCACACAACAACAACCACGCGATGTCAAGCATTCAATACGATGGAGGACTGGATCACCTCAGTGTTTCAGCTCCTAGGCGACTGGATAGAGCGACATCTCCGGCGAAATGAAAGGGGCAGTGCATCAGGCTGAAAGTCAATGCGCAAGTGACAGTGGGGGCCGAGAAAGAAGGGGGTTAGGGGGAAAGAAGGGGGAAAGAGAAGGGAAAGTGCGTCGACAAAGAGGAGGAGAGGGCGAAGGGCCTTTTATAGATGGACGGCTGATGGGGAGGGCGGTAAAAGCGGCGTGGGCAGGCACTAAACCCGAACGGGGGCCGGGGGAGGACGCCATGCCCGAACGGGAAGGGGGGACGGCGGAGACGGGCAGGCGGTCGGGGGCGGCCGATCAGCGGTGCAATGAGCGCCGTTTCTGGCGGCCCGCTCACCGTGTCCTCGTATGCTCTTTTTGTCCTTTTCCCTAGATATAAGGATTAATTCAAGTCTTACGTGCTTCGCTCAATTAAGCTAAACTAAAAATGGCCCCTTCTACGCTAAGCTTAAGCTAGTGTGCCCGTTCTTCTTAATTAATTACCACCCCGACATAGACTAATGATAGTTCTAGTTCGGGGACCCAGCAGGCTCTAGGTGAAGTGTCTTATCAAAAAGAGAGAGTTTGAACATGCTACGAATACTCATGAAAGTGAACCTGCTTCCCTCCCGTCACTGTTGAGCAGGTGTGTAAAATAACTAATTTTATCGGCCATGCCACGATTATGGAGAGAGCCTCGCGTGCTAGTCTTCAGTCGCGATCTCCGAGGAAACAGGAAGTTTGGTGAGGCTTTGTGCTTGTTTTGAAGAAGTCTATAATTCAGGGACCCAAAAGTGACACGAATATTTGTAGTAACCCTGCATTCCGCTCAGTGATGAGTCAAGCTTTATATCGATAATATTCACCTGCCCACATACCTGCTGCTTGAGCTTAAAGATTCTCTCTGGAATCACTCTTGTTTCGATTCCTGCTGTCCCAATCCGCTTGAGTGAAAGGTGGGTTGGGAACGAATAACATGTGTTTATGCCTGCCACTCCGAATGGAAGATGAAGCTGAGCCCCCTTCATAATGTTCTCTATTGCCATCTCCATAATCGCGCGTCCTTTGACGGTCGCCAGACACAGTCACATCCGCCTGATATGGTGTTTCTTGGCTATGTGGTGATGCTATCACGCTAGGCAAACGACTATCAAAACGTAATCGCGTAATGTCTAGTCGCATGTTCCTTGGTTTTTGCATGCGTATGGGATCGCGAGCCCTTGGTGTTGGGGTCATAACACGTGAAGAATTATTTCGTCCTTCCCGAGCGATAACTGCTCGTGCCCCGGCGACGGGCACTTTCTGGATCTGTTTAATGATGACGATCATCGATTCTGTGTTGGATATCAGTGGCGACTCGTGGACGTTGTGAAGTGTATCATTCATTGTCTTGGCCAGTTTCTTCAAAGACTTGTTCTGGCGATGAACCATCTTTTTTAACGTGGTTCTGTAAATGGAAAAAGCGGTTTAGTCATGATATTAATATGCGTGATCAGCTAGGGAGTCTCACATCTGACTAAGAAGCAAATCGTGGTTGTCATTTGCTGTTGACTGCTGTGAGAATCTCGCGAGAGAGCCTTCCAATGCCAAGAGACAAGAAAGCAAGCCAAGACTGTGCTTCACAGTACTAAATGTGATCATTAAAGCTTGGATCTCCTGCTTCGTAAAATGCCACCGAACCTTTGCTAAAATTTCATCAAATGAGCTGGGGCTGCTACCCTTCATGAGCGGCTTGAACTTGGTCATAATGTGATTGATTTGCTCAAGAGCCGAAGAGGCCTGGGTCTGCAATCTTTCATCAAGGTTTTTCTCGCGAGCCAACGTCATCACTCCGCTGCCCAGAGGGCGTGTGACATCGTTGAAGATACTAAAAAGACCTTGACAAATATAAACCTCCTCCATCAGCTGTCGCACGTCCCGTTTCGCGAACTTCAAGGTATTGTATAATTGACGAAGGCATTTAATGCATGCTTCCAGTTGACCGCAAACCGCAAATACTGAAGCTACTCCACTGAAGAGATCCATGATTCCTTCCGTACAGTAAGTCAATAAGGCATTCTCTTTGCCCGCATTTAAGCAACGTGTGTAAAAGAGAATGAGGCTCTGCATAAGTGCCAGACCTTGGCAACCTACCAGGACTTCTGAGGCATCCAATCAGCCAGGACCACGACATCGGAGCTGTTGAACATCAGGTCCGTGCACGCTGTACAGCGGCATCGTGTTTTCAGCCAGTTCAGTAATGGAATTAGCCGCCCTCTTGACATGGTTCGGTTCGTTCGGAATCAGTGGGCTTCCCCGCACCGTCTACATACGACCAAGCACATTAAGCCTGCAGGCACCAACGAGTTCTAGAAAGAATCGAGGAGAACGAAATGGTGAACCAGATTTTGATCCACCCAGCAACCAGTCACATTTCGTCGGGCTAGACACTGTCTGCGTCTCTGATGCACGGCATGAACAACGCACCTGACAGGGTCGTATTTGGTGGCTACTATGACTGAACTAACGCATGATTTTCCACGCTAGAAAGCACATTTTTGGGGCCCTTTGATTAGGAATGGCGCACCATACTCCTCCAAGTCCCCAAATCACGTGTATTTCCTAATACCTAACCCCCTCCAGGGCCCTATGCGTTTCATTTGTTTACTAATTTGTAAGAAGTCCGAAGGATGATGAGTCGTGACCACGGCGAAGGTTCATTACCTGTCTACCTTGCCGGACGTTCCGACCATGTCTCCGTTCTTAATACATCCAAATTTCCGCCCAGAAAGTGGATTCTCTGTTGCGAGATATTGCACAAACACTTTTTATTTCAAATTGGCGTTGCTTCGCTAAAAGTGATGCGTTTTTTAAACGAGAAGCTTGCGCTTGACAGTTTCCAACGCATCATGTGTCTTTTCTTTTTGCTATTTTTTTGGAGTGCAACATAAGGGCTGTCTACTAACATGTAATATCTAGTGAGGACTCATTTTATTTGTCAGTATTTCAGACTGATCCCAAAATGATATCAACGAACTATATCAAATTGCAGAGAAAGGTCATATATTGGACAGCACATACAATCTCACATTTCTTTACAGATCTAAGATCCTGCTGGAGACGAAGTGAAACGAAATGGGATTGACGCACTGTGTGTCAAACGACAGAAATTCGACGTGGTAACTTTAGTCAGTAAGACCAAATCTTTCTCCATCAATTTCGTAGTAGGGCGGCTGGGCACCAGCAGCACGGTGAGCGTCGAAGCGCCAGATTCCTCCGGTCTTGTCGCAATTTAAATTTGGAGCAAATCCAAGTAAACTGGCGAGTTCTTGAACAGTAGCATCATCATCTTCAGGGCCGATTCGATTGAAAAAACGACGCTTCCATTCACGGCCCTCGGCTTTCTCGACACGACGCAACTCGCGTTGTGCTTGCTCGATGCGCGCTTTATACCTAGAAACAGCGCCCATGTCATTTTTTCGGATACTATTTGAAACATCTCTCCAAGCGCGACGGCTCTCGTACAGATCCTGCTGCTCGATGGGGGCCAGGGTCAGTGGGGTGGTCGTGTTCTCCGTCGCATCCCAGTGGTCGACTTCCTCCATGTTCTTTCTGATGAGGAAATTCCCAGACCATTGACCATGGACATTATAAATAGGATCTTCTTTACCTCCACTTTCCTTATACAAGGTGGCAGTAAAGAAATCTTTCTTACCACTAAACCAGCCCTTGCTCAAAAAGTCTATCTCGGCAATAAAGCCATTACTGCTTGCTATCTTCGCAGAATTCTCTAGTTCGACGAATGGTGAACCATAAAACAAGGAATGAACCCGCAATGCTGGAAGGGTGATCATGTATGTCTCTTTTTCGGAAGAGCCGGGCGGAGCGACTTTGTACAAGGCATGACCAAACTGCTTGATTCGAACGTTTGCAAAAAAAGAAACTTTTTGGGCATTATATCCTTGGAGCTGAAGTTAAAAGGTCAGAACTCCAGCGTTTTGGTGATAATAAGCTGCTGATGTTAAGATGAGACTGACCTCAACCCCGTGCTCCTCATTCCGGATCGCGTACGCCGTAGATGGAGGATGGTGGCTAGCATGCGGTATTTGCATAAGAAAGTTGGCGTTATCGTGAAAAATCCATGGGATTACTTACCTCACCTGCTCACTTATCAATGTAGTCTCCCCAACATCGTTAGACCCAGGCAGCCAGCTTCCGATAAACAACTCACCCAGGAAAGGGTTAAGCGGCTTTTTTTCACTCCCTAATTTCTCACTGCGGCTAAAATATTGCTGGCGCAGAGTAGTCAGAAACCACTTTAGAACGAGCAGTGCCCGCTTCTCAGGGTTGGGTTCTTTGCTGGGAGCGATGAAGACTTCAGGATGTTCGGCCCAGTGTGCAGAGTATTCGATAAGGGAGGTGGAGGACAGCAAGAATGGTGGGGCTGTCAAAGTTGAAATGTCGCCTTTGAAAGAGGTGATCGACTTAACACTTGATCAGCGCACAGATCCTGAAGTTGGAATTGCGTGCCAGCTTACCTTAAGAAAAGCGGACCACGTACCCGTACTCTGGGCGGAGTCATAACTGAATGTTTTCTTCTCTGGAGACATATTATATTCTCTCAAATGTTAGGCCGATTAAGCAAAATCTCGGGAAACATTTGAATGAGGACTTAATCTTTAAGATAGCATAATCCATGACGTATTCATTGGGTTCCGCGGAGACACTTCGGCGGTCAGCAGATAACGCCAGTCCTCAAAGGGTTGGCGGTAAACCCACTCTTATCGATTGATTTCTCTTTTCCTGGCGACAATCAGACGCAATTCTAAAAAACTAAGATTTCCATATTTTGGAAAGCAATTCCAGGTGAATTACAGTAACAGATTCTAAAGACCCAGACTTGAATTTCAATCGAGACTTGGGCCAACCTCGCAGACTATGGCTGGCACAAGAATAAGCCTCGGAAATGACCGTATTGCTTATGCCCAAGGTATTCGTGACACCTCAGGCCATAACTGCATCTATTATGTCATGCACTTCACCACTACAACATGTATTATATTACTAGCTCAGAAGCCTATATTAATTTATCAAGTGTCGGTTCAGGAGGGAGGCGGATACCACGATAGCTTTATCGTGGCTCCGGGTAGGCTTTTTGGCGTGCTTCCCTACGACGGACCGTGGACTACCCGACCAAGGAAGGCTTGATCGGATAAAGGATGAAAATCAATAAGATAGAGTGCAAAGGGCTTATGCACTCTAAATTAATACAATCCACAATCCTCAAACAAAGGACTAGAATAGAAGGTGAAAGGATAGTAGAGTATTTGAAGAGAGTAAAGGTCTATTATTTCTACTTAATGTCCCGCGCGTATTAATAGACAAAAAGTGCTGAAAGTCACATGCTTTGGGTTAAATTCTATAAAACAAGAAATCTTATAGGCCCTTTCAAAGTAGTTGTATATAATCTAATCTAACGTACCAAGGATATAATCACGGAAATCTACGATGAGTATACTCTAGCCTAGAATAAATACTACGAAACGGAAGGTATACTATAGATTCAAATATAACGCTTAATAAAGTATATCAAAGCGATAGAGTAGCAGAACTGAAACCTTCAGAAGACGATGTAGAGCCTAGAGGATGATCTAGCAAGTGAGAGACAGAAGGGCTCTAAAAAACCAGAAGGCCTATGAGGCAAGGTTAGAAACTTATCAAGGCACGAAATTACAGTAGCTTACGGGTAAGTCACCACATAGCTATACGATAATTTTTCAAGGCAAAGTATAATAGATAGCATCTCTTCATCTACGGACCAGGTCAAGAAACAATTTTTATGCTTTCAATCTTTGTACAGTAACTTCATTTACCCTGACCTCTCGCAAAATTGAAAGCGATATACAGGCTACCTCAAATATATAAAGCCATATGTGTGTAGACAGAAAGCATCATGAGTAATTTGAAACTCTGTTTTGAGGTTAGCTGGTACTTTTATTTTCAAGTGGGCTGAATCGCATACTCAATCAAGTTACCATCAGGATCCCTCACATAGACACTCCGAAGCTTGCCAATTGCCCCGGTTCGATCCACGATCTTGGCTCCCTCCAATACCTGCAGATCGTTAGCTTATCCTGTAAATCAAATCAAGCCTTCGCTTTTACCTCAATCTTTGCTTTTTGAAAAGCTTGCAGCACCTTTTCCACATTCTCATCCGTCAAAAAGCACAAGTCTCCACTCCCCGGCATGACATTCTGCGCTTTGGGCTCAAACTCTTTGCCTGATTGATGAAGGTTAATTTTCTGGCTGCCGAAGAGGAGAGCATGCCTATTGATTTTCAATCAGATGTTTCAGTTGAAATTCAAGGGTGTAGAATTACCTTTGAACGGCGGGGTTGGCCGGTGAGGTGAAGACCTCGTGACGCATCCCTAAATGCGTCTTGTAGAAAGCCACTGTCTCTGGAATGGAGCGGACTGTAAGAACAAAATGGTCTAGAGACTTGACTGCGAAGCTTGCTGCCATCTTGAGCAGATTCTTTGTGCTCCGTAGATGAGGCGAGGCGGTTGTTTATGACTGCCTGTCTCGAAGTGACAAAAGTCGCATTACTCATCGGAGGTCGCTTTCGGCTTCTTCCAAGCAATTCACCGAGCCTCATCGGACTTTCAATTTTTTGGCCGATTATCAATGAATTGACAAAGTTTTTTGTATGTTAGATGCTGGACCGAGTTTGGTCATGAATCTTACTGGACGATTCTGTTGTCCGGTCTTTACAATTCTATTTTTAAGGCTCGACATCGATTTGCTCTTAGCATAGAACTCATACTCCATACAGCAACTATGTGGGAAGTTCAAAACTATCACATCGGCTAAAATTCAGACTTATTCCAGTCTCCAGTCTGATGAGGCTTCCAGAAATTCAACCTGGTCAGGGCGCGCGCTATCTCTCTAAATCGGCCCCCACTTCAATTATTGCCCGTAGCCCAGTCATGACCAGAACTAGCCCGAATAAGTCTGGTTTTGCCCGCACCATCGCATCACTAGTACTAATTAGTCCAGGGCACGGGTCGAACGGCTTCCCTTATGTGCAAGGTCATCGGGCGTAGTAACGCATTAAAATGTCTCAACCAAAAACCCATGCGTCATTTTATGACCCTTGCACCTACAAAAGTCCATCTTTCGCCAACTTTGAGCAACACATGACGAGTCCCCGATAGCTTTACCATCATGTCTTACACTTCCTACTCCGATGCGCGCATGTCGCATAACTTTCGCCCCACTCCTCGCAAATCATTAAGATCACCGGAGCGCGAGATCGCCTTCCGAAAAGAGCAGATCGCAACGACCAAACGATCTTTAATTCTCAAGCCACAGGGCGATGCACAGTCTGCAATATCGTACAAAATCACCGACGAACATGGTGTAACCGAGTTCACGGTGACTGGACGAAAATACGGCGATCGCTCGTGTCGCGAGTTGCGCGATTCCTCGGGTCTACCATACTTCGAGCTTCACACATCCGGTCTGGCTTCACTTTCCTCTCGTTGGTATATCACCTTGCCCGGTGGCGGGGATCAGAAAGTGGCAAAGGCTGGTCCTCAATTTTCTTGGAATGGAAGTGTCATGAAATTCACTTTCCAAAATATGGCTGCCAGTGACACGAAACGCGCGGAAGATAAAGAGCTTACGCTCAATGTGACGAAACATGGAGCCGTACTTAACTTCTTTGATATCGTTGATGTTGATCGGAGGATCGCGGAGGTGCGCGAGAGTGTCCAGCACAACGAAAAGTTGAATTTGAGGAAATCGTCGCGGGGAGGGGGTCATCGGCCCACCCTGGATTTGACCGTCATGCCTGGTGTGGATGTTTCACTGGTGAGTCTCCAACGCAATATCGTTTGTATAACATTAAGGTAAGCTAAATTTGGTTTATAGGTAGCGGCGATTGCAGTCATCTTGTCTGATTGGTATTTTGGATCTAATTAAGTATAGATTAACGATATTAGTATGACCCGTACAAATCGCTGCAAAATGTACACTAATTAATCAATTGCCACAAGCTCCACTACCTGTGTTTTTTTTCTTTTAATTCAAGCTTGTCATCTCCCTCTAGCACCAAGTGTGCTGGGTCCTCCTGCACGAAATAGTCGCGATCCTCCGTCGTGGCAAACTCGGAAACGAAGACCTGAGTGATCCCGTACTAAATGGTCAGCGAGCAATCAGAAACGCTCAATGAGTTGGATTTCACCTAGAGATTCTCAATATACATGTCGACACCTATTTTCATACAAAAGATATATGGTCGGCCTGTCTGTGAAAGGCCGAATTCGTCTTTCAGTCGTTGAATTCCGGTCGCCACCTCTTCCATCGGTGAATGGTCTCATACGGCTCCTACAGACATGCATATTTCTGGCATGCGTCATAGCTGGCCTCTTGAGAGATGTTAAGCAGAACGATGCGTGTAACTGGCATGTTGATTTATTCAGTAATAATTGAGCTTGCCTCATAATGCCTGCCTTGATCATAGTGCTTAGGTCTAGACTTAGAATAATAGCAATTAAAAAATCCTTGTCTGATCAAGATCTTACAGCTCAATCATTGGCTCGGGGACCATTAAAGGAAAGCTTTTCGTCGGCTATTCCACAATCCACCCCAACATGACGGCCGCCTTCGCACAGCAATTCCAGGATGCCGGTGATGAATTTGTGCTGAATTTGTCGCCAGTCCTGTCTTTGATGCCCGGGCCATGCCACTGCAAGACAAGGTATCTGCGTGCACGCAGCTCCCCGCGAGTCCACCAAGATGGTGAAGCCGTATACAACTAGGGCGATCGCAAAGAATTTCATCAACTACAGTAACTACCAAGGCCTCGCAGCTCAAGGAGCTCGGCAAAACCTTTGTGCTGAGCATGGTCAGGACTGTTGTCCAAAGGCTTGTTATTGCTGACAAGTGCGGCTTGGAAACCGATGCGCTGCACGATTTCTTTGACGCTATCTTCCCAGGCCCTTACGTCGCCAATTCTAACCGGTATGCTCGAGCAATTACCACGAACGTGCAGAGTCTCTCTTCACAGTTATCTTGCTTAAGCATGCACGCCGCGCTTTGTATATGATTTCCAAGTCTGGTGCTGCCATGAAGAGCGTCGAATTGGCCGATGCGTATATGGCGCTGGTTAAGGAGCATATGGGTGCGGGTGCGCTGAGCGATCTGAAACGAGTCTACTTTGCAATTCGAGAGTCAGGAGTAGATTCATATTGCCATGAACTCCGTAGAAAATTACACATTTTGAGGGTTGCGGGTTTCCTGACGTGATGAGGCAGTGATTAGACACAGCCCCAGGCAACAAGCTGACATGGAACAGTGACTCGTCACTTTCAGCCTCAGCCTCCAAACGCCGACATTAAATAGTCGGTCAGGTACGTCAATCACGGAAGGGTTTAGATCATCTCTATCACCTCCCAGGATCGTATCAGCTTTTGTTGCCGATCGCGGGACCCCGCACTGCCTCACGAAAGCCCTTGCAGCTCAATATCGACACCTCTCGATTATTCAACAAATAAACCAGCGTCTCATTCATGATGGACCCTAAGGTTGGAGTCGGCGTGTTTGCTTTGAATTCCGAGGGCAAGTTCATCCTCGGAGAGCGAAAGGGAAGCCACGGTGCCGGTGAGTTAGCGACTCCAGCACAATCTGTTCAACCTCACACAATCCCACAATCCCACAATCCCAGGCAAAGTGCACAATTTCAATATTCTGATCTTTGCAGGCACATGGGCTTTACCGGGCGGACATCTTGAATTCGGTGAATCTTTCGAGACTTGCGCTGCACGCGAACTGCTCGAGGAAACGGGTCTGCAGATCCAAAACCTGCAGTTCCTGACAGCCGTCAATAGCGTCTTCGAAAAGGAGAACAAGCACTACATCACCATTTTCATGGCTGGAACTGTGCATGACGCAGCGCAGCCTCAGGTTAGTACATCATGTATTGTTTTTGCTTTTGCTTTTCCCCTTTTCTGTGCATAGTCTAACGGCCAATAAGAACCTCGAACCTGAAAAGTGCACTGGGTGGGAATGGGTCTCTTGGGACGAGCTCAAGGCTGACCGCGAAGCTCAATTGAGTTCGTCTGGCGGTCGCAACTTGTTCTTACCATTGATGGAGTTGCTCAATCAACGTCCTATGTTCAAGGATCAGTTGAGCCAGGTATCTTGAGTCCCACAGACATAGACGACGTTATGAGTGTCGACTTTCTTAACTGCATCTGCCGATATGCAGGTCAAAGTCAATAAATCGGCAAATAGATGATTCTCGCAGAACAAAAACAATGATATGTGCTTTTTCCAGGGTCAACTATGTATGCGCCGTGCAACCATACAGAGCGTGATAAGCAATGCCAATATCACGTTCTCCATAGGAACAGACCGCCACAACTTGGCACTGTGAATCGTCGGAACTGTTGTCACTGGTTAGAAAATCCTAGACGTGTTATAAGGCTCTGTGTTCCTCCCGAAGAACTCTACCTGAACAGGAATAATTCACACTTTGACAGTGACACCTCTTCCAGCGCCATTGTCCTTCAATCGATACCGGTTTATCAACAACATTTTAAAAAAGTTTTATTACGCTTTAGCTTCAACCATAATCATGCTTTTCAAAAACTTTCTCATCGCCTCCACCTTCGCTCTCCTGAGCGGCACTTTCGCAGCGGAAGAAGCGGGTCACGACGACGCTCCCAAGCAGAATGTCGGGAATCTGCATGTCGGGGATCTGGATGTACTTCGCGCACGGAACCCTACCCTTCTCGAAGATATGGAAGGTCTAGTCCTCGCAGGCTCTTCTAGCCCGACGGCCACCCCGACAGGTTCCTCGAGCAGCTTCTCTCACGTCGCTCAAATCAGCCCAACGCGGGCACCTCGTCGCCAGAAGCGCAACCCCGGCCTCCTTGCTAAAGCAGGGAGCATTATTGCTGGCGCTGATCAGACGTCCTCGACTTCTGCGTCTTCGGCTGCTCCCTCCGACTTTTATAGTCAGCACGGGAAACCGAGCCAGTATTCGAATTCGAGGGGAAAGCGAGCTCTGGAGACACCTGGCTCTACCCCCAGCTCAATGCCGGTTCGAATGTCTAGCGTGATCCCCACTCCGACCCCCAGACCGTCAATGATGAAGAAAGTCAAGTCGACTTGAGTCCGATGCAACGCCTCTTCAACCACCTTGGAAGCGTGATCTTCCAAACTGCATGGGCTCTAAAGGACGCATCTCATGGCTCTTACTTGGAGGTACATGAACCGCTTCAGTGCTAAGAAACATGATGGTCCAAGAGGGGGTGAATGTTATAAATATGACAGTCGAGGAAATCAGGTACACAGTAGAGCTGTGAATCTGGGTTGACTGGCGTGAAATTATAATTCTTCGGTGATGGTACTGTTTTAAATAACTTCTAGCTAATATCAGTCCATAAATTTCGGGGTTCAAAGCTCTCAGACGTCCCTAGAAAAGGCTATAGCGCTACCAGTTGGCCTTCCCTGACTCATGATCTTGTAATCCATAGAATTAACCATATTTTTGGTGAAGACTCTGGGATCGCGAGTTCCTGCGTTTCCTTCCTGTTAGAGCAGATCTTCCGAGCGCCTCGAGGGCAAAAGTGGCGCTTTAAGACCGATTTTGTTTAACACCAACCTTCCGAGTTATATTCATTTACAATTTGTGTCTTCAATTAGATCCTTGGCAATAGGTTTGGCGTTGTTCCTCAACAGATGTTGCATACCCAGGGGCTTCGCATATCATATTCAGGGGCCACTGACTAGAGGAGTGCACAGAAATCTGAGAGACCATTTGGGAGGCACTCCAGTAGAGGCTTTAAAGTTTTCAGAAGAAGCATCGGTGGGCAATGGATGAGCCTCAAGATTTCGACATATAGTATAGAAAATCGAGTAATGTGCTCTATATCTAGTTGTGCATTCAAGACGAAGCAGTCTGAAGCTAGCCTCTATTACTGCTTCTCCTCTTCGAAATCCTTTGCTTCTCTATTGATTACGGCAAAATTTACTTCTTCCGTGGGTTCTACTTACTCTTCGAACTGTATAACTTCACCAAGCTCTAGTTTATCGGCGATCTAACTTGAGCTAATATACTTTTCGCCCAGACTCGGCAGCAATGAACGCTCGCAAGCGAATTGCGCTCGCATGTAGAGGCTGTCGGTCAAAAAGGTCCAATTTAAAACTCGAGACCCACCTGGGAGCTTTGTGAACATTTTTTCCATCTCAATTCAGTGTGATGGTAATCAGCCAAATCGCAGCGACCACAGTTATCGCGCGGAGAAATGCCAGTATAAGGACGCAGAATGTAAGCGACAATATGTCGAAGCTTCACTAGAAAAAGCCAAACGCATGAGCTGGCGGACGATTTACTACTATGTGGTAAAGAGGGGTACCGCTGGTTCTGTGCATGCATGCATTTAATAACAGGGATTATTGCGACGTGGTGCGAATCATGTGGACACTGTTCATTGCCACAAGATATGACCTGCGGCATGATCCTACATATATCTTGCCATGTCATCTCTTTCTCCTTTGCTCTTATTTAGGATGCTTTAAAAATTCAGACGAGTAGTTGCTGGAGGCGAGTATATCAGGGCCAGGAACCCCGCCCATAGCTAAAGGCTGTCCCGCCTTGGGGAGACCGCCATGCTAGCTCTCCTGGGTGAACTAATAAGCCTCCCAAGGTCTGAATGGCCTGAAATACTCTATCTTTTAGCTTTCAATTGCAACCATCCTCTAACAGACCCTTAATTTCCTCTGCGCTGTCAATTATTGCGCTTCTCTTGGCCCCTTCGTTCAAAAAGTCCGAGGCACTGAGCCCATCACTATGTATTTGACTAATATGTCGTGTGGAATTATAAAACCGAATGACATCTTCGAGCTAGTTCATTTTAAAAGAGATGATAGGGTCCATCTAAAGCGGTCGGATGTTCAAATAATCACCCGAAGCAATGCTTTCAAAAATCCATCTGCTTTGGCAGCCGATTTGGGGAAGACTTTTTTTGTTTCTTTAGTATATTTCCTAAGAGCTGATACGTTCGGGAAATGTTCGACTGATTCGCCAGTTCGTCGAGTATCAACCAAGTCAACCAAATTGACATGGACTTTGGCAAGCGCCTATCCAGACTCAGCCTCACAAAGAAGATAAGAACCCGAAGCAGATTGTTACCTTGCGGCATTTAGTAATGCTCCCAATAGCTTGCCCAATGTCAAGTTCTATACATAGTCTCTGCCAGTTTTCTAACTTCGTAGCGTCGGAACCGTAATGAATATTGAACTCCGAAGCAAGAAAATCCGATCTTTCGTGTTTGTACTTCTTTGAGCCTCGTTTCCATTTCATTTGACGTGCAAGGCGGTTGAACTCATCATTTGAAGGTAACGCAGGCTTTCTCTGAAAATGGGGGAAACGGAGGAAGTAATCGGGGCTTTCCATGTTGAAGCCAAGTGAAGTAATAACAAATACTTTAGTATGAATTTGAAAGATATATTGGCTTCTATTTAAGACTGGAGTTTAGTCTACATGATAAGGTGAGCTCATGTCAAAAGAATCTAAGCTACCCGCCTCACTCCTATGCATGAATGCCCGACAAAATGCAAACACCGATGTGACTGTATTGACCTGCTTCGAGCCCTAGCGTGCTACCGGACAGGGGTGTACTTGCGCTCCCCAGCTGACGTCGGCCGTATACGATCTCACAGAAATTAAACTATCCAACCCATCATGATCACACTTTCCGCATTCTCAACATTCACTTACCACAATTAGTGGTATGGCTTGATATCAAGTTATTTTTGGGATTCAAGAAAATAATCTTGAGATTTCTCGTTCGTAATATTCCTGTTTGATCTTTCTTTCCATTGAATGGTATTTCAGTGCCGAGCATTATCAAAGGTGTTGGATTCGCTGTACCTTCTGTCTAAAATTTGAATGGATGAACAGTGAGTATGGAGGAAACTTTGTCTGAGTCTCTATAGTCTACGTCGATGGCTCTCTAATAGTTCTCTAATAGTTCTCAGTGTTGCAAACCCACATCTCTGTTCCTTCATCCAGACAAATACTTTTCAGTCCTAGAACTCCAAGGTATATTGATCCTGGTCTCCTTCTCTTTGAGGTATAATGTGCCTGCGCCCTAACAAGGGTGACTTGCAAGGCGGCAAGGGCACTAAATGCATCCATGCAATTGATGTAATGAAAATTTACAAAAAAGAAAAAAGAAAAGACGAGGAGATAATTTCTCTATTATTTCAGCGGAGCTTTAGCAGAGAAAGACTAGCAAAAGATCATATCGACATTTAACCATGCGGATTCGAATTTAAGTTTTGTCAATATCGGCAAATCATATCACCAGGTGTGGCGGCTCACGTCCAACCCCTACCATGCAAGGGGGTTATAAAAGGCAATTGCAGAACCGGGGTATAGGAAGCCCCTTACTAATCTTCGAGCAGGGCTGCCTGCTAATGAGGTTGCTTTGAGACTATCTTTTCAATCGTGTAAATAATGAGTTCAATACGGATTACTCCCTGGATGCCCTTCGTCGTCAGCCGAGATTGCAATTCTTGTGCCGCTGTGGCTTTGATTACGCAGGTGACTTCGACTTAGCTTGGATTGCTGAAATATTAAGGCCATTTGCAGTTCTTCTACATCATCGTCATCATCGCATTAAGAGCTTGAGCCCTCCGGAGTTCCAAGTGTCCGGTCAAACACGCCAGTTTTCACCTCCAAGCAGGTGATATAGTCTTTCAAAAGATCTGAAACTTACTAAACCTTAGAACCCCCAACTGTTTAAGGTTATATGAGACATCAAATCTTAAACGGTGATCATAACCTCCATGATTCTCTATCATGCAAGGTCTCATGCCCAACTCTAAGATCAAAGAAGATCACCAAACACAAGCCAAAGCCAAATACAAGAACCCCTGTTCCTCCAGAGCTTGACCTTTCACATTTTCATCCGAATCCCAACATCCACCACAGGCCATCAACCAAAATGTACTTCAAGGCCATGTTCACAACCTCCCTCTTCGCCCTGCTCACAGGCTCCGCCATCGCCCAGGGCCAATACGGCGCCGTACCCAGCCAATCAATGGCCCCCGATTCCAACAGTCAAAGCTCCTCCATATTCCCAGAGTCTTCCCAAAGCTCGACGACCCAAGGTTACACCAATTCAAAGACTCCATCAATGGTGCCTTCTTCCAGGGTGGCGTCCAGCTCCGCCACGTCTACAAGTTCGGGTTTATACAGCTCCACCCCATCAACCTTGAGCTCATCTATGAAACCTACCTCCTCTACAGCCTCCTCCAGAGCTGGCATGTTCGGTGGTCTGCTGGATAGCAAGAAATTAAACCTACGCGCTGAGCCGGGTGCGATGGATGAGATTACTCGTATGATGCCCGCCAGCGAGTATAGTCGGCCTGAGTCACAGCCTGCAGCTTATCCGACGAAATGATGTCAGTAGACCAGATGGAGATGCGCGGATGTGGGGATGTGTGTATGATTTTTTAAACTTCTTTTTTTGGTGTATTATAATACATGCAGAGGAATTTATCTATGACTGGTGGGTATATACGTCCATAAGTTCTGTACCTTGAAGACCTTAAGTGTTGGATGGAAGGTCTATCGGCAATTCGACATGAGTCAATGATCATCCTTTAGTTCTGGTTCCAAAATATCATAAATTCAAACTTCTAGAAACTATATGAATCAAAAGAACAGAGCCTTGAGTTGACCAGGTGTGTCCCCTCAGAAGATAATTAAACCCCCACCCATTTCCCAATTCATTAACACCTCCTTTCAACTACACCATAGTGGTGAACATCAAAAGAAAGAAAGGAAAGACCCACAAGTATTGTACAAACAACCGCCCACCATACCCATAGCGAAAAGCAAACTCCTGGGAGTTGAGTCGTAATATTAAGCTAGTAAAAATCTTCGTGGGATCATGTTGAGATATGACCTCGATGCAACGCACACCCACTATCCTCTTGGCTATCGCCACGATACCAGCCTCCATCGATCAAATTCATCTCGAGATCTCGCCAGTACTTTGATTTCCCTCCGGCGCCTGATTTCAGGTCCAGGTCGCCGAGGCGAATTTCTACTGGAGACATTTCGTCTCGGGGAATCTGGCGGGTACGTTAATTATGTGATACTTGGGTGGAGAATAGGGGACATACCTTGATAAACATCGTGCAGTCTCGGAGTGTCATATCAAGGGACATGCCCCGAGATAGAGCCGGGGGACCAAGCAGGCCGACTTCGTGTCGGGACTTTTGCTGAAACTGAAGCTTTTGCAGGGTCAGGTTGCCGAGTAGAATTTTTGCGAGGCGGCGTTGATCGTTGCATCCTTTAATGAATCTCGTTGCACGTAGGACGTTGTCGAGATGATCGGATACCAAATCCAGTGGACAGAAAGAGCGTTGTTCTTTTTGTCCCATTCTGCGCGCTTCGTGATTCTTCATCTCTCTTAGCGCGCAGGTCCGACACCTCTGTGCATTTCCAGGCGCGGACGGGGACTGGATTAGCCACTTGGGCTTTAATTCAGCCAGTGTAGCGCTGGGGTCGTCGGCGGTTGTCATATCTGTGATTAGGAGACCGAACGGCTCGTTCAAGGACAGGTATCCACCGTGTCTCTTCTTCGGCCGCCTGCCGTTTACTTCATCGACGTGGAGCTGTTCATTGCAGCGCTGGATTAGTCCCTCCGGAAGCCGGATGAGAGTCTGGTCGACCAGCTCTTCGGGCTTGAAGAGCGGTCGCACGATTGTGTTGAAGTTCTGGACGATTTCTTTGTACGATAGATCTGCGGCTGTTTCCTTGCGCAGACGCAGGAGTTTGTCTCGGAAGACGGCCGGTAAAGTGCAGTTTTCCAAGCTTTCAATCACAGGTGGAGACAATGGTTTTTTGAATTCTTTCTTGACAATTTTTCCCGGTGCAGAGACAAAGCGATAAATCACATTTGCGCCGCCCTCGGCAAGATAGACGAGTTGAACTCCTGGCGGGAGTTCAAGCAGACTGGGTTTTGTCATTCGTGGGGAATGATGCTGGGGAAAGAGAGGTCGGGAGCATGGTTTTTGTGATGTTAGGGGGAGTGTCCAAGCGCAGCTGGTTCCCATGGATCCGGGGTGATTCGGTGGAGATTTGGGATGAGTCGGCTATTGGTCACGCGAGTACAAGCTACTAGGCAGATCGGATATGCATGCAGTGCCGGAGATGGAGCTAAAACTGACGGGCGAGTAGCGCAGTGAGCTCAAGTTCGGGGTTTATCAGACGGCACGCGTGGCACCGATGAATTGGATGAGTCGAGTCGGTGACGCGAACAAGAAGGCAGACCGCCAGAACCCCAGACCTCGAGACCGCCAGACCGCCAGACCGCTGGGCTCGAGGCGTTCAAGGCAAAAGAGACAAAGGGGCGGATGGCGTGCAGGGTTTAGTCCCAGTGGTGGGGGTTCATCGTAGTGGCGCTGCCCCTGGAGGCGATCACTCCCAATCGGAGAGTTGAAAGGTAGAACTTTTTAAGATCAGAAAAAAGAGTGCGAGTTCGAGGAGGCTCCGGGTCAGCGCTGATCAAGCAACCGGCCAATGCTGAGTTCAGCCCTATGAGAAGGTACGCATGTAGTTCATTCCTTAATTTCCCCCGTGTGATTCGATTCACGTTGGAACAGTTCATCATTTCAACTGTGATCCGTCCAGATCTCCCCACCCCCGCCTCCCCACCTCCAGCATCAACATTCAACATCAACATTCAACAGACACAATGGCATACACAGACCTCCCCACCCCCGAGAAGTGCACGGCTGACTTCTGCCTGATCCCAGTAAGCACGCACCTATCCTAGTCATCACCCCTAACTCACAGATCCCAGATCGGCACCGCCTCGGCCTCAGTCTCGGCTCAAATCGCCGAGGTCCAGAGGCTGATCGAGCAATCGGGCGTCAAGTACACCATGCATTCTGCGGGGACGACACTGGGTACGTGATCTCTCCATTCCTTCCATCTATCCGTTTATCTATCTATCCCGAGGTACATGCCAAGTACTGGGGACGGATCCTGCGCCATACATATCACTCCACGTACAATCTTACCACCCACCTTCTGTTGCCCAAAACACGCTTCGCCAGAGACATAAGAGGCCAGAGACATAAGAACTAATCCCGTGTCACCAATAGAAGGTTCCTGGGACAGAGTACACCAGGTCATCGGACAGGCGCATACCCTCCTTCACCAGCAGGGGGTCGTGCGGATCCAGACCGATATCCGCGTCGGTTCGAGGTGAGCTATCAACCTACTTTTGCTTTTTTTTTCAATTCCCGCGCGAGATCCAAGATCATAAAATGAGAATTATACTGACTGGGCTGGGCCCGTTCAGGACCGATAAGGCGCAGACTGCGGAGGATAAGGTGAACAAGGTGCGGCAGTTGCTGGGCAAGGAGCCTCTGTAGAAGAGTCCTACACTGTCTCTTGAAGTAATCGCGTTTTTGCCTAGGCATGGAGATGGGATGTCTTCACTCGATATTGAATTTCAGTTTCTAGTACATAGTACAGGGTCATTCCAGTCATTCCAGCTTCAACCCCCAAAATCAAAATCATCCATAACGCCAGGCTTCCTTTTGGAACCGTCAACCGCCAATAGACCGAGAAATCCATATTCCTGTTGAGGTCCAAATCCAAATCCAAATCCAAATCCAATGCTCTATATACTGGGCTGGGTCTTGCACACGCGAGACCAAAGCCCCCAGGGAATGTCCGAGAAACGAAAGAACGCTGCACGATAAAACAAATGTCACATGGTAATGGGTCACCATGCTTAAAGGGAGATTCCGCCTCCGAGCACACTACCCCAGTTTCCACCGACCCAGATCCAGTTGCCCATTGTCGGGGTGGATCCAGCTGCCGCGGCTTCGGCGAGCTCGACCAGGCCCTTAAAGACGTTGTTGATTGTGGTCCCGTCGCTGGAGGAGCCTGCTGCGGAGGTGGTGAGTGATGTGCGGCCGACGGCATTGGTGACATTGTTCAGGTTGTCAACTGTGTCGATTGCAGGACCCCGGTTGAAGAAATCTACCAGGATGAATGTAGGTTGGCGGCCGCTCCAGGCGGACTTGCACCGCGTCGCTGTGCTGCCGAGGTTACCGGTGCCACCGGACGCAGCGTTCGTGGTCGCGACGTAGCTGGCGTTCGGGTATTCGATGCCCAGGGATGAGAGATCGGAGGAATACAGGAAGTGGTTCATCAGGGGGAGCATGTTGGAGGAGAGAGCGGTCGAAGTATCCCCGGAGACGGAGGAGGGACGATCGGGGACGCAGGAGAAGTTGGAGGCGGCGGTTACCTCGTAGGGGTTCTCCCAGACAAAGTTCCACTCATCCATGAGGTATGGGTAACTGTCGTCGGTTGTGAGGGAGGCGACGAAAACGACGAGGCGGGTGCTGTTGTTGATCATCGTTTCGAGGGTTGGCCATGAGGACGGGGCCGAGGTCAATGAGTCCGGCTGGTAGGCGTAGTCGGTGATGTTTGCTGTCTCGAACTCGGTGTTCAGGTCGGAGGCCGATGCGCTGTCTGAGTTGACTAGGAGCACGGTGACGACTGTGGGGTGTTGATTAGTGTCGTTTCTCTGCATCTTAGTGTGGAAGTAGACAAACCTTCATTGGGGTTGTCGTCGAGCCAGGACTTGATGTCGCCCAGCCAGGCACTCAGAAGGCCTGCATCTAGCAGATCGCAACTTGTGTGGCATAGGCGCCATTCCGAGTTGCTCTTGTGTACTTGGCCTGTGACCATCCGGACGCCGGCGTCCAGTTGTGTGGGGGTATCATAGTATCTGCGTGCGAGAAAAAGGTCAGAAACGGATCGCGACAAGATTCAGAGAAGATCATACTGGTCGCCTGCGATAGAATTGCTCGTGCTGGAGTCGCGCACAAAGGGACTGTCGTGGGCGCCCAGGTGAGTGATCTCGCCGTAGGACTTGGAGCACAAGTCAGGGGAATTGTTGCATGCGGTCGAGCGCTTGTTGAGAGGGTTAGCAAGTGCCAAGGGCAACAGGGCTAATAAAGTGAATCTCATTTTGGTTTATGTTGGTCACAAAGATGGAGGAAGGAGGGTAATAAGGGACTTTGACGTGGAATGTTTAGAGTGACGATCCATTGCGGGTCCAGGCCGCGTTGCCGTCTCAACTATTCTTAGATCGTGGATTTGCACCGCCTGGCTGATTTTCTATTGGTTTCTGCGTTAAGTTATTTTGTGGTCGCCTAATTATTATTAAGGCCTGGGCGTGGTAGAGTACGAATGCCCAGAATGGCTGTGAAGCGCTGACGTTGCCCAGCCCTTGTTGTCTTAGACGCGAGTCAGCTTGTACCGTGGCAAACACAGGTCAGCCGAGGATTTAGATTGAGATCGCTATAATATGTGAATGGGTATAGTATGTACATAGATTCACCGTGGCATCTTCCGCGGCAATCTCACTCGCGCAGTGCGCCGGAACGAATATTTTGTACGCCGAGGATTCACCAGTGACTTGGCATTTTCCTTTTCCATTCCGTGGAATAGAGCGGAATCACCCCAGGCATGAAGGATATCCGCCGATACTCGTTGGAGACTGTAAGGATTGTTCCTTCGCAGCATACGGGTCATACGTCGCTGGGAAGGACACCATCGGCTGAATAGCATCGCTAGCCGAGCCCGAGCCGCATTGCGAATCGCCCACCTCCGGAGTCCAAGACCAGCTTGTTCCAGCTCCCGAAGTAGTAGAAAGCCCCGGATCCAAGGGATCAGCTTAGTCCCCGAGGTGGGATCCGTGTAGGCGAGCTTTGACTCACTCTTTGAGGTCACACGGATCATGAAGCCCCAATGGACGATGGCATGCTGCATCGCCGGTGAGAAAATGAGTCTGAGCATCCGGTCATCTCGTACGGGCAACGGTGCCGCGGGTTCAGAGGGATCCCACGGTTTCCCTCGCTGGTGGTGAGTCGTCGGGGAATATTCACGTGTCAGCCACAGGCAGCATTCTCGAAGCTCGTCAAATTTGTTTGACATGCCAAGCCGCTTCAACAGCTCCACCCAGAATGCCGCGCTGACATAGCCTCCTGCGGGGACCACGCGCTGTAAGATCTTGAAAATAAACATCACCTCGCCTGCAGTCGACAGCAGCTTCCCGGGCGGTGGTCGAGAGTTCATTCGGCGGGCCGTCAGGACTTTATCTGCCATGTAATCCACGCTGACTTCGTTGAGGTGTCTTCCAAGCAGAGCGAGTTCATCTGCCACTTTGGAAGCGGCGTCAAATTGTCCCGCTGCGATGTGTTTGCGGAAGTGAATATCTAGCAAGTCCGGAGCATTGGGATATAACTCTGCCAAGACCGCCAGAGACATGTTGTATTGGCGTGAGTCACGGGCCATGTAGTAGGAAACGAGGAGTGATTCCTGCAATTCAACGTCCTCGAGAACGTCAGGATGCTGATCACTGCTCAACAGATCCGAAAGCAGGATATCGCGGTTTTGCGCAGCTAGCTTCTGGACTAGGCGCGTGAACACTGTGTCTCCAATGGAGATTCCGGATTGCCGAAGCTTTCGGAGTTTGTCCAGGATATCCTGGCTGTTCTGAGCTCGGATGGCCATTTCACGTACGGTTCGTGGCCCGATTGCTGATACGCCAAGCATTTTCATCGTCCCAATGACCATGTCGAAATTAAGGGCCCTTGTCGCAAATAGCCGAGCCCCAATGTCATCTTTGAAGGGTTTTCCTTTGGCAGCACTCCCTTCTGCACCTTTCAAAGCTGTCCTTTCCGTGGCTTTCATTCCTCTTTCGGCGGCTGCAAATTCTTCTTTGAACCGGGTTTTGGCATAATCTCGCAGTAGTTCGAATTCTTCCCGAAATCCGTATTTCTTTGCGTATTCCATGAGGGGCTGTAGTTCATCCAATGTGTTAGGATGATCTTCGTATCGCACCAGATGTTTATGCATCGTGATGGCATCTTCTCCAAACCCATGTTGTAAAAGGGTCAAAACGGCTCGACCATAGATCTGATGGCCTGGAATTGAAATGAGCAGTTTTCGCACAGACGAGAGTTTGTGAAAGGTTTGTGGTCTTTGAACATTCGTCGACGATTTTGCGCTGGCTGGAAGATTTTTCGGACGAATTGCTGACGGGAGAACCTTGACCACCTCATCAGGGCGAGCAAGACCACAACCTTGAAATTTCCTATGCCACTTCATGGCTTGTTTTTTCATTCCTAGGTCAAAAAGACCACCAACGACTTGTTGATATAGTTGGTTCCAGCAAGCACCTTGATTATGCCAGATATCGATTGCATACTCCATGACATCCTTAAGAAAAAGATCTCGTTTCAGTGCCATGTCCACGAAGCTTTGCCAGAAGAAGTCTGCCCGTTCGCCGGCGACAGGAAGTTTTACGCCATCCAAGCGAACAGTCAGGCCCTCCCAGATATCTTGCGTGCCTTTGTCACCATAATGACGCTGGCGAAACCGCAACAGGTCCTCCCAGAGCTCGAAGTCGTGCCGATGCGCCGAGTTGTCCACTAGTCGTGTTCCGAGGTCTTCTGTGTGTCCTATATCCGACTCAAACTCCAACTGCTCTTGTTGTAGCCAGAGACAGTTTCTAACATAACCCGCGGTATCCGTTTGATGTGAATTGTCCGCGCGATGTAAAGGGACGGAGGAATGCTTTTCGTTCGACAGTTCGATTTCGTAAATTTTAAAGCCGAAGGGCCGTCCTTCACCCTGCGACTGCAATGTAGTTCCAAGCTTCTGTGTAGACGAGCTCCCCTTGGTCTCATCGAGAGATACTTCCCGAGCGCATCGCGACTGGCACCGCAGACGCGTGTATCTGGATTCCAAATGCTCAATTCCAATCGGGGTAGCTGCGAGCGAATCGAGGATGGAGAGGGCGGACGGCCTCTTCAAGAGTCGAAGAAGAGCCGGTCGCATCGGGCGTGCAATGGAGAAGGTGCTCGTCGACTATTCTCCAACTTCGAAAGCCAATGATGGCATTCTTCATTCGACATATGACGCTTTCCCCTTTTTGGACATATGACTCAGCACGGAAAGAGGAGGGAAATCATGTGATCTGGCAGCTCTCCCGAACTCGACGACATCGTGCCACGGCCCTTCATCTCCTCCCACCAGATCCTATCTCTCCCCTCCAACCGCCAAAATGTTCCGCACTGTGCCTCGCATGGCCGGGTACGTCTCCCTCGACTCCTGTACCTTTCTCCGCTGCCATTTGGCACACAGTGCGCCAGTGCGATCGAATTTCGCTTCGCCAATCCTTGATGGTGTCTGCGATCATGCAATTGCAATTGACTGTTTGGCGGACTGTTTTTGGGCAGACGACATGAATGAGACTTGCTAATTCACGTTCTGCTTCTAGTTTCGTGTTCCGCGAGAACCGTGTCCCCCACTACCAGCGTCTGTTCCAGAACCACGACGGCAAGCGTCAATGGTGGAAGGTCAGTCCAGATCGAACAGCCCGCGCCCAGAATTGTTCAATGGCATCAATCTAATAAAACCTCGCCAAACAGACCTCCCGTTCCGCCTACATCATGTACCCCTACCTGCTCTCCGTCTACGGTCTCGGTGCTGGTGAGTTGGACCACCCTTGAATTGAAGATTCAATGACCTGAGAACTAATTCAACCTTTCTAGCCACCACCTACGCCATGTGCCGCATGGTCTTCGTCAGTTCTTCCCTTGCCTGCTCCCCTCGCTATCGAGCGAACCGTCCTCGAATTTCCAGGACTGGGAATCCAACAAACACATACTGACTCTTTTAACAGGGCCACAAGACCTGGATCTAAACGTCACCCTTCAATAGGAATGGCATTTAAAGCTGCAGTGAGGGATTGACTCTATATTGGCGGTGTATTTCTACTCCGGTTGTGGGTTAGATGGGTTTGCAAGCAGTTGGTTTGGGCTGTACATAAACCAATTCAAGCTCCGAACCGAAGATTGTTGTCTTTACGCATAACATTTCCCTAGAATCGTAATTCGAGCCGTTTGATCATACGTTGGGTTGTTCTTGGCTCAGCTTACTTTAATCGGCCTGTCATTGGTTTGCCGCTACAATTGCATGTTGTGCTTCTAACAGTTCTATCAGGGGTTCGACTCTCACGCCAGGAGATCGATCGTCTTTTTTACCACAGTCGGCTCGTAAATATACGTGTATAGCTCTGAATAACACAGTCAAAAGAACATTACATACTGCTTCCTTTCACTCTGCTCCCAAACCGGCGTAAAAAGGTGCTTAGTCAGCGGGCTTGGACGGCATCGCAAGACCGCATGTCTGCCAATACAACATTGATCTTTCTTACTTACATTAACTCAATCAATTAAGGGGAAACATCTCTGGCACTCTCCATATCCTTGAGCTGTCTACCCGAGGTGTTCGGGCTCCCCTAGAAGGCCTGAGTTTTGGATGATTACATTCCTTCCCTCAAAATATAAATACCAGACCTCTGCTCTCAATTTCATTGGCACTTACAATTGTTCATTTCCAAAGATCATGGATGCTCTCTAACACCGAGCTCTATTCTGAATCATGGATATAACAGACTCAACATACACAGAGCGACCTGCTAAGCGGGTACGGCAGGCGTGCGAGCCTTGCAGGTTGGACCACCCACGAATGGATGCTATCCGCTTGCTATACTAAACCTGGCTAACGAACACGTCAGACGGAAAAAGGCAAAGTGCCCCGGAGAACAGCCAGTCTGTTCTTTGTGCGCAAGACTGCGACAACAATGCGTCTACGCGGACGAGAGACGTCGTCCACAGCTCTCAGAGGAGCCAGCTAGGCTCAGTGTCTCAGAAGCACCAGTATCACATTCACTGGTTAGACCTCGTAATCTTGTACGAAAGCTTCTATTAACTGACCTGTAAATAATACAGGAAGACAGACTACACAGCCTAGAAGACAAGCTGGGAGCTGTACTTGATCACCTAGGGTATGAATATCCAACCCCACATGCGCACGATCTGACCACAGCTTACCAAGATTCTGTTAGTGCCAGCTCAAGGGATGAGCCCTCGGTTGGAAATGAGTCCTCGGCATATCTTGGACCCAACTCATCCATCATTCTTCCATCATGGGATGACATCACACCTATAGCAGAGCTTTATCTGGTGTTCTGCGAGTCCCAGCCTCTGCCCCTCTTTCATAGGGGCAGTTTTCTTGCCAGTCTCCAGACACGGGATGTGGAGATTATCTATGCCATGTTGGCCTTGAGCCTTCGGTTCTCGGACGCATATCACCACAGGGCTAGCGACCTGACAGAACTGGTAAATAGCTATGCTGAAATTGCGCGTGGCCTTGTGATGAAACGGGTCTCGGAGGGTCCGGTGGAACTGTCCACACTACAATGTCTGTGCCTTTTGAGTCTGGTTGATTTTACAAGTAAGTTCTAGAACATTATTCAATTATATATGCTCATTTTGCTGTTAGATGGAAATACACATCGTTCCAGCATCCACAGCAGCCTTGCAATGAACCTTGCACGGTGTTCCAATCTTGCTCTCGAGCCCCGCACACCAACAAGCAACATCCTCCGCGAAGAGCGCAGGCGATGCTTTTGGAGCATCTGTTTACTCAAGCGGCTCCACGGCGGGGATTTCTCCATCCTCGACAATCCCGACATGGGAGGTCCTCCTTTCCCCCATAGTCCAACCCGGCCAGCACGCGTCATGTCTCCAGGCCCGTCAACAGTGGAAGTGCGAAGGAGCGATATTCAAGACCAAGGCATAATGGCCTATGTGATCATGCTAAGCGAAGTATTCGCTCGTACTGCACGATATGTCCGCCTTCACGGAAGACCAAGCAATGTACCTCCGTGGTCTCCTCATTCCGAGTACTCGAAGATTATTGCGTTGCAGATGGACCTTGAGACTCGTATGCCTCTGACCCATCGATTCAAACCGGCCAATCTTAGCAATAGATCAACCGAGGAGCTTCAGACCCATCGAGAGTATTGGGGACCGTGGTTCTTGAATCAGTTCATGTACCACACCATTTTGTGTCTCCTGAATCATCCCCTGCTTTTGTCGTTGAGTCTACGGACATTTCGCAGTACTATCCCTGAAATCTTTCTCCAGCATACATCCGATCTGATCTCATCGCACACGACATGGATCATTCATTTTATTAACTACTTCGAGGAGAAGTCGTTTTTGGTGTCTGATCCGCTACTGGGGTATAGCGCTGCTGTTGTGGCGACGATCGAGCTTCAGCTGAGTTTTACGGACAATCCCACTATCCGAGAGCAGAAGCGTGAGACTTTCACCAAGTGTGTCCAATTTGTGCAGCAGATAGGAAAGATGTGGCCTCATATGGCTCGCCTGGTAAGACTTTTACCTGTAGTGCTAGGTGAACATTGATGAACATTGACTGACAACACTTCTGTGCAGGCACAAAGGTTGCAACACCTGGAAGACGCCGTTTCGGCGACATACCAGTCCGATCCAGAGGCACACAACCAAAGTCTCCTGATCGATCTCTCTAAATTCTGGGAAATCTTGGAATATTCCTCCAACAGTGACGCTGACTCTGCACGACGACTATTTGGAGATTCCCTTTATTCTGGAACTCCCCTTATGGCCGCTGAAGTGTCGCAGACGTCGCCTTTACCTGCACCAACTCGCATTGGCGAAGAACGAGCCTCCAACTACACGACTCCTAATTTCGGTGCCAATACTGCCTTCCCTGGAGCACACGACTACCATGCAGGCTCATTGGTTTCACCGCAGCAGTTGACTCTTACGAACGATGAATTTTCCATCCTCGCCACGAACTTCTTTTCTCAAGGACAAGAGTTCCTTCGCGGTGGAGATACATGGGATAACATCGGCAACTTTTGAAAAAAAGGTGAAATATATATGCAAGAATGAATTTTGTCTCTATGGTATAGTTATGAAATGCGATTTGGTGATGCAACCCATTTTTAAGCTGCCAGAGCAGACTTGAAAACCTCAACAAACTCGAAGATCTCGGAGAACGTATTATAAAGAGGCACAGCAGCGACACGGACAACATCCGGCTCGCGCTTATCGCAAATGATACCTGCGTCTTGCAGGCTCTCGGCCACCTTGTGAAGAAGACCGGGCTTCAACAGAAGACTGAGCTGAGCTCCACGAGCAGTGTGATCTGAGGGGGTGATAATTTGGAATTGGCGGGTCTCGTCGGTGGTATCCTTAAGAAGCAGATATTCCAGGTATGCGGTCATCTTAATTGACTTCTGGCGCAGGTCCGACATACATGTTTTATCGAAGACGGACAATGAAGCGCAAAGAGTCGTCAGATCGATGACAGAAGGGTTGGAGATTACAAAGCCTCCGGCGCCGGGGATAGGCTTAAATTCTAGGAAAGATTAGCATCCTATCAATGGCCCACGGAAATGAAGACATACTGTTATCCATCTTGAACCGCACAGATCGATCACCGCCATACCAGCCGGTCAAGCGGTGTCGGAACTTAGGCTTATCTTCACCTTCGCTGTAATCAACCTGTCCATGACGGTCATGCACAAAGAGACCAGCCATAGCGCCAGGGCCAGCATTACCGTACTTATATGTGCACCAGGCAGCAAAGTCAACGTTCCACTCGTTAAGCTTGATCTCCACGTTTCCGTAAGCGTGCGCCAGATCCCAGCCAACAGTGAGCCCGCGCTCCTGTGCGTACTTGGTAATACGCGGGATATCGAACAGCTGACCCGTGTAGTACTGGATACCAGGCATAAGAATGAGCGCAGCATCGTGGGCATGCTTGTCAATGTATGAGAGAATCTTCTCAGTGGAGATGACATACTCGCCCTCCTCGGGGCCGATAAGGACCATGTTCTCCTTAGCGTCAAGACCGTGCCACGCAATGTGGGATTCAATAGCGTACTATTCTCAATGTCAGATTCAGACATGCAAATGTTTGGTATGCATATGTAAGGATATCAATAATATGCACTTACGTGGTCACTGGGGAACGCCTTCCAGTCCATCAGGATCTTGCGCTTAGTGTCAGTCGGCTTGTAGAAGCTAGCCAGCAACAAATGCAAGTTCGTAGTCAAAGTGCCCATCGCAGCAACTTCAGAAGCCTCGGCGCCAACAACCTTGCACATGGAACCTGCGGCCTGGTCGGACAGCAACTGCCACTGCGAAAGCGGGGAATCCTCAAGATCAGTAAAGTGTCCGCAGACACCGATGGACGCCCATGTGTCCAGCTGTGCCTCCATATACTTAGGCGCAGCCTTGGGCTGGAGACCGAGTGAGTTTCCACAGAAATAGATACTGTCCTCTGACGAGAGACCTGTTTCGAATGTCAGAATACCCGATAACGGAAGCACAAAACAGGGCGCATACCAGGCTTGGCCAGCTTCTTGCTCGCAAGATTGGCCTTGGATGGGATAATGAACTCCTCCCGCATCTTGGTCAAAGGCTCGGCTGCATCGAGCGAAGCTGCGTATTCCTTCGACGCCGCTTCGGCGGGGAAGACGGGCTTGGTGGTCTGTACAGTCATTGTGGTGATAGGTGTAGTCTGAGGGATGTGGCGGCGGACAATAGGTAATCACACTCCACAGCACTGAATTGTGAAATATAGATAAGGTGTCAGACACGATTTAGATGCACTTTATAACTTCTGTCAAATCGGAGAACTGGGAGATGGCAACCCGGATGTCACTTCCGCTTCCGCCTCCACGATCCGGCCCCACTGATAACATTGTCAGTCGCTGTTGCTGGGGTCTCCGCTTCCTCCCGTGCGCATGCGCTCCTCCTATTATTACTAGATAAAACACTGAAAATAAATTAAATTTTTGGAGCCCCTTATCAATGAGGATTTGTCAAATAGTTTTTGGTATATGAAGTGGAGATTTGCAGACTTCGGCGCTTAGCTGGGCAAACATTGACTAGGCGATAATTGAATCCTGGGGGCCCAGGGTGTTCTCTAGTATGGCAGGGGTAGGCTGATGCAAAGGTACACAAAGTAAACCTATGACACAAGGAAAAGTCCTCTGCAGGCTTCCTTGTATGCAAACAATAGGCTTCGAGGTCAAGTAGCACGAGGCCAAGTTACATCACTACTCTCGCGCCAAAGAAAAAACAGCGGACCGGAACACGGATATCGATCCGCCTCACATCCGGATTTCATAGATAGCAACAACGAATGGCAGCCGATGCAAGCCGTCAGACAACCCACGTTCTATATTATTCTTGATTATTATCAGCTTCCCACTGGGATTATTCTACCTATATGAAGACTGGTCACGACTCGCAAACATCGACCTTTTACTTTCGGCAACCACATACTGAGCTCTTGACCATCCTGTCTCCCTCACCGCAAACTACATAGCATTGCTTTGTGTTGTACCTACTCCATATCTTCGCTCTATCTACACCATGATACCATCTCCAAATCTCTCTTTTGAAGACTATGCTGTCTCCCAGGACCATGGTTTCCTCCCGAATGGTCTGCCTTTGTCAAGGCTCCCTCATTCCTACTACCATGCATGGGAGAGCCTGGCTGCAGACCTCCCTTCTCTGATCAAGAATGGTCAGATCAGATCATTGATTGACAGCCTGCCTATCCTCACAACGTCATGGTTGGAATCTGAACCAGAATGGCGGCGTGCATACTCCATTTTGGGATTCCTAACCCACGCATACATCTGGGGAGGCGAGAAACCCGCAGAGGTAAGATTCCCCCATGATGAAAACTTCCGTTCCAGTCTAACAGCACTATGAAGGTCCTCCCTCCTGCCATCTCCACCCCCTTCCTTGAGATTTCATCCCATCTCGGTCTCCCCCCAACTGCAACATACGCAGCCCTCACCCTCTGGAATTTCACCACCACCCCAGAAGCAGACCTCACAGACCCTGACAATGTCTCTTTGCTCACTTCGTTTACTGGGACGAAAGACGAAGAATGGTTTATCGTCATCTCCGTCGCTATCGAATGCAAGGGTGCCCGACTTCTCTCGCTCATGCTGGATGCCATTAGTGCTGCCACTGTTCACGACGCCCATCGTCTGACTGCTCTTCTCTACAGCTTCAGCGATGGCCTCAGAGACCTCACCACCATGCTCACACGGATGTACGAGAAGAATGACCCAAACGTCTTCTTCTACGTCCTGCGGCCTTTCCTCGCCGGAAGTAAGAACATGGCCGCAGCAGGTCTGCCGAACGGTGTGTTCTACGATGTCGGCGAAGGCCAGGGCGAATGGCACCAGTATAGCGGAGGCAGTAACGCCCAAAGCTCGTTGATTCAGACCTTCGATATTTTCCTCGGAGTGAACCACTCCGCCACGGGTGATATCAAGCCAGGCACTGGATACATCAAGGTACGATCTATTCCTGATACATCTTTCGCGAATCGAAAATTTATTGCACCGTGATAGAATACTAACTCCCAAAAGGAAATGCGAAACTACATGCCGGCCCCCCACAGACGATTCCTCGAAAAGCTCTCCGACCTCTGCAATATCCGTGACTACGTCACCTCCGCACAGGACGAGCCCGAGCTGAAGGAAGCCTACAACGCGGCCGTAATGACTCTCAGTTCGTTCAGAGATGCGCATATCCAGATCGTCACACGGTACATTGTTATGCCGGCGCGAAACGGCCCCCCGGCGGAGCACACGGGCGACAAGGTTAATCTTGCGACGGCGAGTTCTCAGGTTGATGGGCTACAGGATAATAAGCCTTCGGGTCTTTATGGGACTGGTGGTACTAGCTTGATTCCTTTCTTGAAGCAGACGAGGGATACTACGAAGAATGCTGCTTGTTAAGAGGTTAAATAGAGTCGCGCTGGCGTGATTATAATGACTTGTTTAAAATATATATTGATTGTTTCTTTCATTGGATTCGTAGTTTATTTCAAATCGTGGGGAGCTGGAGGGATGAATGGGTTTAGCATCCGCCATTTTGAACCTTTTTAGGCTTGAACAGAGTTGGTGTGTATGTTTCCACTTGATCATGGATGATGTCGTCACTCTCAGCCACGTATACATGGACTAGGAAATGCCCGCCCACGTGTTGATGGACTAGCGCAAAGCGCTCCAAGAATTTCAGATTCGCATGTCGATGACGGTGTAGATGATTCTCGTGCGTTGGGTACGAGTCCGTCTGATGCAGCTCAAAGGAACTGATCTAGAAGACCAGTATGCAAAATCACCAGTAGCGGCTTTTGTGATAATTCGGCAATAACCCCTTCGAATGCGCAGAAAGGATAAGACCACAGTCAGAAACTGGTGATCTCAGGCAGCATGGTTTCTTCACCCGTCAGGTTGGAGTCATCGTTGGAGAGCGCGAGTGAGATGACGCGTTCGAAAGTGCTCGAGAATGGAATGGTATGCCAACAAGGAGACTGCAGCCGAAAAAACCATGTCAAACATCTGCCTGGCCCTAGGCCGGACAATCACATAGTAACGGTTGACCGGTCATTTTCTCTTCGTGTTGGCCGGAACACCCTCACTCTCTCGTAGCTCTGCCAACCTCTTCTCTCGCTCAACCAACCTCTCCTTCTCCGCCATAGTCATCTGCTCAACAGTCTTCGTCGCCTCAGCCATGCGATCAAGCTCCTTATTCTCCGTCACTCGACTATACGGATTCTTAGGACTATCGCCCACAGGAATATCCGCTGTGCGAGCACCCGTCTTCGAGTTCTTCCCTTTCCCCCTCGACACCCCGTTAACCCCACCGCCTGTAAGAGTCTCATAGAACGGCTCAACAGGCTCATTGAAAATAACCTCCTCGTAGTTCTGGCTAACAACTACTTCTCGGCGCTCTTTCATACCCTCCGCGTCAGGGCCGTAGGGGTGCAGCTTCAGACTGTGCCATAGGGTTTGCGGCTTCTCGTTCGATTCGGGGGCGAAGTAGAGCTTGATTTGGATTTCGAATTCTCCCCAGCCAGTCTCCTCGACTACGAAGGGTGGGGTTTCGATCGTGCGTACATTTTGAGCGTAGGTTTCGTGGAGCTTAAATTGGACTTTTTTCAACCAGTAGGAGATATCTTGGTCGTCGACGCCTTTCACGAATATGCGCCATTGGTGTGTGTGGTCAGGTGGGCAGTTTGCGGGTTTTTTCTCGGGGTCAAAGAGCTGCGCCTCACTGCCGAAGACTGTGGAGGTTAGAATTGAGGCTTATTGAATGGAAGGCGGAGCTGCGATCGGGACATACTGAAAGGTCGGTAGACGGAGACACCCTGGAATGCGATGTTAGTCGGCTTTCGAGGTCACTAGCTGTAAAAATGCGATACTCACCCGGACACGCTTGTTTCCTGGGTTGGAGGGCATTTCGAAAAGCCGGAGAGAGAGTCAAAGAGAGATGAGTCCAATGAAGGGTCGCGCAGGGCGAAGCGAAATCAACGCGACGGAGACGGCATTTGCAGTGCACGTGACCGCGTGACGGCATGTCGGAGCTTCTCATAGCTTGATTCCTGCAACCAAAGTCGCTGTTACTGTGACTTTTTGAACTGCACAATTCCACTTCTGTCACTACATATATTCATTATCGTAGGATGGCTGCCAAAAGACTTGTCGTGGCCGGTGGAAGTGGCTTCCTAGGTTCATATCTCACCCAACTCGGAATGCATCTGCGCCGAAGCTCAGGAAACTGACGATCTGCTCCAGGATCCCGAATTTGCAAATCTGCTGCTGCTAGAGGATGGACTGTGACTTCATTAAGGTAATTACTCTATTTGGTACTATGCAAGCTCTGATGTTCCACAAGCTGACTTCTTCAGTCGCTCCGGCGAGCCACGGTGGGAGACCGTGACAGATTCCTCCGAACGTCCCAGCTGGGCAAGCTCAGTTGAATGGGCCAAAGCCGATATGCTGAAGCCGGAAAGCTACAAGCCGTTTCTCAATGGTGCCTCTGCCGTTGTGCATTCTATGGGAATCCTTCTCGAGGCCGATTATAAGGGTGTGGTCCAAGGACGTGAGCCAATTCTTAGTGGCCTACAACGGGCATTTAGCTCGTCAAAGCTAGGAAGCCAGGACTTGCTCTCAAGAAAAGAAGGCGAAGCTTTGGAACCAAAAGAGAATGATGGTCAATTGACTTATGAATTGATGAACAGAGATTCAGGTACGTCATGGCGCAACTAATGCTGTTCAAAGCTGGGGTGAAGCTAAATCGTTTATGATGTAGCTATTGCGCTGGCCCAAGAATCCTCGAATGAGCATGTCCCAGCTTTTGTGTACATTTCCGCCGCGGCTGGTGCACCGGTGCTTCCAGCCCGATACATCACCACGAAGAGAGAAGCCGAAGCTACCATCACATCCACTCTCCCCGACCTCCGAAGCATTTTCATTCGCCCAGGCTTCATGTATGATTCCAGCAGGAAGTTCACCCTGCCGATCGCCCTAGGTGGGTTTGTCGCCTCTGAATTTAACACTTTCCTGGGAAATAAGCTCGGTTTCCTCGGGGCGATGGCAGAGAAACCGCTCAAGGTTGATGTCGTGGGCGAAGCCGTGGTCGAGGCATTGGAGGAGGCAACAACAAAGGGTGTCGTCGAAACAAAGCAGATTGAGGCGCTGGCAACGAAGGCCTGGAGAAAAGGTATGCTATAAGGGAGCAAGGTCACTGTTTTTAACATCTGAACCCTTTGCACGACGCACTGAAAACAAGTTTCGGCAAAATGATCGAAAGTTTGGCCATGATGACTGGTGCTTCCTGGGCGTGACACAGTGCTCAACAAATGTATATTATCTCTATTCTCATGGCGCATTAGATCATGGTACCACGTTCGAAACTGTCCCGAATTTCGCTGGTGTACTATTGAAACGTTAGCAGCTGGTCTTCATAGCCATAGGAGTGAACTCAACATACCTTGTTATAGAAACGAGCCAACTTCTGATTGAACTGCTTGTTCTTGTCATTGATGTAGGTAACGTCTGCCTCATCATCACCACGACGCTCCTTGCGCTTTTTCAAGCGGACTTCCTCGGCCTTCTGAATATCACCAACCAGTCTGTCCACAGCAGCACGGTTTGGCTTGTTGTCGGTGAAGCCCACGCTGTCCGCAGTCGAGTAGAAGCTGCCGTTCTTATCGATCGCGATCATCTCGCCGTCCTCGGTTTCAACGATCTCAAGGTCACCGTTGGCAGCAGCCTTCTCGATAGCGGCCAACTTCTCCTTTTCGTATGCTTCCAGGTTGGCAGGGAGTTCTCGCATCTGCCGCTTGTAGACCTTGTGCGCATCTTGCGTGTAATCTTGAAACGCCACATTGTCGCGATGTCGCTGCTTCTTCTCCATGCGTCGGTCCCACTTCTCGGATTCGTCGATGGTCCAATCCCAAGCTCGCTTGCGCTCGAAGTCTTCGCCTGCGGCTTCTGTGTCCGCCTTGAGGAGATTGTGAGAGGCGAATGCATGTTTGCGCGAGAGTGAGTTCGCCAAGCCAGGATCGGTAGATAGCCGCTGAGTTTCTGCAGCAGTTTCCTTCAAGTTGCGTTCCGTGGCGGATTTCTGTGTAAAGTCAGTCTTGTGTTGCAAAAAAGGCAAAACAAAGCTTTAGAACAAGAAGAATATATACTCACAGCTCGAGCTTGCAGAGCTTTGAAACGTGCTTGTCTGTCACGCGCTTGAGAAGCAGCATCGTCCTCATTCTTTCCATCATTGGGTTCGGATGGGGTGGGAGCTTCGCTAATGGTACCCTCGGTCTGCTCAGGTTGTTCGGATTTCGAGCCTTTCTCCGTAGAGAGCTCCTGGTTTCGTGTCGTAACCATGTTGGAGCGGGTGTAAGATCAATGTTGGCGATACGTGGGCAGGTGTCGAGAAAGTGAAGCGCAGGCTCTGGCGAAGATGACATCCCAGCCTCACCGCCACGATTCACCGCCCGTGAACTGCCACCCCAGACAAGCCCCTTATCAAGTTTATCTTCTCCACTCGTGGGTCGTGCCGTCGTGCCTCCTCCGCATTGAATCAGGTGTGTTCCAAAATGAGGGCTCCATCTGGCCGAGTACTTTCAGGTCTCATGCGACAAACATTGAATAGATCTGGCTTGAAAGCATTGACACGCAATTACTCGACACACAATCTTAATCTCTGCAGCGACGCCCAATCTGATGAGCCCACCGCCGCAGAGATACTCCGCTTCGCTCTCACGTCTTCCAAAAACCCAGATGCTGGAAATGAACGCCACACAAGCTTGCGAAAACCAATAACTGAGCTTCTTGACTCGGAATGGCAATCAAGTAGCCCTCCTCCGGCACTATGGAACGCTCTAAAGGGCGTGGATGTATTATTCAAGTCGACAGAGAGACGCCGCCTTCAATCAGTGGCTGATCTGGCTTCACTGAGAAATGTCATTCACAAATTGGTCGTTGATGATGGAGGAGCCGATCGTTTGCAGCAAAGAGAATGTAAGGTACTGGGAAATGCACTGAAACGTTGCCAGCGAGATGAGACATACATTGAGATACTTGCAACCCTGAGTGATATCATTGCGAGACTCCAACGTCTTGAGCTCCCTATTAGCTCTCAAATAGTTGAGCTCGGCATGTATCATGCTGCTTTGAATCTATTACCTTCCGCATTCCGGCGGTTTTTGCAACTCTATGAGAAACTGGGGGGCTCCAAAGATTCTTCGCCGCTCAGCAAAAAGACCAGTCCTAGGCGGATCTTGCAGACGCTCCTTCACGAAGTAGACTCTGCTCTTTTTGAAGATCCGAGTTATAACACGGCTGCTTTGCTTGCTGAGATCACTGGCGAAGGAGAACACGAACGAGAAAAGCGGCCCAGACTGGCCGATTGCTTACTGAGGGACCCTCATCAGGAACATGAGAACTGGGCTCTGTATCTGTGCTTGCTCTCCAAGTTACAGAGCGTGGAGGCATTGGACACTACGTGGACCAAGTTCATGAACGCCTTTGATCCGAATAACCAGAAGTTCTGTCACCAGGCTTATAGTGTTATCCTGTCTCTAACACAGGCTAGACGGTCAGATACTGCTGCAAAGTTCCTGGAGGATATTTCGATGCGCAGTGAAGATACTTTACCCTACATCGGAGATCTTCAAAGCATACACGTTCTACTTGACGATCCCATAGTGGGCGAGGCTCTACCCGACTTAGTCCAAGGCGACCACTACGAAAAGTTGCTCGAAGTTCGCATGGAAGATATGGAAGAGAGATTAGGCATTCAATGGCAAGACAACCAAGCGATAAGGGCGCACAAGAGCCATGTCAGCACTGCACCAGACTCGGCATGGTCAAGTTTCCTGGACCAACCTTTGCTCACCATCGATGGTGACTCCGCCGGATATGATGAGCCGGCACGACTCTACCCTAATCTCCAAGCCTACGGCTGTTCCAGGCAAAGAAGCGACCTGAGACAGTTGATAGATATGCTGATCGATCAGACGGGGAATGAGCAGGAGATAACCACCCATCTCAACTTTGACCCGGACCTCCTAGCCTCGTTCCACTCTGAATTCCCAACCCTCCAATTACGATGGTGCGTCGAACACTCGCCAATAGAGTTTTCAGACTATCTCCTTGCAGCCACCACTAAGGAGTCGAAGAAATGGTCACCAGCATCTCTCGGGCTAATTAGGGCGAGAGCCATTGTGAATGGCGTGCCTCAAAAGGGGACAAGAGCCCTTCACCTCGTGCAGCTGGGATCCTTGGATCTGCGATACGGACCCGATGAGCGATGGCAGCCCTCTGGATACATTGTGGCATGGGACCGCCAGTATGGCGAGATGGTCGCCCTCTTTGTTGGGAAGAACTACGGTGTCGTAGATCGTGGGGCAGCGCCATCTGATGCCCCATTTGGGGCAGTAATGCACATCCGACCCTCGGACATGCCCAATGCTTTGCCTCTTTCGCCCAATCGCATTCCTCGCGTTTCGGATGGCCCGTACTATTTGGATGTCGATCCAAGCGTGAATTAGGATTTCAATAGCGTGCTCGACCCGGCGGTGGAACACTCTGCGGACGTGGCTGCGAACACCGCTGCATAACCCAGAAACTTTGGCGTAGCTGAACATGACGATCTCACATGTAAAGCCCGCTAGCAGTGTCTTTTATTTTGAAAATTAGGTGTACATCAATGTGGATATAGGTAGTTTACAGTAGATCCGCTTTTGATTAACTACTGACTTTTTGCCCTGGGTTTGCCCCGGCGAATGCCCCCTTATCCAGAAATTCTTTCTGCTCCAACCATTGTGATGTTTCATGAGAAAGGTTCTAATAGATAATTATTCTCTGGATCGACATTTGCCCTGATCAGCACCTATGAAGATATGGATATCCACCTCTGTTCGGGCCATCCGCAAGCTTGCCAATCGCAGGCCAAACACTTGAGCACGCACTCAAACGCAGCCTCTTCACGGAGTAATCCCAGCCCCGTGGCGAGGCTGAAGACGTGCGATCGACAACAAGGGTACATATGGCAACATTTTGACAGCTGGCAGGCTTGTGCTTCTGTTCTTCGGTGGCAACTCATGTGTGCCGACCGTGTTTCGCCACGAATGATAGCCACTCTCAGATGATGACCGAGGAATTTCTACAGTTCTAGCGGTTTCCAAGCCGATCGATACTCTTTCAGCCACGCCAGGAGATTCCCAGTTCTGCAGGAGCTTGCAGCAGGGAACGCCCCCGCATGGCTTGTGCACCTCTCTGCCCACAGAACAATCGGAACTTCTCGGTCTACCATGCGATACTTGGACCTTGCGAGGGGGTTCTCTTTCGGCTGGTCGTGACATCGAATGGTTCTCTGTGCACATTTACGAGTTTTAGTTGCATGAATTGTGGATATCAAATCATGGTCTAAACCGAAGTTCTGCCGGTCTCGAGGACAAGGACTGATCTGTAGACCCAATGGCGCCAACGATCTCAACCCTGAGCACGATCCGGTGATGTTCGGCCCAAACCCGCCCGTAGGGAACAGCCCGAGCTAATGGTAATTGATCGCTCGACAATCTCCACAATAGACGGGCGTGAATGGATGGGGCTTAAGTGAGGCGCTTGCGGCTTGGGTTACGCCTCAAGCTACTTAGTGTGGGTTTTGACATTGCCTACGTTGCCTTGTCGCTTGGACCCATCGACCCGTCTGGTGTCAAATAACGACCCAGACGTGGTCCGCTTCTCTAAGCCCCATAATGGCTGCCTTTTGACGATCAGATCTTGACAGCGTTTCGATGGATCCGCTGACCAAATTACCAACCAGATCGTGCCGAGATACGACGCGAGGGATAGTTAGAACTTTTCTGGCGTGAAACGCTAATGGCCTTTGAATTCCTGGAAACCTCTCAGCCGGACTTACCGACTGTTGGTCCAAAGTTTCCAGGGGCTCCCCGGAAGCTTTCTACCTCCGTGACAGGCCAACCCTGCGCCGCACGCAGCACGACTAGACACGATTATCAAAGGCCCATTATTACGGTGAGCCGAGTGCCACTGACGCGCCGTCACGATCCGCTTTGTGGGGTTTCGAAGAAGATCATCCTGACTCGAACCACTGCCGGGCCGTGGGTCCCACGCTAACCATCGGGCTGGACTCAAGGTGTCCCTCCCCAATTGGCACAGCAGCCGTGATCCCAAGTCGGTCTCGACGCCCGTCGAAACCCACCCAGAGGGCTAGTCGGTCAAGATACCATCGACGGGACTCCTCGTTCGCTACATTCCCCTGATACCACTGTTGACAAAGCCCAGTTTATAAAGCGGGGCGTTGAGTTTTTTTTCTTCGCAGGCTGAGGCCCGTTCCACCGTTCCACCGTTCCGCCGTTCCGCCGTACCATGGGCACACGGCCCTTAATTTAGAGGGATCCAAAACATGGAGTAAAGCTCCAGTGCTAGTCCAGGTGGCCATTTTGTACCCGTATTTTGATCGTGTATATGTCTATAGATGGATAAGATTGCCCATCTCGATTTCCCACATGTGCACGCCTAAGGGTCCCATTTCTCAACCCCCTAGGAACAAAAGTTCCCACCATCTGAAACGGGCTGGGACGCAGGCGACTGGCCCTGAATGCCTCAAAGTCAAAAGCCACGTCCAGAATCCTGAGTCGCAAGGAGTATCGTCGACTGCAGCACGAAAGGCCTCAAGCTGACAATGCGTTGACCGTCTTTCAAGACGATACACTTCGCTTCGGGCGTTAGTTGCTGTCAGGAACGGGCCCTAGTGGCTCGTCCAGTCCTCCCACGCACAGGCTCAACAGAGACACCCACCCACTGCCAAATGCCTGCTCGGCCCGTTCCCCCGGCTCTTCCCTTTTCATCGCCTTCGGTGGATGCTAAGCGCCAATAGCAGTACTGGACCCAGCTCGGATGGGGTCATGCTAAAAATTCAATACACTCGATAGCCCACCTTCCTGCCCCTGTCACAATCACTAAGGGTGATTGGACAGACCGGGATCATCGGGGAGGGGGAAAATCCGAACCTGCGTTGACATTTCTCATCCTGAAGCTGAAAAATACCCCAAAAAACCCCATTTCTAACACACTACCCCTGCAGAGCTTTGAGGCAACTGTCAACCACACCGAAATCTGGGTCTCATACTATTGTGTTGTTGACGGGCTGCATCCCCCTGCGGTTCATCAGATGCCTTCGCTTGACCGCAAGCAGATTCAGGATATGCATCTTTCTATTCTTTCACATTACTCCCCGTGGTCTCCGACACTTTGACATATATAAAAAGAGGATTTGTTTTCCGGCACTTCGATCCCTCCCGCGCGGGTGTGGCTGACCTGACCGCTTCCTGGGTCGGTCTCAATGCCTACGAGCTGAATCCCGTGCGAATACGGCTTGAATATAAGCTCAAACGGCCGCACACCTGCTCCAGCCCCGCCTGTTCTCTCATAGATGTCGAGGACCCCGTCATCGCAATGTGGGAATCCCCCGCCCGACGCATCTTATATCGAACCGGTGTCTCACGCACGCCACCCCGCCCAAATGCCTGTGACATATGACCCGTATTATCGGCACGATCCCCGTCACTTTCTACCGCCAGATGTCAGTTATAACCACCCAGTGCCAACGGCACCAAATGGCCCACGGTTGCCGTCAATAGGGCATGTTCAAGAGAGAAATGCCGACCCGCGGCATATGCTGTCATCAGAGAACCTCTACATGAACCAGCCGCCGATGCTTCATACACTTCCGTTACGAATGCACCATTATGAACCTTCCGCTATTGATCCACAAGGGTATCATGGCGCTCCCTATAAAGAAAGATCGAGTCCTATGTTGAGTCAGGACCGCGAGTATAGTCATCAGATGCGGACATACGATCTGGAGTCCCAGTAAAGTCCCTTCTTTTTTGTTTTCCTTTTCGATTGAGCCATTCTCTGTGCCAAGTTCTCGTACTCGTGTGCAGTGTCGCCGATTTCAAGCAGTTCTTTCATGTTAAAAATGTGAAAACCTCTGCGCGAGTTCACCCCCTATGAGAATCTATACTGACAGGCAAGAGTATACAGCCATAGCAGCGGTTTAACGCCTATAGGAAGCCCAGTTTTCTCCGAAAATAGCTCTCGTGCCTTTGCAGAAGCTCCAGAAGCTCCTGCGCCTGTGCCAACTACCGCACAAGAACCAAAACGAACTCCAAACTACAGCATGCCCCATGGCTTCGATAAGCTCCTTCACCACGAACCTCAATCATCACCCTCACCACCACCCCGACGAAAATCTACCCAATCCCGTTACCACCTTCATATCCGTCAGCAGCCCCTCGCAGCACGAGCATGCGGCGCAGGCGACCGAGACCGCCGTCCAGTCGACCCACCCCCAATAGTGCAAATCCTTCTGTCAGACTTTGACTCCGAGTCTCAAGATGACCGTGATATGCTTCAAGACCCACGTTTTACAGTGGGCTGCTTATTATTCCCTGTACCAGATTCATCCAACCCGATCCAAGACGATCAAAACCCAGAAAGAGAAGGGGACGGGGTAGCCCGCGCAGACGACGACTTTTTCACCCCCCTTCTCTCAGGCAAAGCCTTCATGTCCCCCTTCTACGTTGACGCAGACCCGGATCCAAACTCCGCTCCTACACATCCCTCTTTCGAATACTCTCAAAGCCCCTCCGAACCTGCCGGACCCAGCAACCTTCGCAATGCATCAAAACTCCACCAACCCGCTACATTCTTCATCTTTGTTGATCTTTCGATTCGCACAGCGGGCACGTACCGACTTCAATTTAGACTAATGAATTGGGGTTCGGTGGAGGATACGGGTCAGTCGATGCCCATTCTTGCCGAAGCATGGTCGGATCCATTTCGTGTTTATCCGGCGAAGGATTTCCCAGGAATGCAGGATTCTTCGATATTGGCGGAGGGTTTAAAGGAGTTGGGGTTCGTGGAGTTGAAGACGAGGGGGAAGGGCAAGGGGAAGGGGAGGAAGAGGCATGGAATGGATTAATGAGCTCGGAAGGCCAAATTTCTGTTTCTTATCGAAAATTTCATTATGCAATCAATTCGGTATCTAAAGATTCATGTTTTGAAGTTGCGTTTGGTGTCTTGTGGCTCGGTTTGCTGGTTTTGGGATCGGTGGTATGTCGACTTTTTGGTGGGGGTAGATGGAGGAGGGCATTTCTTTGCCGCTCAAGTTATTTCGAAATCGGAAGTCTGATCGATATCATGATGAAAAGCGCACGGCGAGGTGAGATGGTAACTTTTCTATTCCTGTCCAAAACAGAACCTGCACTATGCATACGTATTTTTAATGAGGTCTAGTGACAACGGAAGATCAATACGTTGTCCTCACTTTTCAAATAAAGTTGACTGGATCGAGCTGCTCTCAGCTGTGGCATAGACACGGCCATTTCCAGGGTTCAGATGCCTTTATTCCGCTCAAAATCTCAATATCCCTCAACTACCACGCATTTTACTTAGCATAAGCCGCCAAATTCCTTTCAAGAGCACCATTAATTATTGCTCAGGACTAAACCATTATCTTCAGATACAGCAGAATAGTTCAAATGAATTGCAAGTCTACCGTAAACTTACCATTAGCGTGTTGTACGTTAGTCGGTGAAATTGACATGCATTGATCAAACCAATACTCCAGATGTCTACATATGATTTTTTTTTCCCACATCCTCAGGGCTAGTACATTTCATGCGTTGCAGAAAACGATATGACATGCATCTTTTGTATAATAAGGTCTGTTGGGTGTTCTGCAGATCGTATTTGCCAGATCGTGACTGCGAGGCCAGAATTTGTGGTCAGTATCATTCGCTAGGTCTTGGCTGACGGTTCTTGGAGCTTCGTGAAGACCTTGAGTAATTGACTTGGGAGTAGAGATTGAGCTAGAGAGAGTTTGCTCAAATTAGATTGACTTTGCAGAATGGAGATGTGGAGGCCAATTGAGACGGATTTCTTACCCGTCATGGCTGCTTACAGGTCTCCTGGAAGATTCAACCAAATGTGGTGATTAGTTGCCGGGAGACAGGTGGGACGAAATTGGGGAACATTTGGCGTGACCAAGAGAGATCAAATCGGGATCTTTGAAGGCATCTGGGTGTCATAACCGCATTATCATGTCGCGCGTGGTTACAAGGCTAGATATAGACCGAGTAAGCTAAAGTTACAGTACCTGGTCAAGTAAAAATAATAGTCTCGTTCAACTTTGCTAGACGAAAGTTGCGACGATCGAGGTCAATTGCATGCCGACGCGCTAGTGCAATGCACCTCTTTACGTAGTGAGCCGACTAGTGTATCAAAGCCATTAGTTACACAGCGCATTCGGATAATATTTTGTTTCAATTCCCGATAATACTAATTAAGACAAATAGGAGTATCCTCAGAGAATAATGGGCATTTACAACAAGTTTTGAAGGTATTAGCCTCGGAGGTGAGAGGTAAATTGCTTCTAGAACTAATCACCCCGAAAGGCAACCAGAACAAACAAAATTAAAGAAGAGCAGTATATTGAATCCACATGTTCTGTAGCGACAGAATCATGAGGGCGAGACCGAAGATCAACTTCTAGCCAGTATAGTAAGGGTTGGTGCAGGTCCAAGAAGTCAGAACGGATTGTGAGAAAGCCTCCTCAAGGGCCAGGATAGCAGCCCAGGTACCCATACCAGACGCTGCGAAACCGCAGCCAGTGAAGATTAGAATGGGAATACTGAGCTTCCAGCTCTTGCGGAAACCACGCACCCAGCGCTTGTATCCGCCGTCGAGGCGGGTGGTCTCACCAGTCGCGGGGTCAAAGCCTTCGCCGGGCAGCTTGGCAGCCTGTTGGATCTTGTATCCCAGGCACATGACTCCAGAGAGGGAGTATGTGAAGTTTAGACTGAAAAGACCACCAACAAAGTTTGTGAAAGCGCTGAACTGGGGAATGGACATGGAGATAACAAAGGCAATAATCCAATAGACGGGGCCGAGGGCCCACCAGAGATATTTGCCTTTCCTGGTTGTGATCGCGGGCAGATTGAATAGTTCCTGGCCGACCTCAAGGTAGACAGTCTTCATTCCGACATTGAAGTACAGGACTAGAATACTTGTGTTAGTCGATGGAAAATCGAGGAGCGGGAAAGTTAAAACTTACAGACGGCGAGCCAACCGGTGATCAGGGAGAGCACATTACCAACAACTTGGAGGTTGAGAGGCTTAACGGACTGGGTGATGGAAACATAGGCGTACTGTCCGTAGAAGGAATAGACAAAAGCACCGAAGAAGATATACACGCCGGTAATAAAAGCCTGAGCAACCAACATAGCCTTCCAGAAGTCCATAGGATGACGCATCTCGGACAAGAAAGCGACAAACATAATAGCTCCGGAGTAAGCATCTATATAGAATAATTAGTCACACTGTCTTGCGTATGCTTTCAATAGAGTGGAAAGGTGCCAACTTACAAACCATGCTGTTGATACCGTTGAATTTAGCGGCGAAAGGGTCAGCGTTGGACTGCTGGTATTCGGGGGGAGGAGCGTTGGCGAATGTCTTAACAGGCGCGGGGTTAGTAACCCAGTCCTTGTTGAGAATACCGGTCTGGACAGCGGCGGTAGGGTCAGGACCGTATTTGGCCGCGGCAGCGCAGACGATGATGAAGGAAACAATATTGATCCACACCGCGGAGTTGCAGAACCAGCCGAGGTGCTTCAAGGAACGCATGTAGCCGCTAGCAATACTAACGACGAGCGAAATGATACCGCAAACGATGAAGCAGAGATTGACGCTTCCAGCGAGCTGGGCAATGATACCGGTCTGACCAAGAAGGACAACAGCCACGGTCAAGAACATCTGCAGGGCTTGGGTGAAGTTGATGAAGTGCCGAATTTTAGGACCATAAAGGCGGAAGAAGGGGTCACCAAAACTCAGAACCGGGTAGCGAGAAGAATCAAGACCCAAGAAGACGTACCAGATCATCCATCCAGAGGCGCCAGCAGCGAGACCCATCAGGAGGAAGATACCAGCACCAAGGCCATAACCGTCGCTAGAGAAGACGTAGGGGGTTTGACCCCAACCCAGAATATCGGTGGTAATCAGATAGAAGATAGTTCCCCAACCGGCAGTTCGCAGGGCGCGTGCAGCCTGCCGCCACTCGGCGTCGAAGTCATGGGTGCCAGCGGGAGCAATAGGGCTAAGAGCGCCCTCCTCTGTATCGGGGGACTTCTTCTCTGACCATTGAATGCCCTGATCGCGGTCCTCCGATGCATGCGTGGCGTCACGAACTTTGGCGTCCTCATAGGCATTACTTGTGAAGTAGTTCTTGATGACTCCCATGAAGCCTTGGCCGCTAGTGAGAGACTTGTAGCGGGCGGATTCCTCTTGTTCCATTTCGCGCTCGACCTTAGCCCAGTAGGTGAACTCCTCGAAGGTCACAGTGGGATCGAGACGAGCCTCCAACCCCCACAGACGCTGGCGGACACCGGGGTGGGTGCCAGCGATGGACATTTTGCGGACATCATCCTCGTCGGCGCCCAATTCGCGCATCTGCTCAGTAGGAGCTGTCGCGACCGCGAGGCCGGGAAGCATAGACATTGTAGAGAGAAGAGACAATAGGTCTCACTGAAGATGAAGTGAAGAAGGAGGAGGGGGGGAAAGCAAGGTCCAGTGTCACTAGTAAAGTAGTGTATCACAGCCCGCAACCTTGAAACAACCTGGCAATCTGCCTCTCTGGGACAAGCAATTGGTTATATAGCTAGGCGCACAGCTGAGACTGCTACGGCGCAATGGCCATATTGGGACAGAAGGTGGAAGACGCTTGGTTCTAGCCGGATGTGGCAGCCTCAGGGGTCACAGAATGCACGAAGGGATAGCGCTAATGCTGTTACTTCGTACACTGGCCACGCGTGGCGAAGTGGCGTCCACACTTCAGTCTTCATTCAGATAAGCTCCATGCTTTGGATTGGGGTTCACTCGTTCATGGCAAATTCCTCCCGCGATAGTGCGACTCCTCGTATAATCCATGTCCGGATACCTGGCCGTGAATATCCGCAACGTGGATGAAAATAAGCACCATGCCAAGATACACCAAGTAACCCAAGGCTCTTGGTCCTCTCACGGGCTTCCTAAGATAGTTCACAATCCACTAAGGACTAAATGTAAGCTACCTGACCACGGGGCCGCCGTCCCCAGCCCCGGAAAGAACAGCCCTCAGGCGGACCCTTCAGAGGTGCCAAGGGCCCAAGGGTCTAAGGGTTCTATGGGGCCGGTGGAGAGAAGATAAGCCGGACCCTGGAACAAATCGAGAACAAGTTTTGGGTTATATCCAAGATAGCGGGAGACCATGCAAGCGAGACTATTGTCCCACCGGTCCCAATTGGACGGACTTTTGGTCACATCTATCACATTACATTGCCAATTGCTGTTGGATAAACACCCGAGGGTTCATCTCCAGGTGAGCTAACGTGATCATCAATCCCCGCGCGACCAAAGATAAATCGCCGTGGTCATGCGACACCTGGAATATTAGCCAAAACACAAGACGACCCACTGTTGGGGGCGATAGAGGCGATAAAGGACTCTGATCTCCTCGGTACGGGTCTGTGCACGTGGAAGGGACACGGAAAGGGCAAATGGGAGGGTCCGTTCGCGCCGGGGAACAGTCCAACCTGGTTTAGTCCGGAACCCCCAGAAACCCCCGACCAAGATTGGCCAAGAAGAGCCAAGTGGCGCCACAATGTCGCATTGAAGGCTTAGATCTAATCAAGCTTCGTGACTTGACTGGGTTGCTAATGATATCGGGTATCAAATAATTCCCGCTTGAGACAATGATAACCGCGGGCGGCGGGGCACCGTCGCAAACCCGACGGTCTAGTACGTTCCGTGCAGGGCGTGTGCACTATACCCCAGAAATCTGAACCTTCCCCAGCCGACACTGAGATAACTATTTCCACTTTTGCCCCACGTGGCAATACATGGTTCTCAGTCACAAACCCAATGGCTCGGCCAAGTTTCCCCTCCTTATGAACTATAGAGAATAGAGAAATATCCATGCTTTCGCTCGCGACGGACTCCGGTCTTACGAGTTTATCTCTGGGAAATTTGTCAGTGACCCAATACCAAGGGTCTCTAGGTGTTTCCCTATGTTGGCATCCGACAAGCAATTCCTGAGGGGAAAGGATCTTCACTTTCGGTTCTTCCGGCAATCTGCATTATATCTATGAACTACTAGATCATCTGCAGTTGAGCGGCAGATCGGCCAACTTTAGCTCCGGTTTTCATGTGTAAATTCAACAACAAATAGTACTTCAAGTTAGGTCGTCAATCGCGCTTATAACTTTGTAGGGCTCGTATCAACCAAACCTACATGTTCTGCACAAGTGCCTGCAAGTTTCTTGATCGAAAGCAAACAACTTTTCTATTCCGCTGCAACACTAGTCTTGAACAAAAGAGGCGGGAGATGTAGGAAAAGAAATGTTAGTATAATGAGTGAGGACAGAGAGAAGGGGTCCATGTGATTATCTACCCAATCCAGTCGGGGTCCTTTATGACGGACATGGTGTGGAAGATGCCTAACTACCTGAGGATGCAGGCTTCCACACACATATATACCTCTCGCTAGATGCCTCCCAGACTTTTACTATTCGTCTTCCTTGGTAGTGTGGTTACAGCTGCACCCAGAGCCGCAAATCATTTCCGGCCTGTCCGGAACATGTTTCTAGCGTGTACGACAGAGCGTACCTTAAAGTCTTTACACTGCACACACGTGCAGCCAGGGTACTTGAAATGCATGCGCTCCCAAGTATCTAGAAGGTAATGATGCGTGGCCTTTGGAAACTTTGCTTCCCCTCTCAACTCACGATCATAAATTGCGGCGGTGAAGTCCGCCATGGATGAATCCGCTGCTCTGACCCGAAAGTCTGGTCCATCCAGAGAATCAGAGTGTCTCGACTCGACGGAGGAGTGAAGCCTGAGCCTACCAATCTGGAGTCCAAGCATGCGGCAAATTTCTTTCTCTTCGGGCTTGAAATCCTTCCGATTTGGTACTTTCCGAAGTAGCGAATCTAGTTCGCTCTTGATTATCCGGCATCGGTGAAGGAAGCATAAGTCAATGATCAAAGACCCATCATCGGAGGTGGCATTTATTTCCCACTCGGAGACCTTCTCTGTTATCGTTCTTAGATCCTTCAGGGCAGCTTTAAATTGGGTAACGTTGGTGTCATTCTGCTTGAGGTTCATCAGGTTTCCAACAAGCTCCATTCTGGCTACGCCGAACACATTCGGCGATGATGACTTGGAAGGTGGCATTTTAGGAAGTGATGGACTAAATGTCGGTGGATTGGAAGACGGGGGGCCGGAACCTGACGACCTAGCAGTTGCATTTCTCTTGTAGTTTGAAAATGAAAGTTCAAACGGAGAAGGACAGGATGTTGATGGGCCGGAAGTCGACGACCTGGCAGCTGCAGCCCACCTAGAATGTTCAGTCTCGGCATAATCCGACCTGCTAGCCGCTGATGACCTGCCAGATGCCGACATGGCGGATTCTGACCAGATGGATGACAGTTTGGAGAAGGTTGAGCGGAAGGGCCAGCTAGACGATATTGAGCCAGCATATAAGTTATAGATGAGCTGAGAATTTCACAGTCCTACCGGAACATTGATGCTTCACTTTGTGTGTGGGAAGTTTACTCTTTGGAGGCAAGAATGTACCGAGTACTGTAGACTTACAATGATTGGCCAGACAAAAAATAAAGTTTGATATCTACCGGGAAAGGTGACCATTTTTATATTCATCAGCATTAACTCGCATCTAATTGAGGTGAGCCCAAATTCTTTCTTTGCATAAATCCCCTGAGACAGTCTCTATTTAAGGTTAACGACATCTGAGACCTTTGTTTGCTTTCTTCAATGAATTCTCACTTCCTTGCCCGGCACAAAGAGGTCTTTACATTTGATGATTCAATAACGTTATAGGCGTCTTTAGCGCCCTCACACATTGCAGCCTGAAAATGCATAGCTAGAAAGTATTGAGCTGCCCCACAATCATGGTTTCCCCTCGGCACTGAAAGGTGGAGCATCCTATACAATACCCCGCGGAGCCGAGGTGGCCTTGCGGGTCGGTTGTAAACCCCCTTCTGGACAACGCTTGTCGCTAGTTTTCATCCACTTTTACCATCTTATTGGCCGTAAGTTTACGGGTCCCTAGAACACCAGGGCCCACCGAGCCAGGAAGAGGAAAAGTCCAACGCTGCCGAGGATACCTGCCGGTGGGCCACAATGGAGTTTTCCAAACCTGACCTTCAACGCCCAAGGGAAAGCACTAACCATGATAGCTCGGCAGAAATCCGGGGCAGCAAGTGCAGAGCTAGCATATATGTGACTGTCGGCTAGGAAGTCGAAAACGGCCAATTTTATCCAAGCAATGGCCGGTATGATCCGGTTAACGCCGTATTTGACGCTCTAGCCGAAGAGGAACAGACCTACGGTGGCACCGGTAAAGTTCTAGGACCCCTCTGATTCTGCCGCCTTCTCTGCCAGACCAATCATACTTACCATCGACTATTCTCTAGTGCAACGACTATTTAGGTACCAAAATATACCAAAAGTATTGTCTAGTACACGGCAATTCTGTATTTATCTATCATTACTATGCGCTATCCCCAGCGCTGTGGCTGAGAACATCTTTGGTCCCTCTAAGAATAGTAGGCGGTATGTGCGGTATTAGGGGTCGGAGACTAGAGCGATGCCACTGTATTGAGAGGAAGATGCAACACAGCTGACTAGGGAATTTAAGCATATGGGCCGACCTGCGGAAATGTACTAACACGATTTTGTCCCTTTACAATGTCGATTTGAGTGATCGAAGGACACCAAAGTCACCGCCGGGAACGAATATATACAACTCAAGCAAGGATAGTGAGCTTGAACGAAGTTATCCCGATCGGGTCTTTGTGTCGCTACATCTTTGATACTGTCATGGGATGGAATGTGATGATCGTCTTCACCGTACGCTAATTAGGCTTCCACCCGCCACGTATTCTCAAAACTACAGGGCTATTTTGTGCTATCAATTGCTAATAATGGGGTTGAAGAGTGTCTTCCTAGAGGTTATGCATACGTCATTTGCATAGAACTGCTTGGGACCGGCGAGGACTTCCTGTAACAGCATTTTCATCCCGAGCTTTCTCCATTTGTTTCAGTATAATGAGAGTTCTATCTTAGGAACTCATATGGACTACATTTTACAAGTATTATTTGTCCTCGATCACCTGGGCACCTTGAGAAAGCTGTGTACATATGGAACAAACATGAAATACATATTTGCCCAGATTTAGTCCTATTACATCAACTTCTGATGTCACTTGGAGTAGAATGGAGAGGGAAAAGGTGAGTGTACATGGTTGATTTAGGATTACGCTAATATCGACAGATACAAAGCCACCGGAATCAAACACATTGACAAACCGAAAATCGAATATCCCAAGCGGACCGGGAGTTCCATAGCTCTGAAGGATGACCCAAAGAGAGCCTCATTAGCAATCTCTTCCATGAGATATTTCTGGTGCTTGCCACTAGCAGTCTTAGGAAAATCCGGGCAGGCCCCTCCCACGCCGACCCAAAAGACATGCTGAGGAGCCTTGTGCCAGCTCAATTCTGCGCGAACCCAGTCCCTCACTTCTTGATCTGGAGGCTGGCTTTGGTTCGTGGCCAGCTTCAAGAAAGAGCCAACCACCTGACCGTATTTCTGATCGGCAACTCCGACAACACTGGCCTCGCTGATTGCCGGGTGAAGTAGCAATCGCTCCTCGATCTCGAGCGGAAACATATTTTCGCCGCCTGACATTCTCTGTTAGATCAATACATAATACGGAACAAATAGGGTGACTTACCCCGGATAATGATGTCTTTAATCCGGCCACTGATGTGGCAGTAGCCATCGGCGTCAAGGTAGCACTGGTCTCCGGTACGCATCCATAATCTTCCGTCTGCATCCAGTCGCATTGCCTCCTTGGTCTTGGCTTCATTATTGTAGTACCCTTTCTGCAAACCATATCCGCTGGTACAAAGTTCGCCACTCACTCCACGCCGGACAATAGCGCCATTTTCATCAACAATCTTGGCAGAGGTATGCGGGAGGACTCTACCCAAACTGGCCATTGCCTTGTCCCTGGGGTCATCAAGCGAAGTCATAAAAGTCACAGGACTAGTCTCGGTCATTCCGTAAGCAATCAACATTCCTTTAACTCCAAACCTGTCTTCCAATCGATTTAAAAGCGTCTCCGACACAGGCGACCCAGCCGCGAGCCCAGTCCGAACCGTCGTGATCTCCAGCTTTCTGGCCTCGCAGACTTCTAGTTCCGCCACAAACATGGTCGGCACGCCGAGCAGGGCGGTGGCTTTCTCCCGGGAGACCGCATCAATGACCCGTTCAGCATCGAATGTGTCGGAGGGGAAGATGATCGCGCTGCCGTGGGTGAAGGCATTGAGGAACCCGAGCACCAGGCCAAATGTGTGGAACAATGGCGGCGGACAGCACACTACATCTTCCGGAGTCAGGCGCATGGCGTTTCCCACGAGACGTGCATTATTTATCAGGCCCCTTAAAATATTAGTATGATGTTCACGTAGGCAGCCCCGAATGCAGAGTTTCTTACCGATGTGAGAGCATAGAAAGTTTCGGCTCTCCGCTTGTCCCGGAAGTAAACTGGTAGCTGAGGCTGTCCAAAGGTCGCACTATTCGTTGTGCAGATTCCAAAAAGCCATTTTCATCTTCGTCCAGTGCCCCAGTAGCTAGGAATTCCCCATAGCCTTGAATTTGTACATACTGATTCTGTTGAGATACATCGAAACCGACGATTCCAGAAAGATCAGGCAAGGTATTTTCTGAGTATGAAGAAATGAGGTTCTGTATATGAGCCGACAAACTGCGCGGACCTATATTAGAGGCGATGAAAAGTAACTTGCACGCTGTGTTCAGGGTCAGTTTCAACAACATTTGATCACGTTTGACTTCCACATGTGGTGATGATTAGACTCACAGCTTCTCTGTAGGGCTCTCAAAACCTCCACCGGTGTATAAGCGTTGTTAATTGGTAGCACTGGACATCCGATCCTCCCTCCAGCCAAAAACACCTGAATATATTCATAGCGGTTCCCGGCCATGACCGCAACGCAGTCACCCAATCGCAAATCGGCGCGAACCATGGCATTGGCAAGGACCTTGCTGCTCTCCGCCAGGTCCGTAAAAGAGAGTCTCGTCTCCTGCCATGGCGTTATCACAGCGATGCGGTCGCCGAAGCTGTTAGCCTGATCCTCGATCAGGTCTCCCAGCCTCTTGGGCCAGAGAGCCGCCTCTTCTGACCCATGGACAATTGACAAATCTGCCATGAAACTGCCTGAAACAGCACAAAGAAAAGTAATCGAGATCTTAAAGGCACCCAGAGCGCAAAATTTGTTGATGTGGAGCAAGTGTGCAGTGAGTGTATGGGGAGACGGTCTGACTCGGTGTACCTGCTACAGGAACTATCCAATCTATCGGATCCTTTTGCATCCGACTAAGCTGAAAATCCTTGGTTGCGGATAGCTGCTTTTACAAGCACACGTAGCCTTGCTGACTGCAGCATTGCGTGGATAAGTGGCTTGGCTGAAGAACGGCTGCATTAGACCGCTAGATTGTCGTAGGGACGGGTATTACATATACTAGCAGAATTTCTGTAATACAAAAACAGGTATCTAATTTACTGGAGAGAAAAACGAGACATGCCCGACGATAAGCTAGTGAACTTCCAACTTCTGAAGACGGCTTCAATCGACTCTCCGAAACGCAAAATGCCGGCCGTTCTATGTTATCTGTCAATTATCTATGTATATCACTTGCCACCATTGGCCCCCATCCGTGAAACTTTATTCTTCGTTTCGACATTTAGCCACTTGAGATTGCGCTTCCGGCGTTACAAGCTGCTGAGTTAGTATCGTAAGATTAGACGGAGCATCATCCCGATCCATGTGTAGTTCAACAAACTATTAAGAAAGTTCTTAGTACTTGAGAGAATGGAGCCAAATGATAGGCTGGGAAATGTCTTACTCGAAGAACCTGGTCATTATTGAACGATGGGTCCTGCAGAAGAGCAGTAAGCTCGGCCTGGGTCCGAATCTGATGTGTCTGATACGATCCGCGATCTGCACCAAAGACCCCCAACAGTTTTCGGTATTGCCATTCCTGAATGTCATTGTAAGATTCATTCCAGCCATGGATAAGCCGCTCGACCGTGTATCCTTTGTTGCAGATAACGAAACTATGCAGATTAGTCCTTGCATGCGTCACATTGAAGTTTGTGAGAAACCACCCACATGATAGGCGTGAGCTTGTGTTTGATGATAGTGCTCATCTCCTGACAGGTGAACTGGAAGCTCCCGTCGCCGATGAAGAGGACGGTTCGTCGATCGGGTTGTTCTGAGTCCTGAACGGCCGCAGCAGCTCCCTGGCAAGCACCCAAGGAATACCCGATGCTAGCCCACACATACTGGCTGATGAAGTTGACACCACGGGGAAACTTTGTAGACCATATTCCGAAGTTGGAGGTACCCGTCTCGGCTATAATTGTGTCTCCGGGGCATAGCCAGTCACTCATCTTGGGCCATAACCAGTCATGGCTTATACTGTTGGTTTCCTCGCTGTAGCTCAGCGTATGCGACATCCGCACGCCCTTTCTCAATACGTCTCCAGGGGCAGGCTCCTGACTCATGATCGCAGCTGACGTGAATGGCATACGCCCATTTCCCGTTTCCGGGGCGATCTTTGACATGGGCAAAGCTAAATCTTGGCGTCTTTTTATCGAAATGGAAGTGGCTGAACGGCGGATGATAGCTTGTAGAAGACTCGCACTTTTCAAATCTGGGTACGCTTTGCCCTGTACGTGAGTAATTTCATCCCGAACTTCAATCATTTTCGATGGATCAAAGCTCCATGACACTGATGCGACGTTCAAATCAGAGTGAATGTTGCCAATGGATATGATCAGATCAGAAGACCGGACCTTCTGCATCACAAGTGGATCAGAGCAGTCTCCAAAGTAAAGCCCTTTGAAGTTGTGATCTTGCTCGTCGATGATGCCACGTCCAGATGCGGATAGAAATAAAGGTAGTCCCAGCATTTCAGCGAGCAATTTCACCTCCCTTCTCTTTGTAAAGCGCACATTATAGCCCCCAACTAGAAATATGGGGTTCTTTGCCATCCGCACAGCTTCGAGAAAAGCGTCCGCTGCGTGGGCTTCAAGTGCCTGATCGTTTCTGGGGGCAGATAGGTCGAGCGGTCGTGTAAGATTCTCAGCCAGGACAGGAACATGAACCATGTCGGTGGGAAGAATGATTGACACCGGTCTGCTGGTGTTCCAGCAGTGAGCGATAACATCGTCAATCAGCCCAGGGGCTTGCTTCGCGCAATCTATCTGTACGCTTTTGGCTGTCACTCTGTCCGACATTCTCGCCAATTCTGTGAAATTCCCATCGCCCAGTGAATGATGCAGTAATTTCTTCTGTCGTTGTGATACTAGACTGGGCTGTCCCACAATGTGCACAATCGGGACGTACTCGGCGTATGCTCCCGCAATGGCGTTGGAGGCTGATAGCTCCCCCACTCCTGCGACTGTCATCAGGGCAGAAATCCCATGGATGCGAGCGTATCCGTCGGCCGCATACCCTGCAACGCGTCAGTTGTTTCTTGTTGGGGATAGACAGGAGACTTACCAGCGTTGAGCTCGTTGCAATTACCAATCCAGCGCAATCCAGCTTTGGCTACGTAGTCAAGCGACACCAAATTGTAGTCTCCTATATTGGTATTAGGCCTTTTTTTCTGAGGTCAGAATGAGAGGGCAACCCGAACCTGGTACACCATGGACAGATCGAACACCAATCTCTTTGATGCGGGCAAAGAGGTATTGAGACACCGAGACAGTAATTCGTGATTGCATGACCGAAGTATGGCTTTGGAGTTCCCCTGAACTTCTTCAAGTCCTTGGTCTTGGTACTTTGCACATGTTCTATTGTTATAAAAATCCTAGCTGGCATGGTATGTGAAGCACGGTAACGTGTATTACATCCCGTCTTTGATACCGGCTGATAATGGACGAGATTCAGCCTGCGAAAAGGCTACTACAGCCCAGCTCAAGAACAACTGGAAGCATCAGCTAGCCGGCCAGAACCAATCGAGCTCAGTGGAGCAATAGGATGGGAAGCAAGGAGAATCTGAGCGACGAGTCACATAAACTGGGTTTTATTCACCGCTTACGTTGTCCACACCTTACGTAGAAGCGCCAGGAATACTAATTCTAGATGTCCTAAAGTGTTTGTCAGAGATACGAGACCCACTGAGACCCAATTATCTAGCGTGCCGAGCCGTCGGGTTTCCTAAGCGTGCCGATTAAAACCGTGGAAATGTTATCGGCATCAGATCCACTAGATTGGTTCGCTTGATCTGCACTAGGGTTTCTCGGAGACTCCGGTTCGGCATTTTGCTTGCCACATTTCTTGTGGCGCCTGCCAGCGCACTGTTGGGAACGAAAGTTCCTCTGTTGCGTCGTTAAAAATCTCAATAAACTCTCAAGGTCGCGTTCGGACCCATCATTGTGCAGTGAGCTTCCAAATTTGAAGCAAAAACATACGGAGAACAGCGTGTCTTCAGCTCTCGACTAGTGGTAAAAAAAAAGCAATAGGGGATAATTAAACGACTTGGTAAATGTATGCTTGCGTCTATGATCATTCTGCAGGCACTGCTTGCGCGATCGCCCGATTGATCGCCCTGGCCATCAAGATTACCGTATCGGACTTTGCCGGAATCTCATGCCCTCGCTCATGTACAAAGACTGACCGTTTATCGGCCACACAGGAAGTACTGATCGCTTGCGCCATTGCATGGTCTTTGTCCGCCGAACCCCAGATATGCGCGGTAGGCAGGTCTAAAAGCCCTTCAAAGTCTTTAGGATCCATGAAAGCAAGCCGATCTTCCGCGAGCGCTTTGCCATCGTACACTCTCCAGGGATTCGAAAAGAAGACCCCGACTTTGAATGGTAAATGCTGCAGACTGCCGCTTTTAGCCTCGCGCTGCTTGTAGATCATCCAGCCAAGAGTGGTGCTGGCACCCTGACTGAAAGCCATGATGCCATCGTAAGGACCCTCAGTTGCGATGTATCGCTCGATGTTCTCCATCGCTGCAACGCAAGATGAGGCCGAATTTGGATCGCAAATAGCATACGTTTGCTCCTCGCCCATCGCAAGCTGATCCAGGTCTGTCATGATGTCAGTCCGCTCCACGCAAGCCTCGTCGTTCTTGCCTACCGTGGTCTATCTCCCAGGGGACAGGCCCGTCGACAAAGTCGTAACTGTGGCCTTCACCAAGCTCATACCGCAAAGCAGCTGGATTCTTTAGCTAAATTCAAGTTTCAAATGCTTAAGATTCTCACCAGTTTGCTGTTTGAAGATCTGGAGAGTGAACCCACGCGATTAGTCAAGCATCTCCCATGATACCGGGGCAAACTCACACGAGCATTGCTCCCCATTCCGTGCAAACTGGACACTATCAGCAAGTGCAATCTGAATGTGAAATGCAACATACCACAAGAAACGCATGTCGACAAACCAATCTGGCGAATAAACAGCAGATCAAAAATCAGAAGATGGTAAACCAGTGTTGTTCAAGACCACAATGGTAACAGGTTTAGATATGCGCTGTGTAATGCTTTCGCTGAACTCAAAGGGCCTGCGGCTGAAGTAGGAAGTAGAGGTGAGACTTGGACAGCAAATGATACTCCAACAAGTCCAACTGCCCAAATCGCTGTCCTGTGAGATCATGTGTAACACGCGAATGCAAGGTGTCGAAGTTTGTAGCCAATATAAGGCTTCAAGTACATTAGATAGTGCTGTACATCGCAAGCGAACTATTATGCACATAGGATCCATTGCTCCACTTCCCAATTATCTAGAACTGACCGCTGAGAGAACACGGCGCACGTACAGCAAATCTTACCGACGGTGGTTTCGTATCAGTAACTTACGTTAGGTGTAAACAATTACCAGCTGTATTCAGCCGAGACCTGGGTGCCCAGTCCGTTTCATGCAAGAAGCGACCTATCTAGACCAAAGGCAACAGGTGGCTTTATAATTCTGAGCAGCCAAAATAAACGAAGAAACCTTTCAATTCCTGTATAATCCTCAATCTTTCCTCTTGGATAGTGCCAATCTGAGAGTCCAGCCCACCCAACAGCCACCACCACCATGATAGAATCAATCGAGAAATCGCCCAAACCACTAGCCATTGTCGGGCTATCATTCCGGTTTCCTCAAGATGCAGTCACCACGGAAGCCTTTTGGGAGATGATAATGGCGCGCCGCTGCGCCATGACAGAGTTCCTCCAGGACCGATTAAACATCGACGCCCACTACCGTCCAGAGATGGACCGGTTGGACAGCCTCTCAATACGTGGCGGGCACTTCTTAACAGACGACCTGAGTCGCTTCGATGCTCCTTTCTTCTCTATCACCGCTGCTGAGGCCGAGGCCATGGAGCCTCCCCAGCGGCTGCTGCTCGAGGCGGCTTTTCATGCGCTGGAAAATGCCGGAATCCCGATGCAGCGCATCGCGAAATCTAAAACCGCGGTATTCACAGGATCTTCGGGGCATGACTGGGTGATGATGAAAGCGAAAGATCCTTTGAACATGCACAAATACGATATCACCGGGTCAACGTCGAACATGCTGGCAAACCGTGTCAGTTGGTTCTTTAACCTGACGGGTCCTAGCGCGACTGTCGACACGGCTTGCTCGAGCAGTTTGACGGCTGTTGATCTCACTTGTCAGTCTATTTGGAGCGGCCAGTCTTCCATGGTAAGTGGGATTTTGCAGAAATTAGTTTGAATTTGATGCTGAGCGGCGACAGGGACTTGCGATGGGTGTCAACCTTCTTTTAGCCGCGGAAACAACATTGATGATGGATAATCTAGGTCTTCTATCCAAAGAAAACCGTTGTTTTAGTTTTGACGGATGTGGAAACGGTTATTCTCGCGGTGAAGGTGTAGGTGTTCTAGTGATCAAGACACTGGAAGATGCAGTGCGGGATGGAGACACTATCCGCGCCGTCATCAGGGCATCTGCATCCAATCAGGATGGAAAGACCCCGGGAATCACACAACCTAGCTCTGAGATGCAGGCATCGCTGATCCGGGAAACTTATCGCCAAGCGGGTCTCGACGTGGCAATGACGCGGTATTTTGAAGCGCACGGAACCGGTAAGAATTTGTTGATTCCACCAACGCGGGATTAGAGATTAACATATAAAGGAACCGCTATCGGAGACCCTATTGAGACCAAGGCCATTGGTTCCGTTTTCCGCTCATGTCGTTCGCCGGCCGAGCCGTTATATATGTACGTGCGCTGATTTCTTCAATGGTTACAAGCTGACGTGTCTCATAGAGGATCCATCAAGTCAAACGTCGGGCATCTGGAAGGGGGCAGTGGCATGGCTGGAATGATGAAAGTCATACTCGCTTTGGAAAAGGGTGTCATTCCGCCGAACAGTGAAAATTTACAGAATCTGAATCCTAGGGTTGACGATGAATTCTGGAACCTTAAGGTAAGTAGAGCTGTGTGTTGTCTTAAGATATGGACCTGACCGTCCCAGTTCCCCCAAGAGGCTCTTTCATGGCCCACAGATGGACTAAGAAGAGCCTCCATTAGCTCTTTTGGATATGGAGGCTCCAACACGCACCTTGTTCTGGATGATGCGTATCATTCCCTTCGTCTCAATCAATTGGAAGGGAATCACAACACAATCCTGTCGCTTTCTTCAAGCTCCTGCAATGGAGATTCTGCTTCAAATTCCACACATCACCCAGTCACAAATGGTATCAATGGATTGGCCGAACGTGACGCACCTAAACTTCTTGTCTGGTCTGCAGCAGATGAAGCAGGCATCCCTCGCGTCCAGAATATCTGGAGGTCATTATTCTCGACAGAGTCCATCGAAGACAAGAAAGCATTCTTACAAAATTTAGCTTATACTCTGGGCACAAGAAGGACGCACCTACCATGGAGAACTTTTGCCATCGCGCGGCCGTCAGACGATTTGGGAACACTGGGAGACCGATTCGGCCCAACGTGTCAGTCCCGTGAATCACCTAATCTTGCCATGATCTTTTCCGGTGTAAGTGCATTTCCTCCTTGGCCCTGTGTCCTCTTACTAAATGGGTGATAGCAAGGAGCCCAATGGTACGCCATGGGACTTCAGCTTCTCCATATGTACCCAGTATTCCTCCAGTCCATCGAAGAAGCCGGAGTATACCTCCAGACTTTGGGATGCGAATGGAGCCCTGTGGGTACGTAATCTAGATCCAGGATGTAAGATGAAAGCTGTACTGATGTGCTGCAGATGAGTTCCAAAAATCCGAAACTGAGTCAAATGTCAATCGAACCGAGTACAGCCAGATTTTATGCACGATTCTGCAGATTGCTTTGGTGGATCTCCTGCGTTCTTTCAACATCATCCCCAAAGCAGTGCTGGGTCATTCTTCTGGTGAGGTTGCAGCTGCGTAAGTCAAACTCATTTTCCACTGGGGAATCTTCTTGACGGTTTTTTTAGATACTGCTCCGGTGCGATATCCAGACGCTCAGCCTGGAAAGTATCTTATTACCGGGGTAACATGAGCAGTCGCCTGGAAAGATGCGCCGAGATGAAAGGTTCGATGCTTGCAGTTGCGCTTTCCGAGAATGAGGTTATGCCCTATATCGAAGCGGCGAGTGCCAAGTTTGAGGTCCCTCGACTTACCGTTGGGTGCATCAACAGCCCTAAGAGCGTGACGATCTCTGGCGAAGGGGTTCAGCTCGATGCGCTGAAGGCTCACCTTGACAGGGACAAGATTTTTGCTCGCAGACTCAAGGTCAATCTGGCCTACCATTCTGCTCAGATGAAGGAAATTGCGTCTGAGTACTTAGCAGCCCTGGGTGATTTGGAAGGAAGTTGCTTGGCACCCGGTACACGGCCACAGATGGTTTCTTCAATCACCGGCGATTGGATCAGTCCAGACGAGCCTTGTCAAGCGTCTCACTGGGTACGCAATATGATCTCCCCTGTGCGGTTCTCTAAGGGTCTGGCAACTCTCTGCTCTGCATCTTTGGATCCTCAAAATGCGTTGGATGGCAGCCATCGCAGGAAAATCAAGATCGATCACATCCTGGAGCTCGGGCCACATTCCGTACTGCAGGGTGCTTGTATGGATATCTTGAAGGAAATGAACAAAGGCTCGTCTGTCAAGTACTTATCTCTGTTGGTGCGGAATATGTCCGCTGTTGATACTGCCTTCTCTGTCTTCGGTGATCTGCATTCCGCTGGATATCCGATCGAACTTTCATTGCTGAATAAGAGTGATCAGACCTGCAAGGCCCTGCCAGACTTGCCAGAATATCCCTTCAACCATGAAAAGTCATACTGGCATGAGAGCAGGATAAGCAGGAATCACCGCCTGCGAGAGTTTGCTCGGAATGATCTTTTGGGGCTTTCCGATCCAAACCAGAATTCGTTAGAAGGTCGGTGGAGGAACATCATTCGCGTGTCCGAAATGCCATGGGTCCAGGACCACAAGGTGAGCAGCTTTTGTTGAACAATACCCATGGAAGGGATCACTAATTAGCCAATAGATCAATGGAACGATCCTCTACCCGGGTGCTGGAATGCTTGTTATGGCCATCGAGGCATCTAAGCAGATGGCAGATAAGAGAAGACCAATCTCTGGTTTCAATGTGCAGGATGTGACATTCCGTGCGGCGATTCGCATCCCATCGAGTGCACAGGGTATTGAGACCAGCTTCCATCTACGCCCGGCCAAGAATATGGAGTCCAAACGCTCAGGGTGGTTCGATTTTAAGGTCTGCACCCTGGAAAACGAGACATGGACCGAGAATTGTACAGGCTCTATCCAAATTATGTATGGTGACAAGGAGGAGGAGTTGGACGAAGCAGTGGCAGTGGAACTCCAGGAGTCTCAACTTAAAGCCCATGCGGCTGCCTTGAAAGCTTGCAGCTCTAAAATGAGTGGCGAGAAGATGTACGATACGTTGTCAAAATCCGGATATGGCTATGGCACAGCGTTTCAACTAGTGTCAGAGTTGTCCCTCAGTGAGGTTGGTTCAGACGTGACGGCCGTTGTCCGGAACTTCTCGTCTTCCTTGGGAGATACAATCCACCCAACTACCTTGGATTGTGTTTTCCAAACATCTATTTGGGGAGCAGTTCCCTCAGACACAGATGATATTCCCACTGCTGTGCCTACTCACATCGACAGTTTGTGGGTGGATAGCCAAGCGACACTCTCTCAGAGTCTCAATACATGCAGCTCATGTGCGGAAGTGTCGCAATTCCTCGGCCCTGCTACCAGCATTGTGGCACTCGATGACAGTCTACAGAAAACACTGGTTTCTGTCCGAGGCCTTCGCATGAATATCGTCAGCACAACAGATATGATCGCTAGTGCTGGGGAGTCTGTGGATAGTCTCTGTCATCAGATTAAGTGGAAGCCAGATCTGAATCTACTGAGTGAGGTTGAAGTCACCCAGCTGTGCAAGATAGAATCTACCAGTGATGCTGAGCACAATAGTCTTTGCAATGACTTGGACTTCCTCATCGCAGCGCGACTCACGGAAACCCTCGCTCACATGTCAGAGAGCGGAATACAAGCTTCCCAAACGCATCTGAAGAAGTACCATAACTGGCTGATCAATCGTCAGAAGCTGCTTGAAGATGGCCGGCTGACAATCGCTGTTGATGGATGGAAGGACCGCCTAGCTGATCCTATTTATATTCAAAAAGTCGAGTATCGTGTTCAAGGAACCAAACAAGGTTACCTGTATGCCTTTGTGGCCCAGAATCTGACTAAGCTTATATCCGGTGAACTGGACCCTTCAAAGTACTTGAAGACCGGAGAGATGTTAACTGAAGCCTATCATGAGGTTGTGAGTCGTACCTCTCCCATGTCGCTGTGTTTCTCTTCTAACAAACTAGGTCAATCAATCCAACGGTCTCCGTGGATTGGTCAAATACCTCGATCTTTTCTCTCATCGCCATCCTAAGATGACGGTACTGGAGATCGGTGGTGGTTCTGGTTCAGTGACCGAGCTTCTCGTAGAAGCTTTGGGAAATGACAAAAAGGACTCACGTTTCGGGAGACTGGATTACACCGATGCATCGCCAGACAACGTTGCGAAAGCCCAGACAAAATTCGCTGGAGAGGATAGGATTAGCTTCAAAGTTTTGGATATCAGCAAGGATCCTGAAACTCAAGGCCTTGAATGTGGCGTATACGATTTGGTCGTGGCATCGATGGTATGTCCTCTTCTCGCTTTGATTATGTCACTTCCTTACAGTTCCGACAGATCACCCGTGAAACTTCCACTCTCAAAGTGACACTGCAAAATGCACGAAAGCTTTTGAAGTCGTAAGTCATCAACAACACCCACGCCGATTTTCCTCTAATTGACTGACCTGTTAGCGATGGTAAACTCGTTTTGTACGACGGGGCTACCCCAAATGGTCGCTCAACTTTCGTATTCGGCTTATTGGAGCAATGGTGGCAAGGTGAGCCAATGCCTTGATCTTTACTGTCGATATGAGAGATACTAAAGGTGCAGACTCGGATTCACATTGCCTATCAGGGCGCTCTGTTGATGAGAGTCAATGGGATGAGCTCTTGAGACACACCGGATACTCTGGTGTTGATATCATGCTACCAGACTCCAGCAACACCATTTCGGAGTGCAGCCTGATGATCTCTACTGCCATTGAGGATGAGAAAAACTCTTCATTTTCTACAATTGAGATTGTTTACGACCCGAGCGAGGCCGATCAGATTATTCAGGCAAGTTCAATCGCCAAACAATGCGAGTTCCTTGAATGTCCCCCTGTGCATGCGATCTCTGTCAAGGAGGCGCTCGAAGGCCAAGGAAGCGAGGAAACCCTGCGTGTTTTCATTGTCGAGCTCCAACGTCCGTTGTTGACCGATATCCAAAAAGAGTTATTCGAACAAATACAATCCCTTCTCTCCTCGACGTTGCGCGGGCTGTGGATCACCCAGGGAGGAGGGATCCTGCCAACTAAGCCACACTTTCGCCTAGCTGAGGGATTACTTCGCGTCTTGATGGAAGAAGATGGACGGCGCAAGCTGCACATTCTTTCCCTTGAGTCTGTGGAAGGCTTGACCGAAGACCCACAGCGAATTGGAAAGTTGATTCAATTCCTAATTTCAGGAGCAGCCAAAGACGCGGACACGGAATACCTGGAGCAGGGCGGTATTCTTCACATTTCACGAGTTGTCACTCCCAGCCAGCTCAATGAGGTCATGTCACAAAAAGCCAGCAAGCAACAGCAAAAAGTCCAGAACTTTGACTGTCAAATCCCTCTACAACTAGATGCCACCTCCCCAGGCCTGATCAGTGGATTCAACTTCATAGAGGATTTCCCTGCACACAAGCCGCTGAAAGTGAATGAGATTGAAGTCAAGGTCAAGTGCGCAGGAGTCAACTTCCGCGATGTCTTGATTGCAGTTGGGCAATTGAAAGCGAGCCACACCGGATCCGAATGTTCAGGTGTCGTCAGTCGAATAGGTAGCGCTGTCTCAAGATTCCAAGTTGGAGACTCAGTTGCTGCACTCGGAGATGGCTGCTTCGCGACTTCAATCCGCGTGCAAGAAAATGGACCTGTTGTGAAGATTCCTACCGGCATCTCTTTCGAAGAGGCAGCAGCCTTACCAGTGAACTACGCCACTGCATATGTAGCGCTGCACAATGTCGCACGCATTCAACCCAAAGAGTCGGTCTTGATTCACTCGGGAACAGGTGGCACCGGTCAAGCAGCAATTCAGATTGCGAAAAACGTCGGTGCAACCGTTTTCGCGACTGTCGGCTCTCAAAGCAAGAAGCAGTTCCTCATGGATACCTATCAAATTCCCGAATCGCACATCTTCTCGAGTCGGACGACTTTGTTCGCGGATGCTATCAAGCATCGCACAGGCAACAAAGGTGTTGATGTCGTTCTGAACTCGTTGGCCGGAGAGAGTTTGCTTGCATCCTGGGAGTGTATGGCGCCTTACGGCAGATTCCTTGAAATTGGCAAGAGGGACATACTGTCAAACCAGGGTCTTCCTATGGCACAGTTCCTTCGAAATGTGACATATAGTGGTGTTGATCTCGCCGCCATGTCAGTCGAGCGGCCTGAAGTGTGTGCCGCTGCTCTAGAGAAGGTCTTCGCGTTGGTGCAGGAAGGGAAGCTGCACCCGTCTCAGCCCATCCATCAGCATGGGGTGGGTGAGATAGAGAAAGCTTTCCGGATTTTGCAAGGTGGGCAACATGTGGGTAAAATGGTACTGGAAATGCGTCCAAATGACCAAGTGACGGTAAGCGTCTTTCGCTAAATCTACTGTCGTGCCCCAGAGCTAACTCATATGCAGACGGTGTTGAATACTAAAACCACCTACTGCTTGGACCCCAATTCCACATTTGTCGTTTGTGGAGGATTGGGTGGACTGGGAAGCAATATCGTAAATTGGCTAGCGGATCGGGGTGCCCGTCATCTCCTGCTTCTGTCACGTTCAGGAGGTCAGGGAGAGAAGAGCCGTGTTCTGATCAATTCTCTGAAGGAAAGAGGTGTAGAAGTGGTAGCTCCAGCATGTGATGTGTCGGATGAAACGCTAATTCAGAATGTCCTCCGGGAGTGTACATCTCAAATGCCTCCCATCAAAGGATGCATCCAAGCGGCCATGGTGTTGAGGGTAAGCCTTTACTGACGTATGATGTTTTCTTATGCACTTCTGACTGTTATAGGACGCGCTCTTTGAGAATATTTCTCACCAGTCATGGCATGAGTCGATCTCGCCTAAAGTTCAAGGCTCCTGGAACCTCCATCAACACCTTCCGCGCGAAATGGACTTTTTCATTATGCTTTCGTCTATCTCTGGCCTTGTTGGAACAACTGGACAAGCTAACTATGCCGCTGGAAACACCTTCCAAGATGCCTTGGCTCGTTATCGGGTGGGACTGGGCGAGAAAGCGACCGCTCTCGATCTAGGCGTGTTCGACTTTGCCGGCGCTGTTGCGGAGGATGCCCAACTGCGTGAGATTTTGATTGCTAATGTGGGCCTGGAACCGGTGACCAAATCTCAACTCCATGCCCTGTTGGACTATTACTGTGATCCTCAGGCTACTCTTCAAAGCACCTCGGATTGCCAGGTCACGGTGGGTCTATCTCCAAGCGCAACACAGGCATCGTGGCTAAAGAAGCCGATGTTCCGGCACCTGACGGCCCACGAATCAGGCAGTGGCAGCCATGGTGCCTCCAGCTCAGTCAGTACTTCCCTTCAACAGGCCGAGTCTCTGGCTAGCGCTACTGCGCTGGCTACAGAAGCTATTGCGCATAAGCTCTCTCAAGCTCTGTCGATCGCCGTTGGGGACATCGATTCCAACAAGCCATTGCATCAGTATGGAGTAGATTCACTTGTTGCAGTGGAGCTGCGGAGCTGGTTTGCCAAGGAATTGCAATCTGAAATGGCAGTATTTGACATTTTGGGAGGTGCAACCTTGACCTCGGTTGCTCAGCTGGCCACGAGCAAGAGCAAGCTGTACAAGGACTCTTGGTCTTAGTTTATCATGTGGTATTTAGAGCTGCAACTTCGGATTTGAACTCGGTATTCTATTTGACAATCTATGTCTTTCCGCGGTTTCATACTCTCCTTATAATGACATAAGTTTAGACACTAATCAAGATGAGGATGTTTCCGTCGGGTCGTCGGATCGAATCAATAACTTAGCATAGCTTGTCATACATAGCGCCGCCTGCCGATTCTAAGTCTCCTCCTCATGGACAGATTGCATGGTAATACTTCAAGCGCCTGTTTGAAGTATACTTTTTAGAAGCTTCCTATACTTTAAAACTCGGCATAGTATGGTGGGGCTGCCCGTTATCGCCCTATCAGTAAATTTCAATCTACGCGTGAGAGGAATCTCTCAGCATTCTAATTATTCCATTCGGTTTCCAACTAACCATTAATTAAGTGAATGAAGATTTATCTGAACCTATAGTATAGATAGGATGCAACATCTTCATAACTTTCGAGAAAAGAGAAGTATTTCGAGCTGGGAATCGTGGGTAACTCTGGGGTCGCCGAATCAGGCTTAGCGTGCGGCGCGACTTTTTCTCCGCCGCATTTTCTTTTTTTTTCTGCCCCGATATTCTTCAGTTCGTAGATCAATCGCGCCAAAATGAAGTACGTCTTGGTCTCTGGTGGTAAGTTTGGAAATGTCAGTCGGATTTCAACGGTATCACTGAACCATGCACAGGTGTCATTTCCGGTGTTGGCAAGGGCATTATCGCCTCCAGCACTGGTCTGCTCCTCAAGACCACTGGTCTCACCGTCACCAGCATAAAGATTGACCCTTACATCAACATCGATGCGGGTACCATGTCGCCAATTGAGTAAGTCTGCCGTACTCCCGGCTTGCGCGATTCGTTTTATTTACTAATCTGCGATCCTCAGGCACGGCGAGGTCTACGTGACGGACGATGGCGGCGAAATGGATCTCGATCTCGGCAACTACGAGCGTTACCTCCTCACCACCCTCACTCGCGATCACAACATTACCACAGGCAAGATCTACAAGTCGGTTATCGAGCGTGAGCGTATCGGCCACTACCTCGGCAAGACCGTTCAGGTCGTTCCCCACATCACCAACGCTATCCAGGAATGGATTGAGCGCGTTGCCAAGATCCCCGTTGACGAGTCTGGCGCCGAGCCTGACGTGTGTATCATTGAGCTGGGTGGAACTGTTGGAGATATTGAGAGCGCGCCTTTCATTCACGCTATTAGCCAGCTGCAGCGACGCGCCGGCAAGGGCAATTTCGTTCAGATCCACGTCTCCTATGTGCCTGTGATTCACGGTGAGCAGAAGACGAAGCCCACCCAACGTGCTATTAGCGATGTTCGAAGCGCTGGTCTTAACCCTGACCTCATCGCCTGTCGCTGCGAGCGCCCGCTCGAGGATGGTACCATTCAGAAGATTGCGAACATGTGCTCCATGGATACCGAGCAGGTTATCGCGGTCCATGATGTTACGACGACATACCACGTCCCCATCCTTCTTGAGAAGCAGAAGCTTATCCATACAATTGGCGACCACCTCGGTCTCACGTCTCTCCAGAGGCCCGCCAAGCTGATTGAGCAGGGCGGTCGCATGTGGAAGGACTGGGTCGAGCTTGCCCGTGGCCAGGATCACCTTCATGATACTGTCTCAATCGCGCTTGTTGGCAAGTACACCGCTCTGAAGGACGCTTATATCAGTGTGTCCAAGGCACTCGAGCACGCTTCTATGTACTGCCACAAGAAGGTCGAGGTCATCTGGGTCGACTCATCCCATCTCGAGGATGAAGTCCTCCAGTCTAACCCGGCCGCCTTCCACAAGGCCTGGCACGCCGTTTGCACTGCGGCTGGTGTTCTCGTTCCCGGAGCCTTCGGCACCAGAGCTACCACTGGTATGATCAAGGCTATCGAGTGGGCCCGTACCAAGAAGGTCCCCTTCCTGGGTGTTTGCCTCGGTATGCAGCTTGCCGTCATCGAATATGCCCGTAACGTAGCTGGCATCAAGGATGCTGGAAGCGAGGAGCTGCACCCTCATGCTGAGAATCACGCTATAATCTACATGCCCGAGGTATGTCAACCACTGTCTCAACGATAAACTAGATACTAATGAACTTCCTAGGTCAACAAGGATCAAATGGGCGGCACCATGCGTCTGGGCAAACACCTTTCTATCTTCCAAAAGGGCACCGAGTGGTCCCGCCTTCGCGCCCTGTACGGTCCCAATGTCTCCCAAATCTCCGAGCGCCACCGTCACCGCTACGAAGTCAATCCCGAGATGGTCGAAGACCTCGAGAAGGCCGGTCTATCCTTCATCGGAAAGGACGAGAAGGGTGAGCGCATGGAGATAATTGAGATTCAGGATCACCCCTGGTTCGTGGGTGTGCAGTTCCACCCCGAATATCTGAGTCGTGTCTTGGCTCCCAGCAAAGCGTTCCTTGGTTTCTTCGCTGCTGCTGCGGGCTCCTTGGATGAGGTTACGAAGGCTGTTATTGAGGGTCAGCGTAGTGTGTTGTTGAAGAACTAGATTCCGTCCCGCTTGGGGAAATTGCTCAAGTGCTGGGTGATAGATGCTCTGCGATTGATGATATGATATAACGAGTAATAGCAAATAGAATTATGTGAATATTTTCAATGCTTTAAGATAATCCTGCATAAAGACTCTCTTTAAAATTGATCCTAGCCTTTTTTATCTTTATGGACGGGTCTAAAGAGGCATTGATCGAGGCACTAACCCCGCTTATTCCGGAGTATTGTATTCAACAAAGCAAACCAACTATCAACAGGTCATGAACAAGCATCACTCGTAACATCAGAGCTTACTGATCCCACTCGAGTCTTTCGGGATCCCGAACTTCGAGATATCCTCCTTAGTCTCCCCATCAACAGCCAGCTCCGCAAGAGCGCGTCCAAAAGCAGGCGCAAATTTGAACGCATGCGCTGCACCAAGTCCCACAATAACATCCCGGTTCTTCTCCAAAGGACTAATAATGAACCGACGCTCCGGTGTAATGGTATACTGGCAGGTGATAGTGCGAAGAGGCTGGCGACCCTGGTCAGGCATTAGACCCTGAAGGAAGGTACACAACTCCTCCAACAACTCCGGGGAATGCACAAAGGTCCTATTCTCGGGAGTCATGAGATTCATTGCCTGGTCGTGCGCTGCCTTAATGGTTGGCTCGCCGTAAGTCGGGAATCCGTAGTAAGTCTGCGGACCGCCCCAGATCCAGACCGGGAATTTCTCTTGATCAAAGGCAGATGGGTCCGTTGGCTTGAAGTATGTGATTTGTTCTTGCATTACCTTTAGAGGTATGTGCACGCCGAGTGGTGCGAGGAGCTTATTCGTCCATGCGTCGGTTGTGAGAATCACTTTTTTTGCGTAGAAGGTCCCCTTTGATGTCTCGATCACGATCCCTCCGGAGGCTTTGGGGGTAACACGGTCCACGCGAGTATGATCCTTCAAAGTAGCGCCCTTCGAGCGTGCGAGATTCTGCATCGCCATTACAGTTTTCGCGGCGTGGACGATACCGCTGTCCGGGTCATATACCGTTTCGACAGACTCTGGGACATTGAATTGAGGCCATCGCCTGTTCACCTCTTTGTGGTCCAGGACCTCATGCTGAACATCATTTTGACGGAGAGATTTCACATAGCTATCAATAGGATAGGGAGCATCCTTGGGAAGGAAGAAAAGACCCCCGGTCGTGGTCAACAGCTTTTGACAAGTGAGCTTCTCCAGCTCAGCCCAGTCCTTATAAGCAGATTTGACGAGCTTGACATTCTCTGGCTCGGAATTTGATTTTCTGACGATGCGCGATGTGTCGTGGGATGCGCCCTGGACGTGTCCGAATTCAAATTGCTCGAGTCCGAGGACTTTGGCGCCTTTGAGAGCCGCTTGGTAGCTTGCTGCACTTCCCAGGACGCCGAGTCCTACTACTGCAACATCATATGTGTCCATTGTGATTCCGGTTTGGAATGATCTCAGGGAACTGGAATCGTGGAATGCGAGATCCATTTTTGGGTGGCCCTGCATGGGGGCGAGGGCCGGTTTATAAATCCCGTTGCAATGATAGCTTGCATGATAGCTTTTGCGGGATGCGGCCCGCTCACGTGGTGATATGAGTGGACTGTCAATATACAAGAAGCTCCATGGTTGTTGGAAGGTGGGGATCCATATTTAGGCTGGGCTTTTTTGGATGGAATACCCCAAGTCGGACATTATATCCCGTTGGCCGTGCAAGGTACCCACTTACCCCACGCCTTCTTACTACCTTGAGGTACACTGATAACAAAACAATTATCAACAAAGCTTGCATCAAGGTTTCTTAACTTCCCTAGCTATCAAACTTTAAATTGCAGTATTGAACACTTTTTAGACATTTGCCATGTAGCTCATGTTTACCGCGGTAATTAGCGACAATCCTAATATAATGTGGCGGAATATTTAGATTTATATGATATGGAGGGGCCTTCGGCTAAATCTAGTTATCTTTTGCATACAGCTGAATCATGAATACAATACACATTATTCTAGATAAGAGTTTAACGAAAGCTCGAGAGAGATAACTAGAAAAACATCGACAAAGAGCTAAAGAGGTAAATGTGGACGCCCGTTTAAATGATCTTCTCGGTGGGAATAGAGGGTGTAATAGCATATTGACAGCTAGAAGGCAGACTGGAACCTCGAGGAAAGCGGTAGTGAATTATATAAGCACTGTCGCTTCATGACATTAATCAACCCGGTACATGTTGATTGCGGACTGCGGTTCGGTATCCGAACACGTGAGCGGAACTGATTGTCAAACACGAAAAGCGGTCGCCCTCATTGGTGATATTGAAAACTATAGTATCATAATCCCTGGATGGACAGTATATATAGGGAAACATATACAAATAACACAATAATATCAAGAATAACACTTTCCCCGTAGACGGGGTATATTCATGCGGACACCCATTGTCGCATGAAACCCCCTCGGAGATGGAAAAAGAATTATTACTTATTGTAGTGGTGGAACGCATGACATAATGAATACTGTTGCGGCCTGAGGTGTCATAGATATCTTGGGCGTAAGCAATGGCTTCTACATGAGGATGGGAGGGGAGACACAGAAGCAGCATCTACCCAATTCATTCCAGTTGTCACTACATTCTTTGATTCATGATGCCGCGTTAAGTACATTCCATATGGACACAGTCGGAAAACCGTACGGCCTCATTTAGGATTGCTGCGTTCAGGATTGTTCGTACGGTCCCACGACCCAACCCGTACGACCTCACGGCCTCACCAAGGACACTTGTGATCTCCACTAGGACGACCTACACTACGAGTTGGTTGTTGGTGTGTTATCTATTGGTTGTTGTTGTCCAGTCTGCGTTGCCAGACAGCCATCGAGCCATCCCCATTTCATTATATGTTTGTATTGTTGTCTGTTTATGCCTTAACTAAAAAGCACCTATAAAGGCAGAAATTAGCCTCTAAGCCCTCCGCGTCCAGATGATCACGGTAGGATATGCCTTCCTATATATTCATCTCCTAACCACCCTAGGGCCAGGCGTCATTGCCCGCATAGTCGAAAGAAAAGAAGGGTCTAAAGCCCACAGAGTTAGCCACGGTAAACGCAGCTGACGATACCGGACTGTCAACCGAGTCTCCATGTGCTACATTCAGGGCAAATTTATCGATATGAGCGTTAAGAGCCAAACTGAAATCATTTGCCCAATCGCTTTGCGTGTAGTTCTCACACTTGGGATATCGAAGTAGATGAGGATAAGGATGGTAGAAGATAGTCCCGAGCCATAAACTCCGCGGAAGTAACATCTGCAAATGAAGGCTGACGTTACTAAATGACTATGCGGAACTGGCAGTGTAATTTAATACTCATGATTGAATTTTCCTTAAATATTAATTCAACAAGGCGTATAGCTTCTCAATCAGCCTCGTCGTTAGGTTCGTCTGCGAAAAGCGCGCCCACCCGTGGTGAGACTTGAAGTAGGCTTTCGAGGCCAATCCAGTCCGCTGTATGTTCATTGATAATGTAGATGAGCTTAATCTGGATCGTACGAAACAGTTCCATTATTGCGAAAAAAATCAAGTGAAGAGCGGCCGTAAGATCTGAGAACCAAGAAGCTTCAATTTTGCTAAAGGGAGGGGGCAGAGAGCGCTGACTAAGTCAATCACTGAAATGAACCCCCCTAATTAGAGAAGGGCTGTTAACGCGTCAAACTGTCAAGATGCTAAAGCAATAGTAGGCTCCAAGTAACCATGTAGGACTGATTCTAAAGAGCGAATGTATACATAGGAATAAGTGTTCTTATGACCATATTCAGATCTTCCTACTTCAGGCTATACCCCGCGGGGGTAAATCTAAAGTCGCCGCAGGAGTCACGGTCACGTTCGACCACCTCCTACTTCCATCTATCTCTTTAATAATTTTTTGAGAACTCTATTAGAGCCTACACGTGCTATCCCACAAACAAAACTTCCTCCACAATTCGCCTCCACTGGGAAGGTCATGATGTCATTGCCGATATATAGACTCCAAAACCATGTACCATTAAGCTTTCCCATGCGAACCCTTTTTGCTCCCCGCAGACATTTAGAGACCGGGGATTTTTTTTAACTTAATCGAATTCATCCGACACTTGAAATTGGCGACATGCCGTTTTGAGATATGACCAACGCGAACGTAACAACAGACCCGACATTCCTAACCGATGAGACACTGCATGAAGCCTATGAGCTCGAAATCGCCGACAAGAATGGCGCGCCGGTGCGATTCGGCGAGCTCGTTGCTGGAAAGGGGGATTCAGTGACTACTATAGTTATTTTTGGTAAGTTCACCAGCCAGGTATCCGATAGATATGCGGAAACCAAGTATCTCGCTGAATGCCTGAACTGACTTCTTGACCATTTTAGTCCGCCACTTTTTCTGCATGTACGACCAGGACTACGTCCGCGCCTTATCTAGTAAGATTACTCAAAGGCTGCTCGACACAATCCCGCACCACGCCAAACCAGCCCAGGTCATTATCATCGGCTGCGGTGACCACACTTTGATCGGCCCGTATATGGAAGAAACCTCCGATGTACTCCCCATCTACTCCGATCCCTCGGCGAAGATATATGAGACATTGCAAATGAAACGGACCTTCAAGGGATTTACTGATCCGCCGCCATACGCGTGCGAGTCTTTTCCCAGTGCCCTCTTCAAGGATCTGAAACAGAGGTGGAAGCGTGGGTGGGGCGGACAGAAGAGTGGTCCTGCCGATCAGCAGGGGGGCGAGTGGATTTTTCAAAGGGGGAGGTTGAAGTATGCGCATCGGATGCAAGCGGTGAATGATCATCTAACGGCGGATCAGTTGTTGGATATCTTGAAGCTGGGTCAAGTGCAGGATCAGGGCGAACAGGTAGATCAAACTGGTGTTGAATCTTCGCCGTCGCAAGGAAACTCAACTTAAACTGCTCTAAAATTTACAAGGTCGAATAAATGGCATGTAAATATTCAGCTTTGACAATGCATTGGATATACATAAAGATTTAAAAAAAAAAAAATAAATATATATATATATATGTACAGGCACCGAACTGAACCACGCAGCTGCAGCTACTGCACAGCCAGCATCCTCTTGGGAACCTTCGGCGAGTAGTCCTTTTCAAGCCAGTTCGCCTTCAACTCCAACAACCGGTCCGCAAAGTACTTGTCGTTCTCCATATCCGCATCCGTGAGGTAGTTGAATCCATCCGCGAGATCGCCATCCTCGCGGCACAGCAAGCCCAACATGAACGCGGCTCTTTTATTGCCGTGGTGGTAGGCAACTTGGTACCAATCTTGGGCAAGAGCTCGGTACTCTTCGCGCTTCATGGATTGTCCGAAAAATGAAGTGACCCATGTCCACAATTGCGATGATTGTTTCTTGGAAGTGGAAGCGGGGCCAGATGACTTCGTCTTTGCCATTTCCTTGGAAGGTTCCGCCTGTCCACTGGCATATTGCTTCGCCCTCTCGCCGCGGGTGGGGTATTTCCCATGATAGGTAAGATAGTAGAAGTTGGCGAGGAAAAAGCAGGCACTGCCATTTCCAGATGTGGCAGATTTCAACATGGCCTCCTCGTACGAGTCCAGGTTGTTCTCATTCATCATCATGAAGGCATACTCCAACAAGGCATCGGGATCATGGTACTCTATTGCTGCCGTTTTAATCGCCTCGTCGGATTTTCTGCGAGCCTCTGGATCATTGTGAATGGCGTCGTATCGCGCCAAAAACAGCGCGTATAACCGCCACGGTGACTCAAGCTGTCCCATAAGCATAATGTCGTCGAAGAACTTGGGTAATTGCTGCGTAGGAGTAATGAACGGCAACACCTCCTGCTCGAGCAGGTCGATAGCGTCCTTGTGTTCCCCGCGCAGACCAAGCATTTTTGCATGCAGCACCAAAGCGGGAGGATATCCCTGAACGGCGAGCTTCTCAATCTCGGTAGTCCATTCAGTGCGCGAAGGAACTTTAGAGAACTCCATGGCTCTCTTCGTGACGAGAATCAAGGGGATGCGCGCCTTTGCCATCGCACACGCTGAAATGATCCACTCTCGAAGATGTGGCTCGAAGCGTGTTGAGCAATAACCAATGCGAAAAACGGCGTTGACATCTATCACGAGTTCAGTGCCCAAGCCACTTGACATAAACCACAACCGAAGACATGCGAGTACTTACCGACAGAGATCGCCCGAATAGCCTGTGCATTAGGCCGAGCTGATAATGCCGCATCCATAAGTTTCGTTTTCACGGTTTTGAAAGTCTTGAAGCTGATCGCCTTAGGGATAAATCCGTCTTCAATTGCTTTATCAAACTCGAACGGAATCGAGTCAAAGTGCCGCTTGTACCATGCGTCATGGACATCCGGGTCCAATGCGTCTCCTAAACAGGCCATGAAGAATCCATCTCTATTCATGACCTTAGACCCAGATCGGCCCATTAGCTCCGGCATGTCGTAACTTTGGATGGTCGTATCTCTTCGTTTTGCCCTTGCTGCTGGTGACATTGGCGCTTTGCGCGCCGCATGTTGGGCTCGAGTGTTGTGGAATGTTCGTTTAGAGCCGGGATTTTGCTTTTGGAGAGCGAGAGGGTTTGCGGATGGCGTGAGGAGGATGGCATGCAAGTTTGGTGCTGCGCTGGAGAGAGATAAAGACTGGCGGAGCCTTGTCCATTGCCGTAGGGATATCGCCGGCCTCATCATTGCGGGTGCAATGTGCGAGGTTCGTAAAGAGCGTGGGTGGAAGGTGGTGGTTGAGGTGGAAAGTGAGAAATCGCGGAGGTCGGCGTCGGGTCCGCTTTAGTGGTCCAAGAAATGGGTCTGCATAACGCGATACACGTTAAACGTCTACGAAGCGCGAGCTTTCAGAAATTCGATCTTTAAATCTACAAATACAGTATCTGAACATGCTCAATGCATCAATTAACCAAACGAGCCCTCTGTACCAGGGGTCCATAACACAATGCGTATAATGTACATTTGCTCTCACACGACCGGGCCCCGACGCTCAAATCCTCGCCGATATAACCCAGCCATTCCAAGACTGAAGCCGCGCGCAAGAAAACAACGAGAAAGGAGAGAAGTAAAGAGCAATTCTTGGAACCAGAACCAGCTCCATCCAAGTCCACACTCGAGTTTCTGCAAGCTCCGGCTTTTTACTCCATAACGACCTTCGCACCGATAGCCTTGAGCGTCTCGATGATCTTCTCGGCCTCCTCCTTGGGGACGGACTCCTTCAACATCTTCGGCGCGCTCTCGACGAACTTCTTGCTGTCCACCAGGGAAAGACCCATCATGTTCTTGATCTCCTTGATGACCTTGGGCTTCGAGGTGGCCTCGAAAGATTCGAGCTTCAGATTGAACAGCGTCTTCTCAGCGGCGGCGGGAGCGGCCTCTTCCTCCTCAACGGCCGCGGCGGCTCCGGGGGCACCGCCGCCGGGGGCCATGGCGAAGCCACCTACGGGGAGGTCGGGGATGTTCAGGCGGGTCTAGGAGAATCAATGTTAGTACCAGGATCATGGAAGAAAGAGTCCGATGATGAAGACTAGGAGAATAGTCTCAATTGGCGATTGTGGACGTGTGTATGCGAATCAATGAATTGGGCCAACAAACCTTCAAGCTAGAGACGAGGTCGGCAGTCTCGAGGAGAGTCAATGTGCTGATCTGGTCGACAATCTGTGCGATCTTGGGGTTGGTAGGAGCAGCAACCGCGGCCTCGGTTGACTCCCATCGTCGGCTGATAGGTGTGCGGCGGGCTGTGTATGAAGTCGCGATGCGCAGGGAGGATGGGCGGACGGAGCCGGAGAATTGTCTGCAGACGCGGGCTGCGGCCTGGGTGGGGAAGGACATGGCGAAGGTGAGAACGAGGAGCTCGGAAGGGAAATTGAATCAATGCACTATTGGGGGAAATAAAAGAGAGAGCTCGGCCGCGATAGAGAGCAAAAAGAATGACAAGAGTTTCGGGGAAAATCTCGGTGTCACGTGATAGTTATGTAAGCGCATACAATGGCCCTCCTAAAGGCAGCGATTATCTGAACATCGTTATTAGCATTGAATATTAGACGGGACTATTTTAAAAATACCTGAGACTACATTCTAAATTGAAATGGAAGAGTCATTGACCAATGTATGGATGTATTATCATACTCTGCTATACACACCAGGCGACCTTTTTTTTCGTGATATCGTACGGAGATCTATCGCCGTCCCAACGGTCTCGAAGCCATGCCATCTTCAATCATTTAATCCTCATCCCAGTTGGCGTTCGGCCCAGGTGGCTTAGGGCCACCTGCTTGCCGAGCCACAATGATCTGGTCAACGCTGAGGACAGTCCGGGCAGACTCACTGGCCAAACGGATAGCCCAGCTCTTGGTAGCCATGAGATCGAGAATACCCTCCTCGACAGTGTCCAGAGTACCGGCGGAGGTGCTGGCCTCGAGGTCGACACCGGTGGTCCAGTAGGGCTCCTCCTCCTCGGATGAGCTGCCCTCCTCTTCCTCTCCGGAGGACTCCTCGCTAGCGTTGCGGTGGTGTGCGGTGTACAGGCGGGAGAGAACCTCGGTGGCGTCGAGACCGGCGGACTCGGCGAGAGTACGGGGGATGACCTCGAAGGCCTCGGCGTACTTGCGAATGGCATACTGGGGCAGACCGGGGGTCTTGTCGGCAAATGCGGAGATACGCTCCACGAGCTGGATCTCGGTGGCTCCGGCACCCGGAACAAGACGGGGGTCCTTGGTGATGGCCTTGACGACGTTCACGCCGTCATCGATGGCACGCTCGACGTCCTCGAGGTGGTTCTGGGTGGCACCACGCAGAACAATGGTGGCAGTGCGAGTGACAGCGTTGGCCTCTTCTTGACGGAAAACAGTGACACGGTCACCACCGATCTCGGTAGTCTCGACAACGTCAATCTGACCCATTTCATCGGGCATGGGGGCACCCAGGCGGGCCAGGGGGTGGCACCGACAACACGGCACAAGCGTCGGAGCTCGAACTTGGACAGAATCTTGATGACAAGGATGTTGAAGCGGTTGAGGTAGTGCATGGCAAGGTCGCCGACGGTAGAACCAGCAACAACCACGCGGAGACCGGAGTCGTACAGCTCCTTGACGGCGGCCTCCAAGCGCTCCTCCTCGCCCTTGGTGTAGTCAACCATCTCTTGAGCGTTCTTCAGCAAAACAGTTCCCTTGGTCTCGGTCTGCGAGGTGTCAATGGGGCAGCTGAAAACACCGACCTTGGCCTTGCGAGCCTGCTTGATAGTTCCATCGGGCTCCCGACCGAACACCATACCCTTAACCACACGAGACTGTTCCAAGCTGCCACCCATGATCTTGACGACACGGACGTTATCCACGTTAAAGTTGAGGGGGTTCTTGGGCAGTACAGCCAGAACAGCCTCCGCAACCAAAGCAGCCAGAGTATCCTCCGTACCAGACTGCTTGCTAGCCACGACCGTCCGAAGTGCCTTGCTGAGTTCCGGAATCGAGCGCATCTCCTTAAGTCGATCGACCTCGAGATCTGTAGAAAACCCAAAAATCAGCATTCGTTCCACGACCACACTCGCAACCCCTCATTGTCGAAAAAAAAATCCCAAATCTCAAATCTCAGATCACACGTACCCTCTAGGACCTTCAAAGCAAAGTTCTGTGCCTTCTCGTAACCAGAAACAATATCACTGGTCTTCAATCCCATGCGAATAAGCTCCTCCGCCTTCTTGAGCAGCTCGCCCGCAAAGACAATAACCATATTGGTACCATCGCCCATCTCAGCATCTTGCTGCTGACTTGCCATAACAAGCAGCTTAGCAGCCGGGTGCACGACATCGAGCTCGCGGAGAATGGTAGCAGCGTCGGAGGTCAGGATCATCTTCTGCAGGTGGTTGATGACGATCTTGTTGCGGCCGTAGGGGCCCAGGGAGGTCTGCACGGTCTGCGAGATAGCCTGGCAGGCTTCGATGTTACGGATGACGGCTCCATCTTCGGCGTCGTGGCTGGCAATTGCGTTAGTTCAATTCCCAGGGTATGGTTCAGGTTGGCCAGATAAGGAGGTGTGGGACGCGGTGCAGGTCGAACTTACCTCTGGTAGCCGGCCTTGAAGAGACCGGCCTGGGAGGGCCCAGGTAACGAGAGCGACATTGTCAAAGGTCGTGTCCGGGGATACGACTTAATTTGACGGGGTGGAGGGGAAGTGTTGATGACCGCTGTTGTGCCGGGGAATTTTTGGGAGCTCGACGGGGAGTTGGGTGCGTTTGCGGTGTTTGCACGAGGGGAACCCGCCAATTCTCTCCGCCCGCTTTCTATCTACTTCGATGGTCCCTGGGTGGAAAAGGGGTCATTAAAAGGGGTTTTTATAAATCTGGACGCTCTATGTGAGGTGGGTATTGATTTTCCGTTAACTCTATTGTACACAAATTCCATTGGTTGTATCGCTTCACCACCCGTAAGAAGGCTTATACGATTGAGCCGCATCGTGGAAGGCCGGCACTATTAGAGTCAGTTCATGCTCAAACTCCACGGGTAGGACTCGGAAACTTACTGTACTTCCCAAGGGAGCCACACCCATTGTCCGAGTAGATGGTTTCGGCTTTCTCGAGCCTATAGCAGTTAGCAATTGCAACTCGAAAAACAAAAAGGTCAAGCATCTTACCATCCACGAATAGCTTCCTCTCTGTTGTAGCTCTAATAGAAACGTTAGTGACCAAATATCACAGTAGAAGCAATTTTACTGACCGAAGGATGCGTGGACATGAACTGCGGAGGTGACCCCTTCTCCTGCTTTTGCATCCGAGCCCATCTGGTACACCATTAGTCTAGACCGTTGAACAAAGTAAAAAGAAAACTCACAGCCGAACAGCAGCCTCCGGGTTAAAGCAAGCCTTGGACATCATCACTAGTCAAGAAAGGTCAGCATCTCGAAATCATGAATCCAGTGACCCTGCATACTCAGCCCAATATTATCCGCCTCCGCCTAAAACAACAGTTAGCCTCAACTCAACCTTACCACAAGGGAAAAGACTCACCTCCTGCGACCGTGAGTTCGGCAAGCTATACATCAGGTTGACCAAAAACGAAGTAAGCTGTCCAGAGACATCAAAAAGCAACGAAACCGCAAAAACAGCCCCAAGAGTAAGGAAACTATTGCTCATCCGCTCCGCAGGATGTCTCGCAACAACGTGCGCAATCTCATGTCCCAGGACAGCAGCAAGTCCATCTTCATTTTCGCAAATCGGCAAAATGCCAGTATAGACGAATACCTTCCCTCTACATCAAACGAGTCAGTAATTCAGAACCCCCGCCAAATCAACCAAGTAGATCAACATACCCAGGCAAAACAAACGCATTCGCCATGCCATCATCCTTGATAACGTGGACCTTCCATTCCGCCCCCTCAATCGGCGCAAGCGGAATTAATCTCTGCAATACACGATCCACGGTCTTCACGAGAGGGTGGTAATCAGGTAGGATCTTCCCGCGGGCTTCATTAAGCGCTTCGCGGTATCCTTCTTCGCCGAACTTTAGTTCTTGTGCGGTTGAGACGCAGATAAAGCGGCGTCGGCCTGTTTCCTTTTCTTGGAATTAGATTTCAATATTTATAGAGTTGCTTGTAGTGGGCTGTAGTGGGGTGGGGGTGGGCTTACAGAGACGACGTCTGTGTTGTAGAAGTATATTCCTGAGAGGCCGATGCCGATTATGACGAAGTGATGGGGTCTGGAGTTTTGAATTAGGGTGTAGAAGAGGGAGCCGCGGTTATTAAAGCGGTTGTATTGGTTCGAGCGGTTGTATTGGGCCTTTGGGTGTGAAGTTGAGGTGAATGCGCGGTGGGTCGAGGGTCGAGCGCCCGGGATGTAGTGGTAGGCTAGTGTAGGTCTTCGAAGTGGTTGGTTTGAAATCCATCGCGAGGACTGAAGGGAGACGTTTTGTGTTACGCGTGAGATGTGCGGAGCGAGTGCGGAGGTCTGCGTGAAGGACCGTTGCGCCAACGCCGCTGAGGGTGAATGCGCGCGGAGAGCACGAAGTGAGAATCGAGTGAACATTTCAAGAAGAGTGTCGCATGGTATGTACAGTGACTCGAGGGCTAAAAGGCTGGCGTTGAAGCTGGATGTGAGTCAAAAGGCAGGTACCAAAGGAATTGGATCATCAAATGCGGCTGAGCCACACGGGGATAAGAAGCCACTTCCGGCGATTACGCACCGCCCTATACAAACCACACTACGCAAGCTCCATCAGATATCAATTCAATGCATGTCATTATCAAGGCAAATCAATTAAGCAAGGGCTATATAACAAGTGCAGTAGATTGTCACAGCTATTTTCAAAAATATCCAGCCAAATAGATCAAAAAAGAACCCATCCCATCCGCGCACCATACCCAAGACCGCCTGAGCAATTGTAGAGAAACAGATGTATCAACACGGCACCAATCCAGAGGAACCCAGAGGATAAGCATAAGCGGAAACACATCAAAAACGAAGCCCCTGGTATCATGCTACACAGTCATGGTGGGAACAAAGTGGTATCATGGCCAAAAATAACAGAAAAAGACGAGCATAAGGGGAAATATGGAAAATATGGAAAATATGGGAAATATGGAATATGGGATGAGGAGTAGGTAATATGGGGGAATATAGACGGAAGAAAATGAAAAGTCATGAGCCGACTCCGCGAACGTGTAGGAATATTCGAACATTGAAATGAAAAAGTCAAACAGTCAAAGAGGGTTGGTTACTCTTCGGTCAATGCATCGTCGCCCATCTCGCGCCAATCTTTGGACCTATCGGTCAGCCGACGGACTCCGGAAATTCGTTGCGCCCAGTGAGCCTCGGAGGGTGTGCGGTAGGTGTAGGCGCGCTGCGAGGAGATCACCCCGATGCTCTGGAGTACGGCTTTCCGAGAGTCGCGCCCGAATACGGCAGGATGGTTGATCCACTCGAGGGCAGAGTCAAGGTCTGCATTTAGGGCGATCATGGTTTGAGAGTCGACGGCAGATTGGGGCGTGATCGTGGCTGCGTCGGAGTGCGAGGACGCGTGGCTTTCCCCGAAGATGGACGTGTTGGGGGAGCTGGAGTTTGGCGTGTCACCTCGGCTGCCTGAGTCGCTGGATCCCATGGGCCTTGAGGAGGTTGGTGGGAGAGGTGGCAGGCCGCCCTTGCCAAGACCCTTGAGGATACTGCGAGTTTCGTTCAGCAAGTGCTGGCCACGGTCGTGTTGGCCGCGCGAGACGAGAGTAAGCGCTCGGGTGAGCATGTCGGATGTGAGCAATTCCATTCGGCGCTGCACGATTGAGGGGTGAGGGGGAATGGGAGGGGTGGATGGTCGTTGGCCTCGAGACTTGGGGTTGGGAGGGAGCATGGTAATGGCGAGGAGGGACGGGCGAGGCGAATGAGTCAAGTGTCCATCACGGAGGAGGTCGCCGTAGGTCAAGTCAGCCTGGATCAATGGAACTTCTTCCACACTCATCACCCGCTGCTCGTCGCCATCAAGTCCGCCACCGAGCGCCTCCAGACCAGACACCAGGCTTTCCCATGGATCCTGGGGCATGTGGTCCTGAGTGGCATTGTCAGACTGGATGACCAGCTGCACCAAAACATCACGCTTATCACCAAATCGAAGATCGCCGAGGGCAGCCTCCGCATCCCGACCAGTAGCACGCTTTGTCGTGTGAAGAGCACCGCTGATCTTAACAAACTTAGCCGGTGATCCTTCCGGCAGACGAAGCTTAAGCTTGACATTCTGGTGGGAGGTAGTCTGCAAAGCACCCAAGCATCCAGCAACACACTCTCGCAACATCATCCAATCCTTGACGTAAAGATAAGAGCCCTTAGTGCGAGTTGAAAGCTCAATCATAGTATCGGGCTTGTGAGTCAAACCAAGACCGAAAGAATGGATGCTGACCTTGGCAGCCTCAGCACGAGAAACAACAAAATCAACACTTTCAGGATCCGAGGTAGATGAGTCGCTGATCAGAAGAATGGTCGAGACCGGGTTGTTGAACTTGCGCTGCATCAGGAGATCCATGGCAACATTGGCACCCTCCACAACATCAGCGCGGAGACTCTTCTGGCCGACAGGGCGAATGGAGTCCAGGACTTTGTTCCATCCGTTCCATGACTTGGAAGTCATGCCCACGATAGGAACACCGCCACCACTTGAGCCGAATGTTACCAGACCCATCCGGTCTCTGGGACCGAGGTTCTGAACGAGGAACTTGAGGGCATCGCGCAGAAGAGTAATCTTAAGGCCCTGCATAGATGAGGAAACTGGGATGACGACAACGATATCAATAGGAATGTGAAATGACTTGATCGAAGGATGTTCGAGATCGGGGTTGGTGTAATCGGTAATGGCGGTGTTATTCGACTTGCCGGCACCGTATGACGAGTTAATTGAGGCCTGTCGTTGGATGCGGCTGGTCCGGTAATCATCATCCTCAGCACCCGAGTTGTCCAAATCATAGTCGCTCTGGCGATTCAAGTTCTCAACCGGATGCAAATCCATCAAGGAACGACGCCACATCTCAAGCTGATTCCGGTTCTTGAAGCGGAGGAAGAAGCAGGGAAGCTCGCTAACCGACAGGCTCAGCGTAAGAACTGGCTCGTCGGAGGATGTCTCAATGGCCTTCAAGTGTTTCTTGATCAGAATGGATCCCTTGAGGGTGCATCGCGTGGCCTTCTGCTTGCCCATCTGATCTTCGTACTGGTGACCACCGGCAACCTTCTTCTCTTTGACGCAAATAAGCATCTCCCCGAACAGATAGCATTCCAACTCCTGCCACGATTCTCGGTCTTTACCAACGCGCATTTGTCCATGCAGGCGGAGCTTGCCAAACCGGCTGAACTCGAGTCCATGCCAGTTGTCAACGCGGTTTCGCAATTCCTCGGCAATCTCATCCATATTCTCCGACGGCTCGAATTGGAGAGACCGCGAATCTTGCGAACCACCAAAACGCGCAGAATACGGCTCATCAAGCAACTGCTGGCCATTTGGCGCGCGGAGGTCATCGGCGTCAGGACGCCAATTGCCCTCTGGCACTTCGACGGTGATCAAGCACGTCAGAGATTGTTGCTGACGGGATCGGTTCATTGTCGGGAATTCGCTTCGCACGGTCACAATCGGGGCGGGGATAGGGTTCTTTATCACGCCCGGCCGGGGACTCAAATCGGATTCCATGGCCTGAACATCGTAATCGTGGCGTCGTCCACTGCTGGTATGCTGGCCCTCATTATACTCGCCAGAAGAGCCAGCCGCACTACCATTCCGAGAATGCGGTTGGCGGGGCTGAGAAGTCACCGTCAAGCGCTCCACGCGCTCACGCTGGTTGCTAGTGTCGCGACTATCTCGTCGACTATCCTGTCGGCTATAAGTAGACTGCGTGGGATTGTAGCTTCTGCCGTTATCGCTAGGCGGCCGGCGACTAGCCGGCTGTTCCCACGGAGTCGGAGTTGGAGTCGTCAAGCCACTGCGTGTCGTAGCGGAATCACTCATAGTCACCGAGCGAACGATGTTACTAATTTTCTCTGTAGAGGCCAGTCAGTCATGGTGGCTGGTAGTCACATGTGCGTCGGGAACAAACCAATATCTAAAACATTTCCACCTCGGCTTGTATCGAGAGCCAGCGGCGAATTGCAGGTAGGACAAAATTGCGATTCGAATTCGCGAATATACTCGTAAAAGCATGCTTCATGGGACACATGGCTACACGACAACTGGAGGACACGCTCACCCCGCAAAGTATGTTCCAGCGGTTCCTCACAGACAGCACATTCGGCGCCGACGAAGGTCCTCTCCCTCCGGGTACGAGTGCGGTCGACCTCCATTGGATCTGGGGGATAACCGGATCTCGAATTGAAAGATGCGCGCGAGCGATTCGAGTGAACCGGTTGGCGAGCTGGGTCAGGGTATCTGGAGGTAATGGAGCTTGCAGCGTTGGAGGGGGCTCGAGGACGCAAGGCCGTGACGTCGGTGTAGTTTGAGATTGTACTTTCGGGACGGTCTCTGCCTCGAGTAAATGAACGAAAGGACCGCAGCGTGGAGCGGGACGGCGTTTCCGGCCGCGATGGTAATTCTGTACCTCACAGGAGTCTTATTAGCAATGCGGGGGTCAAAAGCAATGCTGATATGATATGTGAAGAATGCAAAAGATTGTGCAAAGAAAAGATAAAACGTCTTCAGGGGTGGGTTTGAGAAAGCATCTAGAACGTCATGGAGGGAAAGGTCTCAGATCGGGAGACCGGAATTGATATGATACTTACCGAAATTCTTCTTCCTGGATCGCCCCAGGAAGCCGATGTCAGGTAGATGAAGATGATTAGAATCTTTCCCAGACTTGGCCTCCGATCTGGGTGAAAGTCGAGGTTTCCACATGGGGGTCCCAAAAACCAGACACCAGGCCAAAGGTGAATAGGGAGTGGGGGGGTTGTTAGGGATGAGAGAAAAAGGCGAGGGGAGAAAAATGAGACGCCCCGAAACCTAAAAAAATATGTATAATAAAATAAAAAGGAAGGAAAATAAATGAGAAACAAAAAAAAAACGTGTAATAAAGAAAATGTCCCAGGGCGTAAAAAGGTAGGGGGAGGGGGGGGGGGCGCGGCGAAAGGTAGATCGTACACTATCGCGAAGTGGACTAGTGTGGTATACAGAGTACAATTGCAATGTACAAAGGTGTAAGAAAGAGCGACAGGGTTAAGGAGTTTAGGGGAAAGATTGGACAGAGATGGACAAAGATGGACAAAGAGGGGAAGGATAATTTACGACGGCGGCATTGACTAGTCCTAAGTATGACTAGTCTGGGTAAGGCTCTCGGGGAAAAAAATGATTTTAGAAAAAAGCAGGGAAGATCGTGGGACAGGCACCGTCTGGAGAAAGGGAGGCATCCGATCATGGGATCCACCGTGCTGCCGAACATGGAGCACTAGCGAATGGCTGAGCCATGGAAGCGGGTGTGTGTTATTACACTCGTGGGTCGTAGGTCTCTGGTCATGGGTCTCGAAAAATGAGAGAACCTTTGGAATTCTATACAACGTGGGAACGTGGAAACGTGGATGACGGAGAGGTTCGTCCCCCTTACTGCTTTCCTGCAGTAGTGTGGTATTTAGGTGTACTGGCTATGCAACAACGGTAGAAGTGGACTACAAGGTTATGTCTAGTATGTCCAGGAGACCGAGAAAGTGGACACTGAATTGCCCTGGAACGGGAAGGTGTTGAACTCTGCCTCCTACGTGGATCCATTCTGCTACGCCCTGGCTGAATCTGAGAAACATGCCCATTCCTAGTCAACTGTGAGCATACGCGTTCTCCGTCTAAAATGTCAATATGAGAGCCCCTTTGCCTCGCGACCCTTCAGCTGGATTTCCATGGTTCAGCCTAACCATGAAAGTGAGCCGACTTCGGAAAATAGGAGGAACGCTACCTTCCGGGCTGCACACACACACACACACACACGGCTTCTCTGCGGCTTATCCGGACCTCCGTGAAGTGTTGTATCGGGCCACTCTATTAAACTCTCGGAAATCTAAAACCTCCCATAATTCACCACGATTCAAGTCGCTGAGATCTCCCTTTCCAATGATTTTCATGCAAGATAGGGATAACCCCCGGGGTACCGGGTTCTCCTCTTTTGATCTCTGGGATCTCCAATTCTCCTCTGCCGACGAGCCTTTGGATCGATCACCATGGTAGTTCATAACCCCTGTATGTGCCACGGTCACCAATCTCCAACAGAACCCAGCAAAGCGGTAACTGGGCCACCGAACCCCAAACCACACACATTGTACGGAAATCCGCCACCCAGCGAACGGCTGACCTAATCCGGCTAAATCTCCAATTCCTGTTACTATCAGTCAACTATGATATGGTTCCACTACCAACCCCAATTGGCTCACTTTTTCATATACTGGGCCCTCTCGGCAAACCGTCGATCCTCTCCAGGCGTTTTCTGTCACCAGATATCTACAATACGTGGTTCATTTTCAGGTTCACCGATTTAAGCTTTCGCCTCAATTGTTCGCACGTCACAGCACCTGTGACCATCTGGTAGTGGACTCTTTTTGTCAAGGAGCCAAAAGCGAGACGGTGATCCTCGCGGGTCTCACGGGTCTCGCGTGTGGCGCATCTCCTCCATCTCCGCAATCCGTAATGGAGAGCGTGGACCGGCAGGTCCAGATCATCGGCCCCCCCCCCCTTTCTGCCCAGCCGCCAGCGACTCTCTTGGTTTTCGCCGCGCTAAGGCCAATCCATGCCCCACCCCCCCCTTGTGGCGCGAGCTGAAAATAGGAGTAGAACGGATATACATGATAATCGAAATTACCGTATTCTCCTTGCTATGTGGGCTGGGCCAATATCGCGTGCCAGGTGATCGTCCTGGCCCTGCTTTTGGGAGCTGGTTTAGTGCGCTCGCTAGGTCCGAAATTTCAGGGCAGTGGATCGGCTGGCCTCTCTTGTCATGTTCAAGACCTGGCAATACTAACCAGCTTAGGTTATTGCTGCATGGTATCGGTCTGGTTCTCGTTCTGGCTATGGCGCTCGCTCTGGTCCTGTTCTGATCCGGATCCGAGTTCAGGTTCAACTTCTCTCAAATCGACCTGTCTACGCAGATCAGATCGATGGCATGTCGGAGAATAACATTGGCCCTACACGTGTGGACTCATGGTCCCAGCGCCCACTCCTGCTAATCCACGCTTCTTGCCCTTCATATGACGTTGGGTTCAATTTCACAAATGCCGATGTCAATTATGTGGTTCCCACCCCTGAGGAGCTGTCAAGTTGGCCTTACCCAAAGTAAAGGCCCCATCACGACTCCCAAAAATCATTTCAACGCGACTCCATCGCTAGTTCCCAGCCACCTCCTGAACTAGATCTGCTAGAACGAGGTGCGTACGGCATAACGGGCGAAAACTGGGAATCGTTGATGATCCTCATCTCGGCGTGGTCCCAATTTTTCAGTACAGACTACTGGATGATGATCATCGCCGTTGAAAGCTTACGGGGCGGGGACTGCCATGTCCTCTCGGAACTCCACCGGTGTATTGAGAGTATCTGTAGTATCATGCGTCTATAGTATGTATACCCATGTCCATGGCGTAAGTTGGTTTTTTTCAATGTGGGTGTCTTCATCCGTGCTCAGGGGTGATCGCGCGGGCCGGTGTTTCAGCCAATTGATCATCTGTTCTCGTACCCGGACTGTTCTTGCTGGTAAATATTGTGTGGGAGATGAACTTGAACAGTGTTAGTAAAGAGACATTTCGTTTGCCTGATTAAGGATCGGATATGAAACGCCCTGCGCGTGCTATTTGCGGATCTTCATTGGACACCATGACACGTTGACATCCCTGTGCTGAGCAACGCTGCGTCTGCAGGACGCACTCCTTCGGACGGGTAGACGCGACAGGTCCACGCTACTGTTGCCCGCGGTGCATTGCAGGCATAGCTACGCCCGACGGACATTTCATGCATCCCTGACAAGACTCGGCGTTCAGGGTAGATCCTGGAGGACTCTGAAAATCCCAAATCTCATTTGATTTCATCTGATTTCATTTTCAAATTCGAAATCTACACATTCACGTACTAGAAGGGCAACTGATCTCGCTTCAAGAGAAACGTTTACTCCTGAAACGCCCAGATCGGTCCTGGAATAATTTGAAAGCCGCGATCGTCCCGTGCCGCCGTCGCTTGGAGATTTCGCACCGTGTTTAGAAAACACACGCGATCTAGGCCATTAGAAAAGCCTGGATCAGTTCAGCTGACGGGTCTGGTGGATCGGTACAGCGCTGTTTATGGTATTCATGCAGATCTGATGGTGGCGTTGGATTCTGAAGTATGACTAAATCGAGTCAGTGCGTGATCCGGCTGAATTCAGTACTGGTTTGAGGGTCGTCGGGGTTTAGGATTGTCTTGTCTGCAGTATGTTGTCTGTTTCCTAAATCAGATGGTTTCATGCGTGGTACTTAGACATCAGCATATTTTGACAGGTGCTGGAAAAGTGATCTGTCAACTCGAGGTGGGGTTATGGAATTTGATGCATGTGATGGGATGGGGAACAAAGACTTTGGATGGGAATGTGATGACTCGGGAAATTTCATGGGTTATTTTTGTCGATGTGATGCGATGCATCGCAAATACTACTTCCGTATATGGATGGTGCGTTGGTTTTGCAATTAAGTGCTCACTATTTTAGGGCTGACTTGACATGTCGTCGTACTTTTGCTGCACAGATGTGGTATGCAGCCCCGCACCCACAGGCAAGATCGAGTGAGACCCAACTGATTGGCGCCACTCCACTGATGTCTGGGAGAGAGAAGTCGACTGGGTAAGATCCTACTGGTTCTGGGGCATCCGGTATGCGCTGTTCTTCAGGGAGGCATTTGATACATATAATTTGGCAACTTGTTGGGGCTATTCACTCTTGACATCCATGGATGTCTGATAACAACTTTAGGTATCGTGAACGCAAGACTAGAAAACACGCTGCTTTACGTGACAGACTCATTTCTCAAAATTGGATAGCTCAAATCTGGAAAAATAACTTCATAGGCTTGATTGATAGGAATCCTTTGGTAATCGACGGTGAGCGTCCAAGTGGCTCGGAATAATGGCCGCTACATTCCCCAGGGCAGGGTTCTCTTTCCTTTCTTAAACAAATATTCTTACACACGCTGATATATCCCGGGGCAAAGCTTTCTGATTCCTCTATAGATTTGAGCAACCTACTCGGAATTTTATGAGCACTGTCACTAGAGAAGATCATATTGTTTACTGCCAAGGAAGCATATCCCTGTTTACAATCTTGGTGACGAAGAAAGGAGCTTTAATTTGAAACCTATATAATTTCAATAGCTGCGCATTCTCAAACAGAAAGCATTCCAACTAGAAAGCACTCCAAAGACGCAATCCCCGACTTGACATATTTTGCCTCTTTCATCATTGCTCATAACATTGATAATTTTTCCTTCGCGTTCATTCCGCTGGTTCTATGTCTAATTGGCCATCCCTCACCATAGGTAAAACCCCAAATAGAAAGAAGATTTTTGCTGGGCACTTGGAAGTAAGTAATGCTTTTAAGTTCGGAAAACAAGTCTGGGTTCGGGTTCGGGTGAACAAGTAGCGAAGCCCAGTATTATGTCTTTGAACACATCTGGAGATGTTGGCCTGAAAGCAAGTTGCCCAAGCTTACAATATACATTGGAAGACCTTCATAACATTCTTGAAAATGAAAATCCTAGGTACATCAGCTGCGGATGTCTTCTTTGGTAGAGTTTATAATCTCGCCTTTCAAGGTTAGCTTAGTGATGCGGATATATATCCATCTAGTTGGGGACCTTGATAAGAACATCAAGGTGCGCCGACTCATCAATTGATGTAAGATAACTTTTGACTGTAGCAGAGAGATACCTATTATAGGTATATAAGTTATTGAAGAGGGGTTTCAACTTCTTTGAGCCTTGGAAGTAAGATCTTGCAAGTAAAGCCTGCAGTCAATAGCGTTGGGACTAACTCTGCTAGATCGTTGGGTCATCCTAAGGAATATCCCCAACTCAGGGTGACGAAGTTAATCCATCCGCACTTCCAACTATAAGACACACTTGCCAACCAAAATATCCGATTATTAGATCGGTCTCGCTCAGCTCTGAATAGCTAGGGGTTAGGGAAGCTCCGAGTTTTGCATCTGTTTGCAGCGGACACACCGGCGGCCCCCGAACGGGAAGCGCTTAAGTAATCGGGAAAGTTTGCGTTCCCAACATCTGACGGAAAAGTATCGCTATCTCCCTCCCATCCCTCTCTATCTTCAATTGGGCTCATTTGCTGCACCATGCTCTTCCGTACTGCGGCCCGCCAGGCTGCGCCCCTTCGGCGTCAGTTCGCTCCTATTGCTCGTCGTTCCGTCACCACCGACGCCGCCACTGCGCACGCCGAGAACATCCCAGAGGTTTGTTGAGACCCATCCGGAAAACTTGAAAAGTCGCCGGAGCACTCAGGAACCTTCAATGCTGATACAGGCGATCGCAATATACAGGAAGATGACAAGCCCTTCACTGTCCGCCTCTCCGACGAGAGCTTCGAGACCTACGAGCTCGACCCTCCCCCGTACACCCTGGAGACCACCAAGAAGGAGCTGAAGCAGATTTACCACGACATGGTCTCTGTTCGGTATGCGCCAGCTTAATTCTGAATGCTATGAGCTTCTCTCTGACCGTGGTTTTTTTTTACTTTTCTAGTCGCATGGAGATGGCCGCCGACCGCCTGTACAAGGAGAAGAAGATCCGCGGTTTCTGCCATCTGTCCACCGGCCAGGAAGCTGTTGCTGTCGGCATCGAGCACGCTATCAACCGCCAGGATAAGGTCATCACCTCCTACCGTTGCCACGGTTTCGCTCTGATGCGCGGTGGTACCGTCAAGTCGATCATCGGTGAGCTGCTGGGCCGTCGCGAGGGTATCGCCTACGGAAAGGGTGGCTCCATGCACATGTTCGCCGAGAACTTCTACGGTGGCAACGGTATTGTCGGTGCTCAGGTTCCTGTCGGTGCCGGTCTGGCTTTCGCCCAGCAGTACAACGAGGAGCCCAGCACCTCCATCATCCTGTACGGTGATGGTGCCTCCAACCAGGGTCAGGTCTTCGAGGCCTTCAACATGGCCAAGCTGTGGAACCTCCCCGCCCTGTTCGGCTGTGAGAGTATGTATTTCTTCTTCTCCGGAGAACCCGGCCCGCAGTTGACCGAACTAACGCGTCCTAGACAACAAGTACGGTATGGGTACCTCCGCCGCCCGCTCCTCCGCCCTCACCGAGTACTACAAGCGTGGCCAGTACATCCCCGGTCTGAAGGTCAACGCCATGGACGTCCTCGCCACCAAGGCCGCCGTCCAGTACGGTAAGGAGTTCGCCGTCTCCGGCAAGGGTCCCCTTGTCATGGAGTACGTCACCTACCGCTACGGTGGTCACTCCATGTCCGACCCCGGCACCACCTACCGCTCCCGTGAGGAGATTCAGCGCATGCGCTCCACCAACGACCCCATTGCCGGACTCAAGCAGAAGATGATCGAGTGGGGCGTCACTTCCGAGGAAGAGCTCAAGGCTATCGACAAGGCCGCCCGTGCCTACGTCGACGGCGAGGTCGCCGAGGCTGAGCAGATGGCTGTTCCCGAGAACACCGCCCGCAACCTCTTCGAGGACATCTACGTCCGTGGCTCCGAGCCCCGCTGGATGCGAGGCCGTACCGTCGATGAGACCTTCTACTACTAGATTGCATCACGGTACGGGCTAAGTCCGGCTTCTTTTCCTTAAAAGACTTGTTTGTTTGAGTGGACTCGAGGCCTTTGAGACTCGAGCAGTGCATCCTTGTTCCTATCTACCCTTATCTGTAATTTAGCCGATGACTACCTAAGGTACTCTTTCTTATGTTTTGCTTCCGTTTAGAGTAGATCTATTGTCATCATCTCGGATTATTTCTTCCATGAGGAAATGTAAGAATCGTACGTTGAAGTAGTTGTGTGTTCCTGAATCTTTAATTTAAACATCCTACCAGGCCCACTGATCTTTCACTTTCACAACAATCTCAATCTTACTACAAATTTCATCGCAAATAGCCCATACACTGCTAGAGGAAAAGAAAACTTCCCCAGTTAGAGACAATACAAAATAATGGCAACCATGGAACACACCCTTTCCTCCCCTCTCCCCTCGCATATCCAGATATGACGACTACCCTGGTAATACAACCGACAATCCCACAACGCAACTCTTCAACCAAAACGGCCCCTAGTATCTGCCTCACCTCATCTCCAAAGCCACCAATTCAAAGCCATCAAAGCCCCCCAAGAACCAAAAATGGCATCCCAAGGCCCCATATCCAACGACCCCATCGAAGTATACCACGCCGTCCGCAACGGCTCCCTAAAATACGCCATGTACTGCTACTACCCAGACTCCGACAACATCACCGTAAGAGAAATCGGTCTCGATGATCCCGAAGCCGGCGATGAAGCTACCTGGGAGGTGTTTCTGGATCTTTTGAAGACGGACGAGTGTCGGTATATCGTGTATGATTTTCTGTATCCCGGAGTTCAGGAGTGGAAGGAAGTTACGAAGAGGAAGTTGTTGTATATCCTTTGGTGGGGGTCTTTCTTTTTCTTTCTTATGTCCCGCTGTGACTGTTGCTGATTTTTGTAGGGCTCCGGAGGGTTCGCATGTTAGGGATAAGATGAACCTTTCGCGCCATGGGAAAAGGTATCGGGATATGTTTGGGCATTTCGATGATGAGTTGCATAGTACTTTTAAAGAGTGGATTACGTATCCAAAAGGTGTGTAATATGAGTCTCTGCGTTTCAGAGCTTATGAGGTTATGCTGATTTTGATTAGTTGTGAAAAGGTTGGAGCGAGGGGCGATGTGACTCCGCAGTCTTGAAGTTTGGGATAGTCTTCGGAGCAGAAGTAATGATTAAATCCATGTTATTCATTGTTTAGTTTGAGGATTGGTTGTTTGAGAAAATTCAGAGTTGTATAGAGCGATATGTATAATGATTGTAGAATTATGGCTTGACACCGCGTCTCGATATGTTCACAAAAGTCAAGATAAAGTTCATACATGTGTAGGGTAAATTCCATCTGAACGCCTTGATTATTACGGGTATCATGTATAAAAGGAGAAAATGAAAAGTGAAAACAAATAAGCAAAGAGGACAGTACCCTGAGCGGCCTTATGTAGCCCTCTGCCTCAACATCTCAAGAATCATCTCCTGTGTTCTCTGCACAGAATCCAACCTCTCTTCCAGGGCAGCGCGTTCTCGTCGCATCTCAGCTTTCAATTCCTGACGGAGTTCTTCTTTGATGCGTTCCATGTCTGCTGGCATTGGCGAGCTGTTCTGGAATTGTGACTCCGTTGCAGCTTGAACCAATGCTGAGATCACTGGTGAAGCACGTGCTTCGGTGCTGCCGTCTCCTGAGGCTGCATCGAGGTGTTTATTGAGTTTGCCCAGGGTTTCGATCACGGCACTGACCATGCGATTGCCTGTTTGGTCTGGACCTGTAGATGGAGATGTAGGTATGGGTACAGGCACGGGTGGTATGGGTATAGTAGAGTGGGTATTTGAGAACATATTCTCGAAACCTGGCGGTAGTTTGACAGATGCAGAGATGGAAGCCGAAGGGAGTTCAAATGGAGGCGGAGCTAGAGTTGGCGCAGGTGTTGGGGTGTGATTCGTGGGTGGGAGAACATCAGGCGAGGCCGTGCCATACTCCGGGAACGAATGCCCGACGTCCTCTCCAAGGTCCGGATGAGGCTTGCTATGCGAGCGCCTTCGAATCATCTCATCGCGTTTCGAGATGCGTTGTGCCTCGGTCTCTTCCCAGCGTCGCCAGGTCGGAATCCAAGAATCAAGAACTGCGCACCACTGTGGGTTCATCAGGTCTTGGACTGGATTGGGACCGGATAGGTCTCTTTGTCGTTGCCGCTGATCCTCGAGAAATTTGATGCGCTGCTTGGTGACGACTTCCACTTTGCGCCGCACCGAATGCCACGAATACGGACGTCCATGAGTGCGAGTAAATTCTGCGGCAATAGTCTTCCACCAGTTGCATATGTCACTGCGCTTGCCGAATGTGTCGGCATGGCGATTGCAAAGCTCGAAAAGAGAAACTTCTTCCTTGGTCGTGAGCCGTTTGCCATGTTTGCGCGATATATCGCCGTCCTCGGCATCGACTTCATGGCTCCGTTTCGTACCTCGCGCATTCGTAAAGTTTAACATATCCGGCCCAGCCCCCGTAGTGCGACTGGATCCTACGATCATCGGCACGTTTTAGAGAGGCTTTCTAGCGAGAAGGACAGACTTGCGTCAAGCGTTCAACCCAAACTCTCTGTCCGTTGCAGATACGGAATCCAAGGGATAATACCGTTTTGCAAGGCAGTGAGGCATCAATCGAGATCGGCAGACAAAGCAACGTTGATGGCGAAAGTCTAGGTGGATCAAACTGAGGTGACTGATATGGTAATTGCGAATACTCCTGCTGGGCGTGTACCATCGATAGAATCCGGTCCGATAAGCTTGAAAGATACGGCCATAGGGGTGCCGCAGCTTGCGCAAGGGTCAAAGTGAAGCTAGCTGGTTGTGATCGCGTAACGAGGCTGCCCAGTGCTCTCTAAGGCAATGGGCGTGGTCAATACGTAGTACAATGTCACGAGGGTGATAGTGCCGATCGCAGGGAGATGAGAAGTGCAAATCCGGGTTCGCGTCTGCAATTTTGAGCGGGCGGTAATTTTCACGCGCGGAATTGCGGGTCTTGAATGTACCACCTTAACCTGACTTCTTTACTTCTGACGTCTATCTTGGATATAGAAGATGAAATTGGAATTTAAAGGCTTGATTAAGTGCCCACCACGCGAGCAAACGGCAAATATAGAGAGATGTTCTCCCGAATCTGGCCAGGGCATTTGGATTTGCTTCGAATTCGTACACCAGTTTTTTTTTAGACCACTGCCATATGCCTTCGATAGCAACAACGAACGGGAGTATGCATAGATAAAAGGCTGTCTCCTCAATCTAATCTGTACCGGTAGCCTTCCAGGCCAAAGAAAGCTGCGATATGCTCCGGATGAACCGGTGGAAGTCAGTGAAGGTAAATTGCGTTTCAAGATGAATTTTGTAGGCATTGATATATCCATTTACAGATCATGGGCTATGGTGATACAGAGGGGCACAAGCCCAACAAGAAACAAGAAAGGCACCAACACCATGGTCAACATGATCCCAATAAGGGGTCCCTTAGCACCAGAGAGAATATGCACGCAGAGGAAACAAAAGCCCAATAATACACTCATGGGAATGGAAATGGGTGAAACGGTAATGGAAACAGGGGAGAATCGACATTAGATAAAGAAGAGCGTCTTCTCTACCAGCGTCTCTTCAGGTACCAGCCGTAGGCCGGGGTGCTGACTGCCTCACCGAAGGGAGTGGGCACCTCGGCGGATCCGGGCCGTGCCACGGGGTGGCGCAGGTACACGGCGGCGCAGATGTTCTGGTTGACTTCGAGGTAGCGCGGGATGAAGGCGAAGGCGGACATGAAATCGCGGGGACGCCAGGGTGTGGCGTAGGTCTTGCTATTGTCGATGGGGTTGTCGCGCATCTGGGTAAGGGCGCGCTTGAGGACGTCGAATTCCTCGTCGGAGAGCTCGGAGGTGTCGACTTCGCCGCCTTGGGCAGCGGACTTGAAGGCCTCTGAGAGTGCGTCGCTGGCACCTTCTGATTCCTCCACCACGGCTTTCTCCTCGGTGGATCCTTTCTTATCCTTCTTTGACTCCTTGGGAGCCTTCTCGGCACGCTTGGCCTTCAGCAGCAGAGTCAATTCTGAGAACTGGGTTTCCAGGTTGTCGGTGAGGACGGTGCTGGTTTCCGAGCGGGATAGAACACGGCGCACTGCCTTCTGGAACCCGCGCAGCTCCTGCTTGCGCTTGGCCGGGAGGACGTCCTTGTCCTTGGACATTATGTTCTTGGCCTGTGCCATCAATGCCTTGAGGGTATCTTTGGTGTTCTCCGCCTTGTCCTCCTGCTCAACGGCCTCCTTCGCCTCTTCCGTCTCGGCCTCTGTCTCCTCCGCCTTCTGCTTAAGCTGGCGGGTTTCACGTCGCTCGAACTTGGTCTTCGGGGCACCAGTTGCAAACATAACACGCTCGGGGTCGACTTGGAAGAGGTCACCGGGGTTGAGGAGGTAGCTCGGGTGTCTCATCTAAAGTCGAGTGTATTAGCAAGATGCAAATCGGAGGCCTGTAGATCGCCGGGCTCATACCTTGTGTCCATTAACTGTGACTGCACCGTGAATCACAAATTGCCGCGCCTGACGAGTACTGCTGGCGAACAGAGAGCGGAATATAGCAACATCCAATCGGCGCTCCAGGGGAGCAAATGCCATCTGAGTATAGGGAGTGAGGCGCTTAGTGATCCCCTTTTCAGCCTTTTCAAGTCCGGAGCCACGACCGGCAGACGCCTTGGATCCATCATCGGCTGCGAGATCGTTGGTGTTCATGGGGATGACGCTGCGGATGCGCTTCGAGAACATGCGCTTCCACTGGCCCTCGCGGACCTGCTCACCGTGGTAAGCGCGGGAAAGAGCCTTGGCTGTCCATTTTTGTTGGAAGAATGTGCGGTTGACGGTGCCGGGGTTGCGGAATCGTTGCATATTATACAAGTTGTACTTGCTCCATGATTGACGGATTTTCTGCGCGTGACAGTAACAGTTAGTTTTTGCGAAGAGCCATGCCATTGGCGTCAATTGGACATACCGCCTTGGCGAGAGATGTGCTGGCCCTGTTCCTCATTATGGCGAGTGAATGGACGCAACGCTGGAAGAGGTGTTGGGTGATCCTCGACTGGCCTGTTCCTGGTGGATGCTTGTCTCCCAAAACTTCCGCATATCACGTGATATGAGCTAAGGAAACACGTGATGGTAGGCCGGTTATGCCTTATGTCATCGCCGCTCCAAATTGTGCTGACTCTATTGGCCAGTGGGTATCTCGCTTAGCACTAGCGCAGTTGCATTCCCATAAATACCTCGCCCTTTCCGCGACCTTCCTCTCTTTTTTTTCTTCTTCATACTTACCTTGTTTGGGTGGCTGCGATCAACACGGCGGTCCACCACAGATTGGTCCCTGCATTGCACATCGCGGCGGAACAGTTTGTTCAACGGCCTTCGGGTCATTGACAGGCGCATTCTTTGGCACTTTCCACACTGTGGACTTATCTTTTCATCACGTCTTGGGTCATCGACCCGAGCTTGGAGAAGAGGAAGTGAACATAATATGTAATGTAGAAGAAAATATCTTATCTGTACCGATTTATCGGTACATATTGCAACTGGCGTATTTATCATTGAAGTAAATGAATGGAATGGCCCTCAACCTCGTAGTCCCTGAGCGGCAAACCTTGGGGAACGCGTAGTGGGCCTTGCGTCACGATGTTGACAGCACCCTTACTCTTTTCCCTCATATCTTAATTCCTCTCCGACATTCGTTTGACATATTACTTAATGCTATTAACGTCTATTTCCCAGGCAGACATGCTAGAGCAAGAATAGACACTGTAGCTTACTGTAGGTGACGCGGGAGAACACAAATGCCGTAAATTACTAGAAAGAGCGAAACAGCCACTATACGACCCCCAAGAACCTCAGGCCCTTCATCGCTCCTAAGTGTTTCCTAAGTGTTTTCAAATCTCTTAAGGGTTTCCCAAGCTCAAAACACCGCCGCAGAATTTCCTACAGCAACCCAGGGCTCGATTCATTAATGATGTTTCTATTTCGTTTACTCCCGGAATTACTACTACAACTAGCGACCTCCCTGGAGACAGAAAGAGATATCAACTCACTGTCTCAAAACGGATGGCTTCATGATCTCCTTAATCCATATCTCTATAGAAAGAATTGTGGAGCTTCGAATTCCGCTCTGTTTTGGGCTGCGCAGCACGGACATAAGGCCGTCGTGAGGCTATTCCTCCCGGTACTTATTGGATTCAGTCTTTGACTTCAGTATCTGCAATTGTTGTGCTTGTCAACTATTCTTCCCAGCGTGGTTTGATCAAGCGATGCAACAAGAATGATATCATTTACGCTGCCATCTTGAAATAGCTCTGCATTCAAGCACAATTATAAAGATCCATCGCAATGCAATCGCTCACGCTCAGCTTTCAATCAACACACATTCATTAAAAATGCTGGAGGAGGTTGATTTTTTTCCCAGCCTTTTCGAGGGGTATCGGTGGGAACAGCACATCGTGGACAGACCATCCATCCCGTCCCTCAACCGGACCATGCTTATTCCAGAATTCGTCCTTCAATTCGGAAACAAGAACATCCAGCCCTGCCTCTAAATGTAATATTCGTCTCGCAAATTGATCCGCCGTAGGCACAAATTGCTCCAGAACAACTGTTTCATCTTCCTCCGTTGGCATCCGGAGCCCAACTTGGAGCCCACGAAGTAATTGGTAGAGAGCATTCAGACTCTCAATTTCCTTCACATAGGCTTCAAGCAGCTTGATGACTGCTTCCAGCGAGGCGACTGACAGTCCATCCAATAGCCTCAGGCTCCCAAGCCCATCCGGCCCACTCTCCAGAGCTGCGCGCAGAGGCTGGAGAAAACGAGTATCCACCGGTTTGCATCTTCTCCAGCCACTATTGTGGTGGTCTTTAACTTTCTCATCAGGCCTATTGATGAGTGAAGACATTCCTGCGCCGGCAAAGAGCTCAGCTAGGCGCTTCATGTGGCTCGGGCCGTGCCTGTCATTGACTTGAAAGATGCCAAACCAGACCTGGCGATATAGTGAGAATATCTTGATTTCTAGCTTTTTGCCCGGTGTCATGATCTCCTCGGACGATTTTCGAGGTATCTTGACATCCTTGACCTTCGCCGATGAACTAATACTATCTCGATGAGGCATCTTGGGCTGGGACTTGTTGAGGAGAAAATTAAGCATCACCGCGAACTGCTTTGAAGATTGCTCCTAGTGAGCAGAAGGCGCTGATGTCAAGGCGACAATAGTAGTAGGTTTAAAAGGATCCTGTGGAGTCTTACACTCAAACAGATGAGATGAGGTTATAGTGTCACTCGAAACAGGGGCATATTTATTGTTGTTATTATGTTTCGTCTGACGCATGCTAAAGTAGGCTGGAAATTCTCTAGCGAATACGACTGGATGTTGCATCCGGTTCAATACTGTGCGTCCACCCACAATACTAATGGGGTCGGACCCTCGTGGCGTCGACTGCGCCTCGAATAGGCTTAAGGCACTCGTTCGTCGTATTCGGGGTTTGAGTGGTTTCCTTCAGAGTCTTGCAAGCGGTGCGCCCCACCACTGAACCCGTAAGAATATGAACATCGTACGCAGCAAGTAGCACAATATGCATAATATTTGAGCTCTCTGGATTCGCCTCCGTAAATTTGTACACACATTAAGCTTTTCATTTGCCAGGGTTAGTGCTAAAGCAGAAGCTTAGCCTTCTGTAATACGGCTAGTGGGCGTTCGCGAAGGCTGAGATGCAGGCGGGCAATTGTGCCAAATCGTCAGATTTAAAACGATTCACATTAATCCATTACTTTACTTAGGAAGCGTGTTAGGCCTGCCGCATCCTTGATTCAAACGTTATCTTCGATTTACTCATTTCACTTGGCTTGAATATGTAATATAATTTTGATAGTGGTATCTCAAACTCGTAAACTTCATAGAAACATGCTATCTCAACTCCAACTTCACACAATGCGCCACGTCAAACATGCAAACATAATCATAGCAATGCTTCCTTAGTCCCGCCTCGAACTCGGGAATGCTTCTGCCAGAGACTCCGCTTCTTGCGGATTCGTCCACTCCTCCAGTAACTCGTGCGCCATGTCAACAGTCTCATCATCAATGCCAGCCTCGAGAACAGACCCGTCGCAGAAGGCAAGGCGGGTAAGCACCACTAGATGCTTTTGCTTAGTTCCTGGCACACAGGCCAGCTTCTCTTGCATGTTAATGAATTGCCCATGGCGCCGCATCACACCGAAAATCAATCGCATCAGTCCGTTGACTAGGGCTACTCGCAGATTGTGCTCAGGCGGAGACGAGTATAGAGCGTCTAGCTCGTCATGCATTGACCGGAATAGTCGTGGTAGTGCATTGGGATGCGCGGCGATGATACTGCTGCCGTGCTCTTGGCCTGAGGCTGTAGGGTTGAATGATAGAGACTCTAGCAAAATCAGGACCTCCAACCGCATGGCACAAATGTCGTATGCTGTGTAAGGCTCCACGCCCTCGTCTGGTTGCGCGGATTCACTCAACATGTGGGTGAGGCGATCCACAATATATCGTTGCACGTCTGTTTGCTCTTGCTCAGAGGACATTATAGGACCGAATGAATCTGGGCGGATACTAGTTGACAGTAGCTGCAGAACCAGCATGATGTCCTTCAGTGGCTGGGAGCCGTGCAACATCACAAGGATGAAGGTATGCCTTATATGCCTCCATAGACCCTCGAGTGCGCCTTTGACATGTAAAAGTTCGCAGGCCATATGATAGAGCAAGCGTAGAGCCTCAGTAGAATCAACCGGCTGTAGATCGGATTGTGGTGTCTGTCGAACCACTCGGGCTTTTTCTCGTGCAGCTGGAGAATAACGGAAACGAGGCACCGCATTGACCTCGACAGAATCCTGAAGCACACCGACCAAAGGAGCGATAAGGTCTAGAAGTGGAACATCATCCATCATTAAGATGTATCTGGTAATTGACGCAAACCGAGGTACCGGATCATAGAAACGCTCTGTTAATGCTCGCTGCCAGAGAGGTCCTATGGCGTACATGTAATCCAGCAAGTAATGGTCGAGATCTAACTTAACTAACTGGTCCATGACAATGCTAGATAGGGGTCGACTCGGCTCTGAGGGGAACGAATATTTGGTCAATGCTTCGAGATCGGTTTCTTGTCCAGGAAACATGCGATGATTGAGAAGTCGTTTAATAAGTTGATGATCACGGCCGTAGGTTCTCCCTGGTAAGTTATGCTCCGCTTCGAATGAAGACCCGGCAGTGTCGTCTGGTGCGTCGACCATCATCATTTCCCCAGCCGGACTCAATTGAAGCGCAGGCGCGCTATCCACGCTTGCTTGTCGTTTCCGTTTACCAGGGACTGTGGGTGTGGCTCTCTTTGATCGTGTAGCTGATTTGCTGGGAGAAACGGCGGCAATCTCGTCATCATCGAACCCATCGCGGAAAGGTAGTACTCGGGACTTCTTGGGGGTCATTGGCGGGGCTTTCTCCTCAGCTTGGTGCTTGGTCTTGTAGTTGCGGAGCTGATGAGCTTCCTCGGCTAGGTCATGCTGGAGGAAGATGTTCTCTGTCGCTAACATTTTTCCTTCTGACATTGCCGCCTCAACCTCTTCCCTGTGTTTAGTGGCCTCGTCCGTCATTGTCTTTCGTAGCGCTACTAATTGCCGGTCGTACTCTTCAGCCATTCTTGTCTGTTTTGACCGGATAATGGCGATTTCCCCAGCTTTCGTTTCTGCTAGCATTTTGGCCTCGGCGAGCTCGCGGCGCATTTGTTCTCGTTCTTGCTCGATCTATAAGTCTGCTCTCAGCCATTGAATATGGGCGTTGTTTTGCAAGTCGGTTCTTACCTGTTCCAGGCGTGCGTTTAGCTCGTAAGCATTTGCTTGACCATACTCATCATCCACCTCCATGACATCGCCCATTCCACCATTGGCGGACCACTCGTTGTCCGCGATAAGAACATGGTGGTCCTGTGGAAGTACGGACTGTCCGTCCACATTGTCGTGGATCTCCGCCTCCAATTCTCCCACCTCCAGTGTATCATAGTCATTTGTCAATCCTGTGTGTAGTCGCGGCGGCGGTTTCAATGTTGCGGGCGTGCGAGTGGAAGGACGAGCTTGAACGGGTTCATTCACGATCGACTGGTCATATTGTTGAGTCGCAGGCGCTTGGGTGGCCTGGAAGGCGTTCTGCTCCAGCTGGTGCAAGGTACCTGGAGGCAGGGAATCGAAGTCATCGGAGAAGTAGTCATCATCGTTGTCTTCCATGCCCCCGCCATGAATGGAGTACAAGATAGTGGAGTTAAGAAGCAAACTTGAAGTTCAACGCAGGGACCATATTGTGGAGAAGAGGCGCAGCTGCGACACGAACAAATCGCAGCCGTGTTGACGAAGCTGACCGCTTTCGGATTCACATGAGCTCACTTCTCTCCGCTCCACTCCACTCCTCTTCTTCTTTTGCTTCAACGATCCCCCCCGCCCCTCTCACTCTATCACCCATCATGCCTCGTCGCAATATTAGGTTCCCTCACCAAAAAGGTGAGCGACGCGCGAGCGTGTCCTCCGACGTCAGCGATGCAACCTCGGAGCCCTCTAACCCAAGCAACGGCCGCGTCTCCAAGCAGACCACAATCCCCGAAGAGGAGGTGAGTTTTGAGTCTTAATGGACTTGTGAAACTATCACTGACCATGATAATTTTCCGTCGGTTCCGCAGAAACCCGCTCAGTCCGAATACGAGAAGAAGAAACAGACCTTCATTACCCGAACGATATGGACCTTCGTGATGATTGCTGGCTTTTTCATCGCCTTGTTTTCCGGACACATCTATATCATCGGCCTTGTGACTGCCATTCAGATCGTCTCATTCAAAGAAGTCATTGCCATCGCCAATGTTCCTAGTAAGGAGAAGAACCTGCGCTTCACCAAGTCTCTGAACTGGTACTTCCTCGCGACGACCATGTATTTCTTGTACGGAGAGAGCGTCATCTACTACTTCAAGCACATTCTGCTCGTGGATAAAGTTCTTTTGCCTCTTGCGACTCACCACCGGTTCATCAGCTTCACTCTCTACGTCATGGGTAAGTAGTGACCCACGTTATGTTTGATTTGGAACATTTGTACTGAGACCGCCAGGCTTCGTCTTCTTCGTTGGATCGCTGCAAAAGGGACACTATCGATTCCAGTTCACCCAGTTCGCCTGGACCCATATGGCGCTGTACCTGATTGTGGTCCAAGCTCACTTCGTCATGAACAACATTTTCGAGGGCATGATTTGGTTCTTCCTCCCCGCTGCGCTGGTCATCACCAATGATATTTTCGCCTATGTCTGTGGTATTACCTTCGGACGCACTCAGCTGATCCAGTTATCTCCCAAAAAGACCGTCGAGGGCTTCGTCGGCGCGTGGATCTGCACCGTTATCTTCGGATTTTTCATGACCAACATGTTGATGCAGTACAAGTACTTCATCTGCCCAGTCAATGATTTGGGAGCGAACGTCTTGACTGGCCTCCAATGCGTGCCCAACAAGGTGTTCATTCCCCAGGCCTATTCGCTCGATCTGATCGGCCTGGACAAGACTTTCATGATTGCCCCTATCCAGTTCCACATCCTCTGCTTCGCTACCTTCGCCTCTCTTATTGCTCCGTTTGGTGGGTTCTTCGCTTCCGGTTTGAAGCGTTCCTTCAAGATCAAAGACTTTGGCGAGTCGATCCCTGGCCACGGTGGCATCACCGACCGCATGGACTGCCAATTTATTATGGGCTTCTTCTCCTTCATGTACTACCACAGCTTCATTGCTGTGTCCAAGGCTACTGTGGGTGACGTGATTGAGGTCGCCATCAATGGCCTGACTCCTGAAGAGCAGATCGATGTTGTCCGCGGTCTGAGCAAGTACCTTGTCAACCAAGGTGCTGCTACGGAATCGGTATGTTTCAAAGCTGAATTTCCGTTGATTATCAGTCACTAATCTCTATAGCTCCTTAACTGCCTTGCTACTGAGCTTAAGCGCCGATGAGTTGACCCAGCCCAAACCACATAAAATCAAAATCACGACTTTATTTACCGTTTCTTTCAACCTCCATACCAAGGACGACCTTTCAACCTCGCGCTTCTGGCCTCATTTAATTCCTCCAATAGATTCTGTCGTGTCAACCTCTCCACCTCTCCACCTCTCCTTGCTTCTCCGAGATGCCCTTGCGCGTTTCCCTATGATTTGTATTTACCTGTCTATTCCACTTTTCCACACGACATGATATCAATTCTACCAAAACCGAGACGATTGGCAAGGCCCTCAACCAGACCCAGTCAGTTCTAGGTCCGCGCTCGAGGCACGGGAATGATTTTATTTACATTCATTGCTGTTCTTGTTACTCTTTTGGTCCGATTCTCTTTCTATGTTCTTCCGCCTTTGGATCTGAGGTCTGGATTGGTCTTCTACTTGATGATTATGCTTTCGAATACAGAAGGTGCCTGGGGTTCTGACACTTACGGGTGCTTAGATAATTCAAATTCTCTCGATTGCATGCAAATATGGAAGGGCGGCATCAGATGGAGGATGATTAGGTTTGCTTTTCTGTGATTGCTCTCCTCTGCCAAGACATGTGGCAGCGGAAATGAGCTGTAAAATGTGTACATAGCTTCTAATTCACACGCTGAAGCTGATTTTATCTTCACCTCAATCTCTTCCTATACCACTGACCAGGGCAGTATCCAACTTCATACCGTACTTATCCCGGTGTTAACCTCTGGCACGTATTTGGCCTTTAGTTCTATCATGGTTCAGAAACAGTGACTGAGTCTGGACCCTCATCCTCCAAATTTACAGGCTCGCTCAATATCCAACCGCCCATGAAGAGCAAGATCGGGATACCCGACACCATAGCCATCAACCCCAACGCCCAACTCATCGTTCCCCAGCCAGCTTCCTGACGAATGAAGCCAGCAAAGAAGGGTCCGACAAGATTGCCAGCAGAGAATCCCATACTCGTCAAGCCGAAAGCCAACGCCGTAGCTCCACCAGCACCGAAAGCACCAGGTCTCTGCCGTTCCTTTTCCTCCACAATATTGAATACCTCTACATCAAGAGGGGGTAATGCCACAGACAAACACAGGCCAATGCCACCAAGAAGAGCGCATAGTACGATCTTGTCATGCATAGAATTGTCCGTCACAAGTTGAAGAAGGACGAGTAGGGGCGTCATTATGAAGAACGCCCCGGCGGTAATATAGCGAGCCGATCGTGGGAACTTGTCGATGATATACCCAGTCACCGGATCAAAGACATGGGGAACAATAAGTGGGATGAAGATCAATCCCTGGCCACTTTGCTGCCACTGGAACGCTCCTTGCACGAACAACGGGAGGACACTGTCGAAGGAAGATAGAAAGAGTGCAACGACGAAGTTTCCCCAAAGGGCTGCCATGAGACGCGACGAGCTTATAAGGAAGCCCATGCGCTCAAGGACACCTCTAGGAGGCGAGTCCGTCGGAGCTCCCGTCTCAACCGGCGCAGGCACGAGTGGCCTCATTTCCGGCGCAAGCCATTTGATTGCATCCTTCCTCTCAATCAACATAAATCGCAGCAAGATATCGAGCCCAATCAATCCAAAGGCAAGACCGAAGACAGAGTAGTACCCGCACTTCTCATAAAGAACACCTCCAAGGAGCGGTCCAGCAAGTGTTCCAACACTGGCAGCCATCGACATGTACCCAATAGCTTGGCCAAGGCCATTTCGACCAACAGCATCAGCCATCAGCGCAATCCCAACAATCCAAACGACTGCACCCGCAGCTCCCTGGAATAACCTTCCAGCAATCCAGAATCCAATAGTTGATCCGACACATAGCAAGCCTGTTGCTGCGGCCAGTGCAGTCAGACCAAAAAGGTAAGGCCATTTCCGTGATTCAGCCCGATCGGTGATGTATCCGACAATCGGGGAGAAAGCGAGCATAGATGCTGAGAACAAAGCGAGAAGAACTGATGTCCATGCTTGTATTTTTTCAGGAGGGACGCCAACTCGTTCTTTCAACGCGGTTGGTGTCACTGGCACAATCAGACCATACATGAAGATATCTGTGGCGAGGGCGAAGGAGACGACGAATGTGATGAACCATTTTGAAGACCTTAGTTCCACAAACCTGGGCCGTGTGGCCTGGTCTGATGATTTAAACAACCCCATCGCTGCGGTGGGCGTTCATATCACTTTAGGATTTTGACGAGGACACGAAGGTATGTGTAAATAGGATGCACAGGTAGCAGAAGTGAAATTTGAAAAGCGTGGGAGTTGCGGAAAGGGTGATTAGGAAAACTCTTGTTAAGTTCGACGCTTATATTTCAATGTGGATGTGAGGGATCGGACGTAAATTGGCCACCGAGCTCCAGCTCCACGGCCCGAGAACGCGCATCGAACGTCGATCCGCTTTGGGCTTTGCGCTACGCCACTTCGAGTGCCCGACTCCACCTCTCATCGATCACCTAGATTTATGCTCTGGTCAACCTGACTATGAAGGTTGATATGATTAATCACGATGATTTTCTTCAGCAGAATAATGTTCATGTGGCATGGTTTTCTGACTAATTTCCTTCTTGGGCTTCAATATTCGCGCATCCGATGCAATTGGCAGCGATGTTAACGCTCTTAAGCATCCGCACTCCACTACCACACTGCTAGATTACTTAAATCTTCAGCACGAACCGTACAAGCATCGAATCATGTGTGTCTCTTCTCGATAGAATCTCAATGGCGAATCGCGGCGGAACCTGAGGGTCCGCTGCCAAGCAACTTAGCTCAGAGTCCACCTCATGCCAAGCCAGAGGAATTGATGCTGCCTTGGGGTTTATGGTTAGAAATTCTCGCTGGTCGCTCAAGCTGTGAATTCTTCCAATACATCAGAAAGATAAAGTTCAAGAACTATTAACGAACACTCAACAACAACCTTGGCGCCATGAATTGCCCTTCCCGGACTGACGATACTCTGCTGCACGATGAGTGGAACCAAAATCCGCCGCGCCTCGCCCCTGATCTGACCACTCGTCAAGATTTCAATGGGCTCGCGAATAGTCGTGAGAATAAGGATGAAGGAAAGGGACTTACCGGGCGGAATGGGAGTTTGAGTTTCGCTTATGTGCCGCCTATAGAGAAATCCGATACGGGGATGTACCCCGACAGCGCGGGGCGCGGGGCGTCCCTGACCTTGTCAGGTATGATCATAATACGTACGAAAGTAACATTTGATGGTTGACTATAGAGCAGGACACCTCGCGCCCACGAAGGCCGGCATCCAAGTTGCCCCAAATCAAAACCACGTCTACCCATCGTACCAAAGCATCAAGGATTGGGCATTGTGGCTCTGCTCGGTGCTCTGTGTCTCAGTCTTCATTTCTTCTACCAAACTGGGTAGTTATTTTACACCAAAAAAACATATCCTCGTTGAACAGTCCATCGAAAAACAGTACACCGCGCCAGTGAAACGATCAAGGTGTGCAAATGGGGGCGTGGACGGCGATGAGTACAACCTCTCTTTGCATGTCGCAGCACTCTTTATCATCTTGGGTACATCAACTGTAGCCTGTGCATTCCCTATCCTCGCGACTCGATTCCCACGGTTGCATATCCCGGCCTCATTCCTATTTTTCGTCAGCCATTTTGGAACCGGAGTTCTGATCGCCACGGCGTTTGTCCATCTTCTTCCAACAGCGTTCACTTCCCTTGGTGATCCTTGCTTATCTAATTTCTGGACGAACGACTACCAGGCTATGCCAGGTGCTATTGCACTGGGCGGCATATTTCTTGTTACCGTTATTGAGATGGTTTTTAGTCCCGCCCAGAATATTTGTCGTGGAGGCAAACAACGTGAGGCTCGGCAAGAACCTTCCCTTCGTCATGAAACACAACCTGGGAACACAACGAAGGAGTCGAATTATTCCAATCAGCTTCAGTCTCAAACTCCAAATTCGCTTGGGCTAGAAGCAAGACCTCATCTGCGAGATATGGGGCCACTGATTGGAAGATCATCGAGTATCAGCAGGGCTATAAACCGCATTGGAGAAGGCTCTGAAGAGATCGTTCGAGTTGCATCTGCTCCCGAGATCCAAACCCATCATAGAGAGGAAAATGGATCAGTCCAGCCCGATGCTGAGCGCCACGAAGATCATTCAGACTTGACTCCAGACCAGAAACAGAAGAAAGAGACAATGCAGGTCTATCTTCTCGAGATGGGCATTCTGTTCCACAGTGTGTTCATCGGCATGTCCCTAAGTGTCTCAGTCGGTAACGAGTTTGTGATTCTCTTGATTGCAATCGTCTTTCATCGTGAGCCCTTAATATGCTTGCATCTATCATAATCCGACTGACCGGAGTTTTCAGAAACCTTCGAAGGCCTAGCACTGGGATCACGAATTGCCTCCCTCCCCTGGTCTGAAAAACAACTCCAGCCATGGATCATGTCATTCGCATATGGCTGCACGTATGTCGACTTCAAACTCATACAGAGCCAGAGGCTAATATCTATATAGGACACCCATTGGCCAGGCGATAGGCCTCGCAACACATACGCTGTACAGCCCTGACTCGGAGGTTGGCTTGCTTCTAGTTGGCATCATGAATGCCATTTCTGCCGGCCTGTTGATTTTCGCTTCGCTTGTGGAGTTGATGTCGGAAGACTTCCTCAGCGACGAAAGTTGGCGTGTTCTCTATGGGAGACGGAGAGTTTATGCTTGTATCCTGGTGTTCCTTGGAGCATTCTGTATGAGTATTGTTGGTGCGTGGGCTTAGAATACCGTATTTTTCAGGCGTGCCATTTGCCATTTTCAGTCCTTGATTGCGGACCGAATGGCCTGGTTCGTCCGCTGGTGGCCTGTTATCCGTGCTAAAGATACCAATAGCTCCCATCTCATGGGAAGTACAGAAAGATGGACTGTGTTCACCGAGTGAACAAAACAGACGGTTTCATATATTACCATACACGACCCACAACTGCTTGAAAGTTTCGGTACTGTAATGTAAAAGTTGTCGGGTTTAACTAATTCCGATGAGCTATCGTCCGGGCCTCTGGACCCGGGATATTGGACATGTAAGAGTAATCATTCAAAAGTAGAAGGGCACCCCACTCCTACTCTTGACCGATACAGAAAGGACTCGGCTTCTCTGTCAAGACATGGTCGCCATCACACCGGGTGCAGACAGGCACCACATTGGCCGGGAGAGTGCTAGCTCCGGCCGTGAGGAAATCGATCCCGTTGATGAGACTACAGCTCTCCTGGGGTCTGGCACCGTTACAACTGGCGATGTGCGCAAGTCGGATCAATTGAATGCATTAACGGAGTCGGATGGCTATCTTTCCGACAGTGAGGAGGAGGAGAAGCCCCTGCCTAAAACCCAGGTCCTGCTGCTGTGCTACGCTCGAGTGATTGAGCCTATGGCCTTCTTCTCCATCTTCCCCTATGTCAATCAGATGATCCAGGATAATGGAGGTATTGCAGATTCAGATGTTGGTTTCTACAGTGGACTCATTGAATCGTTATTTTCCCTGACCCAGGCTATTGTCATGATCTTCTGGGGTCGAATGGCTGATCGTCTCGGGCGCAAGCCGGTCTTGGTCTTCTCATTGATTGGTGTTACTTTGGCCACGGGACTCTTTGGTATGGCGAAGTCTATTCCGCAGATGATCATGTTGAGGTGCCTTGCTGGCGTCTTTGCCGGATCTATCGTTACTATCCGCACTATGGTGGCTGAACATAGCACGACCAAGACCCAGGCGAGAGCATTCAGCTGGTTCGCTTTCAGTGGGAATCTTGGTATCTTCCTTGGGCCTTTGTTGGGAGGTTCCCTTGCCGATCCGGTAACCCAGTACCCGGGTGTTTTTGGAGGCCGCTTCTTCAAGAACTACCCGTATGCGCTCTCAAGTCTGGTGGTGGCGATGATGGGAGCTACCGCAGCCATTTCCACCGCTTTGTTCGTCCAGGAGACTCTGAAAAAGGAGCCTGCTACGGACTCTGATGGTGAGGAGGCAACATCAGACGTGGCCGCTCGGAGGGGCGACCTCTCAACCCGGGAGCTTCTACAATTTCCAAGTGTGGCCGTGGTTCTCTTTATATACGGACACATCATGATGCTCGCCTTCGCCTACACAGCCATTGTCCCTGTCTGGTGGTTCACCCCCGTGCGCCTTGGAGGATGCGGTTTTACACCCCTTCAAATCTCGCTGATGATGGGTCTCAACGGCGCCGCTCAAGCCATGTGGCTCCTGTTGATCTTCCCCATATTGCAGCGAAAGATTGGAACGAAGGGAGTGATTCGCGTCTGTGCGCTTGCCTACCCGATATTCTTCGTATGTTGTCCTCTTTCAAGCGCTCTCCTTCGGATGGACACCGACGTATCCGTCAAGGCTTTCTGGGTGTTTGCTCCGACTGCATTGGCCATTGGCTGTGGAGTTAGTATGAGTTTCACCGCGATTCAGCTCGCCATTAATGACATTTCGCCCTCGCCAAGACTCCTTGGCACGTTGAACGCCCTGGCCTTGACTGGTGTCAGTAGCCTGAGGGCTTTCTGCCCGGCTCTATTCACTACCCTCTTCGCAATTGGGGCGAGGACACAGTTGTTAGGTGGCTATGCTATCTGGGTGCTCCTGATCGCACTTGCGTCCGGTTTGTCTGTCTCCGCGAGATACCTGCCAGAGCCCAAAGAGGCCCGCAAGCGCCGTAGTGAACGGGAGAGATGATTTGTTCTCATTGGGCGAACTTTCTAGTACGCAGAAGATCGACTCGGCAAGCTCCTTTGGTTTCCATGGAAGAAGAACAGACTTTTATCCGCAAAATTACAATGTACAAATTTGATGTACCCTCAGTAGCGAAGAGCAAGTTGGTTTTCTAAAAGGAACAGCTATATACTCTGTGACTTCGTACTACACACTTCTATGGTAATCCAGGTCAAGTCAGTCCCAGCGACAGTATACCAAATTGGTTAAAATACATACTGGATGTCGTGTACAAATACATTAAGCAGAAAGGTGTGAAACTGCAACTATATGGCGCGAATATAAACAATTTCACCAGTGTAATGTAAATCACGAGGAGCTTTAAATCAGATAAATCTCGCACATTTCAACAATTTCCCACTTGAAGCCGGCGGTTGGAAACCATTCAATATCTCCATTACCATCCTGGTCACCGTAGCGTTTCTGATATTCATTTTCCGTGCCAGCGTGTAATGGTATGACAACGACAGATGAATCCCATCAGGACTCAATAGAAGATTAGCTCTAATCGTAATGTGAACCATTGATCAAGAATATCTTCACCGTTCATTCAATTAGACGGGCAATCCACCATCGGGGCAGATGGTGAGACCGGGCTTTGTCTTCCAAGCGGGAACACACCCATCTTCCGCCTCAGGCATAGATGAGGTGACGGCAACCCTAAAGGGACTATAAGAGGCAATAATACCAGCAAACTTGAAGCTGACCGTTTTGAGTGAGATGAGAGGAATTATGGATACAGGTAGGGGATTATGAAGCCACTTCACGTTTCCCGTGTTTATCCAGTAAGTCTAAAGAATATCGAGACTGGTCACTGGTTTGGGATATGATGTATACGTCCAATCACCTCTGTCTATCCTTCTAGTACCTGTTGATACATCGTTTTTGCCTTTTTCATACTTCCCTTGGAAAAAGAGCACATTGTCAAGGTTACTGACACTGCTGAGCGTGTCAGGATGCTCGCGTCTAAGCACTTGCTCACTCGCTTTCAGGTCTCGTCGATGTATCGCTTCCGCCTCTGTATATTTCCATTGGCTGCCAAGCACATTGCCAAGGTTACTGACACTGATAAGCGTGTCAGGATGCTCGCGTCCAAGCACCTACTCTCGTGCTTCCAACACCCGTCAATGCATCGCAAGACTTGAACCGGACATTCGTTCACAGGTCGAAGGAGGAGCCATATGGACAAGGTTTCCTAATATTTCAAATGCCGTTGAATGCCACTTTATTAATTGTTTTGCGCGATATGAGAAGACTTCTTAGCAAGGAAGATCTAAGCCATAATAAATGTACATGTACCATGCTCATAGTCAGCATTGCAGTAGATGAGTCGGTCGAACTTATCATGAAACTAGAGCCTCGAATGAGATATGATCATTTCCAGTAAGCTATTTGGCATACGAGAAAACTCGCATCACGATCATATGGCTTTACTCGTCACAAATTTATCTTTCCCCTGGATGGATAGCCTTAGGGACATATGGTTCTTCAAGGTACTGAATCTCTTCCGGCGTCAGCTTGATCTGGACACTCGCAACAGCCTCATCGATGCGATCCTTAGTGTTCAGCCCGACGATAGGGTACTCGCTGGGGTGACTCAGTGACCATGCGATTGCAACTTGTGCCATGCTGATTCCCTTCTTGCCAGCCAATTCTTCCACACGGTCAATAATAGCTTTGTCGGACTCGGACTCGCGGGCACGAACGAAAATACTTAGTCCGACATCGGTGTTTTCGCGCAAGGTAGAGCGAGAAGCCCAAGGTCTGGCGAGGGCTCCACGTGCGATAGGAGACCAAGGGATAAGAGATACGCCGCTGTCAAGGCAGTATGGGATCATTTCACGTTCCTCTTCACGGGCAATAAGATTGTGGTAGTTCTGCATGGAGATAAATTTGTGCCAGCCATTGCGAATGGCAATGTTTTGTAGGGCTTGGAATTCCCAAGCGGCCATCTACAAGAAAGAAAGGTATTAGTGCTTGTTTGTTCAGATTGTTGAGGGTGAAGCATACCGAACTAGCGCCGATGTATCGAACCTTGCCGCTTTCAACTACGTCATTCAGCGCCCTCATGATCTCCTCGCGTGGTACATCACGATCAAGTCGGTGGATTTGAAGCACGTCAATATAGGTTCCCAGTCGCTCTACACTGGCATCAACAGCCTCTAAGATGTGTCTGCGAGAAAGACCGACGCGGTTCAAGAATTCACCCTCATTCTGTCTCCCGGTCGAGAGAGGGGGTGGGAAGTTCCCCTGATCGTCCACACCAAAGAAACATTTGGTCAAAATTACCACTCGAGAACGGGGGATGTTGTATTTCTTCAATGCCTTTCCCACGATTTCTTCGGATCTACCGTAGGAGTACATATCGGCCTGGCAAAAATCTGTTAGAACACGCGTGTTTACTCCCGCATTTCTCTTCTTACAGTATCCCAGGTCCTGATGCCTTTCTTGTAGGCGTGTTCAATAAGTGGAAGAGATTCTTCTTCATTCAGCACCCAGCCCTGCCATTCTGGAGCGCCGTACCCCATGGCACCTAGTATCACCTTTGAGACCTTGAGGCCCGAATCCCCCAGCCTGTGTCATATTGTCATCGCAGGTCAGCAATTGGATCTTTAACAATCTTCGAAAGGCACTTGGGTCAATGTTATCAAGGTGAATGCGGGGAACCTTACCGTGCGTATTCCATTTGTCCGTTAATTGTAGTACTGGTCATCGAGAATTGTGGTAGACTTAGGAAGCTTCAAGGGTCATGAAACACGTAGACGAAAGAAAAATGCAGGTTGAAGGTGAGGGCGAGAAACATCTTTATTCTCACAATAATTCCACCTGGAGTTATCGATGGCAAGCCTGCCACGCCTAGGACGGAGTTAACCGACGTAAGTCCGGACGACCAGTCATACTGAATTATCTCTCGAACAATCTGCGTAAGTGCGGCGAATGAGGAGTCTTGATCTACCAGTTAAGCTCAACGTGAATCCACTTCGTCATAGCAACACTGCCGATCAAATGTTCTGCAACGGAGTTAATCGAAGGCAGCTCCAAGTTAAAGCGGATTTAAAGGCCAACGAATCCGCTATCTGTCTCATACTTGGGCCGAGGTTTGACTCTACTTAGATCCGAGTTGATTCCTTCAAGTTGAGTCTATAAATTGATTAGTTTCGTAAATTCATTCAAAGAAGCATTCGCCCGACCGATGTCATCTGGATGTATCGAGCCTGAAATCGAGTGTTTGAACCGGGGATTATCGTTTGGAATCTATTGTTTTCGGATACTAGAAAAAGATCCCGGTTCAGAATTGCCAACCCATGCCGGATGATGTCGACTAAATGTTGTGCAGAGGCAGTAGGGTTGGAATGGAGGCTATAATTAGTTAATAAAGATGATGAAATAGTCTGCTCATGTAAATGAAGTGGATTCCAGGACATGGTATATAGCATTTGCTTCAATACGGCATCGTTCATTGCTGGCGTCTTTGTCCTGGACTGGGGTGCAGATAATTTCATCGACCATACCGTCATCATGGGACAGCGATTGAGCATCTAATCAACTCTAATTGCCCTTTTGACGGCTGGAGCTGAATATGAAGACGTACGTTAGGGCTTCTATATCATCGGGGTGGAATGGACTTCGATAGTAGCGCAAAGGTGTATTCTGGGCTCCAATTATTCATCACCACTATTTTCGCCATATTGGCATACTTTCAACAGCTAAATAAAGTTACCGGGGGCTCTTTATAACCGTCTTTGCGATCTATATTATCTCAATTGGCTACTCCATCTACACAGGTGTCACTGAGCCCCCTCAGCTGTCGGACAGTAAAAGTGACGATGAACCAGCCACCCTTTATGACAACAAATATGACCAACGGCCACTTACACAGAATAATCTTTCCTAGAATTATCCTCTCCTGGAAAATATAAACACACCACAAGGAACAATAACAAGGACTGGGGATGGCGAAAAGCTCCCGCGACCACTTTATCACCATGTTCTCCAACTTGTTTTCGGATTGCTAGCATTGTCTTTGTCGGGGTATCTTCTTGCCCGCAGCACTGGTGCTATCACCGATTCTCTTCAACTATTAGGAGCTGTCTTTGGCTTGACCGTGATCGCTTTTGCCACCACTCTGTCGGAGAAAGTGATTGCTATACTCAGTGGCTTTCGTGGACACGGAAACATTATTGTTGCTACTACAGCAGGGAGTAATATCCTTTCTGCTAACACTATGTGTTGGTATTATCGCTATGGCGGGAAGCCCTTATGATCGGTCAGATACCTTTGTCCTGTTTGATTTGACGTAAAGGACTGGCAAAAGGCAGCATCGGAACTTCCGGGAAAACGTTTTGTCCTATTCTTCAAGACTAGCAAAAGACTGAGAAGACCGTGGAAATAAAATTCTAGAGCTTTGACGCTCGAAATAATCATGTCCCAAGAGTTTAATTATATTCGAACAGTGGGTAGATGCGGGAGATCGGCGTGGCTTTCTACGTTCGATCGGGAAATTTGTTTGCCGCGGAGGTTCGGTAAGCTGCTTCCAGGCGTAGAAAGGGTTTCCCGCACTTCTAAAACACCAGCTAAACTAAATTAAGATCAACATAACTCTATTGACTTTCTCATACTGAAAGACTTCGGGGGGAGTAGCCTGGCATGTTCATCGCCGTTATTAGTCAATTTAGGTAGGCGGTGTGAAAAGACAGAGCATGTGGAGTTCTTTGATCGCTTCCTTTTCAACTGTCATCGATTCATAGCCATAATTTCATCCTTGGATGAAAGGTGGAACGGATAATGACACGGCCTTATCCTCTCCAGGACGATGTGAGGAAATATAAGTCAGCAATTACAGAGTCGGCAGTTGAACCACTGACGAAATCTGAACCAGCTTCAAAGAAGCGGAGTCTTGACTACATAGTCAAGAGCGGATTGGCCGGAGGACTGGCAGGCTGTGCAGTAAGTAAATTTTTTGATTGTCTCGGAACAAAAATTTAATCACAGATGACAGGCAAAATCACTTGTCGCGCCACTTGATCGCGTCAAGATACTTTTCCAAACATCAACTCCAGAATTTGCTAGGTACTCCGGTAGCTGGGGAGGCTTTGTGTCCGCTATTACGGCCATTAGAGAAAAAGAAGGCTTCCGAGGCCTCTTCAAAGGTCACTCGGCTACATTATTCCAGAAGTTTCCATATGCGGCCATCAACTTCCTTGCATATGAGCAGATTCGAGCAATCATCATCCCGACGCCAGATAAAAAGACCCCATTACGACAACTCTTATCTGGAAGCTTAGCGGGCAGTGCATCGATCTTATTCACTTACCCGCTCGATCTCATTCGAGTTCGATTAGCTATCGAGACTCGATCGCATCGAGTTAGCTGGAAGGATGTTTGTCTTCAGATTTACCACGAACATGATGCGCCCCTACATCCGCAGCGTTTCAAAGCCCTCCTTCCACATATGGGTCTTACCAACTTCTATCGAGGATTTGGCCCTACGATACTCGGAATGATCCCCTATGCGGGTATGTCGTTTTTCACTCACGAGGTCATCGGAGACTGGCTACGTAGCCCAGCGTTCGCACCGTACACAGTTTCAGAGAGCCGATCTTCTAAGCACCCCGGTCGACCACAGCTTGTCACTGTTGCGGAGTTATTCGCAGGCGGCCTTGCTGGTGTAATTGCTCAGACTGCTTCCTACCCATTGGAGGTTCTTCGTCGTCGGATGCAAGTGGGCGGTCATCGTCTCGGGATGGCTCAGACATGTCGCAAGATGTGGTCCGAGAAAGGTTTCCGCGGATTCTATGTTGGAATGACGATTGGTTACATCAAAGTGGTGCCATTGGTCGCGACGAGCTTCTTGGTCTATGAGCGACTCAAGTGGGCCATGGGGATATGAGTCGGATCCCCTTCTCCAGGTTCCTTGGACCTTGCACATACGAAAACTTCTTGCACACTATTTTCTTTCTATAATGGTGGGAACAAATATACTCTATTCATTGATGTCGACATCATCAAACTCTTTGTACAGTTCCCTTTTGACCTGATCCTCGGCCCAGCTCATATCCACCGCGTTTCTCGCCAACTGCACCATCTCATCCTTACTGAACTCACAGAACGTATAGATCTTCTGCATATTCCCATCAATCCAAACATCATGCATCAGGGTCGGGTCATCGCTGTTGATGCAAATTTTGACTCCCCTCTCCCACAGCCTTCGAATTTTGGGAAACAAAACCTCAGTCGCAGTTCTCCGATGATACGCATGGGGACAAAGCGTCAGCCCGATATTTCTATCAAGCAAACCTTGCCACAGCTCCTCTCGATCCTCAGCATCTAGTCCGTGATCGATCCGCTCCGATCCCTGGCCATCGCAGACTTGGAAGATCGCTTCAGTCATGTGAGCATGGGTATCTTTCTGTCCAAAGTCGCAGTGCATAGTGACATGCAACCCATCCGCCCGGGCGAGTGCAAATCCTTCTTCAAAAATCATCGGCGGCCTCTCGTATGCATTGCTTGCGAGACCGACAGCATGAAACAGACCTTTTCCACCTTCAACAGTACCCGCAGCCCACGGCCTCGCCTCGATGTATGCCGCTAACCCCTGCTCTACGGGTTCATCGCGCAAGAAGCACATGATCCAGCGCGACCGAACACCAAACTGCTCCGCTGCATCGCGCTGCGCGTGTAAATAACCATCAAGAACCGCGGATCCAGGCACACCACGACGCGTATGCGCCTGAATGTCAAAGAAAGGTTCGGCGTAGCGGACGTTCATTTCCGCGCAGCGGCGCAGATATGCCATGGCGAGATCATAAAAGTCAGCCTCGGTGCGGAGAACTTCGCATCCTGCGAAGTATGCCTCGAGGAATGTTGGAATGCCAGGCTGGCGGCCGTTCAGTTCGGGTCGGTGGTTTAATGTCACGGCGTACGAAGCCTTGAGATCATCAAATGTGGCATAAGGTAGAGTGATGTTATTGCGTTGGGCTAGCTCCCAGCGTAGAGCTGGCGTGAGGGTACCTTCGATGTGTACATGGAGTTCCACCTTCGGTAGCTGGGCTATGAAGGGGGAGATGGTGAGGCCATTCATGATTCACAATGAAAGTCTATGATGCACTCGAAAGATAACATTCAAAAGTGAAGCATGATAATGAAACAAAAATGACGACCAGATGAGGAGATCCTGCGATCCAGGAACAATCTAAGGCGGCCAGTTCCGCTGCATTACCGACCCATTCGCTTGCACCTTCTTCAAATCCACTACGGGATACAGTAGCGCTCACGGGGAACCTGCCAAGTGCGCCGGTAGCGTTAGCTTAAAGTCTCGGCTTAAGATTTGGCGCCACAAAACTCAACTATGAAAAGTGAAAAGGTCCTTTATCGGCGATAACACGCAGGGGGTACGTGCTTAAGCCAATGTAGGTGCGGGGAAAGATAAGAATTGCACCCACATGCTAATAAGAGGAGCAGAATTCCAATATCCTGAAGAATTAGTGATCGTGAATTTTAAGAAAGTTCCCATAGCTTTCGCCAATATGAGCAACATGGCTGAGGCTAGCACAGCTCCCGAGGAGGCTGCGCTGGAGCAAGGAGCGGATCTCACCCTGGGGAAACGAGTGCTCAGGAAGATCGACAGTCGATTGGTGCCACTGATGTTTATCACCTATATGTTTAATTTCATGGATAAAACTATTTTGTCCAGTGCATCGGTGTTTGGTCTAGCGGATGATACGGTGAGTTCTTCGTAAGACAAGAGAAGCCTTGGGCTAACGTCAACAACAGGGTCTAGTGGGTCAACAGTACAGTTGGGTCTCTTCGGTTTTTTACTTCGGCTACCTGGGATGGTCATACCCAACAACATTGCTCATTGCTCGTCTGCCGATCGGAAAATACTTGACTATCAACACCCTCTTCTGGGGCGCTGTAGTTGCCCTCACTGCCGCATGCACCAACTTCGGTAGTCTCGTGACAGTTCGCTTCTTATTGGGAGTTGCTGAGGCCACTATTACTCCCGCATTCATGTTCATCACGTCGAGTTGGTATACCCGTGATGAGATCCCTACCAGAACGGGAATCTGGTTTGCTGGCAACGTAAGTCCAAATCAATCTCATTGTAGCCTCAGAGCGATTCTCTCACACTTTATAGAGTTTCGGAGGCATTGCTGCCAGCCTTATAGCTTACGGTCTAGGCCATGTAAAAGATCATGTTGGCGCGTGGAAGTGGATGTTCATTACACTCGGTGTCGCAACATTCATTTGGAGCTTCGCAGTCTGGATTCTCTTACCAGACTCGATCTCAAAAGCAAAGTTTCTATCAGAGGAGGAGCGCGAGTTTGCAAACAACAGAGTTCTTATTGCCGGGACAGGAACGACTGAAAAAACGGCATGGAAGTGGGATCAGGTCGTCGAGTGTCTCATGGACCCGAAGACATGGTTTATCTTTGGCCTCGAACTATTGACGCAGATTCCAAATGGTGGCACCCAGAACTTCGCCAATCTCGTCATTGTCTCATTTGGCTTCACAAGCCTACAGTCTACACTGATCAATATCCCTTACTCTGTCATCACGATTGCTACAATTGCCGGAACCGGTTGGCTTGCTGGTCGTTTCCGCCAGTGGAACTGCCTCCTAATTGTGATTGTTGTTCTACCTTGCGTCATTGGAAGCGCAATTATCTACTCCCGTGCCCACGTCGTCCTGGGTGTTCAGCTGTTTGGGTACTTTCTGTTATCAACCGGGCCGGCTGCTATGCCTCTGGCAATGTCTCTGGTGCAATCTAACTACCGTGGTGTCACCAAAAAGATGACCATGACCGCGATGCTATTCCTAGCGTACTGTGCAGGAAATATCTCTGGACCCCAATTCTTCCTCAGCAGTGAGGCACCGACCTATAACACCGCTTTCCGTACTATCATGATATGCTATGCTCTAGCGATATTGTTCGCGTTGGCTCTTCGCTTTTACCTTCAGTGGACGAATGCTCGTCGCATTCGCGAGGAGGGCTTTGAGGGAAGTGCTGGAAATGCTGGTGCCGTTGGTAATGGGAAAGTGCTAGATGTCGATGGCGACTCGAAGAATGTGGTGGACATGGTGAACCAAGTCCGGTTGGTGTCAACTGACTATGAGGATGTTACGGATTGGAAGACACCTGGATTCAGATATCGCTATTGATTTAGACCTGACAATGGGCTTCCCGCGCAGGAGACAATCCGAATAATACATTACCCATATCTTCTACTAAAGGCACACACCTATAGCAATACAAGTCACGATCCTGACCAGAGGCCAGGTATTTTGAACAATTCCAGCCCATTTGAAGTAAGTACAGAAATTACATGAAAATTGTAGTCATCTTCGGATACGCAGTCGGTGCCCGGAAGGCCGTAATATGCCCACTCAGCACATATACCTGTTGTCTCTCATCATAACAACTCGATACGTACCACCTATCATGATAGAATGGCCGTTAAACCAAACGAAGATAGCTTGAGAACGCATGAGCTATCTGTAGCAAATTTCAAAAACTAGGCGCGTAAAACTAGATCAATATCTCTGCCATCTCACGTGCTTTCATTAGAGCCTCCTTTACTTTTACCCTCGTCTCGTGGACCTTTGCAGACTTCCCAGCATCCTTCAACTCTTTATCATCCTCCATATTGTTGCCGTCCCATTCCAGGTGTACGACCAAGACCCCTTTCTCCTCGGGCTTGTCATTATCGCAGCAGATAAACACATTTTTGTGTAACTTCATTCCGTTCGTCCGCCAGCCTCGGCGCTCATCGTCTCGGCAAATCACAGGAAATAGCTGCTTTATTCTCTTCTAAGGCATCTGAAATCGACCCGTTTCCGGATCACCAATAAGGTCAAGCGTCGCTTCCGATGGTTGAACTTCGTCAGTCGAGGGATTGATTAGAGCTGGAAGCGGGAGTGCAGATGCCAATCTAGTACTAAAAACGGCAAAGGCCCACTTGTCGGTTGGCTGGGAGCTGGAGTCGCTACTAGCCTGTTCGGTCGTCTTGGTAAGGCCGTCAGAGGCGTACCGGTCGAGTATATCCTTCGCGGTCTCGTCGCCCATTCTCAAGCTATCGACGGATTGGCCTAATTCGACTTGTACCGGGACTAAACAATGCTCTACTTGCCAGAGGCCGTGAGACATGTATGCGAGAACGAGGATCGCGTTGGGCGACACTTCATCTTTTGAGATAGCAATGAATGAATGAGGATGTGTGGGTACCTGTTTCGATGGTGATGAATCAAAAAGGTCCTGGAGGTGTCTGACAAAGTGCGTGGTGCAAGCGCCGAGATCCTCAAAAGTACCTTCATCGACTGGGCTAAAGATGTCCGGCTTCGCGAGTCGTCCATTTGGCCAATTCAAGATCGCCTTGGTATAGCTCTCAATGGCTTGGTCACAGGCTTCATGAACCATGGCTGTTGTGACACCCTTCAACCCGTACCCGAGTACCTTCCCATCGTCATCGGCATATTGATTTCCCTGATCAAACACGCCACTAGCACCTGGCGGTAGTTCAATGCACATAACTCGTAATTTTGTCCTGCGACACTGAAGCAAACGTTTATGTATATGGTCAAGGACTTCAACCCGGAAGTACAGCCGAGTCCAAAAGGATAAAAATAGTCACTCACTCCTGTACGCAAGCATGTACGTGATGAGATTGCTTCAAGCCTTTTTATGGCGTCACACTCGCACCCCAGGACCCTTGTGATTACTTAATTTAGCGTCATTCGTATCTGAAAACACGGAGGAACGGGTCCACAGAAGGATCCTAGCAGGCGAGCGGCATTTTACCGTCACCTAAATCATCTATAAAAACAGGGTCATTATAACCCTGAAACATCACGTTTTTCTACACAATTTATGTTTGTACTATTTGTACGCAAAATGAGTTGGGTTGGGTTGGGTTTTGGGTTATGCCGGTCATGGCGCAGTCTAGGGCAGATTAACCGTAGTAGGTATAGCGTATTTCAAAAGAAGGGTTGAGGAAGAATCTCTATAAGGAAATAGTAGAACTGATTTGGATCCATCCTGTAAAAAACGCCGATCCTAGTAACTCATGATCTAAAATCTAGCTCAGAATTTTTGATTTTAAAATGGCTGAATGGAGCCTTGGAAGAGATTCTCGATTTCAGAGAGGGCAAATCGAAGTTATTATTCAAACAAGTGTTGAATGCATACGAGAAATACGGCATTACTTAGCTATAGAGATACCATAGGAGGTACGCGGTACTTGATGAGAATTTGAGAGCTTTCATCGTCGGGTATGTCTAATTAGACTACATTTGATCATATCATGCTTCGAAAAATGGCGGAAGACAAAGTAAGAGATACAGTAGAGGTAGGTCGCAGCCTTGGTTTAGGATGTCCAAACTTTGCCAGAAATATCCTTCACGAGTTAGGGCTTTAGTGTGATGGTCAGACTACTTAGTCAAGGGGCCATGGTTGAAACATGGTGTGATCTTCGGCAAGCTGTTAAGAACGGCTCCTATGTCATTTCAAGACATTTTCAAACGTTCCACAGTACATAGCCAGCCTACCTTAGGGCTTGCTCTCCTTCGGCCCAAGCTGCCCGGAGCCACACTGCCGAAACTCATTCAGGGAGTAGAACGATGCTAGTTCGAGGGTGGGGCAATTATTTAGACTGATGGATTAGTTAAGGGGTCTATGGGATAATTAGCGTGCCGGCCCAATTGTCAGCTCATACCAAATAAATACACTCTATCTCCGGTGTGAGTTGCCGGATACTTGAAAAGACAAGCAACATGCAGAAACAGTTGTTGCGTGAGTTACGCAGAGTAGTCATTCTTTGGTAATAGAAAAGTTCGTGGTGACCGATTTCGAATGAGGATCCGGAACGTTTCAGACTTACTCTGTAAATTTATTGAGGGGCTCTCCATAAAAGTGAAACATCGGAAATTCGCCTTTAATCATTTACTTAAAGTCGTCATAAAGGCTGCTGATTTGCGAGAAGGACCTCGTAGGGGTTGAGAAAATAGATATGGCTGGCCCCAGCGTGCTCTTCACGCTTGATACCTTCTTTATCCTTTTCATTGTTTTGGAGGCTTCGTTGTAGCCCTTTGAATTTTCTCGGTGGGACTGGTTCCCATTTTGTTCTTTTTCACTTATCGACCTTTTTCAAAATGCGTGCCGGTTACGTCTTGGTTCCTATTACCGCCGCCATCGGCGCGATGGCATCTCAGCCCTCCGATTCCTGGGTTTTCGGAGACAGTCTATTTTATCTCGGCCCTCCCTCTGGAAATGCTCATATTACCAAGGCCACATACTCTATTCTGCCCCCGGCAACCCCACTTAATGCGACCCTTTCGGCCTCGGACGAGCCCTGGGTCTCTGTCTGGGTTGGTACTTCATCTACTGCCGGCAGTATGGATGCCAACTTGTACCAGCCACTTTTCAACTGGGCTGGAAACCAGGAATCCAGGTACGTTGATGGCTTACAATATATTTATTGATCCTTATTCTGACCGCTGGTTAACTATAGTGGTTGCTCCGCTGGTGCCAAGGAGTGGTGTGTGGCTGCTTCCACTTACACTCCCGGTAAGGATAATCACAATCTATTCGTTGAAGGGAATTGTCCGATGTGCGGAGGAGATACTAACACTCGATCGTCATCTCAGATGGGCAAGTTGGCTCAAACTATGTGAGAGTCCCGACAAAGACCTTAGTGGATTTCGAAAGTATGTCTCCTTTTATCATTAAAATTTCGCAATGGTGGCCATGAGCTAACAGATTAAATCAAGTCGCCGTCGTGGATGACAACGTGGTTCAGACTGTCACCATCCAAGGCAAGGTTGTCTCTAAGCGAAGCGATGGTAAGTGAACTTTGTCGAAGTCTCAAGTCTTGCCCGCTGACCAAAGTCACTAGCTCTCGATGCCTCCCTTCGGTACCTCTACTCTAGCAACGAGTGCTACACCGGTGGTGGTAGCTGTGGAGAACTCAATGGATACAGTATGGCTTTACTTGAAGCACTCATTCTCAAAGCAAGGCAATTGCAGACAGTTCTAATGATATTCACAGAGATCCACAACCTGGCCGTCACCCTGAGTGAGGCCGACACCGACTTTGCCAGCGACATGAGCCTTGACGGTGTCTCTGATGCTGGCTTCAAGAGCACCGATGGTGGTATTACCTGGGAAAGTGATTATGTCCAGGTTAAAGCTATTGATTTTGATTCTTCTGCCGACACCGAACTCAACGACTGATTGGCCGCGTACGAGGACGGACCACTTGGAGGGCTTTGCTTGGAATGTGTCTTCCACTTGGCTCTTGGGAAGCACACAAAACTGTCATTACCCTGGGCGTCAGGCATCTTCTTCTCTTTGTGAAATCGATCTACTGTCGTTTGGCTATAATCATTTCACTCCAAACACAAGTAGACTAGAGACCATGGCCATTTCTCTCACGGTCTTCAATTATACCGTCCGTCTACATGACCTTGGCCTTTAATATATAGTGTTCCGCAGGTCTGTTGGCTGTACTTATATATGGACGTAAACAATAGCCAAATCACGATTCCCAGAGCCATTGTGCCCAAGAGGCAGGTAATGATCAACCAGGCTTTTCCGCCTGTTAGGGTCATGGCAATTGAACGTATAGCTCCAGGAAAAGGCTCGCTAAAGATTGGAAAGAAAGCACCATCGAATACTAGAGAGAAAGTAAAGAATTTATAGATAGCCAGCCAACTTGAACTTTGTCTTGATGAAGACTGAAATAAGTTTTTGCAATTGAGTTTTCACCTTCCTGGGAGTTATAGAAGCTTCTTTTCACATTCCCTTTTTTCCGAGTCCCTTTCTACTCAGAACTGGGACTGGGTCTCGCCATCACCGACCGATCCCCCTGCCTCCAAACAATATCCACTGTCCACTTCTTAATTTTCCACAATCCATCCCCATGATCCATCACAAGATCAAGCGAGTACTCCCCACCAGTAGTAAGCTTCGGTCCATCAGGCTCCTGACCCCTTCCATGCGGACCGTGCATAGCCAAAGCATAAGCTGTCATCGAAGCAGTATCCTCTCCTTCTTTGTGGTTGATTCGAACATTGCTAATCATGTGTGTGGTGTCCATCGGACCGACGTGGCCGAAGACCCCTGCCTTGAGAGCGGCAAGGCCCTTAATCGATCTCTTCTCGTTCTCACCGGCATTCATCTCGAATATAATGTCTTCGCCGGCGAATGCGGAGTCAAAGATAGAGATGTTATTGCGGTCAATGCCGATGACGGTGCGGTGGAGGGCGTCGGCGATGGCTTCCTTTGCGTTGAGGTTTGGGAGGGATTGGAGATAAGACATTTCGGTTGAGTAAGGCTCTTTCCGGATGAATGTTCTTTCTCGTCGTGTTTTGATTGCTGTCTTAAGCTCTTTACAGTTTTGTGGTTTGGGCCTGAGGGGTTATCGGCGATAACCGGACTTAAAACAACTGGAGTTTAATGAGTCGTCGGGATTCTGTCCACGAAAACCGTGTCTAGCAATCTGGCCAGACTGCAAAGAGCGACAAGTGGATCTAGTTTTGCCTATCGGGTTCTATTGAAGGAGAAACCCGGGGTTCGCATAAGAGACGCGGAATTCGCATAAGAGGCGGAGTTCGCATAAGAAACGCCTTGTCTTGGACCACTGTTGGTAAGACCAAATTGAATTATCGATTCCTGTATCAAATCGGAAGGGTATCACAAAACGAGTATAAACCGGCCATGTCACCTGGCCCCAGACGACTCCATACCGGGCGTAGTATGCAAAATGCAAAAGCCAATTCACTCAAGCGTCCACTTCGTATTCTTCCATTTCCACATTGAAATATTCCGCAACTTGTCTCATCTCACTTTCCGCAATATCGTGATCAAGCATGAAGCGTACGGCTGCGTCCTTGCCGCGGTCAGATGTTCGGTGCCGGTCACCATTTGCTGCAGTTGGCGTCAAGGGGTGGTGAGGTCGCTCGGTATCTACATCCTTGGGCCGTGCGTTATTTGGTTGGTTTTCAAGGTACATGGGTTGGCGGGGGCGGTCTTCCCAGTTGGCGTGGCGTGGAATGTGGTGTTCGCTAGCTTCTTGGTTGAGTGGTATGCGGACGGTTAGGAAGCGGTCTGCTGGGAATTGTGGTCCCACGGACGTGGAAGAGCGGTGGTGGGTGTAGAGTTCGAGGATGTCGAAGAGGGTTTCTTTGTTTAAATGTTAGTGGTGACCAAATTTTGCAAAGAAAAGTGAGTGACTTACCCATGACTTCAGGGCGGCTAGTGTCCCATTGATCGTAGTCCTGTCCTGACTCTATCATGGCGACGCGCTTATCCAAGAGTCGTCCCGCGAGTTCGAGGCAGCTAAATGCCATTGTTGCCGTTGTCTGTTTGACTGGTGCAAATGTGCGGTAGAGGTCCAGCGAGATGCGGTAGGCGAGATCGGTCACTTCAGTCTCTTTTGATAGCTTATAAAACTGGGCAAGCTTAATCAGGGTCTTTTGAGGGTGGCGGGTACGGAAATCAAAGCCAGATGATTCAAGCATGAGTCTTTCGAGTCCAATGATTCCTCTTGCGTTGGTTTCAAAGACCTGATGGAAGTTAGCCATTATATCCGGGCAATTTCACACTCGGGGAGTCGCAACATACCGGACTATCAGAAGACAGGTGCTCCGAGGGCGGCAATTTAAGATTATAAGCCGCGCAAACAATGTCCCTCGACTTCTTCAGAGTGTCCTCGATTTTGCAAGCGGTGAATAGAGCCGCAGCGGCAGCATCCTACAAAGGATTAGCATAACGGTCAAAAACGCCAGGGCCAATAAACATACCGTGAAGTTGTACTCGCTATCCGGATGTGATAGCCTGAAGCGATGATAGTAGATCACAGCGGTATTGAAAGTGCGAACAGGACTGCAAATTAATTAGTATTGCCCATACATTCTCTCAGGCGAGGGTATAGGACATACAGATGGAGCACCTTGCGCACGTTATCAATCCATGAGACACCCTGTAAACGTAAATTCTCTTCACGCATAGGACTCACACCCATCGCCTGGATGCAGTCTTGGATCGTCTGCTCAAAGACATAAGGCTTGGCTACCTGGATGAATGACGGATGGATGGCTGGGAGCTCCTGCACGACGGGGTCAGGGTCCGCGCGTGGACGCGCCCGCTCGTACCTCTCACGCGACATTGCTATAGCGGACGAACCGGGGTGATCGAGAGGAACAGGCATGCAATGGAACTGGGAAGTCAGAGGATGCGAAGTTGCAGGTGAATCGGTTTCGATATCGATAAGGAATCACGTGCGATAGACGGCAATTAGTTGATCCGAATGTATGAAGAAACAGTTTTGGATCCGGTCTTGACTTCGAAGATAGTTTGAGATGGAAATGGAATTGCAAATAGAAAATAAAAGGCAAGGTATTTGTAATCATTTACGAAGGTTCAGTAGCAGTAATCTACGGAACGCCGCGTCCGGATCGAGTCGCCTTCGCCATCTCACTCTGAGCAACATTATCCGCATACCGCTTATAAATGGGCAGGTAGTGTTCCTTCTCGCTGGTTGTTTCTCTCACACTCTTCCTGCTCTCAATCGCACCAAGCCATTTCCTAAATCTCTTCCAGACATCTTCATCAGCGCCACCACGCCCCTCGGCGGGTATCCCCACTCCATGCTTGAACTCATCAAACAACCACAATCGCACAGCCCACGGTGCCAGCACAAGATCCGGCAGAGCAAGGCCCGAACCAAGGAAAAAAGGCCCCTCTGGATGCATCTCTCTTGTCCAGGCTTTCAGGTGGGTTAGGAAGTCCTGCCGGGCCTGCTCTAGCCCCGCATCGTTCTCGGTGAGTCTGAGTCCCTCGGCGGGCTGATATTGCAGGAACCGGTGGTACGAGGGAATAATTCGAGAGGTTACATAGTCGATCCAGATGCGGGCATGGGCACGATCGTATGGCTCTTTTGGTAGGAAGCTGGGGTTGTGATTTGGGTATGCTTCTTCCAAATACTCCAGGATCACAGTGGACTCGTAGAGTGGTTTAGGTTCCGGGTCTGATGGACATGAGAGTGTCGGGACTAGACCTCGCGGATTGAGAGACAGGAGTGACTCTGGCTTGTTGTATGGATTGACTTCGATGTATTCGTAGGGAATTTGTTTTTCTTCTAGGGCGAGCCAAACTCGCTGAACTTGATGAATGTTAGATTATTGCAAACTAGGTAAAACATTCGCCTTGGTTATTCCGACATACCGAATCTGTAACTAGTTAGTATGAACGCATTTCTCAATGTTGGTGATTACTCACGGGCAGAACCACCCCGCATACAACTTCAGAGGCTGCTCGGCACTGTGCTGTTCGACCAATGCCTTGGCAGCACCGGTGGCCTCAGGGTGGAGGTCGGAATCGGGATGAGCTGGCATCTTTCTTGCAATCCGAATGAGTGGAAGGAAAAGAGATTAGAAAGTTGAAGGCTTAAGGACGACAGTACTTTTGATGTCTCGGAGGGGTTGATGTGTCATCATTCTATAGTAAGCTTTACCATTCGTTGTACATAAACCCCCACCTTTGGAATAGTTGCAAGTATACAGCAGAACATGTGTCCTCACTAGGGTAATGTATCCCCGATAGCAAATGATCTACTTTGCATCTCCGTACTCCTTAACCAACTTCTGCATAATAGACATCGCGCCAGAGCGATAACCACCACCAAAAATGGCATGATGATTCAAGTGATGATACCTAGAACCGGTCAGCCCACCATTCAAACCCATTGAAAAAAGGGTAGCCGAAGGCGAAGGAACACTCACAGCTCATACAACCTCACGCGATCATCATACTCCTCCACCGGTTCCGTCTTCGGTACAACCCGATGATACTGATCAAAGAATTTCGACCCAAAGCCCCCAAACATATGCATAATCCCCAACTCAAACTCACTATGCCCATAAACCGCACAAGCATCATAAACCACAGCGCCAGCCCCCTCATCACCCCCATTACCCACAATCTTCCCCCGATCCGCATTCCCACTCCACAAATCCCCATGCACAACAACAGGAACAATCCCCTCCCCTTCCCCCGAAGAACTATACCCCAAATGCCCATCCCCAAGTAATCTCGGCACTACCTTCCCCGCCGTCTTCTCCACAAGCTCCCTCAACCCCTCATCCCGCCCATTCCGCTCCTCGCTCGTCTTCAAAATAGTAAGTAAGCGCTCATTGGCATAGAACTCAGCCCAACTATCATAAAACTGATTAGGCTGCTTCGTATCCCCACAGAACGTAGCAACAGGGAATCCGAATCGTCGACGTCCAGTCTCTGGATCCGGTGGCGCAGGCGTAGTATGTAATTTACCTAGGCGGTACGCTAGACTCGTGGGTGTGTTTTCGTCACCGTTGCTTCGACCCATTGCGCCGCTTAGATCGAGGTATTCAGTTGCTAAGAAGAAGCTTTTCGGTTTGTTGCTTTCTTCGTCGAGAGAACCCCAGGCTAGTGCGCGGGGGCAAAAGCCTGGGACTGAGGAGGAGATTGCATTTAGAGAAGCGTATTCGCCTTGGAACATTTCTGAGGCAGATTTGCCTGAGGAGGACGTTTTCACAAAGTATTGGCGTTCTTCAGTGCCATTTTGCGTTGGGACTTGGGCGTGTAGGACGCCTGTGCTGGTGAAGCCGGAGCCTAGGCCGGAAAGCTGCACCTTTGACGGGTCTGAGAGGGAGAGGGCGCGGAGGATTGCTGGTGGTACAGTGGCCATTTTGTTTGGTTACTTGTAATATAAGAGGGATTCGAATGGTCTAGAGGGATTTGAATGGTCTGAATTGCTTTGAAATGCTTTGAAGTGTGTACGTCTATGTAGGGATGGGAGCATGTCAGGATTGTTCGCAGAGCTATGACGTTGTTTCTCCACCGACTTGGTGATAAGCCCCGATAAGGAGCTTAGCTTAAGGTGAACTTCAAGTCGATGAGTAGATGAGGTCTATGGGAAACTGATGATGGAAGACTCATGATCTGAAGAGTATTTTCGAGATTCTCCAATATGTGGCTTATGCGCAGTCAATTCAAAGAAAACAATATACCCATCCGATTCAAGATCCCAAAGTTGTAACTGTACTATTGCGCCAACAGCTGGTTCAGCAGATGCACTGCCGTTTTAGTGCGCTCCTTAATATCAAGATCCGAATCTTCACGAAGGCTCTCTAGCATATCAGTGACACCTAGCGACTTGAGTCGCGTAGCTCGTGCCCGGCATCCCTCGCGGTCGCTTTGGTCCTCTTCGTAGATCAGGTTGATCACCACCCAGACGCAATTAGCTCGCACGTCACGGTGGGAGTGGTTGAAATAATTAGTGAGTGATTGGATTAGTTCGTCGTGGGACATGAGTACGGCGCGATGTTTTGGCAAGCCTGCGGCGATGTGGATGATCATTGCGCTGGCTGAGATTAGGATCTCGTTGGGAACGTGAAGAGCCCGGCTGGGAGACTCTCGGCGGTGCGGGAGTTGAATTGTGCTCGGACGGAGCTTGCTGGCCAATGCATTCAGCAGTTCGTCCTGTCCGAGTACTTTGAAAAGATAGTCAATCATCTCGTTTGCGCCTCCGCCGCAGATGATATTGCGCAACAGGTCGAATGTCTGCTCTTGGACGGCGATGTCGTCTTGGCGAGACTGGCTGGACTGCTCCAGGTTGCCGTGCAGAACGAGTCTCCGTCGACGCCTGGCGTCTGGTAGAAACATGTCCAAGCTCATCTTCGAGGGTGGCATGGTGTCGGTCATCTTGAAGTCTTCGGCTGATTCGCCGAGATCATCCATAGGGTTGAGAATGTCAACCTGTTCACCGGCAGAATTGGCTCGGCCCATGGCAATTCCTGAGGCTTGATCTATCTCGTCGTCCATTCCTCGCCTGACGGAGGGATCTTGGGTGATGACCTGGCGGATCCAATTGGGGCCAAGCGCTTCAACTACTGTCATTTTGATGTCGTTTGGTGTGTTATAGACAACGTGCTTCAGCGCCCACAACGATTCGATTGTCAATTTGATGTTGGACGAATGAGCATGTTCGCAAAGTGTTGGAATTATGTCGGCAGAGATGATCGCCTAGGTAGAGTCAGAGACTATATTTTGATGTCAAAGAAAAGGATTACTGACCTCTTTCATGGGGCTGAAATCCAACGCCAGGTTACAAATCGCTGCCGTGGCCGCAATCTGCACTTCTGGGTCAGGGTGTCGAATCAGCACGAACAGTGGCTGGGCCACTCCAGCATCAATGAGGCTGGTCCTCAAAACGCTGACCGACCTTGTCAGCATCCGAGCTGCGCCACAAGCAGCTAAGAGTGTTGGGGTCGGGTTGCCGTCCGCAGCTGTGTTTTTGGGCATGGAGACAGCATCAGCCGGTGCATCACTTGGTCGCGGTTTGAGAGAGTCGATGATGTAGGGCACCACGCCATTTTCACAGACCGCTTTACGATACTCATCTTTGAATGGCACCAGGGCAGCCAGAGCTTTAAGAATATTTTCTCGATATCGCATGACATGGCACAAGGTTGGAGAGTATCCAGGGGGTCCAAGTCGACAGTCATCTGGCACTGACTCGGGATCGCGGGCTGGGCCGTCACCATCCGAGTACCACATCGGACGTGAGCTTTCTGGGACTGGGTTGTAGGTCTCTTTAAGGAGTTGTGACAGCCGCTTAAGTGCACCACCTTCAACCGCATGTCTCTGTAGCTCTTGATCATCCATAACTAGGTTAGCGAGCACAGCCGGGGCCTCCTCTTTCGAGCGTTGAGTTGCCGTGATCAATCCATCCTCGCTTGATCCATTCTCCTGTGGCAATTGGAAGTCTTTGTCGAGCATTCGTATCAGGATTGGAACCAGTAGGTAGCTGAACATAGGAACACGGTGCTTCTTCGCGAGTCCCAGGCGGAAGAGAACCGTCACTAGACGAGCAGCCATGAGTCGCGCCATGCCGCCTTCCATGCGAATAAGACATAACAACCATGGCACAATGGAATTTTCATCTTCTTCCGGGGCGGGGGTCTCGGCCAGCGAAAATGGAGTCGGGAACGAGTGGCTATTACGGCGCTGGGAGCCTGAGTGGCCGAGAGGTGGGAAGTTGGCCGAGCTTGGGGAGGATTTGACATGCGCGAGTGGAACCGATGGCAGCAGGCTGTCGACTGGGTTTCCACTGTGGTGGCGTGGCACTGCGGATCCCGAAAGATAGGTAGAGCCCCAGGGACCCTTCTTGATATCAACAGAAGCAAAGCCAGGAACCTGTTTCGGGAACACAGTCACGATTCCTGGAGAAGAGAGAAAATGCTCTGCCCTCCACTTGGACTGCTCGATGATCACTGTCACGGCGCGAAGAATGGGTGCCAGCCGTGCAGCCTTCGGGGCAGGTGGTGGGATGTCACCCAAGGCACCAGGCTCCTGCAAATGATCCTCGGCGCCGGGAAGCACGAAGCCCTGAGCCACGACGAAAGAAGCAATTTTGACTGCCAGGGCATCTAGTACCCCGCATTCGGCCAATGCCGTCTTGTGCCTCTCTTCCGTACATAACTTCCCAACCAAAGAAGCTGCTAGTTCGATGCATGTCTGGCTGCGCGTAGTGGTGTACTCTTGAGCAACGATCCGTCTCAAGGCACTTATTGGCTCCGGTGCTAGAACCAGATCTGCCAGTCGTGTATCTCGAGACCCTTGTTCTTGACTCTGCAGCGGCAGCCTGTCTGCGATTGTGTTCAGAAGTCGGAGAATCGGAAGCGAGAAAATTGACGGGCAATCAGCAGATGAGAGGATAGTGAGAAGAGAGAATAGAATGCCGCTGGCGAAGATTGGCTCAAGGAAGGTCGGGCCGCCTGAAATGATGCAGTCAGTCAATGATAGGTGGGGCCATATTTTAAAATGAACATACCTTGTGCCAGACTTCCGGCGATAAGAATTGCCTGGAGACAGGCCGTCTCATCAGACATCTGCGTCTCGCCTGGCCCTTGGTTAGATGTGGCCTGGCTAAGTGACGATCTGTTTGATTCTGCAGCTGCAGCTTTCCCTGGCCGGCGCAGCGCAAGCACCTGCGCCAGTATCGGAAAGATTCCTCCAGTCACATAGGCTTCCTTCCGTTGGTCATGGCCGATCAACTCATTCTTGAGAGCTCGAAGGGAAGCCACCTGCTCGGAGATGGACTCCAAGCTTTGAAGCTGCGAGAGTATAGGTGTAGCGGCTCGCATCGTCGTCCGAGGGCCGCCTCCCGAGGGGAGGATCTCCAATAAAGCGCAAGGCAAAATAAAGTGGTTCGATCCTTAGATTCTGAATACGGAGCTGTTCTTGGATGTCGCGGGGCTCGTTTTGGGTAGGGGCGTGATCGATAAAGCCCTTAGAGGATAGCAGGCCAGGATGAGACCGGTGCGCCAGTCCGGATTCAGCGGGTTGCGGAGAGGGGTCGCGTGTACGACGAGGGCATCGAATTTGACGACAAAATTACTGTGGAGTGGATTAGTCGTTGATTGTTAGTCAATCTCGCAGAAAAATCGTACTTAGCGCAGGTCAGACACCAGATATTCCGCAGTATAGCTCTCCGGTTCAGGCTGCCCGACTCCGCACTCAGATGAGCAGGCGGTTACGTAATTAGACACCTCATGCGATTCTTGGCCTGAGGCAAAAGAGATTATATCACGTGATGGGAAATCGGAATTACGTACAGAGCATGGATATCGTGTCTTATTGATGTGTAATGAAACGTCACATGATAAGTGATAATCGTGACAGGATAGGAACCCACCAATCAACAGATAAGGACCTTGTGGCTTGCATCACGTGTAAGCCACAGTCGTGTCCGATCAGGTGACGGCATCGCACAGCCTCATGTATTGTCACGTAATGTCATAATCGGCACGTCCAACCAGTTAGCGTATGTATTCACGCACGGGAAGAACCCATCCGAAGATATATCGGGGTCCGATGGAGCCTTGTAGCCTTACGGAGAACTGCAGAGTCAGGCATTATTGTAAAATGCGGAGCTGCGGTGTATCGGGTGTAATAAATTACCTCATAGCAAAGCAGGATTTTCTACTTCTCCCCTCCCTCACACTTCTTCCTTTTCTGTTAGATGGGGTTTATAGCTCCAAGTTGCGTACGAGACCCCAGGATTCGATCTCGATCCACCAGCCGCCTCTATCTTCCCCCCTAGGGAACATGAGGCCGTGCGCCGCCAAAGAAGTACAGCGTCAGCGCCTCGTTGACTCGTGCGCCCACGTGGTGCTATCCTGCACTCCGAGCGGCTCTCATCTAAATACCAGCATTCCTCCTTGCGTCCGCTAAGCCATGTTGGCTTCCTCCCCTTCGCCGTCCCAAACGGCGTTGCGCTCTCCTCACCAGACTGGTGCCCACTATGAGACCACTCCACAATTTAATAGCCCACGCTCGTCGCGCTTGGCCATTGAAGAGCTCCGCTCTGCCCTGAATCGGCATACTGTCGATCCTGCCTCTCCTGTCTCGCCTGCAGATCTACGGCGACGCACTTCTGTAGCAACGGCTGCCAGTGTCACTCTCACCCCTAAACTGGCCTTGGCCAATTCCTCCACTTCTCCTACCGCCGCATACACGCTCGCAAGCGCTGCCGCGAATCCGCCACCCGCTACCTCCGCCACCTCCTCCATGCCCGCTCCAGACACTCCGGGGTCAAACAAGCGCACCAGCCCGACCGACTACCACGCGCCCAATGCGACGTCGGCGCAGGATGTCCAGCCTTCACAGGCCAAGCGCCGCAGACCCTCCAAGGCCGAGATCAAGATCCTGCCTGTTCAGTACGAGGATGCTGATCCCCGCGATCTGGTCGTGCTGATTTCCAGTATGCTCTTGGAACTGATCAGTTTCAACGACAAGATCCCCCTGAATCAGGGCCGGTTGACCCGTTTCCATTCGCGATCACCACCCCGTATCTCAGTTCAGGACTACATGCAGCGCCTCACCACTCACGCTACCCTCTCGCCCCCAATTCTTCTCAGCATGGTCTACTACATCGACCGGCTATGTGCCTTCTACCCTGCCTTCACCGTCTCCAGCCTGACCATTCACCGTTTTCTGATCACCAGCGCAACTGTCGCAAGCAAAGGCCTCAGTGATAGTTTCTGGACAAACAAGACTTATGCGCGCGTAGGTGGAATCAGTATGACCGAGTTGGCCATGCTAGAACTGGAGTTCTTGTTCCGAACTCAATGGCGAATCGTCCCTCAACCGGAAGTTCTGGAGGATTATTACAAGAGCCTGGTTGAACGATGCGACGGATATGAGATCGATCGCACCGCCCCCGTCGACGACGACAGCGCGCCAACGACCACAGCAGCCACTCCCTCATAGAAAGGCTGGTTCTGGGAGTCGGTGAATTTTGTCACCACATCTCCCCTCAGTTCTTCGGTTCTTCAAGGCTCTACTTGTGCTGGCCTCGAGTTATCCTTGGAATCCTCTCTTATTTGATCGACTACCCCCCGCCGACCTGCCTCGCAGCGCGATCTTAATGACCCATTATCTTTGCATACAAGGCGTTGTTCGACGGACCGACCATACTCGAGATCGAGAAATACCCATATATGATGGTGCGGTACCTTACAGCAATCTATCCTAGCATACATCCGCCAGGCGGTGATCTCTCCCATGTTTTCAGCGATTTGCAGCGGATGATCTGGCGTTTTGATACCTCGTGGGATGAACTGCTATCTAGTAAAGAAATACACTAGTTCCATGATTTCCAATCTTATTGTATTCATAAATAACAGTCATAGATTAATGACCCAGTGATCCGCAAATAGTGTTGCGTAGCGTCTCACTATAGCAACACTAACAGTAGCGCGCGGGGACTTGCCTATTTCCGTATCGGGAAGTTAGGGCATAGGGTGCGAGGGTTAGGGCATCTGAACTGAAATCTTGAACTTTGTTGCGTCACGCGTGTGTCTGTCGACTCGTCCTGGCGCCGTTTGCCTAATGTCAACCTTTTACACTTTCATGATGTTACACGATAACTGAACCTTACTTCGCTTTCGCCCCCGCCTACCTCTATCTGCCCGCTGTCCTCACCGCGTTGAAGGCCTTAGCTTCACGCGATGGAGATCCAGCAGGATCTTGCGGCTATCAGGCCTCTAGAGGGAGAAGTGATTCCTATCCGGACAGTCCAAGAGACCCAGCCGCCGGAGGAATTTGGTATGTAACTCGCTGGATGACGCTCGTCATCTGCGACAATCAGCTAACACGCATACAGCCGATGCATTTGCCGCCGAGGTCAATGTGAAAGCAGCCTCAAAGGTAGTCAAGTATGTTTTCCCGGCCAACGCCTCTATAACCAGCGTGCTAATCTGTATCTTCCTCTGAAGAGCGCTCGATGCAGCTTTCCCCCGTGATCCCAACCTCTCTCTCGGCCATCTGCGACGTTTCGTCAAGCGGGACATGCTCCCTGGGCCGCTAAAAGCAGCAATCGAGAAAGATGGATCGTTCTCCAAGAACCCGGCACTGACAATCTTCGTCCTGATTTCACCTCCGGTCCCTGACCTTGACAAAGTGCAAGAGATTCTTGCCCCATTCGCTCCACTCTCTTCACCTCCCGCGAGAAGTTCCCCTCCGGCCAGAAATCCACCTTCTGATGCCTCTCCAGAGCCCGGGATCCCAAAGATTAAACTCATCTCTACCCGAGTTCCTACTGTACCCCCATTCAACATCACCCAAGCCGAGAGATGGACCAACAACCTGTGGCCTGTCGTCTTCAATGCCGCTGCCCCGCGCTCCACAATCGCCCCCCCTCCTCAGATCCTGAGCAAGGCCCATGAGCATATCAGCAGACAGGCAGGATATTACATCGCCCTCGCGCGAAAAATCGGCGAAGAGGCAGAGCAATCCGGCCGTGGTCGCGGCGTCGGCGCAGTGATCGTCGACCCGGCCATTGAACACCACATTGACGCCGTCTCATGGGGCCAAGACTGGAACCCCAGAGACCGATGGATGGAAGCAGTTGTCGCTGTGGCAGGCGACGCTAGGTACGGTCGCAGCGAAGCCGGCGCTCCATCCCTGGCCGAGGCTCACTCCGGTGTCGTGCCCAACCCGGCCAGCACAACTTTCAACCCTGACTGGGAGGGCGGACCTGATCTCCATGCCCTGATGCGTGCTACGGAGCTTGTCGCCCGCCGTCGTCGTGAGGATTCGGTCCACGAAGCTGATATGGCGAACCACACTCCCCCGGCCATCATTGCGACGGACCCTCAATTGTCTTCTCAGCTCAGTCCTCTTGAGTCCTACTTCTTGTATGATGCCGAAACCCCATCTATGTATCTCCCTGACTACTCTCTTGATGATCTCCCTGCCGATCCTCCTTCTTCGCCTAAGAAGCGCAAGCACGAGGAGCCGAACCCTGAGTCTCGGTCTACACTGGCAGAGGTCGACGTCAACAGCCCTTCTTCTAATGAACCTACCCCCTTCGCACCCCTCCCTGCCCCTCCTCCCTCTTCCACCGCTCTTGCCGAGCCCATCCCCGTGGAACCCTCCTCCCCAGACTGGAGGATGGACCCCCTCTCCGGCACCATTGCCCCCTCCCGCCGCATCCTCTCCCGAGCCCAAGGTGGCTATCTCTGCACAGACCTCGATGTGTACCTCTCCCATGAGCCGTGCCTCTGCTGCTCCATGGGGATTCTTCTTTCTCGCTTCAGAGCTGTGATTTTCCCCCGTTCGGGCCGGATGGTGAGCGGTGGTATTTGCTCTGAGGCTGTGGGTCCTACCTCTGATGAAGATGGATCCGCTAAGAACGGCGATGACGACCCCAATGCTGCTCACGAGGCGGCTGCTGGTCTCCATGATGCCATCGACCAGGACATTGGTACAGATGTTGCCCCGGCAGATGATCGTTTGTATTACGGACTTCACTGGCGTAAGGAGCTCAACTGGCGCGCCCTGGGCTTCGAGTTCGTCGAGGAGACTGACGGTGTTGATGGATATGAGGGTGTGGCTTTCCATGCTTAGCTTCCGGACAAAGCGATGTACTATCACGATCATGGACAACGGATTTGAATGACATAATACATTCTCTTCAATGTCTGTTTGCGTTGTAAGGGAGGCATCCAATGAACTATGCAAGTATCTGTAAACTCCTTTGCTATCTTGTAGAGCTGTCACCCTTGAGAGAGAGGTACAGTCATTAACGAGCCTCAGTCAGAGGGTGTCCAGTAGTTTCGAGTTATTCACAACGTCCTCACGACTTATTTCATGGACAATAAATCCGAATTGCGCTAGTCCATCTTAGTTTACCTGAATGTAGTATTCACGCGTCCTTGGAGTTGAATGTACTAGGTATCTGAACATACGGTTGACAGAGAATAGCGGTTTGATTTTTATTAATCTACACGGTAAAAAAAGACAAAAAAAAAAAAAGGACCAAACAAACGGGAAGCTGCTGGTTAAACATCTTCCCTCCATGTAAGATGCCATTAGAAAGCAAGATTCGGCTGCATCACGTTTCCTGCCTTGTAGTATAAGAACGCTGGCAGTACATGCTCTCTAGCCGAGGCGATATTCACATAGATTGAAGACAAAACCGACGCTGGCCTTGCTGACGCCGTTTCAGCCGTTTCAACTCGGGAGCTACCAATGTGACCGACCATTCTTGTGCTAATACCACGCTTGGTGAATTTTAAATCAGCATTATATTAGTCTAGCGATCAAACTCAGTTCTTTACTATGGACCTTGATACAATAACCCAAGCACGGCCATCTATACATCTATCATGTCAGAGATCATGGTGATAACGGACCTCTTAAGTCTGCCAGTCCATTGCCCGCATTAACATGAAGCTTTCAAAACTCAAGCCTCTCCACACCTTCTGCCCATCCTCGTCTTCTTTGTAAAACTCTGGTTCAAAGTCACTGACCTTGGCCCATTGCTGAATCAAACGACGCCAGTAGCACACCTCGGCCGACTGTGTGAGGTAGCGCTCACGGAATAACTTCACATTGTTATCCGCAATTCGCTGAGCGTCCTCGTCATGAGACAACAGCCAGTTCATCTTGTCTTCCAGGTCTGACCAGTCGCGCTCGACCTCCACAAAGTTCTGCTCCGATCCCGACGACTGCATCAAGTGGTAGTGGTGCTGGATCCAGTTCAGCTTATGCGAAACTACCACGCTTCGGCACATTTGGAGATATTTCAGGCGACCAGAATATGTGTTCCCTTCCGTCTGCACAACGTATTGATAGTCGCAGTGCTGGGGCATCGTTTTGTAATCATTCTTCATGCTAGCCGGGTCTCCCCATCCAAGCTCCTTCACATCAGCCCAAGATTTCCCACTCGTCACCTCAAGGAGTTTATCGCGGATCTCAGGTCCCATGCGCGCGACTCCGCGCCACAAAAGTTGCTGGATTTTTGTAGACCAGATCAAGCCGTCTTGCTTTTCGGCGCTCTCGACTTTCATGAGAATTTCTTTTGTCGAACCAGCTTTGATCTCGGGCCAAGACCAATATCCAAAATCGGGAATCAACCAGATCAAATCATCTTCCGAGCGGCGGGCATAGCCCCACAAGGCGGCCTCGTCAATTCTATCATCAGTGTTGAAGGCGAATTCAACGTTCGGGAGAGGTTCGGGCGAAGAGACGAGTGCTCGATTGATAGCGGCCAGGGTCGCGATTTCGCGCGACCAGATAGATCCTTCTTTCGCGATTATGTATAGCTTTTTGAGGTGAAAGATCAGCAGTGTCCCTCAATGGATTGTACAAACCCGATCATTTTGAACCTGGAACAGTTCCAAGCACTTGCACTTACTTGTTGGTCATAGATCATCGCGCGAATATAACCATTTCGCGGTGTGATCGAATCGAGCTCCTTAATGGTAATAGGATTGAGAGAGCGCGCTTCACTCGCCCGATCAATTTCCGCAAATAGTTCGGGAAAGGCCTGATCGCATTGCCCCTGTGTAAGAAGCAGATTATCCCGATCGCGCTCGTAGTTCCAGACTCCGTCGAACTGGAATTTCCCATGAGGTTTGCTCATAAATGGCTGACCCTCATTGCGGAGACTGGGCAGTGGGCGCAAGTAGATGAAAAGGCCCAGAACCAGCAAAACACATGGTGCAATTATCAGGTATGGGCGTTGCCGAGAGAAATTCATTCCTCGATGAGCCCTCTCAGAACCTTCGAAGCAGATAGGTGCTGAGTATGATCAAAGCGAAGAAGCCGGCAAACCGGTTTCAAAAGACAGACCTAAATCGTACTGCACCGTAGTGCCGGCCTCTCAATTGGCCCGTCGGGGATCCCACCAATGACGTACCCTATGCCAAGGTCGAGCGATGGGGCGTTAGTAAAAGGGGGTCCAGATTAGCTGTCTTGTAAAACACAGACACTATTCTAGGAAGCGGTCTGGCAAGCGGAATGGCCGGGTTTACCACAGGAGAGCAGTCATGAGCGAATGGGAATAGTTGTAACGAGCAAGAGTCGGGTAACACCGAGAAGAGCTACGATTGAATCGTTGATGTAAACTTCCTTTGACATTTTTTTAGTTCGGTAAAGACATGCTTTTTCAGGATCTTCCCCACATCCACCATGCATCCAGACCCCTTCTAATCTACCCCGATCACCTCCACGTCTCGGGGCCAGTAACAACCTCACTCCCCAAATCACACCCGCACAGCAGCATCTCTTTCGGAAACAGCTACCACAATCACTGCGCCCCAACCTCCGCAGTCTATAGCAAGGAAGAACAGAAGAAAATTCATGACATCGTCATAGATCCCCCCCCTCCCCATCCACGCCACGTCGATAAAATTGAGCAAAGGTCAGAGACAAAAATCCAAAAGAGAGCTTCACAGATCACACCGCCGGTGTCTCGCTCTGTGGACGAAACACCCAGAATGGCTGGGAATGTATCCATGAGAAAATGGAAAGGGGGTATAAACCGGTTCGACATCCCATACGATACAGCCCAGGAAATGGAGGTCAAACATGTTGAGCATGTGGTGCTCGATATATCGGAAGAGTGTTCCAGTCCGCGAATCGTTGCAACACGCGAGATAAAGTAGGGAAATATGAGGGGAGGGATGTAAAGGTTGAAAGGGGGATTCAGCGTAGTGTTTGAGATGTAGGTTCAGGTAGTCAGTGGGGCGCCCACTGGATGGGAACAAGGAGTCGAGGGTCCGCCAACCCAAAGTTGTCCTGGTTCGAGAATGCCAATGAACGCCCAACGTGCAAGTGTCAGCACATATAGATGTTTGCAGGAGATATTGTAAATATGACAGGATTCGAGGTCTTGAATCATCTGTTTGGAGGAGTTGACAGGTGTTTGAAAAGATGGTTTGGATAATGGACAAAAGATGCCGCCACAAAAACCTCTGCAATCTTCTCGCAGATTGCAAGCTGGCCAGGATGCAGTATGTACTCGAAGAAGGTCAAAGAACCTGCTAATGAAGGGAAATGCATAGGACCAATGAAAGTGACACCATGTCTGTGTCACTGGGGGGTATGATGCAGTCGAAATAGCAAATGTCGGAAAGGTAAATTAGTCGGGTATTCAATCGGCCTTGGAAGATGGCTTGGGGGGTGATGTAGTTGTATGTATCACCGACTGAGCCTTCCAATAACTCAAGCCATGCGCTGGTAGAACAGTAGATACGCAACTTTGTTGTCCCGGTTGCCATATCTGCCAATGGGTGTGCGAATTCCGGATGATGTTTGGGGCGAGGGGGTCACGCCGTTGACAGACTTCTTGCTCGCATGTCCGGTAGAGCCATTTCCATTGACCTGGCTCCAGCCCTTCTCACTATCTGTGTTGTCCATCTCATCTTGATCAATGTGATCAAAGATGTTGCTGAGAGGGGTCTTGTCATGCTTGTGTTGCTCAAGGGCTGCTGCAAGCACCTTGGGGTCCTCCTCGCCACCGGCCTCCGCAACATCCTCGCTGCGAACGCGGCGGATCACTGTATCATCCAAGCGAATCCACTCGCGGCCGTCTTGGCGCCTGACATCCACTGTATAATGGCCACCGCTGGCGTTCTTGCCATGATGGTAGATAACACCCATAAGGCGGTACTTGGGAAGACCCCCTTGGGCGGTCATGGTATTGCGTCGGTGGGCAGGGAAAACCTCGCGAGGAATCTCCAAATCAAGCGGATATCCAACCTTCTTCCAAATTTTCTGGGTTGCACCAGTTACGCTGTCATACTGGAATCGCTTGAGGTGAAGAATGAGCACGGGGGGCAATGTCTCAATGAACATTTGCTTGGTAGCGGTAACGTTGGAACCGCGCGACGAGTTGAAGTCGCCCTGGATGCTCTCAGGCTTGGTCAGCCCCTTCAGAGCATCGATGATATTGTGAACATCGGGTGCCCCAATATCCAGCTGCAGAGGTTGATAAGGCTCCATAGTGACGGAAGTCTTGTTGCCCGGGACCTTGAACTCGGATCGCAGCTTGCCTCCGAAGATTCTTGTTACGGGTGACTCGGTGGAGACAGCTCCGGACGACTGAGTAACAGCGGCCTTTTGCTTGTGACCAACCTCGAGCCATCCATCAGTAGCGCCATCGCCGGAATCTTGCGCACTTTGGGCCTTGGAAGCGTGTTCGGAAGCACGTTCGCATTCCTCATGCAATTCTTCAAGAAGGAAGCCCAAGAATTCTTGAGCGTCTTGTTGGTGTCCACGCCGCATGTCTCTGAATCGAGGCAGCTGTCGAATCATCTCATAAACAAACTCGGGAACAAATGCTTCGCCATACTGCTCCAGCTCATTGGGCTTCAACCGCATCCTTAACTGCTCTTCTGAAGTCGCAGCGTCGATGACACGGAACTCTCTCATGAACATGATCAAAGCATCGATCAAAGGCATGTCGCTGTGGAAGCTGTGGGCAGCACGGTGGCCAACATGGTCGAGGAATTGATGGAAAGGCACACAGGAGACAAGGATTTGCAGGACAGAGTTCATGTAGCACATGTTGCCAGTGTTGACCAACCCGCGAGGCTCGAGAAACCCAATCTTGTCGCTGTATTGGGTAACATCTTCACCAAGGCTGCTAAGAACGTCTGCGAGAGTTTCGCTCTTCTGCACAGCCAATGGGTTCAGCTCGGCCGAAGAAGTAGGCGCAGCCTGGCGGGCGGCTAGCTTTGCGCCAAACAATCCAGCCCAGGATTTCGGACCGTCTGTCTTGGGAGTTTCAAGAGTAGCTGCCTCCGACTCATTCTCAATGGTAGTGGGGGCAGTAGATTTGGGGGTTTCCGAGGAAGTGCTGGCACTGTCTTTGGCCTGACGCGGTGTTCCAGGAGCATTCGGCACCAATGGGACAACAGGGGCAATGGGAATAACAGGTCGTGAATCGCTCTGTTGAGACGGGAGTTTCGCGGTTGAAGAGGGAGTCGTAGGGTGGGTAGAATTCATATCGGACTGAGGAATGGAGCCAGTGGGTGTTTGGGGCTCTGAGACAGCTTGAGTTGGTTCTTCTGGCTTCACCTCTTCGACTTCTCCCTTCCTCTCACCAATGATCCACTCGCCATCCTTCTTGGGGAACTCGACAGATTTCGGCATAACTCGGGTCTTCCGGCGTTGGGCTGCAGCTCGGGCTGGGAAAGGCAGTTCAGGAACAGACAGCCAAGGAACCTAAATTTGGTCAGATCAGATGAAAAAAAAAAGCTATCGGGCCAGTTTGGAAAAGATCTCACGGGTGCAACAAAAACAGGCTTTGGCTCTGGGATGATGGGCTCTGGAACAGCCTTGGGCTCCCATCGCGGTGACGGTGACGCGACAGGGTGAAGCTGGGGCTGGACAGGAATAATATTGTGGTCCTGCATGTCGGGGTGGAAAGGAGGCGCTTGAATAGATGGAGACATGGCCTGCAAAGGAGTGGCCGTTCGAGGCTGCATCGGCATAGTGTGAGGGGGAAGGTGGTTGGGCGCCATTATGGGTTGTGATTGGGGGTATGAGGACACAATCATCGGTCCATAGGGTGTAGGAGGCGGGTAGTGGCGAGGTCCCATTTGCATATGGTTGTACGGCGTAGCAGCAGGAGGGTACCACTGGTTAGGTTGGAACTGCTGTGGTGAATACGTAGGAGGCATGTGTGCGTTCATGTGCGGTGGGTAGGCCATGCCCATATACGGGGAACCCCGCATATTGGGGGGACCAGGGTAGGCGAAGTCTTGCTGCCGCCTTGATAGGGGAATCGGCGGCTGCCCGTGATGCATTGTGGGCAGATGGTGGTTCATCTTGAGGCTCTAGAAGTTGCCTTTGACGGGTTGACCACGCGTTGTGTCAAGAAGCCATGCGCAGAGGGATTCGATATGAGCGCAAAATCGGAAGCCTCAGGCGCGCTTACGCAGCCATATTGGCCTCTTGGGGAGATGGTGGGAGAAAGTTCGCGGGCTAGCTGATATAGCGGAATCGGTCGAGCTCAATGGCTAGCAGGAAAGAAAAAGTAAGCATTCACACATCGAAGCGAGACGGACAAGGGACGAGATACCAAGTAGCTGGGCAGCCTTTTTCGGTAGCAGGAGAATGAGGTTGGCGGCCAGGCAATAAAAAGACCCGGATAATGAAGGGGAAGGATAGACAGGCTGTCCCTCATTCACGTATTCCGAAGCGAAGCTGAAGTGGAAATCGGCTGAGTCAGCAAATTCTGAGTCATCCTGCACGTGCCGGCGATGTCATGCTCGCCCCTCCTCAACTCTGTGAACCGCAGCGGTTCTCGAACGCTCTTCTTATTCTTAGATGGCCTCTCGGGGCTTCGTCTATCTTTATCCGCCAAAGTTTTCAGACTGACCCTGACCTTGACTCTGTCGTGCATGGCTTGGTCCTTGCTACTTTTATACGATTGACGGACCACCCTTATCTTCATATATTCAGATCCGCAAGAACCCCTCGTTCTCCGATTCAACCTTTCTTCGATCTTTCGTAGGCACTTTGCCTTACCGATAAGCTGTCTGAACTGCCGAACGATCCTTTGGAGATGTCGTCCAATGCAGGACAGAACCAGGCTCCCTCCAAAGCGGTAAATATTTCGAATACCTCGGCCGCGTCTACATTCCACTCCACACCTCCAACCGACAGCGGCTCTCAACGACGCGCTGGAGGCACTGGAAGCTTTGGTTCCGGTTCATCTTCGAGGAATACACCCACGCCAAGAAATATCCAGGGTCGCAAGAACCAACACAAGAATCAGAGGAAAGCCCGACTACTGGATGATGACGAGTACAACGAATCGGTTGGTGTTCCAGCACTCGCTTTCAAATGTTGATTGCCCGCTGACTCTTTAATCTCTCCTGCTCAGGCCGTCATGAGATCAACAAATAGCCGTAAAGGACAGACGTCCATTACTCACTTGATGAACTTTTCTCTCCCGCCTCGTCCACAGTACCAACCACCACCCCGCAACACGCGCCGCTATCAGTCATGGGGAGCAGGATCCGGATACCATGCAGTGGACAAGGCACGTTATGTGCACGCAAACTATCGGTTCATCGTGTCGCCGGATCGCAATTACCATGCACAGGCAGCCAACGCGGATGTCCACTTGGACTGGGATTCAGTTCTTCAAGTACTTGTATCGGCTCAGACCCAAGCAGCTAGCTGTCCGATTTGTCTCTCTACGCCTGTCGCTCCACGAATGGCCCGTTGCGGTCACATATTTTGTCTACCCTGTCTCATTCGATATATGCATGCATCATCTGATGACGATACCCCCATCCCCGAGAAAAGAGCTCGATGGAAGAAGTGCCCAATCTGCTGGGACTCGATTTATACATCCGAAACTCGCCCTGTCCGGTGGTTCCGAGGCCAGGAAGGTGACCTTCCCGTTGAGGGTGGAGATGTTGTGCTGAGATTGGTTAAGCGGGAACCCGGTAGTACGCTCGCCTTGCCTCGCGATGGTGCCGAGGCCCCCGATGCTGGACAGGACATACCATGGTTTCATGTCGCAGAAGTCGCGGACTACGCTCGGATCATGAAGGGCGGCGAGGACTACATGACTTCTCAATATGAGACCGAAATTGAGGACCTACGCCAGCAGGCCGTTGAGGATGAGCTATTGTTTGGCGATGAGAACACCTGGACTCGCAAGGCAATTGGTGCTATCAACGCGGCGAAGGAAAAGCTCAACGGCATTGGTAATCCGCCCAACGTTTCACGGCAACCCAAGACTGCTAAAGAGCCACCTGTGGAATCTATTGCCCCCGCAGTTGACATGAAGGAGCCCGTAATTCCATCCACGAGTGATTCCTCGGCCGAATCCGTGCTTGAGTCGACCACGGATGCACCACAGCCCGTACAGGAATCTTCATCAACCCCAGCCACGTCAGACGAAGCGGAGCATCTCTCAGAGCCCTTGGAAAGAACCAGCATATCCTCTGAACCAAATCCCAAACCTAAGAATAGGGGCGGGGGCAAAGAGCCACAAGTTTCCCAGCCGTCCGACCAGCCCTATTTCTTCTACCAGGCTCTACCTCAATTCTACCTGTCGTCTCTTGATATCCGAATTCTCAAGGCGGCATTCAACGAATACGCTGATTTCCCAGCGACTATTCTGCCGCGCGTGGAGCACATCTCTACTGGTCACATGGTGGATGATGATCTCCGCAAGCGAGTGAAATATCTGGGCCACCTTCCTTACGGCTGTGAGGTCAACTTTCTTGAATGCGATTGGAGGGATGTGGTCGTTCCAGAAGTTCTTAACCGTTTCCGCTCTGAGACTGATCGAAGGCGAAAGCGCAATCGTGAGAAAGAAGCTCGCGAAGAGAAGGACCGCATTCGCGCTGAAAAGGAAGAAGACGATAAACGATGGGCTGCTGCACGGCGCAAGCGGCCCAGTATTGGTAGTGCCAGTGAAGCACCATTCTCTGCACAAGACTTCCAACCATTGGCTAGTGGCCTCGACCCCGCCTTATTTGATACCGGTGCTTCTTCAGCTTCTCCTCCTCGTGCATCCTCTCAATTTGGAGCATTGGCTTCCCCATCCAACAGTCCCCCAGGCTCACGTACAGTCTGGGGAACCACAGCTGTGGAATCACTTTCTCCCAGACTTGAAGTTCAAAGTGGAACCCCCAACGATGGATGGTTGCACGGCTGGGAGGACGAACTGCTAGCACATCAGGAGTCCGTCATCATGGCCCAGACTGCCACTGAAGCTCAATCCGCCGGCCCATCAACGTCTACGCCCACGGGCGGGGCGAAGAAAAAGAAGAAAAGCAAGATTACGTTGATGTCAACGAATAGCCATCGAGGCGCATAGCCATTGCTCAGGCAGCCAGGCTCGTTGATCATACGGCGAACATGTATGCCTATTATTCCCCGTGCCATTGCATCGTACATTTGACTTGACTTGAATGTTCGGGTTCTTCATCTCTGCTGGGTCCACATTCCAATCCCAACATTTTGATTTAAGCGCGCACATCTGAATGAAAATAAACTACAATAGAGATTTGTCTCAATAAGAGCATATTCTATAGAATTTACGCTTGTACCTGACCGTCAGAATTCTAAAGTCAAATGGAAGTAAGCTTGGTCGCGATTAGGACTCGTGCAGGAAACGACACGCTTGGCGCAGGATCGACGCTGCAGTGTTACGGAAAAAAAAAATACCAGGAAAAAAGAAAAAAGAAATAGACCACAGGCTGGCGAGGATATATTGATTGAGAACCAAGGAAGCCACGAGTCATTCTTGAGTCTTGAAATTAGACTAGACAACTAATAGATCCACCCTACAAGCAAAAGGAAGTTGACAGCGAGGACTGTGGGGAGAAACCGAGCGGAAAACGCGCGAGCCGGGTGTAATCTACGTAACATGCAGGTAACAAATAGTTGAAATGGCTCTCGAGGTCGGTAATTTTGCCGTACCCGCGCATAATCCAGTGGGCGGAAACCAGGTACGGGAAATGTAAACATGTCCTTATTTTTCTCTAGTCTCCTCCCTTTCCACTCCTTCCCTCTCTTCCTCCACCACATCCCAATTCCCAATTCCCAATCGGATCCCGGTCCTCGGTCCTTCCGATTAGGCCATGACTCTCACGCGCTCCCAAACGGGGAAAACCCCTAAGTAGGTGATTCCCGTTCGGATCTGTCCTGCGATCCACCCTCCCGCTATATCATGACCCCCTGCGATTCCGCTCTCTGCTCAGAACACTTCAACTAATTTGTTGTCTTTTCGCGCATCGCAGGAAAATGGATCGCCCTGGTTATATCGAGACTCCCGGCCGTCGTTCGAACCGTAAGAGCTTGGCTTTCGATATGAGCGAGAACGATGCCTCCGATTCGCCTGCCCCCAGGTCCAAGTCGTCCACTCGTCGTCGCACGTCGGGTAAGGTCAAGGATGAGGAAGAGGAGGAGAATCCTGTGACCCCTACGCCCTCAACCAATGGCAAGGCGGCGACTCGTAAGAAGGCGAAGTCCAAGTCGCGCATTGTCGATGGCTGGGAGGAGGGACTCGATCCCAAGATCGATTACAGTGGACACTACGAGTTCGGTGGCTCTATGGGTGTGCTGTCTATGATGATCGGCTTCCCAATGCTCATGTACTACATGTGGATTGGCGCGACTTATTATGAAGGCAAATTCCCGACTCGTGAGGAGGGGCAGAGCTTCGCGGAGTTCTTCACTCACATGGGTCAATTGGTTTACACTGGTGCGTTCCCTTCGCTGAAGGCTTGGACTATTTACTGGGTCTTCTTCCTCTTTGAGGGTGCGTGCTACGTGCTTTTGCCCGGTGTCTCTGTCTCGGGGCGTCCCCTCCCGCACTTGGGTGGCAAACAGCTTCCTTACTACTGCTCAGCTGTGTGGTCGTTTTACACTAGCATTGTGCTAGTGTTGGCTTTGCACTTCACTGGTCTCTTCAAGCTTTACACTCTCATTGATGAGTTTGGTCCTCTTCTTAGCGTTGCCATTCTGTCGGGCTTCTTGGTTTCTTTCGTGGCCTACTTCTCGACTTTGGCTCGTGGTGCCGAGCACCGTATGACCGGATCTCCCATTTATGATTTCTTCATGGGTGCTGAACTTAACCCGCGCATGTTTGGCATTTTGGACTTTAAGATGTTCTTCGAGGTCCGCCTCCCCTGGTTCATTCTGCTGTTCCTTTCTATGGGTGCTGCCGCTCGTCAGTGGGAGGTTTACGGATACGTGTCCGGCGAGGTCATGTTCCTCGTCATGGCGCACTTCCTGTATGCCAACGCCTGCTCCAAGGGCGAGGAGTGCATTGTGTCTACCTGGTAAGTCTGCCTTGAGAACGGAGCAGAGGTCTCAAACTCACATTATCTAGGGATATGTACTACGAGAAGTGGGGCTTCATGCTCATCTTCTGGAACTTGGCTGGTGTGCCTCTGAGCTACTGCCACTGTACCATCTACCTGGCCAACCACGACCCCAGCGAATACCACTATAACCGCTTCTTCCTTGCTTTCCTCTACGTTGCATATCTGTTTGTCTACTGGGTTTGGGACACCACCAATAGCCAGAAGAACCGTTTCCGCCAGCAGGAGCGTGGCACCATGGTCACTCGTAACACCTTCCCCCAGCTGCCGTGGCAGACCGTGAAGAACCCCAAGACTCTCACTTCCGCCGAGGGCTCCAAGATTCTCGTTGACGGGTGGTGTAAGTTCATTCCAAACAGAGTCCTCGTGATATGGATACTAATGTTTGGCTACAGACGGCAAGGCTCGCAAGATCCACTATACCTGCGATCTCTACTTTGCCTTGAACTGGGGCCTGATCACCGGCTTCTCCAGCCCCTTCCCCTGGTTCTACCCGCTCTTCTTCGCCTGCATGATCTCCCACCGTGCCCTGCGTGATATCCAGCGGTGTCGCGTCAAGTACGGCGAGACTTGGCTCGAGTACGAGCGCCAGGTGCCCTACCTTTTCATTCCCGTGAGTCTTGCCCGTCGCAATTTAATAAATTCATACTAACATTTGCATCAGTACGTCTTCTAATGGCCGCATATTCAACCCCTTCTACCCCGTTTTTAATATCTGTACAGGGGCTCTGAGGTCATCTGGTTTCTGACAGCCCATCAAAAAATTGCCAGGATCACTCTTGGGATATTCACTTCGCCACGACTTGAGATACTTCTTCATAATTCTTGCCTTTGTGCTGTTGCTTTGCTTTGAGCCTTTTTTTGGCCTTTTCTGTTCCATGTATATTATTCACCGGATCCCACGGGTTAACCTTTCTTTCCAAATTTCAATCAATCCAAATACACTCCATCAAACAGAATATCTTCTCTCAAATTGTACTCTAAACTCTGAATAAGGTGCTGCGTCCCACTTTGTCAGAGCACATGACCGCCCCGGCCCCGCGTCCTTATCGATAAACTGCTTCGCGAGCCCGCTACGTCAATTATTCAGGCTTCGTAGCTTTCGATAACCATTCTTCCTAGCGTGAGATCTGAGGATAATTTGCACCATGCTCGTCCAAGAAACCACCCACGATGTGCCCACCACAGCTGACGGCCAGGGGTCGATGCGTATGTACATCCCCGCCAACCCACCCACCATCCGAGCTCCCCTCGATCCCAATGGCGATGTGCCCAGCACTAACAAGCATCAGGCATTTATGTTTTCCACCCCTCAATCCCAGGCTACCCAAAGGCCCGCTTTCCCGGCGTGGTCATTTTCAGCGAGATCTACCAAGGTGGGAGCTCCCCACGGACGTTATAGAACAGACCACACTTAACACCTTCACCTTCAGTGACCGGTCCCGTCGCACGCTTCGCCCGCCAAATCGCAGGCCAAGGCTACATCTGCGCTGCCCCATCTAGCTACCACGAATTTACAGGCCCCGAGCCTTTGAAGTACGATGCCGAGGACACGGATAATGGCAACAAGTGGAAGATCACCAAGGTATCTTTCCTCCAGGATTTATATATACCCTTGCCCAATCGATACCATTCCCCAGAGCATCATACCCTCTTACGCAATCCCTTGCACAATCTATGCTGACTGGTCGCAAAGAAACTCCCCGCCTACGACGAAGACGCCAGCCTCTGCGTCGACTACCTCCTTTCCCTGGACACCTGCAATGGCCGCGTCGGCGCAACGGGCATGTGTCTCGGTGGGCATCTTGCGTACCGCTGCGCACTCGATAGTCGCGTGAAGGCGGCAGTGTGCTACTTCGCGACGGACATTCACAGCAAGACGCTGGCGCAGGGCAAAAATGATGATAGTCTGCAGCGGGCGGGGGATATCAAGGGCGAGTTGTTGATGGTATGTTCATGGTTATGTTTCCTTCCCTTTGCCTTTCCCATGCTTTATCCTCATGCGCTACCATGAGTGCTCGGGCTTCAATATAGGCACTGACCATGCTAGATCTTCGGCAAAAACGATAACCACGTCCCGCCCGAAGGCCGCGATTTGATTCGCAAGACGTTGCATGAGAAAGGGGTTTTATTCGGGTTCTACGAGGTTGCTTGGGCTCAGCGTAAGTCTTGTTCTTTTTTCCCCGCCCCCTTCCTTTCGGATTGCCTTTGGGATTACTTTTCGGGATAAAGGATTACAGTTTGAATATCCCAAGCACCCGGCTCCTAGACTTCTGGTCATCCCTGGTTGATAGCGAACGGAGCTGATGTAGTCCAGATGCTTTTATCCGTGATGAGCTCAGCAAGGGCCGCTACGATCCGGCGATTACCAAGGTGTGCTTTGAGATGATGATGGAGTTGTTCGGGCGCACGTTGAAGCTCGATCTGGGCGAGCCTGATGGGAAGAAGTTGGTTGTTGAGGATGTCTGCTAGAGGCGTTCCTTACTGCGATCGCCTGGGAGCTGGAGCTGGAGCTCTCGGAGATCTGGGCACAGACGTGAAAAGAGGAACAGACTTCGATAGTGAGGCTGGTTGGAAAGATGACTGGAGGGTCAAGGGATCAAGGGCCGAGTTGAGGTTTTCTATGGGTAACCTAGTCGACGGGGGGATTCATGGAGCAAGGGCGGGGGTGGCTGGCCGGTGTCCGATGTGATGATTGCCCCCTTTGGGGGCCGATCAATTGTGGTCCACTATTGTATTCCACAACTATCTTGATATAGAGCTAGTCACCTAGTCACCTAGTTACCGAGTTACCTAGTTACCACACACTACGAGTTGGGGAGTACGCCATCGGGAGTCTGTGCCTTGGCTGCAGACTCCTCACGTTGCTGCACATCATCCCCGATATTCATGCTAAGAATAGCGGCCCAGAACCACGGACAGGGCCGTTGCCACAGTTCCATGGACGAGAAGGTTCCCAGGTCCCAGGACCCAGGCACAATTACAATTACAATAATCGGAATCCAAAATCCAGAAAGAAAATAGACCCAGTTGACCCAATTTCGGTGCTCAATTTACGCCGCCTGATTCGAGCACTAGCGTCGGCCATTCCCTGTTCAAGCCCACTCCGCGTAGCCTCTCTTTCACTCTTTCCACTTCACCTCGTCTATCGCTGAAACCACGGGATCCTTCCCTTCACTCCCTCGCTCCTCGCTCCCTTCGCTCTCTACTGTCGCGATCCTTCAAATCGCGGGTCAGGGGACTCTTCTAGGCCCCCCGGTCCCCAGTTTCCAGCCTCACCAAGACACCCGGTCATCGCGACCGTCATCGCACCGCCATGGGTTCAACGCAATTCGGCAATTTCCACGTGAGTTTACGGCACACCCTGGATTCCTGGAATCGATTCGCCGCATTCCAGGAATCGGTGCTCCGAGCCCATCGCTAACCTCCTCTTTCGGGTATCACAGAACTTCTGTCGCGACTCGACACTGCCCGTCTGCAATGTACGTGGACGAGTCTCCAATTCCCCTCCGGTCGCAATCTCGATCCCGAGCTCGAAACTAACTGTCTGGACAGCTTTTCACGGATAATCAGCCCCCGAACCTGCATTTCGGCGGATGTCCGCTCTACGGCATTGAACTCAGCGGTGATCGCTACCTCGCAAATCTTGGTAATTACCCCGATCGCCGCGCGTGGTGATTGGTCTCAGTGCTGACTCTAGTCTTCGGGAACAGGCTCCATTTTACTGGCTTTCATCGCGATCCTCGTTTCGGCGGTTTTGATATGGAGGTCGGACAGGAAGCATGCCGCCGTCGGGCGCCGGTACGCTTTTCCCCTCCCGTTGGGGTCGGACGTTGGAGTTTGTTCATGATCAAGACTGACATTTGGGATCTAGGGAGATGCAATTGTTCCTGCTTGGGTTCATTGTGATTGAGATTTGTGAGATTTTCACAGTGGGTGGCATTCCACTTCATGATTCGGTTCGAAAGGTGAGATTTGGTTTCTGGTCGTGCTTTTGCAAGGGATTGGATGTCTAATACGTGAGATCAGGGTTTCTCAGCTATTCATTTGGCGTCGATTACTGCGACCTGCTGGATCCTGCTTATGAATGCACTTGTGGGCTTCCAGTTGCTTGATGATGGTACTCCTGCGTCACTCGGTCTGGTCTGTGGCTCTGCGGTCGTGCTCTTTATTGGTACTGGCTACATTGCTCTCGACACAGCATTCGATTGGACAGGTCACTTTGAGTCAAGCCACATGGGCCAGAACAGGAACATCGGACTCTACGTCTTGTACCAGCTCTTCCCGCTGGTCTGCCTATTCCTGTTCTACGTCCTGGAGGCGGTCCTGGTGTTGCGCGTGTTGGGCGAGTTCCGACCAATGTGTATGTGTGAATATCCCGCTTGAAGAAGCCATCTGCTAATACATTCGTAACAGTCTATCTCACCGGCGCAACCCTGCTCTTTGCCATTGGCCAGATCTTCCAATACGTGATCAGCGTCCACCTGTGCGAAGCCTCGGGCTCCAAGATCAACGGAACCCTGTTCGAGACGCTATTCACACTCCTTGCCGTCACCGGCATCTGGACTTTCTGGAGTAGTATCACAGAAGATGACTGGCCTCTGCCCACCAGCGGCGGCTACAACTAATTTCCCTCATCTTACGCTTTCCATGTGTCTAGGTCTTCTTAACTGCTCTGTCTTCTATCTATTTACATACACATATCTGTTCTCCTGTTCTTTGGGCGTTTAGTTCTTTCAATGTTTCGCGGGTGATGAGCCCTACGATGAGCTAAGCGTTTTACGTTTGTGATACCACAGTCTTCTGGATCATGTTTCACACGATTTACTGCTTTTCCTTTCTTTTCTTCGTTTTTTTTCTCTGCCTTCGAGTCTGGATTATCTGGGTCATGCCAGGATCTCACTGCAGTTGTGATCTGTAAATGGAGGTCACCTTGTCGTTGGCTTTTTGTGTGCTTTTATTGTCAGATACCTCTCCCTCTTGTACTTAGGTTATAACCGTGTCCGATAATCAATCCATATATCTTCAGTCTTTCCTCCATGTCAGGTACTTTAAATGACTCTGGCTGGCCTCTTCCCTGTAATCCATCTACCTTGAATCTAGAGTCCACTCCGAGACACAAGCCAAACCCTCGCTGTGACCCAGTGCCACCCGGCACCGGGATGGCTCCCCCGTTCTTCACGTATCCGCCCATGGGTATGACATGTATCCCCACAGTCACTCATGCAGGCACAATCTTCACCAAAGCTACATCTGATATCAACCTGCCTCAAAATACGAATAAATACTCTGTTAGCCCAGCCACCCGAGCCCTGCACGGACTCTTCCCTTCCTCCACCCTGATCATAATTCAAAGACCGTTGAATGTACATCCAGAATGCACGTCAAGACCATCCTCTTCCTAGCCTGGAGCTTGACATCCAGTGTCATAGCTTCAGATAACCCACAGGAACCGAGATGCAACCTATCTCGTAGGCCCTCATTGTCATCTACTTTATCACCTCTATCATACACCAGTCTCTCAAAATCCAAAACTGAATCTAACCATAAACTAGAACTCGAGAAAAACCACCTCGCTGTCGAACAAATGCCCCCAGCCTGCAACCTCCCGGCCTGCCTCGGCCTCACAGGCACAATCACCTGCATAGTCTCGGCAGTAACCAGCGGCGACGCAGCTGCATTACAACGATGTATCAGTAGCGGATTGATCGAGGTAACCCCCGCCTTGCTTGACCCCTTCTCGGGTCTCTTTAGAGCTAGCGCTAGCTTTGTAACCTTTGCTGAAGTTTTTCAGATATGCTCATGTGCTGCTTGTATTCCACCCATCATGAATATCCTACTTTCTCTCGGTGTCTGTGTGACGCCGCCGAATAATACGACTGAGGGTACTGGGGGTGCTTGTCCTGGGTTTGTGGCGACTCCGACAACGCCGGAAACTGGGAAGGGTACGTTGGATGGTGCGCCGAAAATGTCGAATCCGTAGTTGGGTGTGGGGGAATTTTATTTTTTTTGGAAGGGTGACTCGTTGTGTGCTACTTTCAGAATTTCCTCTACTTTTATCCGAGATAGTTACGTCTTTTCTGGAGTACTGCGTGTTTTTTTCTGCTCAGCGTCTAGGGATATTGCAGAAAAGGAAGTCCATTTCCTATGCTGTATCTTCAGGGCGTGCATTGCACTTCAATATCAGAACATCAAAAATCAAGTTCCGGAATCATGAAAGTAGTGGTTTATGAGATTTAAGGATGTAGAGGGACATGTTTAAAGAGGTAACTCGGGAGAAACTGAGCAGTTTTATTTTACTGGTCAAGTCTAGGTAATACCCCGCCGCCAGCTGGCAGCCAACGTTTTGCACACTTAACGCATACACTCCATTTGCACGATCATCGGCGACGTAATAGGCCTTGATGTTTTAGATCTTCTCCTTTATTCATCATTCCAACTGCTCTCCTCTAGTATCTGGGAGGACGCTCAGCAGCCTTGTCAACACGAAGTCTCCTGCCCTCGAACCTGGACGCTGTTAAAAAAAAATAGCTCTGCTAGATACCTGGAAGGTGACTTACTCCTGGTCGTTCATGGCGTTCAGGGCAGCGGTGGCCTCGTCATCGGAAGAGAAAGTAACGAAGCCGAAGCCGCGGGAGCGACCGGTGTCACGGTCCTTCAGGACAATCTGGATAACGTGAGCTAACATTCCAGAAAAAAAAAAAAAAAGGACAGAGTGACGGGTAGTCAACTTACGGCATCGGTAACCTGACCGAACTGCTCGAAACCCTGGCGCAGGCTCTCATCAGTAGTGGCCCAGGCCAAACCGCTAAGGACAGCATTAGCAAGGACATAAATGTAGGATTATCGGTTTCTCGAACCCAACGAAAAGCTTCGACATTTTAGTAGAAGAAAAGGGGGGGGGGAGGGTGATAGAGGTGGTTGTAAAATGGGGAAATATGTGGTGGATGATTGATCTTTTCAGAAAAGATTAAGGAGAGGAGGGGTACTCTAAAGCGGTGACAGAGAAAATTGAGAACCCTGGGGCAGATTTGTTTTACTGGTCAGCCGCGGGCACCTGGGCGGTGCAAAAAATACCCCGCGGCGAACACTCTGTGATTGGCACGCTTCGAGGCGGGACACATTGCGAAATTAATCCCCTTACACAATGCCAGCTAGTAGCGCCGCAATACCTCAAAACAAGGGCTAGGGTTCTAGAAATAGCAATCAAACCAGAGCGCTCTGTACGGTAAGAGCCTGGGTGTTGGACCTTCCGGTTCAGCCAAGGCTCCACTTTTTCAGCCCAAGTCTGTCGTGGGTGGATTTACGGATCTTCACAGTGATCAGATCTTGCCAGAGTGTTCGGATGTTAGCTCTACTTATTAAACCTCTAAGTCTATCTCACAGATCCATAGATCACCGACTTTGTGGACGGCGCCTCGCCGTCAGCCTCATAGGCCACTGAATCAGGATATGTAGCTGGGCTGTAGATGCTGATATATCACACAGGACAAGGGTTAGCAAAATATATTTGAAAGAGAATATGAAGACGAATCAAAATTTGCGGACGTACATGATAAGTTTGACGTAGAGACTCTAAATTGGTGACTCTAACATCGATCAGTTAAGCCGTTGTATTTCTTAGTCGAGTCTGAGCATTGCACCGCGGCAGTCAGCAGACATTTCATGTACGGGGACCAACGCATGCAACTCTGGCGTAATGGTAGATTGCGATGGCTGCTCAGGTCACAATATATAATAGTAGACAATAGCTCATGTGAACAAGCACGATGGATCCCAGGCTTATCCGCTACACTTCTACCACCAGCATGAATATAGAACCAGGGCCTAAATGAATGAGCAGCTTGTTCAATACATTGGTATGCTTTTGATACCATTTGACAGAAGTCTGCCGTAGATACGAAGCAACTGGCATCAGTTTGAATATAGTATTCGGAGCATAGCCATGGCTTCCCTCTTCTTCAATGCAAGTTGAGTCCGCGGTCGAGTTGGGTGTCTCCGGATTGTCGCAAGAATATCCTGACGATCAACTCATGCGCTTAGAGTATGGTATTATAAACTGTCCTCTATTCAATGGCACTAACTTGCACATGGAGTGATATGTCATGCCCTGCGCACAAACGTGACTATGACGTTGAATCAGACTGTGTAGTGAAACGTGCATGCTTATCTCGTTCACAAAATAAAAGGGTTTACAGAATACTAGAGTCGAATCAAGGAGACCATATGAGTATCTCTACGGAGGCGGCTATTATTGGCTGGCACGGGATAGTACCAAGAGATTTTGAGATGATATATTGTAACCTTGGAGAGGAATTCACAGATATCTAAGACCTTTGGCAAATTTTCTAGGAACCCGTTGAGAAGAACCGAGAGAACACAGCCCTTTGGATCTCGCTTTAGGCCCCGTAGATTATCTCCTTGATCGGGCTGTACGCAATGCTCACCTTGGGCACTGACCGATGGAGTAGGACTTCTGATCGAGAGGTAGTCCAAATGTGAAGATTGTAAACGTCAGGAATTATGCAGTTTATGTACAGTTGGTGAAATATAGTTTCCTTTCCGAGGATTAAGTGATGTCTTCCAACTCCATTGTCAAGATCTTCTGTCAAATTGACTTGCAGCCCTTGTACCAATGTGAAAGGTAGGTTCACACCCAAAATGACAAATTTGATGATCCGGGCTCATGGGAACCTGGCAAAGTTAAAAGCAAAGAAGAGAGCACACCAGATCCAATAAATGAACGCCTTTTCAGTTTATCTATAACCGCACTTTCACATCCACGCAGGGCAGCGTCCACTCGCGTCGCCCTAGCAGATTCCGCAACCATTCCAGGCCCACGCCCGTCCACTCAGCGGGTTTTGTTTCCACACCGAACCGCTGCTGAGCGCCTTCAAGGGCAGCGCCAGCCAATGCCTTGGCAGTCGAGTTGAAAGTATCGAAAACGAAACCCGTCAAGCTGTCACCCGGTAGTGGCGCAGCGGTTGTGGCGTTTCCGGACATGATGCCATACTCGGTTGGCTCAGAGGTGTATCGCGGCGCAAACCAGTTGCTGCGTAGATCGAAGACGCACCTGTCTGACCAGTGGCAGGATGAGACGAAGAGGATGAGGAGGAGCGCTGAGCAGTAGATGCAGGGTCGGTGGATTATGTAGGTGAGGGCGACGAAGGAGATGATAAAGAGGGGCGAGGCGTTCGTAGGAATGAATAGGAGAGGTAGCCAGCTGTAGTTGTATTAGTCCATGTCAGTCTGCTTCCTTTTTATCAAGGCGTAACGCCTGTTGGGCCTGATGGTAATGGTGGGTTCATCTTACCTCCGGAGACAGAACATGATGGATGAGGCCAGCCCGCGGACTTGGACTGGCAGTATATTGATTTGAAAGGCCTTGGATATTCCTATAATCAAATCAAAGGCACCAGAAACATGCTATTGACTAGACAGTTGAGAAGCACAGGTAGGAAGAAAGGAAGGTGACGAGCGGCGTAGGGCAATCACCGCCTTTGAGCCACCGCACCAGCCACTCTGCACTTCGCTTCTCCAATTTGACCTCATCCTTTCTTCTTTCACAACCTCTCTCCTCCCTTTCCACAACTTCATCTTACCTTTCACAAACCCTTCAATTTATTCGATCTCTACTTTCTGATATACTGGTCGTCGCTTTTTGATTTTCTTTTCTCGAAAGAGAGCTCCTGAGAGCTCGAAAAGCTTGGTTTTCGTGCGGAGGTCGCCTGTTCTCTACGGCGCACGGCAGAAATGTCTACCCCGAACGATCTCCAGACCCTCCTGGCCAGCATTAGGGGGCGTCCATCGCCCCCTAATGGCCCTGGTCAGGACTATTATCAGCAACGTCCCCAGCAGCAATACCAACAGCCTTACCAGCCGGGAATGTTCCCGCCTCATCCTCAGCAGCCATACGACGGACAGGGCTATCCCCATCCTCAGCCGCACGGCTACTATCACCCATCAGTCTCGTCGAACATGCAGAGTCCTGCCCCAGTGAATACCCCGCCTCACCATGGCTCCGATATTCTCAGCCCGAATGTGCCGACTCCTCGCAATGACTGGCCTCAGCAACCGCCACAGCAGCAGCAGCAGCAGCAGCAGCAGCCGCCGCAGCCCGTTGACCTGCTGAGTCTTCTGAGATTCAGCCAGGGTCAGGGTGCGGCTCCTCCGCAAGCTCCTGCCATGGCCCCCGAGCAGCCTCGCTCCCCTCCTACACAGGAGACGACCTCGCCCGACGGACGAAACACTTCCGCTTCGGACTTTGTCGCCTCATTGTTCGGCAAACATGCTGCTGCCCCTGCTTCTGCGCCTCCTGCCCCCGCCGAGGTGCTCCATGCTCAGCCGGAAGGCCCGAGTGAAAACACGCAGGATATGCTGCTCCGCCTGCTCAACCGATCCCAGCCCGGGGCCAATGTCGCCGACGCACCCGCGCTGGTTCCTACTACTTACACTGCTGCTCCCGAGTCGGCCAAGATCGAGCCCAAGGAGATCATTGAGATCGTAGAAGCTAGCCCTAAGGCGCCCGCGGAGCCAGAAGCCCTCGTATCCCCGGGCTCTAAGGACTCTATGTTCACATACGTCAATCCTTTCGATCAATTGGCTGCTATGTCTCCTCGCAAGCAGTCCCCACAGCCCCAATCGGATGACGAGGGTCCTGAAATTGAAGTGACGAAGAAGATCAACGTCACCGCGAATATTGAACCTGTTGTCGCTCCCGAAATGTCTCGGCCTAAGCGAATCCCGACGCCGCCCTTGGAAAAAGATCAGCAGAAAGCAGTCAACGAGGTCGTTAGTCGTCTTGTCGATCAGATTGGACGTTCTCTCAGCGGAGATGAAGCCAAGGCCCTGGGAATGGAGGGTGAAGCTCCCACCGTGAAGGAGGAGCCTACTGAATCGGCTATTGCGGGTATTGCCAATCAATTGCGCGAAAGTGTTGCCGAGGCCAAGGAGGAAGCTGGCTTGGAAACGCCTGCCGAGTCCGTCAAGCAGGTCAAAATTGACATTTCTTCTACCCCTGTTGGCCAGAGTGGGAATGAAAACACCGATGCTCTGGCTGACAGCTGGGAAAGCGCGGAAGATAGCGCCGAGAAGGAGGAGGAGCGTGTGGTCTCTGTCCACAACTTCCCTCTGCGGCCGTTCATCTCCATCGCCGTGAAGCCGCAATCTGGAAAGCTTGTGACCTTCCGCGACGATGATGTTATGGACATCGCCCGTCTTAAGAAGGAGTTCGACCAGCTTGACCGCTCTTTGACCGCTGCTACTTCTGAATATATTGTTTATGCCCTGGCAAAGACTGGCGGCATCAGGATTATTCGTCAAGACGACGGATCTGACCGACAGGTTTTCCGTTCCACTCGCGATCGCGTCTTTAACGTGGCTTTGTGCACTTCTGCCTCCACTACTGGCCAGTCCGAAGTGCAGGCCTTCCTTGGAATCGGTGTTAGCGGCACTGTTTACTGGGCTCTGATCTCCGGCCAGGACAAGGATCTCTTCGAGCAGGATGCTTTGGAGCGCGAGAGTCTCATCTTCCCACCTTTCCCTGCCTCCGACGAGAACACCTCCGGTGGCCAGCTGAAAACGCGGGCCAAGCGGAGCACTCGCCACGCCGACTTGTTTGCTATTGGCCGTGGAAAGAATATTTATGTCGTCTCTCCCTATGCGGCCATGCACCCCAACTATGGCGTGTCGGGAACCCAGCGCACGGTCAACACTGAGAAGTTCCTCAAGGAGCGTGCTCTGAAGATTTCTACTGGCAAAGCCGGAAAGGATTTTGCCTTCAGTGATGATGACACTGTCATTGCCTCTCTGGACAAGACGGGCCGCCTGCGATTCTGGGACATCAAGGATGTTCTTGAAAATCCCTCATTCGCTGATGGACCTGTTGCAAATGAAGTTCGAGTCCCATTGAACACATTCGTGACTGGCTCGCCCGCTGAGAAGTCCTGGCCCACTTCGGTGCTCTTCCTTGACAAGCTTCGTGCCTACTCAAAGTCTACGGCTCTTCGATACGTGTTGGTTGGACTCAAGCAGAACCATACCTTGCAGCTCTGGGATATTGGGCTGGGTAGGGCTGTGGAGGAAGTGAAGTTCCCCCACGAGAACGAGTCAGACGCGATATGCAGCGTCGCTTATCACCCGTCCTCTGGTATCGTTGTGGTTGGCCACCCCACACGTAACTCTATTTACTTCGTCCATCTATCTGCACCCAGATACAACCTGCCTGTGATGTCCCAGGCGGAGTTCATCAAGGCCTCCACCGAGAAGGACAGTAACTTGCCCAAGCCCGAGTCTACTGCCTGCTTGAGCGGCATTCGTGAGATCTCTCTGGGCACTAAGGGCCAGCTGCGAAGCCTGGAGCTTCTTCCCGCCACGAAGTCTGTTACTGATAAGCGTGGCGTCGAGGGAAACAGCCTGTTTGAGCTGTACGTGATGCACTCTCACGGCGTGACCTGCTTGAACATCAAGAAGGAGGACCTGGGATGGACCTCTGATAACAAGGTCATCCGTCCTATTGACGGACTGGAGGAAGGCACGATCGAGATCAATGACCTTCAGACTTTCCCGAGCTACGTCACGGACGATCCCTCAGTGAACGGGGACACTGCGTCCACCACTCCTTCCCGCGCAGCTACCGTGAAGGACACAGTGAAGAAGACCGACGCTATGGAATCTACTGCTGGCATCATTTCCTCTCGCAACGCGTCTCCCGCCAAGGTTGCCAAGAAGAAGACCGTAGAGGAGCAGATCGATTCCGCTACGCCTAGCGGTGCTGAGAAGCCTGAAAAGAAGAAGAAGAAGAAGGCTTCTGCCTCCGAGGCAACTATCAAGGCCAAGGAGCCCACCGCCGCGGTCGGTATCGAGCCTCTTCCCACCAAGGAGACCGATTCTCTTGCTACCTCGACTGCTGCCATGGCTGCGACTCGTGCTGCAGACGGCACGGTTCCCAATGGGCTTGTCTCGAGCCTGCCGGCTTCTGCTATCTCAAGTGAGATTCTGACTAAGCACATGGAGACTCTGCAAGGCACAGTCTCGGCTGAGTTCAACAAGTCCCTTGGTCAAGAGTTTGAAGGCCTCTACCGCCGCTTCGATGATGAGCGTCGCAGCTGGGATGCTGCTTCGTCTACCAAGCAGGACCAAGTCCTTCGCCTGGTCTCGAGCACATTGTCTGACAACGTCGAGAAGAACCTCACCCGTATTGTCTCCCAGAGCATCCAAACTGAAATTATCCCCGCTATCGGCCAGACCGCTGCCATCGCCGTTGCCAAACAGGTGAACAGCATCGTCACCCAGCAGCTTGGAAGTTTGTTCAAGGATGAGCTGCGCCAGGCCCTTCCCAAGGCGGTCAGCAATGCTCTGCAACAGCCGGCCGTTTTGAAGACCATCTCGGACTCTGTTGCACAGACCCTGGCTCCTCGCCTTGAGACCGAGGTCTCGAAGGCTGTGCAGGGTTCCATCGCTCCCTTGATTGAGACCCTGTCTCTCAGCACCAAGAAGATCGAGACCGACATGGAGAGACAGTTCCAGGCTCAAATCAGGTACTACGAGGCCCAGCGCCAGAGCGATAACGCTAAGCTTGAAGAAATGGCTTCCATGCTGCGTGGTCTGTCTACCACCGTGGCTTCGCTGGCCGCGAGCCAGACTCGCCCGAGCGAGCCGACCCACAACCACCGCTCCTCCATGGGACGCCCGACACCTGATGAAATTGTCAACGTTGCTCCCCGGGCAATGCCTCACCCTCAGCCTCATCCTCTGTCTCGCCCTCAATCCAGGCCCCAGAGTGGTCCGCCTCAGAACATTGCCGCCCAGCCGATTGCTCCTGGTTCCCTCGCCGACACAGCTGAAGCGACTGAGATTTCTCGGCTCCTCAATGCCGGTCGCTACGAGGATGCCACCATGAAGTGGATCCAGTCCAGCCAGCAGGCTGACCTCTTCGACCACGTCTTTGTCAACATTAGACCCGACTACCTGCCGCGTTTGTCCACCATGCTCATGCTTTCCGTGGGTGTAGCGGTCACCTCATCCCTGCAGACCAATGTCGCCCAGCGTCTGAACTGGATCAACGTGATCCTCAATAACCTGAACCTTGCCGTATGGTCCACTCACCTTACTAGTAACATTTACCGTCCCACTAACGTACTCCTAGGACCCCGAAATGCGCGACGTCACTCCCAAAATCATGCAGCGTCTCAGCGAGCGCCTCAACGGCCTATACATGGACGTTGTCAACCGCAACCCGCAAGACCCCCTTCTCCGCCTGATCATTCCCCTGACCCGTCGCGCCCACGGAATGAACGTCTAAATCCCTCTTATTTCCGCTTGCATTTCTTGCGATCTTATCATTACGTTCACATCGCCGTTTGTCCTTGACGAGTAACGATACCCTAAGCATGAGCATGAGCATGAACATGAGCATGACGTGAAGGTAAAAGCCGAAAACATGGATGGGATGCGAAATGTCTTTTATGGATTATTTTGATGCATGGTTGCTTTTTTGGCCTGGATTTCGGGATTTCATATTATTGTCTACGTGACATCCTGATCTATGACGGTATGATTTGTTTTGGGGGGCTTTCTCATAGGCTTTGGTATTAGTAATTACTGGCTCGGGTCTTTAGGTCTGGGTGAGTGCTTGAGTGCTGGGTTTGTGTGTATGGATAGTTTCACTCTCGGCGAGGGCCCTTTTCTCGTCTACGCCTTTTTGTTTTCAGCCGAGGCTGTCTTTAGTTTTGTTATCTTCGCTTTGGCGAGGGTATTTGTATGAACCTTGAATGCATGGCGTTTTGCTTTTGGGTTACGTCGATGTAGATACATGATGGATTGCTTGTAAGTGGTATAACTATTCATTTACTTGAATCGGGGTTTGTAGACTAAATGACGTCCTTTGTATTCACAAGATAAAATGTACGTCTATCAGCGTATGTACTGAGAGCTCACCACTTCTCATATGCAACATGCTTCTTCCAAATTCCTCCACTCATATACCACACTTATGTCATCATGCTTCACCCGCCTCAAATGCCACCGAAAATGAATACTGAAGAGATGAAAAGAATGACACGAAAATACTATATCCCCGTAGAAGGATATAGATGATGTTACCTCGGGGCGATTTTGGCGGTTCCACCAGCGTCTCTCCAAACAAGGCTGTTGGATCCCTCAAGGTATTAAATTGGAGTTGACTACCCCGGAGACAGGGCATGCTTGATTATCCAACAACCCCATCTTTTCAGACAGGACTGTCGGAACCCTGGCGGTCCCCATTGGCACTGGTACCAACAACATGGTCATGCGTAACCACGTTAACCGGTCTCTCCGGTTCATCAGTCTGGCCTACACCAGGCTGCTCCGAGGGGGAACGGGGACGAATCACAGAACGACCGATACGGAATAGAGGCGGGCGTGGGGACTCGCGCGTGCCGCGCTTGCGGGAGCGGTAGCTGGATGCTCCGTTGTCGGAGGGCATTGCGGTGCTGTGCGTGTGGCGGACGTTGTCGATGGGGACTGCTTCTGGTTCGTTGGCTGTGCTTGTGCTGATTGCGCTGGAGATGGTGCGCGGGAGATGATAGCCTGCCTTGCCGATCGGAACGGACATTCCGTGGACGACCTGAATAATGTTAGACGTGAAACCAGGTGGGAATGATTAGAGTTGGGGGTTCACTAACGATACTGCAGATGACTAGGAACCAGACGACGATGTTCACTGCGTCCATGACTTTTTGGGCGTCCTCGCGCACTTCCCCGTCGACTGTGATTTCTCGGAGGAATTCTCGGCTGATGGAAAGGTAGAAGATGGCGCCGACGCCGATGGGACCGAAAAAGCCTACAAATGCGGCCTGTTGCATGTGCTCGATTTGGTGGATATACTTGTGCATGGCGAATACGATTGGCATGCGGCGAACAAGCAGGATGAGGATGCCTAGGAAGATGAGTCGGTAGATGGGGATGGTGTCGTTGTTCAAGAAAGATGACCATGGACAGACTGCGCCGAACCACATAAAAACAGATAAGTTGAGGAGCATGTCGATGGTTGGTTGAAGCGAGTCGTCCATTGTCTCGAGACGGAACCAGTCACTGTATTCATTAGCTTCCGTGTCTCGCAATGTCAGGAATTGGCTCACTCTTGGGTAAACACATTGCCTGCAATGAAGCATGCAAGAAGGTCATCCGTGCCGATAAGACCACAAGTGCCCACGATGAACAACTATATTTGAGTTAGCCAAATATTCATGATGAATCTCAAGTAGGAACTCACTGCAAGAGCAATGGCAAAAACCAGGAAACTCTCCCGGTCAACATAGCGTTTCTCCTCCGCCCAGTGAAGCAGCTTACGCGACAGCCAACCGACCACAGCGCCGTAGGCAATGCTCAAAATGATAGTATACACCCAAGTCTCGACAAACCACATAGCCATTGCTTTGCCAGCACCGCCACTGTATCCCTCGCCACCCATTCCAGTGTACTTCAGAAGGTAGATACCAAAGAAGAGGAACGGGTATCCAAGGCCATCATTAGCACCAGACTCTGCAACGATAATCCGCTGCAGTGGGCGCGGGACATGTTTATCTGCAAACTTGCCCTTGACGATGGAGTTGGACAGCACAGGATCAGTCGGGGTCACGCAAGCAGCGACAATCAGAGCATGAAGGAACTTAAAGTTCGGAATCATAGCCCAGATAATCAAACTACTGCACATCCACATGGCAGCCATGCCGGGTCCTAGCAACAGCGAAAGACTCCGCCATTCGATCTGCAGATACCGCTTAGGAAGCTGAACTCCGGCCAGAACCAGCTGCACACCCAGAACCAGACGGGTGAAATGCAGGGTAATAGCCTCGAGATTCAACTCATCATGCAAAGCATAGTCCTCTGGCCTGATAAAGTTGGCTGCATGTGGAGAAAATGCGACTCCGGCCAACAGCGAAATCACTAAGTGGATCACGGTCAGCCTGCACGTTCTTTAAAGTAAGGAGATCGGAATCGAGATCACGTACATGCTTCGGAGAGATAGAACCGCTCCTTGCAGAGATAAGAGACTAATCCGAATAGAGAGATAAAGCCTCCGAGCGTCGCGCAGACAATGTTGAAGTTGATCAGCGCTAGCGTCGGCATCTCGGCGATTGCCTCGTGGCGGGGTGATGGGGTTGGTGCGTGACTCGGTCAAGTTGAACCAACACGCAGTCGATAGAGAGGTGAAGATCTTGGGAGATCAAAACGGTGAGAATATGATTTCAATTGTGTCAAAGCAAGTGAATGTTATCGAATCATAATAGTAAGGACCTGGGTGCAGTGCGAGGCGACCATGCGGGAAGATGGAAGAAACTGCCACAGAGGCGAAGCCACGGTTACTGTTGTATAGAGGACAGTAGAGTAATTAGGAATTTTCCAACTGTAGCACTTCAGCTGGAGAGATCTGTGGATTGTGAAGCACCAAAACGAGCAGAAACAGGAACAGGTTCTCCGATTGCGGGTGTTGACGAGGGGGAGGGTCGATCTTGGCAGTTTGCGGTGAGTCGTCGCGGGCTTGGCAGGTACTTATTCCCCGTATAGGGTTGATACAACATCTTACATCTAAATATCTTGGCTGTTAACCGTGAATCCAAATACGTTCGTCAATATCATTACGTATGCTAGAAATCATCTTGGATTACTTCGGGAACCCTGGTTTCCAGCGCCGCCGCCTTCTCGTGCACGCCTCGCTGCGCCCCGTTAACCGCCAGTTGGTCCGCAGCCTCGTTACCAGGATCTTTATTATGTCCCTTTACCCATTCAAACAGGGTCTTCACCTTGAGTTCGTTGCGCTCTTCAATCCTCGCTAGGATCGGCTCAACCAGGTCGCGGTTCTCAACCGGTTTCTTGTCTTTGGTCATCCAGTTGTTGCGTTTCCAGTTGATGAACCATACTGTCACGCAATTGATTGAATATTGACTATCAGTAACGATTGTCACGTCACGATGCCGGGGCGCAATATCAATGGCTCGCAGAATTGCAGTCAGTTCGGCGCGCTGGTTTGTTTGGCGAGCGCCCTTCAATGGCTCCGAGACATTCCTGCTGGGATAACCGATGTCAGTCAGAGGAAGAATCCTCTTGAAAGAGTGATCAGAAACAAACCTTGAATCTCCGGGTCCGAAGAACACACCCACTCCAGCCGATGCCAATTTGGTACCATTTCGCAATGAACTCCCGTCTGTGTATATCCGCAACATCCCCGGAATACCTGTACTCTGTGTTTTTGTGGCTGTCTTTTGCTGAGTCGTCTTATATATCACTTTGCCAGTAGCCGGATCCAACAGCAGGTTGGGGTCAAAGCCATCCTCCACTCCGTTCGGAAGGGGACCGTCGCCTGCGATAAACTCGACACCTTCTGCATTTTTCGCATTCTCACTCATCATGCCAGGAGCTACAACGGTTGTCTTGACCTCGCCGAATCCGACCGCAGGCGGCTGGTCTCCGGACTTGACAAAATCCTCCGCCTCTTCTCGGGTCGAAAACTTCCGGTACCGCGGCCTTTGAAACCCTCGGATCTGCTCCTGCGCCTTCGACCAGTCTGTATACACACCGGGGACCCGACCTCGTTGTATCCCGTAGAACCTAGTGTTCTCGGTTGTGGAGTTACCGTTCGACGGCATCTTGACGCCGTTCAGAAACGCGTTCGCTTCTTCGTATGAAGGGAATGATTGGACTATGCGACGAACATATATTAGTTTTAAGCCCAAAGAATGAGTCAGAAATCCGCTAGAAGTCCGCGAGGGGGGGCTCACAGATAGCTCCCTTGAATCCTGTTATTTGAGCCAGACAGTCGTTCCACGAGTAGTAGAGCCCCGGCTTGAAGCCATTCTTGACGGCATAGTATTTGGCACCAGTGGTGCGCTTGCGCTTTGTACCCGCGCTAGGCGACGGAGACGGTTTCGGGTGGGATGAAGCTTTCGGCACGGGCGCTGGGCTGGGCGAGGGCGTACTCTCGTTCATCGGCTTGGCTTGCTCCTCGGAGGGAGTCGCGTATGGTAGGTCGGATTGAGCGGAGGTCAGAATGGAAGCAGCGTAGGATCGAAGGAACGGGGTTGCGAGCCCTCTCTGTTGCAGGCGTGGACGGGCTGTCCAGTGTCGCGGGATGAAACGCGGCCGGGAGCTTGGAATGGAACTCCACAACCTCAGCTTGCTAGCTGAGGACCAGAAATGCCGGTAAATTGTGAGATCCCCGATTGGAAAACGGGGGTTGTGCAATGGTTAGAAAGCGAAAGGCGCGGTATTGAGGTGAGGAGCTCTAGAATCTGAAATGTGAAGTTGTGAAAATGGGGTAAAGAGAGGGAGGGGGGTGGACTTCCTAATCGGGCTCTCCCATTGTCCTCCTAAGCAAGGTTGGCCTTAACCTGGACTGTTCAAATAGTAAGTCTTGTTCATCATCTGTGTACATTCTATGTCTTAATTCCAGACATTCTAGATTATTGAGTGATTAGGTCTGTCCAATGATTTCCAAGTTTATCTGTGGCCGTGGATACGTAACAGTGCGACACATATCCCTGCATAGATTTTGTGAAGACTCCAACCGAAGTCTCAGCTTTCCAGGAAGAAAATGAGAAAAAACCTAAATCGATCGAACCATTGACGCACAGATTTTTTATGAACGAGTATGACCAGAAGCAAATTTCCTATATACAACCCATAATGCTCGCAGTAGTCAATTTGACATCCTGTTGAATCTGTTCCATCAAATCGCTAACAGGAAGCACCGAAGAAATCGACCCGACACTTGCACCACTAGAAAATAGTTAATAAGCATTCCACAATTCATAGTAGAGAAAGACTCACGCCCAGACAGTACGTCGATGATCCTCTCCCTGCTTGATTGCTTCATCATACCGCCGAATAACTTCCTCATCACTGACTCCGCTCTGAGCATCATTCCAACTGATACCAACCAGGGCCCTGCCGTCATACTGCCTTGGAAAGACATCGGTAGATTGGAAAACATCGTGTCGGACAGATTTGACAGTCGAGAAAGCACCATCCTGGGCTTTCACGATCGAGTCTTTAATACTGGCTGGAGCTGGACATTCCTCAGTAGCAACGAACTGCTAGATATTAGCGCAATCTCAACCCGGATAACCTTGAAAACTCACCCTCGTCCCCATAACAATCCCATCCGCGCCTATGCAAAGTTAGCACGCTGAATCACAACCTCAAGTCGAATAACCCACCGAGACCCAACGCAGCAACACACCCCCTCCCCCCACAATCCCCCCAGCCGCCAAAAGCGCAACATCATAAATATCCCCCAAACTCCCCCTTACATCAGGAAGCAGCGAGAGAAGACTAGCCCCCCTGGCCCACTGATGCCCTCCCGCATCAGTCCCCTGCACAACAATAACATCCGCACCTTGCTCCGCAGCAGTCGCAGCACCCTGCACAGTCCCAGCCTGTACAAAGACCTTGACCGACCACTCCGATTTTACCCGTGCATCACCGATAGCATGGATCAAAGGCCCGTGGTCCGCATCCTCCTTTGGGAAGGAAAGCCACACGGCAGATACACGGTGCTTTTCAAGAAGAGGAACAACGTTCTCTTCGAAACCTGACGGCTTGAATGTGATAAAGCCTACACCAATTGGGAGAGTGCCTGAGTCGGTTATTCCGAGCTCCGTTCGAGCTTTTATTAACTCGCTGTCTAACTTGGCAAGTTGGGTTGATGAGGGGCTGAAATCGAATGCACCCCCGATGAAACCTAGAATATGTTAAGACACGATTTGAATATTTCTAGACATGGGGAGAACTTGTTGGCTTACCTAGACCTCCGGCCTTTGTCACTGCTGTTGCTAGTCGGTAGTCGGCGAATCCGAGCATTGGCGCATTAGCGATGAATGGTTTCGACGTGTGCGGAAACCATTCTTTGAGAAGGTCATGTTGGCTCTCGGTTGATGGCATTGTGACTTCGTTTTAACCTAAGATTCGAGAAAGAAGTGAAGTTGAATTTGAAACGTGGTAGTCTTACCCTGGAGCCCCTCCATCATTACATAGGCGACCGTATATATTGGGGTAATCCGTCACGCGCCCCCATGACTAATCATGTCTTTCACATTCACATGAAGGTAACTGTAACAATATGCCTTGAACTCTTCATACTAGCCAGCTTATGGACTGTGACTTTGATATAATAATTTTTGAGTAAGACTGAATCATGTCCAATAGGTGATAAATCAAGGCATATCACATGATCACGAAACGGAAGGATCAAGGTGAAGTCCCATGATCCTTGTTGCTACCCCCTCGCAAGTAGCCTGGACGATGGATAATCTCAATATCCGGCAGGCTATTGATTTTTCTTGCCTCGCAATTTTGACATGAATTGCACCAAAAAGGGATCAAAATCGGGCTCTCAGTATTCCGGATGCTTCGGTGAGAGCCACCAAGGAGCAGAATATGTGGATTTAACAGGAGAGGCTCAAACAAATTTCCAATCGACCACTCCAGTGAAAACAAGATTTGCCGCACCAACAAAGAAATTGCCGGGGCAAAAGTTATCGCAATAGAGCTGGAAATGTCCGCCGCAATTTTCTCTTAATATTTCTCGCGGGATTCTGCGAAAAGACAGCAAGCAATGTATTTCTAGCAGCAATCTCCGGCTTAAAGTGCATCGTTGCGCTGAAGCTCGAGATGATCTAAATTCTGCTGAGCGAGCTCCTCAAAATAATTAGCGCCGCTACTGAAATGTCTTCGTCCAAAGATACTTAGGGGAAGAACTGGCTACTTAAGCAATATGATTCAATTAAAAGTGAGTGGACCCTTTGACACAGCCTAATTTAAGCTCGCGTCAACGTATATAAACTAAATAATAAACAAATATCTTCCGAGTGGTAGGATTAATACCGATTGATCCTCAATAAGCGCTATCGAAGCTAAATTATCAACTTCGGACACTAACACCTCCTACAAGCCGCAGTGGTCAATCAAGCGCTTTCTACCTATCTGCGCCCGCTAATATCGACGAGCTTTTTAAGTAAATATCTCAATCAAAGCTTTTTCAAAGCGACGCTTAAAAAGTCCGCTATGACCTTCGCAACCCGCGTTAAACCAATCTATCAAAGGCTATCATATCGCAATGTAAAACAGTAAACTTCTCGAGTAATAGAATAAGCAAGTATTCACTGCAAACGCTACGTAAAGTCAAAAGCGTACTCGAAAGACTAGATAGATAGCCTACGATAACAGTCTATCCGTACGAGTATCCCTAGAGCTCGAGGAAGCTTATAAGGAGTCCTCTCGGCTGATAATAGCTCCACCAAGCCTACTACCGCGGGATACATAAGCACCGAAGAGGCGGCGTCCACCCCAATGCACAAATTACAGATCGGACATAAGAGGAATACATATAGATTTAAAGATTCATCGATATAAAGGTGTTCTGGTGATAGAAACATCAAATAGTAGATAATAGATAGGCGGATGCGTAGCTCGCTTACCGACGACGTTAATGCTTACTACATATGTCACAATTTTCTCCTTACTAGTGTCAGACAATTTGGAATTGAGAAAAGAATTTTCTCTTTTTTAGAAAAAGAAAAGAAAAACATACAACAGCCGAAAGTATGGCCGGTTTCACCTAGAGAATAAGACCGCATATCACCAGATCGACTCTTATTCTGTTCGCGTCTGAAAAATTTGTAAGGTACAAGGTGTAGATAGTGTTTTGAAGGTCTCTCTTTCTCATTCAGATGGTGGAATGGCTTACGTATGAGCGGGTTGACTGTAAATTTAATTAATTTAGGATATTATAGCCAAAAGTTTCAGACACTCCGTATATCACATGCATAAGACCAGCATGATCGGGGTTACAAAGCGTGTGCCGAGGTGGCCTTATGTTCCCATGTTCCCACCGTAAACATGTTGACCCTTGGTCTTGCTCCAATAGAACTCATGGCTTTGAAAGCGAGACCCTCCCCCTAAAACATAGTTTCTTAGCAGGGACCTAGGATCTTAGAGAGTGGCCATGGCTGGTGTTAATGAGGTCCGTGCAGGCGATCCGCCTAGTTATAGCGGGGCGGTTGGCTTTGCGGTGGTAGCATCCGGTTAGTATGGTAGGTATATTCTCGCAACGCATACCGGCATGTCCAGGAAATTTACGAGACCCAATACAAGATTTTGTATTAATCTATTAGACCAATTTGAAGTTAAAGATTTATTTTCTTTTTAGCATAATGGATACTTTATTAAAAACAAAATTAAGGCAACTTTTACAGAAATTCTAAAACTTCGTAATGCGTCGAGCTTCCGCTTGCTCCCCGCATCTGAGCCCCCAACATTAAGTTGAGCCCCAATCTGTGCGAATACTCATATATTACAGTGTTGCTCTGATGCTCAATTTGCAATGAGATCTCAATTTGCAATGAGATCTTTAAATTGATCGATTCCTTACCAAGCTCTTCTAAATACAATATAACAGCCTAAGCATCACATATAATAACACCACACCGACATCAAGGCCTATAGATAACACGGACATCAAGATCACCTGCGCTCATCTTATCTTCGGTGGGATTTCCTTGCCCGGCGAAACGCAGTCGAAGAAGCTCGATATCCTTGCCCGATAATACGTCCACCGTTTCCCGGTTCTCCTGCTTGGCCTCTAGAAGAATTTGCAGATCCTTCCTATTCAAGGATATCTTGTAAGGTACTTCGCTCATATTTCGCCATGCTGCATGCGGTAGCTCCTTGGAAATACTCTCTCTGTCTACATAGACGTAGTCTATGATATCGTAACCGTAGTATGTCGTGTGACCCCGCAAATAGGTATTGAAGGTTTCCTGCTCAAGCTGAATAGGATTCAGCGATTCCTCTTGGACAGTGGATATCTGAGAATGCAACTTACCGATACGATGCGGAGCCTCAAATCGCGCTTTCCCAAAATTCTATCTTCGTCGCCGCAGGCGCGAAACACATACTCCTTGTCAACTTGAATTCTGCCACCAAACGCAAGTTCATGGACAATGATCTTGTCGTGCCTGCCTTCGTAAACGCGTTGCTCCACGTATATTTTAGGATCCATATGGCCTTCATCGTTTCTTGTGATAAACGCGGTCAGTCGAACGAACCGTTGACTATCATCTATTGTGCCGGAATCGAGAACTTTAGTCTCGTCTGTATCCCAATTAGCTCAGAATCATGCCTACGGACACAATGAAATCGTATATGTACCAAGAAAAGAAATCTTTCTATATCGACATCCGGGGACTCCGTTACGCTCCGAATCCGTGCCCTGGCTGCTAGTGAAGATAGTCATGGGAAACGTCGGGTTCTGGCCACAGGCCTTGACCATCTCATCCAGCGAGCCGCTGCGCATGGACTCGCCTATAATACAGTCCTGGGACTTTCTAGGCCTATGCTGAGCCCTGTTCCCGGTATATGGTGTGGAGTTCCTCTTGGCTACGCGGTCTTTAATCGCGGAAACCTTGCTGTGAAGCACCGGGTTGCCGTATTCGTCCAGCTCATAGACTGTTGGTGGTTGTGGTGGAGAGTTCATGGTATTTTCTTTGAGTGTTGTGGTCGCTTGCAGTCTTCTTGCAGTCTTCTTGCAAGACGTAACGGGGATTGCGGGTAACAAAAGGGGGAAGGTTGAAAAGCCCCCTTTATCGGCTCCAATATAGCGCCGTACTTTTGGAGGCGACTAGTGCAGGTCGACTGCCCAGCTGAGGTGGGGAGACTTTGGGGGCCAGCCGCTGCAGATGATGTTGCGCATTCTCAGGCTTCAGGTGGCATCAATTCAAGGCCATGAGAAGGAGGTACAGATGCTACTTGATCGAGGTTCGGATGTCAATACTCAAAGCGAAGAAGTTGGCAGCGCGCTCCAGGTCGCATCGTTTGAAGGCCATGAGAAGGTGGTGCAAATACTCCTTGATCGAGTGCCGATGCCAATGCTCAAGGCTGCATTAATTAGAGGCCACGCGGAGGTGGTGCAAATACTGCCTGATAAAGGTGCCAATAAGATACCAATGCCCTAGGCTAAAATTTAAGTACTTGGAATTAATCTTTGAAGTGATACTCCAGCGTTCGATTGGCCGGTTTCTACGCAGTACGAGAGCGCGTTTCTGGGGTTTCCTTTTTCTTCAGGATAAGTCATTCGCTTCCTTATCCGCTCCGCCTTCAAAATCTTCACTGCGTCCTTAGAAAAGAAGTAACTAAGATTTAACAGACAGTGGTAATCGCCGGGGTATTCATTTTTTGGGGGGCAGCACGGTCAATTCGGCCCCCGAAAGATAACAAGGGTGGAGATTGGGCCATCAGCTAAAGGAAGGGCGAGAGACAGGGGTTTAGCCGAGGGGGAACGTCAGCACTTTAGGGGGCTTCGGGGCATTTAGGTAAAGAAAAGAGGGACTTCGGGGCGTTCAGGGTGAAGGCCATAAAGGGACTGAAGGCTCGGGCGGCAATTGCTTCATTCCAATAATACAAATCAACAAAAATCAAAAACATACAACAGCAGGGATTCGCTGGTGGTCACCCACCCAACTACTAACCTGCCGGCGTGTGGCTTAAGTACGGCTGAGCGGACGGGAAGCCCTGTTCTCCACACCCTATGGTCGTATGTGCTGTATAATAGGTATGGCACAATTATATACAGCTAATGACGTTAGCAGGAATTGATGAGCGCCGCTTTAGAAGGTTAAGTTAATCTATAATATAGGACTAACCTTATATATTTCTGAATAAGTCGACCCTGTATACTTTAGACTATGTCCCCTTTAAAATCGGACTATCCATACTTACTAAAAGGTAGTAACTTTAAACCCCTCTATTAAATTCAATAAAATAGATAAAAATATTTTAACTTTACATATATTATCTTAAGCGCTCTAGTTTCTATGGGAAAATATAACATAATTCAATTTTGCTTATATAAGTGTGGCCTACTAACTAGAGAGAAGTAGGCCTCGGCATGGTGCGGTTCCGATTCCAATAATTGGAACCGCGCACCGCACCGCATATTTTCGCGGTTCTAAAACTTTAGAACCGCAATTACATAATTATGCCAAGAATCTCCTTTTTTGGATGGACTAAAAAATTTTATATGATAAGGTATTATTCTAAAAGTGGCTATTTTATATATTGTAGTGGTGGAACGCGTGACATAATGAATATAGTTGCGGTCTGAGGTGTCACGAATACCTTGGGCGTAAGCAACAGCTTCTACATGAGGAGAGAGATAGGGAGGCACCTACCCAATTTCATTCCAGTTGTCACTACATTCTTTGATTCATGATGCCGTATTAAGTACATTCCATACGGCCTCATTTAGAATTGCTGCGTTCAGGATTGCCCGTACGGCCTCACGGCCTCATCAAGGGCACTTGCGACCTCCCCCAGGACGACCTTCACTACGTGCTGTTTGTGTGTGTGTGTGTGTTTTCCGCTGGTTCTTGCTGTCCAGTCTGGATTGTTAGACAGCCATCGAGCCATCCCCATTTCGATATGTTTGATATATAATGACTATAACATTATAAACCGTAATAGGTCTGTAGAATATATATGGTTTACCTAACTTACCTAAGAATATATAAATATATTCTATGTTTGTCCTGTTTGAAGAACCGCTGGTTCAATCGCGAAAATGCGGTGCGGTGCGGTTCCGCGCGGTGCTATGGCGAGGCCTAGAGAGACGGGAAAGAGAGAAAGAGAGAAGGATCAAGTATAAAGACTAAATATAACCCCCCCTAGAGCTCCTTCCTTCAAATATGGCAAATCTTACAAACTGTGACGGTCTGACAAGATGTGACTGAGGAAGTTAGTATGAGGAGCTTGATGTAAGATAGAGGAAGTTTGGCATTGAAACAAACATAGCAATCTTGGAAAACACTTTAGCAAGAATCCCCTACGATTCTAATCTCTCCCTCTTCCTTCTCTAGCTTCGATACTTTCGTCAGTAGGTACCGAATGGATCTTGTTCTTTTCGAATGACCCGTAACACAAACATCTCAAACCTCAAGTCATCGCTATCTCTACACATCCTGAAGTCCCTACGTTACCTCATTCGTCACACCCGCATAAAGGAAAGTATCTTAATACTATAAGGGATCACTGAAATCTAAGACCGTATTGACGAGTTCGAAAAATTTGATGATAAAGAGGGTCTTAGAGTTACGAAGCTACAATATAGAGAGGCACTGGTGCGTCAACGTTGAATAAGGCTCAAAACTATCAGGATTCATGGGTACAGGCGAAAAGAGATTAAGAAATCTTTAACCGTAGAAAGAACTATCTAAAGCGTTAAAAGAGATTTGCATACGTGCCTAATTCTTAATAAATTAATAATGCTAGAGCATACACGAATCGTAGATGCTACGTCTAGGACCACTGGACTGACCGTCGAAGAGAAGCTTCACTATATAGAAGATATCTAGACTCTATGCCCTGGGAACGAAGATAGAACATATCTTCCGAACGAATTGCTAATTGATGGTCAATGGCCCGTTAACGTAATCCATGGACGAGTGGAACACAGGCGAGTGGACCACTCCAAAACATCATATTAGAGGCAATGTTTTCAAGTCTTATATCTCAACCACCACGACTTTATTCTATTTGAAATTTAGGAGGATGACTACTAACTACACTAGTAGCTATATAGTGGAATTCAAAATAACTACGATGCTCATTTTATAGTATTTTAGTAATTACACTGTGTTTATGACTGATTGCCTATAATATATTTCAGGCCGTGTTCTATGGAGCATATGAAAAACTTGACCACCACGTATGATTTCTTGAACGATCTTTCCCTACAACTCATTAATTTCTTCAGAGTCGCCTTTATCCGATTGTGAATCTATGTCCGACCCTTCTATTTCCTTCGCCGACCTTCTGTAGGCTTTTATCTCTTCTGCTAGCGAGTCAACATCCAAGCCATGCTCTCGATACGCCTCAACAATATTCATCCTGGTCGTCTTTCCGCCACTAGACTTACCCCAGAATCCTATCCCGCACTGGATTACTTGCGTAGTATATAGAACTAGATCTAACTGACCTAGCATTCGATTAAACGCGTCTTTATTGGATTTCACGCCTCAAAAAGAAATCAATCGGCTCATCTGCTGACCAATATAAGCGAGTAGTCCTCGACCTTCCAATTCGAATAGGCGAATCGAATAGTAAGATCTCAAAGAGCCTTCCCATTCGAAGACCCTCGTCTCTATTCGGACTTGCCTAGATATAATGTATTAGCCGAGAAATCCTAATCTTGGATAGATTATAAAACTAACGGGAATACTAAGGCAGTAAGTGTAATCGCTACCCCTAGCGGAATCAATATGGAAAAGGCCGAGCTCTAAAATAGGAGGTTGTTGCACGAGCATCCTACGCCAGCTAGCATCTTTCCAGACAAACCGATCCAAACTTGCGGGATCTTTGGTCATTGCACAATCAGAAAAGTAAAAGTCGCGGTTGCCTGGGTCGCCCTTGGCAGGAAAAATGATAGGGAACTTCTCTGCTAGTAGCGAATTGCGTATCTTGTCTCCTAGGCCCCATTCGGGTTCTTTGATTGGGATGAAAAAGAGGGCTTTTTGAATCGATGGTGACTTAGTAATCAGATTACGCCAGTCTCGACAGACACGTTGGCAAGATATTAGAAGAGTGCGTATGTCCGTCTGAAGCAGAACCATTTCAAGAACTTCCGGTGTTTTCAATACCGGAGGAATCAAGATTGAAGCAGTGAATGCCTTCCTGGCCGCTGATCTCGTGATCGGTGTCATTTTGCGATGCAGGACGGATAGTATCAACAGATGATTAGGAACTATGGGAGACGATATCTCAGTGATATCGGCAGCAGAGCCTCACTGAATGGTGACCGTAATAATGGAAAGGTGCTCCAATGACAAAAAGCTTGCTACCAGACATTCCGGCGCGAAGTTTTTTTTTTGCCCCCAAAATTAACCAGAAGTCACTCCACCTGGGTGACATCTCACTATACATATCACGTGACCTTTTTGAAAAGCTCATTCCACCTACTAGCATTCCTTTGTATGCCCTGGTAATGAGGTATTTGAGTAATTACTAGTTTTATTTTGTTATTATTTTCCCTTTATCGCTATAATCACCATGATAGGCTACCTACGCTCTAACGTCGCCCTCTTGCCTAGAATGATCTACCTAAGACGCGGCAATAAGAGGAGGCTAAAGCTCCTCCTCGCTTAGGCGCCCGTAGGCCTTATAAATTAAATGTTCTAGAGTATAGCTGTAGCTATAGTAAATAGTAGATAGTTGGTGGTTGATGATATCTGGGTATTGTAAGTGGGTAAGTATGCGGCTGGATTGGTAAGGGAAAGTGGTAATTGTAAGGTAAAAGCGTGATCAGTTAGTGTGGGTGGAGTGACCTGTATGCACGAAGGAATAAATGGGTACATGAACGATAATCATGGCGCATATGATACAATTGGCCGGATGGTGTAGTTGGTTATCACGTATCGTTAACACCGATAAGGTCCTGGGATCGAGCCCCAGTCTGGTCATATATTTTTTCCGTCCCGCACCGATGCAGGTGCTTCCTTCCCTTACTTTGTTTTGTTTGTTTTGCTCGCGAATTTCAAATGACATCGATGGGCTTGAGATAGTGACAATTCATGTCGCAGCAAATTTCCCATTAGATAACACCTATGGAACTAAGGTTTTGCCGAAGTAGTATATTTTGTACATCTTCCGTCGTTGTCTCCAATAAAGTCGTATGAGTAGCATCTCCAATAAAGTCGTATGAGTAGCATTAGTATAATGTGTATATATTTGACGCCCCGAACTTCGTTGATATTTGGAAACGGCTTTCAAGATAGCCTGTAGCTACCCACAAGTTCGAGTTCAACCCATCAAGATCTTGGATGTACCCAGAAATTGGTGATGCGGTAATCTTCCTCTTGAAAAAATCAATCTTATTCGGGAAGAGGATGATTCGCTGGCAGTTGAACCATTGTCCGTTAATCAACGAATTGAAGAGCCAAGGAGCCCCGGGGAACGATGAAGTGCCGACACTAGGTGTCGCATACGCGATGTGAAGCAAGAAGACTCGAAATTGTGTGGGTCTTTTCGTCCTGCTTGGAGACAAACGGTTAAGCCTCCGATGATGGATGTTACGATGATTTGCCGACGCATTGGCGGATCATAGTGCCAAGCAAAGACTCGGCCCATCCGTGCAGCGACTAGACGTAGGCATGAAAAACATATCATCGCTTGTTCGCTTCGATGAGTCCGGTTAAGTTGCGTATCATGGTAAGATGGAAATAATCACACTGCGTACAATATCGATCAGTTCAACTAATGCCTCAGAATTCGGTGGCATCAAAGAAAAAAGCCAACTCCTTCCCACGAACTCTCAACCTCATAAGTCATAGCACCCTCGCAAGCTTCCTCGTATCAACAGTGACACAGTTGCAACTTATTTTACGAAACCACCGCATGAACTCATGCAAAGACAGGATCCTGCCGTGCCGACTTTAGGCTGGAATGGCAAAATCAGAATCACAGAAAGGATTGAAAGTTTTAATCTCAATCAGACCTGATAAAACCCTTTCCGCTGCCAGAATGAAATGATTAAACTGAGAATTTCCGGGTCCAGAGGCTGATACCGAATGTCGGGGCGATCACGAAGGGCGTCTACGGCGTTGGAAGAGTCATATATGGGCGTATTCTGACTCGCTTCCCATCGAGTCAACTCCCCCAGAACGCGCTCCTCAAACATGGGCATCAAGGAAGCCAAAGGCCCATTTGGGAGCTGCCCAGCGATAACCTCGCTTACCCACTGTGAGTACTTGATCAATCTCACAGGGTAGCCAGCATCATTTATCACTTTGCAAGTATCGCGAACAGTGATTGATGCCGCAGGGTTCGGTGATAAAAGGCTGTATGACCGGCCAAGGTAACTGTTGGACGAGGCAATGTGAACCATGGCCGAAATGACATAGTCAATGGTGCAGTATTCCAGGTTCTGTTGAAGATCTGGAAAAGCGCCGATTTGGATACAACCGACAATGAGCCGCGAGAAGAAGTCATTCGGATTCAGGGCGCCTGTTCTGCTGTCCCCAATGATGTACCCGGGCCGGTAGATCGCGACGGGAAGGCCACGGTCTCGCATGCGCCGGACCATTTGCTCCGCTGTCCATTGACTTGCTGAATAGCCCAGATCATATCGAAGAGCCTGTATGTGTGGGAACAGAGGTCCATCTTCAAGAACACGCGGTGTGCCCAGAATGAAACCAGTCGGGCCCCAGACGTCGATGCTGGACATATAGTGGAAAGACTTTTGCCGGCCCAGGGCCGCGACACGCAGTACGTGCTTGGTACCCAGAACATTGGAGGAGTAGTGAGCAGCGTAATTCTCGCAGAAATTCACCTTGGCTCCAAGGTGAAAGACGACTGAGGCCCAGTTAGTGAGCCAGGCGAACCGTTCAGCGCCCAACCCGAGATCAGGCTTCTCCATATCGCCTTCCAAAATCATAATCTTCTGGATCAGCGTCAACGAGGTTGGCCAAAGATCATATCGTTCCAGTGTCTGCTGGATGCGATCTGCGCCGCTGATCAATCCCTGCCGTCGCGCCAGGCAGGCGACCTGCTTAACCGTCGGCATGCCCAGTAGGTAGCGTAAGAGGTTCGCTCCCACGAATCCAGTTGCACCAGTCAAAAAGACGCGACCCTCACCATCAACCGTCCAGTCCGGGGTAAGTTCAATATCTTCGACGAGTCCTACATCTCGAATCCAAATCTCAGTCTCGTCATTTGAGTGGGCGACAGGTTCAGCTGTCGCGGTCATAACCTCGACAAGTGAAACGAGATCCTGTAGCCGGGTATGCTGTAGGAACTGGTCCATGAAAATGCGACAACCCACACGCTCCTGAATAAGAGATATCAATGTGGCGTTCTGCAAAGAACTGGCCCCTTGTTCGATAAAGTCGTCTTGGTCATTCGCATGCGACTGGGGGAGGATCTCCTTCCATATCTCCTTGATGATAGACTTTGTGGTCGGGGCTCCATTTGTCGTGGGTTCTTCACTGGTGGTTTCAGTGTGTTTCTGGCCTTTTTTCTGTCCCATATAGCGGTCTTTCAGCGCTTGTCGATCCAGCTTGTCGTTAACGGTCAATGGGAGCTCGTCGAGTAGCTCGATGTGGTTCGGGACCATATATGAAGGCGACCGCTCGCGCACAAATGCCAAAATGGATTCAGCTGTCAGGCTTCGCTTCTTCTTTGTCTTGGCAAACGCAACAAGCAGGGGGATTCCGCTGTTGGCGGTTGACGGGATATGGATCACCGCTACTGAGTCGACATCCTCATGGGAAAGCAAGTGTCGTTCCACCTCTGAGAGCTCAATTCTAAAGCCCCCATGCTTGACCTGCCGATCCAGGCGGCCGAAAAACTCTAGGCAGTTCAAGTCTGACCTCCATTCGGCATAATCCCCCGTTCGATATACGCGAATAGTTTCTTCACCGTTACCCGAGGTTTCTTCAGAGTCCAGGGCACTGCGATTCATACAGAAGAAGCGCTCTTCAGTCTCGTCCGGCATGCTCAAATAACCCGCTGAAAGCTGGGGCCCGGAGATACAGATCTCCCCCCGAATGCCGCTTGCTCGGATTGGCTGCAGATCCTGGTCCAGTAGGTAGGCTTTCATATCGCCCACCGCTCGACCGATGCTGATCCGTTCCCATTTCAATTCTTCCTCGGTTACCAGCATGGCAGTGGCAAGCGTGGTACACTCCGTTGGGCCGTATGTGTTCCAGAGACATTTCAGCGGCTTGCACATCGCACGCATTGCCTTGACGCTGGCGACGTCCCCGGCACTCAGCACATGTCGCAGACTTTGAAAGATAGAAGGATCTCCGAAAACAAGGATCTCCATCAAGGCGACGGAAAGTATCATCACTGTCACGCCTTGAGTTTCGAGGAAACCCTTAAGATGGGAAGGGTCCGTAACGGTTTCCTTCCTGATGGGAACGATGGTGGCTCCAGAAAGGAGGGCAACCCAGATCTCAAAGAGACTGAGATCAAATCCCGGGTTGTTGAAATGTGCCACTTTGTCATCAGGTAGCAATGGGGTGAACGGGGTCTTGCTGGCCAGATGCATGATATTCTGAGCGATGATTTGAACTGGCTTGGGTTTACCCGTAGAGCCCGACGTGAAGAGGATGTGGGTGCGGTGCTGCGGATCTAAGACAGAGTCCAAGGTAGGAATGGCCAGATCATGATTCAGGTGGCTATGAACGTCACGCTCTTTGTCGCCTGGGAGAGCAATATAACTCATACCCTCCAACAGCTGATCACTTTGCTCGGCAATCACATACCTGACCCCAACGTCGTGAAACATCCCCGAGAGTCTCATCTTAGGCATAGAAGGATCCACTGCGATGCAGGTGGCTCGAGCAAAAATCACCGCGAGTTGAGCTACCACCAGGTTGATCCCAGGTCCAAAAAGAATACCGACTGGTTCCTCCAGGTCGATACCCTTCTCACGAAGGGTTTGAGCCAGCCCCTGTGACTCCAAAACTAACTTTTTATAGGACAATTGATTGTCATTTTCCTTGACGGCAATTGCTCTGGGAGAAGATTGAGCAATTTCAATGATGGATTGGTCCATTTGGGAAGAAGAGGCAGCAATCACTGTGCGATACAATAATCTTCCGATTGATTTGTATTCTCGAGATCAATTCAAATTTGCAGAATAGACTAAGGAAACAGGCTGTGGCATGGGCTTGCTGAAATTGATTTCCCGTCTTTCCCAATCTATATTATATATGGGTCCTTGAGTATGATAGCACATGTCCTGGCTGACGTTCTCCGTAACAAACGTCAAAATCAAGATTGAGCAAAGTACTGATATTTGGACGAGTTCAATCGTGGCCGTAGTTGATTGGATATCGAGGATGGAGAGTGAATCTCCAGCACAGGCTGCTTCAAGACGTGGAGGCCCGGGCTGTGGCAGCAAAGCACGAGAGTGACGTCTCTTCCGCCCAAAATGGCTTCTCAATGATCGTCCAGAGATTGCGAACTTCTAATCGCATATACTCGGTTATCCTCCATGCCGATCTCCTGTCTGAGTTCGTCATCGTCTGTGCTAAGTTGAACTTCATGATCCTGTCAGCCGTAAGCCCGTTCTTCTTCCCTGGGTCATATTGTTTTGACTTCTATCTTGAAGTCTTACCACATCCAAGGTTCTTTATTGGAATAGACCACGGCATTTCTCCTGCCTGACCTTCAATCTGTGGTTGCTCATCATGTCCCACCTTCGCATGCTCTTCTGTACATTTCAGACAAAAGTTTGATCAGCGTCATGCAGATATATGCAAGTCCTACGTGGCACCGTGTTCATTCTCCCTCCGTCGGGATGTCATCTCCCTTTTGCATGTTGCAATGCGGTATCCACGTCATCCCTTCAAGACCTCGCTTGTCTATCTTCTCTTCTTTGGGCTCCTGCCATGTCAAAAAATTTCGTCTTTCTTGATCTCTTGAGGGAATATGTCCAAGGTTTCAGTGCCTCGCTTTTTTGAATTGTGCTCCTATTGGGAATTTCATGCATGGATAACTGTCTGCTGCAAAAGCGGAAGTGGATTCCACGAATAGGCACCTGCAGTGATCACCATCGATTTTTCAAGATCTGGTATGAAAAGTTTCACGTGGTGCATTTTGCTCGAGGCTTACTATGATACTATGATGAAGATCCTTCTCACGGGCCTCCTCGAGAAACCGAGAACGTGTTTGTATGATGGCATCAACAGGGAACTATCCACGCTCCTATAGCACCTTCTGACATATAAAATCTTCCTGATTGGGACGCCGGCAGATTCGATTTTGACTCCAGCCCGACGACCGGTGTTACTCGGACTTTGATCTCAAAATGGAATCTCAGGATTCTCCTCACAAAAAACCATAAAAGGCACTTTGCTGCTGGCCATTTCAGAGGATGCTTGAGTAAATTCAAAAGAAAATGTTCTGATACAACCATATCCTCCCGCGTCATGTTCTTCAAACGATCCCAATCTGTTCCTCCAGGGACTGTGTTGTCTCTGTGTCGACATACCCTATATTCGCTCTCAGGACGGAATTTCGGCACCCCAAATACAACACATTGCTTCACTAACCAGAGATCCATGCACTGCGGAGATATATTGACCAGAAAGCTCCAGACAACTCTGGAAAACCGTCGCCAGAATGGAAGACTCATCGAGCCGAAAAATCCACAAATGGTCGCGCAGATGGTGGATTTTGGCTCCAATGATACCCTTTCCCTCACCTCATCAGGGGTTCTGCGCAAAGCCTTGCTTGATGAAATTGCCAAGTATCCTGACTTTGAAGTCGGTAGTCGATCAACGCGGATCTTCGAGGGGACTACTCAGTACCTGCTGGACCTGGAAGAGCATATGGCTCAATTTCATCGAGCAGACTCTGCACTGTTTTTCCCGTCTGGTTATGAGGCCAACGTCGCTGTCTGGTCAACGATTCCTCAGCCAGGTGATGTTGTGGTTTACGACGAGTATATCCATGCCAGTATCCATGATGGTCTGCGTCAAGGGAGAGCTGTGACTCGAATGTTCTCTCATAATAGCTGTGAATCTCTTCGAGAGTGTCTCTTAGAGATATGCAAGTCAAGCCCAGTCGTGGCAAAAGGAGAACAATCGGTGTTCATTGCTCTCGAATCAATGTACAGCATGGATGGGGACATAGCACCTGTTCATGAAATGCTGAGGCTGACAAAAGAAATATTGCCCCACGGCAACGCGATCTTCTCAATCGATGAGGCACATTCCAATGGTCTAGTCGGTGAAAATGGATCAGGTTATATTTGTTACTACGGCCTCGAGAAGGAATTTCCTATTCGACTGCACACGTGTGGGAAGGGGCTCGGCTCAAATGGTGGTCAGTCTCATCAAAATAGCTCGCTGAGTCTTTGAGACAGCTTGAACTCTGACCCATAGATAGCCGCTGTGCTTGCTAATTCCACCATCCGGTCATACCTGATCAACTATGCGAGAGGCCTCATCTTCTCTACAGCCCCCGCATTTCCATCGTTAGCTGCTGTCAAAGGAGGATACAACATTCTGGCAAGCAAGGAAGGCGAGGAGGTTGGTTACCAAGTTGTAATGGAAAGACACTAATGGGGTTCTCACTGACAAATGACCAGCGCCGTACTCATCTGCAGAACAACATCCGCCATTTGTATGAGAAACTCACTGGACATCCAGAATGGGCAAAATATGTATTCAGTGGTATCATCAGCCTTCCTACTGAGAAAACTTGGCGTACAGGACCTTTCCGGGGCCCGATTATCCCGCTCGTCACAGAGCTTGGACAAGCGGCCAGTCTTGCCCAGAGATTACAGAACGCGGGCTATCAGGTGAATCCAGTGTTCTACCCTATCGTGCCTCGAAGCAAGGAACGGGTCCGACTTGTGATGCATGCAGACAATACAGCAGCTCAGATTGATGAGGTGGTGGATTTGATCATGAACTGGTCGAGGTCTCGTTTTACGGACCAGCTTGGAGTGTCAGGTCGTCTTGTATCCGACGGGAACATGTATCAGAACACGGCTTTCTCTGACTAAATTTTTTATTTTCTAGTGTTGTGAAACATTAGGGAATCTATATGGATTTCCCCCCGATTATAACTGCAGCAGCATTCTAATCACGAAGTCACGTAGATTAAGTATTGTCGGCCGGGAAGTGAGGCAATACCACGACTGCTTCTGTGGTTTCCCTACCACGGACCGTGGTTTTATCTGACTGGGTCTAAGACAGATAGTCGAGCAAATAGAGATATGAAAGAGTTTGATTCTATCAACTAGGTGGGTTACACGTATTTATAGACAGGAAGCCTATGTATGACGTATATATCACAAAAAGGAATACATTAGAGTATGCAATAAATCAATCAAGCCAAGATTCTAGGCCCGATTGACCGCCTAGACCACCCCCTAGAGCACGGACCATTTACCCCCTAAACCGACGATCATTTTGGTCCTTATGTTCCAAGATATATAATGAAATCTTTTTTAGGGTTTATGGTTTCCTAGCCCATATGCAGTCTGATCTCATATGTTGGATAAGAGGATAGCTCCACCTGTATAGCAATTGGTCTATATTCCAACAAGTATTAAAACTAAAGTAGCCTTGGAAATCAGAGAGAATCCAAGTTTGGCTTGACCAGTCTTCATTTTTCATCTGCCAGTCAATTTCTATTCTTTAAACTAGTAGCGAGGACGCCGCATGACCAATTGTTTACCCATTAGGTTGAGGTATCAGGTAGCAGCGCCACCCACCTAGAGGATTCAGTCACTGTTAAAGTTGTCGGTTCAAGGCCGTCTTAATTTTTGAAATTGTTGCCTATTGTGGCCACTTTCGCTTTGTAGAGGGCTTTTTATCGGGGTCAGGTCCCGGGTCCGATTTCTGGAGGAAAGCATTCCAATCAACAGTCTTCTTAGGTCGGGCATTGCTGATGGTGATGATTGCGAAGCGATACAATGATGGAGTCTACCATCGGGTGCTCACGGGCAGTGCCGCCAGTCTTTATAACTTTTCTGCCGATGACCACTCATGTAGCTGCCGCAAGAGTGTGCTATAGACAAGATGAGACCCAAAAGGGCAAAGCGCGAGGACGTTAGACAACGGCCACCCACGGTGGAAAGACTACGGTTTTCTGGACGAATGCCACGAATTCTTGACAAAACGCCGCGCACAATCGTGGATTTTCCAGTCACCCCTGAATTATCCCGTATCGTTAACACCGATAAGGTCCTGGGATCGGCCCCAGTCTGGTCAAACTTTTTGCTCCCGTCCCCTAATTTTCTCTGCCCCACCCACCTGGCTGGCTTGTTGGCTAGCTGGCACCTCAACTCCGTCTAATCAATTCCTCTTACCATAGCCAGGGCGGAACCATCGATGGTGGACGACACCATGAATTTTAATGAATTTTAACTTAGTATCAAATATCATACAGTAATGTTCGATATCAGTTTTCCGAGCCCTCATCCGGAACGCGCCATGCCGGGCATTGCAGAATCTGCTTAGGCTCCAGCTTGTCCGATTCAACCTTTCTAGCCAAATAGCTCTGCAAATAATCAACCATTATTGGGATAGGTAGTATGGGCATGGGAATTCCTAAGGCTGGTCACTCGTAATGGTCTCTTCCAATATCCTTTTATAGGTTTAGAATTTCGGCGTGGTGTGCCATCTCTAGGCAAAGGACGCGAGGATTGTTCTGCCAAAAAATTATGAGCTCGGAAAACAGTACAAAAACATGGTAATCAATATATATGAAGCGACATTCCCTGATGGGAGACGCAAAGTAAAATTCGAGGCATCCTCTATAGTTAGGGATGGTTAAACCGGTACTATGTGCCTTGTCCGAGAGGAGGTAGCTAGGCGAGTACAGATGAAAGGATGTACCCGAACATATACATATATAATGACAACTCTCTCCTATTCCCGCCTTCGTATCTCAAAATGCTTCGTAGCATTGAACACTTCGATCTGAAATGTAGCATGCTTAGTAGCAGACTTCACATTTCCAGACACGAGATTGAAAGCATCGCCACTAGAGAGCATTGGCGATGGCATAATATGCATCCTTGGGGCTATAATTTGCGTCGAAGAGCAGAGGGCTGGAGCTGGAGCGCCACGAATCCTAGCCAAACATCTCGTATTAGTATGCAGACTTTAATAAGTGGATGGAAATGAGCATTTACCGGGTCAGCAACTCCCCACACTGTGATTCCGACACACTTTGACTGGTTCAGACAAGCATTGACAACCTAATAGATATTTAGCGAGGCGTCGACTATACTAGTCATGGCGTTATGGAAACTCACGTTTACATAGTCGGTAGAGCTGGCTCCAGCAATATCAAGCTCAGTAACAGCAATCTCCTCTGTTCCTGCACCGGCTAGAGCATTAAGAGCTGTGAGAGGCTGTTAGCTAATTTTCGGCTGACAGGAAGCAAGAGGGTACTTATCCAGCAACTGCAGCACCACCACCGGCGCTTAGGTGGGTTTGAGAACCTTAGAACGAGTGAGTAATCATATACGGTAAACTATAGCGCCGGGTATCTTACCGATTCCGTCGATTGGGATACCGGCAGCAATCCACTTCTTGACATGGCTGACCATACCGGTCACCTTGGAATAAGAGGCGGAATCCAGGCTTTGTAAGATCAGAATCATTGAAAAACGAAAAGAGCAGAGGGACATGACTCACTTGTAGTCATTGATGTAGAGCTTTGCATTTGGGTCTGCAGCACGAGCTGTTTCGAAAGCGATCCGCACAAAGTCCTCGCCGAGAACATTGTAGAAGACACTGCTACGTAGGGAACCATCTTCGTTGAAGATTTCATTCACAACGTCCTTGGATCGATCAGTAATGTAGTTTTGTAGAAGTCATGTTGTGGATATAACTTACCCAGGCGTAGATTTTACCCTTGTAACGGTTCATCAGCGTGGTAATGTGGTTTTTCAGGACATTTGTCAAAGTTGTTTTGTCTGAGATGGAAGAGACCCAGGATGGGAGCTGAGAGTGCCACACTTGACGAGTTTAGCTACTCATATTATGCTTGAATACTAAAACTTCGAGTACTTACCGAGAGTATGGCCGCGGATCAGCTTCCCATTTGACTGAGCAAAGTCGACCTAGATTCTATTAGGACCAGGCAAAGAAGCAACTGTTATGAAAAGGTTAGGTACATACCAGATAGTCCGACCCTGTGAAAGAGAACTGGCCCGAGCTTGCTATTTTGCAAATCAGCTTCCAGTACTCTAGTTACCGCGAGACAGCTATACTCACGCTCAGTAGCATCCCACTTCATACTGTTCTCCGGAGTCAATTGACCGAAGTCGGCCTTGATAATTGCCGGGGTCTTTGCGTTCTTGTTGAAGGAGTACTGATCACCGATATTTCCAAGGTATTTCTTTCCGTGGGCCTTGAATTTGGTATCAATGCTCACAGAGGCCTGTCGGGATTCGACGGGCCCGGCAAGCACTTGGCCTGCAAAAAGGACAGCTAGAGCAGCTGCCTTGATTTGAACCATATTGGAAAAGATGTTGATGCTTCAAGTCGATGAATGAAAGTGAGTGTGAGTGAGTATGGCAGAAGAAAGACACTATCCGAGAGGGATGGAGACAATACTTATACAGGACAGGAGCCAGCGTTCCTTAGGGAGAAGAAGTTGATAGTTGAGATGCTAGCTAAATGGAGATCCTTCCCCGATGGGAAACGGATATTGCCTATTTTGTTCAAGATCCTAGCAAATAACTACAGGAAATAATATTCGACCTTTTGTTCAGCCTAAATATTTGCATAGAAGATTTCAGGCTGGAAGCTATGTGGGTTAGTAATTTGATCTTTGTATCCTATCAAAAAGCCACGTTCCTTTCAGATAGTCCCATTGCAAGTTCTAGCCCCAATATGAAACAATGAAAGGCCCTACAATACTTGGCTTGTGTTCCAGGGTAGACCAATGTGGTGGGTGGAGTCCAAAAAAAGGCTCCTCACGAGTGGAGATGACGCCGATCACCTGCACTTTGAAGTTCGTCCAAACTAGCTAGCTCCAAATTCGCCAAGCAGGGTCTCCCTCGGTTACAAATATGCTCAACTATTCTCGACTTCCTCGGCAAAATTCCCCGAGGTACCTCCGAGCCGATCAGACATTCTTCAAGGAGCTTTCGGCAAGCCACAACCCGCACCATGAAGATAACAAGCGCCAAACCGAAAGTGTTTTGAGATTAGTGTGTTTTATAGTGAAACAACCCTATAATAACGATGTATCAGCAAGGATCAATTCATTCAGCGTCCTCATCAAGAAACCATGTCTGGATTCATCATTCCTTCGATACAATAATCCAGCCTTACAAAGCAGTCCCCACAATTCCGTATCTATAACATAATAGTATAGTCAAAACAAGGTTCGACACGATTAACTTGACGCGGGGCTCATGCCGGCATCTAGTTCCAGAAAGGCAATAGTCCGGCGGACGATTGTTTCTGGCTAATGTTGTTTACCCGCTAGCACTCCTGGACCCTTTTTCTGAGAGGGCAACAAATCAAAAAACATGCCAAGCGCCGCCTCTTACCGACTGAAACGTCGTGGAGTCTATTTACGCAGAGAAGGGGTCCTGCTCAGTTTATTTTAACCGGTCCGACAATTCAACCTATAAGCCGTACGTGGAATACTTATATAAGATCGGTCTCTGCCAAGATACTTCTGTTTTTCAAGTCTTCAATCATTCAAACCGTCGCTGACTAGAAACTAAACGACAATGAGGTTCCTCCAGGCAAACGCTGGCTTGCTGTCATCTGGCGTATTCTTGCTCGCATCGGTGCCAGGTGTCGTCGCCGACTGTGCTCTTCCATCGACTTATAGTTGGACATCAACAAGCGCTCTAGCGAATCCAAAGTCCGGATGGACGGCAATCAAAGATTTCACCAATGTGGTCTTCAACAACCAGCATCTCGTCTATGCGTCAACCACAGACTCGAATGGGAACTACGGCTCGATGAACTTCGGCACGTTTTCGGATTGGTCTGGCATGGCATCTGCTAGTCAAAACGCAATGAGCTTTTCAGCCGTTGCTCCCACTTTGTTCTACTTCCAACCAAAGAATGTCTGGGTCCTGGCCTATCAATGGGGCTCGAGCACGTTCACCTACCGAACATCAAGTGACCCTACCAATGCGAATGGGTGGTCATCGGAGCAAGCCCTTTTTTCGGGAAAGATCTCCGGCTCGTCTACTGGTGCCATTGATCAGACCGTTATCGGTGACTCTACGCATATGTACCTTTACTTTGCGGGAGACAATGGCAAGATCTATCGCTCCAGCATGTCCATCGACAGTTTCCCTGGAAACTTCGGAACAGCGTCAGAGGTAGTCCTGAGTGACAGTCAGAACAATCTATTCGAGGCGGTCCAAGTGTACACGGTCAAAGGCCAAAACAAGTACCTGATGATCGTCGAGGCGATTGGGTCAACGGGGCACCGGTATTTCCGTTCATTCACCGCCAGCAGTCTCGGCGGTTCGTGGACGCCGCAGGCAGCAACCGAGAGCAACCCGTTCGCCGGGAAAGCCAACAGCGGTGCAAGCTGGACCGATGATATAAGTCACGGTGATTTGGTTCGCACCAACCCTGACCAAACAATGACCATCGACCCATGCAACCTGCAGTTCCTCTACCAGGGACAGAACCCGAACTCCGGTGGCAACTACAATAGCCTACCGTGGAGGCCGGCCTTGCTCACTCTGAAGAACTAAAGGGGTTTTGGTATTGATGAAAGAGGGGGTTCCGGAGCTGTCGAGACGAAATTGTGAGAGGTGTGAGATGGTGACTATGAGGACCAGGAAGGGGTCGAGGAACATGTGTCCGAACCATTAGGAGCAATTTCACGCATTCATTGTTTTCATTATGCGCCGGATCCGCTCATATAGAGCATACATCTCGAGTAGAAAGTAGGCCGGGGATATCGTTTCGTCTAGTATTCTCAGTATTTACGGCAGACTTGGAAAGTGTGTCGGCTATCACTTCTATCACTTTACCGAGGGGAAGAATGGATACAGTAGAAGAACTTTCTCCACATTCTGGAAAAAGAAACTGCAGATTAATGGGAGAGAAGCGAAGGCATGAGGAAGATCACATCCAGCGCATTTTTCTCTTTTACATAAGCTATTGTCGCTCAAATGGATACATTTGAACAGACTTACGCATAACCCAGTTTGTGTCGAAGACTCTGACCGAAAACCCAACCCAGCCTGGGTCCGAGTTGGGTCCGGGTTGGGTCGGGCGCAAGTCCATATTCGGATGACGGCTCACAAAGGTGGATACCAAACACGGGCAGTTACCGCGATGGCATTCTAGTCCCGGGTAAGCGGTGATCAAATCCAATAGCTAAATTTAAATTTAACAATCACAAACGAAATTGCCCCCGATGCTTCCAACGAATGTAAAACGACTTCGATCTGACTCTTCTGTCTTACACTGTTGTCCTCAACAGTTGTGTCTGTGTTTGAGCTATTCCAGGCTCGACAATTAGATTGAATCAGCTCGATCTGAAAATTAATCATCGTGGCAAATCTGGTGAAGAGGTTGACAGCCGCCTGCATTGTCCCACTCACCAAACGCATAGGCACCTACAAGGGTATACCCTGTTTCTGTTGTAGTGATATCCGCCGACTGGGTGATTGTCTCGTTGATTGTCGTAGCTTCGGAGCCTGTGATGGTCTGAACGACGGTGATCTCGCTAGTGGAGGTGTCGTCCACCTCAGGCCACTAATTGGGTCACAGATGCTGTTACCCAAGCAGTGACATCGACAGTAGCCAGGGATATCACTTCCGCTGTCACGTCACGTGTAGCCACGTCGGTCAATGTGGCGGTCTCAGAATCGGGGACAGTAACGGTGATGGCATCGGAGAGTATGGTTTCTGTGTCAAGGGTGACTGGAGAACTAGACTGGAGAACTAACATGGATCACTGTGCTAGAGGTCTCGTAGACAACCACATCAGAACTCAACGTGGTGGCAGCCTGGGTGGCAGTGCTGGTCAAATATGTCGTGAGAAATTGGGTGACATAGACAGTCTGCACTCCAATAATGGAAGTTTCGGTAACAGTTTGAGACTCTCGCATAATATCTGTCACGAATGCAGTCACGGTGGACGGTGCCAGATTCATTCTGACGCATGCTTCTGATATAATCTCAAGATCAAAGATTGATAATTGTCTAGGGGTAGAGATCGCGGTGGTTCGGTCATCACTGACATCGTGCTTGACAACAGCAGGGATAGTAGCCTCAGTGGTAGTGTCAGCGCTATCGAGTGTCAGCTGGCAATATAATAAAACCAAGAAGCGATAAAAAGGGGGCTGCAGCTGACAAGACGAGCAGAGAAATCACTAAGAGCATGAATGCGCGGCTGGGTCAAACAAGCGTTCCTAGTAGTGAGTTGCGTGGTTGTACAGTATACTGTAAGAAAGTATATTCACAATAGATGGAGGTGGGTGGATTTAAGCTCCCAGGAAACGGGTTCGGGTGATTTGGATTGTTTGCATAAGTCAATCATTCTAGACCATGGTTCCCCTAGGCGCTCCCACCAGTTGTTGCCCCCCAGGAGCTAGATTGTGCGTCACCAAGTGGCCTGCCACTGAACAAAGACCGAAAACTCTATCCGGTCAAACCAGGTTGATAATTTACTATACGCTACAGCTAGTTGTTGAAGAACGCATTAACATCAAAGCTTTTGGCCATTCCCACAACCCCCTTGCCGTGGTTTGTGGCTTTGACATTGTGAATTTCCTGGTGAACCTCTCCGTTGTCATTGTCGCAATTGATGAGGCCGATAAGAAGCCTTCCGCCGTCACTCATGTCGACATTGGTAATTTTTTGCCCTGTACGCACTTGGTGAGCCTCCGCAAGCAGGCTTTCTAAGAGCTTTCGAGAATCATCTATTGCAGCACGTTGATCTTGGAGTTGCTCAACGACTTCGGCGCCACCTGGACGATCATCCAAGAGCTGCACTTCTGTCATCTTATGCAAGGCCAACGCCGCTACGGCCTTCTGTTTGTCAATCTCAATGATCTCCTGAGCAATCTCAGTTTCCTTTATACGAAGATCTTTTTGCATCGTGTCAACGATAGGGGATAAGCCTGCGATCGAAAGCCTGTGGAGCCAGTGAGCCTATGTCTGATGACCAAGCCAAACCTGTATCAGAAATGGAATACATATAAGATTGCGGTGCTGACTGCTGTGTCCATGGTAGACTTGTAGCGGTTGAGCTGCTCACATAAAGTCGTAACAGTTCGTTCAGCGAACAAGCCGACACGGACACGATCCCACACGTGCATCTTTTCACCCGAGCGCTTCGTCCACTGTACTATCTTTATGCGAAAATCACTGCAGGCTTTTTGGCAATGCATGATGGCCAACGACAGCGCCTTCCTCACATCGGGTGTGAGGTGTTCAAGCTGGGAGTTCTTCTGCGCATTATTCAAGGCCAGAAGGATGGCCTCCACACCCGTCAGCTCGTCCTTGAGACCAGCTATCATATCTGGTGCACCTTTGATAGCCTCGATCTCGTGGATCAATGATTGAATACTCTGTAGCGCTGCTTCAGTGATACCTAAAGCGCCAACAGTCAAGCTGAACGGATCCATCGTCGCGAAAGAACGAGTAGAATGGACCTCGCTTGAAGGAAATAGTGGGTTTAGATACTTTGACAGAGTCGTGCTCTTCTTTCGAATGGTTGTTTCAACATGATGGGTATGTTGTCAGCCGAACATAATTATGGATATTGGATGAAAGCGTAGGGTAGGATATGAACCGGCACTGGAAAATCGTGAGGCTTACATTTTATTTGCCGCCGATGCTCCTACTGCGAGGGCATGAGGCTTTATCAGCCAATCATTCACCTTCATGAACGGTATCGGACAACAAGCTTACCGGATAGAGCTAGGCGAAGTTCTAATTTTGGGCTTGGCCCCGCCTGTCAGCGCAAAGGACTGAACCAGTGGACCGCCCCTCCCTAATTGGAAGACGACACGTTTACAACGTGCAGTTTGCACGACTGGCCCCCAAGCGAACAAAGCGCGCGGAAACACCTGAATCTGTACGAGAGGATCAATGTCCCTGGTGACCGTATTTATAATTTCTTGGTCATCAGCCACCTCAGTAAGACAGTCGAGTCTCCATATTTTTCTTCTTTGAAGGGTACGATTTGCCCGTCTCAGTCATTTCGAATTTCTTATGCCTAGCGATCGTGATACGAGAGCCATGACTAGAGGAACGACGTCGAGAGCCCTCTTTACCCAGAATATCTCTGGAGTGAGCGCAGAATCGGGTGGAAAAATGTTCGTAGGATACTTAGATAATAGTAACAACATGAAATACTATGGTGGGACCCACTACCACCAGTATCCTGGTAAGTTCTTGGGCAAGAAAACTGACCGTGACTGCTAACAAACTCCTAGACCAAGATTGCGTAAAGAATTTGCGAATAACGGATCCCCGATCCGATAAATCTCGCGTCGAGAGCAATAAGGGTGGACTTTTGAAGGACTCCTATCGCTGGATCCTCGGTCATGCCGATTTCAAACAGTGGCAAAATGACCCAGAGAGCCGGCTACTCTGGATCAATGGCGATCCTGGGAAGGGCAAGACGATGTTACTATGCGGAATCATCAATGAGCTGACTGCGTTAACTGATAAGGATACGACCACGGTATCGTTCTTCTTCTGCGAGGCCACTAATTCTCACCTTAATAACGCCACGGCGGTTTTACGCGGACTACTCTATCTACTTCTCACCAAGCAGCCAGCTTTGATCCCACATATACAAAAAGAGTACGATAACGCTGGAAAACAGCTCTTCGAGGATGTTAATGCGTGGCACGCATTATCAAGGATCTTCGCCGATATCCTAAAAGATCAGCTCTTACAGAGCACTTATCTAATTATTAATGGACTCGACGAATGCACCCACGACCGACCCCTACTTCTCGATCTTGTGTCCAAAAATTCATCGGCGAATCCGAATGTCAAGTGGATTGTCTCCAGTCGTAACTGGACGGACATCGAAGAGTCTCTTGATAATACGGATCAAAAAGTAAAGCTTTGTTTGGAGTTGAACGAAACCTTTATCTCCGAAGCCGTGACTATCTACATTCACCATAAGGTTCAGATATTGGCAAAGCTAAAGAATTTTGATGAGGGACTTCTTGAGGCGGTTCGCTCCCACTTATTGTCAAACGCATATGGTACTTTCCTTTGGGTGGCCTTAGTCTGTGAGGAGCTCAAGAAAGGCAGAGCGCGGAACGCCTATAAACTACTGACTGCTTTTCCAGTAGGGCTAGATCCACTGTATAGGCGGATGATAGAGCATATTCAAGACTCGGAGGACGCAGAGGATGCAGAGATTCGCCTACGTATCTTGGCCGTCGTCGCTATCGTGTACCGCCCTATTACGCTTGAAGAACTACCGGCCTTGGTCGAACTACCCGAGTATTTCTCTAAAAATGACCAAAATTTAGCAGATTTAATTAGGGACTGTGGTTCCTTTCTGAGACTCTGTGGCCGTACAGTTTTTCTAGTTCACCAATCTGCAACAGACTTCCTGCTTAGAGAAGCATCAAATGAAAAGTTTTCCGTTTTCCCCCAGGGCATCCAAGCCAAACATCACGAAGTCTTTTCGCGGTCTCTACAGGCCATTTCCGAGATACTCCGACGCGATATCTACAATATTAAACATCCTGGATTTCCGATTGAACAAGTCAGACAACCTAATCCGGATCCGTTGGCAAAAGCACGGTACTCATGTATCTATTGGGTCGACCATCTACAGGATTGTGATTCTAGCCCAAATATCAATCAGGACCTTCACGAAGGTGGCGCCGTGGATGATTTTCTCCGTCGGAAATATCTCCATTGGATCGAATCCCTTAGTCTTCTCAGAAGCAATTCTGAAGGCATAGCGGCGATAGTCAAGCTTGATAGCTTACTCTGGGTTAGCGGTCATGATTACATCGAAATTTTCTTTTGCTAATAAGTAGGCGCTTTAGGTCAAAAAGGGTATTTCAGTGGCACTTTTGAAGCGAGTGGGTGATGCATCTCGATTTATCCGATACCATAGGCTGGCGACGGAGAATAGCCCCCTTCAAGTATATAGCTCATCGCTAATATTTAGCCCAACCCAGAGCATAACTAAAATCTGCTACCAAACGGAGAGACCAGGCTGGCTTGTCAATGAATCAGTGATAGCAGATGATTGGAGTCCATGTCTTCAAACCCTTGAGGGGCATAGCGGCAGGGTGGAGTCAATTACCTGGTCGCCGGATGGAAGCCGACTCGCATCAGGGTCATATGATCAGACTGTTAGGATCTGGGACCCGGTCACTGGCGAGTGTATGTCAACCCTCAAGGGGCATAGCGACGACGTCACGTCAATTGCCTGGTCGCCGGATGGAAGTCGACTCATATCAGGGTCATATGACCAGACCGTCAGAATCTGGGACCCGGTCACTGGTCAGTGTATATCTACTATTGAGGGGCATAACGGCTTGGTAAGGTCAATTACCTGGTCGCCGGATGGAAGCCGACTCGCATCAGGGTCAAATGATCAGACCGTTAGGATCTGGGACCCAGTCACTGACCAGTGCATATTCACCCTCGAGGGGCATAGCGACGACGTCACGTTAATTACCTGGTCGCCGGATGGCAGCCAACTCGCATCAGGGTCAGATGATCAGACCGTTAGGATCTGGGACCCAGTCACTGACTAGTGCATATTCACCCTCGAGGGGCATAGCGACTGGGTCACGTCAATTGCCTGGTCGCCGGATGGAAGCCGACTCGCATCAGGGTCAGATGATCAGACTGTTAGGATCTGGGACCCAGTCACTGGCTAGTGCATATTCACCCTCGAGGGGCATAGCGACTGGGTCACGTCAATTGCCTGGTCGCCGGATGGAAGCCAACTTGTATCAGGGTCAGATGATCAGACCGTCAGGATCTGGGACCTGGTCACTAGCGAGTGCATGTTAACCCTCGAGGGGCATATCGACTTAGTAAGGTCAATTACTTGGTCACCGGATGGCAGCCGAGTCGTATCGGGGTCAGATGATCAGACCATCAGAATCTGGAACTCGGTCACTGGCCAGTGCATATCAACCCTCGAGGGGCATAACGGCTTGGTTAGGTCAATTGCCTGGTCGCCGGATGGAAGCCGACTCGCATCAGGGTCAAATGATCAGACCGTCAGGATCTGGGACCTGGTCACTGGCCAGTGTATGCCAACCATCGAGGGGCATAGCGACGACGTCACGTCAATTGCCTGGTCGCCAGATGGCAGCCAAGTCGCATCGGGATCAGATAGTCAGATAGTTAGGATCTGGGACCCGGTCACTGGCCAGTGCATATCAACCCTCGAGGGGCATACTGGCTTGGTTAGGTCAATTACCTGGTCGCCGGATGGAAGCCAACTCGCATTAGGGTCAGATGATAAGACCGTCAGGATCTGGGACCCGGCCACTAGCCAGTGTATATCAACCCTCGAGGGGCACAATGGCTTAGTTAGGTTAATTACCTGGTCGCCGGATAGTAGCCAACTCGCATCAGGGTTAGATGATCAGACCGTTAGGATCTGGGACCCGGTCACTGGCCAGTGTATATCAACCCTTAAGGGGCATACCGGCTTAGTTAGGTCAATTGCCTGGTCGCCGGATGGAAGCCGACTTGCATCAGGGTCAAATGATCAGACCGTTAGGATCTGGGACCCGGTCACTGGCCAGTGCATACCAACTATCGAGGGGCATAGCGACGACGTCACGTCAATTACCTGGTCGCCGGATGGAAGCCGACTCACATCAGGGTCAGATGATCAGACCGTCAGGATCTGGGACCCGGTCACTGGCCAATGCATATTCACCCTCGAGGGGCATAGCGACTGGGTCATATCAATTGCCTGGTCGCCGGATGGAAGCCGACTCGCATCAGGGTCAGATGATCAGACCGTCAGGATATGGGACCTGGTCACCGGTCAGTGCATGTCAACCCTTCCTGTTGGTTCTCCTGAGGGTCTTCGATTTGACAAAGTCAATCTGAATCATCTACATACTAGTGTTGGAACATTCAATCTCGAAAATGGTGTCTCTATCAAGACTTCCCTTGACCGTTCGGCTCTCCTGCCACATCAAACAGGGTATGGCTTTAGTGATAACCTTGCCTGGATAACCTATAGAGGAGAAAATCTTCTATGGTTGCCCTCAGAGTATCGGCCGACCGTTTTCTCATCATCGGCCATAGCGTTAAATCTGGCAATCGGCTGTTCGTCGGGTCGCGTCTTAATCTTTAGATTCTCGAAGAAGCTCGGCGCCGAACATCCTGACACGCTAGCGAGTATGACCAATCTAGCCCATACCCTAAGGCCATCGGGTCAAGACAAAGCCGCTTCGTAGTTGATGGCCGAATGCGTTCGACTTCGCGACCGAAACTTAGGCCCTGACCAACCCCGCATACTATGCCTTCCAAGTCTACTCTTAATGAATGGCATGAGAAGTGTGACTCTACATCTTCTCAATCCATCAAAGCGCCGACTGAAACAAAAGAAAACCAAATCCTAGCCTTTTCGGAACCGTTAAGGCGGATTCCAAACCTGGCGGAAATCATAGGCGCACAATCTTCTCACGCCTCTTCCGCAGAAAGTAGGACTCTACCCTCTTCAATTATTTTGGAAGAGAGCTTATTTTCATGGTAGTGAAAAGAATGGAAATAAAAAAATTCTGTCATCGCAACTGTGAATAGCTCTATTACTCTTACAGTAATGTACAGATATAACATCCAGCATTTAAGATTCCATCATGTTCACTAAAACACATAGCTTCTGGATACATTACGTATAGTAGTATTCAGAAAGTAGCTCGTATCTAATGAACTCATTAACTGTCAGATTGCAAGATCCTATCAGCAACAGCCCTTGGTTTGTATGGAAGTTTCTAGAATTTTTCTTTTTCGAATAAACGGGTGACTTGCGGGCCTGTATTATATCCGATGTTCCGTACCATACGCCAAGACCGTTCAAACCAAAGACGATCGGCAATCTAGCCGAATCCGGCCTAGAAGGTTTCACCACCATCTTGGCGGTGGGGCTTGAGCTAGTGTCTCTGTGTAAAACATGGAAGCCAATTTCGAATATTGCTATATCCAGAATGCGCAATGCATCTAAAGCTTCGCTCGGAACACACTTCGTAATGACTCCAGACCTGAAGGTCCGTCGTAGATTTGTTGCTCGGTCATGCGGGTGTTGATCTGCAGAAGTTAGGATTGAACAAATCGAGGAATGCAGGATGCAGTGAGCTTACATGTTGCGGGCCCAGCTGATCAACCGTCTCTACGCCTAGTAGACGCATGGCAGTCTTGCTTTCGTCGGCGAGAACTGTTTTCAAAATTTAGCGTGGTCCATATAAGGGTTTCAAAATGGAACATACTCTGCAATGTCCGGCGGACACCATCTACACCACCGGCTGCAAGACCCCAGAGAGCACCTCGGCCAATGCCCACGCCCTTGGCGCCTAGACAGAGAGCCTTGACGACATCTGTGCCGCGTCTGATACCGCCATCCACATAGACTTCGAGCTTGTCGAAGACCTCGGGGCAGAATTTGCGGATCTCTAGCAGGGTGTGCACGGCTGGTGGTGCGGTATCTGTGGCGCGACCGCCGTGGTTGGACAGGATGATGCCCTTGACTTGTGGTGTATGGAGGGAGGCGAGATATGCGTCTTCGTGAGTTTGCAGGCCCTTCAGGACAATCGGGAGATCTGTCTGCTTGGCCAGCCAAGGCAGAGTTTCCTGCCATGTCAAGGAGGGATCCGTGCCGGCAAAGAGTTGTTGGCCAACACCACCCGATCCCCCAGAAACATCGGGTGTATCATCTGAGGTGCGCTCGGCAGCCTTGACACCACTAGGCACAGATGTCGCAGCTCCAGCTACACTATTGCGCTCGTCATCTTCACGCTTGCCCGGAACAGGAGCGTCAAGAGTGAGAACAATAAACTTGATACTCTTCAGCTTGTTGATACGTGCAAGCATCGTCTCGCTCTTCTTCCTATCAATCTGAACATAGAGCTGCCATCCAAAGACCTGATCTGGGGATGCATCCTTGACAATCTGTTCCGGGGTCATAGAAGCATTATTCGAGATAATCTGCATTGCACCAAAGCTACGGCACGCCTCCGCAATACCAGCCTCACCAGACGGATGTCCGAGACGGGCCATGGCAGCCGGGGAGACATAAATGGGCATACCCAACTTATGTCCCAGAGCAGATGTGTCCAAGTCGCATTTCGTGCAATCGACAAATACTCTCGGCCGTAGAAGAATAGATTTGTACACCTCGTTGTTGAAACGCTTGGAGACCATATCGTCGGCTGCTGAATAATAGTAGGCCCATGCTTTCTGGCTGATTTGCTTGGTCGCCACCTCCTCGATTTCGTCCAAGTTGAGAAGTGTCTCCACGGGAGGCGGGCCCTGCGCGGGTTCTTGGGACTCGGCGGGGGCCTCTTCCTTTGGTAATGTGCTTGCGTCTACAGTACCCAGACAGCATTCGGGCTTGAGCTCCTCCTCGAGGGTACCGGGAGGATGGATAGGGTCGTATTCTTCAGTGGCATCCTTGCCCGACAGCTTTAGGATGATCTTCGCACCACCAGGGTGCTCGGATAGGAAATCGGTCACCTAAATTCGTCGCCGTCAATTCCTATTTTGCTTGAAATATATGGAAGATGGTAGACCTCACATCGTAGACTTTTCCGTATAGGATAACCCAGCAGCTCTCGCGGGTGTTGTGCTTTGCGACTGTGTTGGAGTCAGACTTGAGCCGATTGCGAACGCAGCGGGGCCTGCCGAGAACCTACCTTCTGCCGCATCGAATACCTTGGCCATTATGAACAGCACTGAACAGCACTCAGGAAAGGAGAGCGTATAGGAATCAATCGCAGAAGAGAAAGGGGGAATTGAAGAAGTCGGGGACAAAAGCGCACTGTTCGGAGAAGGCGCCGTCGTGGAGTGTGGGGAAGACGGCGACTGAATGCTATGTTGGGCAAATTCGATAGCCGACCGTCTGGAGTATTAGAAACACGCTCACGTCATTGGTGGGGAAATTGATCGGTGTTTTTACACGACTCAAGTTCCTGATAAATGCCCATGCTCTACAAATGGATTAAGACAATCGGAAATTGATATCCACGGCGACTGTCTCCGACATGGAAATGATAAATACAAAAAGCCGAAAACAGGCCAAGCGTACATTGCGGCCACGTGAGAGCCGGTCACGCGCTCCGAGCTGAACTGACATCAAATGCAACTCTATCTGCAACTTTGACTTGAGCAAAATCCCGGTAGTTACCATGTTTGAGGTATGCCCATCATCTGCTTGTGCCTGAGCAGTCTTGCTCCTGCGACTTGTCCAGTCCTTACTAACTGATCCAGCGACGGGCGGCTGATCGTTATCATCTGCGGATGCACCGCGCCCGCTCGGCAGTACTGACTACAGAAGAAATCGTTGAAGTCCGCGCTGCCCAGCGAACCTTTGAAGGCGCGTACGTCCGCACCGCCCTCTCCCAGTTCTCCTTCGCCCTCGTCGTACTTAAGATCTTCACCGCCGAGTTCTACAGTATCGGAGCCCTGTTCGCCATCTACGGTACCGGTGTCCTCATAATCGGCCTATTCCGCCGCTCACAAGGAAACCGACAGTTCTTTTCGGAGCTAGGAGAGGATGGTATTCACCGGCATAAGTTCCGCACGAGTGGAAATGCAGTGGTAGTTCTGACTGCGCTGAGTATCGCGGCGTACGCGTGCTTGATCGGTCTGACTCTGAACCTGGGTTCATGATGAGCGGGGATGCGACCGCCCACTCCTCGAACCTGCAGTCATTTCTCCCGGGCAATGTGTGCAACCCCCTGCGTTACCGCCAAGTGCCAAGGATTCTGCATCACAAAACTGTATTGATTATCTCCCTGGCGGCAGGCGGCAGCGGAGGATCACCGTGAGCCGGCGGAAGCCTGCTGTTGGTCGGAATCCGAGCTGCTGTGCTGAGGAACGAGACCCGCCAAGGATGCCGAGTATGTCCTGCGGAAAGGGAGGACTGGCCCGAGCGGTGAGGCGTATGTTGCACAAGGCGTCCCAAGAATCAGCTGTGCCTCTACCGGACGCGTCCGGATTCGAATCGGTTGATGGGCCAAGATTTTTGGTTCTCCCAACGGACGTGGATAACTGGGGTTGGCAGATAGTAACTATTGCTGAGCCATCGTTTACGCGAAACTGTAGTCGGAGTATCAGCGGGCATCACAGGGTTTGATATGCGCACAGGGATGAAGCTGCGACTGATCCACTGTGCCGATTCAGCCTGGGATATGTGTTGAGCCAAGCATTCTAGGCTGGAGATAAAGACAGTACAGTATGCAATAGATTCGCCATGCCTTCCTTGCACAATCTGCCCGGACCGTATATAGAGCTCCAATCCATCTGCAAATAGGCTTTTTTCTTTCCAAGATCTACTTGCATAAAATAGTTCATCTTGACATCATATGGAAATGTTAACGCCATTGTGATCCACCAAGTGGACTCGTCGATCAACAGAACAGCTGTGACTTCATCCACTAGGCTTGTTCCTAACAGATCCATTATCTTCTCTTTTCTTTCGTCTTGATTAACTTCAGTAACTGGCTACCTATCAATTCAGCACGGTGCACGTTCCGTTCAGGTACCTCGATTGGGAAGATTCGCCTCAACACGCTGGGCCTGTCTGACCACCCCCAAGGCCCTTTATCACGACCGATCAGCGCACACAACGAAAGGTACCCCGCGAAGCATCAATCCCGAGCATCCCGATTCGACAAAACTCCTGCGTGGTGCGTCTACGCTGCAAAAAGTGTTGAGCCACGGCGTTCGCAGTGACGTTCTGTTCGGAGTTGAGTCATCCGTCCCGCTCACTTTTCCCAAGTGGCCCCTCCCACTTTTGAACCCTCGAGAATCTTGACGGCCAGCTCAAACCCCATTCCTCAAGGGCCTCTAAAAGCAACTTCCACCATCACAGACGGCTAAGTCCTTCCCTGCTGGGGATGGCGCAGCATTCCAGCATCGCACGGTCGGCGATGACGTCGAACACGCCAGATCCTGCAGCTCTGGGCGATCAGAGGAATATGAATCGGCCCAACGGCTTCAGTTCAAAAGAAACTAGCCCCGGCCCGACTAAGGATGGAGCTTTAATGCCTCCTCCGAAGTCCGTGGTCGGACGAGCGCTAGGAAATGACTTGCATTCCGATGTCCACAAAACATCGCAGGCGCCCAAGGGCGGAGTCGGAACTGCCCTGACTGACACTCCGATTTCTACCGCACCCCCGTCTCCACAGATGTAAGTCCCTGCCTCTGAGTCGTCAGTTACCCGGTGCCTGGAACTTTGTCACGATCTTCTTCTTCCCCGAACCTATGAGCGTGTGAGGTGCTCCGGGTCATGTCTATCCCGCCTGTTGTGGGCGCTGTCGTCGGCGGAAAAGGCGTCACTCTTTGGTGCATCCCGGACCCTCATGCTTCCCCATGTGCGGCTGCGCCGCGTAGCCCGTCCCGTGATTGCTCCTCTTTTTTTCAATAAGCTTCTCATGTCTAACCTTGTTGGTCCTTTGCAGAACTGGTTCATCCGGAACACCTAGCCGCATTCGGGCAACCACTCTTGATATTCCTGGCCTGACCAAGTCCAAGGTCTCCCCAGATGGCCGTATTGCCCAGCGTGATGTCGGCGCAAAGCTGGTCATCGTTATGGTCGGCCTGCCGGCTCGAGGCAAGAGTTACATTACCAAGAAGCTGGCTCGCTACTTGAACTGGCTTCAGCACGATACCGAAATCTTCAATGTTGGCGAGCGTCGTCGTGTGGCAGCGGGCAGGTCACCCTCTCCAGCCAAGTTCGATCTTGGTCAGGATAAAAGCCCGAAGAATGTTCACAAGGACCTCGTTGACTCGGTGCGCCGCTTGAGCGTCAGCGTTGGGAACACTATGAACAAGAAAGACTCACCGCCAGAGGAGACTGATGATATTCATCTTCCACCTCCGGTTGTTCCCGCTAAGATTCTCATTAATGGTCAAGATCCTGAAAACCAATTCTCGACAAATGGAAGCACCGTGGTGCCATCCATCGACGCAGATCCGGGTCAGTCCCAAAACGACCATGCTATTAAGGAGGCTTCTCCAGAGCTCATGGACCAGACTGCCAACTTCTTTGATCCTCAAAACCAGCGTGCTGTCAAGCTTCGAGAGCAGGTTGCGCTAGACACCCTCGACGAGTTGCTCGAGTACATCCTGGAGCGCGGTGGCAGTGTTGGTATTCTCGATGCTACCAACAGCACCATGGAACGTCGCAAGGCCATCGTGGATCACGTCCGCAAGCGTGCTGGCACCGAGCTGGGCATTCTCTTCCTGGAAAGTAGCTGTGTGGACAAGGACCTGCTGGAGGCGAACATGCGCCTGAAGCTTTCCGGTCCTGACTACAAGGGTCAGGACCCCGAGACCGCTCTTGCGGACTTCAAGAAGCGTGTCGCCCTTTACGAAAATTCGTACGTTCCGTTGGGTGAATACGAAGAGAAGCAAAACATGGCCTTTATCCAAATGATCGATGTTGGTCGCAAGATGGTTTCCCATCAGACACATGGTTTCCTCTCTTCCCAGGTTGTTTATTATCTCCTGAACTTCAATCTTTCGCCTCGCCAGATTTGGATCACACGCCACGGCGAAAGCCTGGACGACCAGGCTGGCCGTATCGGCGGAGACTCGGATCTAAGTGAGAATGGCAAGCGTTATGCTAAGGCTCTCACTCGCTTCACCGATCATCAGCGAAAGCAGTGGGAGATGTACCAACGCCAGAAGGACCTGCTCTGGAATTTCCCGCCTCGAGCTGGTGACAGTACCCCTCCCAACCCGTCGTACATTCCTCGTGACCGGCCGCGTAACTTTTGCGTATGGTCTTCCATGATGAAACGATCCATTCAAACCGTCGAGCACTTCAACGAGGATGATTATGATATCAAGCAGATGCGCATGCTTGATGAGCTCCACTCGGGAATGATGGAAGGCATGACCTATAAGGAGATTCAGAAGCAGTACCCCGAGGAATACGCCCACCGCAAGAAGAACAAGCTTTTCTACCGGTACCCCGGCCCTGGTGGGGAAGGCTATCTCGACATCATCAACCGCCTCCGAGCCGTCATCGTCGAGGTCGAGCGTACGACCGATCATGTTCTCCTGGTCAGCCACCGGTCTACCGCCCGAGTCCTGCTCTCCTACTTCCGTGGCCTCAAGCGCGACGAGGTCGCCCAGCTCGACGTTCCCATGGGAATGCTTTACATGCTTGAGCCCAAACCCTATGGTGTCGACTTCAAGGCCTACCGCTACAACCCGGAGACTGACTGGTTCGACTATCTTCCCCAGTACGAGCTGCACCAGGTGGGCGCAGCTGACACCAGCAACTGAGGTTATCATCCTCCACATTTCAAAGCGATTAAACTCGCTTTATGACTTCCCATGAACTGTGACGACTTTCCCGCAATATCAGAATGAATGCGGCTCCTCCTCGTGAATATCCATTGCTGCACATGATAATCTCGTCATTCCACTTCATTCTGTCGGGTTTTTCCTGGGGCCCTGTGAATTTTCACCCCAACCCGCTTGCCGTGTATTATCATGATGAACCTCTTGCCAATCCTCTGATTGTATTTCTTGCTTTTTTTCTCTTTCTCTTACTTTTCGTGGCAATTCTGCACTCGATGCATGACGGGAGTTCCTCTTCTTTCCTGTACTTTTTTTTTCTCGCCTCATGATACTGTCTCGTATGGAGTTGGCGTTCGGAAGTAATGACCCATCCGCGCTACATGGCTCAGACGATTTCCAGACACCGATACACATGAACATTGATAGACGTGACCTGGGGCTTCGCTTTTATTTGCTGACGTTTGCCACCGATGTTGAGGAGTTTAGCAATGCAAAATATCACTAGTACAGTCATTCAAGTAGGAATAGAAATAGACATCGAAACGGGATATAGTATTGCTGCATTCAATTCAAGTATAGACAATAATCAGATCAAACAACCCCGGTGAGCCTACTCAGTCTCCTTGATCTTCTCAAAAATCTCTAAGAAGGTCTCCGGCTCATCAGCCCCCTCGACGCAATACTTCCCCTGCACCTCAAAATAAGGCACCCCACTGACCAATCTCCTCGACGCCATCTTCGCCTCCCCGTCAACTTCCGCCCCTCCATCTTCAGAATCAAGCAACCCTTTAACACTCCCTCTGGCCAACCCAGCCTCAACTCCCGCCTCTTCCAAAATCCTCACATCCGTAATATTCTTCTCATCCTCAAAATACGCTTTGAACAACTTCTCCGCAACCCGCGTCTGGATCCCCCCAATCTCCGCTCCAGTCCCTTTCTTGCCATTGGCTTCGGCTTCCTGCTCACCAGCATACCAAAGCAGCCGATGCGAGTCTCGGGTTGACCCCGTGTTCCCGCCAAACTTGAAACTGATCCCGTCGCTTTCCCCGACGGCCGAGAGACGCTTGAACATTGCGGCTGAGCGCTCGGCACCGAATTTCATACTGTACATTTCTTGCTTGTTGACGCCTGGGTATTGCGGTGAGGCAGGGTTGAGGTAGAATGCTTTCCAGGTTATGTTGAATGTGTCGGTTGGGTGGGTGGCTCGGTGGGCGACGATTGCGCGCGAGAGACGGCGGTAGCCGACGTAGCACCACTGGATTTGGGTTAAATTTGGGACTCGCTTGGGGGGGTTCGGAGTTGCTTACCGGGCACACGGTGTCGGAGATGATCTGGATATTGAAGTTGGTCATTTTGGTGGGTGGTGAGGGGAAGAGAGATCCGAGGTCTGAGGGTGTACATTTTGTACTTTAACTCCGAATCGCGAGTTGACGCTTAATTTGTCAGCAATTGGATCCACTGCCACTTGATGGGGAGTCTTGGTTGGTTGGTTATTTTGGGTCTGTGGGTACATTTTTAATCAATTAAGCATAATCGGTACAATTTTAGTCAGTTAAGTATAATCATAGATTTAGATCGAGGGGCTTTCTAAGTTCGTTGTTCATGGATTGCTCTTTGGTTATGCTAGGTGTGATGGTGATTTACGGTATGTCCCCACGCTATCATGGTATCGGTCGGGTTTCCCACGCTGCTCTGTACATTGCTTTCTTCTCATATCTTTGCAGGAAATGAGGAAAGAGATCAAGGAACCTCCTTGTCATGTATGAACCGCTTCAGCTATCGCATCATCTACCCACCCCTGGAAAAGGTGGGCCAAATAGACCGCCTCCCTGCATCGATCGTGAAGATGTGTCGAATAGATGCTGCATGATTTAGCGCTTATCACAATGCAAGTCTGATCACAAAACCTGCGCATTCTGAACAAATGAGGGTTACAGAAAGCCCAAGGCCCTCCCCCACACACGCATTGCCAGGTTATAAAAGCCAGAGGATTATCGTTGTTTCCTGCTCTGAAGAGTGTTCAATCCGCATATATTTTTTATTTTGCCAAAATGACGTTAGAAACATCTCAAAGGAAACTACCGCGCACCGGCTTAGCTGCCCTGCTCACAAACCTCGATATCCCGGGCGAAATCAAACTCCCAAATGGCTCCATCGTCCCCATCGGCTCCGGTGATCCCAAATATCGCATCATATTCCGCTCTGAAAGCGCCCTCCGCACACCAATGACAGAGTTGGGCGTTGGACGAGCCTACGTCTCAGGCGATATCCAAGTCGAAGGCGACTTTGGCGCTCTCTTTGGTGCACGTCAGAAATTAGCGGAAAAGGTACCTCTCCGACAGAAACTCCAATTCTTATACGACTATTTCCGCACCGCGACAACCATGAACTCCAAAGCCGTCAACGACCACTATGGTCGCGGCGACTACCTGTATCTCAAATTCATCGACAAGAGATTCAGGTTTTATTCTCAAGGAATCTTCAAGAACCCGGATGAAAGTATCGAGCAGGCTTCTGAGAATAAAATGGCGACTATATTCAAAGCCCTGAATCTCAAACCGGGTATGAGGGTGCTGGATCTTGGTGGTGGATGGGGTGGCGTGACACAGTATTGTGGTGCGAGAGGTGTGCATGTTACGACTTTGACTCTGACGGCTGACTCGGCGCGCTTCATTGAGAGGCTAATTACCGATAATAACCTGCCTGGTCAAGTGTTCCTGCAGGATTTCCTTGAACATAAGCCCGACGAGCTGTATGATCATATCGTCACGCTTGGTGCGATTGAACATCTCCCTGATTACCGTCGATTCTCTCGTTGTCTCTGGGATGTATTGAAGCCTGGTGGTCGAGTGTATCTTGATGGTTCAGCGGCTGTCACTAAATTCGCAGTGAGTTCTTGGACTCGGGATTATGTCTGGGGTGGAACGCATACTTTTATGACTGTGCAAGATGTTATGGCGGAGTTCTTGTATCATGGGTTTGAGATTGTGGAGGTGGCTAGGGAGACCAAAGATTATGAGTTGACTATGCTGGAATGGGCAAAGAGGTTTGATGAGGCCAAGGACGAGATTATTGCGGGTTGGGGTGAAGAGACGTATCGTGTCTTTCGCATTTTCTTATGGGGGGGTTCTCATGCTTTCAGGTCCAATTCTTTGCAGGCGTATCACATGGTTGCTGAGAAGACGGCTTCGATGGGACCCCGGCCGTCAACTTATAGGAGGGTTATTCAGTTTTTGGGAAATCTTCGCTAATTTATGTCACTTTCGATTGATTTTTTTTAATTGTTGTGAGATGCCATCTTCGGCGCTTTCAAGGTTTGAGGGTCTGAAGGATTTACGCTAGATGCCTTGAGGCTGACGGACTGTGAGATAAGATCTTTGGGCGCTAGCCACAGCCCTACTATCTCTAGCTTGTTGGCCCTCGTATCGGACTTTGGCGGTTCGGCAATCAACAGTGTCGGATTCGCTCCGAGAGTTTAGACGTGTTTCATTTCACGACCCGACCGCGAAGACACCACTTGGCAGCGAAGAAGTCAGCCTTTGGGGGAGATAGAGGGATATGTGCCTGGGTCCTTGCTTGGTCGCGAAGACCCTACCCAACTGGGCGGAACTAACACCCAGAGGCTCAACTGGCGATGGCAGGGACTGAAGGATGGTTTTCCCCTTCAGGGACCGGCCCCGGAAATTCAAGTTTTTCAGATCTGTAAGGGCCCAGACTGAGCCAATCCGCCGACATCCGCCCCTGCGCGATCCCCGATCGAGTTAGTCTTCTTTCCCTGTTTGACCTGACTATTGTTATCAGCCAATCAGAGCCCCAAACCAGAAGAACTAGCTGCAAGAACTGTAAACTCTCAGGGTCTTGGCGGCTTATGTCCGGTCTGCATTCAAAGCGTCCCTGTTCTATTAATTCGGGGGCGTTTCCGCTCTATTCGATCTTCTCTTCCGTCGATTCACCCACGGTCTTTTCCTCCCTCCAATTTGCTATACACGAGTTTAATCGATACCTATTAATTGAATACTTGAAATCGCTCCGGATGCGTTTCCAATCTCTCACTCTGCTGGCTGGCGCCGCCATCGCCGCCGCCGACAGCACCGTCACTCTTTTCCTGCCTGGTTTCGATACGCAGCCCCTTGACGGGAAAATTCTCGGCTCAGTACGAAATTCTTTCCTCCCATTGATATAGAAATACTAATCCATTTTCTTCAGAGTGGCGCCATGACCACCTATAGTCTCAACTGCCCCAGTGGAGAGGACTCCAGCGACTGCGGAGTTCCCCCGGGGTTCATCGTCACGCAAGGAGGTTCATCTATGAAATATGGCTATAGCTACGATTCCGAGTGAGTATTTCCACGACTTCCTACCCGGTATCATCATTGACACGTATGCAGGACCGTCTCTGAAGATTGCAAATTTCAGGGTACCACTCGTGCCACCTGCTGGGCTAACATTGTTTCTGACGGCTCTTCTTCGTCAATGAGCACCGCTTTTGATGTCACGTCTATTCCCTACGGTGGCTTCATGCCTGTCCACGTCACTGCTACCGAGTCTGGCGGTGCTGCGGCTTCAACTGGTGCTTCTGTTTCTGCTACTACGGCCACCGCTACCGGAACTTCCACGGGTACTTCCACTGGATCCGCTACCACTCTCACCAGTACTGGCTCTGATAGCAGCACCGCTACGGCTTCTTCCAGCAAGACTGAGTCTACAAACGCTGCTATGCCCAAGATGACTGGTAACGCTCGCTGGGTGGCTGGCGGTGCCGCCGCTGCTCTGGCTCTGATTGCTGTTTAATGGATTTGAGTCAAATGTAGAGTCATTTCAATTTTCTTCAGCACTATACGATAAGCAAATGTACAAATACGAGATGGAATATATGATGCCGGGAAGAGCTGATTCTCGATTCTTAATTCCTCCCGATAATCTATACCACTCTCAACCCTTTCCTCCTGACTTTCTAATACCTGTCAATCATCTTAGCAACTGCGAATGGTCTCTTGTGTCTTCCTAAATTGACGTTCTCTGGTCCTTCAATATCTCTCACGCGAACTCTCTCTGCTCGCACCCAACCATGCGGCATGTGTATGCCTGTTCAAACGGAATATCGATTTTAGGTGTGACTTTGATGTCTGAAATAGTAGAACTTGCTGCTGATTGTTTAGCTGCCGGACTTTTCATACGATGAGTTGATCTCTGATGATTAGGAATATGATCATTGTTTTATTCGCGGAAATAACGCTCACGGTAGCAGCCATCATTATGTTGATGAGTGTTTGCCGGAATCTCTGGCTGGCAGTCTCACGCTCCCAATTCCATCTACGGTTGGCTTGTTTCGCCGAGAACTACTGCCCCTTGATTCCATTAAAACCGACTAGATTGACTTCCTACGATTTCTACAGTGAGCAACTCCAGCACTTTATTGTAAACAACAACTGAATGTAATTGATTGATTTGTTTATAGCATCTACCTATACACGAAGATGAGCAGCAGAAGTGTTCATATCATGATGCCTGTGTACTTTCTCGTCACTAACGCGCACCTTCGCGCCGAGACAACGACCTGGATGGAAAATACCAAGCAGAAGGACGACGAGCGCGATAGGCGCGAACTCGAGGCACGCAAAATATACCTCATTGGTTGACAACTTTCCACCTAGACCCTCAGCTGTCTCTGCGAGACGGAAGACCGTTCTCAGATAGACCATAATTGTCGCAACGGAAAAGGCGAAGCAGAAGAGTTGATAGCCGTGCTCCTTGATGGTACGTCGAGCTCGGAATTGGAATGTTGCCATCAAGACGACAAAAATGCTCATCGCAAAGACCTGATAAGCGAGACCTGCCAGCAGGATGTGGTTCGCCGTTGTCGGGTCTTCTCTTCGAGACTCTTTCACACCGACCAGACAGGCGCCTGCGATCTGGACGATCGTTGAGACCGCATCTGAAGTAATGAAGAATCCCAAGATGACCTTCGGCTTAAGAAATGAGTATTGATTACCCAGTCGGGAGATAAGTGCCGAAAGAATCGTGTATATACCAGCAGCGAGGAATACCGGGGCAGTGACGATGAAGAAGTATTGAAGGACAAAGTAAATTAGGTTGTATGGGTCCTTTTCGGCTGATAGCGATCGCGCAATGTATCCAATGATCTCGAAAATTAAGCCCGTGGAGAATGTCATCCACCACCAGCTGTGAGTCGTAAGATTTTGCGTGGTATGCCCGATGAGGTGAACGAAGAACCATGCCGCAGCAAAGGCTGCAAGCCCGATGGAGGGCGTGTAGCCATAAATTATGATGCTGGTGTCATTTTTGCCGTTGGGATTGGGGAAAGTAGGGTCAACATAACCGAATGAACGGCCTATTCAGTTTAGAAAAATCAATATCGCTTAGGTTTCAATAAACTATTCGTAGTAGGACAGGCTGGCGTACCAACGATATTTGGCGTGATCATCTGGTACCACGCGATCTGAACCGTGGATGCAGCGAAATGTAAAACTCGCACTGGGTAGTGATAGGTTATTACCCCTAACTACTGTCGATTCTTGGGCATGGCATCATTTATCTACTGTCGCTAAGGAACAAGCCAAGAGAATTGATGGACTTTACCGTAGGTGGCGTTGTTCGAAGCTCTAACCGAGGTGCGATCGAAGGTTCGATCGATCCACGATCACCAATCGTAGGTCGGACACAAGGTCCCAACTGACAACTCGAGTGTAATACAAACCTGCAATTTCTCGAAGTCCAGATCAAAGTCTCGACTCAGAGGTGCCCGGGCGAGGCCAAATTGAGGCCAGTCATCGACTCAACTTCAACATTGCGCCAAGACTCGCTTGGGAATCGAGCGATGCATCCTGCCGGATAGCTACAACAAGCTTATAAGACAATGAGTCCAAAGAGACTACGATAGAAATGGTGGGGCCAACATGCTTAGATCATGCAGAATGCGAGGATCAAGGTCAAACTATTGTTCAGGAGTCTGCAAGAAAGCTCGTCGCGCATTCGGACACGGAACGCCAAGATGTTCTAGCAGTCGTACAATCAAATGCCGACTGCCAAGTTCTGGGCACCTCAGAAATACCCAGAAAAAGCCAAGAGGTACTGCCAGGGGCTAGGTTTAAATACAAAGTCGTCGAGAGCTTTAGATTAGAAACAAACGTGTGAAAGATCGTTTCTATTATTAATAAAGAAGTGGAAATTATATTTTGCTCATACCTAGATTGGGTAATTTTGCATAATACGTGACCAATTTCCGCTTGAATGCCTAAAAAACTTTTGATGGCGGAATCTATGTCAAGTTTGATGCAGCGAGACGTAAGGGTAGTTTGCTGTTTCAATATCTAGGGTATTGGTCCTGCTATACAGATACCAACAACTCCATGCAAACAGCGGTCAGTCGGCAACTATCAAGACAGGAATGGTACGCTCGTCTTTTCTTGGCCCATTTCTCACGTTATATACTGATACATCCCAGGCTTTGTTTACAAGTGACATTATTAGTTGCTCATACCAGCACCACTTATCTGTTACTTGGCCTATACTGTATCATCAGAACGTCTGGCTCATCCAAGAGTTTTTCTCATCATCGTAATCTCACATCTCATGTCTGCCTCCATGGAAGTGAGCATCAACATTGCTATTACCATAGGTTCATAGAATCGTCAGTCTATCCTCACCGTTCTCTCACCCCTCTCTTTGAATACATTCATATCCACTCGAAATAATCCTCACATAGATCTCTCTTCTGACCCTTGCGACTATGCGTCAAAGCAATAACAGCCCTCTTCAAAGAAAAACAAATTCAACAGGAACTGGAATCTCAGGGAACAACTTGTTAAAAAAAGTAAATAGTCATGACCAAGTCAAGCATACGAATAGCAACAAAGGCCAGAAATTTAGCCTAAAGCTCCCAAACGCTCAAAATGGGTCGCGTTCGTTAAAGGTTTGGTTCAACATCGAATCCCCCCGATTGGGCCATGACAGCCGACAGCCGATAGCATTCTATGGATATGGTGCTATTTTCGGTGGATCGCTTAATTCTCTCATTTGTCAAGAGTGGATTGAGAAAGTGCTTTGAATCATTATTTTCTATTATGAAGTCTTTGGTTCTAGTCTAGACTTTCGTTGTCGGTGACTGAAAGGGGCATGGTAGGTTTATCGGATACGAGGATGTGACTGATACGTATGTATGAAATGCTAGGGCTAAAGAGGTGTGTCATTTTAGTTATTACATTTAGAGTATATGAAAATGATAGCCTTGAGTGGGCAAAATTTCATGGCATGTATAGATATAGCTAGAGCACACAACTCCCAAAATGGCACTCCTAAAGCAAAGTAGATTTGTAGGTATTTGTTCACAGTGGAAGAGAAATAGAAGTGAAATGAAATGGTGACACCTTAAATGCCATTGATGCGAAATGTTCATAATACATACACAATAGCTCCATAAATGCAAGAAGAAACGGATGCCACAACTTTTGATGAAGTCGTGACGGAAAGCTGAATGTACAAGGTAACCACAGACAAAGGGCCACCAAGACAAGACCTCCGTGAGGGAACCTGCCCGTGATACATATCCGTTCTACATCACCTGCTGACCACCACCTGCCCACGAGGCAGCGTTCAGCACAGTGGAGTTGGAGTCGATAGGAGCTCCGTGGTGAGAATGACGGGATTTCTCAAGCATAGTGGTGTACTATTCGATGTTAGTTGGTAAGGTCATTGAAAGCGGTTAGGAAGTACGAACCTTGAAGCCAAAGTTGAGCACCAAAGCAACAGCCAGACCAACGCACACCACGAGAGGTCCGACCATGTTGTCGAGATCCTTGCCGCTGCGCTGGCGGATCAGACGTGCACGCTTTTCATACATGTACCAGCCCCAGGCGGCAGAGAAAAGAGCAAAAAATGTGTAGACGGCGGCGAGAGCCTGAGCCACACGGTTGTGTTTGCCGGCGGCGTTGTACAGACCCAGAGACAGACTGGAGAGCAGAATACTGATGTGCAGCCATTTGATGAAAGTACGCTGATTGGCGAGCCAAACCTTGCTCTCGACACGAACGGGGCCGGTATCCTTGATCCAGACTCCGGGGTGGCGAACACCAGGGGGCAAGGTAACGGTCTCTTCGCCCATCCACTTGGGCTTGATGCCCACAGACTGCAGCATGGAGGACATGCGGGAAGGGCGGGGCTCCTGGGTCTCGGTCTCCTGAATGGTTTCAGTCGGGGATTCCATATCACGGCGCTGAGGCTCGAAGGAGAGGATACGAGGGTTGGAGTGAGCATCGCTGACTCCAGAAGGTCGGCGGAGGTTGACACGGCCAAAGTCTCCTCCTTGGTGGAAGACATTCCATCGGCTGAGGGGTGAGCCGATCAAGGGGTTTGCGTTCGGGCTGCCTGTACCACCCAGGAAGCTACCAACGGCAATATCTTCCTCTGCGCGCTTGGCCAAACGCTCTTGTTCCTCGTGGAAAGCAGTCTCCGGGTCACGGCGAATGTCATTCTCCAGGGCGCCGAGCCAGAAGGGGAAGCTGTTGACATGGTCCTCGAACAACTGGGCGACACCGTGAACGAACTTGGAGAAGCGCGGGGCCTCCTTGACCAAGTGAGAGCTCATGAGGTCGTTGATCCACTCAGCGTCGTGGGCCTTGCCGCGAAGCTTGATCTCCAGCAGCCCATGGGGGAAGCGAGCGGCCTCTCCGGTGCGGATGCCGTTGAAGGGGTATGTCATGCCGGCGTTGTCAAGGTCGGTACGGTGCCACTCGGAGGGGTCACGGCAGGGACGCTCGCCGTCAAGGGCATCCTCACGAATAAGAGCAAGGTTGGTATCGAGAGAAATGCGGATGCGATCGTCACCAGGGATCTGGAAAGCGGTGCGGGTGTAGTTGGCGCGGAGCATGGGCTGCAGGTCATTCTCCTTGATGAACGCCTGGAGCTCCTCGACATCCTTCTTAAGGGTCTCGGCTTCGGTCGACTCGCCATTGTTCATATCTTCCATGCGATGAACCTTCTTGTCCAAATGGTACTCGCCGTCCAGGAACTCCTTGACGTGCTTCTCCTTGAGCTGCACCTTGACCTCGCGACTGCTGTCATCCTCGCCGACGATCTTCTTCTCCAGGAAGATGGGCGGCTTGTCTTGCAGCTGACCAGTCCAACGCAGCCGAAGAGATCCAGCTTCAGCGGCACGGGCAACCTTCTGGCCGTAGAGGTCGAAATGAGGAGTATCGAAATAGAGAGAGGTGATGGTAGGGTCATCGGTCATGGTGTCGATGTTTTTAGAAGTAGTGGGGTTGTAGATGAGGACAGGGAGACGACGGAGAATAAATGTCTTGACCTCAAGTACATTATCCGAGTGCACCCAGAACTTGTAAGAGGAGTACACGTCACGGCCATGAAGGCGCTCCGATTCCTTGGTCTGCACGACATTTTGGCTGAGAGCTTCTCGCACAAAGGCGTACATCACTGAGAGGCGATGAACCAGAGGCGAGTAGTCCTCTGAGTTGAAAGGCAATTGGGACAGGCGGACCTGCAGTAAGGGCTTCACCTTATAGCGGGCGCCCCGCTTGCGGTCATGCTTCTTGGCAGCCTTCAGGAAGCCAGTGAAGTTGATGCGGCTATACTTTTCAAGCTCACTGACTTCATTAGTAATGCCATCGAGGTCCTGCAGGACCTCGGAAGCAATGGTGCGGCGCTCCTGGCCCTCCGGGACTTCAGCTTCCCCCTCAGTGGTCGGGGCCAGCGGGCGCAGCTTGGCCTCGCAGGCGGAGGTACGTTCCCGAAGCTGCTGAGAAGTCTGCACTTGGAAGGAATTGACCTTGTCCAGCTGAACATTCAGCAGTTCCTGGACGAAGGCCTCCTCGTCCTGTTCAGTCCATTGGCTGTCGTCGGAGTCACTAGCATCCGCGCCGTTGACATCATCCTCACGCAAGAGGGTTTTGAGCTTGGCGTAGTCAATGTACTTGCCCTTCCAAGGAGCGTACACGGCATGCCGGAGCGTCTTGCCGAAACGCATGGTAGCTCAGCCGTGGGGTTGGGCTAGATAGGAATGAGGTTGTGTAGCGTGGGAAGTAGCTACAAATCTGCAGGTGAGGGGAAGACAATCGGAAGAGTCAAAGCCCCAAGTCCAGGATTAAAATCTTCCAGCACCTGTGAGTAGCACCTGCAGGAAAAAAAAAAAAAGAAACAGACTAAAGTAAGCTACTGCAAGAGGCGTCGTCTCTCGTTTCGAGGTCGAGCACGTGCGCCCGTCCTTGGCCGTTAATTAACCGTCCGAGAACAGCCAATCATCCCCGGTGAATGACAGACAGTGGTAGAGATCCACTTTCGATCGGATTATTATTTTCTCCGTTTACCCGAAACTGGTCCGTGCTCGCGGTCTCGATCCCCCCAGGGATTGGGGGGGTGTTACTTGTATAGTACTTCCCTAAACAGTAAAGATGGATCCTCCCCCCATGGGACTGTCTCACCATCTACATGATGTCTTGTCGAGTCTACACCGTCGCCCATTCCCTCATGTCCCCAACCCTCCTACCTGCAAGAAACGCGCATCCGTTGCCCTGATCCTCCGTGTACGGCCGACCTATGAACATTGGCCGAACCTCAACGAGACACTGGACACCTCTCTACCAGTAGAAGAGCGCTTAATTGAGTTCTTTGCACAGTCTTGGGTCCAGCATGGCGAACCGGAGGTCTTGTTCATCAAGCGCGCATCGCGCGTCGGTGATCGGTGGACCGGCCATGTCGCGTTGCCAGGCGGGAAACGGGATCCCGAGGATGAGGATGATAAAGCTGCGGCGGTCAGAGAAGCCTGGGAGGAAATTGGACTGGATCTGACTACAGATGACTGTATCAGTGTGGGCAATCTCCCCGAGCGCGTGGTCACGGCCAGTTGGGGCGCATTACCGTAGGTGCGACTGTTGCGGTGTCTTTTCTGTCAAGCTAATGCGTACTGTCTAGGCTGATGGTTCTCTCCCCATTCGTCTTCCTTACTACCCGAAGCGACTCCCCGATGCTCAAGCTACAGCCCACCGAGGTGGCATCGACGCATTGGATTCCTCTCCGAGCCCTCCTATCCCCCTCCCTCCGTACTGTGGAATATGTGGATATGTCACAGCGCTTTGCCCGTCAAGGAGGATTTTTGAGCCGTCTTGTGATCCGATCTCTGATGGGCTGGATGCAATTCTCGGCCGTGCGACTGGTTCCATCGGAGAGTCAGCAGTGTTGTACCTCAGCCCCAGGGTTGATTTCTGATCACCAAGCGCACAAGCCATCATTGGTTCAAAGATTTAAATCATGGTGCTTGAGTAACCAGGCCGATTCCGGTGATAGGAATCGACCACTACTCCTCTGGGGACTGACACTTGGTATTCTAGCCGATTTCTTGGACATGCTTCCACCTCATACTGCCGTGCAATTATGGAAATACCCCACATTCACAGCCCCCGACCTGAACTTGATCTGTGGAATCTTTACATACCACCTGCGAAAGCGTAACATGCTGCAGGTGAAAACGGGCCCCCGCCCAAGTGATACCGCTTCGGACAGTGAGACTATCGCGCCACCCATTACGACCATTAAATCCACCCATGAACCCAATGAAGTTGGCATTGGCGGACTTGGAGTTGGAACATATTATGGACCCACTGATCGGACATCGGATGGAACCTCGTATGCGGTGGGCATCTTGTTACGGGGATACTATCAGCGCCTGCGGGTGGCGATCTGGGTCTTCCTTGCTTGGCGCATGGCCATCGGCTCTGCAGCAGCCATCACAGCCTGGCGCATCTTGCGCCGGCGACTTCAATAGAAGATCCTAATTGTATTATAGCTTAGATATATCCATGCATATTTGATAAATGAGCCTTTAATCTTAGATTTTGCGGAGATAAAGCCGTTACATAAGCATCGTTATCCCCACCCCGTTTTGGAGCTCGGAAGTAAACAACGCTCTCAACTCTCGACGCCAAAACAGATACACAACCTGCCGCCATGGCTGCTACTCAGAAGCTTTATCCACGCGGCACTGTCAAGCGCATCGTCAAGGCCCACTCCAAGCGGAGTGTGAGCAAGAATGCCGACATCCTGGTGAGTCCATCTCAACCGGCGCACGCGCCCCGAAGCACTTGGCTGATCGCAGCTATTACAGATTTTCCTCGATTACATGCTGTTTATGCAAGAGTACGATCCAATCCTCCTCTCGAGACCCTTTGATAGACACAACCATTGCACGCTCGAGCCGAGCCGAACGGAGGTAGAACGATAAGCTAACCGGGCACCAGGTTAATGCGCGAGGCATCGATTCGATCGCGAAAGTCGGGTGAGAAGAACATCTCTGCGAATGCCGTTCGCAAAGTTACCGAGGTACGCCTTTGATCCTCGGGGTGATTCTACCCTAGGGTGATACATCTGACAGTATTCTTTGATCTAGAAAACCCTGCGTAAGTTCCAGGGATGAGTGAGGCGATGCGTTCGGTGTCAGTTACGTGAAAGCGAAGGGTACTTGGTCGCGTGACGGATGCAGGTCTCTAGACTGGTCTTTATTATGGCGTATAGGCGTACAGAGTGATTATGATACCCAGGAAATGCAAGCAGTGACCAGTGAAGATAGAATCATAAAGTGAATGTGCGTATGTCTTTGGTGAATGCGATGTGGGCCACTCACAGGGTTCGGACGACTTCCACCCGCATCGATTCTTCTACACCTCAGCTCCTTCTTTCTCCCCATCATTTTCTTTCCTTCCAGACCTCGCGCGGTTTTTGTCTTGTGCTCTTTTTGCATAGCATAATCCTCCCGCTTTAAACTTTACACAGCTGTGTCACCCACATTCCATAATGGCTCCCGCCTCCGCCGCTCAGCCCGTCTCCAAGAAGCACCCCTCCCGAGCTTCGAGCACTTCCAAGACCGATGCTGAGAGCCCTGTCACTGATGTGAATGGCACCGAACCCCCCTTACTTGAAGGAGTTGCAAAAGTACGTCCTGCGATCGCATTGTAACGTGGGGAAAGCTAACTGATTGCGCCTCTAGGAGCCTCCGCAACGCAGTCAAGAAGCTGGTATGTGACCTGATCCTGTGCTTTTGGACAATTTACACGTGCTGACATCTCCTTTTTTTCTTTTTTTCACAGAACGCTACCGCTAAGACCGATGCCATCCTCGCGGAGAACCCTGGCAAATCCCTCGATGAGCTTGTGACGGAGAAGAAGCTCAATGCCGACCAAAAGGCCCAGGCCCTGAAGAAGCCTGCCCTTCAGGCTCAGGTTGCGCAGATCGAGGAGCAGTTTGCTCATTACAGGGAATTTGCTGGGCAATACGAGGAGCGCTTGATCAGCCAGAAGGCGGCTCTGGAGAAGACCCATCAGGAAGAGCTGGAGGCTGTGCGCGCAAACGCTGTCGCCGATACAACAGAGGCTACCGCAAGGTTGCTGCGCCAGCAATTGCTTACTCTCAGCAAGTTTCTGTGCGCCGCGGCCAATTCCCGTCGCGCTGGTGAGGAGTCTCTTGAGAGTCGCGCTCTCGAGGGCGTTCTTTTCCAGGTGTACGCTGGAAACCAGGATGCTGTCAACTCTATGCTCAAGCTGATCAATGGTGCTGATGACAAAGTACCCTCGGTCGAGGGTCCGGATCTGGAATTCTCCTGTGAGTAATTTTTACGTATGCGACTCGACTCGCGCTAATCCCCCATCAGACGGAGACGTGAAGCAGGCTTCCAACAAGTACACCCCCGAAGAGACCGAAGCCGTCGAACCTCCCACCGAGAATGCCCCCATCTCCGACCCTACCATGACCAACGCTGGTCTCACCGAGCTTCAAGACACCTCTATCAGTGCTGCCGTGGCCGCGTCCGACGCCAACGCCAACGCCCAGCCTGACTCCAACGCGCCCCCCTCCCAGACTCTGGTCTCCGATGCTGGAAACAAGGTCGCCGAAAACACTTACGATCCTAACGGCCTGGCCTCGTCGGCCACTACGGACGGCTGGGTTGAGGTCCCTCGTGACCCCGCTGAGACCGATACTGGCCTACAGGCCACCATCGCCAACACCGACACGCACAACGCCACTACCGAAGATGATAGTGCAGGCAAGGGACATTCCAACGGACGTGGTCGTGGACGCGGTGGTCCTCGCCGTGGAGACGCCTCGCGCGGTGGACGCGGACGAGGCGAGCGCGGCCGTGAGAACCGAGGCCGAGGTGGACGTGGCCGTGGTCGTCGCGGCGGTGTCAATGGCTCTCCTGCAGCGACTCCTGCACCTCAGGAGTGATTGGGCTAATTATATGCTCATTGTTCATTGTTCATTGCCTATTTCCATCTGCGCCAACGATCTATGCGGCTGTCTAAGTGGTATGGATCACGAACGCAACGAATTTTCTTTTCCGGACTGCGAAAAGTGGCCATTGATTTTGTTTCGAGCGTGCATATTCCCAGACTTGAGAAGCTTCAATATCACTGTAATCTACCGTTCCATTACGTGGTTATGTAAACCGAATGCAGTAAAGTCGGCCGAGGGGTTCTTGGCTCTGGCTCCACTAGAAACTCCATATCTACCTCGTCATCGGGAATCTGATCGACTTTGAAAGACCACATCTCCTCCTTCCAACTATTTCCACTCATTTATCTCCGGCGTCAGCAAACAATCATGGCCATCGCTGGCGCCCAACGTAAACAAGTCCTCAAGGTGTTGATGATCTCACTGCTACTAGATCTGGTACGCAATGTTGATCCTCTCTCATCCCGCAAGCATGCTAAACAATCCAGATCTCCTTCACCTTTATCCTCCCACTTTTCCCCTCCCTGCTATCGTTCTACCGCACTCAAGATCCCTCGCCAAACTCTCTCCTAAACCGCATCTTCCACTACCTAAACGCCTACAAGAATTCCTTCGCTAAACCCATCGACTCCCGCTATGATATCGTCCTCCTCGGCGGCGCCCTCGGCTCCCTCTTCTCCTTGCTCCAAGCCTTCGCCGCACCAGTCATAGGACACCTCTCCGACCGCTATGGCCGTCGCCGCGCCCTGTTAACAGCAATGCTCGGAAACGTGGCTAGCGTCGCGCTCTGGGTGTCAGCAACAGACTTCCGCACGTTCCTAGCCAGCCGTGTCGTCGGTGGTCTCAGCGAGGCAAATGTCCAAATGGCCAATGCCATCGTCGCGGACGTAACCGATGAATCGCGTCGTGGCGCGTCAATGGCGCTCGTTGGAGCTTGTTTCAGTATCGCCTTTACCTTCGGTCCCCTGCTTGGCGCCGGCTTGAGTACCGTTCAGATCGTCACAGAGAATCCGTTCATTACCGCAGCGCTTGTCTCGCTTGCGTTGATTGTGTTGGAGACGGGGTATCTTTGGGCCTGTCTGCCTGAGACGCACCCGCGTTTTACGACTCTTAAGCAGGAAAATGAGACTGAGGACAAGAGCAAGGTTGAGGAGAATGCGAAGTCTACGACACCGAGGGAATATACGAATAACCCGGCTACCCTCAATGCTATTCATTTCCTCTTTCTGCTTCCTTTCTCGGGGTTGGAGTTCTCGTTGCCTTTCTTGACGACCACTCTCTATGCAGGATCCACTACCAGCCCCGCGGCGCTGAACGGCCGTCTACTCTCTCTGATGGGTCTGATTGCGTCCATCCTCCAGGGAACGGTCGTTCGTCGTTTACCGCCGCTGGTCACGATGCGCGCTGGTGTCGTTGCTTGTGCATTGTCTTTCTTCTGTCTAGCTCACGTCTCCACGCCAAGGGGCCTCTACGCCGCGGGTGGTCTTCTAGCTGTGACAACCGCTACGGTTGTTACTAGCCTGAACAGTCTGGGTAGTTTTGAGGCCCGTGACGCTGATCGTGGTGCTGTTATGGGTCGTCTTCGTGGCTGGGGCCAAGCTGGACGCGCTACTGGACCGATTTTGTTCTGTACATTGTTCTGGTGGGCTGGGCGTGAGACTGCATATACTGTGGGTGGTGTGGTGATGTGCATTGTTTTGGTCGCTGTCTTCGGGTTCTTGAAGTCACCTGCTGTTCATTTGAAAAAAGAGTAGGAGGTTTGTATGTTTGATTGTTTGATTGTTTGTGGGCTAGTGCTGGTCACTGGTTGGGGTTAGCAGGCCTGGATGCATTGATGGAAGGAATGTACGTTATGAAATGTAGGACTAGCACTATGTCCTGAAAAAAACTGGAGAAATAGCATTGATTGGTGGTACATAGCTCGAAGGATATCACTCCTTGGAATCTACATCTCTATCTGCTATCTGGAAACATTTTCTGTAGATCTCAAAGGCTTTCTCGTTTCCAACAAATCTCTTATGGGTACTTGTAATGAGAAACGATATAAGCTACCAAAGCTTCATGAGGTCTTTAAAAAATTCCTTCAGATTCACGACTACAATAGTTGAGATGCTAAAAGTTGCATGTTACATCAAACTGCTCATTAATTGGATACAATAACTCTTTTGTTGCTGAATTGATCCCCGAGGTCTCCCGATGCCACGTCCACCATCCACCTTGCACAGCTTTCACGCGTGATAAACATGCTTGCTCCTCTCTCATCGCATGCAAAAGCATTCACGGGTGCAACACCATTACCGGCGAGGCCCACGGCTAATGCAAGGGTCCACGAAACCGCATCACCACAGTTCCCCTCGATTTCATCATTGACTGCGCTGTGGTCTTCATATGTTTTGCCAACATTGCTGTAGTTCATCATGAGGCGAGCGAGATATGGAGTGACTCCGTAACTCTCCCCCACACCGAGAGCATTCATAATGACTAGACGCGGCTTAGATCCCTTCAAGGGTTGCTGTGCGCGTAATTTATGAGCCGCATTGGTTGTCGAGTCGGCGAGCAAGCGGGGAGGACCAATGAATCTTGCCCATGGGTTTTCGGAAGCACGTAAAGGGTTGAGAAATATGATGACAGCATCGACAGGAACACCAGCTGCTGCAAACGCACGCTCTGTGTCTTTCTCTGACAAGGGAGAGCCTTCGACGACTGTCAGATTCTTGCACGGTTCCATGGAAGCGGCTTTACGGAGTAAAGCCGTGACAGAGTGACCTGGACGGGTATTAGCTAGTTGATCCGACGATATGCATTCAGATTAACCTTGGTCAAGAGCATATCTATACCCGAATACACCAGTTCTTCCGGTCGCTCCCAGTATCAAGAAATGCATTTTTCAGTTACCTTCAACAATAGGTTAAAGCATGGCCCTAAATATTTGAATGTTAAATCTAATAACCAAGTTTGGCATTTGCCGTTTATATGAACAGGGACCAATGACGCATTAGATGGGGGTGACATTCAGATGACAAATGAAGAAAAATGACGATGACAAAGCACATAGGGCGAGGAAACTAAGCGTCTGGGGAAAGATTTTGGGTCGAGAAACATTGCTTATCTAGCTATTAGCTGTTTCGTAGGCAAAATTGAAAGGCGCCCTCGTCGGTCATAGCGGTCGAGGGAGTTATACGAACATGCATTCTTCTATGTATTGACTCGACACTCTATATTCACGCGCTGTTGGTCCAAATATCACATGCAGGTTAAATCTTCGTATGACCCTCGAGAATAGTGCTGGCTAGTAAAAAATTGTTGTGAGATCAGTTTATCGTTTGCCTGGGTCGACCGCCATTGCTATTTGTGGATCTCAAGACGCGCGGTAGTCAAGGACGATAAAGGAACGAGTCCGGTGTGATTCTGAAGAATGGCGTAAAGAAAAACATCATAGATTTAGATGTAGGCACGTAAAGCCGGCAAATAAATAGAGTGCTCGGTATTATTCTAGTCATATTGGGACATGTCCGGAGCCTCGAAGCGGGAAAGGATGAAGGAGATGTGCCAGACAGATAGCGGTCCAGAATCCGATTCATTAAAGCCTGCGAATGATACTGGGGTACTAAGTAAGCGGTACTGTAATTTCCATTGCTTAATTGACGAACACTTACGGGAAAGAAGTCTTGGTGGTGCCCAGCCCTTGGCAAAGGGCTCAATGTGCAGACGTAGCACGGCTTGACTGTGCGCAACCCTGATCTGAAGATCAGGTACTGTGATTGACTTTCTATGGAGATCAAGAAAGATGAGCGCTGTGAGTATGATCAAATGGATCGCGGGACCTACTTGTAGGCAATAAGATCAGTTCCATTGCTCTGAAATTGATGCGATATCCTGACTAACCTCAAGGACTCGCTGCCGTCTTGCCATCTTGAATTTGAGCCTCGTGAGTGTGAGCGGATAGGACATCGGATTACGTGAATCGGAAAGGGATGTCAAATGACCGTTCAATAATCACCATTGAAGACTGAACGGATCTAACAATGGATGCGATATTGACATTCCTTTTCAAGCCCTAGCGTCGGGATAGGCCGAATCCGAAGGGAAAAGGACCGGGCTCAGACCCCAACGAACATGTTCCCGAACGTGGGTCGCGTGGAAGGTGGATCTGTGGGGAAGTTTGCCACGGCTTTTTTAGACCCAAATCCTATTCCGCCACTTTGAATTGGGGTTTCACAGCCGACGCGATAATATGTCGGTCTAGCCGAGCGATTGAGCTCCATATTATTTTTATAAAGTCTGAAGGGACGTGAAAAAAAATAAAATTTGTTACACTTAGTGGCCTGTATACCCCTCCAGAAAACGTTTAGCCCTCCTTTGTAATGCGAAACATTCATATTGCCAAGTGGATATCAGCGACTCTGCTGGGGCTGATCCAGCCAGGTACGAAATTCCCTCCTCAAAGAACTATGTCTATTAACCCTGTGGTAGTGGCTGCCAATTGTGAATGTGGCTATTCTGTCAATACCACCTCCTCACAACACGAAGTGTTTACCGACCTGATTGAATCGGACTTCCTTACTATCCAAGATATTTCAGCCGACACGGATTGGGAAATTCAACGATATTGGACACCCTATGATCCCTCTTCTGGGTATTACGGAGAGAACTTCACCGCGGCCAACGTGGTGTCCAACCCCCTCAAGTACAACTATACTCTTGAGAATCCGACCACGAGTCAACTTGGCGGCGATGCCGGCCTGCAACTCTGGGTTCGCAGCGACATTCAATCCAACGGTCTTGTTCCTTGCGGACAGGTCAAGACGGTTCGCGATGATATCCAATACGGCTCATTTCGCACCTCAATGAAATTGACTTCGGTCAATGGAACCTGCAGTGCTTTTTTCTCCGTGAGTCATTTCTCTGCCACCTTCGGTTGACCCGTCTCACTGATTGTCTAGTATTATAATGATACCCAAGAGATTGACATGGAGCTCCTTTCTCGCCAATACGCCAACTATACCCTCTCCGACTCAGACCCCTCGTCCCCCGTCAACTTAGTCTTTCACTCCGTCCAGTCCATCATCGATGGTTATCAACTCCCCAACACCTCCACATACGGCCGTCCGGTCCTCCCAGTCGCCCTCACGGACGAGTACCACGAATACCGCTTTGATTGGATGCCGAATCGAGTTTCATTCTACTTCGATGGCAAATGGCTCTGGGATCTTGTAACCGATGTGCCATCTTGGCGCACTGCCATCCTCCTCAGCCACTGGAGTAACGGTGCTTCCGGGTGGACCCAGGGTCCCCCGGCAGAGGACGCCGTCATGACAGTCAGCTACTTCAAGGCCTATTTCAACAGCAGCGACTCGCAGCGCACTTCTGACTATCAGAATCGTTGTAAAGATCCTTCCGCTGCGAACGCCATATGCGTTATTCCCAACCAGACGGTCGCACCGGGTGAGGCGGCGGCGCAGAATGGGTCGGCCTCGACGTTTTTCTTTTCGCAGCATGCGAATATGACTTCGAATCAGACTATTTACACTGGGGAGAATAAGGCTATGGGTCTCGCGCCCGAAATGGTGGCGGGCATGCCGTTGTGGTGTGTGGGAGTTGGAATCATTGTGTTGAGAAACTGGTTCAGTCTATGAGATTACGTTTAATGTCCTGTTTGTTGATAGAATCCCATGTACATCACATCCCCATATTAGTTAATTAGGAGTTACTCTGCGTGATAGTTCAATTATCGTTACATTCAGTTTCTATTCTGTTCTCCATTTTGGCTAGTTTAACCTCAATGGTTTCGCTCTGCTAAGACTTACAGCGCTGCATGGTTCCGCTGAAGGCCGTCCGTATTTATCACTCGTAATACGAGGGTCTTGGCATAGTAGCTAGAGCTAAAGCAGACTTATTTTATTCATGTCGGGTGGCAAATGCGCGGGTCCACGAAAGGTCTCGTTTAAACTAACTGAATAGGCAGAGGATCAGGTGAGTAAAACACTGGAGTTGTTTTCTCCGTACCAATACATATAGCTGTGGGGTTTCTGAATTGGGATATAACGAACCTTACCAGGATACGAGGGGCTTAGCGGTCATTTTGTGACGCCGCTGTTATGCCAAAAGGGAGTCTTGTATTGAAAATCTTCTAAGATTTCAACTTTCGAAATTGGTTTATGATTCATATAAATTTATTTGAAATTTCTGGAAGAATTACATCGATAGAGATCAAGGTGTGGACAGTCAAAAACCAAACATCGGACTTCATTAATTTTAAAAATGTCTTTAAGTTCTAGAATTAGAGCAACCTCCCGAGTCAGATCTCAGGAGGGGAAGTAATCAAAGGGGGAATTAATCATAGAAGAGACAAATATATCAGAAAAGGAAAAAAGGAGAGAGAGAGAGAGAGAGAGAGAGCATAGTACCGCTACTCTCATAGACCATTTTCAAGATCACGAAGCGGCAACCTCGACCCTTTGGGGTTGAGAGAACTGGAAAGGCACTGACTGCGCTTCTTCAATAGCGTATGTCTGAGTCTGATTTTGGGTTTGGGTTTGGTTCTGGGTCTCCTCTTCACTCTCAGTAACCACCTTTCTGGTCTTTCCCCATCCGAAAGAATCCATGTACCAGCAGGCATACAGCAGAACAGAGATGTTTAGGAATGGGCCACAGAACATGTACATCAGACATCCGAGCCAGAACTGAACCCGGTCGAGCCATTTAGTGCACAGCCACAAGGGGATGCACAGGTAGTAAGTGACGGGAACAAGCATGACGGAGACAAAGGCCATCAGGATGGCAGGAGGGACACCTAAAGCCGAATTAGTTCCAAGAGTCAAGACGATAAGGGAGGAAACAACTTACTGATAGCCGCCATGATGAAACTTGCCACACTGGCGAAGATGAATAGGTTCAAGAACCAAGTGATAACGTTGACCGCGGCGAGGATGCGCTCGAACCATTGTACACCAGGCGCGCTCACAAGAAGCAGATCGTTGGACGTGGCGCCAAGAGTCCATCGTCGGCGCTGGGAGAGGAACACCGACCAGGACCGAGGAACATCAGTATATGCCTTTGCTTTCAAGGCCTGACGAGTCTGCACCTTGGGTCTCGCGGAGAGCATGTGGCAGACGTGGTTGCGATCTTCACTGGCGGTAGCACGGATTTGAGTGAGCATGCCGTCAGTAAGGGTTGGACAGTAACCGAATTTCTCGATCAGGACCTCCGGGCCACAAGTCTCTTCACAGATCTTGAGCAGTTGGCAGCAGCCTGGAAGACAAGACACCTTGTGTGTTGCGACGGACTGGTGGAGACGACGCAGACCCTGGGCAATGGTGTACTCGGCAGACTGGTAGAGACGCCATGGGTTGAAGTTGCCGCCCTTCCAGTCGACAGCGACGTAGCCGCAGACACCGACGACGTGGTCAAAGCGAGATTGCAAAAGAAGCTCGTTGATACAATCGTCGTCGAAGACAGTGTCGGCGTCCATTCCAATAAGATGGTCAACGTAATTGATGCCGGCCTCGTTGATGAAAGAAGCCATGTGGGCGAAGAAGGTAGACGTGAAGACAGTCTCCGGTCGCTCGGAACGGATATTGAAGTTATACAAGAATGAACGAATCACGATGAGACTGTCGCGCTTGCCCTGGTTTTGCTGCTTGACGATGCAGAAGTAAGGCATGCCATTGTATGTTCCTTTCTGTACCTCGATGTCCATAAATTGCTGATCCCATGCGAGGTAGGCGGCAGGAATGCGAATACGATAGTCCTTCTGAACCAGAATGTCTTCGAAGAGGTAATCGGCAGTGGTCTTGTCCATGTCGGGGCCGCGGACTTTGCCATCGCAGATGATCATGACGGCGCGCGGATGTTGATCGATATTCGTCTGAGAAACGAGGGAGTTCAACGACTTGAGCATCTCTTCTTTCGTCTCGTTGTAACAGGGAATAACCAGAACAAGAGACTCCGGCTTCTCTGGGATGGTCTGCTTCTCAGGGAATATGCGCCGACGGATAACGTTGAAGACGATTGATACAATCATGAAGATGTTCAAGGCGACAGTAGCAGTAATGAAGGGCAGCAGGATATAGTAATACCTACTCCACCACCATGTACTGAAGATGCAAAGGCCGCTAAAAACACAGATTCGTTAGCAATAGAAAGATTGTGTTTGGGTGCCGGAGAATCTACTTACTTCAAGCCAATAATGGCGGCTTGCATGAGATGCTTTTGCACCACGATGGTGCGTCTACCTCTCCTCCGAGTCTTGGGTGTGTCCTCGGGTCTGGCCTTTGGCGTGGCGGTAGTGACACAGTCCATCCATTCATCAAGAGCTGGCCCGAGGCCGTCTTGTCCAGCGTGGTGTGTCGGAGATGCTTTGTACTCCGCTGTGGGGGCCTGGAGTACTTGGGCCGCCGAGACTTGATCAACCTCATCATCGGACAGCTCATCTTGAGCAGATGTCTTTGGAAGAGATTGATCCAACCAAGGCTTCGGTGCAATCAGGTCACGATGCTTTCTCAGCTGAGGCGTGAAGGCTGAAGCGGCTTCGTCTTCCGTTGAAGAGAACTCAAAGTCATAGCCACCAATGTCGCGGCTGTAGATCATTTCCGGAGCCATGACGGCCTGTTGGGAGGCCGCGACATCGTATCGTTGGTTGCCGGTGCTACTAGAGACCAAAGACGCCGAGCGCGAGTTCGCACGACTATCCGACTCCACACTTGGGGTACTGTACGATGCATCGCTCCGAGGGTCATTGCTAGGGGAGGACGAACGAGTGTTCAAATCGGATCCGGCAGACGATTCGGGGCCAGCGACAGTTCCAAATTTGTGGAGGATGTTCCCAAAGAAAGATGCTTGTGGGAGGGAAGTTTGAGAAACGCGGTGAGAATGCCCGGATGGCTGCAATGCTTTGGGGGAAGCGTGATGGACTGAGCTTCCACGTCCAGGTCTTCCATGGACGCGACATGCTCCGGATTCCCGGCCTGCAAGGTGTACATTGCTGTATATTTCAAACGAAGGACGAAGGTGAAGAATTGCTCCTTCTGCCAGGGAACAGAAAATTGACTTGCTGCTGTGAGCCACAGGAGCAGCCCAGCAAATTCAAATAGCCATGGGCTGGGGCGAACATGGTCGAACAATTGACATTAATGGCGACGAGCCTTTCGCACTGGGATAGAATGGCCGATGACAGCTGTAGGGACAGAGGCGAAACCCGAGAGTGGAGTCCGGCATACGAGCTTGATGCCATGTCGGGCATTCCAGCAAGATAGATCTAGATCGTTATTTTGGCATTCAGCTGTATAGAGTTGATGGTCGGCAAGACTGACCTACAAAGGTCCCGCCCGGGAGCTTAGCGCGAACCCTGGTCGAGACTCAGGTACGAATTGCCAAGAGTGCCACCCACCGTATTAATACTCCGCTAAAACCGAGCTAAAACGAACTGGGAATGAACTGACGAAAAGTTAAAAACAATGCTTACGAGGGGGAATCCATACACGGGGGCCACTTTCAGGCCACTCCACGGCTATGGCTCTTTTTACCCTCGTCAATAAATTCCTATGCATAACCGAGTATGAGCACGCCATCGAGAAATTCCCCAGTGTTTCGTGTGACCAGATCTAGAATGATCAATACAAGCGCACGGCTCCGCTCGTTTACTAGTATCCCGTTCGTTTGTTCGTCTAACCTTAGGGACCTTTTCCAGGCCCGTGGGAATTCGATACACGCATTACATATGCGGTACATATCCAGTGTTCCCTGTTTTTGGTGATTCTTGCCCTACAAGAACGCCTCCCACAGGGGCGCAGATGGCCGTCGGGCCACATTTTGTGATTGGTATTTTACCACATGTAGAGAGTCCAAAGAAAAGTTTCAAGGTACTCGGACCCAAGGATTTTGCCAAGGGAACGCCTAATGGAGATCAATTATATTGCGATTTCCTTAACCACCTATTTCATATTCACATATTAGGCGTAAAGTACATCTGGGTACTGAAGATCGGCCTTGAAGAACACCTGTTTGTATAATGAACTTTCGATATATTTTCCATATACCGCACATGTCTTAACCTTTTCCTTGAATCTTTGATACCATGATCAATACTGTTTCTCTGTTTACAGTGCGTATCGTTAATACTCCGCTGCCACAGTAGCCTTCTTCTCCTTGTCTTCTTATTTGACTTTTGAACTGTCTTTTTCTCCAGAAATAGACTAGGTACGGAGAAAGTTTAGAGCCAGACACGAGAACACATACGGGTCAATTCAGGTGGAACTGTATAACCAATGATGTGATCTCTCTCGAGCAAAGCATCCTCTTTTCCCCCACATGCCCTATGGTCGAGCTAGAGCTGCTTGGCGTGACTAGTAACATTTAGTTGGCATGGCTTAAACACGGATTTGGCCGTCAACTAACCCTGAAGGCGAACTGGATGAGTCCCTCGCCTTCCTATTCGAATCGAGGCTTTCGGTGCCGACCATGCAATACGAAGTTTGGAACGAGAATGTCGCTTGAGTCCGGTCAAGAGAACAAGGTCGGCTGAGAGTATCGGTCTCGACCGAACACAGGGAGCTGAGAAGAAAATGCTCGAGGTAAAACTGGCGAGGTGGGCTTTAGAGGCCGAGTTCGATGGGGTTTTGATGGCGAGGTGCCGATATATAAGAAGTATAAGGTGAGAAGGGTCTTGTAGTAACAATCAATTGTCATTTGGTCGTGAGCATTCTCACAACTACCTATACCTACGATCATGACTGTGACTTTTGTTCCTTTCCTTCCTTCGCCTGACGGATCTGTTGATGAGAATTCATCAACAGACTTCTTCAAGGCGCAATCCATTGCCCATGCAGCCTCCAACAATGGCCTAGCTACACCTCCTCGGGAAACCAAGGTTGAGGAAGATCATTCTCGTTTGGCTCAACTATCAGGCCTTGGGATCTCCCGCCCACAGGCCTTTAAATCTGTTGTGGCTGTGATCGGCGTTGGCTACGTGGGCTACCAACTTGTCACGGCTTTTGCCAAAGTCTACCGTGTCGTGGCCTATGATGTCGACCAGCGCCGTCTCCATCAAATCAAAGAGACGGAGACGAATGCCAACATTCACTACACCAGCAACCCTAATGATATTGCAAAGGCAACCCACTTCCTCATCTCCGTTCCCACACGTCTGCACCACGACAACACCGTCGACACACAACATCTCGAGAGCGCCATCTCTCTCGTTGCAGAATATGCCAAAGCAGGATCGACGGTGATCATTGAGAGCTCGGTAGCGGTGGGCATGACCCGCCAGCTCATCAAGGATGTCATGCTCGCCAAAGGCCTCAAGGCCGGCATGTCTCCAGAGCGAGTCGATCCCGGTCGCGTCAGCCCTGCCTTCGAAACCATTCCCAAGATCATCTCCGGTCTCGACGACATCACTCCAGGATCGCTAGTCAGCATCCACGAGCTATACCAAGAAATCTTCGAACACCTGGTCCATGTGTCCTCACCGGAGGTGGCCGAAATGACAAAATTGTACGAGAACTGCCAGCGTATGGTCTGCATCGCGCATGCAAATGAGATGGCCGACGCATGCCACGCGATCGGAATCAACGCTCTCGAGGTCTCGGCCGCTGCCGCGTCCAAGCCGTTCGGGTACCAGCCCTACTCTCCCGGCCTCGGTGTCGGTGGACACTGCATCCCCGTCAACCCTTACTACCTCCTGATGAACTCCGAATTCCCTCTGCTCCAGGCGGCGACGGAGAAGATGGCTGAACGGCCGGCGAGAATGGGTGATCGCGTAATGAGGAAGTACCTCAGGGAGTGCAAACTTGCCGGAGGACGCGACCTTCGTACTCGGATTCTGGTGGTGGGTGTGGGTTTCAAGCGTGGACAATCCGTGCTGAGCAACTCCCCTGCGCTTTCACTGGTGCGCCATTTGCTTTCGGAGTGGGAGGCCTATGTTGCCTTTGCGGACCCCTTGGTGTCGGCAGAGGCTGTTTCTTTCGTCCCTAGATTGGATGAGAAGACCCAATGGAACAAGAAGGGATTGGAAGAGTTCGATATTATCATGGTCGCAGTGGACCAGGTAGGATTGGATTTGGCTGTCCTGGATGGGCTCGAAGGTGTGATGGTTGAGAACTTTGTCACGTCCTGTTAAAAACGTATTATGACCTGTTCACATGTTTGGAGTATATATTATTTATTGGCTGCTTGTTAGAGCTACTGCATTAATCACAATTGGAACTACGATTCCCCTCTCCAGACATCTACTAAACTTAAAGAGTACTACTGTGCACGGAGGACACCAACAACGGAGAATCGGTACGGGTGTGTACATAACGAGGTAGACAGATTGTTCAATTCATGCAAGTTAGCGTGTCTAAATCTAGGAGTCTTCCAAGACTTTCACGAGCGACTAAGCACTTCGTAACCCGCATTTACCAGACTCTCGGGTCCGGCAGCATCAGCAACACCCGTCCAGTAGAAAAGCCCTCCAAGGTGGTTGGCCCTGACATACTCAGCCTTCATCTGCACTGTACCCGGTGTATCATGACTGACAAAGCCTCCTTCGCCTCCAATCGAGCCCGCTGCACCCAATTTTGCATCCATGAATACCTGCGCACCGGGCAATGGCAACTGACGGTACTCGAAAGTGCCTCCTTCACCGGCATGGCCGCTAAATCGCTGGCCAACCCCATCAACGCCCAGGAACGAGCGCCCGTAAACGGGAACTCCGAGAACTAACTTCTTGCTCGGAACGCCTCGCACTAGAAAGTATTTCACAGCTTCGTGGCCAGATCGCTTGGCGAAGGCATTATGCGGGCGTGCTGGCGCGTACAGCTGACTCTGGTGCCCGGAAAGCCCAGTCCAGGGACCCGCAAAATCATAGCACATCAGATTGACAAAATCGACCTGTTTGGCAGCTTTCGCCACATCGATGTGCTTGAGGCACCACTCGCCCACCGGCAGAGCAGTCGTGAGCAAGTATTGTGGAGCCGGGAGGCTTCGGCGCAGTTCCTCTAATACGAGGACATAGTTTCGGCCCTCTTCAGCGTTCGAGGGGTGTTCCCAGTCCACTAGCGCTCGGTTAACCTAGAGGTTCACGCTCAAGATTTTCTTGTACGGTAAAAACTCACGATCCACTCCGTTCAGCTCGAACCGATCGACAAATTGCCGGAGGTTTCGGGCTAGCCGAGCACGACGATCCAAATGGCTCGTCACTTCCTTGAATGGTTGGCTTCCACTCCCTCCGCCGATCGATACGATCAGTTTGAGATGTGGGAACTGCTGGCGCTTAAGCAGAGTGAATGCGTTGAGACAACCGTTGACTCCGTCGGCTGGATACTCCAGGTCCGCTTTTTCGTCCAGATGCTAAAATCATCTTCCGGGTTAAACTAGGCAACTTGACCCGGTGATCAATATGTGGGGATCACTCACGTAGATGTCGCCATTCTCTCGGACTCTGTTGAATAAAATCAAATAAGAAAAATAGTCAGATCAGATCAGAAGAACAAAGCCATGCATTGTTCAGATGCTAGTGGGCTCACGTCACTGTCCAAGCTGCGACAGGCTTGGCGGGACCACCTACCTGAGAAATGCATAAAATACATGTGTTGTCCTGGCGAGATCCATCGACGACGGACTCTGTCCTCGGTAGATTCGCCAGCTGGGATAATAAGAGGCGTTGATGTAATTAATGCGCTCCATGCTTGTTGTCAGTGGTGCGCGAGAATGTGGTGAATGATTGTTTTCTGCTGGGAAAGTGGGATCAGAGCAGCTTGGTTTCTTACTGAGAGCTTGAATTGCCTTTATTGATTATCAAATTTCCTGCCACACTTACCCCTTCTAGCATAGCTCTTGGGATTAGATTTTGTTAAGAGTCTCTGTAGTCCGGCTAGCCCCGCCACCGAAAGTAGTTGTCCATATTGGCCGACGCATCCCCGTGGGAAACGATTCAACCCTGTGTTCCGAAGCCAGCCATTTCTCGAGGCTACCGTTTTAGTCATCTTGATTACTAGTGGGTACATGAGAGGATCGCGAGTTCAAAATATGTCCGTACATAGAGCATAGAGAGCTCAAGTTTAGTATGATATACACGCTAGTGTGTGGTCAAGTGTGATATCTTCCGTTTGAATATCGGAGCTCATGCTTGATAGGACAATCAGTATCTCGTAAAGGTCTAACCCTTGAAATGTGGGCTCCGAATGGTAGCTGAAGACTATGCGCTTGTGAAGTTCCCCTTAATAGCCTCGACGGGAGGTTCATTTTATACATCATTTTATACATTGAGAGCAAGTTGTTGCCTTTGTTTCATTGAATGAATTTCTTTCCTTTGTAAACTGAAAGATTATTTGTCAGGCTCTGAAACAACAGTTGGAAATCATCAACGCCAAGGATCAAACAAAGCCGCTGTGAGACCTCGGCTCTCCATCCATCTCTCTCTACAAGTTACGAGCCCCACCTTAAGAAACCATAGTTCTGCAGCCGCGAGAAAACGAGTGAACCGGTCTACCAATTCAGGTGCTATCTGGAAAAAGAGAAGAAAGCTAAGGTTATGCATATTCGACAAGGGTATAATAGTACACGGTAAGGTAGATCAAGAGTGGTGATTACATATTGCGGTCTAAGGGCCTGCCATAGACGATTAAAGACGGTTCATGGCCGCCGATACCGCGTATCACTCGACGGTAAGCCGTAGTTCTCCCACGACTCCATGACCAGGCCAGGACTTGGCGCCGGATCAAGCGACCCCCGCGCCTTTCCAATAAGCCAGTCAGTCAGCGTCACAAACTTGGACGTCCGGTCCCATCCATCCGCTTCGTCCGCATGCTCAATGGTATGCGTCAGAATGCGCCCCTCCTCGTCAAAGGAGAAGATGAAGAGTCCACTGAATTGCTCCTCCTTGGAAAGTTTGAAGATGGGTTCATCGCCGCCGAGGAGCACGCTCAGGCCCTTATTCGTTCCGTTCGTTGAAGTTGAGAGATGGTGCTTATCTGTTGATTCGGTGCGGTGACCTTTTGTAGGCGTATCGTGGAAGGGCCGGCTATCTGTGCGTGGCTCTGTCTTCCATCGTACGACTAGTCGCTCGTCGCCGCAGTCATGTTGGTCGCCGCGTTCCGGGTCGAGAATTGTCCCCGCTCGTACGATCCGTTCACTTTGGATTTGAAGCTTCACGTTCCCTACTAGTGGAACGCTGCTCCATGCGACAGGGACGGTCCATAGTGCTGCGCGGTAGAGCGTGCGACCCTTGACGGTAGGGAGGTGCTGGTGTGTTGAGGGGAAGAGGTGGAGGTTGACGCTTGGTGCGAGGATCTCAGCTGGGAGGGTATTGTACAGTATTGTTGGAAGGAGAGGGGAGAGTGTTCGTAAGGCTGTAGTGATCACAATAGTTAGCCGGTCCGTTCGTGACGGTAAAGACGTTATTGCGGAGCGCAATCTTACTCTTTCCGAGCTTCATGATGCGCTCGTCTGGCGGCTTGTGTTCATTCTGAGGACCCTCATTTAAGCCGTCGAACTGATTGCGTATCCGAGTTGGCGAAAAGTAGGCTGCAGGGAGTGGCCTCAGGGACGGTGAAGGCAGCCAGGGCTCTTTCAAAATGCCATGACGCGGATGGGCTAATGATCGTCGCCGAGAGTGAGTGAACGGGCGACCCGCACTCGGCTTCAGCGCCAGGTGGAGACGCGGGTGCGATGCTGGCATTCTGCCTTTTGCACAGTGGGCGCAAGTGTCATGTCATCAGTGGTTGAAGGAAGCTAGAAGCTAGAAGCGGGAAGTGGGAAGTGGGAAGTGGGAAGTTAGAAGCTGGAACTGGAATCGCGGAGTTGTCTGCGCCTCCCGGCGAACGACGGGCCAATCAGAGGTCACATGTATACAATGTGTTAGCTTCACCAGAACATTCTGTGGTGTCATAACTCCAATTTGAATGTAAATTTACTAATGTACTTTGGTATTTCCCGAAACCCATTCTCATTCAAGCCAGTTCGTCATCATCACCCATGCCCATCACTCGTCGCTCGGCCAGATCCCGGATCTTGTCTTCCAACACGCCACGTCCATAGCGTTGGGCGACCTTGGCCGCAGCCTCAATCATCTTGCCATTACGGTCGGTCATCAGGTTCACAAGTTCCAATGCCTTCATGCCCCGGTCTTCGCCTTCTCTGCATTCAATGGCCAGCATCTGCAGCAGCGTCTTGTCAATATCCAGCTCCTTGCGCGCCAACTCGGTTCGTTGAGATGAGGTTGCATTGGTCGAAGACAGCAGGTCGCGGAAGAGTGACAGAAGAACGCTGCCGCGCACGAATGTTTCTTCGAAACGCGAGACTTCGTTACCAGCAGCCGCATCTTCATCGTTGGAGTCATTCACCGGTTTGCTGGAGATAGGGAGCTGGAAATCGAACTCGCTGAGCAGCGGCCGGGGGAAGTATGGGTTCTTGTCACCACCCTTGAGAATGATGCAGTGGAATTTATCCTGAGCAACAGCCACGGGCCAGTATGTCTCTTCTTTGCGACCACCAGCAAGACGGGCGAGTTGCTTTGTGTCCAGGAGAGGCACCCACCGTGCCTGACCAGTCGTGCGCCAGTGCTGCAGCACCAAAAGGGTACCGGTTGTGTCGTAGATGCAAGGGTCCTGTTGTATTTAGCACGTGTCATCGGGGTAGGTTTGAATATTGACGTACTCCCATGTCAGAGAAGAACACACTTTGAAGTTGAGCTCCCGATGAAAGAGCGACCACATCTTCATTTTGGCAGATCTCATCACGCTTGACATTCTCAACTGTGTAATGCAATGTGGTCTGACGGCCATCAGCTGAAACAGGGCCATTACCAATGGTCATGATATAATCCCGCCAAGCAGAGCATGTCACGGCCTGGCTTTTTTGACGGTACACTCGGAAAGGTGTTCCAAAGAGTGTATAGACCCGCACATAGTCCTTTGATGTGATAGCGACTATGTAAGATTCGCTGAGTGCCAGAGCTGACAAGATAATTAGTATCTGGAAAGTCTGTACTTTGCGACTAGACCTACCTCGAACCGTCTCTCCTTCTGGCAAGGTGGTCCGCCAGTCCGCTCGCGTAGTCCATGTCTCGTGTGGTCGGTAGAAGATTGAAGCAGGACCATCTTCGGGGTTGTTGGAGAAAAGGGTACCGTTTTCGTCTGTTCCATATTAGAAACAAACATGCATTAGACCGTATGCAAAGAACTCACTAAGGCAGGCCTTGTCATATTGATATGGGTCCGTGAAATGGAAGTCCCTGTGAGCCTCTCGGTCGTAAAATTCTACAGTCACGGTATGATGTGTCTCCTGGTCAACAGTCCAGACAGCACCAGTCAAGTTCAAGCCTAGGAAGGTTAGCAAAGAATTGTCAAGCAGGGTGAACGATGCATACAAAGATATCGTCGATTGCCTGCCCAGGGCGTACTGCCGGGCTGGAGAGGCGGGTGAGCCTTGACCTGGACAGAGCCAGGGAAGACTCGCTTGCTTTCGGGGCCATCGATAGCATCCAGGTGGCCATTGGGCCGCTTGCCGAATGCATTGAGCTCCTCGGCATATCCAGCTCCATCGTCATCGTCAACAAAGTCAGCCATCTCCTCATCTTCGCCCAGAATATCATCCAAGGAGTCGGGTGTGCCAGCTCGTGCCGCACGTTTGACTGCATCCCGAGATCGATCCGCCAATGTCTGTCTAGCGTTGTTGGAGATCTCGGTCAAGGGACCGGCGAAGATGGGAGCAGCCTGCAGGGGCTTTGCGAGCTGAGCCTCCTGGTCCTTGGGGACGAAGTTGTCGTAAATGAACAGCTCTCCATCCGAGTTGGTGAATGACAGGGAGTTCTTGGTTGGGTGCCACGCGATGTTGATGACGTTGGCAAAGTCGAAGTGCTGTAGGATCTTTTGTGTCTTGGTTTCCCAAAGCACAATCCGCCCATCGGCGCCTGCGGATGCCAGCAGCGTTCCATTTGGAGACCAGCTCAGCGCAGTGATGTCGCCCGTGTGTCCTCCAGTAAAGGTCTTCTCCTTCTTCCACTCCGAAATCGAGTAGATGGAGATATCCCTGGTTGCTTCTGCCACCGCAAACGCCGTGCCGTCGGGGTGCCAAACAGCTTTGGATGTCGCCTCCTTTTCCGGCTCGAGTGCCTGAATGACACCATCCAGTTTGCGTACCAATTCCGGCTCTTCTTCGTTCAGCGAATAAATGTAGAGTTTGCCGTTGATGTCGGAGACGGCCACATAGCGGCCATTGGGATCGAAGGCGACATGCTTTGCTCCTTTCTCTTGTTCTCGGAGATATTTCGTCTGCGTCATGTCCTCAATCTTGACAATTTTGACTGTAAGCTCGCTGCATCGTCATATCAGCTCTCGTCCTCCTGGTCTTCAGCCATGCTCCAACTTACTCGCTGGCCACTGCAGCCCACTCTCCATCTCTAGACACCGCAATATCTCGAATAGGTAATGCACATCGCAGAAGCAAGAGGCCCTGCTGACCAGTCACGGCGTCGTACTGCCAGACAGTTCCGTCTTCCGCGCCCATGAGAAAGCATTTATTCGTGGCGCCAATTGCACAGTGCCCATCAATGGCTCCGTCCACTGTTTTCGGTTCGCCATCCTCGCCGACCGTGTAGATACGAATAGCCTGATTTGATCCGCCGGTAATGACTCGTCGGCCGTCGGGGGTGTATGCCAATACTGTCGGGCCCGGGGGTCTTGTCGCAGTCGTCTGTTAGCAGGGACGGGACCGACAATTCAGGAATAAGACTTACGAGCCGGCCGGCCACGAGGGCGAATGGCATCGGAGCTCATGGCGCAAGTGGAATTTGAGATAGAATAGTCCGGAGCATCAAGGCTCAATGGCGAGCGGAGACGCGTCGCGGACGCGCGCAAGGGATTTAACCCAATTGGGTTAGGGCTCAGGGCAAGTCTCTTTACAGTCCGAGAAGATAATCTAAATGAGCCTCTTCTTGACGTCTTCTTTTCTGGGCATCTCTGTACATCTCCTTCTAGATCTATTTTCTTCGTTCTTCTAGTTCTTGTATTTGAATGATTTCAGATACGTCTGGAGAGCCAAGTCGCGGCTGTATATTCCATTTGGTACTCCGTAGTTTCTTGGAATTTGTCACTATGTACTAGCTTCAAGTACTTGCACCTCCGGCTGTGAGGAAGTCGAAGTCGGTTCCTTCATGCGCTTGGTTTACCGACCGCTCGTACAACCCGCGATATCCTCTTCGCTGCTTCCTCGCCTGCACTGGACCACTCTCACCCTCTAAAGTTTGCTTTCTCTGTGAGATACGAGCTTGCAATACATCATCCGAGATGTCAAGATGAAGCCTGCGGGTTTCAATATCGCAGATGATCAAGTCGCCCGTCTCAACAACCCCGAAGGGAGAATTGGGTACAGCCGACTCCGGTGAGATGTGCAGTATAATGGTACCTCCTGCAGTACCTGACATCCGACCATCCGATAGTCGCAGCATATCCTTGACACCAGCAGCAGCTAGCTTTTTGGGAATCGGAATCAAACCTGCTTCTGGCATCCCTGGGTTCCCGATTGGGCCGATTCCCTTGAGCACCAACACGCTGTCCCTTGTTACAGGAAGATCCGGGTCGTCGATCCGCAGAGCTAGGTCTGCGGAATTTTCGAAGACAACAGCCGGCCCGGTGTGTGAGAGGAGAGACCGATCCTTAGAAGCAGATGCTTTGAGAACCGCTCCATTTGGCGCGAGGTTGCCATGAAGAATAGCCAGAGAAGACGACGAGTGAAGAGGGTTCGAAAGTGGTCGAATAATGTCCTGTGCGAAGGAGAGCTTCGATTTGGACGCATCCAAAACCTCGCCCAGTGTCTGGCCGCTAATTGTCTTAGCGGACAAATGAAGCAGCGGTCGAAGAACTTGCAGTAGCGCCAACATGCCACCGGCGTTGTGGAAATCATTCATATAATTATCTCCGCTGGGCTTGAGATCAACCAAAAGCGGGGTCTTCTTTCCGATCTCTTCGAATGTCTGCAAGGTGATCACGCCTTGGAGATCGGGGTGTCGGTTGGCAATAGCTAACAGGTGAACCACTGCGTTTGTGGACCCGCCAATGGCCTGGAGCACCGTGATGGCATTCAAGAAGGATTCCTTGCTCAGAATTTCCTGTGGCTTTCTTGCCGCTTTGGCTACTGCTACTGCGTTTGCACCAGTCTCTTCGGCAATTCGTAGTCGAGCAGATGATACTGCCGGGGCAGATGCACCTCGGAGAGGCATCATTCCTAGCGCTGCAGTTATGCAGGCCATAGTGCTCGCTGTTCCCATGACACCGCATGTTCCAATCTATAAGATCCCATTAGCATGGGCTTATTCTAGCTCGCCTGGGGATGCACTCACCGTGGGAGCAAGCTCTTCATTAATAGCCGAGATCTCTTCAACATCAATCTCACCGGCTCTAAAAGCAGCCCAATTGTTACGACAGTCAGTGCAGGCACCAATTCTTTTCCCACGATGACTACCCGGAAGCATAGGACCCGTAATCAAAGGAAGGATAGGTTTGTTGGCAGAGATTCCACCCATGAGCTGCGCAGGAACCGTCTTGTCACATCCTAGAAAGAATCAGCCATCTACTTCCCCTCTCATATCCCGTTCTCATCAAGGACAGACACTAACCTCCAATCATGATACAAGCATCCAACGGTTGCGCCTTAATCATCTCCTCCGTGTCCATACTCATCAGATTCCGCAGAAACATACTAGTCGGATGCGAGAATGACTCCGCAACACTGATGGTAGGAAATTCAATTGCCAGCCCTCCATTAAGCTGCACGCCGCGCTTAGCGGCCTCGATGAGCTGCGGTACATTGGCATGACATGGATTAAAACCCGAGAATGTGTTGATAATGCCGATGATGGGTCTTGAGAGGGAATCTTCGGAGTAACCAAGTGCTTTGATGAAAACTTTGCGTAGAAAGAGGGAAAAGTGCGCGTCGCCATAGGAGGTTAGGCCCTGGCGGAGTCCTGAGGTTGAATTGACGGGGGTGTCGAGATCATAGTCTTGGTTGGGCTCTGCTTCGTTTTCCGTCATTTTGGGCGATTCTTGATTTCTATCTTAACTGAGCAATTGGCCCTGGATGAGGGAGCTTATTTATCCTCACACGCTGAGTGGATGGTGTCATCGGTTCAAGCCCGACCGGATAATATTCCGTCTACGGGTCCACCCGCGGCTATCAATGCGTCGATCTTATTCGTATTGAAGTCGATTTATGGAGAACAAGTGCTTTATACGAGGTCTGAGGCCAATGGGTGCCAGTTAATTGGAAGGCTCAACAATTTCTCAACGGCAACGAGGCCTAAACGCTTTCTATGGAGGCATGCAATGTTACGAAAATATGGACTAGTTCACAAACCTCGAGGTCTATACCATCGGCTTCAACTTCACCTTGACATCCTTTGCCGGGTGAAATGCGCCCCAGGTTGTCCTATGCGGGGGAACTGCGAGCTCCTTCTCACTCGCCGATTGGATATCCCACATCGATACGATAGACGCGGTAAAGCCTAGGATGGCCCGCTCCGTAAAGTTGTTATTTTTCGAGCCGTACAAGCCGTCCGCGAAAGGCGCAATCGGGTCTGCTCTAGCCTGCTTGGCACCAGTTGTAGCATCAGTCACGATGAAGCGTAGTGGATCGTACTGATCTGGGTTGGAAAAGCGATGGGGATCATTGTGGTACACGCCGTGCGGCATGACGACTTTCTTGCCCTTGCTAAGCTTGTATGTGCGAGGCTCAGTTGCGTCTTCTTTCGACTCGGTCACAGTCAGATTTGATTCCAACTTCCTGAATGAGATTCCTGCTGAGTGTAGGCGGAGGGTCTCGTAGTAGCATGCCTTGAATAATGGGCATGAAACAAGCAGTTTCTCGAGATCGAGGTTGAGCTTGGGGGGCTCGTCGAAGGGGAAACCAGTTTCTTCGCGGGTGGGCCGAGTGGCGTTCACGCAGGAGGCGATTTCAGTGCGAATTTCTTTCAAAAGTGCGCCATCCGCAAAGATGTGAATAATCGACCAGAAGGTAATCTTAGTGGTGTGTTCGACAATGTCCCAGTACAGAGAAAGGTTGGCCGCCGCACTAGCTCCAGGGGACAAATCCAATTTCCGGAAGGTCCGCATTCTCTGCTTTACCAACTCGGAAACATCATCGAGGTCACGAAGTTCGATGCCAGGGTCAATGCCATCATCAAAGGCTGAAAATGCACGGTAAAAGACCGACATGACATGAATTAGCCGGTCCCGCGCAGCGAAGCCCGACGACACTCCAGGGCTGGGAATCCAGCGACGAGCTCCAACAAATAAGGGAACATAGTTTCTGTCTAGTGTCCATAGGTCTGCCAGGGACATAGGGAAGTTTTCCAAGAACGCCTCGCCCATCAACAGGGTAGAGAGATTGTGGCCCATGAAGTTTCGCATGAGCTCAAAGAGCTTCACTTCGCAAACCGAGTTGTCTTCCTCGGACATGGTCACATCGCTATCACGTTCCCAGGGGGGCATGTCAACGGGACTGCGAGAGAATGTGACGAGATTTGAAACATTGTTTTGCAAAAACTTGGTAATGAGGGCTGACACTTCAGTCGCAAATGAATCTTTGCTTATGAGCTCAGCTACATTGTCACTGATTTCCTCGTTGCGATTCAGCTGAACGCTGCGCGTAAGACTGCGGTCGCCAAAGACATTTTGCAGAGCCTGATCGAGCACAGGAGCATTTGATGCATTTGAAGACATAACAGTGTTCATCATCAATGGTGATACCACAGTGTCATAGGTTTCGCCCCGCAGGTAGATGCCAAACACAGGCTCATCCATGGATTCTCTAGATGGTGATTAGCTGCTGTAATATACCGAGTATTCGAACGTTACTAACCGTAAAGACTCGAAGAGGCCAAGATGATTCCAGACAATTTGAAATCCATGTCCGATCCAGGGGAACCAGTACGGTGCCAACCGCGAGGTACGTGGCTCTTTCGGGTCATATTCACGCTGTCGGCTCTGTAATCCGCTAATAACGCGGGTCGCGATGCATGAAAACACCAAGACAGCGAAGAATGTTGTCCATGTCATTTCAGACAGGCCGTTCCGGACGGTCTGGATCAAGTGGGAGGTTGAAGTGGTGTGTCGCTCCATGTTGGCGACGCGAAAGGAAATAAAAAAACAGCCCCAGTTAATTCCACTGATACAGGGCCAAATTCAAGTCTGCGCTCGCAGAAGATGCAAAATATGTCGAAAGTGAAGATTAGATTATAATTGAGATAATGAGTTCATTTTTTTAGTCTTCACGACCGATGCTGTGAAAAGGGAGGCTGAGCAGAAATTCGAAGTGCCTGAGGTACTCCTGCTTAATCATCACGGTTGGTCTCGGGTGAGACACGTTTCTATATTTGCAAATCCTACAGAACGTGCCATTCGACTCGTCCATTCCATTGAAAGGATATAAACAATTGGCTCCTCTGCTATTTAACAGATACTCGAGTGGGGAGTGTACATAATACAGTTATAGCCTTGAGCCGCGCGCTTCGTAAAAAGTCCACAATCGAAATAGTACAAAATAAACATAATGCTTATTTCTCGCCCTGTAGCATCTTCTTCAAGATAGCGCTCTGGGCTTCGTACTTCTGGATATTTGTCTGCGATCCTTGCACCTTGCGCAGAAGCCACTCGATGCGCGAGGTAAGTTCCCAAGGATGCTTTGGCAGCGAGCCGAGCACCTGCAACTCCTCCTCATACTTGCCGATACTCTTGTTTTCGTCGCTGATCAGCTGCGCGAGAATCATCAGATCCAGGCGGCCCTCTAAGGTTTTGTTCTCAGTTAAACGCTGGAATGCAGCTCGGTAGACGGGCTTGCCGGGCTTGATCCATCGTGGGAAGCCTCGCTCAGATCCGACGGCGATGAGCTCGGCTTGCTCAAGGGCTCGGAGAGTTGCCTCGCCATCACTTTTGAACAGATCGGAAAGGAGGACCTTGTTATATAGCAGGGCACCGTCCTTGGCATGTGCGATTGATTTGATGAGGTGCCATGCCTGCTCGCGTGACCATTGGGGTGAGGCTGATTCGCCTCCCAGAATGAAGATTTTCATAATCTCTGAGGCGGACTGGTCGACGATTCGGTCCACAGCGGCTATTATAAGTATTAGTATATTACTATTTTTCTCGGTGGATATAGAATAAATATACCTTGAGGGGTCTCTCCAGCCTCAATCCGATGAGCCATGAACTCCAGATCAGTGACTCTTCCACCCAAGACCTTAATGCAGTCATCGAGTCCTTCGAGGGACTGCTTCTCATTCTGGGTTGGGTCATTTTTATCTTCCGCGGACCCAGAATTCAAATGGCTCATCACGTAGCGATGGCCAACATCAAGCGAACAGTCACCAAGGGTGATAGTGCGGAAGACCTGGTTCGGAAGAGCTTTACTGAGAGGCTTCGCGAAGGATGAATCAGTGGTCAAGAAAATAACATGGGCAATGTTGGCCGTGGTCAGACCAGCGGCCCACTCTGTGAGCTTGTCCAGTACAACACTGTCTTCGGAATTATAGACGAAGTTGTCAATGACCACAACAGGTCTCTTCTCAGGGTGTGCTTCGAGATACTCGTCCTCGCCCAGGTTTGCATCCTTATCATCCTTTTTCCTGCCATCCAACGCGACTCGTTTCATAGCAACTGCAGTGTTTTGCCAAATCTTGCTAAGCTGTGCATCGAGAGTCTCCGAGAAGCCAGCCTTGGTACCAATCATTCCTTGCGCTGCCAAGTCAATGAAGCTGCTGATACTGTTCATCCAGGAGAAGATCGGTCTGTAGCCAACCTGCGCAGCTGCTCGAGAGATCTTGGCAGTGTCGCCGCGAGCATCCTGGATTTGTTTACAGTCGATAACAACTTTGTAGCTGTGGTCCTTCAGTGCCTGTTCCAAGACAAGCTCTCGCTTTCCAGAGCCACGGGGACCATGAAGAACGATGAATGTCTCCGCCGTCTCAGTAAGCCAAGCTTGCAGCTGGTTGATGTCCTTCTGCCGGTCTTCCCAGATGGCAGATAGACCCCGAGGATCTGCTTTGCGGTGGCCAAAGTAAAGCATGTTGGCCTTGTCTGCTTGTCTGCGAATCCACTGCAAAACCGCGTTATCCTCAGTGTGGAGGGTGGACTTGATCTTCATTTTGATAAAGAAGGTACGGATAGGATCGAAGATAATGACCGTGATTGTGGCCACCAGTGCTGCCACGGCGGGGATCACAAGTCTAGGGTGGCTGAAGAGCCAATCCTTGATCATAGAGAACTTGATCTTGCGCTCATAGTTGATTTTGAACCTAGTGCCTGTCTTGCCACCACCCTCTTTTTCAAAGGCAGTATACCCGTGCATGCAGTTCCTTGCCATCACCGCGTACCGGGGTCGACTAAATCGCAGAGTGGCGTACCTTGGTGCGATCTTGGAATCAGAAGGCTGTGGCTGGATATCCAGTAGCTTTCCAAAGGGACGAAAAAGAGAATACAGCGCTTCTTGTGTTAATTCTCCAGCAGGACCCTCAGTGGAATCGGGCAAGAACTCCACTCTCAAGGTTTGGCTGGGAAGTCGATATAGATCCTCAATCCAAGGTCGCCCACGTACCAGATCTGCATCAGCGGTTTGAAATGGATTGAACCAGGGCCTGATGGGATTCTTCGCGATGTAGTCCTGAGCTGCGGCTTTGACCTCCTCGTCGCTGACGCCGGGATTCCGTGCATACTTGACGAATGCACCACCTTCTTTGTAGCGAGTCACCACTTCTTTGATTTCAAGGCCTAGTTCCTTTGGCAGTGCCCGCTCAGCGATGCGCGTGGGGTCCGATGCAGCGAAATTGGGGTTGTTAATCTTCTTTAAGATTCCTTCGAGAGGTTGGATATGGCTAAGGGGACCCCGCAGGAACCATTGGAGTCGCTGAGGGAAAATGTCTGGAGCTGTTTAGTAAAGAACGAGCGTGGGTTCACCCTATATCTTGATACTCACTATTCACATAGAGAATACCCTCATTCTCTTCAAGCTGGATATGTCCAGACTTAACCGAGGACGTCGACCGCGCACCGACTGGCGAGCGTCTCCAAAGCGGCGCTGATCTCCACCCCAGGCCATGAGTATGGACATTAGTGGTAGTACAGCGCAGTGGAGTTGCCCACGCAGTCGAGGCTGCTCTCGCAAAAGATGCTCGCTGCATATCAACAGTCACACATATCGTCAGGACCAAGTGTGAGGAGAACAAGATTCAAACGGTGGGTGCTAGTAATGACGTCGCGCGATCATCTTATCGGGGACGATCTTTCGCACGTGACATTATCGGAAAACCGCGTTGTCAGTGTCCGACTTGACGATCCAGCACTCAATTCAAACAATCCTCGACACAATCATGGGCTGGCTATGGGGATCAAGTCCTCAAAAGGGCGATTCCGAAAACACACCTACACCACCCTCAAATACGAACCCTTCCGAACCAGCGCCTCCGAATGCACCGCCGACAAAGAATATGACCCCAGCCGAACTGGCCGACTTTGAATTCAATCAGCTCTTCGCCAGTCTCCAAGAAGCAGAGAAGAACCCGAACAAATCCAATCTGCTATCGAATGGCGACGCGACTCCCTCCGAACCTATCTCCTCCATCGCTGAAGAATCTCTCTACGCGGACGAAATGTCCTGCCGCACGGCGTTCGACTACGCCTTCTTCTGTCAATCCTTCGGCGGCCAATTCGTGAATGTCTACCGATACGGTGAAATGCGCTCATGCAGCGAGCACTGGGATAATTTCTGGCTCTGCATGAAGACCCGAGGCTGGGGAGACGAGTTGCGCAAAAAGGCCATCCGCGCCCATAACCAGAAGAAGGCTATCAAGTGGAAGACAGGTCCTAGCAGTGAGGATGTTTGGGACGTTCGACTTGATCCGGCCCGCGATGCTTTCAAGGGCGACTTTGCTGCCCTGGAGCGCGAGATGAAGGCTGATGCAGAAGCCGAGGCACCTCAAAAAGCGGCTGCATGATTGCCTTTGTTTGAGCTTTTATAAAGTGTCCGCTTTGCTCACTTGTCTCATGAATGTACATAGATACCTCCTGGCGTGGAATTTGTATAATATTTGATATAGATTGGATTCTCTGCTCTGACAACAATCTATTTCCCAATCCAACCATCTACCCTAATCAAACCGGCAATTCACTATAAAAACCCTCAAAAAAGGTTCTATAAGAAATCCCGCGTATTTCACATAACTACTTCAGACTCAAAACGCCATGTACAGCTAGCCCGATCCCAAGCACCATAAGCCTAAAGGGCAATTCATCCCCACCAAGCGAAAGCGAAACAGCAACAGCAACAGCAACAGCAGCAGCAGTAAAAAGCTCCAACGCCAAATGAAACCTCGCATTAAATAAAAGACCCCAGACCACACCAAGTACTCTCCTTACAATATCTCCCAACGACCCCCAAACAGAACCTATCGCCTCCTCTGCCCGATGAACAGCCAACCGTCTCTGCTTCAAAGTACCATCCTTCCTACCCTTCCTACTCCGCCGCGGTCGCACTACAACCACTCGCACCTCCAGTTCTTCCTTCTCTCCAATACTCCCATTCCCAGAAGCCGCATCCATAGTCTTTGAAATCGTATACTCCACGTTTCCAGACGCTGCGGACTCCATAGTCTCGTTGAACCCGAACCCAAAACTTTTATTCCGAGGAGAATCAACATATGAGTTCTTGCCAACTTCTATCTTCGCCATCGCTGCGTCTTTTTCTTCTTGCGTTTCCATCAGTGCAATGTCTAGCATGTCGTCGTAGCGGGCTTTCCAGCTCTCTACGCTGGACTGTCGGCTTTCGGGTTCGTATTCAATCTCACATTCTGGGACGCGAGGCATGTGTTTTTTGCTTTTACGGCCCATTTCGAGACAACTATACTAGGATAGGAAGGTGCGAAAGGATATGTTCATAATTGGTCATGGAGATGGGCGAGGAAGGGGGCTTATAACTTCGGTCTGATAGGGGTCGACTGTGTCTTTCAGGTTGGGTTGAGTGGTGAGACAATTGGCATTCTTGGACAAAGCACTTGAGTGTCAAATCCCTTTGTACATTCACGCGGGGACAGTAGCATTATAGTAGTAATGTCATTCTCTCTAATAGTAAGATATTCTGTAAGAATTGTTCATAAGAAAGGTATTCAAAGAAGTTGGAACAACGAGATATGTACAACACGAAACAAAATAATCACCGCGGTGCAGACGCTCTAAACACCTTGCATAGAGAAACGCTGCTGACATGATAAAGACGCATGGAAAGCAAAGATCAAAGATCAAAAGAAGAGAAAGAGAAAGAAATAGCTTTCATGAAAGAGAAGACCTCCAACCTCCCAGGTGAAATGAGAATTCCCATTTAACCAACCCCATTTTAACTTTTGCACGTTGAAATGAACATTCCATCATGGCCTTCGTAATAATTTAATCCCCGTAGATATATCAGTCATTTAATCTATGCAATGACCTGGGTCTCGGCTGGTTGGGGTACCGAGTCGATGGCTGGGCGGCGGATGATACCTCCGGTCACAGGCAGCTGGGAGCTGGTTCCACTGAGGAAGGCGTCGACTTCACGAGCGCACTGGCGGCCCTCGTTGATACCCCAAACAATCAGGGACTGGCCACGACGGCAGTCACCGGCGGCGTAAACACCGGGGATGTTGGTAGAGTATTTGCCAGGGGGGGTCTTGACGTTCTTGCGAGGATCACGCTCAATCTCATCGCCGAGCAAGCGGTCCTCGGGACCCAGGAATCCCATAGAGAGGAGAACTAGGTCGGCAGGGAAGAACTGCTCGCTACCCTCCGCGGTCTTCATGTCCCAACCGCCAGTGGCGCTCTTGGTCCACTCGACACGAACAGTGTTGATACCCTTGACACGGCCGCTGCCGTCGTCAACGAACTCGGTCGACATGACACAGTACTCACGGGGGTCCTTGCCCATGTGGGTCTTAACCTCGGAGTGACCGTAGTCAACGCGGTAGATGCGAGGCCACTGGGGCCAGGGGTTGTCGCCGGCACGCTGGGGCGGGGGCTGCGGCAGAAGCTCGAAGTTGGTGACTGACTTGGCACCGTGGCGGACGGAAGTACCAATGCAGTCGTTACCTGTATCACCACCACCGATGACAACGACATGCTTGTCCTTGGCGGAGATGTACTCGCCGTCGGATAGGCCAGAGTCCAAAAGCGACTTGGTGTTCTTGTGCAGGAACTGCATGGCGAAGTGAACACCCTCGAGCTCGCGGCCAGTAACCTTGAGGTCACGGGCAACGGTAGCACCGGTGGCGATGATCACAGCGTCGTTGGAGGCGCGAAGAGAGTCCAGAGTCACATCACCATCGGGGCCGACAGCGACACCGGTGACGAACTTGGTGCCCTCGGCGGCCATGAGGTCGACACGGCGCTGAACGACCTTCTTGTCGAGCTTCATGTTGGGAATACCGTACATGAGGAGACCACCAACGCGATCAGCACGCTCGTAGACAGTCACGCTGTGGCCAGCACGGTTGAGCTGATCAGCGGTAGCCAGGCCAGCAGGTCCGGAACCGATGACGGCAATGGTCTTGCCAGAGCGGGTCTTGGGAGGGCAGGGAGCCATCCAGCCCATCTCGAAACCACGGTCGATGATGGCGCACTCGATAGACTTGATACCGACAGGGTCCTCGTTGATGCCCAGGACACAGGCGCCCTCACAAGGAGCAGGGCAGACACGACCCGTGAACTCGGGGAAGTTGTTCGTCATGAGCAGACGATTCAAGGCATCCTGCCACTGGTTCTGGAAGACCAACTCATTCCACTTGGGAATGATGTTGGAGATGGGACAACCGGTGTCGGACTGACAGAAGGGAACACCACAGTCCATGCAACGAGCAGACTGATACTTGAGCTCATCCTCGCTCAGGCGGTTGGAAAGCTCAGCCCAGTCACGAGTACGGGTAGTAGGGTTACGATACTTCTCGCTGCGGCGGCTGTACTTCATGAAACCGCGGGTCTTGTCCAGAATCAGGGCAGAGCGCTTCTTCTCGGTCTTCTCATTGCTGATGCTGTCCTCAATATCCAGAAGATCTGCCTTCTTGGAGTCATCGGTCTTGGCCTTCTCAGCAGGAGTGGGGGTGCTAGGAAGCACGGGAAGAGAGAACTCAGCCTTCTTCGCAGCCTTAGCCTTGGCAGCTTCCTCTTCCATAACACGCTTGTAATCAGTAGGCAGAACCTTAATAAAGCGGGGAAGGGCACGGTTGAAGTCGAGAAGGATACGAGCAGCCAACTCCGAGCCAGTGTAGTGATGGTGGTCCTCGATCAGACCACGGACAAAGGCGATCTCAGAAGGATCCTCAATGCCGGAAACCTCCACCATCTCCATGTTAACCTTGGAGTGCGCGTCCCGGTTCATGTCCAGCACGTAGGCAATACCACCAGACATACCGGCAGCAAAGTTACGGCCGATGGATCCCAGGATGAGAACGCGACCACCGGTCATGTACTCGCAACCGTGATCACCAACGCCCTCAACAATAGCTGTGGCACCCGAGTTGCGGACAGCGAAACGCTCAGCGGCCATACCACGGAAGTAGCAAGTGCCAAGAGTGGCACCGTACAGACAGGTGTTACCGACGATGACGTTCTCCTCGGCCTTGAAAGCAGCGCCGCGAGGGGGATAGACAATAAGACGGCCACCAGACAGGCCCTTACCAACGTAGTCGTTGGAGTCACCCTCAAGCTCAAGAGTAATACCAGGAGCAAGGAAGGCACCGAAGGATTGACCAGCGGAGCCCTTGATGTTGGCGTGGATGGTGTCCTGGGGAAGACCAGCCTCACCGTAGCGTCGGCTGACTTGGTAGGAAAGGGTTGCACCAAGAGCACGGTCAGTGTTGACAACATCACACTCAATGCGGCAAGGAAGACCCTTCTCCAGAGCAAGCTCAGACTCGAAGATCAACTTGTTGTCGAGACGGGTGTGGAGGCGGTGATCCTGCTTGCGGACGTTGTATGTGGCCACGCCAGGACGCAGCGAGTGAGCAGGAGTCAGAATCAGCGAAAGGTCGATACGCTCTTGCTTAGCGCGAAGGTCATCGCGAGTCTTAAGAAGTTCAGCACGGCCGACCATCTCGTTAACACTGCGGATACCAAGCTTGGCCATGATAGCCCGCATCTCGTTGGCAATGTAATAGAAGAAGTTGATAACGTGCTCGGGGGTACCATTGAACTTCTTGCGGAGCTCTGGGTCCTGAGTGGCAATACCGACAGGACAAGTGTTCAAGTGGCACTTTCTCATCATGATACACCCCATAGCAATCAAAGGAGTCGTAGCGAAACCAAATTCTTCGGCACCAAGCAGACAAGCGATGGCGATATCACGACCAGTACGAATTTGACCGTCAGTCTGGACAACAACACGGCCACGGAGGTCATTGAGAACAAGAGTCTGATGGGTCTCAGCAAGACCGAGCTCCCAAGGAAGACCGGCATACTTGATACCGGTCCAGCGCGAAGCACCAGTACCACCATCGTGGCCAGAGATGAGAATGTGATCAGCCTTGGCTTTAGCGACACCAGAGGCAACAATACCAACGCCAACCTCGGAGACAAGCTTGACGGAGACCCGAGAGCGAGGGTTAGAGCACTTAAGATCGTAGATAAGCTGCTTCAAATCCTCGATGGAGTAGATATCGTGGTGGGGAGGCGGGGAGATCAGACCGACGCCGGGGGTAGAGTGACGGGTGCGGGCGATTGGGCCAAGTACCTTATGGCCGGGAAGCTCACCACCCTCACCGGGCTTGGCTCCCTGGGCCATTTTGATCTGAAGCTCGTCGGCATCGGCGAGGTAGTTGGAGGTCACACCGAAACGGCCGGAGGCGATCTGCTTAATGGCGGAACGCATGGTGTCGCCGTTCTCCATCCGGTTGCTGCGCTCAGCGTCTTCACCACCTTCACCAGTGTTGGACTTTCCGCCCAGGCGGTTCATGGCAATAGCCAAGGTGGAGTGGGATTCCATGGAGATGGATCCATAGGACATAGCACCAGTGACGAAGCGGCGGACAATCTCAGTCCAGGGCTCGACCTGGTCGATGGGAATGGGAGTACGCTGGTCAAAGTCGAACTCGAGCATACCACGCAGAGTGCAGTTCTTGATCTGCTCGTGCTCTGCCTTGGCGTAGGCCTCGTAAGACTTGTCGTTCTTTGTGCGAACGGCATCTTGCATGTTAGCAATGCTGGTGGGGTCGTTGATGTGAGGTTCGCCACCATCACGCCAGTGGTACTCGCCAGTCTCGGCCAGACCAGGAATGTCGACAATCTCGCGCGAGGGATATCCGCGCTCATGGAAAGCAAAGGCATCCTGAGCAATCAGCTCGAATGTGATACCGCGGATACGGCTGGCAGTACCAGCGAAGCAGCGGTCAATAACACTGTCATCGATACCAAGGGCCTCGAAGATCTGAGCACCCTTGTAGGACTGGAGAGTGGAGATACCCATCTTACTCATGACCTTTAGGATACCACCGTCGCAAGAGGCCTTGTAATTCTCAATGACCTTCTCGTCGGGGAGATCCTTGCGAATCAAGTTCTCCCGGTTCATCTTAAGGATACACTCCATAGCGAGGTAAGGGTTGATAGCATCGGCACCATAACCGAGGAGGACACAGTGGTGGTGAACCTCACGAGCCTCGGCGGTCTCAACAACCAGGGCAGCGAGCGAACGCCACTTGTTGCGGACAAGGTGATGGTGAACCAGACCGGTGGCCAGCAAAGCAGAGATGGGAACACGCTCAGCGGAAGTGGCGCGGTCAGACAGAACGATGACCTTATCGCCCTGCTCGATAGCCTCGGTGGTAGCATTACAGATAGCATCCAGAGCCTCGACGTAACCAGCGGTGCCCTTTTTCTTTTCGAAAGTGATGTCAATTGTACGGACAGTCCAGTCCTTGTGGGCGTAGTTGATGTTCTTGAGAGCATTGAACTCAGGGATGCTCAGAATGGGAGACGGCAGGAGTAAACGGTGGCACTGAGTAGGGTCCATCTCCAACAAGTTACCCTGGGGACCAACGTAGCACTCCAGGGACATGACCACGGCCTCACGAATGGGATCAATAGGAGGGTTGGTGACCTGGGCAAACAGCTGGCGGAAGTACTCGTAAAGCAGGCGGGGCTGCTGAGCAATGCAGGCCAAAGGAGCATCGTTACCCATGGAGCCAAGGGCCTCCTTGGAGTCAGCACCCATAGGGCCCAAAAGCAAACTGACCTGCTCGAAGGAATAACCGAAGGCTCGCAGGCGGGGGTCGTTCTGTACGGTAATTTCGTCAAGGGCGAAAGAGAGATCATGCTCGCTGTTGGTCAGCATCTTGGTGATAGCGGGCAACTTCAGGAGCTCCTTATCCAGCCAGCTGGCAAAGTCCTGACGGTTGGCGACGGTCCTCTTCAATTCGGAGTCGTCAATGATGCGCCCGGCAACGGTGTCGACCAACAGCATCTTTCCGGGCTGCAGACGTCCCTTCTGAACCACACGCTCGGGGTCAATGTCGATGGCACCGACCTCGGAGGCGCAGACGATACGGTCGTCATCCATCACGTAGAAACGACAAGGGCGCAGACCGTTACGGTCAAGGTTAGCACCGCAGTAACGGCCGTCAGAGAAAGTGAACAGAGCCGGGCCGTCCCAGGGCTCCATTTGGCAAGCAGCCCACTCGTAGAAAGCAGACTTCTTGGGGTCCATGGCCGGATTGTCCTGCCAAGCCTCGGGAATCATGATCATGACAGCCTCGGGCAGAGACAAAACACCGTTAATCATAAGCAGCTCGAGCACGTTATCGAATGCAGCGGAGTCGGAACCGCCATCCTCCACGATGGGGTACAGCGAGTCGAGCTCACTGCCAAACACCTCGGAACGAAGGACACCTTCACGGGCACGCATCCAGTTTTTGTTTCCTCGCAGTGTGTTAATTTCACCGTTGTGGGCGGCCCACCGCAAAGGCTGGGCTCGGTCCCAAGAAGGGAATGTGTTCGTAGAGAATCGGGAGTGGACAAGAGCGAAGTGGCCCTCATAGTCAACGTTGACCAGATCATGGTAGTATGTGTAAACCTGGACGGGGGAGAGTTGACCCTTGTAGACGATGTTCCGGTTGCTGAGCGAGCATAAGTAGAACCAATTACCCATACCAATGACATGGGTGGCACGCTTTCGTAGAATGTATAGCTGGATCTCAAAAGTACGCTCGTCAAACTTATCGGTCTCGGTGATCTCGGGCTTGTTACCCTCGCCGTAGGCAGATCCCAACACAACGAAAGGCTGCATGATAATCGGCTCACGCGAGAGCGCGGCAGGGCCCAAGATAGTCGAGTCGCGAGGCACCTCACGCCATCCCAGGACGCGCAGGCCAAGAGAGGTAGCGACATCCTCGAAGCTGGCGATGGACTGCTTGAGAGCCTCCTCATCGGGCTTGAAGAACAAGTTTCCAACGGCATACTGACCCAGCGGGGGAAGTTCCACGCCGGCTTCCCGAGCGAAATTCTTCACGAAGAACTTGTGAGGGATACTGGTCATCACACCGGCGCCGTCACCGTCTCGGGCGTCCGAGCCAACGGCTCCACGGTGGGTCATGTTGCACAACAGATTGCGAGCTAAAACACATCGACGTCAGCGCACGCTTCCTTGTTTCAATTTCCCCGGGTGTGTTATTTTTTTTTTTTTGGAGGGGTTGACTTACCATCGCTCACGATCTTGTGGCTCGGCTTGCCCTTGATGTGGCTAGATTGAGAAAGTCAGGTCAGTCGGCCGGTCAATGGCTTGGTCGCAGGAATCCAGGATCACTCACGCAGCAAAGCCGACACCACAGGCATCCTTTTCGTATTCGGGGTCGTACAGACCCTGCTTCTCCGGCAGAGCATTGGCCCAGCCATAACCAGTCTTGGGCTGGAACTCCGAATACTCCTGCGGAGCTTCTTCATTTAGATCATTGCCATAGAGTTCCTCCAAGTTAAGACCCATTCTTCCGCCGGCGACCGACAGAGAATGGACAAGGGGGTTGAGGTGGTTCTTTTTGGTGTGGGAGATCTCCGCCGGTTTTGGGGCGGGACTATCGATAGAGCGGCAATGTCGTCACTGACGCAGCGCGGGTGAAGGGGGGAATGGTCAAAGTGATGAAGCCCCAGCTGCGACAAAGTGGAAGATGAAAGATGGGAAGGAAAGGAAAGGAGAAGGCGAAGGAGGGGTGGAATAAAAAAAAGAAGAGGGCAGCGATTACGGCGGGACAGTACGTCCGGGGATTGTACTCTGCTCCGACACGTTTTCTCCAAGAGAGTAGGAAACGGGTAAATTACGGCCGTGGAGTTTGCGCCGTGGCAAAATTGCTGGAGGCAGCAAGGTAAGGCTTGGAAAGACGGTACCGAATTATTTCCAGAAATTAGTTCAGATGTCCGTTACAAAGAAGAGATTCGATTACAGTCATTACAACCCCCATGGACCAGAGGGGGGGGGGGGGGGCGCCGGCCGCCATAGACGAAAGCAGTCAGGAAGGGGGGGAAGCATTCCATGTGGACGTTGGAGAGAGCTCCCAGCTTAGAGCAATGATGGGCCGAGTAATGATAATCATTATGATTACGGAGCGCAAACTATTGAGATAAGCGTATGCTAGCCAATCAGAGCGAGTGTTTTACCATTTCTGAACCAAAACGATTAGGTTTTTGCTACGTCAAGATCCTCGCCGGTGGAGCGGATGTGTACATGTATTGTCACGTATCGTGACCGAGATCTATGTACGTTTAAGCGTTAAGCATTTCCCTGCCCTATAGATCCCCAGAGATCTCCAGGAATATATACCCTGGTTCACTTTAGATTTGATTTGCGTTTCGTCTCTCCCTCGTTGAACCGTGAAGCTAGCTTGGGTGGTGGAGTGGTGAACCAAGAAGCCATTGGCCGCAAACAGGCCAAACTTGCCCGAGAGAGGGAGCTGGAGGCATCCTCACATGTGGGCTCGGCACCACACAGGACCCGACTTGGTGGGGCAGGGTGCTTAATCCAGTCAACTCTCTCCTCTCTTTCTCTCTTCTGTCCTGTGTCCTGTGTCCTGTGTCCTGTGTCCTTTTGCTGCAATATGCAGGATCCTGGGTGGTGCTCTGTACTCTCCAGGTCTTGGCAGGTACAGAGACGGGGTAATGTTGCAGGATCCTAAAGAGAGTGCTCACTGTGCTGAGGTTATGAGTCGCAAGTTACATACTACTGGAGTACTATAGAGGCTCCACCGAGGCTCAGATCCCGGCCACGCACCCCCATCTTAGATGCCCTTTAGAATACCCGTCTTGGACGGTAATCTGGTTTCCGACAACGGCCAAGCCCCGGGATCTCCCTTTCCCTCTACGTCTGGTATGGAAGGTTGCCCTCTTCGGAACTATGTCGCTGCCCCGAAATCGGGCTCCCCCAGCCGCCCGGTATGCCAGTCGTGAATGCGGATTGGTTCTATCCCTTTCCCCCAGCTCATCAGCTCATTCCTTGAGGTCACAACCTGCTTATCGCGGCTTCCTGGAAATTGTCTGCGCCCTCACTCGTCCATCGTTCAATGTTCCCCCAGACCTCCAGAAAATATACCCCCGGACCCCGGTTCCCAGGGGCTCTCCGCGTTCCGTCTGAAATGGGCCTGAGATCGTATCAAATGTACGTCCTGCGATTTCCCCGAGTCGGATTTCGATCCGGGACGGGCCTTGACACGTGAAGCGGGATGTCCTGATAAGGTCGACCTTGATAATAAAAAAACATAAAATGGAATCTCACCTCGTTTCCGAGCAAAGTGGAGGGTAGGATTTCTTCTCCCCTTTTCGCCTAGCACGGTGGCTACGTGACTCACACTGATCAGACCATGCATCAGTTTCAGCGTCAGCGTCAGCGTCAGGATTGGGTATCAATATCGCCACGCTTCGTTTCTTTTCTTTTCTTTTCTTTTTTTCCGCTCCCTGCACGATATACATCAACAGCCCCCGGATCCACGGTGGGTATCACATGATCTCCGCCCCTCATCCAATGGGACTCTGGGTGAATATAACTGTGGTGTCTGCTCCCTTGCTCCAAGCTGGCGTCCACTCCACTCCGGCTTTTCCCGCTCTCCCCTCGACCCTTGCCTGCTTTGGGTTCACCGGAGTGCTGGCTGAGAGTCGGGGCGGAGCACCGCCAGCCACGGGTGAACTCGGGTTGCCCAGCACTTCCACTTTGTACCACCTTGGAACGACGTACTCCGTACTCCGTACTCCATATGCGCAGCCCAGCTATCGTTGTTGGAACTTTGCCAAGTCCGGCGGGTGAAACTCTTCCGTCAGCAAATCTTCGAGAATCTCGAGATTGGCTACCACTCTACCATTAATCTCGCTTTCACTAATGCTGCATCTTGCAATGGCACTCGGTACGGAGTTGAAGCGAAGCTTCTTACGCGTAAAGCTTTTGTCGCATCCTTGCAATACCGGGCTTTGTATTGCATAAGACTAATAATGCTCTTGAGGCTTGCTACCTGCCAAACTTGGTGCCTTTCATACTCTTGAGTATTCAACGTCATCCTTAACACTAATGCTATCATAGAGCCAGAGCCAGAGCCAGGAGTAAGATTGGCACTAACAATTGATGAAGATGACACATGCTACATCAAATCCCACGTCTAGTAACAAATTCACTTGATCTAGTTGCAGTCGCGGCACGGCTGATTCGTCAATCATCCAAACCATAGCAAGAACAAAAAGTGAACCAACGACATGCATGTGGATGTATTATCTATACGATAACTCATGTTTTTTCTCAATCTCAATCGTAGTCGACTTGGAACTTTCATACAGAAGGTGGAGAACACGCGGCATTGTATAATAGATGTGAATGGTGGAAACCAAAAGCCCAACCCCTGAGTCTAGGTAAATATATCTTGGAGTGTACCTTGGCGTAACATGAACTGAATGTCATGATTACACCTTCCACTCCAACTAGCAAGCACCCAAGTTTCCCAGAAGGTGAAAGTTTACAACCTAGCCCAATATACCAAATGTCTAGACCATGGATGGTCGCATGCACAAGCTCCCCGCAATTGCGCCAATGTTATGGTTTGCAGTGGAGCCGCGACTTTTTTGTCCGCCCTAGCTCCCCATCGATGATCACTTCACTGCGCACCTCCAATCTGACTCGACAATTCCTCGACGATACCTACCTACCGGGAAGAGGCCGTGGCTCATGACGTTCCTGCGGCTTTGAATACTCGAGACATCGACCATCGCGCCTGAATCACCTGTTGCTTTCACCGCAGCATTGACACCAAGCACGTCGCAACACTACATCTACGAATACTTCCTCAATAGACCCGGACATATAAAACAATTCATCTGTATCAACCGAGTGCACCACAACAAAAGCAATGCTCTCCCTACCCTTCATTACCCCCCGCGACGTAAGTTCACCCCCCCCCCCCCTCCCACAACCTCACCCGTCAGCCTTAACACATCACCCAGTCCCACGAGCTCTGGTTCGGCGGTTCCCAACCATACCGATCAGCCTCACCACCTCAAAACCCAAACGACCCCAACCGCCGAAATGCAAACCCAACCCACCGCGCATTCATGCCCTCCCGCTCCCCCGCAAACTCCCTTTCCGCCCTCCAAGCCGAAGAACGCGCCTTGCGAGCTCGCAAACAAAACATCGCTTCCTTCGGATACTCCTGGATCCGGCCCGCGGGCTGCGCAAAGACGATGCTAGGCATGAAAGAGGAAGAAGCTGAGCGCGAAGAGGCGCTTGCTGCGCAGCAGGCTGAGATGAATGCTGTCGAGGGGGAGGGGATTATGGATGATGACACGGGGATGCGTGAGGAGGGGATGGAGCGAGACTTGGATGATGAGATTCCTGATGCGGAGGAGGAGGGAGAGGGGTTGGTGGAGGAGGGGGAGGAGGGGCTTGAAGAGGAAGAAATTGTGGACGAGGAGGGGTATATGGAGAGGGATTTAGATGATGATATTCCTGAGGGGTATGCCGAGGATGATTATGAGGAGTATGAGGAATTCGACGATCAGCCGGATTTGGATGCCGATGTTCCTGTTGCTGAGGGCTTGAGTGATGGTATGGAGAGAAATTTAGATGATGATGTTCCTGATGCTGCAGAGGATGGGTCGGAGCAGGAGGAGAGCTGGCAGCATACGGATACGGAGGATGAGTTTGATGAGGAGGAGGATGAGGAGGAGGCTGATGATGGCAATGAGAGTGTTGGTGCGCGTCCCTTGGAGAATTTCAGGACCAGTACGCCTAATAGTCGGGGTGGGTTGCCTCCGCCGCCGCCGTTGAGGCCTGGACGTGAGACGGAGGCTCAATCGCGGTTCCTGTCACGATGGAGTGGGGGTGGTGATGCTTTTGATTCGAGCAGTATCATGCTTGAGGAGGATGACTTGCGTGCTTCGGTGACCAGTCAGAGTAGTCGCCGCAGTGGTTTTGCTCGACGATTCCCTCGACGAGTGGGTGGGCCTCGAGACAGCATCAATTGAGCTGGACTTGGGCTGTTGGTGGCGTTTACGCATTAGCGATTTGCATTATTATCGGCGTATGGACCAGGAGTCCTGGAACTATATTATGTACGGTGTTATTCATGATACTTACCTCAGTAAGATACCACTATTGTATATCATTTCACAATGATTGCTTGCTTGAAGAAAATTAAGATCATTGAATTATTGAAAAATCAGCCTTGAAAGGTGTTCTTTGCGTTATGTACTATGTACTTATACATCGTCGAACATGAAAAAGCATGTACCGGGCCCAATGACCTGTCAGAAAAGTCTAGCGATCGAGGACTCACGTTGTAACAAGGACCTGTAAGCATTGCCTGGAAGGGCTAAAATGCGCATCATCCCCAAAGCCTTCGAATTGAGGTCAACATTGTATGTAGGCACCACCTGCGAAATCAAATGACATGTACTAGAGATCGACTATGAACCCAATAAAAGCAAACTCCGAAACACCACAGTCGAAAGTAATGCTGGTGATCCATAAGAATATGTATACACGCCCATCAACAAAGAGGTCCAGGGCAAATGGGTTGTGTGTCGGCAGGCAGGAGTATTAAATAGAGCGTAGGATGGTAAAATCGAACGAAGACAGATAAGCGCATCCGACCGCTAGAATATCCACACGTAGAAGAATAAGAGGAAGACGGCGAAGAAGAACCCAAGCCACACTTTCCAGCCGACGCCGGTACTGTCAGCCATGCGCATCATGCGGGTCATGTTCCCGCGGATCCGGACTCGAGTGTTTTCGAATGAACTTTCGAGTCCTTCGAGGTATGTGGTATCGCGAATCTCGTCGCCAATGGCAATCGAGAGCTGGCAATTGTTGTCAGCGATTGCGCTTGGGATACCTCCGTCTTCACATTGAGAAATTGCTTACATCTTTGAGCATCTTTACCTTGGCGGTGATGCCTTCTACTTCTGAATCGTTTTGTGATTCGAGGGACGAGAGAACTGCGTCGGAGTAATGGCCCCTGTAAATGGAGGTCAGACTCGGTTGTTGATAAAGCATTGAGCGGGGAGATCTTCGACATACTTCTTATCTGGGGTTGCGCTCCTAAACGAGGCATTCGCGGCACCACCGTTTGGATAGCTGTTTACTGGGCTGGAATAGCCCCCGTATCCATATCCACCTGACGGAGCCGGTGATCTGCTGGCTGGGCGAGAGTCGCCACCATATGAGTCGAAGAGGGAAGATGAAGCGCGAGGGTCGCGTTGACGTGGGAATCTAGATGATGAAATAATAGCGTCAAGCTTCGTTGCAGGGCTACTGGAAAAGGACCTCAAGAAAAGGAGGACCGGAGACTATACCGTGAAGCCATAATGGTCGTTTGGGTTTGATTCGGAACGAACCGAGGTCGGGGTATGGGTCGTTCAGTAGGAATAAGGGCAGCAGTTAATAAGATTTCAGGTGCATTCCTGGTTGTGAGAGCCGGGGTTCATAATCATGACGGTTGAGTAGTTGGTTTGGATGCTTGCGGAGGGCAAAAACACAAGGTGGCCAATGCGTTGTTGGTCTCGTCCGAGGCGGTCGCACGTGATAAGCACCGATGTCTAGAAGGGTTCAAAGACGCAGAGGAACAAATGGGTTATGATAGTAAATCGAAATCAATTAAATGATGGGGATATTATTTATTTGGACCCAGCCAGGACGAATGGGGGACGTTGCAGCTTGCATTGCAAAAGCGCTTAGCCCGAGCTACGGAGTATTGTTTATGTCCGAGATACTGAGAAATTACTCGCCATCCTATGCAACCATAAAAAAAAAAAAAGTAGAAAGGATCGTAAAGATCAGCGTCATTGATTCATTGTCATCGCCTTATCGCGTGACCTAGAGAACATGTTGTGTCTCGAGAAAATATGAGAGAAGAGCCTCCCCAATCCATAGCGCCGATCCACAAAGCAATTCCAGTGACACTTGAGCTATATTCATCAAGACCGGTTGCTTAGTCGCGCATCTGGTCGTCGTTATCGTCACCGGCGCCTTTGTAGTCCTCATCATCATCCTCCTCGTCATCCATGGCGTCTGCGTTGACCTTGTCCCAGTTGATCTGCTTGCCGCGTGTGCGACGGCCACTGGAGATGATGTTCTCTTGGGAGATGGGCTCGAGGTCGCCCGCATCGTCGTCATCCTCGTCTGTATTCGCGAAGAAGGTTAGTATGGACTCAAGATTCGTTTGGAAGTATGGATCTGGAAGCCATTGGCCACGGAATGTGTGGCGGCAAACATGATCGCGGGGCTGGGTTCGTACCATTGTCGGGCTAGAGACAGGTTCAGGTCAGCGTCACTGTTTCGGTGGATGGGAACGTGGATGGATGCGCAAACTCACCAGCTCGGGCTCAGATTCGGACTCGCTCTCGGACTCCATGTTCTGGTCCTGGGTAGGGTCCTGGGCCTTGCCCTTACCCTTGTCCGCGAAGGCGGTCTCATTGGAGTTGGTAGTGGAAGCGTGATCACCCATGTTGATAAGTTGTGTGGTTGAAAGATGGGAAGGGGGAATTGGAAAAGGGAAGGGATTTAAAGAGACGGTCTGCAAGTAAGGTAGCTCTTCCAACCAAAACAACCCGCAACAGCAAGGGACCTCACGATCCCGTGACCTGATTCGCCCTGGAGGTGGCGGTGGGGTCCCGCGTGACGAATCGAGCCCTGAGGCATCTTTTGGGGGGTTGAGGGTTTGAGGATCTCATTCGAACATAGGTACTATTTTTACTCCTTACTTTGACTCTTATAGGACTTGAAATGAGGTCATGATATGCAATCGTGTTCGTTGGGGGGCTTATATCAAGCCATGCTGCCACTAACTACTCACAGCAAAGCACCGTTCCACCGAATCGGCGTTGTTGCCCCACCAGTTTGGCATCGAGATCTGCTTGCCAGCCCCAAAGAAGAAAAATATGAGCAGCATGTTGAGGTTGAATCCTGCATCGAATGCCGCAGCCACCAGGTAATTATAGCGCTTCCACACCTCAAAGTGGCGTCGGTAGGCCCAGTACATCGAAATATAAGCACCAATGATCGCCGATGTATAGCCAGTGCTGACATTGCCGTAGAACATAGCCAGACCACCAAAGAAGATACTGACATTCCACAGATCAATCCGCAGCTTTGGGAAGAAGCGGTGGAAAATGAACAGTATGGGAGGAATGACGGCTCCCACGAGGAATGACCACGGAAGCGGGGACATCTCCGCCTCTGCAAAGAGTCGCTTGGGACCAAGAACTGCGTACTGTACACCCATCGTATTGGAACTGACAAGCTTCTGGCCCGTCCATTGGTTGAGTGGATCGGTCTTCTTCCCCGTCAAATAATCGCCCTTGGTGTCCATGACCCAGCGGATGACAGCGTAGTTGATCGGAACACCCATGAGCGTACCAAAGATCTGGGAGAAGAATACCTGACGGGGAGGAATATGCATGTAATGGCCAATCTTTTGGTCCTGGAGCATATATTGCGCCCGATACCAGGCATCACCAGCGATAGAGCCATAGACAGATGGGCCACAAGGGTGCTGGTGGTTTTCACCGGCTTTGGTATGCACCATGTAGCCATACATCAGCTCATTAAACGATCCAGTTTCAAGCTGGTAGTTCGAGATGGCATATAGCCAAGCAAAGGGAATAACAAAGATCGCTGCACTGGCAAGTGCTACAAACAACGTCCAAATCGGTATGAAGAGGTACCCGCATGCAATGCTGGTAATCAAAATTATAAACGCTGCCAGGAACAGGGCAACATACCACCATGTCGGGATCTCTTTGTACTGCCGCTGAATAACGTTGAGGCGATCGTTGTACTGGTAATGGATGCCCTGGCCCGCTGCATCTGTGTTCTTCTTGCGAGAGAAAACTTTCTGGAGGTTGCTCCGCACTTGGGTGAAACCAAACGTTGCAATCCACATCACCGCAGCCGGCAGCTTGGCATAATCGAAGAAGGTTGCCCATACATTTTGCAAGCCCATGTACATTGGGCCGTACTCCTGATACACAGTCTCATTAAGGTGATAGTTTGGGGTAAGCACCTCTGTGGTCGGGTATGTCGTGCCGTTCGCCATCAGGAGACTATTGGACATCAAGCCATGCTTGAAAGATCCAAGGTTGCCCCATTTAGCTGCAGGGAGTAAAATCCAACAGTTGAACGCAAAGGCCAAGAACAGAATGACTTGGGTCCACCATGGGGTGAGCAAGATGGAAGATCCATTCCAGTTGATGTTGGACCAGTCCAGGGAGAGGTTGAGGAAGCCCATACCGCCCAGCCCAGACCCAATAAAGTTGGCAACCGGGTTCCGCGGCGCTACCCAGCACAGGAAAGCCAGTGACGATGTAAATGGAAACACGTATTCCGGCAGAAATTGCCACATGGTCATTCCAAGGAGGGAGAAGAAGAAGACCTTCATCTGGCGACGTGCAAGACGTGACGATGTGTCCGTTCTCCGGAATGTTTCAAACAATGTAGTCTGCATCAATGCCTGGGGCCAGATGTATTCTGGGTCAGGCAAGAGGATCTGTCGTGCCAGAGCTGCGAAAGCATAACCAGTCCATACAATGGCCAGCATGAAGAAGATTGCAACAGCCGGCTGGATTCTCTCTCCATACCAGAGCTCAGCCAAGACAATCGGAGCATATCCCATGTTATACGTGGCTCCTGATGCCGCCGTCACCGTGACCAGCACGTGTTCTTTGATACTCCAGGCCCCAGGGTTCAGGCTGAAGGACCAGCTAGTTCCCGGCACGCGAATCACCCAAGTTGGCAGTGTCCTTGCAAGGAAGTGCCCGGCGTAGTGAGAGGCAATTTGAACGAAGAAGACCGAGTAAGTTGCACTAGTTGTTCGAAAGTAGCTCATCTGGGACAAGAAGGCACCAGGAATGACAAAGATGGCCGAGAGCACAAAGTAACGGAAGGTAATGGTAGGCAAAGTAGGATCATCGGTCAAATTGACCAGCTGTCGTACCTGTGGGGGTAATGCGGCGATTTCTGGGTCCGCGTGACTTTCCTCCTCGATAGCCACCGTCTCGCTCGTGGCTTTCAACTTCTCTTCATCGGGAAAGACAGTGTCAGCGACCTCTTCCTCGATTGAAGGCATATCGACGGGGCCTTCCGATGTGCGCTCTGCGGAGTTGCTGGTTTGGCGTTTCTGGGCCCCCTTGCGCCGCTTGAACACACCCAGAAGAGCCATAGTTGCGATAGACGTCCGTAATCCCTGCAGTGGCAGGAATACCAACGAGCGGCGGAGGAGAAAATCAAGGACTGTGCATTTTCACCGGAGGGCGGGGTCTACTTCTTTTTAAATTTCTATTTATTTATTTATAAAAGAAGAAAAACAACCTACAGATCCCACACAGAAAGTACGTGGTTCCCCATGGCGTGCGAGCCAAGCCCGGAGCCAACGGCGTAAGTTGCCTTGCGGAGCGAAGCTTGAACGCTGATCGCATCGGATCAAGCCCAGCCAGAGCCGATTGGAGTAGACAGCCCCAGGCTCAAAGCTAATGTGAGAGAGTTACATTGGACGTGCACCAAAACAGCTGGGATGCAATAGAATTTGAGTGGTCGGTCATTCATAGTGCGGATGGCGTTATCAGGGCCGTCTCAAACGGGGTTGGCTTACGGGCCTTTTTCCATTTTGCTCCAACGGAATCTTTGCGAATTGGCATGTCCAAGGTCGAGTCTGCGATCTCGGACTTGGAAGTCTGGACTGGGCTATCTATGCTTCTGAGTTAACCTTGACTTTTTATTTTTTTTATCTTTTTCTATCCTTCGATTCTCACTACTTAGCACATCATCGGGCGATCAAAGGGACTGCAGCTGTGAGATTCTCCGAGCTAAGAATGAAGCAGCTGAGTGTACGGAGTGGACCGAGTGTGATGGGCATAATACCATGAATTTTAGGCCTACGATTATACTCATCCGAGCGTACCTTGCAATGCTGAAGATAAGCTTATGGGCAGGTCCGGGTGGCTGAGTGGCTGAATGGCTGAATACTTGGGCGCCTTACTGCCTTACTGCCTTGTGTGCCTTGTTGCCTGGTTTTTTAATTAGACACCTCAGGCATCCATGGAAGAGTCGTCGCCTTTCGGTGGGGTCGAAGAAGCCCATGAATTCATGATGACGGTCACGCATTGAATTCATGATGACGCTCACAAAGCGTGACGGTACCAATACTAGCATTACGCACTGGCCAGGCGCCAGACCCGCACAAAGATGACTGGCATACCCCGCCGGTACGCACGGTAACAATTACAACGGCAACTCCTTCGCTGACATCATTCGTTCTGCCCCGCCAACAAAAAAAAATAGACCACCCTTCAAACAATGAGGAATGAGGAATTGTACACCATCCAGAGCAGCTAGGCTGTATCCTGGAACTTGTAGAGACAACTTGTATCCACCAGACCCGTCTGGAAGCAGCGGGTCCTTTCAAGAAGGGGCGCGGACAGGCTGTTGCTGGGGCATCGAAGCTCATGGAAACCCGTGGACCCCCATGGAAGTCATCTGCTAGAAGCTTCTGAGCAATACACCGCTCACTATATAGAAGGATTTCGCTGCCCACATCCTCCCTTTTTCTCTCTTCACTTTTCCAAATACCCTTAATCCTTCTTCACCCCCCTCCCCTCTGTATACTACCTATCCACTTTCCCACGAATTTCCTTTCATTAACGACACATTCACAATGGCCCCCGCCGTCGGTATCGATCTGGGTACCACCTACTCCTGTGTGGGTGTGTTCCGTGATGACCGCATTGAGATCATTGCCAATGACCAGGGTAACCGTACTACCCCCTCGTTCGTTGCCTTCACCGACTCCGAGCGTCTCATCGGTGATGCCGCCAAGAACCAGGTCGCCATGAACCCCCACAACACTGTCTTCGACGCCAAGCGTCTCATTGGTCGTCGTTTTGCCGATGCTGAGGTCCAGGCCGATATGAAGCACTGGCCCTTCAAGGTCGTCGACAAGGCCACCAAGCCCATCCTCGAGGTTGACTTCAAGGGTGAGACCAAGCAGTTCACTCCCGAGGAGATCTCCTCCATGATCCTCACCAAGATGCGTGAGACCGCTGAGGCTTACCTCGGTGGCACCGTCAACAACGCTGTCATCACTGTCCCCGCCTACTTCAACGACTCTCAGCGTCAGGCTACCAAGGACGCCGGTCTCATTGCCGGTCTTAACGTCCTCCGTATCATCAACGAGCCCACTGCTGCTGCCATTGCCTACGGTCTTGACAAGAAGCAGGAGGGTGAGCGCAACGTCCTCATCTTCGATCTCGGTGGTGGTACCTTCGATGTGTCTCTCTTGACCATTGAGGAGGGTATCTTCGAGGTCAAGGCCACCGCTGGTGACACTCACCTTGGTGGTGAGGACTTCGACAACCGTCTCGTCAACCACTTCGTCAACGAATTCAAGCGCAAGCACAAGAAGGACCTGACCACCAACGCTCGCGCTCTCCGCCGTCTCCGCACTGCTTGCGAGCGTGCCAAGCGCACCCTGTCCTCTGCTGCTCAGACCTCCATCGAGATCGACTCTCTGTTCGAGGGAATTGACTTCTACACTTCCATCACCCGTGCCCGTTTCGAGGAGCTCTGCCAGGACCTCTTCCGCGGCACCATGGAGCCCGTTGAGCGTGTCCTCCGTGACGCCAAGATCGACAAGGCCTCCGTCCACGAGATTGTCCTCGTCGGTGGTTCCACCCGTATCCCCAAGATTCAGAAGCTCGTCTCCGACTTCTTCAACAAGGACCCCAACAAGTCCATCAACCCCGATGAGGCCGTTGCCTACGGTGCTGCCGTTCAGGCCGCTATCCTGTCTGGTGACACTTCCTCCAAGTCCACCAACGAGATCCTGCTTCTCGATGTTGCTCCTCTCTCCCTCGGTATCGAGACTGCTGGTGGTGTCATGACTGCTCTGATTAAGCGCAACACCACTATCCCTACCAAGAAGTCCGAGACCTTCTCTACCTACTCCGACAACCAGCCCGGTGTCCTGATCCAGGTCTTCGAGGGTGAGCGTGCTCGCACCAAGGACAACAACCTCCTCGGCAAGTTCGAGCTCACTGGCATTCCCCCCGCTCCCCGTGGTGTTCCCCAGATTGAGGTCACCTTCGATCTTGATGCCAATGGTATCATGAACGTCTCTGCTGTTGAGAAGGGTACCGGAAAGACCCACAAGATCACCATCTCTAACGACAAGGGTCGTCTGTCCAAGGAGGAGATCGAGCGCATGCTCTCCGAGGCTGAGAAGTACAAGGAGGAGGATGAAGCCGAGGCTGGCCGTATCCAGGCCAAGAACGGCCTCGAGTCCTACGCCTACTCCCTCAAGTCCACCATCAACGAGGGCAAGCTCCCCATCTCTGATGAGGACAAGAAGAAGATCGAGGAGAAGGTCTCCGAGGTCATCTCTTGGCTCGACAACAACCAGACTGCTGAGAAGGATGAGTACGAGTCTCAGCAGAAGGAGCTTGAGGCTGTTGCCACTCCCATCATGAAGGGTGCCTACGAGTCTGCCGGCGGTGCCCCCGGTGGTGAGACTCACCAGGCCGATGCCACCGAGGAGGCCGGTCGTGAGCCCGAGGACCTTGACTAAAAGTCTCAAATTTGAGATGTTTTCGCTTCAAGTTTTCATAATGATCGCCTGTTGGCTTTCCATTTTTCCTTTCACGTCTTGTTTTACGACTTATGGGATCTCGAGTTTTTCTTTTTGCGCATGATTGCATAGATCAAGGTTATCTCTGCTGGGATAGTAAAAGTCCCAAGCCAATTCAAAATATTCTTATTCAATTTATCTCCTCTTGTAAGGATTTGTAGACTTGACCTCCGTTATTTGAAATGGTGATCATTATAGTCAATTGGTTATTCTTAATTGCTGGTAATGAAGCACATCGCAGCACTTATCACGGAAACGAGCATAACGCCCAACCCAAATCCAAAGAATTCACATTTGTACAGGAAAGCGTCCGACAGTCCGACAGAAACTCAAAATGATCATAAGTCCTGGAAATCTCCATTCCACCACCTTTGTAACCGTCGCTGGCCGAGCTGTGCGATGGTTCCGTATCCAATTTCTGATGCCCTCTCTGGGTTCTTCTCTTGTTGGTCGCGGCGGATGCGAGTGAGGGCGGCAGCGACACCCATTGTGAGTGCGAAGATGGGATCGCCGATCCTATTATGGCACAGACATGTTAGATCCGGGAGCAAGGTTATGGTGCTGCGATGGAAGAACGATCGGAGTTGCTTGATTTGGCCTGGAGTGGCTTTTTTTGTTGACATGAATTCGAGCAGTACTTACCTCGAAAGAAGGTAGGCTGTCATTTTGAACTTTCTGCTCTGGTTTGTAGAGTTCAAGAGTGTAATGGGTTGAAGTTGATGCGGAGTCGCAGGCCTTGGAGGTTCGATACCACATCACGTGATGGATTTTGCGGAGGGAGGTGGTCTGGTCCAGACATTAGCGGTTCTCTATGGGTAGCTTTACAGATATAAAAGAGATACAAAAGAGATTCTGCCTTTTCTTAATGTAGTATGGAGTTGTTTTATTTCTTGACTGCAACTAAACCCCGTGGGAGTAAAATAAACCATGTCTATGAGGGAAAAAATACACAGGCGGGCCAATGAACTGCCAAAGTCTGAGAGACCCGAAGAGAAAATGAGAAACGGAAAGGGGGAGTGTCAAAAAACGCCGCGGCTATAAAGAACTCGTCAAGCATGGCCTTTCTATACAACCTGGCCAAAGGCAGGGATCAGGGTCTGTGCCAGCCAGAAGCTGAAGACCAACTTGGGGCCGGTCATCAGCAGCTTGGGGGTAAGACCCTTGAAGAAGCTGCCCATACCCTCGTGCTTGGCCATATTGGAGACAATGCGGAAGCCAGACTCGGGGTTCTCGAAGTTGCGGTTCTGGATACGGGTCTTGATCACGTCCAGGGGAGCGGAGACGATAAGAGAGGCACTGGCACCGCAGATGGAGGCGACGAAGTTCTGGGACCAGGAGGCGGTGTTGTAGTCCGACAGGCTGTAGATGTACTCCTTGGCAAAGGCAGATCCACCGAAGAGCTAGATTGCAAGTTAGCGAACGAGTGCAAATTTTTGAGCATGTGATCGACACGTACAGCGAAAGAACCAGGGGCGTTACGGGCAGCAGTCCAGCCGGCACCACGGTAAAGACCCATACCCTCATCGGAGATGATCTTGAACAGGCCACGGCCACGGAAGGCCTCGGGGTTGGTCTGGCGCTTAATCTTCAGGACATCCAGAGGAAGCAGGACGATCTCGCCAATACCGATCAAACTGGAGTATACTGTCAGTCTCTCGAACTTCCACAATTTAGAGGACGATCTTTCTCACCTGCCAGCAGTAGCGTGCATGATGGCCTTTCCGGTTCCCTTGCCGAAAGCCTGGTCGAAATCGGTGCCGTAGTGCAGCGCCAAGTAGTCGCGAGCGAAAGGCTGACCACCATACTTGTAAATACGTTGGAGGACCTTGAGAGGGGTATCAGCAGGCTGCACATTGCCCAGATCGGTGACCATATATCCAAGAATAACCAACCTTGTAGCCAGCGGCGTAGCCCAGACCGGGGAACAGCGAGGTGAACTTGCGCCCAACGGTGGCATTGGCGTAATCCTTAAAGACGACCTGTTTGAAAGTAGTGGCTGAAGTGATCTAAGAGAATCTCAGTCAGCGACAATCGCAGCGCATGCATCCGCAATCGAGTCCGATCTCACCCTGGTCTGGTTGCTCATCAAACGCTTCGCGGTGGTATCGACCTGGTTTAGTATGTCAGTTCTGAAGCTGGGCTTTTTTGGGGGCAGTCGATTCGTACGGGGTGGAAAACCATCAACTCGGCGATACCAGCACAGCCTGTATTCACGGGTTAGCGATCGATGTCGTGCGTTCCCATTCAAGGATCATCTTACCGGAACCGAGGAGACGAGCGGTCGCGGACTCCTTCTTGACATCCTTGGAGGCGGCGCCGGCACCAGCTTGAACGATAGCGGGAGACATTTTTTGTGAGCTAGAGTGAATGAACCGGATGATCCTCAGGAACATGTTCCTCTCATAAATTTTATCGCAGGGACGCGGGTGGGGCGCTAGTCCTGATCGGGGGGCCGGAGTCGGAGCATCACGGCCGTACGATCATTAGAGTCATAGTCCGTGTTTTGGTACTCTCGTTGTCGTATGTTGTATGTTTCTACAAGATGAAATACGAACTACTGTAGCAACTAGCACTACCAGATCTACGCTACATATATCACCCACAGCTTGCAACAACACCCTCTACGTCACTTTGAACGATTAAAGAAACAATCTAGTCGGGGTAAACCACCAGTTTCATTTCATTCAAAGCAAGCATAGGACATAGCCTAGCAAAAATGGAGGCAAGTTCGAAAAACACCGAAAGAACGCCGCGTGACCGATAAAACCGTAATCCCAGAGGCTGAGCGAGGCTCATCCGCCAACATCACTGAAGGCCACTGATATCATGCACCCGTCAAAGATCCAAACGGGCCATCCGAGACCGCTCAGTATAGCGAATAATAGCAACTGCATCAACGCTTAGAAGTCGCCAAAAGTGTTCTCGCCAGAGTATCTAGAATCAATCAGATCAGTATTGCTTTCCTTCCAAGGGACACCCAGGGTCCAGAAAGGTGAAACATACGTGATGTACAAGAAGCCATCCTCGTCTTTGTGCTCCTCGTAGATACTGCTCATGAGGGCGGCTGTGGGGGGAAGAACCTCATCGACGAAGATGAAGATAGCCTTCTCGGGGGAGAGCTTGATGCGCTTGCGGATCACGTAGACGAACTGACCAACAGTAAGGTCGGCGGGAACGAGGTACTTCTTCTTGTCGATGGTAGCAATGTCTGATTTCTCGACCTTCTCGCAAATGACCTGTCGTAAATCCGTTAGCTACCGAACAAGCGGTGAGGGGCCGGTGGGTTCCAGCCCTCCAGGCTCACACGCTCCCGAGAGAACATCAAGATGTCTCGTCGGATGGGAGACTCACCGGGATGCGATCATTATACTTCTGGCGGATTCGTTCGGCCTCGGCCTTCCGCTTCTCGAAGGGGTGCTCGTCCTTGAACTTGGACCGCATGGCTGATAAGACCTGATAAGTAAAGCGGGTCGGGAGGGGTGGGGATGCTTGGGGAAGCTTCAGAAGAGACGAACTGGAAATGGTGACAGATGCTGGAACAACTGCTTTGAAGAAATTTTGGGAAGAGTTGATGGAGAAGGAGAGATGAAGAGAGGGGAAGATACCGGTCGATGACAAAAGGCAACCCCCGCTGATGGTATCACGAGGCGGTGAGCCCCTGTCCCATGACTCAGCCGGCCTCTGCACGTGCGCACAGTCATTCTCTTGTTTGCCTTACTCAATAGCTGCCTAGACTATTGCAAACGTATATTCCTGTTATCATCGCTTTTATAGAGTCCAGTGACTTGGAAGGCAATACTAGGTAGACCGGTGATCCTTGATCCTCGGTAGACTCGGAAGAGGTGGGTTCTCCACCGCGGATTCAGAAAGACTCGGCGATGGAGTATCCTCAGTCAAAAATGTTCGTAAACTGAATGGCATGATAAAGGATGTCTTCATGATACCCGATCTCTTAATATTCACCTCAAAACCTCTCGTATCTATGGTAAGATTGTGGTATAGATCAATGAAGTTCTTTGGGGCTCCGAAGATGGTGCCATACCAGATGTGGCTTAGCGTACCCACCGCACCCGTTCCAAATTTATACTGCGTATTTGTTGTGACGGTGAGGTGTAGGCCGGAAATGGCGCGGGCGGTGAGGAATCGCGGGAGTGGAAATCCATCGCATAGAGTGACCTACTTACCGTCGGGAGTCTGGATGGTGGTTTTCGGTCCTTAAAACGTTTAGTATCCCAGTTTCGTTCTTTCCAGGGTTCGTCGTAAGAATACCCTCGTTTTAGGGCCGTGGCTGGCTTAATTAGGTTCCAGTAGTGGACTACGATCTTAACCATCTCTTCTCGAGTATTAGATAGCGATCGGATATGGCGATGGATTTCCTCCTTTAAGATAGGTTGGAGCTTGGCGAAAAGTCAAGTGTACGATTCTCTTCCAATTCGCGCTCGAGATATTATTCTAGCGAGTATAGATAGGTGTAGAAGTCACGGGGATCCTAGCCTATTAGTTGGCAAGCTTTCTCGATTTGGTCCCGTACGTCTACGCGGATGCTAGTAGCATTTTGTATCGAGGATAGAGTCCAATCTTCGAAAACGCTCCAGGTTTCAGTAGCCTTACGGAGGTCTTCTCCTTCCTTTCCAGTATTATGTTCGAACCGCTTAGTCCAACAGGACGAGTCCATGAAACTTAAGGGCCGTGAGGATTTTGGTCTTGTCGTTATAGTAGCGACAGGGTGTGGGTTAGAAGGCGAAATTGAGGCTAATGAGTCATTCATAGTGTCTTCTAATAGAGAACCTCATATTAAACCGGGGGGATGTCGTCGATCTTAATATTCGCGTTCTTTAGCGTTAGATATGGGTCGGATTGGAGGTAGGTAGGCCCCGAACTAGTAGGGAATTGCTGTTGCAGTTCCGCTTCTAGCTACGCGATCTTATCTCGAACGGCTTTGATTTATTCCAGTTGGTGGATTCGGAGGTTTGTCGCTTCAAGACGAGCTCCGAGGTCTTCTTCGGGTGTGGGGTTCCGGATTAGGTCTGGAGCACTAGCTCCAAGAAGGCACGCTGCTCTTGCGGAATCGTTTCGGCAGGTAGTAACCATATTTCCTTAGGTAGTCAGGGGTAGAAGGATTAAAATTGTTATGCCAGAGGTATTAACTAGACAAGGAACGAGAGGTTGACTCAGATGAATCCGGATGAAACTTCAAATGATACAGAGACTAATATTTAGAGAACATGATTGTCCTGTAAGACGTATGAGAATATATACAATCAAGGGTCGAACTCTACTTAAGCGAGCGATCTATCCCCGGATCCCTGCTATTCTGCAGCTGATCTATCACGTATTCACCCAGGTGAAGTAACATGACCATGTGGGGTTTATGCCATAACATTATTACAGATACTAATAAACTCAAGATCTAATTCCGTCTCGTGATTTATTTTGGCGATCGATGAGGGGGTATTATTATAGTATATAGAGGCTAAGCATTATGCTCGCTAAAGGAAAGGTTAATCTATTCTACTATATCTAAAATATAGGTGGGTTTTATGCGTTAAGTAGGGGTTTGAGATAGATCGAGAGTGTATATCTTCAATGCTAATTGAAGCTCTCTCTTGCTTTAGCACCCCTGCCCGGAGATTATGATCCCTGCGATTGAACCGAGAGGCCTGAGGCTTTATGCTTAGCCCCCAAAGTCAATGAATTCTTAAAACAAGTTCTCGTTTTTGAATGTTCTCAAACATTTTCTGTTGTTGTCTTTGAATTTGGTTTGATTTCATTCCAATATTATTTGCTTTTCGAGGGCGCATTGTTTGAGCCTTGCAGATGAAGGGAAAACCGTTATTTGCATGTATGGTGTCGAACTACTAGGGCCGGAAGATGCCGGCTATACCTTGGATACTTCTTTTAGTATGTCAATTTAACGACCCCTTATTTCCGCTGTCTTGGTCGATCGTCGATCGAATTTGTCTTCACTGATCCGCGGCTGGTGTCTCCATTGAACGGCCATAACGGAAATAAGGTCGTATTGACTGTCTGTGGATGTCTGTGGAAGGCTACGCCCCCCCTTGATCTACACTACCTGCCTCCGGGAAGATGCAAAAGAAACAAAAAGAAGAAATCATCGGTGCTGCGTGTTGATTGTTCATCCAGAGATATTTCATTATCATTACTGAAGACAATTTATTCTGTCACCCAGGTCGCGATCTGCCAACACTACACCATGGCCGTAACAACACCCCCTTTGTCTTCCTCGAGCATAGTTGAAGACATTGAAATCAGTGCAAGACATTCTGCAACAACCGAGAATCCAACCGCTCGCCAAGGAGAAGAAGACCCCCCCCCCCCCCCCCCCCCCCCACCCCCAAGCCCATCAACAACGAAAAAGAAGACGCAGAGGATTCAGAGACCACGAAGAAAGATGTTCGCGAAATCACCGGGTACCGTTGGTTTCTGATTTTTTCTGCTCTATATCTATCAGCCCTGATGTATGGACTTGATACGACCATTGCTGCAGATGTGCAAGGAGCGGTGATTCATAGATTCCACGAAGTTGATCAACTCGCTTGGATTGGGGCCGGGTTCCCTTTGGAATCAGTCTCCGTCATCCTTCCATACGGCTTTCTTTTTACGGCCTTCAACATGAAGTGGCTCTACGTTGCAGGAATCTTGTTGTTCCAGGGCGGCTCCGCTCTCTGCGGTGGCGCCCCGAACATGGGCGCCCTAATCTTCGGACGTGTGATTGCTGGCGCTGGAGGAACAGGAATATACTTGGGAGGCCTCAATTACTTCTCTGCCATGATAACTTCAAAGGAGCGCGGTGCATATCTTGCTGGTACTGGCTTCGCCTGGGCCCTGGGAGCGATTCTGGGCCCCGTGATTGGCGGTGGTTTCTCAGATTCGTCCGCAATCTGGAGACGGGGATTCTACATTAACTTGATTATTGGTGCCATAACAGCCCCGGTCTACCTGTTCTATCTTCCAGCAATTCACCCAGCCCCAGGAAATCCCTTAGAGACCGGCTGATTAGCTTGGACTATGTTTGTTTTGCCCTCAGCGCAGGAATGGGGGCGACCTTTGCTATTGGACTCATATTTGCCGGTGGAATCTGGCAGTGGAGCGATGGTCGTACCATTGCAATGATTGTGGTTTTGGGAGTCATTACTGCTCTTTACGCCATACAACTGTGCTTTTGCGTTTTCACAACTCCCGAGTGCAGATCGTTCCCTGGACACTTGCTAAGGTCTCGGACTCAGGTCCTGTTCTACATCACAACAACCTGCGCCAATACTTGCATGTTTTTCACGGCGTTCTACATCCCTATTTACTTTCAATTTACTCAAAACGACACATCACCAATGGCCGCCGTACGATTGCTTCCCTATCTTCTATTCACCATCACTTTTAACCTGGCCTCTGGCTGGACGCTCCCTAAAATCAAGTACTATATGCCACTGTGCTTAGTATCTGGGATATTGATGACCGTGGCTGGTGCATTATTTGCGGCTTATCTCTCTCCATAGACGCGAGTTGCCCAAATTTACGGCTTCAGCATTCTGATGGGAGTCAGAACGGGCATAACCATGCAGCTGGGGTACTCTGTGGGTAGCCTAAAAATGAAACCCACTGACATATGTACTCAGCGCTATCAACCTGCAAAATGTCGCGCAAATTGGAGCTATTGTTATTTGCCTCGTGATTGCTAGCCAGGCTTTCCAGTCAAATGCCGTGGATAACCTGAGCCAGGTTCTGGACGGCCAGGGATTTAGCCAGGCCGATATTCATGGTGCTGTGGCAGGGGTTCAGAGCACACTGTTCGAAAAGCTGAACGGCGATCTACAAACTGTGGCTATTGTTGCAATTACATCGGCGATGGCACGGGCATTTGTTATTCCACTTGTAGCTGGCGCAGTGGGTAGTATTAGCTCATTGCTGATGAGCAGGGAAAGGCTTTTCGGATAGGCTAGGCCTATTGGCATGAACGGGAGAACATACAAGGTTTTGGTTGGAGTAGGTTACTAAAATGTCGGCATGGATATCCCCCAGATACCGGGGAAAGTGTTATTCTTTATGTTCACGTTGTTTGCATGTCTATTCCTCTATCTTGTGAAGGCCCAGCGCGAATACCAGCTCAGGGGGATGACTAACGGCGCTTGGCGGGTGTAGAATAGTGGTGGTCCGGGGTTATAGGGCGGTCGAGCGGCGGCGTGCCGCTGAAAGTTACGGTGGAAAGGCGGCCGCCAGAAGCTGTCATTTTCGGCATCATTTTCACAGGTCCTTATATTCTATGTGTAAATTTATCCTTCGCTTTCTGCCCAGACCGAATCAAAGCTCAGCTTCGGCATCCTGGGCTAACGTCACTTAGCTCCGGACAAACTACGGTCTCTTTCCCATCAGGGAGCCATGATGAAACCGTGTCAAGGATGTATTAGACCCTTCTAATTTCCAGAAACATTGGAAGCAGTACATGCGAAGACGAAACAATCAACCGCACCCAAAAACACAGTCCTCAATTTTCATTCTCCTTCCAAGTCAACGACAACTGCGGACGGGGCACCTTCTCCTCATTCCAGCCATATATTCTCTGGGTTGTTTGGTTCTCTGTCTCCCCTGCCTCAACCATCTTGCCTCGCGTTCGATGAATCTCGACAAGACTGCAAAGGGCAATGGTTCTCGGCTCACTATTTGGCCCGAGATCTCTCCCATACCCTTTCTCTGCCTGTTTAAACATTTTCTCGGCCTCATCTAGCTTCCCCTGGGCGTGGTAGATTTGACCCAGGCTGACAGCTGCACTGAGAGCCAATAGGCCCTCTGGGCCACTCGTCCTTTGGTACCCCTCCAATACCCAATTATACTGCTTCTCTGCCGCTACCCAATTTTTCTGCCGCCAGTATACACGTCCCAGATCTCTAGCAGCATCTAGTGTTGACTTGTGATTTTCTCCGAGAGCATCCTTGTAGCCTACAAGGGCCTGTAGGTAGTAATGCTCTGCCTCGGGGAATTTTGCCTGATAGTTGTAAAGACTAGCGAGGCCGGCAACACTCGCGAGAACTGTGAGAGAACTCTTTCTCAATTGGCTTCCCAGTCCGATATTTTTCACATACCCTTCCTCTGCCTGTTTGAACCTCTGCTCGGCCTCGGGTAGTCTTGCCTGTTTGCTATAGAAATGACCCAGCTCCACACATATCTGAAGCGTTGACTCGTGGTGTTCATCGAAATGCGAGGTGTACCCTTGCAATGCCAATTTAAACATCTCTTCGGTCTCTACTGGCTTTTGCTGTTTGAGGTGTAGGCGAGCCAGTGCAGTGTAGACGCCTAGTATCAGAGGATGATCATCGTCAAAAGCTTTCTTGTAGCCATTCAAGACCTCTAGAAACATCTGCTCTGCTTCCACCAACTCACATCTTTCGTAGTGGAGATAGGCGACATGGAAGGTATTTTGCAGTTTTGAGATGTCGCTGTCGCCAAATTCTCCCCATGCATCCTTCAATGGTCCAGAGTATAGTTTTTCCGCTTCGGAAAAGTTCCATTGAGCTTTGTAAAGCAAAGCCAGAGTCGAAACAGACCTTAAAGTTGATATGTGGTTTGGGCCGAAAGTTTCCCTTTTCAAATCCAATGCCTCCTTCAACAACTTCTCTGCCTCTACATTCCTTCCCTGCTGATGTATAACAGCCCCCAGGTTATGCAGCAGCATCGCCTTTAATCTCACATCTATTTTGGGCATCTCCATTTTCCTCAGAGCCTGCCGAAACATCATCTCTGCTCTGTCCAGTTTTCCTTGGTCACGGTAGAGATTTCCAAGGAAATGCATGCAACTCATCAAGGATTTAATATCATCGTTCTCGGTACAGACTTCAATGTCGTCGAGGATTCTCTGGCATCGACTTGTGTGCTTCAGAAGCCTTGGATGCGGGGTCCAGTATTTTGCATATCCTTTAGTCGGTAGGTGCTGTCGTAAACAGAATAGAGCCAACTTCAAAGTTTCGGGATGCCACTTTTTGCCGTTAAGTGGATCGTCTAGCACATGAATTGTCCAGTCATGAACACAGCTGTGCATGCTATACCCACCAATTTCTGGGTCTTGAGATGGAGAAACAGGGTTTTTGGTAACCAGACCATGGTCACACAGAGCCTGCATCGTCCATTCAAACTGCATTTCGTCTTTGGTGACCTGTAGAAGCCATCCTGGTCCTTCGGATTGGCCCTTTTGGAGAAGCTGAAACCAGATGTCTTGATTATCAAAATAAGCCCACAGCTGAAGGATCTTTTCAGCTAGCTGGTTCTGTTTTCGGACTTGACTCAGAGACAGGTCCCAGGTAGTTCTCAGAGTTTGATCGTATGAGCTCAGTCGAGGAGACATTTCCAGCAAACGCGACCATGACTCTTGATACCTATGAAGATAATCAGCAAAGCTGGCTGGAGACAAGCGAAGGTAGCAGCCGGCAGTGGTCAAGGCGAGCGGTAGACCATCTAATCTCTCAGCAAGCTTCCTGGCGTCCGCATCTAATCTTGTCAGTAAGGAAGGCAAAGTAATGGGTTCGATCAACTTGCTCTGTTCTAAATTGTCCCGGCCGGAGGTGTGTGATAAGACGAGAAGACAATCCGAGACCTGGGCGAACTTTTCCACTGGAATACCATGACCCCAGAAAATCCCATGAGACCGAGTGGTTACAAGGATTGCACCCTGTTTTGCGACTGGGAAATATTTTCTGATATCGTAAATGTTGATTTCATCATAATTGTCGAAGCACAGAAGCCACCGCTTGTTCCTGGCCATGCTCAACCACTCTCCGAGCGCAGTGACCGCTTCGTCAGGTCCTTTCTCTTCGACACAGGTCCAACGGTTCTTGAATAACGGGCTGTCCTTGATCCGTATTGCATTGCTCAGAAAAGATTGCTTCAAAGTGTCCTCATTTTTACTATTGAACCAAAATACTGCAGAATAGTCCTCCCGGTGCAGGTTGGCGTAGTTGAGAGCCAGCTGGGTCTTCCCCATTCCTCCCATGCCGTAGATCACACCGGTTCTTCGGTCTTTGGAGTACTTCAAGCACTTCTCAATCTCCGCAAGCTCATGGTCTCGACCCACGAAACATTCAGACTCATAGACCCCCGGTATGCCGAAATTGACGGTAAATGGCTCGTCGGGTTTGACTTTGCACACAATAATAAGTCAATTTGATTTCGAATTTGAATTTCGCTTGTGCTGTGAAAGTGGCCACTCTAGTATACACACGTACTGTTCTGAAGTCTTGACTCGGCCCATTCTGAATCAAGTTCGCCTGCCTTCTCGCTCATGCGACGAATACGTGAAGACACTGTCTTGTACCCATCATCCTGATCAGTCTCATACCGAACCATTTGACGATGGTCTGCATGTATAAGAATTCGTTCGACATTCACAGTACCTGGAATCACGGCAGAATAACGCGGAACGACCTTGGAATTTGAATTAGTCACACATTTTAATAAAAGAATATCGCGTCCTCTTACCATGATCCTCGCACCTGTGACTAGCTTCGTTTCGTATTCCTCAAAAGCAAAGTGGGTCACAAATGATTGTGAGATTGGCAAGTATTGTTCATTCTGCTGCTCCAGCCATTCTGAATATCCTTCGAGTTTTTTGAGAACCTTTTTATTGGTCTGGATGGCCAGTGAGGCCATGTGTAGCACAAAAGTGCCTGCTTTCACGCCATTGCCGCCTTGGTGTGGAGTGCCCATAAACATGATACCATATGTGCATGCTTTAATCCAGCGATGCTCTGGTAAATGATCAGAGGTAGTTCCATTTGAGTAGATCAATGCCTAAAATGGAAATATATAAGCTTTGAATCAAACATTGAATGGGTATTTCAACTTCCATACACTTTTTACCACAATGCCCCCCAGACTGTGAGCGATGAAAATGATCGGGAGACGACTTGTCTATGTTGAGTGTGCTTAGTATAAGCCTGATCGTGAAACAAAGTCACAAAATTCTAACCTTGCTTATTTCTCTTTCGTTAGACAGGGCGCCCACAAGAGCTTCTCCATGACCCCAGAGGGTGCTATGGCTAACCTCAAAGCGGCTATGAGTGTTTGCGTCGTAGCCCCAACTCCATATCCTGGCGTTCGGAATATCTTGAGGAAGAAAATCAGCAAGCCAGTTCTTGCCATTTGCCGCTGTCCATGTCGTATCTCTATGTCCATTCAGGCCGTGGACGGCAACAATGCTGTATCACAGGCTATTAGTATTTCGGTGACGTCGTGACTTCCTAATATGAAAAGTAGGCATACTCAACGGCCGGCTCAACTCCCTCCTTGATAAGCTTCAATCCTAGATCTTTCCGGTGGTCTGTCTTCTGTGAAGCTCTGTTAGCTCGCTGAAGCCATAGAATCAAGAGCTATCTCGCACAGTCTTTTGTTTATCTGCTCGACTATTTCGTGAGAAGGGGAGGCGCATTATAGCCAGATTTCCTTCAAATTGCCTCTTCTGGAATTGGGATACTTTTGAGATGAAAGATTCCTTGAAAATCCCCCGGCCAAATATATCTTTCATTCCTAGTTTCTAGCCTTTTTAGTGCCGGCCCCATTTTTGATGGCATAGTCTCCACCCTCGTGCCTCCTGCATAAATAAGTCTGCTTAGCGTGGTTCCCCGCTGCAACATCCGTCACATCATCCATCCAATAAAGTTCCTCTCCCTTCAATCTCTAGCGCTTATTCGATCTAGGTACATTAATAGCTGAGCGGGGCCATCACAATGCCAATCAGTTCGAGCTGTGCTTGGCCCCCATTGTTGCTGCGCCAGGACGGTAGATGAACACGAATCCTTCGCTAAAAATGTGCGGATTTTTTTAGCCTAATGTAGCTACTTGCATTAGTTGGCTAGATACAAGCCGAAACCGGTTCGGATTTTCTGGGTCGATGCCTAGTTTGGTACTTATGTCAATGGCGCGAGGGGTTCATCTTCTGGGCAGCCACCTACGACTGGTGCGGCAACTCCAAATGATTCTCTGATTTCCCACGAGCTAGCTACCTTGAATGCTACAATTTTGGGGGAAGTAACCCATGATAGTAAATTGAGTCACAATCCGAAGCGTACTGAACGAACCGAGGTAGATAGATTGTTGAAAATCACCCACAGGGATTGAGAGTTCCAAGAGGCCCAGTGATAGTGGAATAAGCTAATTTTGATCGCCTTTGTGTAGGTCAGCGGCTAGCTGCGCTTCCTTGCTTCAGGGATAATCACGGGTACGATGATTCGCATGTGCATGAAGCCCATTGTATCGTGCTCGTGATAGACCCCAGCGGCTATTTAGCATACTTTTCCATTATCGGTTTCAAAATTGATTTCCCTATCATTTCCATTGAGTGTATCTTCGAAACTAAGCCCCACAAGCCCTTTTGGGAAAGCGAGAATGCCCGCGATCCAGGCGATTTGACGTGGCTCTGACGCGACGGATGCATTTTGTTATATCAAGTGGTCGAATTTCCCTCAGTGTACGCTCATAACTGCCAAGTTCAGTACGATCACTCTGTATCTAATTTTAAGTACCTTATATACTGCCAGGGCCCGTCAAACTCATGAGCCCAAATCAATATGGAATCAAGCGCCACCCTACCAGCAAGGGTCCCAGTACAGGCTAGACGGTTTCCTCGAAACACTAGAAGTTTCTATAAGCGCCGTTCTATCATCCAAGTGACATATGATGTTTTCTTAGAATTGAGTGTACCACAGATCATTCTTGTTTTCGCCTCCTTGTTTTGATAAATGCAGACAATAGCGATAACAAGCTCTAAGGAGCAGGTACCTGTTCTGTTGCTGGGGGGTGGGGGGACAAAAGGTTGGCTGTTTCATGTTTTCCGTGGGAAATCCAGTCAATGTTTATTTTTGCTTTGTAGAACTTGAAAGCATTTGGATTTTGTACTCGTGATTTGCCACTCATGCGTTGGTCACAAAATATGATCGAGTACCAAACTTGAAAATTCATTATTAATTATTGAATACGTGCAATAGTTGCGTGCTACCAAGTTGAATCGAGAGTACAGTACACATATTAGCTTCAACAATTGAAGCAGGGAAGCAGGCAAAGCACATACAGTCGGACAAAAACGCAACCACAGCCCGCTTTAATTCTCTCCCCACATTCTACTAGCTAAACAGCCTGACCCAATAGATAATGCAAATAAGCTCAAACACTTTGATCCATTCGTTCTTCTGAATCTCTTGCGGGACAATCTTATATACTCCTGCATAGACCCCTTCTAATCTTAATTTCTCGTTTCTTGAACAACTCAAGGTACGACCGGACAGAGAAGTCATCGCCGCCTATTCAGGCTTGTTTAACTATCTCCTTAGTCGGGCTGTATGATATAAGGGGGTACCTTTCTTCTCGAACTCACCCTCCCATGGCTTTCAATAGCCTCAAGGCACCGATATCGCATCAAATGTGACAGCTTCTCTAGATATAACAATGGTCATTAAAGGTAAGGTGGGCGGCGAATATGGGCTGCGATCATGTGTACGGGGGAACTGTAGGTGCTTATCTGTGCTTATCTCATCCATGCAAACTGGACAAACATAGAGAATCGTACGACCAAGTTCCATGATCTCGCAATCCACCCACGCAAGTCTACTTTGCTCTTTACACTATTCTTAAGGCATTGAGTTGGTCTCAGCTCTGTCCAATTGCTTTTATTACCTAATTTCACCCGTTGCGCTGACATTTCCCCGTCGCGACGATGGCTTCACGATCTTTCAGGACTCTTCGGAGGTTTGGCCAGCTGTCTGCTCCTTGCGCTCGTACAGCCGGTCGCAGTGCAAGCAAATCATTCCGTGGGTATGCTACGGAGCAGACTCCACGTCAAAAGCAGCAGTTTACTGTGTGGCGACCATACCTGCGCCTCGCAATCGGCGTCCCCTTCATCGGCGCCATCATCTACTCTATGGTATGCGAAGAGTTCTCTGTGCGCGATCTAATCAACTAGCTAACATCATGACAGGCCACTGGTGAAGTTACTGACCTCGACTCCCCGTCTATTGCTGAACTGGATGACGCTCTGAAGAAATCTTCTTCCGTCACCGAATCCTCCCCCATGCGCCTACGAATGGAGAAGCTCATCAAGGGCCACCAACAGAAGATTATTGCAGAGCTGGGCAGGATAGATGGCAAGGAATTTAAGACAGATACTTGGACGCGCCCCAATGGCGGCGGTGGCATCTCGTGCGTGTTGCAGGACGGCAATGTCTTTGAGAAAGCCGGTGTGAACGTCTCCATTGTATACGGCGAGTTGCCGAGGCCTGCCATTGAGAAGATGCGTGCCGACCACAAGTCCTTCGTGGGTGCCGATGTCGAGTCTCTGAGTTTCTTCGCTGCCGGTCTTTCCCTGGTCCTCCACCCGCACAACCCTATGGCTCCGACAGTCCACCTGAACTACCGATACTTCGAGACCTCGGATCCTAAGGACCCTATCAATGGTGACAAGAACTGGTGGTTCGGAGGTGGTACCGATCTGACGCCCTCGTACCTCTTCCCAGAGGATGCCCAGCACTTCCACAAGACTATCAAGGACGCATGTGATCGCCACGACGCGACTTATTACCCTAAGTTCAAGGCTTGGTGTGACAAGTACTTCTACCTGCCTCACCGTGGTGAATGCCGTGGTATCGGTGGTATTTTCTTCGATGACCTCGATGCCAACTTCCTCCAGACCTCCGCTGGTTCGTCCTCTAACCCTCAAGAGACGCTGTTCTCTTTCGTCTCGGATGGCCTGGCCTCTTTCCTGCCATCTTACGTGCCCATCATTGAGAAACGAAAGGATATGTCCTACACCGAAACTCAGAAGGAGTGGCAGCAGCTGCGCCGCGGCCGCTATGTCGAATTCAACCTGGTCTACGATCGCGGTACCAGCTTCGGCCTGCGCACTCCTAACGCCCGCGTTGAGAGTATCCTCATGAGTCTCCCGCGTACCGCCAGCTGGGCCTACATGGACCCTGTCTCGGGTACAAGGACTGAGAGCATGCCTGTGGAGGAGGAGGAGCTGGCAGAGGACAAGATTAGCGAAAAGGAGATTTTGGATGTGCTAAAGCACCCCCGGCAGTGGGCTTAAGCACTGACCACTTCCTGGGGGGTAATTTTGCATACTCTTCTCCCCATCTAAAATGTCTATATATGTACACTTCATGTAAAACAGTCTATAAACAAATGTTCACTTGGTATAACTAGTTATCCTCGAATCCAGGAAATTCCCACATCTCCTAATCAAATATCAGATTAGCTTGACAATCCATACATTCGCAGTCTTCGCTTCATACCTCCAGATCAGCGTTTTCAGGCCAAGGTTTCTTGATACATGCATCAGTTCCCGCTCATCACGCCCCAATCGCCATTACTCCAGATGAGTTTCATCTTCCAATTCTTCATCTTCCAGAGTCCATCTGCCTCATCCTTCACAACATCAATTACGTACAGCGAGCCGCCCATCAAGTTCGTCGCACCAGGGGTCTTCCCGGTGCCTGGACGGAAGTGCTGAGAGAGTGCAGAAGCCGTCATTGAGGCTTCAGATGCCCCTTCGACCACATTGATACGCACATTGCTGATGAAGTGGGTGGTGTCCAATTTGGAAACCGTGGCAAAGCATTCGCTGTGAATTGCGTCTAGGCCATTCATGATGCGACCATCAAGGTCAAAGACTGCGTCGTGTGTGAGTGCGGAGTCGAGAAGGGCTTGGTCGTCCGTGTCGAAGGCAAGAACTGCGCGGTAGAGGGCGTCGGCGACAGCCTCACGAGTGGTGAGGGAGAGAGCGGCTTGCATCTTTCTTTCCGTATGTATAAAATTGACTTTGGATTTGGTTTGATTTTAATTCTTCAAGCCCGGAAGAACAAACGTTTTTAACTACCTCATTTCGTAGCCTGAATCATAAAGACTGTATGTGCAGTTAACTCCGTCTACTCGGACTTAAGCTGGTGATCCATATCACGGTGTACTATGTGGCCAGTCATGTCCAGTAGGAACAAAAACATATGCATCAAGGCTATGATGTAACCCTGTCTACTCCGACGGACTTAAGTTGATGTTTCCTATCGCCGCTTATCGAGTATAGTAAGAAAATAAAAGAAGAGAAAAAAACAGATGCACCTAGGCGGGATCGATCCGCCAACCTTCCAGGAATTTTCATGTGAAGCTCCCGGTGGGGATAATTACATAAGCTGGATGCTCTAACCAATTGAGCTACAGGTGCCTTTTAATGCCTAACTTGTCTGCAGTTCCATACCTTGATCCCCTCACATTTCAACCTACATTGGCAGCCTAATGGGATCCACCTTGATTGTACTGATTGCAAGTACAGGGGCGGTCCGTTCTGAACATTGAATATCGATCGACTGTAACTGCGCCAGCTCGATCGTAAATGGACGTCTATTCGATTGAATGATACAAAAGTCATCAAATCAATAATACAAGTAAAGAATTTTACTTGGGCCATAAAAAAAAAATCAGTTTCTCGAGTGGATCACGTGTGGGGCTCGAGCCCTACTTCCGTATGCGGAAGGTCAAGGGATTTCATTCGAATGTATAGTCTCACAGTTGCAGGCAGAAGATAGGGACGATTCATAAAGCATTGCTCTAGATAATTAAACGTTAAACCTAATTGGAAAAAGAAAAACGAACTACGCTAGACCGCTTTGAATTTGAACTTGGAGAAAATAGCATTCACCTTATATGTTCCCAAGCTCCGTTGTAATGTCATTGCCAAAACTAAAACACCTAGATGTGGAGTGTAGCAGAACGAGAATACTACAATTACACTGTGATATTGAAGTATTTGATAGTCACTAATCCCGAAGAGCGGCAAATTATATGGGATAAGCATGTCAACAGTACAAAGATCAAGGAATAACACTTTTCCCGGCGTAACGTTGTGGCATGATTGGCTGCAAGCTGTTCCACTCGGGTCTCTGACCCAGCCGTAACGAATGATGGACTACTCTCGATCGAAGATCATGGATGATCATGGATGAATATGTAGAATCAGGACACTAAAAAAGATTTGAAAGATCTATAAAGGAGGCCTGCAAAGTAGGCGAATAGGCCAAACGGGTCGAACAAGGCTAGCAAAGCCTCTTTGGTAGATGGCTTACAGATGGTATCTTTTGAAAAGAGGGATAAATCAGGGATTAAAATGTCGAAAGCCTTTCTGACTTCAGGACCTCGATCAATCCCTTGTCAAGCCATATGTGAATCCGAACAGGAGGTCGTATACATTTATCAAAACACAACCTTGTTCAATATGGCCATCAAGTGGACCAACTCACAAGCACCCACCAAAGCATGTGAGTAGTAAATTTAACACCAATATGAACTGGCTACTTCCAGTTTGGGATCGTCATGTCTTTGCCCACCTATGAGAGTATCCGCTGGTTTGCTTTGCTGGGCCTTTTCGAGGCATCAACAACGTTTTTCATGGGTCCATTTACCTAAGCCGAGACACTTCTAATTCCACATTGGGCGCTTTTTGATATGCTAGATGCTTCTTTTAACTATACCCACCAGGATACTGGCCACAGATACTGTGGGGTAAATTATTATAACTGGCGTTAGACAAGATAGGCCCCGCTCCTATCCCACTGCCAGGGGCAATCATTGGATCGAGTACAACAATTGGTCCTCTATCTCTGGTTATGCGAGGAGAGTACATTCTCATAGCACTCGTTGGTTTGCGAACCCAATTGGGCCATGGGAAATTGTGCTCAAGAGTGCACCGGAGCGTTTCTCGGTCTATCGCCATGCATCATGCTTTTGGTTGATGTTTATCCACTGGATAGAATCAAAAGTGAATCAAGGGGAAATGTGTGGATTTCTGTCGACCTCAAGAGAATGAAAGATGGCAAGGCGCAAGCGGGGAGGCCTCAATGGTTGCTACCGCTGACATGACGCTTCTAACTTCTAGTGGCGCTGTAGCCTTCAATCGGCTCCCACTATACTTGCTCGAGCACGCGCTCGCGCTCCTTTGGAAAGTTTGGCCGAGGAGAATATAGTAATGGAGCCCGTTTTGCCACGCAAACGAGCGGGCCTAGAAATGTGCAACACGAACCTTATATAGACGTATAAAACAATGCAGTCCTATTTAAATCACAGTGGCTCTCGACTTACCCCAACAAACCCATAGAAAGCGTAGATAGAAGGGTATATCAAGTTAAAGAACGAAGAGAAACTGTGTAAGATCATTGAATAAGGAGTCATCGCTATAGCGTGCGGTGCTATAAAACATAAGCAAGATTCTGATCGTGAATAATACCATTAGCAAGGTCGAGTCAATAGTTACAGAACTCCTTACTTTTTCCAGACATAGCTTTTCATAGAGCAGTCTACTAGCTGGAAAGACTCTGAGTGAAACCGATCAGCGAGATCTCGTAGGACACTATTCCTTAGTGCCTACTATTGTGGCAGATGTAAAGAAATACATGACTTGAAATTCGCTCAGATTAGTTTTGGCAGTAGATGAAGACGACTGGTAGTTCCCATATAATAGAATGTTCTCGCCGTTTTGAAGAGCAGAACAGATCCAGAACAGATTTTTGCATTATCATGCTGGTTGGCTCTACCATGGTACATTCTTGAATACGACCATCAATTAAGCTTTGTCTACCCTCCCTTCCTTCCCCCCGGGTCACCAAAAACGGCGTAATTATTTTCTCTTTTTGGTTTTCTTTTCCCCTTAGAAGTAGGTCAACGACTTGGATTAAAATGAAGATATTATGAATAACCTAAAAAAATTGGACTCGCCGGGAATCGAACCCGGGACCTCTCGCAGAATCGCTATAAGGATGCGAAGCGAGCATTATACCCCTAAACCACAAGCCCACTAATTAGAGAAAATAACAAATTATTGATTTATAACAGCAGTCCAAATTCGCCTAATGCAGACGAAACATAAGTCGGAGCTGGTCAATAGCGTCAGAGGTTACTTTCAGATACACTCTTTCGGATCAAAGAGAATGTATGATACACCAAGATATTATGACTCTGGAAATGCTCAATAATGTGAATAATGTACACTTGAAAAGGTCTTTCTGGCCTCTTCCGATTTGATGGACAACAGTAGAAGCAAAGACAAAGACAAAGACAAAGAACATACATTTTCCGCAGGGAAGCATACAGCCCGAAGGTGAATAATGGACGATCTAGTGGGGATATAAACAAAATCTGTAGTCAAAATGAAAGAAATGGTACCTTCCGAGTGACGATCCACGGGACTTATTGGCCTGCAACCACACTTCTTTGTTTGGCTAACCAGCCTCGAGGATCGGCCACATTGGCACCGTGCCGATATCGCGAAACAGTCATGTTGTTGTTCTGCCATCGGCTCTGAAGGTGGTACCAGGCTGAGCTGACGAGACTCAGCTCTCGTGCTTGGTCGTCAATGGTTTTTTGCAGCTCGATCTGGAGTGTGGTTAGCACGGGGCTGTCAAATACTGAGCCAATGGAGGACTTACTTCACGCTCCTTTGGGATGCCATCATCCAGGTTCTCTTCGTAGTTTTTCATGCTCTCCCGGAGCGACTTGATGAGCTCGTTTTGCTGTTGAATATACTGTGGGATCATTGGAGTTAGCATTCTTCCTCGGTGGAGCTCTTCAAGGTTGGAACTGACCTCCGCACGCTGAGCGAGTCGTTCGACATTCTTCTCCAAGACTCCGGCACACTGTTTAAGGAGCTCAAAGCTCGACTTCTGAGAGGTGTCACTGCCCTCACTGTTATGGGTCTCAAACTCGCCCAACAGCATCTGCATCTCATTCATCACTTCCTGGTCTTCGGCGCTGATTTCGTTTTGCTTGTCGTCAAGCATTTTGCGCAACTCCTCTCGCTCAGAACACACTTCGCGCACCAAGGTCTGACTAGCATCCACTTCAGCTTCCAAGTGGTGCACATTCTGGGCAAGATTGTTCCATTCACCGCGAAGCTTTGACAACTCGCCCGAGTTGTGTTCTTCAAGCTCTCGGAACATTTCGGCTTTCTCCATGTCGACAAGACCAACTAGACAACAGTTAGCAGATTTTCACGTGGTGTGTTCTTAGAGAGCTTTCATACGCTGAGTCTGCGCGTCAGACAGATCCTTTCTGGTGGTTTCCAAAGTGTCCTGAACTTCGGCAATCTTCTTTAGTGTGGTAGTATAGTTCTCGTATAGTTTCCAGTATTCGTCACTTTAAAAAAAATTAGCAAGTAAATTGCAGAGCATTTTAGGTTCACATACCTTTGTGTGGAGTTAGCCTTTGCAAGCTGCACAGATGCATTGAAACCCTCGGAAAAGCCTTCTGATTGATTCTCCTGGGGCAAGTCAGCTTAAGAAACCACACAGAGGAACATAATAGATTTACAGCTGTTGATTGCCCCTTCATTGATTCCACCTCTCGCTTAAGGTCGTCGTTCTCGGATTTACTGCGTTAATTAGCCATGATCACTAGTATTGTGGGGAGCGCAACACATACAGCTGAGATTCCTTCATGCCAATTGCCTCAAAATCCTTATTAAGGGTTCCTTGCATCTTTGACGTGTCGGAATCCGGCGATGGACTGCCTGGCAATCCTTCAATTTCGCGAAGGCGTTCACGAAGCTCGCTGATCAAAGCATCGTCTCGTTCATGTTGCTCATCCGCGCCCTGGAGTCTCTCGGTAAGTGCATGATTGTTGAACTCGAGCTGTTTCTTGAGGTTCTGGATCTCATTGCACTCCTGTTCAATGCGTGGAAGAAGTTTGCGGTATTCTTCCAACTCCACATCGCGCTCGGAGGTCCATCGCTGTTGCGAATCTGACTCTTTCAGTTGTTGCTGGAGGTCTTTGATCTGGTTCTTGAGAGTTTGATTCTCTTTTTCAAAATCCTGGCTGGCCTGGAGCTTTTGGCGGTATTTCTCAGCTGCATTTGCCTTGCGCGCAAGCTGGTCTCTCTCTGTGCGGAGCTCATCATAGTCATCCTGCAGCTTCTGGTAGCGCTGGTTCTTGACCTTCAAGGACTCCACCGTCATGCGAAGACTGTCTACTTCATCTTGGGTAGCAGAAAGCTTGGCCTCCTGGGACGCGATGAGATCATCCTGCTGGCGCGTCTTGCTCTCCAAAGCCTTCGCGTTGAAACCCAAATCACCCTTTCCAGACTTCAGCGTCACCAGGCGATCCTCGGTGGAGGCGAGGCGATTTTGGAGAGTATCGTTGTTCTCCTGAAGGCGCGCCAAACGGTTGTGCAAATCCTCCAGCGCTTTCTCCAGCTCCTTTTTCTCGTGGGTGAGACGATCGTTCTCCGCAAGCACCTTTCCGACGCGCTCCTCGAACTTCAGCTCAGGGTCCACCGCGTGGTCGCGTTTCGCCAGTTCCTCCTTCAGCTCATCGGCCGCATCTAAGGGCTCATGCTGGCCGTTATGCGCCTCCTCAATAATGTCCTTGAGGCCCTCCTGGGTCGAGGTGCTCAATTCTTGAAGTGTTTGCACGTATGTTCCCGCGTTGGGGGAGCTGATGGCCGCGATAAGGAGAAGCTTCAACAATTTGTTGGTTTCTTTGGTCGATGCTTTCTCCGCGATGGCTTCGAGATCGGGGGAAGGATCGAGACCGGACGGTAGGGAGTCATCGTTCTGGTGCCGAATGTAGCTGAGCAGGAGCTTGTGGATGTGCTTCAGGTTCTGCCATTTGGCGACCCAGTGGTCAGCGGGGTTGCGTTCGGGGATCTCATCGAGGAAATACTGCGGGTCGATATCTTGGAGGATCTCCCATAGGATGATTCCATCGGTCAATTCATCTGTGGCTCTGAGTGTTTTGCCCAAGGAGAAGCTGTTGATCCATTCCAGCAAAACCTTGGTCACTGTATGTTCCGCCATGACGAATGTTCCTATTGAGAAATTTCAAAAATGGATGCAGCATTCCTAAGAACAGGGGGGGGGGGGAGGGCAAAGAGAGTTGGCCTGGGGAAGATGCGGATCCACGCGTTTCGGGGCCGCGAGGAAGGCCGAGTCGCTAGCGGGGATGATCGTCCCCCCGAGTCTTAGAGGGACTATGGACGAGGGACCATGGACTACGAACTTCCTTACTCTATGGTTTCAGAGGCACGCGGAAAAATGAGCATATTAATTCAATAATGGTAATTACCAGGCCGAATAATCCTCCCGATTCCTTCCTATAGATCACGCGTCCTGCGGCCATCGTCTGTAAAGTCAATCCCGTGTACACCAAAACACCAAAGATAAATTCCATTATTCTTAAATATCGTTGAAAAGAGTGCGCCTCTTGGTTTGCATCGTGACCGGTGTCCAGCCGGGGTTTGCGATTCGTCATACGTTCTCCAGAGCTAGCTGTGGTGCGGGTCCTCAGATAATCCCTGGCGGGAGACATAGACCCTCAAAGAGAGAGCTTCTCGCCCTCGTAGTCACCATTGATCGTCACGATCTTGTCCTCCTCAATCTCGGGCTTGTATTGGGTATCCTGCGTGGAGAGTGTCTGGAGAGCATTCACTGGAGCATCGGCGGCGAATCCGCTGTACCATAAAAATTAGATGTGAAGAAAGAGTATAAATAGAGGGACGGTAGTCATACTTAATAAGATCTGTATCGGAGAATATGTGTTAGCCTTGTCTGACGGGGCTGGGGAAGGACATGTCCAACTTACGATATTCATGAGTGATGACACCACCCTAGAACTATCAGTTAGTCACAGCTGAGGATTCAGAGCCGAGATGCGCGTACAGAAGCAACGATTGAGTCCTTCGCCTGGTCAATCACTCCGGAAGGCGTTCCCTTGGGGAAAGTCACGATAACGGACTTGAGTGCCTTGGCAGCCAGCGCCAGCGGAAGCAGACCCAACAGAGCAGTAAAAAGGAAGAGTTTCATTGTCGATTTGTTGTTTAAGAAAAGGTGCAGACGGTTGAAGGTGGAAGGAGAGTTGCAGGTTGCAAGTTGCGAGTTGCGAGTTGCGAGTTGTATGTCTCGTGCCCCAAAGCGGACTACTGCGTCATTCCAGATCAGGTGATCTGACCCCAACTCCGACAATCCCTTTCAACGTCTTCCGAACTGCCAACTTCCGACAGTCTTCGTCTGCCCTGTCCTTCTCCAGCGTTGCATCCTACCCGGCCGTACCCCCTCTGCATTTGATTTCGTTCTCGGCCGCGTTTTCTCCTATCTCATCCGGCGCTGCATCTCCTTCGGTTCATAATTGACGGGAAGAATCAAGTGGAATCTTGCTGGATTGGAGGGTGCATCTGTTGTTGTCTCATTCTCGCAAAGATAGCTAGCAAGCATTTACAAGTTTCGACTTTTCTCTCCATCTCGTGTTGGTCGTCCAAGAGACTTTACCTTGACGACGCAACGAGGACTAAGAAGAAGCATCCTGTGATAGTCACCGAGGCCTACGGTCCTCATCAAACCGCACCTGGAAAGAGCAGAACAGAAATTCAAAAAGCCATAGTGAGCTTTCAGAAAGAAAGAAAAAGGAAAAGAGAAAAAAAGAAAGAAAAAAAATCAAGTGCCAAAGAAGCCTGGAGGAGAGAAAAAAAAAGTGAACAAGAGTACGAAAGAGGCCGCGAGGGACTAGGTCTATTGAATCTTGCCCGCTCATCTAATCTCGTTGGACTGGGATCTTGAACCTGTACTGCTTCACTGATATCGTCTTCTAGCATCTTCCCTTTCCCCCACGCCACCATGTCTGGACTGGTATCCGATGAGGTCGCCGAGGACTACAAGAACAACTTGGAAGACCTCACTACCAACGATCGATTTCAAATCAGCAACTTGACCGTGATCGCCAAGGAGAATACGGAACATGCGATGGCCATCTCGAGGGTCTTGGAGAATCACATACGAACAGTAGGTGTCTCTCTCGTGTTGAAAGGTGTAGACCTCTGACTGTCTCTGTAGACACCGCCGCCGCAGAAGCTGCCGGCTCTGTATGTAGTCGATTCCATCGTCAAGAACGTTGGAACCCCCTACACCCTCTTCCTGGGACGGAACATGTATCAGACCTTCATGAATGCGTACTCCCTGGTTGACCAACAGACACGTCGCAAGCTCGATGAGATGCTCAGGACATGGAAGGAGCCTGTTCCGGGCTCCTTGGATACAAGACCAGTCTTCTCCCCGGATATCACTCGAAACATCGAAAACGCTTTGATCAAAGCACGCACCGCCATTCTTGAGAACCAGAAAGTCCGCCAGCCGGATATTCGCGGTCGCAGCAGTGCCACTCCAACTAGATGGAACCCTACACCTCCACATGGCACGCGGCCGAACCATCCTGTCGCCGGTAACGGGGCATTCAACACACCGGTAAGGATACTGTACCTTTTATACCCTGGTATTCACACTGATCGCAAATCAAAGACTCCGCCTTATGGCCATCGCCCAGATATCCAGCTAGAATCACTTAATAGGGACCTGGAGGCGCTGATTGGCTCGGCCAGGAACGACTTTGCCAATAGTCCCTTTAATCCAACCTCTCAACAGCGCCTGAAGGCACTACTTGATCTCCAGCGAATTTTGCAAAGCCAACAGCTTCCTCCAGATCAGTTGAAAACTGTCCGCGATCAGCTCGCTACATATGCGGTCCCGCAAGCTCCCGCTCAAGAGAATGCTGCCCCTGTCCCGGCACACCCAATTCCAGTGGCTACACCCCCCACATTACCTGCTTCACAACCGCTGCAGCACATGTTGAACCCTGATATACTCGCAGGGCTCCTCAAAGCAACGGCTGGTAATCAACAGCCGACACCTCCGCCGCAGTTCGCCCCAGGCTCTTTCAATATCTCTCAAATGCCAACCGCCAGCACCCCACAGCCTGCCGAAAATCCCCTGATTGTGGCCCTTAGAGCCCGTGGCCTGCTTCCTTCTGCCTCTGCGCCGCCGTCCTTGGCCTCTGGAACACCACCAACCGGAGGTTCCCTTCCATTTATGATTCCTGGTCAAGCACAATCTACACCTCCCCCTGCGACACCGCAAATATCAATGTCGTCTTCGTCCACGGTACCTATGAGCACCGCATCTATGAAAATGTAAGTCTCGTCGTAATATGATTACATTTCCCAAACTAATGATGTATGATAAAGCCCTCGAATCACTCTTGTCGTTTCGCTTTATGAGGCGAAGTCTAACAAATGTGGCACTTGTGGCCGCCGCTTCCCTACTACGGACGAAGGCCGGGAAAAGAAAGCCCGTCATCTGGATTGGCACTTCAAGACCAACCAGCGTATGGCTGATGCTGCTAAGCGAGCTCAGACCCGCAGCTGGTATGTCGACGAAAGGGTTTGTATACACCAGTATCTTTTCTATATCTACGTCATGCTGACCAAATTCTATGTAGGATTGGATCAAATCCAGAGAGCCCAGTGATGACCAAAACCCGGACGACACCGAGGCCACAGCCGAAGGATCTGCGGGAGCAGATGGAGGTTCCAAGCAAGGACCACCCAAGCCCTGGATTCGGGCTCCAAATGAAGCCACTCTCCGAAATACCCCCTGTCCCATCTGCCAGGAGAAATTCGAGTCTACGTGGTCAGAGGATGTGCAAGACTGGATTTGGCAAGACGCAGCTAAGGTCGGCAATCGTGTTTATCATGCCAGTTGCTATGCCGAGGTGACCAAGGACGGTCCGGCGCCGCGGGCCTCCACACCGCAAGCGCGGACTGGTACGCCTGACTCAGTGCTGGGAAAGCGAAAGGCAGAGGGGGAATCTCCAGGACAGAAAGTGCGAGTCAAGACGGAACAGTGAACATGTATTATAAAATGTAGCATCATGACGTTGCTTTGTGCCCCGCTCGGCGCATCTCCGGGTCCAACTTCCCCACCGAGGAACATGCGAAAAGGGAACGTGGTAACATAAAATCAAGTCTCCGGACCCTTAATCCTCAATCAACATCTGCATCATGGCTCACACAATTCGATGGGGTATCATGGGTATGAAGCTTCTTTCATTTTCTGGTATTGGATTCAAGCTAACTGATGTGTAGCCACTGGCTGGATCGCGGACAGTACGTTTCTCTTACAAATCCAAGACGTTCGTAGCTCAACTAAAATGCAACAGTGTTTGTCCGCGATCTCCTGCGTGATCCTAAGGCTCGCGATGCTTCGGATGTCGCCCACAAGGTCGTCGCCGTTGCCTCGTCCTCTTCCAAGGACAAGGCTGACAAGTTCATCTCGTCCGTCGGCATTCCCGATCCCTGCGCCGCCTACGCGACTTACCAGGAGCTCGTCGCGGATCCTAATATCGACGTGATTTATGTTGCGACTCCCCATTCTCACCACTATCAAAATGTGATGCTGTGCCTGGAGGCGGGCAAGAATGTCCTTTGCGAGAAGGCCTTCACTGTCAACGCTGCACAGACTAAGATCCTCTGCGAGACTGCGGGCAAGAAGAACCTCTTCCTGATGGAAGCTGTCTGGACACGCTACTTCCCGCTCAGTGTTCAAGTGCGCGAGCTTATTCAGAAGGGTGAGATTGGTGAGGTGCTTCGCACTGTAGCCGACACCAGCTTCGGTGATGATGTCGAGGAGAAATGGGGAACTAAGCACCGCATGGTAAACCCTGATCTGGCCGGTGGTGCTCTTCTGGACTGTAGGTTTCGATTCTTTGGTACTATACTACGATCGGAGCTGTGCTGATTTGTTTCTGAATCTAAGTGGGCATATACTCCCTCACCTGGGTCTTCCAGACCCTCTACCACACCCTGCCCCGGGACCAGAGAAAAGCACCTACCGTCACTTCACAGATGACCCCGTATCATCTCACCGGTGCTGACGAGTCCACTACTATTCTGTTGAGCTTCCCCACCAGCACACCCTCCAATGGCCCGCACCCTCAACGCTCGCAGGGTGTCGCCATGACCAACATCCGTGTTGCCGGTGACCCCGACGAGCTGGGCACCTCCGGTCCCAATATCCGTATCCAGGGCACCAAGGGCGAGATTCAAGTGTTTGGAAACCCCTTCCGTCCAACGAGCTTCCGTGTTATCCCGAAGAAGGGCCTCGGCGAAGTTCGGACTGTGGAGAGCTCGTTCCCTGCTGAGGGTCATGGTATGTACTGGGAGGCGGACGAGGTTGCTCGCTGCCTGAGAGATGGCAAGCTGGAGAGCGAAGGTATGCCTTGGGAAGAGAGCATTGTCATCATGGAGGTCATGGATGAGGTGCGCAAGCAGGGCGGTTTGACTTACCCCCAGTCCATTGAGTCGACTGAGTATCCTCTGCAGCTATAGATCATGTTGGAGATCTAAATACATACAGAATATCACTCATTTCTTGAAGGACAGCTCCATGATGTTGTAGGATTTTCTACAGCTCAACTGAGAAATCAGTTTATCTCAAGGGGCCTCCGCACTTGATACTTTCCCGACGTGCTTCTGAGCATGTCTCGAACGGTCTTTTTGAAGACCTCTGTCTGTTCCTTTTCCAGTGTATCTATCTGAAAGGCTTTAGGGGAATGTCCGATGGGGTTAGTCAAGACCGCCTATCTAGAAACACTTATATTGTCTTCTAGGTCGGGCTTTGAGGTGACTAGATCAAAATCTAAACATCTGTCTTTGTATCAGGTAGATGGTATCTACGCGCGAAAATTGCCGGTGACAGTATCATAGGTACCAGAAATGTACACATACTATACATGGCCCTGGAAGACTATTATTCTGCGTCTATATGAGGACTTTATGCCAGCTCGCACTTGCTGTGTGCTCTCCCCGAACCAAACCCAAGACAAAAGAAACGGAGAGCATCACGAAGTCGAGCTGCCCACTCATCTCTTGTCTTCTACTAGATTTTAAAGCCTTTGAAAGCTTTCCTTTCTTAGTTCTTGAAAACACCGAGGATGCTCTTCCAGACCTGGCCGGGCTCCTGGCTGGCATCGATACCGCGCCAGATACCAGTCTTCTTGTAGTACTCGCACACGGGGGCAGTCTGGGCGTGGTAGGTGGCCAGGCGCTTGGTAAGGGTATCGGCGTTGTCATCGGAACGCTGGATCAGGGGCTCGCCGGTGATGTCGTCCTTCATGTCGGACTTGGGGGGGTTGAAGATCTTGTGGTACGAACGGCCGGAGGCAGGGTGCACCAGACGGCCAGTGATACGAGCCACAAGCAGAGAGTCGTCAATCTGCAGCTCAACGGCATGTCCGAGCTTCTGCTTGCGCGCCACAAGCATGTCGTCCAGGCGCTCGGCCTGCGCGACGGTGCGCGGGAAGCCATCCAGAATGAAACTGTCATCCCAATGTCAGTCTACCAGAATTCTTGGTCCGGGGGCGGTGATTCCTACCCATTCTTGCACTCGGTGTTGTTCTCAAGCTCGCTCTTGATCATGTTAACCATAATCTCATCGCTAACGAGGCCACCCTGGTCCATGATCTTCTTAGCCTCCTTGCCGAGGTCCGTCTTCTTCGCGACCTGTGACCGCAGCATGTCTCCGGTAGCCTATTAGGGTAAATATATTAGCAAACAATCTTCCATAGTGTACGCGTGGAAATCGGTCGTTACGTACCAGGTGGCACACGCAGTACTTGTCCTTGATGTTCGGGGCTTGAGTTCCCTTGCCTAGCAACGCGTTAATAACCATTGAGTTCCCTGTCGATGTTGCAAAAGCATACCAGCACCCGGAGGACCCATTAGAATGATGCGCATCTGCTCGGTGACCGACTTGGGCTTGCTATCGCCGGACAAACGGCCCTCGAGATCGACAACGCGAGCCTCGAGCTTGCCGATGGTGTCCTTCAGACCGGACATGATATCTTCAGTGATGGGAGCCATTGTGATTGAGAGGGGAGAGGCGTCTCTGAAGGGACTTGGGAGGAGCGGTTGCAGAGGTTGGGGAAGGAAAGGCTTGAAGACGGAGAAATGGAGAAATGGAGAACCGGAAGGGAAGGAATCTTAGCGCCCGAGGTTCGGAGTTCCGCCACGGGTCTACATTGTACCTACGTCAGCGAATGCTTCTACAGAGTGATTATGTTGTAGAAATAAGGTCAACTTGTACCCATAGCTGGCCTAGTATCAATATTTCGTCACATATATTTCACGCTATTTTGTGTCTCTATACTTCGTACTCTTCTCAATAAAACCAAGTGTCCCCACCACTCAGGCGCTCAGGCGCCCAGGCACATAGTGACTAAGCCTTTAGCCACAATGGCGCAGCTACCTGTGGCGCATCGAAGCTCGGAGAGCATCATCGCCCTACTCTTGCGACCATCCAAAGCAATCTCCCTGTGCTTCTCATTTATCTGCTTTCCCCCCTTAGTATTGTGATCTATCTCACCTCCAAACTTCTCCTGACTTCTCATCTTTCACCTTTCCCGCCATGCCTGCCACCACGGCGGACACGCTATCCCTCGTCAACCGCTCCGTCACGGTTGCCCCGTTAGTCCTGCTCTCCGTCGCCGATCACTATGGCCGGACAGCCAAGGGTACCCGGAAACGTGTAGTCGGTGTGCTTCTGGGTGAGAACTCGGGCAACGATGTGCGGGTATCCAACAGCTTTGCTGGTATGTTTAAGCTTTCGATGGTTGATCACAGGTTCGTCAGATGAGCTAATGATCCGTCTTTCCGTGTCTAGTCCCATTCGAGGAGGATGAGAAAGACCCGTCTGTCTGGTTCCTGGATCACAATTTCGTCGAGTCTATGAGGGACATGTTCAAGAAGATCAATGCTCGCGAGAAGCTAGTCGGCTGGTATCACTCAGGCCCCAAGCTACGTGCTTCGGATCTGGAAATCAACGAGCTCTTCAAGAAGTACACTCCTAACCCTTTGCTGGTCATTGTCGATGTCCAGCCTAAGGAGGTCGGCGTCCCTACAGATGCTTACTTTGCGGTGGATGAGATCAAGGATGTAAGTGGCTGGGCGCACAGCGGCGAGCGTTAGTCTATGACCTTGCGATGAGGCTAATCGGCATTCGCTCTACTAGGATGGAACAACGACGTCAAAGACATTTGTGCACACCCCGTCGGTAATTGAGGCCGAGGAGGCGGAGGAGATTGGCGTGGAGCACCTGCTCCGAGACATCAGAGACGTCGCAGTCGGCACCCTTTCTACTCGCATCACCTCACAGCTGCAATCATTGCAAGGGCTGCACCTGCGGCTGCGTGATATTGGCCAATATCTCCAGAAAGTTCTCGACAAGGAGCTTCCAGTCAACCACGCAATCCTGGGCCACCTCCAGGATGTCTTCAACCTCCTTCCAAACCTGTCCACCCCGCCTACGACACAGCGCATGAGTGGCCAGGAGCCTCAGATGGAGAACAGCGAGCTTGCGCGCGCGATGAGTGTCAAGACCAACGATCAGCTGATGGCCATCTACATCAGCAGTTTGATCCGTGCCATTACGGCCTTCCACGACCTGATCGAGAACAAGATCCAGAACCGACAGCAGCAGGAGGAGAATGACACCAAGCGGGATCAGGAGCTTAACGCGGCCAAGGGCGATAAGGACCCTAAGAAGGCCAACGGGTCGGCCAATGGCGAGCAAAAGGAAGAGCAGGACAGCTCCGATAAGAGCAAGAAGAAGAGCTAAAATGGTTTATCCTTTTTTTCGTTCAGTTTGGGGAGTGATGCCCGCCAATATGACATGACCGCTTAGAACTGCATTTGCCGTGTGCAGTGTATAGTATGGATAATCAAGGAAATGACCCGGTGGCTGTTGGCACCTATCATGTCACACATTGTTGTGCCGTAATCCAGCGTAAATGATCGTAAAAGGATCTCATCTCAGTATCCGCCCAGGTTAGAAGCCAATGGATTTGAAGCTATAGATGTCTTCTGTTTGCAATGAAATTCATCCGAGCTCTATACTTTCCCTCCGTTATTTTGTACCGCGAGTAGTTTCGCCAATTTGCAGTGCTGGGGAGAAGACCCGATCCCATTGAGGGGATAACGGCAGCTGGGTAGACTCTCCGTTGCTGTTTCGGCTCGCACTGGCTCGCACAAACCGATGGCTTGCGCAGCACATAGACCAAAACACTGCAGTCGACCATTGGGCCGTCAATCGACGCTGACTGGCGCTGCTGCGAGGTTCAACCTCCCCAGCCAGCACACCAGCCAGCCAACTCCTCCATAGAAACCACGCTTTTTCCGTCCCCATCCACCTCGAAGAAACCCTGGCACCGAGCAAACAGAACACAGGCTAGAACATGTTTGCAGACTGGTGGAGATCCCCTGTCCGTAGCACAAGTAAGCGTCCCACCAAATGGGTAGACAACGGTCTCACCCCGGTCACGCAGCATCAGATGAGAGCGATTCTCCGTAGAAGAATCCAGTCTGGAGGGCAGATGTCGGAATGCTGACAGGGCAAAAGTGGGACAGGTACAATTCCATGCGTGCAGACGGACCTCGTAGCCCTTTTCTGATTCCTGCGTGGCGAAGGCCGATGAAGCGACACTGCGGGGAGAAGTCGAGGCGGATATGACCAGGAAGATGTCTTCGCGTATTTTCGCCTGTCCGGAGCTCACAAGTGAGTTTTTTGATAGGTTTTGACTAGCTGTATCTGTTGTTTGATCTTGGGCATCGACGTGGTCGGCACGCACCAAACGCTGCACGAGTCCGCGGTCGAGAATGTCGAGGGCCGGAAGAAGATCATTGGGGAAGATACAGTGTAGCGAGAGCATCAGAGGCTTGACTCTGGCCAATTGTAATGCCGGAAGACCCGAGAAGGCGTTTTGCGTTTGCTTTGGGGAGGCAGTTTGCGTGTTTGGTTGGCCCAATTCGTTGACATTGGTACCTGTGTGGAAAGCCAACTCGGTGATCAAACTGTCTACAAATTCTCTTGTGGAGGGGAGAGAGTTGGGGACGGAGGCATTCATTGGTTCGATGTTGATAATTGATAATTGATAATTGATAATTGATAATTGATAATTGACGGTTGACGGTTGATGGTTGATGGTTGATGGTTGATGGTTAAAGGTTAAAGGTTGAAGGATGATGGATAGAGTGGAATACTGTAAACGCAACACTTTTGAGATATTTTGATGAAGCATTGAGATTTACCATTAAGAGCTAGGAAAACAAAACCAACTAACATTTGAGAAATAGAACATGCACTTGAGAGCTAAATATAACCCGGACGCAAAGACTCCACTCAATCAGTTTCCATCGGATCTTCCTCCTCCCCTTCCTCTATCGGCTTCCGCTTTCTCACCTCAGTCTCCCATGGCTCCCCCTCCACTATCATATTCTCCAACTCCATTTCTCTCTCCTTCTTTTTGCTCTCCCCCTCCTTCATATTGTACTTGTTGAAAACAAGCCTCCGGCTGCTCGCTAATTCTATGGGATCTACTCCAGGGTTGGGTTTCGTGGTTTTGGTAACTCTTGAGCCTTTGACACCTTTACCCCCAGTAAAGGGAACTTCACCCTTGGCTGCACCGCTGGAAGGCTTACTATTCTTAGTACCTTTATTTTTGCCTTTACCTCTGGGCATTTTATCTCGAATTGATTGGATCGAAGTCCTAGTGCCTTTGCCCCTGCTCTTGTCCTTGTCCTTACCAGCTCCACTATCATTATCACCAAGCTTGTCGTCAATGGCGTTCCTGACGATAACATCACCATGCTTGTTACTGTTGCTATCATCGCCATGGTCGCCATTGACATCATTGTCGTCACTGACCCTACTGACAACAACACTGCCATGTTTGCTACTTTCATGATCCGCCACCCCTAACATATCGAAGATTTGATTGACATCCACAGTTGGCTTCCTCCTTAAATTAGGAGAGGGGGTTCTAGGATATTCAGAGATCGACGCATGGTTCGCAGAGCCTACTCTGCTCGGGGTCGAAGCTGCAGTCCTGATGACCGTGGCCTCACCCAAAGCTGGGTTGGTTGGTAGTCGGCGGTATGTAAAGATATAGGCTTGCTGTTGAATTCTCGAGAGCTGATCAGTCATCATGTCCTCGAAGGTATCGAAACGCGAAAGGCTTTCATCATTGACCACGGTCCATGTTTTATCCTTAGTCTTGACACCAATATAATAGTGTCCCACATCCGTGCTCTCACCATTGTGAATTTGCACAGAGGACAGCCCGTAATGAAGCTCCTCCCCGGGGGTGTTGCTTAGTGGAGGGAGGAAATTTTTGGCTTTGAATCTGAGCGTCTCCTTGAACCTGATCTTGTCCTTGATCTTTATGAGCTTGCCACCGACCAAATCAATACGGTTCAGTTGGACCTGAAGGACCTCGGGTGCATTTTCAAGAAATTCTGATTGATAATTCAGCTTCTTGCATCTAGAGCATTCCTCCAGCAACTTGACCTCGAAATGTTCATTGACTGCACGCTGTAGAGTTGCACTGTCATGATTCTGGGGGAAAGCAAGCCTTAGATGCAAATTTGAAGCAATAGATGTATTATCAATATGACCTCTATCACACCACGTGTGGGTTCCGACTCTAATTTTGAAAAGGTCATCAAAGTCCTTTTGACTGATGACAGGAGGCAGTCAATTAGCCTTGGCACGAAAAGAAAAAGAAACAAATGAATCGAAAATGACTTACACCAGTGATCCCATTTGATCTTGAAGATGTTGAAAGAGTTCTTGAAAAAGCTCGGCAGGGTCTTGTTGGCTATACCTTGACCCTTTTGGGATATCCCAGTCTTCGAATACTCGTGCCTATAATTGATTGAAATAAACTTCGGGGTTACCTGCCTAGTAGCCCTGTATGAAGAGAAAGCATAGAGAGGGTGCACACGGGATACTACCTGGCCCACTCTCACATCGCTCCTCCGCAGGGATGTGATTGTTTCGATAAACACGGAGAAAATTCCTGAAGACTGGAAGGCGAAGAAGCACCACAAGGGTCACGTTTCGATAGCATAGTGTTCCGGGGGGTTTGAAGCCCCGCTGGCATTTACCTATGTCGTGTATTCCCCAATCATTGAGTACTGGACTCTGCACAGATCAGTCTCTTGTAGCTGGGGCTCGAGATGGATCGCCTTACCCGCCATAATAAAGCCTCATTCTTTGGTTCAGGCTCAAACATTGTTAAGTTTGGCTCGTGATTAGGTATAATCTACTTCTCAGAGAGGTCGCTGTTGGAAGATTTCCCGTTCACTTCCGAAGGGCAATCCATGGCATTTAATCTCGAGTCCCGTCAAAGACCTTTACCTACCTTTCACAAAACTCAATGCCGACTCATTGTCGCCAGTATCGGTGGACGTGAAGAAAGAAATACATTGCTACCCTTGGGATAGTATTCTGAGAGTCAAGTGAGAAGCGGCTTTATATTTAAAATTCTGCCCGAGTTCGGTTTCTTTCATGGCCTCAAGACCATCGAGATCAAGTCTTGGGACATTTTTTTTTACTACATTCTCTAGCCTAGGACTGAACAATAAAGAATGCCCCAAAATGGATAAAGGAAGTCTACATTGGCAAGTCACGACTCATAGAGCCAAGTCTTCGAACGATTCCGAACCTCTCTCAGAGATATTTGGCTCAAACCGGGACCTGGAAGACCCATGGACTCGACCAGGCACAGAGATGAAAAGATCTCATCCGAATCTATTAATGTATCTGTCATTCTGTCATTCTGTCACGGCTGTGGGGATTTTCATGCCGAACCTTGGTTTGGCCGTGGCCCAAGAATGACGATCAACAGACTCCGCAACGGTCTGGAATCTGGGAGTCTAGAACGTGGGTGTTTTTGGGGGGTCCTCTTCTTCATTTCCACTACCAACGAACCAAGACTCTTGTCTGATTCGGAAGGAGTCTCGACCTAGTTGTGAGCCATCGGCTGTCAGTGAAGATCAGCCCTGGCAGTGCCAGATGAGGCAAGCGTCGGAAGTGAGCCGATGCTTACCTAGGTATCCAGGGTGACTCTACCTAGGTACCTGGAAGAGGAGCCTAACGACAACACGGCACCAGGGTCATCCATGAACCGGTTCCAGTAGAGACAGAGCCAGAGCCAGAGCCAGAGACTGAAAGGACAGTCTAGACGAGAACCGAGAACCCCACAAGGCAGACTGTTTCATGAAAAGTGGAGCACGTCTGACGAAGGCCTTCATCACATGATTGATTGGTTGTGAGATCCGGCCGAGTCGACGGAGCAGCTCCTTCTGGATCGGGCGAGATCTGATGCTTTGAATGCTCTGAGGATAGATCTCATCTTGAGGAGACATTTACAGTAGTACCTTCGACCTTGACAGCAGCGTTCCTACGCCACTTGCCACTTTGGTAGCTCTACGTATACTCCATACATCCCGTATATTCTCTAACTAGTATAGTTAGTATAGCTAGTCCCGAGTAGCTTGAGTATTTTGAATATTTGGAGTACTCCGTACTCCGTACTCCCTACACCGTTCTCCATGAGGGTACTTTATTCGTGATTCCAAGTGGAACCCACCCCCGTCGTTCTCGGACCTTCCGACATGTATTTCCTATTTCTTTTTCTTTCCATCTTGTTCCTACTGCTTCCTGTGACCCTTGAAAAAGGGCACATTGGGCACGAATATCGAGATCCACGGATCTCACGGCACTTACAGTACCTTGCGGGCTTGAAACATAAGGAAATGAAGTGTCAGGATGGAAAACTGGGTCGGGTGGATGTGTCGGACATTTAGGGCGATCACTGCGAAATAAATAGAAGCAGCAGAATCCTGCGCCACCAGCTCGGCCACTTCCACTTGTGTCATTAGTCGCGATGATCCGACGTTGGGCCTCTCCACTCGTCCCCCTGGTTGGCTAATGTCGCACCGTATACGTCGAGTTGTACGTTTGAGCTGACTCTTGTCACGGTGTGCGTGATGAATGGCCTCTGCCGTCACACTTCCCCATCCCCATGCTCGTGGACCTTGCCATCCTTACCTTACCATCCCGGTATAGTCGACCTTTCCACACGGGATCGTCACGGATCGTCCTCGCTTCGGACCAGAATGGAGTGGGCTCGGCCGTTGCCCCATTTCTCCAACGCGTCCCCCCCCCCCTCCTCTTCAAATCTGTATCTGCATCTCAGACATGAAATCGATGAGCCCGTAGATGCCGACCGGCATTGGGCGAAAGGGTCTACTCCCCCGACCCGCTACTCCCCCGACCCGCACTACGGCAATGCCCGTAGGCAGTTGGAGGACAATCATGAAACCATGCACGGATCATGAATCGCGAATCGTGAGTCATGTATAGAGCATGACCTGAAATCAGGGAGGAATGAGGGTCGTCACGAGTCAAGGGTCAAGGATCAAGGATCAATCAAGATCGACGATGAGGCAACCAAGCACTAACATGAGGCGGATGAAAACAGGTTCGGCAGAAAAAGGGAGAACTCGTGTTCGAGGAGATGAAGAACCCGCCCCCTCCACCGCCACTTTGCACAACGGTCGACCAGGGTTAGGTTGGGCTTCGCCACTTGGGGCTCGAGAGCTATGTCCAATCACGGAGAATTTGTGGACAAGTTCTGTTCGGGTCTGGTACAGTACACGAGGAGCTCTGTTATGCGAAATGAAGGAGGATCCACCGGTCCCTTAATCTGGTGGGAATTTACGGCCCCGTCGTTCTCAGAGTGCGGTTCGGTAGCATTTTCTCCTTCTGTCAGGCGCGTCAGCCCCAGCGCCAGGTGGATGGTTTGGGGCTTGATTCATATTAGATTTCCAAGGTTTTTTTTTAAATGAACCCGGAATGTGAGACCTTAGCTTCGCTTCAAGCAAACCATGCCTCGGACCCTCCGTCCCCTCATCTCCCAGATGTTCACGTTCATGTTCATGTTCACGCTCCTGTTCATTCGCGAGTGGGGGGGGGGAAACGGAGACGCGGATTCTAGGCCCGACAGATCAACGGGTCCAATTTCGCACGGGTCTGGCCCCAAGAACATTGCAATTGCGACGCGGTGTGACCGGGATGTGGCCCTACGAACGATGGACCTGCCGCGCAACACTGCGGCAGTCTTACAGCGTCGAGCTTAACCCGCTTTGAAGTAACGGGAAGTTCTGGAAAGATCCAGCCCTGCAACCTAGGTGCTTACCTAGGTCCCTATCAACCTTGGACTTGGGACCAGATCGGGTACTCAAAAGACAACAGGAAAAGAGAAAAATAGACAATATCCTAAACAGGCATCTCTGGAAATCAACACATGGACTTTATCCACATTCGACATTCCAACAAGTCGGGAACCCGGAATCAGGGGGCTCCACCACGGAGGCAAATCCTACAGTTCTCAGAGGAACAGGGGTCAAGCCCCAGGGAAACCAAGAAAATCCCCGAGTGGTTGCACTAAAACTGAGGCTGCAAACTGCTCGGAGACTGGAGCTCGAAAGAGGCAACGCCCATTTCCCAGGTGGGACAGGCGAACGCTACGCCGTTAGGTGCATATTTACATAGAGCTGTTACAGTGCCCAGCTTACCCAGAGCTTACCTAGATACGCAAAGACCCCGGATCCCAGTAATCGCATCACTTAGCTCTGTTCGTAGGTGCACTAAAGGGACGAGAGGGTCCTAGAACGCAAGACCGGCTCCGGTTTAGTGTGGACTAATGTACCACTTCAAGCCATTCACAGCCCCTCGTGATGCTCGGTGGAGCCCCTGGGGCGGCAGAAAGCCGTTGAGCTGCCTGCGATCGCCTGGCAATGCGAGGTTTTAGTCCTAACGGCATGGCATTAGGGCCACGGTTAGCGTCTGGACCGGAGCAGGCCGTTGCCAACGTTGTGACTGGTCAGTGCTTGCTTTAAAGTGTCCCGTTACGCATCCTCATCTCATTTCAGGATGATGCGGGTCTCTTTGCCCACCTCTCCCCCCCCTCCCTCCTCCCCTCCCATCTCCTCCCATCTCCTCCCATCTCCTCCCCTCTCCTCCCCTCTCTTCCAGGAGGAACCATGTTCATCTGTTTGATGGCGCCCCTCTTCCTCGACTCGGTTAGGTGGGATACCGTACGGTAGGTAATGCTCTTAGCTAGTTAGCTTACCTAGGCTACCTAGTCAACTTAGGCTACCTAGTCAACCCGAACGATCTATCTAGCTCTTCGCTACCTAGGGTGACTGGGTCAGGTCAATCCCAGGCTAGGTTCAAGATGTTGACTTGGAACCAAAAACCTGTCTCCGTAGACCCATGACAGGGAAATGAACTGGTCGGGTGCCAGAACTATAGTAGAGCACGAGGGGCTTGACCTCTTTTTAATTAAAATAAACGGCTGAGTGGATCGAAGATATTCTATTTATTTATTTTACAATACCAATACTTGGGCTTCACGGTCTTAGACCTGACCCATACCCGGCTGGTGGATTGTTAGGTCTGTCACCGTTGATCGGTTTCAAAGTCTGGACTTTCCCTTGTATGCCTTTTTCTCATTTCTCGACTTCCTATACTCTACACTTTCTACCGTTCTACCTCCCATCGTTTCCTCTTTCATCTTTCATCTATTTACCACACTTTTTCCCATCTCTATTCTGTTTCCCCTCCCCCCCCCCTCAACTGATTTCACCATTCCACCATTCCACGGTACTCTGCCTCTGTACCGCCATTCTGCCGCTGTAGCCCTCAAAAAGGTCTTGCTCTGACCTCACCATTCGTTGCACGAGACCGCGATATCTTTTTGAGTTTCTGCTCGACGGTGCACTTGATCCAGACTGTTCTCTCTGCTCTCTGATCACCCGGAGATCGTTTGGCTGTCGTCATTCTACTGATTCTACTGAGATCACGAGCCTCGTCTTCGTTCCGTTCCCCCCTCGGCCTTGTTTTGGAGGGGGTTTTGCTTTCTATTTACTCTAAGTCCCGAAAAGTCCCGCCTCCGTCGCGCATATGATTGCGTTACAAAACCGGCCTATCTTGCCGCCCGCCAAAGTGGATATCTCACTGCTACTCAAGCCCCAAGATGAGGAAGAAGCCACCCCGGCACACCCTACACACCTCTATCAGCCTAGATCTCTGCCGGCTCCGCCTCCAGGGACGGCGCCTCTCATGACGGGTCCGGCACCCGTGGCGCCGTCCTTGACTAAGACCGCCCCGGGTCTCCCGGCAAAGCGTCTGCAACCCGCTCACACTGCGGAGTCACCTGCTAAGAAGCAGTCCAAGTGGTCACCAGAGGAAGATGCCCTGATCATCGAGCTGCGAGGCAGTGGTATGAAGTGGGAGGATATCAGCAAACGCCTGCCAGGTCGCAGTGCCATCAGTTGCCGTCTTCACTACCAGAACTATCTCGAGCGTCGCAGCGAGTGGGATGAGGATAAGAAAAACAAGCTCGCTCGGCTGTATGAACGGTAGGAACCAGACAAAGGAAACCCGTCGGGGCTTGCAAAGTGCTAACGATAAAACAAATCAGGTTCAAAGCAGAGATGTGGTCCAAGGTGGCGGAAGAAATGGCCATCCCATGGCGAGCCGCGGAGGCCATGCACTGGCAGCTCGGTGAGCAGGAAATGGCCCGCCGCGCAGGCGTGGTGCCCTTCTCTCTGTCGAGTGCTGCAATCGATCCTCCCACCACACGAACTCGCCGAGCGAGCACGTCTTTCGCCCGTCCACGGAAATCTTCTACCTCACGTGCAATCCCTGGCCATCTCCCAGGCCTTCCAACCCAGCTTCCATCCCTCGAAGAGTTGACCGCAGGTGTCCCTGCGTATGCCCCGCCAGCTCCACCACCACCGAGAGACTTCTATGGAGTGGGAAGACCCCCGGACATGGGTATTCCCCCGCCAGGTCTTATGGGCCCACATCTGGGATTGCCTCCCCGAACTCTGCCCTAAGACGACAATGAACGATCACGCCTGTACGGCTTTCCTTTGTTTCCTTGATACGAGTTGCATAGCGCCTGCTGGAGGTATCCTGTGATTTATGGGAGGCCGTGAAATTATATAGAGAATTTCCCGCCCCCGTTTGCGCGTTTGAACTCTCCCAGCTTGTTTTGTTGGGCAGACCTTTGTCAACGCGCCATTTTGACGAGCGCGTTACGTGCTGATGGCAAATATTCGAGGCTGGTTCTCGAAGTGATACCACCCGTCGCACAGCATCACGACAAAAACTTGGGCGTCGCGATCACCCACCAATTGTCTTTTTCGTATCCCGACTCGAGAACGTGGCCTCCGGCCTGGTCAATATCGCGCTCCAGTTCCCCTTCTTCATACAGATGATAGTAGCGGTTAAACGTTTGGGGCTCATCATCGGTTGATTTAGCCTTGCGAATCCAGGGCACCATGATGTCTTGCGGGTCGCCCTTATCCCAACCGCGACGGCTGTTCTTCTGCTCGAGAGCCCAGGCATAGATCAATATTTTACCACCTGATTCTGTCTCCGAACCGCATCTTATGGTTCGCAGAATCTCGGCAATGGCCTGGACTCGCCGGGCCGGAGTGGAAATATGGTGCACGACAGCAATTGAAATTGCGAAATCGAAGAATGCATTCCGATGTGGGAGGTCCATGATATCAGCCACCACGGTTGAATGGGGCTGATGTTGGAGTGCAATTCGTGCAAGATTTTCTGATCTGTCAATCTGAATCAGCTTGGGCCAAGAGAAAGGTACGAATCAAGATGTAAACACCGAAAAAATTAGCCAAAAAAAGAGAGAATTAGATATAAAAAACATCCTTCCCCCACCACAGTAGACGTACCTATCTGAGGCCACTATAAAAACATCTTTGTTGACAGTGAGGTATTTGCCATTGCCGCAGCCCACATCAAGACCGACAGAGCCGGGTTGAAGCTCCTTGAGGAATCGCTCCACAATGGGCCATGGCTAGAAAAACCCGTTAGCCCCGCGATCAGGCATGGCAGTGAGATACATACCTTGTAACGAGTAGATGAGAAGTGTTCTGCGATCTGCTGGTAGACCTCGTGCACATTCCTCTGCTCGTAGATCTCTGCGGACTCCATAGTTGCTGTGAAAAGAAGTGAAGTCACCATCAAGCGAGAGATGGGTCATGGCATCACGTGGCCCCGAACACACCTGTTGTACACCCGCCAACAAAGATTTAATTTATTTAATACTATAGGTCTATCGAATCTAAATACTCATAGACACCAACCTTATAGCTGATTCTTTGAAGTCACACTGAATAGATCTACAGGCCAACTCCCGTAAATCACCCGCTTCATGCCAATTGGTAGATGGTAGAACCGATCGCAGATCTCAATAGTGCTACCTGCGATCGACCCTCAATACAAGCATCTGCCCTGAATTTGCTTCAGCTAGGAAGAACCATGCTCATCGCTATAATCATCCTTTCTCAATATGTGAGTCGAGGCCCAGGGCTTTCCTTGTATGCTGACTAAGCATTTCCGACTTGGGTGGTGCGTTCAGGAGAGAAGACCTCGTCTCTTTGTGAATTAACGTAAGTACTTCCTCGGTTGATTTGATTATTCTATGTGTCGGATTCCATGAAAATACCCCATCACTTGCATCCATTACCCTGGAGCCTCGGATTGGGGGTCTATGAGTGACTGATCTGGCAATATCAAGCCCCCCCCATTCCCAGATGGATTCTTCTGGGCGGTTCTATGAAGCCCATTTCTCATTCCAATCTTGATCTTTGATTTCATTTTGCAATTTGTGATTTCTACCGCTTGCCATGGCTGCATTCCTAGAATTCCAATCCTGACACATCCATCCAGATCCCGTTCAAGTACCGCTTTAAACGGGCACGGTCAAAATGGCATTCCAGCCCACACCGGCGGATATCTCCGTCATCATCACCAGTCCAGCTGCGGCCAAGTCTGCAAATGGAGAACCCACGTTTCTGACTGAGCGCCGCGTGACTCCTTCATGGACGGTGATGCAGCTCAAGGGGAAGCTCGAGACCATGACCGGTGTCCCTCCGCGAAGCCAGCGTCTTCGCGTCAAGGTGCCCGGTCAACCAGATCAATGGGCTGACAATGATGACCAACTTATTGGAAACTATGGCCTGGCCAAGGGCTCTGAAATTGAGGTATATCTACTACTAAAGTTAATCATTGAAATCTGCTGAGTACATCTCCAGGTCCACGACTCTCGTCCGCAGGCTATGCGGCCCAACTTTACCGACTTGTCATCAGTCGAGAAGTACGAACTACCCACGGAGACCTACGAGTCTCTCTCAAACTCTGTCCTGGCCTGGAAGAAAAACCAGAAGCTGGGTCGCTTCGACCCCAGCGCTCTTTCACCCGAAGAAGCCCTGCGGAAGCAGGTTGAGAAAGACCGCGCAGATGTTGCCTCCAAAGGTATGCTGAAATAACGGCCATGACGGTCTTCATATCTCACAATTTTATTGCAGGTATTGCTGCGTCTAAGCGGGCAATCATTCTGCCCTCGTCTCCGCCGCATATCCGACGTGGCACTGTTCGCTTTATTGGGCCCGTTCCAACAATTCCTGCCCCTGGCGCGAGTCGCGAGCTGGAACAAGATGGACAGCTTCCCCAGGAGCTGCAACCCATCTGGGTCGGTATCGAGCTGGATGAACCCACGGGAAAGAATGACGGTAGCGTGGGCGGCCAGCGCTACTTCGAGTGCCTCGAGAAGCGAGGAGCATTTGTAAAGCCAGAGAAAGTGGAAGTTGGAGACTTCCCACCTTTGGATGATGACCTGGATGAGCTTATGGAGGAGATATGATTGATGTTACAGATGAAGTATTCGATTGTAGATGATATTTGAACTCCGATTCCTCCGAGGGCTTTCCCAATTGTCATGAAAACAAGATTACAAGACTGCTAACACCGACACCTGGTAACTCGGGTTGGACGTAAGAACGCTGGAAACAAGACTGACAGATAGGTATCGTGGCGCGTAGTCAAAACACCGGCGTGGCTTGAAAGAAAATCAAAAAGGAGAATAAAGGATCAGCACAATCATTTAGCCTTTTGCTTGCCTTTAGGCCGACCTCGAGTCTTCGCCGGGGGAGCAGGAGTGGTGCTTTCAGGTTCAAATTCGCTTTCCTGCACATCATTCCTCGAAGCAGAAGTCTCATCCTCGCCTGGTACACAGCCTTGTGTGAAGAAGAGACGAGTTTCTTTGCTGTGCTGGTTCATGAAACTATAATAGTTGCCTAAAGAGCGGATGAAGATGTCAGAGTTGTAAAGCGGACACCCACTCAAGTTGCTTACCTCGAGGAACCTGGAAAACGCATCCTTTGCCAGCGCTAAATTGCACACCTGAAATGTCGACTTGAACACGGCCATGGCAAACATAGAAGACCATGTGCATCTTCTTCGAGTTTTTGGGCTTCTTCACACCCTCGGGGGGAAGCTCAACGACACCCGATCCAATGAACGAAGAGCTGAGCAGCTTGGCAAACCTGAATGTAGAATCTTTGACTTCTCTGGTTTCAATGCCGGAGGGGGCGTATGCAATGTCTAGATTATTTGTCATTAGCACGAGACGCAAGAGTCAAACGAGTTTGTCTTACCGAGGACTTCTTCCTCCGAGGTGCTCGCTTGTGCCTTGGGGTCCCATTTGGGCACATAACCATGAAGAACACCTTCCTTTTCCCAAATATCGGCATCTTCATCCTCTTCATCCGAAGATTCTGCCCTCTGCTTCTTCTTTTTGGACTTTTGACCCGCACGCTTGCCTTTCTTCTGCTGATCCGGTTCGGCATCCTCGGTGCGGATGACTTCTTTGATTGTGGAAAGTGGGAAGCGTTGTCCCTCAACAGCCTCTCCATCACCAAACACGCACCGCTCGTTTCGCCAGTAAGCAAGAGGCCGTACAGAGACTCGACCCGAGCGAGTGTGTGTGGCGCTGGTATCAGAGGGAACTTCACGCTTAAGAATATACAAGCTGCGTCCTTTCAATGGACCTGAACGTTGGGCATAGTTCTCAACCACCCGGTCAAGCTCCGGGTCTAACGGTTCTCGCGTGGTTCGAAACTCCCCAGTCGAAGTCTTCTGCTTCTTGGGTGGCCTAGCATCGGTGCCTTCATCAGACGCAGGGCGCTGACTTTTTGGAGGCCGTCCCCGTCGCTTTGGCGGGTCATTGCTTGGATGTGAAGTCTTCGCTGTAGACCCTTTGCTCGCTGGTTTTGAAGCCAACGTTATCTTGTCTGTCTGGCGCGAGGGCGCAGCGGCTGGGGCCGCTGGCGATGACTCGGTACTCAGGTCCTGCTCGGGCACCTCATCATCATGAACAATAGTCTCGTCGCCGAGATCAAAGCTATCGCCGAAATCGTCTTGGAGCTGACTAAATGAATTTGCGTTTTCATCACCCTCGCCGTCCGAAAAATCGTGCACACCAAGCGATTCTGCTGCTAGCTGCGCCTTTGTTGGTCGCAAATTATTCTTTGGATTCGACACACCTGCGTTCACAGAGCGAGTAGATAAAGGACTAGGGTCTTGACGCGATTCTGTCAGGCCTTTGCCATCGGAAGGACTGGAAGACACGAATTCATTTTCCAGTTCTGGAGAAGATCGCAACACAGGAGACTTTCGAGAAGAACGCTTCGCAGGTGATCGAGTGGGCGGGGCTAGAAGAGACTCGCGCGTACGATTTGAAGCTTTGAGAAAGTCCATAGGGCCAGGCGCATTGCCTGATAACCGAGGAAGAACATGTTAGCGATTGCTTTGCAAGATATTCGAATCGGCATGCCATCCTACCCTCATCCATAGACATTTCTGAACCAACAGAATCGTCACTTTCGTCCTCTTCAAGCCCGTTCAACTTCGTAGGCGACTTTTCCGGGGACGAGAAGAGGCCCTCCACTTCTTCCATTCCATGCTCGTCACGTCGTCCCTCCGCGAGGGTGATACCGGTCCGTCTAAGCGCATCTGCATTAGCACCGTCGCATGTCAGAATCATAAAGCAACTCACCGGCCGGTGGTCCCCACATTCGAGAAATCGAAGTCGCGAGCCTTTCCTGGCCCCCGAGCCATAGCTATCGACGCTAAATAGACCGATCCGGGATCCGGGAAAAGGTAAGGGGAATCGTTCACAACAAAGTGCAGGTGGAGGGGGAGGAGGAATGGTTGCGCCGGAATTTGGGGGAGAGAACGCGCGCCCGCCGCTAAGCCCGAACAGTCGACGCGTTTTCACATACTCGGCTTGAACATGACTTCACCTTCATCCCTTCAATTTTCCCAACCATGGCTGCCGATAAAGATCCCAATACCCCTCAGGGCCCTCAATGCTTTATCCCTCCCAGTATCGACTCGGCCCAATTGCTCTCGGGAGAATCCTATGCATACTACACGCCCTGTCCCGCCCTCATCACGTCTCGCGCCAAAGCATCCAGTGATGGCGTGGAAACCACTCAATGTGTACTAGGCGTGGATGAGGCTGGCCGTGGGCCTGTCCTAGGCCCGATGGTTTACGGCGCCTTTTATCTACCAATGGACCTTCACCACTCTCTCTTGGCTGAAAAGCACAGCTTCGACGATAGCAAAGTCCTCACACCTGGTGTACGTGCCAACCTAATGCAACTCCTCAACACGCCCGGCGAGGACTTGTTTGAGTCCTGCGGTTACGCGATCAAGGCTCTTTCTGCCCGCGACATTGGTTCCGGGATGATGAGACCCGGCACAGCCGCGTACAACTTGAACGCACAGGCGATGGACGCAACAATCGAGATCATCCGCGGCGTGGTTGAAGATCGCGGAGTGGATGTGCGAGAGGTATACATTGATACCATCGGCAACCCGGCTACCTATCAGGCCAAATTGGAGCGAATTTTTCCAACCATGAAAATTACCGTCGCCAAGAAGGCAGATTCACTTTATCCATGCGTCAGCGCGGCGAGTGTAGCAGCCAAGGTGACGCGTGATGTCGCATTGGAAGTTCTTTACGAGGCCGTGCTTCGCGCTCAAGAGTCGGGAAATGCGTCCGTTGAGGGATGGGGCAGTGGCTATCCATCGGATTCCAAGTGCGTTGGCTGGCTCCGACGAAACATGAATCCTGTCTTTGGATGGGGTAATGAGTGTCGCTTCAGTTGGGGTACTGCGAAGGAAATGCTGGAAGTCAAGGGCGGAGCACGAGTAGACTGGTCAGCGGACGAGGACGAAGGAGTAGGGCAGCTCAGTGAGTTCCTCCTCGCGTCAGGTCCAGGGAAAAGCTCAAGTCGAGGCGGCTTTGGGCAATGGTACGGTCAAAGACAAGCCGAAATTCTATGATTTGAGGAAATTAAACATAATGAACCTAATATGACATTGATGATACCCTATGAGAGGCATCTTCCCAGAACAAAGAGAAAAAGAAAAAGAGCCAGAAACAAAAGGAAAAGTTCCAATCACGAATGTCGTCAAAAGATGTACAATAAGCTGGGTATCACGAGAGAAGGTACTTCGAATAGGGCAATCACAAGGTGGCAGTCGAGAAGTAGTAGTTGTCCCACAGGTAGCCGTAGTCCTCCACCACGCTGCCTATGAGGTCTAGGAGCGGCTTTCCTTTCATCTTGCCGGTTACACTCTGAATCCAGGACCTGTTTGATTGTCAGTTTTCGTGCAACATTTTCGAAGGCAACCTTAGCATACTTGGTGATGTTCTCATAGAACGCGCCTCGCATCATCCACCAGCCCATAGACCAGCCACGCTTGCGCAGCTCCTCTCGCTCAAGACCCGTGAGTCCGCGCAAACCGCCCGCGACTCGTTCCCGGAAGTCCCGCTTGGCGAGTTGCCGGCAGCCATATTCCATTCCGAACCCAATCAGCCAAGGCCGCCAGCTTCGCTTATCTCCACTCCATCGCTGCATAGCCAGAGCATATACCACAGGCCTCAAGATATACAGAACCTCCGCCAACTGTCCCTGTCCGGTAACACGGTGAAGCAGGGTCTTGGGAGGTTTAATGTCATCAGCGGTAAGGACCTTGGAGATGAGATAGTTCGACACGTCGTTCACGTCTGGGAGGGATGGGAGTGATAATCCCGTTCGAGGCATGGTCCAGCTGATATCCGTGGACCGCTCACTGACGGGTGTCTGCATGCCATTCCAGTCGCCTTGATCCTCTGCCTCTTCGGTTGATCTCGGGTCCACTTCCCGCTCCGGGAGCGGAGGGCTAACCAGCGGCCGAGAGTTGGTCAGTCGAAGGAGAAGCAGGCGGCAGACAGCCTTGGCAAATTCAAGGAAGACGACGACGCGCCAGCGGGTCTTCTGACCACGTCGCCTTGCTGCCATTTCCCACAAGAGTTCGGTATACTGAAGCATCTGAAGCGCGACGGCGACCTTTTGATACAAAGAAGAACGGGTGCTCCAGTACTTGGTATATCGCGCATGTGGTGTAGGCGGCAGTCGAGGCACTGTAGATGGCAGTCGAGAAATTACCCTTGAGACTAACGAATCATGATAAAGCGATAAAAGTTGTACTCCGGAATGCACTGCACGTTCGTGTTAGAGACGCGATACTCGCTCAGGCGTTGGGGGTGAGGTTTTGAACTAACCACATTCTGATGCTATTTCCGATTCTCTATAGCGACCTATAAGATGACAGTCATTAGCGATCGCTTCCAGGATATCAACCACGCTTCATCACACCTGGTATGATGTAGGTCAGCGACCTCAAGGCGGATTCGACCTGTCCAACCGAGCTGGCATTCTTAGTGACAAAGTCCTCATAGAGCGATAGCCATTTTGTCGGTTTCAGCATCCTTGAAGGGATGGGAGGGCGAACAGTCTCCATGGTCGCGATAGGGTAGGAGAGAAGGCGGGAGGCCGGGGAAGATGGCAGTCACGGGGCGGGGGCCGCCAAGACGGATGAACCGAGGTTGATGCTTTCAGTGACCGGTCTTCCTCCTCTCTATACTCTATCATAGGCTCTGTACTCTGCCTTTGTAACGTCATTATGCATAACATGGGAAACATTCATTGATTCAATTATTTTCATATATAGGTATCATGTGAGTTATTTCATTCATCCGCCCAGGCCCAGAGTCCTCCAGGTCGCATAGCCTCTCGGTACCGCTCCTCCACCTTTTCCCGCTCCAGCCGTTGTGCTGCTTCCCGATCTGATTCTATTTCCTGTGTGTCTGGCATGTCTGTTCTCCAAAAGCCAGGTGGAGATCGAGCTCGCTGGTGAGTATGTCGGTGTCGGCCATACTGGTTGGCTAGAATCCTGGCTCTTGCTTCCACAAGGAGATTATCTCGGTCTTGGCCACCTAGCCCATCCAGTAGATGCCGATCCTCGCCTACGTACTCTTCCAGGATGCGTTGGTCCTTTTCTGCCTGCTCTGCGGAAGTATTGGCTGCAAGGCCCCCGAGTCGTGCCATTGCACGAAATCGATCACCACAGCAGCCGGGGCGCGTGCATCCAGATATGCATTTGCGATCATCTTTTTTGCGGACAACCGCGTCATATGCAAAATCAAGCCCCTCATTTCGGGCTGGGTTAATCTTGAAGTGGCCAAGATTCAGGCGGTTAAGAGGAAGCGATCTGTAGGGCTCGTCTTCTGGGCGCACTTTCTGGGAATTCTGCGATTCGGTTTCAGTCACAGAATCATCGGACGGCTTCTGGGACGACGGGGAGTGGACAGTTAAGGGAGGACTTCGCGAAGAGTTCCTGCTTAAGCCCTGAGGATTTTCTGGGCCGTAAAGATCTCTAGCAGACTCGAGTAGTGATTTTGAGGGTAATGATCCTTCCAAAAGACCTCGCAGTCGATCTTGTGTGGCTTGCCCGTCCACGTTCGATTGTGATGGTCTGGTCTGAATGACTGGAGTGTTCCTCGGAAAATGCCTGGAATGGCCACCATATTCTCCCGCATCACCGTCTTCAGCCATGGAATATAACGCCCGGTGATTTGTCAATTTCTGCTTCTTCGCCCGAGATTCTTGACCACTAAACTTGTCCTTTCGAGCGTTACCATCAACCGGACGTAGTACATTTAATTGTTGAACAGGTCGGCCTGGCTGGGTCCGTTGGGTGCTGGCGCCATGTAACTCATTTTCCTTGCTTGAGTCTTCCCTGTGCACTTCTCGGTGGACGTTTCGTTTTGTAGGCGTTTGTATAGTGTCGCCGATTTCATCCAGATCTTGAGTGCTAGGCAGATACTGGCCATGCGAGTACGCGGAGTTTTGTAACGGACTTGATGATACTGGTTCACTCTTAACCAGCAACGGTCGGCCAGGAGCACTCTCTGGTGGATGGGCAGGAGAAGCGGCGACAACCCGCTTTCTCTTCCGATTCTGTAAATCGGGTAAAGGTGGAATTATATCCGAAGACGACTCTGAAGATAGTGCATCATGTGTAGCATGCCGGGGTTCCGGTCGGGTTGTACTGATTATTGGTTGATTGCTTTCCTCAAATTTGAATTTAGGGTTTGCATGTATTGAGGTGTTTTGATTCTGAATTGACTTAGCGGGCCAAGTCCCAGAAACAGAGCCCCGGGTCGATTCATCTTCGGACCGCGGCCTTGTTCGTGAATCTGGGGCTGTCGAGTTGGTTGTGGCATCGGTTTCCACATTCAACACCTTTCGAAATGTTATCGGTTTACCATTGAGGACATATGTAAACTCATCCCTCTGTAGGCGCTTGTCGCAATACTGCAATCTCTTCTTGTGTTGCAGGACTTTTGCCTTAAGACTGGTATAGCTTCCAGCAAGCGTCTGAAAGTTGGTGTAGAGCGCTGTGTACTTATACTCGAGGATTCTTCGCAATTGATCCACGTCGTGATGATTGCTCCAGATGTTTTTGGGAGCAAATTCATCCTCGAGATTGGCAAGTCCGACAGGAAGCTCCAGGTCTTTCGGGTCGACTTCATAGCGCTTGAGCTCCCTTTGGAGTACGTATAAATGATTCTGCAGCTCTTGGATCTTGTGGTCTGCCGCTTCACGTGCAGCCGATCCGTCAACTTCAGCTCGTCTCAAACCTGCGTCACGAGTGGCAATTTGTGAGTCAATTTTCTTGTACGCATTATCAAAGGAAGCCTCGCATGCCTCTGAAATTGACGCATGGAGCTCCTTGAGAATCTCCATCGGGAGTTTGTGGCGTGAGCAAGCCACGAGAAACGCGGTGTCGAGACGCGTCTTGATAATAATTCTGGCAGTATAGCTTCGGGATGCCACGTGATTCAATACAGACCGCCTTTTGATCCTTATCAGCCATCGATAAGAGGCGCTTGACGTAGCACGCAAGGTTCCCTTGTGTATTCCTCATTCACCATCAACCACGCGAAAACATACCATGTGTTTGGAAAGTCCACCAGGATGTCCAAGCGCTGCCGGGAATATCAGCCGTCTGATCTGCCTCCTGCAAAACGAAATCGGGACCTTGTGACTGATCCTGTCGATCGGCTATCTTCTTTGAGCGACGAACTCCTGCTCAATATCCTGTCATTTCTTCCAGTTTCTTCTCTAAACTTGTGCCAGACGTAAGTAGTCACCAATTTTCCTCATTCTCCGCAGCCAGCTTGAACTTCAATTACCAGGCTATCTCATCGATTTCACACTCTAAGTGGGGACTCGGAGTTATGGAAACGACAGTATTACTCGCAATGGGTGCGTCCACGTGCCCGTCGACTGGCCAATGTAAGACGGTCCACATTACCAGGCAGGACAGAGTACTCGCCAAAGGTCTCAACATGGCTTGATCATAGCCACTTGGCAGAGGAAGGGAAAGTGACAAATTGGAAAAGGCAGTACCGATTGCGACACAATTGGTCACGCGGACTATGTCGAGTCACTGAAGTCGAGTTTCCCCAACCCACATCTCCTCCCGCATTGGTCAAGCTTTGTGCTGGTAATGTCTTCACGGCAGATGCTCCCCACGGGCTTCGGGCATGGGCTGCTAAAGACCCAGCGAGCTGTCTAGCAAACATCCCCTTTCCAGTTGCACAAGAGAAGCCTAGCATGCTTCCAACAGCATTGGTAGTGAGCCACCAGCAGAGCCAATCGGAGATTGTGGTGGGCTTCGAGAGTGGTCTTTTCAATCGCTATATTTTTGATGTCCAAACATCCCAGTTGATCTTACGATCCTCCCATGTCGGACTCTGCGACGGAGCCATCACTGCTATGGCTCTTTCTTCGCCATATCTCCTGATTGTCTCCCAGCACAGGAATTTGTCGTTATACAATCTCGGGGATCAATCTCACGAACTTGAGACAATTGTTGATATCACTCGACCACATGAGCTTGCATCACTGAAAGCGGACAATATGGTCGCGCCAATGACACTGTCTCTCCGAGCCTCAGCTTCGGAGATTGTGGCCACCGTTGTGTATAGCTTCTTTCATATTGGTTGTGGGTGGTCACAAGGGATTCAAGAACTGCGTTTCGATAAAGACGGTCAACAGCTCGACTGCCGTATTGCCAGTACGGTTGATTCGCAATATGGAATGAGACCGCTCCAAGGTCTATCGCCATCACTGATGCGACGACATTCGGCCACCGTCGAGACCGTCGACAACGAAGATTCGGCCCCCGTCGTTCCCTCCATATTGCATCGACAGCCACCAACATCAATGTCGTACTCCCATCCGTATTTGCTGACATCCCATGCGGATAACACGCTGACCATGTATCTTGTCGTCTCCGACCTGGAATCACTTTTCGTCCGCGGAGGGCAGCGTCTCTGGGGCCACACTTCATCTGTATCTGCCGTACAAGTGACCAATCGCGGCAAAGCTGTGTCAGTGACTTCCCGCGGAGACGAAATCCGCATATGGGAACTTGAGACAGCCGTTTCTTCGTTGGGCAGCCGCAGGCCCTGGAAGGATGAGAATAGCATCCAAGTCAGCCCCGGGAACAAACGGCGAATGGAATCGGTGTCAGCTCCCATGCCGAAAAGTATCCAACGGGATTTGGACGGACTCGGGATGGTCCCTAGTGTCCCACAGGAGATGTCGCGGATGCATGAATGCGTTGGATTTGATGAAGAGCGAGTTCTTCTTCTCCGAGAAAAGCAACTTGGCACCCAGCTGCTGGAATGTTATGATTTCACATAGCCACACCGTTGATGTAGACCAAAGGTTGGCCTCCCAGATACATCCGGTTTTGATGACCTGGAATAGGGTCTGGGCCCATGTCTCAAACCCAGAGTGCAAGTAATAGGCGCGATTTGACGGGGGGCGCTAACGCAGGTCCAGGGACCCGGTCGCGCGAGTCCCCGTAGCACAAGGTACTCAAGGTACTCAAGGTGCTTTTCCACAGGCTGGGGACCCTGGCAGATCTCGTGTCGCCCCAGGATATAAAATGTTGTTCAATCTCCAATTTTTTGGTCGCGAGAAGCGATTCCCATTTCTGATCACCGTTGGAAATCCCGTTCATTCTCCCAAGCTGGCTGGGTGCTACTCATGTGCTGGCATCGCCGCCCAGTATAATTTAAAGCCATAAGCAACACACTGTCATCTATCCATGGAAATGACTTTCCCGAGAGTCTGCAGCGGATACCTTGACCCTTGCGCGGAGACTTTCAAAGGTCGCAACGAACTAATTTGATGCATTCCTTGGGAATGGCATTTAGTTGCCAGGACTCAGCCACTCCTAAAGGTCCAAAAATCATCTGCACAACTTTTCGGCCAAATAAAGCTTTAGCGCAGCCCGGATCATTCACGATGCTATTGTGCACGAAGTACTTGGGCAATTGATGCCTCTACAGGGGCGACATGCGCTCAATCGCTGCACTTTCACTATGAAACCCCGAATGAGAAGCATACTGAACGTGCAAAAAGGCAATCCATAACGAAAATCGTGGACATTATATGAATTTTAGTGGGAGCAACCCGAGGTTCCAAATCTTTCAAATCTTGGACTGAGAGCGCGGGAAGTTTTCTCCCCTCCCCGCACTACAAAATTCCTCCCTCACCCGCTTCCCTCAACGCTTCCTCTTCATCGCCCCTTACCTTGTCTCCCTCCACAAACTATTTCCAGTTCCTCCAAGTCTCTCCAATCGCTCAAGATGGATCCTCGCTCCAACCGTTCCTGCTACAACTGTACGTGATTCTTCCTACCCTCCGCCCCGCTCGCCTATCCCACCGCACACTGCCGGCTCACTGCTTTGGAGATACGCCTGTTCAGTATCTCTGGAGCAGCTGAAAGCTTCCTCTGGTGTTCATGTTTCACTACCGCCCTTCCGTCCCATGGTTTCGCTTTGCTCATTAGCCTCCGCGCACGTCGTGATCGCTTTTACTCTGAGGCTTTTTTACTGACATTTTCTCTCCTTAGGCGGTGACGCCTCTCACCAGGTAAGACCATGTCTTCCATCGCATTGATTTCACACTCTCGCAATGCTTCTCCGGTGGTGGTTTATCGCATGATCGATCGAATGCTCACGTTTTTTTTTTCTAGGCTAAGGACTGCCCCAAGAAGGGAACCCCCACTTGGTAAGCGTCGTTCTGATCAGCCGGTGGAGCTTTTGGCTGATGTGTTTGATAGCTATAACTGCGGTGGTGAGGGTCACGTCAGTAAGTCATCATCCCGTCTCACGACTGTGAGTGATCTTCGGTCGAAACTAACCATCCCACCTTAGACCGCGAGTGCCCCAACCCCCCCAAGGAGCGTACCTGCTACCGCTGTGGTCTGACAGGCCACCTGTCCCGTGAGTGCCCCCAGGGCGGTGCTCCCGGTGGCTACAGTGCCCCCGGCGGCCAGGAGTGCTACAAGTGCGGCCAGGTCGGTCACATTGCTCGCAGCTGCCCCCAGGGCGGTAACTACGGTGGTGCTGGCGGTGCTGGCGGCGCTGGCGGCTACGGCGGCGGCTTTGGCGGTCGTCCCCAGACCTGCTACTCCTGCGGTGGCTTTGGCCACATGGCTCGCGATTGCACCCAGGGTCAGAAGTGTTACAACTGTAAGTTTTGACCGTTTTCATTTTTTACATTTCATTCTTAGGACTTGTTTCTGACCTAAGACCAGGCGGCGAGGTCGGCCACGTTTCCCGTGACTGCACTACTGAGGCCCGCGGCGAGCGCGTGTGCTACAAGTGCAAGCAGCCCGGCCACGTCCAGGCTGCCTGCCCCAACTAAATTTGACCTTGCAATCTTTTCCCTCTCGTCTCGTTCACCCCTGGGTAATTTCGGACCAAAAAATTTTCTATTTGCATGCGCCACGATTTGAGATGTCTATTTCCCCTGGGTTCTTTTTTGTATTATCACTCACGGCTTGAATCACGACCATGATCTTTTCTTTGCATATGCTTCATTTCTTCCTACGTTGAATCTTCCTTTCCGTGTCTACCGGGCTTTCCTCGCGTGGAAAGCGAAGTGCAAAGGGCGATCTGGCTTGCAAAAAAAATGGGTATGCATGGGATTCTTTATACGGCGCCTTACGGGAGATACTTAGTTGCATGGGGAAATGCAGAATTTAATCTCCAAAAACCAAATTGCTTCTTCCTTTGTAGTTTTACCTATTACCTAGAGAGCCCTCTAAGAGCTACAGCTGCACATCATAGCTCGCTTGTACTTGGGGACATCACCACAGAAACGCTCTTCTTCCTGTTTGTGAAGCCCCCATTCGTCGTTGAATGGATTCAGGCTCATCTGCATCACCCGGTCCAGAATCTTGCGGTCTCCTTTGCGCTCCACGCGCTCGATGATCTCATCGAGGACCCATCCTCGAGGAACAAACTGGAAGAGTTAGCTGGTCAGGTCCATAGAGAAAATGAGATGTAATCAAAAAGGGCGGTCTCACGTTCGGGTTGACAGCTTTCATGGCCTTCTGTCTTGCCTCATCGTTGCTGACTCCCCAGTCTTCCAGCACACGAACTTGCCAGCTGTCAAGCCACTTTGCAATCCGTTCTCTGGCGGAGGCATCGGTGTAGCCAATGCCACCAAAACCTTCAGCATGGAAGAAGATCGATGCTGTTTTTTTCCGCTGCTCGTTGGTGCTCAGTTCCGAGATAGACACGCCTGACAGGCGTCGGAAAAAGTGATTGAAATCGAGCTCCAGTGCCTCCAGAGTATCTAGCATCTCTGAGAATAGCTCCTGGAAATCCGACTCTTTCTGCGTCTTGAGTCCCAGTCTCTGGCACATCAAGCGCTTGTACTCGTTCAGGAAAACTGCTCTGAATTCGTCGCCGGTTCGTTCAATGACGGACTCCGCACGCTTGACAACCTCTGCCTCCATCTCTTCGGTAACACCGTCCTTGATGAAACCTTCTTCGTCCACTCGATTTCCAGCACCAAGAAGCTCACCAAGGGATTCACCGAGGCGGACCAGGTTCCACCAGATAATGCTGGGCTGATTCTTATATGAATATCGCAGCATATGGTCATCGTGGTTGGGAGTGTACGATGGGTCAAAGTTGTCCATAAATGCGAAGGGTCCGTAGTCAAGTGAAAGCCCATAAAGCGAGGTGTTGTCAGTGTTCAGCACACCATTCATAAACCCATAGGCCTGCCATGCTGCAACAGTCTTTGCGTTGCGTCGGGAGATCTCACGATAGAGCCTCGCGAATCGATTTTCTCCGGTCTCTTGAGGTCCTTGTAGTTCGTCCCGGGGCACGCCTCTTTGAGGATTGTCGATATCCGAGGAGAGCTGTTCACCCACGGAGACTGCGGCGGGCAAGTTTTCCCATCCGCCAAAGACGTCTTCCGCGACATAAGTGGCGAGTGTTCTGATGAGTTCACGATCGCCACGGACCCGAGGGAGGTCAAAGGTTCCAATTCGCAGCCAGGACTCGGCGAAGCGGGCCACGATTGCACCCGGTTCGATGCGCTCTCGCAAGACCTTTACATCGGGAAGTAGTGTCAGGGACAACGCACGAGTCGTTGGCACACCCAAGGCGTTAAGTGCTATACTCGTTTAGTGATTTATTCTACTCAAAGAGCGAGATCATTACCTTCGGAAACAATATATTCTCGAATACTCGATCGTAAGACAGCTTTGCCATCTGCAAAGCGCGAATAGGGTGTCTTACCCGCACCTTTCAGCTGAAGCTCATACCGTTTTCCTGTTTGAGGATTGGTAGTTTCGAACAGACTGATTGCGCGCTTTTGATCAATTAGCAAACTCGTCATCTTTTTTTCTTTTAGAGCCAAACACAGTCGACTTACTCCATCTCCGAGTTGTCCGGCCCATGAACCACTACACTCTGTTTAGTTTCAGTCTTGCATAACCTACTGGGTGACTTACAATTGCCATCCTAATGGGATTCAGTCAGCATCTCCTCGTAAAAAGTACAAAGTCACAATAGAGACACGCACCGCCATAACACTGAGCCCATGGGTAGATGCCCCCCTTTTCTTCATCCCACCAAATTTGATTACCCGCGACCAGCGCCTTGAATTGAGGCGTGTCTTCCTCGCCGGGCTTCAACCCTAAATCCTCCATCGCTCTGGGGCTCACACTGAGCAGCTCCGGCTCATTCACCGATTCTGGACGGACATAGGTGAACAGAGCGCCCTTGACCATCCGCGGCCCTAGGGTTTCCCGAGGAGCTTTATGCGAAGCCTCGGGAGTCTCGAAAGCCGGATCCGCTGGCAGTTTTGATGTAAAGACATTCGATTTGGGTAGGTCCGTCAGGGACGTGCCCGCGGAGCTCGAAAGATGAGAGGCCATTTGAGCCAAACGGAGAGTCGGGTGAAAGGGTCGCGACATATATCGACCCGAACAGACACGAAGCACACGATTCGATATCATAGAGGATGGTTCTTCAGTTCCTCAAATACGATAGACGCGGAGAACCCTGTAGCGTGGATGACATCATGCCCATTATTAATCTCGGGCAGTCTGGCCGCAACACAGGATCAACTGGGTATCGCAGGATTCACCAAGCGGATCCCGGACCGCTCTGATAGCCCCGCGTGGGCCTCCATCGAGTGTTGCCAGTCCCGGGATTTGACTTCTGCAATTTACTCAACGATGGCTAGCCCTCACCACATTCCCACCATCGAGCTCAATGACGGCTCCGTCATGCCCGTTGTAGGTCTCCTTGAATCAACTCTTGCGAACATATCTAGATAACTAATGGCGTACAGATCGGGTATGGCACTGGGACTGCTTGGTACAAGACCTCGGACAGCGGGATCAACCGGGAGCTGGTCGATGCAGCGAAGAACGCGGTGAACTTGGGTTATCGCCATCTGGATGGAGCAGAAGTCTATGGAACCGAGGAAGAACTGGGTCGCGCTATTCAGGAAAGTGGACTGCCTCGCGACAAGCTGTTCGTGACCACCAAGGTTATCACCAATATTGCCGATATCCCTTCGGCCATTGACTCCAGCTTGAAGAAACTCGGTCTCGATTATGTCGACCTGTAAGTTCTCTCGTGCTTTGCCTCCTACCCAGATACTGACAACGCAAGGTATCTGATCCATGCCCCATTCTTTGCCAAGACGGACAGTGAGCTTCAAGCTGCCTGGGCTGAAATGGAGCAGGTCAAGGCCTCTGGAAAGGCTCGATCTATCGGCGTGTCCAACTTTGTGCAAAGTCATCTGGAGACAATCCTCAAGACTGCCCAGGTCGTGCCGTCCGTGAACCAGATCGAGTACCACCCGTACCTCCAGCATGGGAAGCTGCTGGAATTCCACGAGAGGGAGGGTATCAAGACAGTTACCTACTCCGGTCTGTCGCCAGTTAATCGCGCGCGAGGCGGACCACTGGATCCGCTTTTAGCGGACTTGGCCAAGAAGTACGCGGTTGATGAATCGGAGATCCTGATACGCTGGACTCTTGACCGAGGCTGCATTCCTGTTACGACGAGCAGCAAGGAACTTCGTCTCGCCAGCTATCTGCGTTCTTTGACGTTTAAATTGACCCCTAGGGAGGTGGAGGAGATCTCGACTCTCGGGGAGCAGAAGCATTTCCGCGCATACTGGGAGGATGTTTATGCCGCTGATGACCGGACTTAGTCTAAATATATATATATACCTTGGAACCGGCTCAGTGCCTGAATCAATTATCAGATGAATAATCTATTTGCAGTCTGGCTGAGTTCCTATTGATACTTGGTACATGATGTCAATTTCTATAATACTAGCTTCGCTAGTCAGCTAGCATTGATAAATTGCTTCTATGTGCATCGGAAATATAGAGCCACGTAGATCGACGCCAAAAGCGGCGAGGCGGGCGCCCCCGAAAGAGAGCCCCGGATCCCCCATTTCACCCATTCACCTTCCACCCTCCCCCGTCCTGAACCACTGACTTTATTTCTTTCAACCTATACTTCTATATACTTTGCCCAGAGATCGCAATACGATGCTCCGATGAGCCCCTTCGAGGCCGGTGTAGATTTCTCCACCCTCGCCTCGATGTTTTGACTCCCGATTCTCCCCAGGCGCATGCTACCAGGGACCACAGCTTTGGTGACACGCTCCAACTCGGCGAATTCACTGTTTGGTACGTGCGCAGTTCGATCGATGGTTTACCAAGTCGTCCAACTCCGCAGACTGCGATGTCGGTGAACGATCAGCCCCCCTCTGCGGACACCACTATCTCCCACGCGAACCAACCCTTTGCATCTGACCTTGGAACTCTCGACCAACGTTTGGATTGCCTCTCTAACGAAGTCCTTCCGCCTCAACCTTACATCCTCACCCTCCCGACGAATGCGCCTTTCCGCCTGGGGTCTCGTTCCGCGAACAATTGGGCAGTAGGACATGACCGCCCATTCAGTCTAGAGGAGCAAGAACTTCAGTATATGACCTTCCTCCGGCACCACGATACAGATTCATTGCTTGTGGCTGTGGGCGATTGGTCTGACGAGTCAGGGCGCATGATGGCTGACCGGTCTTCGGCCCCGAGCACAACAGAGACCCCGAAAGAGACGGTAGCAAAGAAGAAGATCAGTCTCAAAGATTACAAACACCAGAAGACGACCGGGCCCGTCGCGTCCGCCGCGACACACAATCAGCGAATGCGCGCCGACTCCAACTCCAGACACGAAGAAACCCAGCCAGCCCCCAAATCCGACCTTTCAAAGGCACGCGATAAGATCGACCCGCCTCCGACATCCAACTCGCAGCTACATCTGTCCCCTTCCAAGGGCCCCAAGAAACGGCCTTCAACCTCCGACATAGAACAAATCGGCTTTCAAACGGTCCTGAATCCCGACATGCACTCTCCCAAGAAGCCGCGACTATCTCCCGAGAAGGACACTCGCGCGGAAGCTATTTCGAACAAATCACAATCTCCAAGACTACCCGCACTTTTATCACCTACACTCCCTCCAACAAAGCTTATGACGTCCACCACTCCTCTAGCAGCCAAGCTGCCACGGTTGCTCTCTCCTACATTACCGCCGGATCTCGAGAAGGAACTGGCCAAATTCAAGGAACGCTCGCCCGCTCGTCAGTCCCCTAAGCGTGGCATCTTACCTGGCAAGGGGAAGCGAGACGATGCAGCTCATTCTCGAACCCCCAACTCCACGAACAGTGGCAGCAATTCAAGTTTCCAAAGTCACCGCGCCGGAGCTTCATCAAAAGAGTCTCATTCCTCAAAGCCACATTGTATCGTCAAACTGCGTTATGGCAAGGCGAATCGCCGCCGGGTCGAAGGCCTTCTCAAATTTTCCGGTAAAAGGAAATCGTCTCGATCCGATTCACCGCTTGGACAGGATACGGATCATGAAGACGCAAATCATATTGAAAAGAGGAGAGAGCTCGGCTCATCTCGTGTTTTTACTACATCTGATAGACCAAAAACAAAAGTCAAACATGAGCCAGAAACATCGCTCGGCCCTACAGGTGGCAGTTTCAAAGAACGCAAAACATCTGTCGAAAAGCCTCTCACGCCAGCCTCTAATCCTTTCCCAGCTAAAAACGAAAAAGTCAAGCATACCGTATCCACGCCAGTGAAGGACTCAAAAGCACTCGTTCCACGCCGAGCTGACCCTGGGGAGGCTGGCGGTAAGACCCCCGTGAACCCGGCGAACAAACGTCACTCGGTTGATCCGGGGTCGAAAGAATCGCCTTCCCAGCCAGACAGCCGACCTCGCAACAATGAGCGTCGAGCCTGGCGGGATGAATTCCAGAAATTCAGCAATACTGGCCGAGAATTGAAACATGCCTCTGAAAGATCTAGGACCAAAAGCGGAGCTTCCGCCGCGGATGAGAAGCTGGCTTTGGTAACTGCAATCGAGGCCATCATGTGTTTCATCCTTGCCTTCGTGGCCGACGATCAATCAAAAGCTCTTGTACGACAGGGTGGGGATTCTTCTGCCTGGGTGTCCATTCTGGCATACTGGCGAGTGGTCCGCAATTACAGCGCCTCTTATCCCGTCCTTCACGGTCTCTGCCTTCTTCTGGGGGCTGTTTCGTATGATTCCATTCATGCCCTAGATCTCGAACGGCTTGCGAATAGTCCCTTACCGGGCGAGCATACACCAGTGCCTACTCCCGGCAGCGATGGAAATACCGTCCTTTCGGACGAGAATAAGAAAAGCCGCAAGGACTTCCTTGAGCTGAGGAATCGGCTTCTCGAGTGTCACCGAGAATCGCAGAAATTCTGGCTGGAGGGAACACGGGCTCTCTCTGAGGATGTTCTACATCAGGAATTTCCCGTCACCTGGTCTCATCGGTCTCACAATCATGCAGAGCGAGGGAAAATTCCCCTCAAAGCTGGAGACTACGCAGATGATTATTTTCTTCCTTTTGGTGGCACAACTTCACCTATCGAAGTAGTGCGTTTCGGTTATTCAATGCTCAAGGAGTGGTGCACGCAGCAAGATGTGGAGTGGAAGCGGCGCCTATCCCTTTAATGGCAGATTGAACCCATTACAGCGTTCCACGGAGGTTTCTTTTTTTCCGTTGCATTCGAAGTGATTCTTTTCTTTCTCGCCATGATACCACGAGCTCTGGATTTATTTTTTTCTGATGTGTAGCTATTTGATGTTTGAATATACCACGGTCAATACAAATGACTTATTACTCGTCTGCATTGCGTTTTGTGCCGGGAGACTAGACTTAAAGACTTGAATTAAAAAGTCGAAAGAGAAATGCCATTGTTCAACGCCGTCAACTCGGTGTCGCTAAAATCAATCGCCATGTGATATCCGCTCAAACTATACTGAACTGTGAAGGGAAAGGTCATGAACATGAATAGAAAAATACGGGGAAACCGTCTCTCAGGTAATACAAGGAGCAAAAAAATGGAACTAAACTTCTCCATACTCAGGTCGGAAGTCCGAGTTCGAGTCGCCAAAGAGCCAACCAGCCTCGCGGCAGTAACGGGCTTCCCGGCCATAAATGCCAACTTCGCTAGCCCAGCAGATCACAGAGGCATCCACAATATCTGCGATGACACTTTCCATAGCACCCAAGATACTCCATCCAATGGCGCCGGCTATCAGACCAACCACGTAGGCATATAAGCTGCCCCGAATCGTACCGCCAGTGGCGGCGGTGGTCAAGCTCCGAGCAGTGGTGACCCAGCCACCGAAGCCCAAAGCCAAAGACATGATAAACCGCGTGGCATGGAGAATCAGCTTCGAAAGACGATAGGAAAGAAGAGATGCGGAAGCTCCGGGAGAGCGAGAATATGCACGAGGATGCAACGATGTCGAGGCTGCCGATGGGGCCAGAACAGCCATCTGGCTCAGACCCCGCGCAGAGGCAGACAAGGGTTGGGAATGAATAGCCGCGTAGGTGAGGGAGAGAGGGTTCGTCAAAAATGCAATCGGGGTCGGTATCAGAGAGTATGCAAAGAGGCCGAGCAACGAAGATAGACGGCTAGGAAGTATTATCAAAGGGAGCCGAATCAACAGACCGAGGAGACGCGACAGACAGATCGTGCCGAACAGAGTGGTGGTGGCATGCACGATGGCAGCTTGAACGATCTGCCGTGATGTAGGTGCCGGACTCGCCAGGCGATGGAAGTACCATTGGCTCACTGTGGCAGCCGTAATAGAACGCTGGACTCCAGCAATCACTCCGATCGACCACAGATAAAACACGACGAAATAGACTCCGAGCCACCAGCTGCTAAGATCAATGATGAAGGACCGCGGCCCAGCAAGGTGTCCGCCCAAGAAGACACGAGTGAACATCAGCATCCAGATCCAGGTCCATGATACCACGCAGACGAGGACGCTCAGTCCGAGAGCAAGCAACTCGGGGTTTGCGGCCAGAATTCGGCACGCAAATTCGAGAACGCCAATCGCCTTTCCGATCGATCGACGACTCCGAACGACATTGTAAGTCCATAGGCTAGCCATGAGTAATGGGATAAAAGAACCCCAGCGCATCGCCTTGTCCTGAACACTGTCGCCATGCCATGCACCCTTAAAGCTCGACACAAAGGGATACACGGAGAAGGAAAATAGGATGGTGGGAACGGCGATGATAATCACGTAGACTAAAAGGCGTACGTAGGATCGAAGTAAAGCGAGCCAGAGGAGAGATACGAGAACTGATACCAGCGTATATATCCCAAGAAGGAAGAAAGAACCATGCACAGTCAAGTAGATTGTATCGCCCCATTTAGCCTTGTCACCGGATGGGGTAGATGTATGCAACCATACAAGGAACGATGTGGCAAACAACCCCACGAGAGATAGGAAGAACAGCTGTCCCCAGAATATGTCATGCACAGATGTTTCTGAAGCAAGTGGCGCGATAGAGGCAGGAAAGGAGCCGGTCGAACTTGGCGGTCGAGCCATCTCGGAGGTGAGCGGTTTGGTCTGGTCAGCAGGGGAGCTGAATGAGTTGAGGTTGAAAAGATCCCCTTGGGTTGAAGGTCGTTCTCGAAAGCGCTGAATAGGCGGGTCATTACCGATAATTTCTGAGGGAGAAAGGTCCTCATCCTCGGGAATGTCTCGTAGGGAATCCTCCAGGCCGATATCGACTAGTTTGCCTCGAATCCTGCTACTTCCAGACCCTGTGAAAGACCCTGTTTCATGCTCCACCACTTCTGCTACAGTCCCAATTCGAGAGTGATGCGGAATAGGTGCTCCTTTTTCTCCACGCCACGAGCTCTTGATCCCTTTCCCATTACCTGGGCGATCGTCGTATGGAGAATGTTCCTCGTGAATGCCAGCCGAGTGTTCTGAGGAATCCTCTAGCTCTGAGGAGTCCTTGAGATTGCTGTCACCAAATTGTCGTCTTGATCGTTGTAGTGCGTAGAAATCGGCAATCTCGCGCTCCCTCTCAGTCTCATCGTCTTCTTCTCGGAATTCATCGGTGGCGCTGTAGAACAGAGGGGCTGGTTGTGCTGAAGCTCGCGAGGCAAATGGGAAATTGGAGATCTGGGATGCCCCGGGCCGATATGGATCACCGCTTCTCAAGAAAGAGCGGGAGGACGGGTTCCTTGTTCCCTGACGCTGGTTGGGATGAGCACGACCGGTTCTCTGGATCTCATCCGGGCGAGAGGCTACTCGTGACTGTGACTGAGCAAGGAAGCGTGAGGCATCTAAGTGTGGTCAGTTACCACGAACCCAAATAAGGACGTGATACATACATTCCGAGAACATGGCCCACTATGGTGGAGATCGGGTTAGAGGGATGGGAAGAGTCGCCCGTTGCGGGAACAGAGCGGCATTCGATTGTGCAAGAGAGAGAGAATAAGTGAGAAGAGGGTAAGGAGGTTATTTGGAAAGAAGAAGAGAGAGATAAAGAGCTTCAGGAAGGTCATTCAGGTGCAGGCGTCATCTGGGCAGGTCACCATGGCCCCCGATAGATGACTCAGCATTTCCGATAACCATCGACCTTCAGCTCTTCAGCAGCCATAGCTCTCCATATCTTCGGAAAACCGACTCTCTCCATGTCACAGCCATGGGATTACATCGCTAAGCTTGTCTGTATCGGTGACTCGGGTACCGGGAAGTCCAGCGTAAGTGTCGTCCCTCCCTTCCTCTTCGGTTCGATCTTGGTCACTAAATCCAATAGCTCACCATCCGCCTCTGCGAAGGCCGCTTTTCTCCTTCTCACGATGTCACTATTGGTGTGGAGTTTGGATCGAGGATCGTACCCGTGGGCCCCCCTGCTTCGTTGGAACTGGGACTAGACGAGTTTTCTCGCAGTTCCTCTGGACCTCCCGGCGAAATCCCCGAAGAGTCTACTGCCTCGGGTCTCCCCAGCCCACCGCGAAAGCCTCAGGACTCGCCCGTCCAGAAACGGATGAAACTCTCTCTCTGGGATACTGCTGGCCAGGAAACCTACAAGTCCATCACCCGCTCCTACTTCCGCGGCGCCTCCGGTGCCCTCCTCGTCTTCGACATCTCCAGGCGGTCGACCTTCATATCGTGTACGCAGTGGCTTCAGGATCTGCGTCAGATTGCGGAGGAGGGCATCGTGGTGATATTAGTTGGGAACAAGACAGACTTGGCCGGACGAGAATCCGGATCCAACCAAAGACAGGTCACCGAGGAAGAGGCCGAAGAATGGTGCCGCCTGAATAACATCGTGCGCTATGTCGAGACGAGTGCCAAGTCGGGAGATGGCGTTGAGCGAGCGTTTCTCGAAGTGGCCGAGAGGATTTACCGCAATATTGAAGCCGGCAGGTACGACCTCAACGACCGCCGCAGCGGAGTCAAAGGGTTTGGAGCCTCTGGAGGTGCCAACTCGGGAGTCCCGAGAACTGTTACCTTGGGCATGGACGATGCGATGCGCAAGGGCAATGGCTGGTCTGGAGGGTGTTGCTAAAGGATATTACGGCACAGCACAAGCTTCCGGCTGGGAAAGCTGTCCGAGATGTACAGATCAGGACACACTTCATAATAAAGAACTCGATTCAATTTACAATAATGCATAGTCTATCGAGACGAAATGATCATCATTATAATTCGGACGTTTTTCAGGCTCCTTGCACTCTCGCAGGGCCTTTCCATTAAACAGGAGGTTGGACAGACGTAAGTCAACATCTGCACCATCAAACACAAAAAAGAACAAGGTCCGCGCACCCCCCTCCTTCTCGAACATGCTCATTAGTTCGAGATCTTCCAGCCGGGCAGCCAGCGCAGGTGAGACCATTGCTGGTTGGAGCCCTCCATTCCGAACACAATATCTCGGAAGTGTATGAACAGCCCGATGATGATCGTATAGAGAACGGCATAAACGACGGCTCCGACCCGAGTGTTGATGCTTCGGGTGACCCAGTCAACACAGAAACCGAAAGTGAGGATGGCATAGTAGAGGGCCGGGTAGTAGTGGTGGACGTAGGTCACTCGGGCCATGATAATGAATGGAAGGTAGTGCAAGACCCAGCCAATGAGAGGATAAAGCCCAGAGTAGTGAATGTGATCAATGTCTGCCTTGCTCAGCTCTTGGTAGCCTCTCTGCCATCGCAGAAGATACCACAGGAATGCAATGCCGAAGCCGACAATACTTGCCGAGCTTCCCCAGTAGACGAGAGGGTTTCCAAGCAGGTAGTACTTCACCACGCTGTCATCCCAGGAGCACATCCGCAGGCCAACATTCAGAATGGGCCACTGCCAGAATGCTGAAGCCAAGTCATCCTGCTTGTCTGGATCAGGAACCAGAGCGTTGTTTGAAGTCATCATAGCAACGTTCAAGTGGATAAAATCTTTCAAGAAAGGTGACTTGTAAGAGCCAGGGTCGCCAGGGGGCACTGCGCATAATTAATTTATGAAACTTCCAATAATAACGGAAGCGATGGGGAAGAGTGATCGGGAACTTACAGCGCTCATTGGTGTGAGACTCGACATTCCAGTGAGTGTACACATCATTTGCCTTGTTCTCCTTGACGCAGGTTGTTTCGATTTGCTTGAAGCCCCATTGAGGCAAGTTCACGTTTCCAGCCCGCAGATAGCAGCCGAGTGATGGGTGGCGGAGCCGGAATGCAGTGGTCAGGGTGCGAATCTTCGAGCGATCCCGGGACGCTGCATCGTCCACCACCTCGATCTTCCAGTGGTCCTTTTCATCTCCGATGGTGATGTTGCCGTAGCTAGACACTTCATAGTGGGACTTGGAAACTGGTGCGGCAATGGCGTGGGAATGCAGGTTGCGGCCAGTCTGTCCGTGAATAAGGCGAATAACATCTCCGTCACCAATAAATTTCAAGTCCGCCTCGCTATCGAAGTCAGGCTCGCTACGGTTGGGGTAGATGAACCAGTCGTTGTTCGCATCCTTGTGGTGGTAGCATGTAACTTGCTGCTGGTTCGATCCCTCGGGGTACGTCTGAACATGCGAATGCAGGAGACCGCCTCCGTAGCCCATGTTTTTGAGAGTGACTCGCGATCCGAGGGCAATCTCAAGGGGGCTATCTCTGCCGACCTCGGTGCCACGCAGGTTCGCCTGGAAAAGAGAACTCATTTGAGCATCTCCGGGGCCACTGTTCTCAAGGACAAGGAAATGAAGATAGAAGGAAAACATATACACCAGAAGCGGAATGACGATCAAGCCTCCCACGCGAGCGAACAGGTGTTTAGCAAGCACAGTCTGGTGAACCTCCAGTCAGTTAAGCGTGTCTAGGAAGGCTCGGATTAATACTTACTTGCGGCATTTTAATGTCACCGAATTTGTTCCAAAGATCCTCGACGGTGTAGAGACCCACGATTGCGGTGCAGAAGAAGCCGACCCATTTGACGCTGCAAACACAGCCGATGCTCAGTCCAGTCAGGCAGAGCCATGCATACCATTCCAAGGAGAAGCTAGCATTCTGGAGGCGATGGAATCGCGCCCAGCACAGCGTCGTTGTAAAGGTGAAGCACAGAAGCATGGAATCCAGGAGGATAAAGCGAGAAATGGTCGCGTAGGAGTTCTCAAACAGGACCATCAAGCTGATCAGCCAAACGGTGGCCCGGCGGAAATTCAAATCGCGAGCCGTGTAGTAGGCAAGAGGGACACAGACCACGCCAAATAAGGCATTGAAGGCGCGCATAAAGGTATAGTTCACATCTTCCGGATATTTCTCGCCGGACTTGAATTCAAAGGAACCGTTGTAGCCGGCAAGGTAGCCCGAAAGGCCAACCAGCATCTTCCCCAGGGGCGGATGCACATCAAAGTAGAACTCGCGCTTTAAATAGTGAGAGCCGAATTTACCGAAGCTAAATGGGGTCAGCCGGGCTTGATTGGTGTTGTATTGGGGCGAGGGTAGCTTACTGAGCTTCGTCCCACGTCACAATGTTGGAGCGACCGATGCGATATAATCGAGTGAATAAGGAAAGGGCCGTCAAGAGGATGGGAGCAATTATCGGCTCCCAGCCAGCGAGGACATGTAGGAAAGAGGGGGACTACGCCGCAAGAAGAAACCACAGACGTTAGCATAGCCCATAAGTCACAATGAATCGAATAGACAGAGAGGGTGCCCTTACCTGCGATGAGCGGGTCTTCTTCACATCGCGCTCTACAGTTCGCGAGGGCGCCTGATGTTTTCCAGAATCGGGGACGTTTCTCCGACGCAGGTCGGCATCAGGTTTCGCCCCAGTGGTGGTGGCCGTGTTGATGTCCGCCATGGTGTTTGTAAACGAGGGAAGTTTCCAGGGTTGGATCGAGGAGAGATGTTCGTAAGGAAAGTAAGAAGAATCAAAGAATCAAAGAATCATAGCGGCCACAGAGGCCACAATGAAGAAAAACCGAAAAGACCAGATGGAAAAAGGGGAAAGGAAAAAGTTGAAGGAGGAGAAAGATGCCGAGCTGGCCAGAATCAACAGTTCCGCTTTGGAGAGGGGGCCGTTTTCGGGCGAACGTGGCCGCGTCCGATTATAGTAACATCAGCCCCCTTTCCGGTAACATGTTACTGAGCTATTAGAATTACGACTTTGCATCAATCGACTCCATTTGGTTCATTATTTAAGATTCATTATTCATGGCCACTCGTACTTCTTCATAGCGCCACCGTGGGAATTACGGCAAGTATACACGGCTTAGCCCCGAGAAAGCAATACGTAGAGGCTAATGAGGCCTCTTTGTTTCCTCTATCAAATACACATGAAGATGGAGAAAGCAAAATAAATGACAATAAAACGCCCGAGGGGCCGCGAAAGAGACAAAGTCATTGGATATACAATTCAAAAGGAGGGATATGAGAGATTGAAAGGGTCCATATAGAAAATGGCATCCACGAACAAATTTGGAACCGAGAAAAAGGAAGAAAAAGGCGCGACATGGGAGGTGGGCGTGCTCATCCTATGCTCCATCTCCCTCCTCGCCTTGATTAAGCCGTCTGTACTGACTCTGGCTGCTACCAACACTCGGCCCTCGGTGGCGTTTGACCATGTTCGAAATCCAGCCACCAATGCCCTCTCCTCGAGTACCACCAGTCTGTGAATCCCGTCGAGCAGATTTGCTGGGACCACTGTTGTTTAATATGGGCGGATCAATATCAAGTCCCGGGATGGCGCTCTCGGCGCCAAACTGCCCATAACCCCGACGAATATCAAGCGAAGGAACGGGCGAGCCAGCGCCCATCAGAGAGCCTCGCTCCCCTTCCGTGGCAGGGGTCGGCATGGCTGTTGATGCGTCTCCAAACAAGATGTTCATATCCTCCAGCCGGACACCGCTGGTCTCGGGGTATAAGAAATAAACTGTAAATTAAAGGATTAGATACGAATAACACACGTCAGAGTGAATATCTTACCAAGCACAAAGCTGCACGCGCAGAAAAAGGCATGAACCAAGTATAGTCGCCACTTGATGGCGCCCTGCAGCACAGGGGTCACCTCTCCGACAAGCCAGTTGAACGCCCAATTGGAGGCTGTGCTCAGACTCGCTCCTTTCGCGCGAATGCTCAAGGGCAAAATCTCCGGCGGATAGAGCCAGGGAATCGGGCCCCAGGAGGCTCCAAACGCAGCATTGTAGAGCATGACAAAAATGACAGTCAAGGTAGGTGTGGCTGGAATCTCGATATAGATGAAGTACGAGATCATGGAAAGGGAGATCATCATAGCCACCGCTCCTGATAGAAGAATAGGACGCCGACCCCAGTTATCAACAAGATACCAGGGAGGAATGGTGGATAGCAGGTAAGAAATGCCGTTGATTCCGGTCATCAGAATTGCAGATCGACCAGCCCAGCCAGCCGATTCGAAGACCAGGGGCGCATAGTACGAAATGACATTGATTCCGTTCAGCTGGGCCAATGCCTGAGCCGACATGGCAATGAAGACCCGCTTGGAGTAGCGTCTAAACATGTCGGAGTAAGACCGTTCACCTTCCTGTCGTTGCAGCAGGACGTTCATTTTGATATCACGGTATTCCTGGCGGGCCAGCTCGTTGTGTATGTCTCCCTCGCCGTAGAGATTGGCAATTACCACCATGCCTTCTTCATCATGGTCATTATCCAGGAGCCATCTAGAATAAATATTGTTAAAAGAGCATGCGCTTTGGGCTTCTAGATCTTACCTTGGCGACTCGCAAATGATCAAGCTCCCCATGCCTAGTAACGCACCCATAATGCATTGACAGAGTAAAGGCAATCGCCAGGAGTAATCAGACTCGATATAACTACAAAAGTAGTCTACCCACACACTGGTTGCATAACCAGAGATATTGCCGGTGAATTCTATGCAGGCTAACTTGCCTCTGTTATGGGGAGGCTATACCACTCGTCAGCACATCCAATCAATGGAAAACATACCACGGAGATTCAGTGCTCGCTGAGAGACAGCAGAATAGTATCTTACCGAAATCTCTGACTGATAAACGGGCACAATGGTCGATAGAGCACCGACGCCCAGACCGGCAATGATGCGACCCACCATCATGAAAGTCATGCTGGTTGCAAATGCCTGAAGAGCACCACCGATGAAGAACACGATAGACCCGTACAGAATGGTTCTGCGGCGGCCGATCAAGTCACCGATACGCCCTACAAGGAGCGAGGAGACGAAGGCACCGATTTCAAGGATAGCTACCACCGTGCCGATCGTAGCCCGGGATGGTTGGCCAAAGTAGTCACGAAAGTACGATCCACTGCTCATCCGTTAGTATTTTGGGTCATATATGCTTGGGCTTGGTATTTGGTCGCTTTTGAGAGAGAGGGGGGATGGACTGGGGAAATACGGACGTTATAATGCCAGACATGACGCCTTGATCATAGCCGAAGAGAAAGACGCCTAGTGATACAAATACACTCGTGAAGTAGCTACGAGACCCAGGTCAGCAAACTGCGTCAAGTCAGGCATCTAGATGATACTCACAGCAACGGCTTTCCCACCAAGCCATGAATCTGGGCATTTTGCCGATTGCCGGGGGACATGATGGCGGCCAGGAGACGCTCGGCTCTAGGTATACGCCGCGGGGGGGGGTCTCGGAATTTTGATTTTCTGTTTCTCGTCTTGTACACCCGACCGCGAGCCGTCGTCCAACTCCTCCGGGTAATGGACCCGCTTCGAACGTTTCTTCCGGGAGCCTGAGAATCCTCGATCTAAGTAATTGTGGAGGCGGGACTGGAGCGGGTCCTCGGCGAGCTGCTCGGCAAGATCACCAGTGTCCGACCAGATCGAGAAGTCCGACTCGACGGAGCGAGCAGACGAGTGAGATGATCGTCGACTACCCTTCTCGCTGGCGGATTCCAGCACGGGGGACTTATTGGGGTCAGGTAGTGAACGGAGGGGTATAGCGCGCGGGGAGGTTGGAGAAGGAATGTTGGCGGCGGGCTGGAGGTCAGCCCAAAGAAATGTGAGGTCGATCCTCCGTACGAGCAGGCAAATCGGGCAGATCAGGCAGGGGGAAGAATCCCCTTTCGGCTCTGGGGATCAAGCCAGGAGCGGTCACAACGGGCAGTAACTCGATTCCCAGGCGTTGAAAGTCTGTTGGACTCCTTTTTGGACTTACCACGGATGTCTCACAGCTCACGCGGACGCAGGATGACGAAATGTCGGTGCTAAGGGTCAGGCGGGGAGTTGGCGCGCTTGGGAGCTTTGTTGAATTCCCACTTTCCCTTATACGGAGAAGAGAAGAATCAAATGATGGAGAAGAAAGAATTTGTAATTGAATGAAAGTTACGTATTGGATACTCCCATCTCAGAATAAGAAAAGAGGACAGGGGAAATGAACAAATACGAGGGGTTCTCAGCCTACGTCAAGTAATCGCGTCAAATCCGGGAAGTGATCCACAGTGGAGACCCCCCCGAAGCTCTCTCTACGTCTAGGGACTATGTATTATGGGTTATTTATTATACGATCGTTGCGGCATCGGAGCAGAGAGACCCATTTAAACAGATATAAAACGCCATCAATTTACACAGTGTCTTCTCTATTCTAGTAAAGGTGGTCTGGGAGATCTGGCATCTCGCTCATATCCCGCATCGGGCATTCTGCTTCTGGTCTATAGGGTATCATCTGCAAAGACAGCGTGACCGAGCCAAGTTCACCGCCCTGTATCACGAAATAACAGCAAATTCAAAATTCAGAGTGAAAAATGAGTGCGATTCTTAGGCAAGAAGGATGTCGTATCCGTCCTTTTGAATGTGCACGGTATCGTCCTGACTCGCATATCGCCGGCGCACAAGTTCGAAGATCACCAGGCCGGCACTTGTGCTAGGCACTTGGCGAATGGCGCTGCTCGCAAACCCGCGGAATAGCCAAGGTCGCCAACCCCCAGCTCGCATGGCCTTGCGTTCGCAACGTTTCCAAGTCTCCTGATAGGCGCGATAGTATAATCGTAGCATCTGCTTCCGCGAGTGGTCGAGGTTCGCCTGGTGGTCAAGGTATTCTAACCGTCCCAGGTGTAGGTCCTGGACTCTGCTCAATGGGTGCTGGATGGCTTGCTGTGCCACCGACGCTACCACGCCGGCCATCATTAGGAAACACGGCTCCAGCGCATAATGTGGTTTGATGAGAGGGACGCCACGGTCACTAGAGCCGGATGATGGTAGCATATCCAGATGATTAGAATGCAAGGATCCGTAGTACCAGGTGATGTAAGAGTAATACGATTGAGACTTGACGTATTCAAACGAGGAGAAGAAGACGGCGTAACCGAGCGAATCGCGCATGAAAGACAGGCTCCAGCCGGCGAAGACGCCTCGCAGACCGATTTGTTTAAGTTTATGATGTCCATAATGCCACATACTCCGATATTGGCCCTCTAGCATGTCGCTGGTTTGAAGTCGAACCTGCAAAGCATCTAATGGGGCCGCAATGATAGATTGAATAGTGCCGGCCGCAAAACCGGCTGTGAAAGTTGCAGAGGGAGGTGCAGGAGGCCAAATTCGCTTGGCTCCCTGAGACACGGGTTCATGAAGGGCGCCCAGGACTTGGAGATAGGAAGTATAAAGAACGGCGCCGACACTGCGGTAATAAGGACTAAGAGTTAGCTCTTTTGGTCTCGACAAAAGATGCTGTACAGAACTCACAGAGCATTCGCTAGGAGAGGAGGCAAGACTTGATTCGGTATGAACTGCCAGCCATATGTCCGGACGGCATGGAGTAACAGCCCTGGTGTAGTAGTATGGATTGACCATTTCCCCTCAGCGACGCGCGGGTTCACAGCTCTTGCAAATGCCTGTTTATATCCGAAGAGGGCCGGTCATTAGAGTGACTCGAAACCCAGCAGAAGTAAAGAGGAACTTACCATGTAACTACTTTAGATGTTAGCGGGGAGACGGTTCAGGATCTGGAAACCAGGAGCTACCTACTCGACTCGAGTACGGAAGAAGGCTTTGATCGGTGCCCGGAAGTAAAAAGCCACCATCTGCGCACTGAGGGCGCGGACGCCGGCGGCGGACACCCCAGTGGCAGCATCATTGCGAGACTTTCTCCGAGGGCCCGGTTCGGTCAAGTGCGGCTCGAGGAAGATGGGATTCATTGCAGATTTCGGGATTCATCAACAGGCAGTTGCGGCCATGGTAAAGACGGATTGTTGCCGGGGAGCAGGGGGATTCGGTCACAGGAAGTAAAAGACGAATTTAGATTCCGAATCAAACATTCTTGCAGCTGCAGAGTCCAAAGACTCGTTTAAAAGGTAAATGAAAGTCAAGGCTGAAGCTGAAGCAAAGGCAGATGCAGAGAAGCGGAGCGGAGACGCTAATCCGTATAAGGGAAAACTGAGCACGGGAACCCGCTGCGACTCAAAACGCGCTTTTCGCGTCCTACAAGGGTCGACCTCTCCCATCGCACTCGCACGTTCCTTTCGCGGTTTCAACTCTTCTCTCATCAGTTTTTGAACAAATCCCCCTAATTCGATACTCCTCGCATGTAACTTTGAACCCATACCTAGGTCCCAGTTGCCCGTTGCTCGTGTCGTTAAGTCTCGCTGCTACCGGGCCTTGCTCGCACCAGATCGCCCAAGATGGCTGAGAAGATCGCGATTGACAAAAACAATTTCTTCAACCACCTATCCAACCTTTATGCGTCATGGAAGGCAGACAAGCGCTCGGGGAATGTGTTGTTCGGCGGCGCAGACTCTATGGTCATCCTCATGGGCAAGACCAAGACCGATGAGAGCTCCTTTCAAAAGAACAACGCCATGCACGTAAGTTATCTGCTATCTAAGCCCGGCGTTCCTCTCCAGCTTCGCTTCACCCATACCGCTGATGCTGACGCACTTTGCTCGCAGTTCTGGCTTCTCGGTTACGAATTCCCTGCCACCCTCTTTGTCTTTACGACCGAGGCGGTCTACGTGGTCACGACGGCCAAGAAAGGTAAGTGGATCCAGTCTATTCACCATGCGCATCACATCCTAATCTAGTGGCTTCTTAGCTGAGCTCCTCGAACCCTTGAAAGGTGGCAAAATCCCGGTCGAGCTTCTAGTGACGACAAAAGACCCAGAGACCAAGACTAAGGCTTTCGAAAAATGCTTGGATGTCATCAAGGGCGCAGGAGTGAGTGGTCTACAGCTCGGAGCTTCCGTTCATACGAACAGTTCACTAACCACCAATTTAACTAATAGAAGAAAGTTGGCACCCTTCCGAAAGACACCACATCCGGACCGTTCGCCGACGACTGGAAACGTGCATTTGGAGATATCTCGAAGGATGTCGAGGAGGTGGACATCACGCCTGCGCTTTCCGCTGCCTTTGCGATCAAGGACCCCGAAGAACTGGTGTGCTTGGCTGCTTCTTTAGATCAGCTGCAAATTGCTGACAGTAGATACAGGTTTCGATTCGCAATGCCTCCAGAGCGTGCAGCGGTCTCATGTCTGAATACTTTGTGGATGAAATGTCCCGCTTGCTCGATGAGGAAAAGCAGATGACGCACAAAGCTCTTGCAGCCAAGGTCGATGCGAAGATTGACGATGCGAAATTCTTCAACAAGCTAGCGCGCCTGCCGTCTGAGTTTGATGCCGAACAGATCGATTGGGCTTATGGACCTGTGGTTCAGAGCGGAGGATCCTACGACCTGAAGCTGACCGCTACTTCTGACGGCAAAAACCTGGAACCTGGCATCATTATTTCAAGCTTTGGTATCCGATACAAGACTTACAACTCGTTAATCGGGCGAACCTATCTGGTGGACCCTAGCAAGTCCCAAGAATCAAACTATGCATTCCTGCTGAATCTCCATGAAGTGGTCATGAAAGAGATCCGCGACGGGGTGGTCGCTAAGGATGTTTACAACAAGGCACTCAACCTAGTCCGTTCCAAGAAGCCCGAGCTTGAAAATCATCTGGTCAAGAACATCGGTGCGGGAATTGGCATTGAGTTGCGCGATTCGAACATGGTCCTCAACGCGAAGAACAACCGGGTTCTGAAAAACGGTATGACGCTGTCAATCACCGTCGGCCTGACCGACGTAAAGGATTCCGATTCAAAGGGGGGCAACGTCTACTCCATGGTCGTCACTGATACTGTTCGTGTTGGAGACAACGGACCTCATATCTTCACGAAAGATGCCGGTATGGACATGGACTCGGTCTCGTTTTACTTTGGAGATGATGAGGAGCCGGAGAAACCGGTGAAGGAGAAGAAAGAGTCAAAGTCGAGTGCGGTGGCTAGCCGAAATGTCACACGGACGAAACTCCGTGCCGAAAGACCATCTCAGATTAACGAAGGTGCCGAAGCGCGCCGTCGTGAGCATCAGAAAGAGTTGGCCTCAAAGAAGACCAAGGAAGGTCTAGACAGATTTACTGGCACTACAGGAGATGATAACGGTGTTGCTCAGAAGAAGTTTAAGCGCTTCGAGTCCTACAAACGAGACAACCAGTTGCCCGCCAAGGTCAAGGACCTCGTCGTCTACGTTGATCACAAAGCTTCCACGGTCATTGTACCCGTTATGGGAAGGCCTGTGCCATTCCACATCAACACGATCAAGAACGCCAGCAAAAGCGACGAAGGAGACTACGCTTACCTCCGCATCAATTTCCTCTCTCCTGGTCAAGGAGTGGGCCGAAAGGATGACCAGCCTTTTGAAGATCCGTCGGCGCATTTCGTTCGCAATTTGACATTGCGCTCCAAAGACAATGACAGACTGGCCCAGGTCGCGCAGGATATTACTGAACTCCGCAAGACTGCCCTGCGGCGGGAACAGGAGAAGAAGGAGATGGAGGATGTGGTCGAGCAAGACAAGCTCGTTGAAATCAGAAGTCAGTCGCAACGCTTTTCGAATGGGGTCTTGTGAATGCTAACATGAATTAATTTATAGACCGTCGACCTGTGAAGCTCCCTGACGTGTACCTTCGACCTCCGCTGGATGGCAAGCGTGTCCCCGGAGAAGTCGAGATCCACCAAAATGGTCTGCGATACTTGTCACCCTTCCGCAACGAACATGTTGATGTGCTCTTTAGCAACGTCAAGCATCTCTTTTTCCAGCCATGTGCCCATGAGCTGATAGTCCTCATCCATGTGCATCTGAAGACGCCCATCATGATTGGAAAGAGAAAGACAAGGGATGTGCAATTCTACCGCGAAGCAACCGAAATGCAGTTTGATGAGACTGGTAACCGTCGTCGCAAGCACCGGTATGGCGACGAGGAGGAATTTGAGGCCGAGCAAGAGGAAAGACGCCGAAGAGCTGCACTTGACCGTGAGTTCAAGGCGTTCGCCGAAAAGATTGCCGACGCTGGCAAGGACGAGGGTGTGGATGTCGACATCCCCTTCCGAGAGATTGGTTTCACCGGTGTTCCCAACCGCTCCAACGTCTTGATTCAGCCGACCACTGATGCTCTCGTTCAATTGACTGAGCCACCGTTCATGGTTATCACTCTGAACGAGATCGAGATTGCTCATCTGGAGCGAGTTCAATTCGGGCTGAAGAACTTCGATTTGGTCTTTGTTTTCAAGGATTTCCACCGACCCCCTGTGCACGTCAACACAATCCCCGTCGAAGCACTCGAGGGTGTCAAAGACTGGCTTGACTCCGTTGATATTGCCTTCACTGAGGGTCCGCTCAACCTGAACTGGACTACTATCATGAAGACAGTCGTGAGTGATCCGTACGGATTTTTTACCGACGGTGGCTGGTCGTTCCTGGCTGCCGAGTCGGACTCGGAAGGTTCCGAAGACGAAGAAGAGTCTGCCTTCGAATTGTCCGATTCCGAGCTGGCTGCAGCGGACGAGAGCTCCGAGGAGGATAGCGAGTTTGATGACGATGCCAGCGCGGACGCAAGTGAAGAGGACTTTAGTGGGGATGAAGAGAGTGGCGAAGATTGGGACGAGCTGGAGAAGAAGGCGAAGCGTCATGACAAGGAGATCAATATGGACGAGGATGACCGGGGCACAAAGCGCAAGCGCTGATCGGTTCTCGAGCTAGGGAAATTCTTCACATTTTTGATTCTTATACGTTTGTCTTGAAATTCTTTGCAATCACAGGGATCGGAAAGGTAAAGAAATATTGAGCTCTAGAATCCCTGGAAATGCGATTTGTACTTTATATTTTTTTTTTAATTTTTCTCAATTTCATCCGAATCCAAATGGAGCTGAACATCTCTAATGATGCTGTCAGCAAGTAGAAATAAAACCCCCAGCAATGACTCTCCGCACAGCAGAGTCGCGCTGCTTGGAGGTACAAGACATGACCCATCCTTACTTCCCTTCCCGCATAGACGCCCACATTCTCCGCATACGTTGTGTCTGGCCAGGCGTAAAGCTCTCGTAGCAAACATCGGAAGAGTAGTCCATAAAGTCGTGAATTGGATCGAGTCCAGGAGAATCAACGCAGGAATCTTTACGGGCAGGACAACCGTCGGTGGGCGTTGATTGCTGTGGAGTGTCGGCGATATAGTCGCCTGGATTATCTGAAGAACAAGACTCCCCCTGGAAAGTATGCAGGAGGCCGTTCCAGTGTCCGATCTCGTGGATGGCGGTTCCTCCCCGGTTGTAAAGATCCAACGAGCCCCCAGGCATCGTCTTGGCTAGCACGTTGCAGCCATCCTTGATATAATCCGCACGGGCACTGGTGGCATTGATACTTGGATCGGGCAAAGTACAAAAGCCTAGGACACTGGACGAGAGATCATTGGAAGAAAGAGCACCTCGGTGATTAGCACGGCCAGTATCTCCTGGAGATGCTTGAAGATCGGTCTGGAAATAAACGTTCAGAGTTCGGTAGCTTCCTTTCCGAAGGGCGGTTTTCATGGCGACCTCGTCTTCGTTGCGAGCCCAAACATCGTTGACATGTCGTGTAACTCCTAGCAGTCTAAATAGAATGGAAGCATCCTCGTAGGCGTCTTGCAAAATAGAGAACTGGCAGGACGGTTAGCATGGGACCGCTCAATATGAGTGTGTACTTGAACCAACCTGGGAATTGATCATATCGTTGGTAACCTTGCCTGCCTCGGCCTTACTGGTCACAATATGGAACCAGGTCTCTATCTCAATAGGGCCCTGACGAGCTTCGGAGCCGGCATTGGGCCGGGACTCGTCGACTTGAACTAGATCAAGGGCACTGAGGAACGATGGATCTGGATCCTCGGTGGCGCAGATACCGCGTTTCTGAAACACAACAGGCGTACATTGGGCTTGTAGAATGTATAGGGCTGTGACAAGAACCACGAGCGGAGCAAAAGAGTGACGGACCATGATGGTTGGTGTTAAGATGCCCTAGTATCGTGATTCCCCCGTCACGCCCATGAGCGAAAACGAGGTCCCCTCGCGATCAGTTCGCTATATGACCGGGTCTTCGAGCCCCACGAGACCATTGCAATTTCATGAGTCCGGGGAATGCTGCGTCACGGTGGAATGCATGTCCCACGCAAGGGACGACACCCTAAGGATGATCAGCGGGGAAGAAACCTGCGGAGCGGAGGATATCAGTCAAATCATTGGTATCCATAGACGCCCGTCCAATTCCTCGACCGGCGGGATGAGGTCAGCCTAGAGTGTATTAAGTGCGAAGGGCGAGTGTGGAAGCAGAAAGAATGCGTGTTGTTGTGGAAATGTTAGATACATGCAACTCCTTGTTTAACACCCGATCCGGAACGGTCCATTTATTCACAGTAGCGACCTTCCCCCGATGAAATAGAATACTGAAATATAATAGGCAAAGAGAAATGGACCAAAGAAAACCGCCAATTTTGTTATCGCGTTTACGCACCAGCGCGCATGCGATCGTCCCGTCCCGTCGCCGTCGCGGTACTTGGCTGGTTGGTCGAATCCCAAGTCAAATAGGTGTGGTCGCCCAGTTTTCTAAACGAAGTTAGCCTTGTCTATCCCGATGGTGGCTAGAAGTGCAAGTCTTACCTGGGTCGAACCAAATGCGCAACTGTGAACAAAGCGCCAAGGAGAACACAGACTCCGCCGACCACCACATAGGCAATTCCCATGAAGGGGTTCTTGCCACCAAGAGCCGTCCTGGTCGAAAGTAGGATCGACTTTGTTCCAGCATACTCGGTTACGTTAAATCCTAGACGATTGTTAGTCCGAATATAGTTATGGTACGGCGATTCAAAACATACTGTAGTTGATGCTCAATTCGTAGCGACCGGGCTTCATCGCGTCGTCGTCGTTCCGGCGAGAAAGCTTGCTGAAAGCCGGCAAACCGGCGGTTCTCATCCAGACCATGAACTCCTCGTTCTCGTGGAGATCAGGAATACTCTCGGTATAGTTGTATCCCACCCAGTTCGGCGGAGGGTCGACCTCTCCCGGCTTGTACTTGGTCGTCTTAATCAGATCCTTGTCACTTTGCCAGGCAATCCCCTTAGTCGTCATGTTGTAGGTCTCGGAGCTGTCTCCCGTGAGAATTGGCTGACCAATGGTGTCATTGAACATGGAGTTTGCGATCAAGCCGCACGGGTAGTATGCCTTGCCAGAGTCGCTGGTTGCGAGAGGGGAGCACACACTGCCCGCGATTGTTGAGTTGCTAACCGGCGTGCCCTTCAACTGATCCAGATCAAGCGACTGGACATATCGGCGATGATTTTGGTAAAAGTTGGTGAGTCGGTAGTACATGTAGACCGGGGGTCCCATCGACTCGGGGATGTTAAACTCCAGAGTACAGATCCAGTTCTGGCCGGTGGAGTTCCATGTCTTTTGCCAGGAAGGCGGCGTGCCCGACTTCGCCTTCCATGTTGTGGACACGTATTTCGATAAATCTCCAAAGCTTCCAGTGGGCGCCTCGGTTTGACAATTGGTGTAATCGATAACGATCTCTTGGACCTGGTACAGGGCGTTAGCCATGTCTATCTCATTAATCCGGCCACGCGAAGCATACTTGGGCGCTTGCCCAAAGGAGGACACCGCCGATGGGAGCAAAAAGGATGCCGACGATGAAGAATAACGGTAGGACACTCTTGGGGGTCAGGATCGGTCTAGAGCGTGAGTCAGTGGGCGGGAAGAGGGCGGAATAAACGGAATCGAATATCTCACTGCCAGGCTTTCAATCGCTGTTGACGAAAGGCAGTATCTAGGGGATCGGGGTCAGTCTAGGTCCTGAGATTCTAGGGAGAGGGTCGGGCAGGGGATGCCTACTAGCGGGTCTCCGAGACTTGGGCTTCTTGTCGGCAGCTCGATCGCGCTCCTGCTCTTCGATGGACTCGGCGCGGGTCCCCTCAGCCTGTGACATGGCGAAGAGTGCGTCTCAGAAATGCGATGGTAGATGGGGTTGATGAGATGAAGGAGACGTCAGAAAAAGGTGGCGCCCCGGGCGGAGACAGATAGATCACTGGATTAGTACAGCGCCGCCCCACCCGGGCGAACCATGAAGACGCGGCTCGCGGGTTACGGTCTGCGGTCTGGCCACTGTACTACGTGATATTTATAGAAATTTTCCTACTGGGATTATTGTTGTAATGGGTATGTTATTCAAAAGGAATTGTATGGGGTCAGGGTATCATATCGTCCCGGCTGCTCTGGTCACAGGAAACAATGTCGGGGTCAAAAAGCAAAATAAACGAAAAGGTCAGAAAACACCACGATATCCCAAGCCTGCCATTCTAGATGGGAAAATAAAAATGAAACCCCATAACGCCAATGTCAATAATCCCTAGAGCGTAGACAACGGGGAAGGCAATGCATCGAACCAATAGCAAAAACTATATTACGAGCGTTGGGAGATGAGATGAAGCCAAAGCAAGATGAAAACCAATACTGTTGAATGGAAAAAAAAAAAAAAAAAAAGACTGTGTCATCATGCGTGGCGGGTCATGAAAAAGCAAATCGTGGAACCGAAAGGGTGTCGTGATAGGAAAAAGGGGTTTATGTGAGTTCTGGATCCTAGAAAGAGCCGGAATCCATGTTTGGTAGACACTGCCAGGCTGGAATCACTGGAGATTAATATTGCGTCGTCGATTGGAATCAAGGGAGACGAGCGCAGTCAGTTATTCGTAGTCTGATAGTAGCAGGCCAGTATCGACGGGATAGGAGATGTCCCGGATGGAAAATTTCCAAGGTCCAGATCTATCGGACCAGCCGTCGGAATAGAGGGAACGGATATATCAGAGTCTGATGATTTGCAATGCCAGTGTACATCCCAAAGCGGGGAGAGCGTGGGATGGAATGAGAGTCAAGAGGGTCAATCATCTGACGTATTGCTGAAAGAAATCGGGCTTGAACCAGCCCACTCGCTCGTAGGCCGTCCATAGCTTACTAGCCTTGTTGACATCAATCTTGCAGGCCTGCTGGGCATCCGTCTTGCGGAACTCCTTGCCCACACCCAAGGCTCGCACGCGGGCTTCAAAGATGCGACGTTTGCTGCACAAGTAGGTGGCGCAGGACAATCGGAGGGTGGAAGCCAGATTGAGCTCGGCGGGACTGAGCAGGTGTCTGTCCGGGTCATTGCTCAAATCCAACATCTGGCCCTTCCAGTCGGCCTTCAAGGCCTTGGCATTGCCGCCGAGAGTGTCGAGCGGGGGGGAGAAGTCCTTGAGGGCATGGAAGTCTGTATCATCCCGGTTGGTGCCGAGGGCACGGGGCTTGGAGGCTGAGGGTGGGGAGTCAAAGGAGTCCAGAGCGTGCTGCTTGGGGGTAGATTTGGGGGTGCGCTTGACTCGGATTCGGGGAACACGCGGAGGGGCCACACCAATTCGCCTGGCGGGGGCTGGGGCGATCTTCTTCAGCTTGGCCTCCAGATCCCCGGGGCGATATCGATTCATCAACACCATCTGGCGCTCTAGTGTTTCCCGTTCCTCTCGAGCCCAGGCCGCGGGGTTGCGGTTATACTGGGTTGAAACGATGGGGACACATGACAGCGCGAGAAGATATTCATCGCGCGTGGGTTTGTTCCGCTTGTTCTCAAACCTGGCCATGTGCGAGTTCATGTGATGGGCGACGAGCGCCTCAGCAGCTGGAGGGGGGATGGGACCGAACAGCGGCTCATCCGAGGCGGCAGCCGTGGAGTCATGGCGGGGGAAGAGCAAGGGATCCCGAGCAGTGGCGGCATCCCGCTCAATCTGTTCAGAGGTATGAGATCGCCGTTTCTTGTTCCCCGTGTAGGGGGTGACGGGTGGCGAGGGCAGATCCATCTCCGACTGTGTTCGCTTGCGATCAGCGGAGATTGGGGGGAGTTTGATGTCACCCATGACAGTCGAGTCGCGCCTGGGATAAGGGTGAAAGTTCTCCATCGGCTTTGACTCCGGGGGTGACATGAGGCTAGAAACAGGAAGACGATTCATTGTGGGATGTTTACCCATTGGCTGTATACCAGAAGTCATTCCAAATTGGGGAGGGGGGAGATTGGGAATTGAGGGGGGGGTGAGATCGATTGCAGTGAACTGTGAAGAGTTGGACGAATCCGTGTAGAATTGCGATGAACGGGGGGTTTGGGGGGCAGAAGGAGCAAGAGGATGAGTATTTAATTGAAAACCATGTACAAGAGGAAGGCGAGAGTCATCAATGGAAGTGGAATTGCCCAAACAGGATGAGGGACGGATTTGTCAGGAGTTCAGGTGGCAACGGAGTTAAGCGCCAATGGCCGAATGAGTCAATGCCGTCGTATTGGGCAATTGGGGGCAAATTGGGCGCCTAGTGGCAACCTGGTCGCCTGGTAGTCTGCGCGTCTGGCAATTCTGGCAGCCTAGGAGGGAATCCGAGGGAGTGGGGAGGGGGAAGAGCAGGAAAGGGGCTCAGACAGTTTATGAATGAGTCAAAGGGTCAAAGGGGAAGATAAGAGTCACAAGAGAAGTCATCTGAGGATGACACCGAGGGAGATCAGCCTCAGCGATTGGGTTCGAGTTGGTCTACCTTGGTTCTAACTGGTTTGACTGGTCCGACTGGGCTCATGGCGCATGACACCATTAGGATGCGGGCAGTCTGCTTACTGGTTCCGTTGACCAAATCGTGCCCAACCGGTGGACTCCCGTCCGACCAATCTGTTCGTGTGGTGTGTGCTAGGTGTGTCTCGTGGTTAGCCTCGGCCCTGGATATTTCAGGTTTCTAGCGTCATCGTTATCTCCATGCTCCCGGTACTGTACAGTTCTCGATTCGATTCTATCTACTCTACTCTACCCTTGCCCGATGTACTGACTCGACTTCGTGTCCATTGTCCAGGCGGCCCTTTGATCCCGGTCCTCAGCCCCTCCGCCCCTCCGCCCCTCAGCCCCCCTCGACCCGGGTACTATCGCTTCCACCATTCCCTTTCGAGTCTAGTTCTGTCGATGAGAGCGTGGATCATCGATCAATGATCAAAGATCCGAGATCAAGAATCAAGGATCAATCATCAATCATGATCTACCCCATCCCGGCATCCTTGGATCGCCCTTTCAATTGGGTTCTGACTGTCATCTGTCCCATAGGCAAGGCAACGTACGTAGGCAACGTAGGCAACGTATCTTACGTTGCCCTGTCAATCGGGTGATATATATTCCCTCGTGCTCACTGCTCAAGGCACCAGTCCGTATTCCGCTCTGCCTCATCTCATGTGCCTCCATGACGTCGATCTTCAATGTTCCACGGGTACGTACGCATGGAATCAGTTCCAACAGATCTCCCCATGAATCATGGCCGTAGACTCTTCTAGGCGCCTCTGCCAGACCGTAGAATCGAACAGCATACCGTCATATAGGCACATGACCCGTCGGGTATGGACCGTATGATCTTGACAATACCGTAACGCAGTAGGTGCTCGGGTACACTATCTCATTGATCGTCTGCGCATGATTGCGCATTGTTCGATATATCGGTCCTGGTACCTCGTCCGGTTGAATTGCCGAATGCTGTATCGATCATGTTCACCATGGCGGCCCATTTAACTCAACTCCACTCCAGATGAATCCTTGATTGTTGACCGTTGCTCTACCTGCATAATTCAGATACCAAGTGTGCTACTAGGTAATCACCACCTGGCCTACTGGCGCTCTTCACGGTTGAATATCTCCATCCGGATAAGTTTCCCTATCACCCCGCAGCTCTCTATCTGTGCAGAACGCCTGGGCCGGGTGGAATCGGATCACGACAGATGTGAATATATACTTCGGCTCGCCCGGTACCGATCAACAGAGTATACTACACGCCTAGTACTAGTCACACTAATAGGGGGTTCGGTACTGGTAACCTAAAGCTGGGTGCCGCCCGTGCATTCGAAGCAAACAAAAAAGGCAATATCACGGGTTCCCGATGGGGTCGCGGGAATTCGATTCTGTCCACTACTGCTCGACATTGCTTTTTAGCGAAAAGACAAGCCAGCCCTCGGAGTACAAACCGGTTGATTATCTCATGGGCCGAGGCATGACCCTCGGCCCGGGCAGTATCATGGTCACAGCTCGATTTCAAGTACTGAATCTCCCGTGAAAATAGCAGAAGAGATTCTCGTCTCCATATTCAAAGCGTGACATCTCTCTCTATCGACGACTCGGTCCTAGAGTATTTCAAGCCTGCCTGAACAGCCCCTGTTTATTTGCGCTTCGAAACCCATCCCATGCCTACCCGATCTCTCTCACTTCCACCTTTATACTGTCGGTACTCGGTTCATATATACCATCTGATTATTCCTATTTCGACCGAGTTCTAGGCTTCTAGCACGATCTGCAGACTCATTATGAGATTCGATTTCCTAGGGTTCAACACAATCACGGACAAACAAAATATAGCAAGCAACCACATATCATTAATTACCAGTTACTCTTGCCCTCGCATTGGGATCAAAACCTTGGGGTAAAATACAACTTCACAGCCTGACAACTATCCAATATTTTGATTTGAATTTCAATACAACTAACCTAATATTACCGTGCCATTAACGCCAACAGAGGGCAATTGGACAGTGACGGAGCCAGGTTACACAAGTAACAAAGGCATGTCAATTAAAAGGCGTAGCTGAAGTGGACGGTTACATGAATTCGAGATAGAGAAAAGTATATTCGGATAACATGTAGGAGTAGAACGGCCTGTCGCCCGGATGAGAGATAGAAGACGACGGGAGGATACCATGTAGTTCAATTGTCACGAAATCTACGTATTAGGGAACCATAGACGGGACTATAACAAACCGCCGTATATAAACTGGAATCTCCAGTCATAGACATGGTCACCTGACATAAACTTCCAGTTCCTTTACGCGTAGTCTGGATTTATAAATCTCATATATTAGGATATATATCTTAATACTTAGAAAAAGAATATAATTATTCATTTATCTCTATGTTATAATTAATTATAATCTAAGTATTAGATAAAGCCTTATTATTATCTTAATAACTATGTTTTAGGATCTTTCTAATCTTTTATTAAATTATTATTAATAATAATATTATATACTAATATTAAATTATAAATACGTAAGTAATTTACTAAAAACTATTATAATTAAATATATATTAATAATAATATTATATACTAATATTAAATTATAAATACGTAAGTAATTTACTAAAAACTATTATAATTAAATATATATTATTATAGTAATTAAAATTTCTAAGAAAATCCTAGAAATCTGATAATATTTATAAAATATTAATAAAAAGCTTACTAATTCTTTACTAAATTTTAGGAATTTTAGGGTATCTTCTTAGAATAATCTAATTATAATTATAATTTTTCCCCGGACCTGTTAGCTGTAGGGCCGATTTAGCGGCAGATCTCTATAAGGTAGCCGGGTAAGCTATATTATATAATTATGCCAAAATAATTAGTTCCTAGCGCTTCTCCTCCTACGTCTAACCACTTTCGTAACTTCAATCCGCCCTTTAACGCGCTCGCTTCGCTCCCTCCACCGCCTTACCTCTATCGAACTACGTTACTCTCGCTATAGACTAATCTAAACTTATCGACGATTATCGCTAACGCTAGCAGACGAGGTCTATAGTAGTGCCGAAGATATAGAAGGACTAACGCTTACTACTAGAAAATTAGTCGCCTTAGCACTCCTATTCTTTGTTTAAATCCTCGGCCACTTATTATCTCGCGACAAAGTAGGCGCCTAGTATCTTGCTATAATTTTAGCCTAGAGGCGTAAGTAGGGTATAATACTACCCTTAGTTATAAGAGGTTATCGTTAATTGTGAGTATAGCAGGCTAATTGTGAGTATAGCAGGCTAAGAATACTAAGTTATAGCTCTATAATCTAGAGATGGATTAGTAGTATAGTACAATTGTAACTACTTTTGTAGCTATAATAGCTAAAATATCTATTTTAACTTTATTATTACAATTAGTTCATTATACTAATAGTATATATATTACAATCTAGAGATGGATTAGTAGTATACACTATATTTCTTAATTCCTAAGGTTATAGGCGCTATGCTATATCTAATTGGATTTTTCAATAAGTTAGCTTCTAATTATCCCTCGCGGTATTATTTAATAATATTAAGATACGCTTATAGTCTAATTTTATTAGTCTATATATATATATAAGAGTAGGGCTTATTAAATATTTTAATAATTTAAAAATTAGCATATATTAAAGATAGCCGTAGTGGGGTTAGGGAAAAGAGCGTAAGTATATAAGCTATAGAGGCTTAAGGCCTACTATCTTTTCTATTATTTAAAAATATATTTATAAAGGATAATGCGATAGCTAGATATAAGGACTATTATTATTAGCAACGTTAGTTATATAATTAATATAGAATTTACTATAATGTTAGTGAGTTTACTAGCCCGCTTATTTTTAGCACCTCTTTATACCTTAATATCTATTAAATATAGATATAGTAGCTAATATCCCTAAGCTATTAAATAAGACTAGTAATAGTATAAATTATATACTATCCTAAGCTATATCCTAGCTAAGAGTAGGCCTGGATAGTAGCCTAATTATTAATTAAGATTAAGGCTATTTAATAGATATTAATCTTAGTACTAAGGATAGTTGCTAAGTTACCCCTTTATTTAAGTTAGCGATAAAAGATATTATCAAATACTCTATAAATCGCGATTCCTCATATTCTATAATAAAGGTTAGCGTATATATAGAATAAAGTATACCCTAGCTCCTTATCTACTTTATAAGGCGTCAGAACTTAGGATCCTCGCTTATACCCTTAACTTAGTATTAATAAGTAATATAGGCCACTTTAGCTATCGCCTTACTAAATTTATATTTTAGCTAATTGAATAGTTTATTTAGTATTTACTTTCTCCTATTAAAGATCTAGCTTAGTAAGCACTAATATATAGTCCGCGATAAATAGCTATTAGGGCTAGTCCTATCAACGAATATAGCGATTAG